CCAGGAAGAAGACCCTTGATCTTGTTGGGGTTGGGGTTGGGGTAGAGATTACTGTAGTGGACTCGTTATTGGATGGACTTTTCTGTACTCCGTAAAATGTAAATAGTGCCAGGATTGGGCTAGCTGGGTTGGGAATTAAGGGTCTTTTATTATTGACTTGGTGTTGGATTCGGGAATAGTCTACTGTGTAGGACTAGGTGCAGATGTCATCATGTCACCTTCATGCTGTACAATAAATTATGTTGACACTACTCCGTACATAAGCATAGATGCCCGGTCTTTTTTCCTAACCATAGTATGAACTACTGGCTTAATTTAGTTGATATTAAGAATACACACAGACCTCGTTGCTCACCCGCACTTGACATAGGTGTACAAAGGACGCTTTTCTTGTCATGCAAATTTGGTTCATTACACTCGAATGTACAAGAAGCTAGCTAATTCAAATAAACCGAATCAATCAATTAATTTACCGATATTACCCCCTACAGAGTAGAAGTAACACTTACACAAGCACACCCCTGCAAGTCTGTACTTCGTACAACCATAACAAAAAAAAAAGCAAAAACCCTCATCCACATAGTCAATTACTAATCCAACCTAGTGAACACCAGGAAAAAGCCACTAACACCAAACCACCATTACATTTCCCCCTTCCTTATCCTTTTACTGCGTACATGCAAAATTCCTATATAACCCACCTCATCCCCCAATCCAGTACATACGACCACAGGGTGTGGAAAACAGGGCTTCCCGTCCGCTCAGCCGTACTTAAGCCACACGCCGGTCAGTTAGTAGTTGGGTGGGTGACCACCAGCGAATCCTGACTGTTGTATGTTTTTGCTTTCTCTTTTTGGCCTATTCTTTTCCCTCTACCACCTAACATAACAGAGACCGTACGTACGGTGGGTGTATTTAGTTAGTATTATACTCCGATGTCAATTCTGAATTTGGTGGAGGAGAGCTGCCTGTTCGCCACCAAACCCCGATGACCGAAAACGGCCACATCAGGGTTGCATTATTTGTAATGCTATTTCTGTTCACCTTAATTATCATATGGTTATACTGGGTATGTCTACCACTATGCATGGTAGGTAGTTGCTCTACCTACACCGTACAGTACGTATCTTTACAGTTGTTTAGACAGGACAGCCAGACTCTGAACGGAATCTTTCGCATTCTCAAATAAAACCACAATACTCCGTACCCTACGGAGTAGACTAGACTAGGTACCTTTGTCAAGCGCAACAAAATCAAATAACACCGATAAAATCATAATACCGATCCATACCCAAAGGTAGGACGCCAGACCCACCAATCAAAACCGTCAGAAATCAACCATAAATGCAGCTTAAAATTAGTCGCGAAATAATTCGGTATGACTTGCAGACGCCGCCGCCCGCCGGCTGAGCGAGAATTCATTACGGAAGCTGTGTTAATTTTTATTATTGATTGGAATGCCAATTTCAAAGGGCCAAGAGCTTTAGATAGAGCTGGTACCTTACTACCTTGTCTAGCTGGTAGCTAGACTGCTAACTACTGTACACCGAGGTAGCTGGCTGAGGGTTCTCGATTTTTCATTTTGTTGTGTGTGTGTGGCTTTCGGTGAGCTGATTTTACCTACCTCTACTGAAATCTCCTCCGTATTTTGTTTACTTTGCTGCTTTGGGAGACTTGGTAGTTCTAGTCTGGCCTGGCTGGAGTTTGATCTGGAACCTGCAGTTGTCGGCGTACTACTGTACCTCTGCCATTGTTATTGGAAGATTCTAGATATGCGCCGACCCAGCTATTCTTCCCTAACTACGGAGTACTCACTGGCGTATCGGAGCACAGGCATGCAGACCAAAAGGCCAGGCCATAGCTGCGTCGCACACAAATCTAGAGTTGAATCTGAAATAATGTCTTAGCGCCACAATTTTTCAAACTTGGCGATTTGGCTGCTTTTGCCTTTCATCAATAATTTTCTGTAATATTAATCGACTTTTTCCTGCTAGGTGGGATATTTAGTAATATTAGGCGTAGCGGCCAGACTTCAAGTGCAGGGGTTGTTGGTATTTGGCCTTATGCAGGAGATACTTTGTCCATCCCGTGTTTCGGTTTAAAGCCTGCATGCCCTGCACCTTGTCTGTTACCCTAGAAACATTTAATGCTAGGCATTGGTTGAGCGACAAAGGCCAGTTGCAGATCGTAACCCTTTCTCTCCCCTGGAATCGACTTCCTGGGGGTTAGGCCTCGTATACGTGGACACTGAGCAACGGGGTTCCGTTTTCAGTATCCCTCCGAGGTCGCGATTGGATTTAGTGCCACAGGCATGACTGATTGATGGATTGATTGATTTGATTTGGTTTTATTAATATGGACTGGACTGCCACTGTCGGACGGTCGGACAAGGCGACATCCCCCTCTCGCAAGATTAATGATCTTCGCGTGTCACCCTGCCAGATAGTGCTAGTTTCTCGGACGGTCGACTTAGTGGGTGACAAAAGTGACTCTCCTTATTTCGGTCGGACTTGATCAGAATTTCTCCTGTCAGTGTCAGATGGGAAAAATTTAAATGATGATAAGCTGTGGGTGATGGGTCCCGGCCAGGTTTGAGCTTGTTTGTACGCCATCGTAAGGAGGCAGTGGTGGCTAGACAGGAAAATCCTCAGGGTCAAGGGGGAAAGGGGACACAGTCACACAGTCGAAACGGAAGAGCAGGGAAGTTCAGTCCGCGGCCAAACGGTCAAAAAGACTGTGTCTATACTGACTTCACCCAAGTGGAGATGTTCGTTTCTAACAAGGACTCCGGCCATAGACTAGTCCGTAGTCGCCGTGGTGTCGTCGAGTTACAGAAAAGCTCCCTGAGGGTCCGACTCTTTCAGACCCAGAAAGTGATGGCTCCAGATCGGCTCGGGTGAATCATTGGTGCGTAATCCGCCACCGCTTACGGGGAAATCCAGGACTTGGAGCCGGTCATGACACGCCCTGGAGCTTCTTTTAGTGTGCTTTGGGTTGCGCTGATCCGTGATAATAATGGAGACCGACGGGATTGCCTGGAGGGGGTTTTCTGCCGTTCAGTCTCTGTAGGCCTCAGGCCTTAGACCTCAGACCTTTCCAGCACGCTTTTTTTTTAGCCGCAGAAAGCTGAACGCACCGAGTAAATATTCCGGCCGATCAGTCATAGGAAGGAGAACCATGACGAACCCTTCAGTGTCGTCCAAATCGTTCGATTTTAGCCTGGAAACGAAAGACAGGCCTATCAGCGGTACGACCCCGTAAGTCTGATACGAGACGGGACGAAAGGCCGGAACTGGATAGCACGTACTCCTCGTCTGCCAGACTTGCCTCCTTGATCGTTCTCTATACTTAGATCCCCTAGATCCCTAGAAGGTAGCATGCATACGACTCACGATGAAACCCATGCCGCTTCCAATTGAGAGAGAAATCGACGAACTGTCTCAAGTCAAGCTTTGGACCACGGATTGGACAGGCGTCAGATTTGCAGCGGTCCACCCAACAAGATGTGCACGAGAGAGTCCATAATCTGCTGCTTGTATCCGTAAGGGTTCCACTGTTGGATGGAGATTGTGTTCTTACTTTTCTTGCCTTCCCACATCTCCAATTAGCCGCGAGAGGGACACAGGACAGTCAGGATGAGCCTAAGCGGAGATTGGACCTTTAGCCTAGACGATAGATGTTACCTTGCCTTGTGTTGGATGGATGGACAATCGAGGGGAACCAGGGGCAGCAAAGTCAAAGCATCATGAGTTCTTCCTCAATGCCGAAAAGAAGATCAGTTCCAGTGTTGAGAGACGGAAGGAACGACCGGCAGTGGAGGGCAGCCGGTAATTGGAAGTCTGACCGGAGTTACCTTACCATTACCTCTCTCTCTATGCAGTCGGACCGAGGGTTAATTAGTGATCATTATTCTGGTCCTTAGGATCAATTCATGGATTCTCACTCTGGTGGTAGTCAGCCATGATTGGATTAACTCCCCAGGATTCCACTCCGTCGATGATGGATTCCATGAATGGTTGACTTCTCTCTCCACTTCCGTCCCCGGCTTCTTGGTCGAAGAATTTGGTCTGGCTTGGAGCCTGGTACGACGGTGGAATGCGGATGGAATGGGAAAACTTCCTTTCACCCTTGAGCCAACCATGAGGCTTTCCATCCATGACTTTTGCTTTCCCCAGATGATGCCGATGTTGGGATTTCGGTGCTTGTTCCCCCGCTCACGGGATTTTTCTTTTTTTTTTTTTTTTTTTTTTTTCTCTCGGTCACTGTCAGGCATTCCTCTTCTGTTTCTTCTCGTCTATGACTTTCCGTCCGAAGGACAGTCTGTACCTCTTCCAAATAATACTCGTGGAAAGCATTCCGTGTCCACCGAATTGATGTGCGGCGCAGTCCGCGAAGTGGATTTGGTGCAAATCGTGACACTAATCCACCAAGGCTCACCACCGTCGCTCCACATCCGCTAAAGGGAAAAAAAAGATTTATTTCATAATAACATAAATTAAAAATTATAATCAGAATAATAAAAAAGAAAAAGAAAAAGAAAAAGAAAAAAAAAACCCGCAGCTAAACTCAACTAACGGCCCTTCCTCCCCATTTGGGTAAGTTGCTGGTCTCCCCTGCAACTTTCGCTCGTCCGGTCGTGTCTCATCGTCTCGTCCGTCTGTCCATCCATCCTCTTAATTCGCCTCGTTCCCCTCTTCCTCCTGTCCTCCTCCTCTTCTTGTTCTATTTATTTCTCCTTCTCCATCTTGCACGGTCCCGAGTTCATCGAGAAGCCGTGTTTGTTGATCCGCCCAGCAGAGCTGTGCGTTATCTTTTTTTCTCCTTGCCTCGTGCTTTATAATTTCCTCCCCGGTTTCACATATATTTCCTCCCATCTCCCCTCCGACATCTCCAGCTAGCTGAGGGACCGGGTTAATTTTTTCTTACCTCAATTCCATAAAACCAACCCATCGTAATATCTTCCTTGTGAGATCTTCTGCGATCTGTCAATTCCATCGATCATGTCGGCGGAAAACACCAACGCCTCGCTCGAGAAGGACTTCGGCCCTGCTGCCACTGGAGGTAGCTCCGATGGTCTCAACGGTAACGGCGCTCCCATGACCCACCAGTTGACGGCCGAAGAGACGGCCAAGGCCGCTGCGCGCTTTGGATACGGTCCTCTGTCCCATGTCAACACCGCGGAGAACCAGCTCCGTCCCTTCGGTGGTGAATTCCAGCCCGGTCTGTACAAGTCGGTTGAGCAGCGCAAGTTCGCCAACCCGGCTCCTCTGGGCCTGTGTGCTTTCGCCCTGACCACTTTCGTGCTGAGCGCGATCAACATGGGCGCGCGCGACATCACCGAGCCCAACATCGTGGTGGCTCTGGCTTTCGGTTACGGTGGTCTCGTCCAATTGCTTGCGGGCATGTGGTAAGTAGTTGACTTTTCTGCGATGAAGGGTTGCCTCCTGCTGACGCTTTCCAAAGGGAAATGGCTGTCGGTAACACTTTTGGTGCCACTGCTCTGTCTTCTTATGGTGGTTTCTGGCTGTCGTTCGCCATCGTCCTGACCCCCGGCGGGTTCAACATTCAGTCGGCGCTCACCGAAGCGGACGAAGGTAGCACGGTCATGTTCGACAACTCTTTCGGTTTGTTCCTGTTTGTAAGTTCATCTCCATCCTAGGAAGAGGGAAAAGTCGACAGTGCAATCGACTATCGGAAGACAATCGCTGACCGAGGCCGAATTTTAGGGTTGGTTCATCTTCACGACCATTCTGCTCTTCTGCACCCTGCGATCCACCGTGGCGTTCTTCTTGCTGTTCTTCTTCCTTGACCTGACCTTCCTGCTGCTCGGTATCGGTTACATCCACCGCAACAGCGAGGGCAAGCCCAACCCCCCGGTGATCAAGGCCGGTGGATTCTTCGGTTTGATGGCGGCGTTCGTGGCCTGGTACAACGCCCTGGCTGGTATTGCGGACAACAGCAACAGCTTCTTCATCCTTCCCGTCGCCCACTTCCCCTGGTCACCCACTGCTCGCAGCCGCGCCAAGAAGACCGAGCGGGAGACCGCTTAGAGTGGCGTTGCACACCTTGTTCGGTTGGCTTGGAACAAGCATGTCTCGGCATTCGGTTTCGGAGCCAAGCAACCACCAGAAAATCTCCGCCCGCGGAGAGAACGGGGGATTGTCCTGCATTTTAGATACCCAATATTTTGTAAGATCGTGTGGCTGCGGGGGGAAATCCTCTCTTCCGACTTGAGCAGCTTGGCATGCATCAACGCGTGTTCGATTGCTGGGACGTGAGGGTAGTGTCGACTGCCGCAGGTATAGATATATGGTCACCACAATAATTGTCCTTTGTTTCTTTTTCCTTTCATGTCATGAGTCCTTTCCTGTCAGTATTTCCTGGTTAATGAATCGTATCAAGAGGAGGATAATGACGGTGCAGACATTGTCGCGATCGTGGCAAGATGGGTTCTGTATTTAGCCTTAGTTGATTTAATTATATGATCTGTATGTCATTTGTCCATTAGTACATCGATCAACATGAGGTAGAAGTCCAAAGTGAGTCTCAGTGATGACCGACCGGGCGACATGACGTACCTTGGACAGAAAGCTGGTAAGCAATGTTGAAGCATGCCTTGATTAGCCAACGTGAATAGATAGATGAGCAACAAGACCCTTTAAGTTAGTAACCAAGACAGACAGCAACATTAGAATTAAGGTTGGTTAGCTCCGACAGGAACAATGGTAACAACGGTGGTTAGTAGTCGATCTATCCACTCTACTTAGAGAGGAGGAAAGTAAAAAAAGGGAGCGGTGAAGCTTGAAAGACATGGGATGGTTGAATTGAGAGAGCAGGTGTTAAGAGGAAGAAGAAAAAAGAAAGAAGGAGAGGCAGAGGAGAAAGAAAGGGAAAAAAGAAAAAGAGAGAAGGAAAAGAATAAAACAAAAGGATACCTAGCTACCTATATAACTGACTAGAAAAGAAAATGTCAAGTCGGTGATTTCTCGGTCGGGTGCAATTTCGGGGGGAGCTCGGTTTGCCGTTTTTCTTCTCTCTCTCTTACCAGTCACGCTCTCTCTGTGCGTCCTTTTCTTAACAGTTCACTGTTTGATTAGATGCCTTCGGAAATGACTCGGCTGGGTTGTTTTTGCTAACTACCTAGCTAACTACCTAGTTACCTTAACTAGTGCGACGCGAGGTCGTCGGACGGACGAAGCTCGGGAATGAAATTGGATTGGATTGACAGGGGGGGCCCGGGCTCGGGCTGGGCTCGGGGACTGGATTGTATTGCATTGCATCATTTGTTGCGATCTGTTTTCTTGGTTTCATATTTTGTGATTCTTGGGAGTTGGAGTTGCTTTTCTAATTTTTTGGAAATTAGTGCTCCGTATGTGCACGGTGTATGTAATTTTTAGATAGAGAAGGGCTCTGTGCTCTGTGGTCTAGTCTATACTTCGAGGTCAAGTACCGTACCTCTAGGGAGATATGTCATGTACCCAGAAAGTGAAAATGAAATTGAACACTATCAATTTCAAGGAAAGTAACTAATCATGTCGCTATTCGCTAACAGTGAATTTTAGATCATACCATAACCTATATGCAACACGGATCACAAGCGAACCGATAACTAGGAGCACTCCGTACTCCGTGTCAGTCCACCATCTATCTATCTACATACTCCGTAGTACTCGTCTTCCTCCGTGTATTTCCGGATCTTGAAAATGTCCAGAAAGTCAGTTTTCACTTCACAACTCTTCTCATCAAGATAATCTAAAAGAAGTCCAATTATTCAATAATTCAAGGAACCTTTTGAACAAACCGCGCAATCTTCTGGCTTCCAAGGGACCGGGCCGACTCATAAGCGATGTGAATGCCGAATGGTAACTCAGCCCGACGTGCCGGTTTCCACTTCCTGCAGCCAAGAGCCTTGTTTTTGCCTGGTTGTTACCGTGTGGTGCTGGCCGAGTTATGTCCGAGGGGAGATTATTCAATAATCTTTCTGTCGTTAGTTACTTCACTCGGTTTTGTACTCTGTGGTAGCTTTGGAAGGAAATCTTGTATTGCGATTTATGTAAACCTTATATCCCAACTTTCTATCAATGACCGATATACATATAGCATGGCTGATAAATCACTGCTTGCCCTATTTCAGGCAAGCAGGATTGCCCAATCCAAACTAGGCTACCTCATCAGGAGTTTGCATCATACGCAATTCGTCCCATAATTCCCGCAACGGAGCCAAGTACACTCGGTCCACGTAGAAGAAATTCATCAGCGAGGCACGCAGATCCTGCCACGACTGGAGACCCTGGCCGCGGACGGCAGTGGCCAGCTCCTTGACGAAGAACGCCCGCTCCGAGGCCATCACTTTGGAGGCGCAGGTGCCCATGAACAGCAGCCAAGTCAGTAGATCGCGGCAGAGGTGGAAACAGCCCGTCGGGATGATGGATTCGAGCGCCGTGCGCAAGCCCATGATGGGCTTCGGGAACACCGGCGCGATGTTCGGGTAGAAGTCCCAGATGGCCGTGTTGTGGAAGATGAAGCAGGCCAGACGCACACAGCCTTCGATCGAGGAGTCGCCTTTGAGTTCGCCGGACGCCGTGTACCGGTCTGAGTGCAGGGCATATTCAATCCAGACAACCTCCGTATTGAAGTAACCTTCGGTATCTTCGTCGAAATCCTGGAATACGGGTCCTTTGATCCACTCGGCATACCAGATCAGTTCGAGGAGGTCCGTGATCACCTGCGACAAAAACTCGCCGAAAATTCCCGGAATCTTCATTAGGGCGATGAGACGCGATGCCGCACATTCTAGCTCCTTGGTGGGTGGAATGATGGGAGCCATGTGGGCTGGGCGAGGGTAGCGGACAAATGGAAAAATGGGCTTGCTGAATGCCATGCAAGCGACGCGAATGTCCGTCCTTACCGAAAGAGTTAGTCTGTCGGTCTGCTTACCCGGAATCTGTAACTTACCATGAAATTTGGTAGCGGACTTGACGAGGAACATCCGTAAACTTGTTCCTCAAGCCTACCATCTGTCTCAGGCCCGCGAGGTGGACTTTCAGGTAGTCGGGGTTTCCAGATGCGATCTATTCGGGCGATGAGGAATTGCATGAGACATGTGGACAGTGTACAACATACCTCGATTGTGAGTAGCATTGATACCGCAGCAATCAGATCGTCGCTAGAGGCTTTGACTGGATCCGAAAGTCCCTCGTTGACCAGTCGAATCGTCTCTCCACGATGGTGGAACGTGTCCAACAGCAGCAGACTCGAACTCCGTTTGTTAGGATCAACGAGAGGAAACTCCCCCGTTTGCAGCGCTGCGTTGGAAGCCGCAACGCAGATCGTGGCATGCAAAGAGGCAGGATCATTCTGACACAGCGAGGCCCAATGGGCCTGCAACTTTGGTCCATACCGCCGCTGAAGAGGATACGCAATATGCGTGAGATCAAACAAGACTGCAGAACAACAGGTCAGTTCTACTTCTTTATCCATACCGCGGAGAATAAACTCACAGCGTTGTAGATGTCGAAACATGCGATCCGTCAGTTGTGTATGTGCCATATTGAATGGGTCTTTGTGGGCGCCATGACCCAGATACGTCGTCGGTGACGGGATTGACGGAACCGGAGCAACTGCAATATCATATGATGGCGTGCCAGCGCTCGAAGTGCCTGTAGTCGCCGTGACTGCAGGATTCGCAGGAGCGCTGGTCACAACCAGGTCATTACTTTTGCTATTGTTATTGTTACCCAGTCGAGCTTGCTGCTTTCCTCGACCAGCGGAGGACGCTTTTACCGACGATCTCCCCGGTGGAGGAGGCATAGGACCTACCGCTGCAGCGCTGGGGCCTGCTGCTGCAGGTGCAGTCTCCACCGGCTGAAAAGCAAGATGTTTCCACGTCTTACTCTTGTAGCGTTTGGTATTCTCTAGCCTCTTTTTCCGATTGTGCTCGGACATGACATGAGAGCGGATGCGCTTCAATGTGTCCTCGCGCGTCCCCTCGGACACCGATTGCTGATCGCTGTTGACCCAGAACAGGGTCGACCGGGCCCCAGACGCATTGTCGGCCTTGCGCGGTTTGCGGGGTTTCGGTGCGGGGGCCTTGCCTACATTTTGACCGGTTGAGTCGGTCGGCGTCGGGGCCATATGTTGTTCATTGATATACGGGGCCGTTGGCGGCGGCGGCGGGGGGTTTGTCAGTGTCGACGTCTGTGTAGCTGCAGATACAGGTACCGTGGTAGGTAGAGAGGTAGGTAGAGAGGCATGTAGAGAGACAGGGACAGGCCCCGAGACAGAAACAGGGGTCTGATAAGGTGTCGGAAGTACGATGGGAGGAAGAGATGGGTTCTGTGGTGGCCACGGGGGATGGGCAGCCAGCTGGATGGGAAGCACCTGCTCGCGCTGAGGAGCGGAAGACACTGCCGGCGGGCGAGGAGGTGGCAGCTTGGCATCCATTGCTTCTTCGTTTCAGGAACGGCGCTCAGACGTAATCTTCACAATCGTTCTAGCGCAAGTTCCTCACAGGGGCTTCATGGTCCGCGCGAACAAGAAAAAACAACAATGAAGGAAAGCCGGGGTGGGAAAGGGAGGGACAGAAGAAAAAAGCCGAAGGGGAGTCGCTGAATGGCCAGCGCACTGCCCTTATCAGGAAAAGTCCATAGCGCAGTGCGAGAGGAATCAAGTGGAGGAAGGGGAAGACGGTGGGAACTCGGGGAGGCCGAAGCAGGGCCAATAACGGGGGGATTGGAACCAACAGTCGGGTGCGAGAACACAGTAATTGGAGGAACGATGTGATTGATCTAAGAGCTAAGGACTAAGGCAATGTACCTGAGCAGTTGGGTTAGTTAGTTCTTCCTCTTAGTCCGGACGTGGATACTACCCCGACGGGGGCATTCCGACCAGTCGAAGACTTACTGGTGGAGGGTGAGTTAGTCTGCGGAGGCTTGATATTATGCATCCACCGAAGTCTCGAGGCGATCAGCATCAATCAATCTGCCCAATCTGGTCCCGAAGGCTTTGCACTTGCTGAGAGGACGGACAAGGGCAAGCTTGGGCAAGAGAAGGAGGAGGGAAAAGTAAGAGAGAGCAAAAGCAAAAGAACCACGGAAAGCAGCACATCATTCTCCACCTTCCGATCGGTCGGTCTCGGCCGCCGTAGCTTTGAGTACTGCCGTCGTACATCCGAGCACACGTCTGCCTTACTTAACGGGTATCCGACAAGGCTGGACAGCTTGTACGGTGTACAGTACTTTCACTTCATACTTGGCACGGTGTACCTCGGTTCTATATTCACCACTTTCTTGATTACAACTAGACTTGACTATCGCTACAGGGTGTGACATTGCCGCCCGCGCTGCGAGTCGGCCGTCAGATGCATAGAATAAACCACCTAAACACGTACGGGAGATAAAAGAAAAATAAACAAGCTCGAAAGAATAGAAAAAGAAAGCAGAACCAACTCTACCCGCTGAGACCCTGTCATTCGCAAGGTCATACTCATCGTCAGTGAGTCCTTGTTTCGCGAAAGATAAGAAAATTGTCATGCTACATCATCCCGGGTCGCGGGAAGACGGGCACGGTCTCCAGGTTCTCGTAGCCACCCATAGTGCCTTGCTGGCTGCTCTGCCACCCCTGGCCCGTCTGCTGGTTCACAAAGGCACTCTGCCGGAATGGGTTCGTGCTGCCGGTAGGATTGGGACGAAGGGGCGCCGCTGCGGGAGGCTGTAATCCTTGCGACTGTTGTGAAGGGACGGAGGAACTTCGAGCAAAAGGATTGGTTCCCGTTCGCTGGGGTTGCAGTTGCTGGGCTGGCTGTTGAGGAGCTTGAGGCTGCGGAGGCTGTTGAGCCTGCTGTGATAACATGTCGCCAGCGTTGAACTGCGGGTTAACGGCCGACAATCGTCGCGCAAAAGGATTGGTGCTCTGTCGGTTGATCTGCGTGGGAGACAGGCCCGAACCGGTCGTCTGGCTCACTAACATCGATTGCCGGAACGGATTCGTGGTTTGCGGCTGCAACTGCTGTGGCTGCTGCTGGGGGAACGGAGAGAGATTGCTTTGCGTGTTAGGCGCAAGATTGGACTGGGGGTAGGTTTGCGGTTGAGGTGTGTAGCCGCCAAATCCCGCTCCCGTCGGCATAGGTTGGAGTGGTTGGGGAACTGGCTGCTGTGGTGGTTGCCCGAATGGGTTCTGGCCCGTCTGGCCCGTCTGGTCAAAAGAGTCCCCAAAGGCCCCGGGCTGGCCGTAACCCGTCGGCTGGGGCTGTTGCTGCTGAAAACCAGTTTGCTGCGGGTAGAAAGCCCCCGGCTGGGGTTGCTGTTGAAAGCCGGTCTGCTGGTATTGCATCATCTGCGGTTGCTGTTGAAACTGTGGCTGCTGCATCTGATGCGCTGCCAAATGCTGCTGTGCCGGCTGTTCGATGGAATCAAAGAAGTCTATCAGATCCGTAGGGTTATCCTTCTTGGTCAAACTGGGATCGGCGGTTTGAGGTCGCGCTGGCGCGGGCGCAGGATTAGGATTGCTGGCCGCCCTAACCCCCACTCCGCCGGTGTTGCTTGCTGCGACTTTTGGTATTGAGCCGGCGGGCTTTCCCTTTGAGAGCAGATATTCGCGACGTCGGAGATCAAAGTCCGGATCGTTCAAGTCATCCTCAAGCAGCCGGGTTAAGTCCGTGGACGCATGCTTAAGTTTGGGGATTTCGAGCCGCGTTGCTGATTGGAAGTGCCTGGCAACGCCGAGGAACTTGACAACTTCCTCTGTCTGCGCCGCAAATGTCTTGTAGATATCGAGTGCCCGCTCGCTATCAGGTCGGGACATCTCGAAGTAATGTTCTAGTCGCAGCCAGAGTAAGCATACGTCATTGCACCGCAGAGATCAAGGTAGACCTACCCAAGACGTTGATAGTACCCTCATTCATCACAGAATAGAGGGTGAGGAGGTCCAGAGTCAACAGCCGGAAGGCTGTGAGGGTAATTTCATTTTCAACTTCATCCGTCAAGAGCTTATTGCGATTGTCAGCAACGATGGAGCGGCGCCATGGCAAGGTTCGACCAAGCTTACATCACATTTTAACAAGGCGCGGATCTGTTTCTGGACAATCTCCGTTTCTCTCAGTAGGCCCTTTTCGACCGTCAGTCGTCTCATCCGCCCTTGACCGCTCCGTACATAGTCGGTCTTGGTGGCCTCGAACGCGTTTGCGCGCGCTATGAGGTAATCGGAGTATCTTCGGATATTATGTCCTTGCGATTGAGCTGCACAGTGAGGTCAGTCCCCGTTGTCATACGTCAAACCCACGGCCGTTTCTCGCATACCTTCGGAAAACCCGCTGATTGCCAGCTTCCGCGGGTTCTCGGCCATGTACTGCAGCGTAGCATCCAATTGACCTTCCCTGATCATCATGTGAATCACGATCAGGGACTTGAACACTATCGTCCATGTTGAATCACGAAGTCGCAGCTGCACTGTTCGAAAGATCTCTGCAACGCCGGCCTCGCCGGTATGCGTCGCTACTAGGATGTGCTCGATATATTTGGATTTGGGGGCCGCAAGCTGTTCGGTAGAAGCGTTGTCAGCACTCCTTGTCACGCATTTGGGAGAGCAGGAAGCAAATCACTAAGATCTCTATCACTGACTTTGACTTTAGTGGCCCCCTTCACGGATTTCTCGAAATTGCCGGACATTGTTGGAGAGAGGTCGGGTCTCCGCGATTAGGCCGCGATCGGGAGAATCAGGAGGTTATCGCGAGGTGTTCAATTCGGGGCGTCGGGGAGAGAGGGAGAGGGGAAAAGGCGATCGGGAAATTGAGGACGAGGTACAATGGCTATCGCGGTGTTCGAATCAATAAAATGTCCTCACCAGCACCAAAAACTGCTGTCATGATGGCTCAAGCCATGATGCGGGACGTGGTGAGACTTTTGAGGCGGCCTGCAAGGAACGCGGCGGGGGGGGATTGGAATTTGGAAAACAAAAGCGAAGATAAGTCCGACAATGAAATGGCGAGAACGAAATGAAAAGACTCTAACGATGACAGAGTAACAGATCGATAAGGAATAGAGCGTAGACCCCAGGAATGCAAGGATTGAACGGTGATTGGAGAGTTGACCTGAGGGAGCTTCAGGCCGTCGGGGGAAGAAGTTCAGGCAGTTTGGAAGTGGAATTTCGGTGGACCTTCTCTCCGTTGCCGTCCAAGGCAGCTATCCGCCTAGCGTGCACGAGTTGCTTCTGCGCTCGGTCTCTTGTACGGGGTATGCAGGCAGATTTTAGATTGAAGTTGACTTGATTGATGAAGGTTAAGAAATTGACTGAGACGTAGTCTCACTGTGACAACGGTTGCGGAGAGTCGAGGCTCTTGTCAGCTGATATATTTTCAGTCAGATCTACCGTCCGACATATATTTACTTCAACATGACTAACACTGACACGATATCTCTGCTCTCATTCACCAGTGTTGATGGCTATTTGCTTTCGACATTGGTCTTATCTCGAGAGACGGACTACTTTCCCATTCCTCTCTTCGACAGCACCTTCTCATCACCTTCTCATCTCACCTCACCTCACCCCTTTCATATTCATCTCGAATTCCTCATTTGAGCACCCTGATTCGGTCACCTCTACATAACTCTCATCTCAACCTTCTTCCTGTCTGCGTTTAGCCATGGACACAGATATCATTTTGGATCGACGACAAAATCGTTGGACAACTGAGCAAAGGTTATTTTTGTGCTGCATGAAGCGGTTTTTTCACAAAGAGAATGAGGCCTTTTCAAGAATATTCAGTAGTTCCTTTGCAGCCGAGCTCCGACAGAGTGGCTATACAACTGGCATTGCATGGACCACACTTAATTCCCAATGGGACACTATGAGGCGTTCTGGTGACTATCTATGGGGAGCTGTCCATCTGTCACCATTTATAAAGGATGGAAGTGGTGCCTGGTATCCGATTATCAGGAAAATCACTCATATTGCCCAACGTTTAGATATCGATCTTGTTGAAAAAGATGAAGATGATATTGATACTTCGGAATACATTCCTCAGCCACCCAAAGATCGGGGAATTGCTACTACGACCGGAGTAAGTCTATAACAATATACTTATTTATTTGGTATTTTGGTTAACTATTTATCAGGATACGACGAGGCCTGGACCACAAGCTGAACAAAAGCATCAACATAGCCAAGCGGCGGCCCCTGTAACTGACCAGACTGCTCAGAACCGAGATGTCCCGAACCAAGAAGTTCCTATTCTTGTTACGGCAGGAGGGAAGATGTGCCTCTTCTGCTTTCAGGAGGGTAACATACACCCGGATCTGCAAAGCCCGGCAGATGAAATACCCCCTCTGTTGTATCGTTGGTCGAATATTGACTCCCAAGGTGTCAATTCAAGAAAACTATTCCAAGCTGGCCTCTTCGCAGAAGAAACTGAATACTTCCACCCAAATGAGGTCTCACAGGCAGAGTTCAAAAAACATGTTGAAAATCACCTCAGAATCCAAAAGTCTGTTACTCCTTTTATCTCTACATTTAAGATGATGTTGGCGCCCATACACCGCGCTCTGCGAAACGAGGAGGGAGCTATCGTCTCAATCATTGATCGAAGGAAGTTGTCAACACCCGTCTACTACGCTAAGAATATGATAAGGACATTGAATCTGCGATTCCTCTGGTATAGTGGTGCCGCAGAATATCTCGTTTGGGGTAGCATTCCAAAATCAGCCATTATCTGTTCCTTTAAAGCTACTACTCTCTTGAGGATTGCCCGCGAGTATCCCGAATTCGAAGATTTGTTACAGTTCGACAATATTGCATCTTCCACAAGATGTGGTCAAGCTTTACATCGGGTTCTAGGGAGTGGACCTGGACGATTGGACCACGTTACAGGTGCAATAATTGGGAGATTTCTCTTTCAGCTAGGAGTGCCTTACGAGAACTGTCAGACTATTAGTTATGGGATATACAACTCATGGTGGATGAAGAGGGGAGTGGGAAGCTTGGAAGAGTTCTACAGAGGCGTTGAAGATGGTTACTACGCATTGGATCAACATCTGATCCCTCCACCAGGAATGGCGGGCATTGGAGACGAGGAAATCCCTAATGATGATGTATCTGAGATGCCTGAAGATTCCGATTCCTTCCTTGACAACCAAATCCTTCAAGCCTCCAATGAAAGCCCCGAACTCCCTGTCAACTGCCAAATCCCTCGGGGTTTTCAAACGTCCCACCATGGCTCTGAAATATCTGATATGGCTGATGTTTTTGATGTTTTCGAAGGCCCTGGCCTCCCTGGCCTCCCTGGACTCCCCGAGCAACTCGTCGAAGCTCATCAATCGGACGATGAAACCGTGACGAACGATGACCCTCGCACTTCAATCGATCTATTTTCAATACCTGGTTCTCCATCTCCGTCACCGTCGCCGCCGCCGCCACCACCAGCCGTCATCAGACTCTTCGATGGGGCAACAAAGCAATGGATAGCGCAACAGAACAGCGACGCTTCCTCCGAACCCCCGGGTTCCTCCGCTGAAACCGCAATCAGCGTCAATTCCGACGATGAGTTCGATATGATCTTCACCGAGTGCAAAAGCGAATCTTCCGGTTCATCGCCTCCAGCTGCCTTGAATGAGCTGCGTCTCATTCCTGACGAGAAACCCATTAAGGCTCTCAAGGACGATAACAGTAGAGGCCGTTTTCCTGCGACGCCTATCCACCCCCGTGATCGTTACCCAGTGACATCCATACCCCGTGATCGCTTCGCTGCTGATAGGGAGAGAGTTCTAAATTTCTGGGGGTAATTTGGATGAGACGTTTTACAATTTTGTTTGCTGGTGTTCAAGGATATGTACTGGAGGCTCATGTTGCAAAGGGCGAAGAGGTGAAGAGAACGGGAGATTGGACATTCAATGTATTGCCTGGTGTGAACTGTTGTTAGAGTACCTGGGATCGATGGTCTAAATGACGAGGGCCTACAAATGTCGAATCAAGATCAGATCGGCACTGAGCAGTTACAACAAGGAAAAAAAGGACATGAATACAATCAACATGATCTGGCAATAAACGTCGTGATAAAGTAAAAGTCTCAATCCCAGAGCGTCCTATATAATAATCCCAAACTTTTTTTCTGAAGGGCCCGCAAGCACTACGGCGGAATCCTAATCACAGGGGGAGGATCGAAAAAGCTTTTTTATTTCATTGGATATCTCCTCAAAGGGTACCTGGGACATGAAATCGTGAAACAATCCCAACCCGTTAAACTAGTTCGCTTATATCCATTCACGCCGCTGCCCTAGGTTATTTCAACCTTTCGGAAACACCCCCTTCAACGTCGACACGCTTAGAACTTGCTGAAAGCCTTGACGGCCTTACCGGTACGGGGCAAGACACGCAGGGTGTTGAAACGGACCTAAAGAGGTGTTAATTGGTGTTGCTTGGTAAGTGATAAGAACGGAATCGATTTCCCAGATAGCCTTCAATCGCTGCACGTTGTCGCCTGAACAGAAAACGCGCGCAGCAATTTCATGACCCTGGTTCGCCGATCTCGAATTTAAGGAGTGCACATACGGTCTTGGACAGGGGACGGCACTGGCCGACGGTAACCCAGTCACCCTCCTCAACACGGAAAGCGGGAGAAACGTGAGCAGCAAGGTTCTTGTGGCGCTTCTCGTAACGGTTGTACTTGGGGACGTAGTGGAGGTATTCACGGCGGATGACGATGGTACGGTGCATCTTGGTGGAGACGACACGGCCGGTCAAGATACGGCCACGGATGGAGACCTGACCAGTGAAGGGGCACTTCTTGTCTGTTGGGCTAAGATTAGCGGTTTGTTCATCATTTCGGATGAAAAGTCAAGAAATCTGATCCGATCGCGGGGAGGTTGTGGAACATGAGAATAGATGGATATCGCGCCGAGTATCAAGGATGTCGAAAACTGGTGGTGTCGAAAATTTCCTCCTCTTTCTTTGCTTCTTTGGTCCCCATTTGCTTCGAAGCACTTTCATCCATCGCCAGTGAAAAATCCGTCGTTGTAGTCCCAATCCAGTTCGTTCATCCCAGAATACTGTCGCGGTATCGTCGTTTCTCATTTCCAACCTTCGGAGAGGCTTTGTCGTTCTCCATCATCCTCCACTCCCCAGATATCAAAATCGAAGATCCCGAGTGACAAAAAAACACAAAACTTCAGCGTAGGTCCTGCATACCGATGTAGGTGCCCTCAATGGCGTTCTTGGGGGTACGGAAACCCAGACCGACGTCCTTGTACCATCTCCGACCCTGACCGACCTTCTTGCTCTTGGCCTTGGTCTTGGGGTTGACGAAGATGTGAGGCTGCTTCTGGAACGCACGTTCCGACTGGACGGTCAACTCGGTCGCCATTGTTGCGAGAATTCAGTTCGACGAGGAAGCGGAGTCGAGCTGGGTTGGGGTATTCGTCGCGAAGGGGGGTGTCGGGGCTTGCGGTGGTCGACGTCGATGTTGAGAAAGAATTATTCGGCGGTTAGCGGGATTATTCAGTGTGGTGAGTGTGCGATGGCGACACTAGGCCCGATCGGGGATGGCGCTGGTTCGGCTAGGGCTTTTTTTGGTTTGTTTACATCCGGAGATCACATGAGCGCCGGCCGGGAGACGCGCCGCCCCCGACGAGTCCCAAGTAGGCAAGTTGTTGTTGGTTCGGGAGAACGTCGCAACTTGACTTGCATCTTATCTTGTCAGTCGGACCATGCCGTCCGGGTTGCGCGACCTGTTTACATCTTCAATTTTGCGGGACTGAAATTCGACTTCCGTTCATCCACGCTCGCTCATTTCGACAGTCTATGATTCCCCTGAATTGCCATCTCCGAAATGGCGTCCAGAGGTGACTCCGCGGGGTCCGCCCGTCCGCGATCTCGTCGCTCCATCGCCCATGTCCCCCGATCCAAATTGACGACCGGCCTCGATAAGGAGAATACTACCACCGACATCAGCTCCTCGCAGCCTGTCGCAGGTTCCGCGAAACTGCCGGGTAAAGATAAGAAGTCCCGCAGTAAGAGCTTGGGACCGGGTGGTTTAGATGCGCTCCAAGACTCCAATGGCAACCGACGCAAGGTACTGCTTCCCACCCCGCCATGACACCTTGCTATGTTGCTGCTGCAGATGAACTGACTAATCGTTGTCGCCGCACAGTCTACCGCAGCTTTGCCGCTCAAATCTATCCTGAAGCCTACTGTTCCCGTGTCTCCGGTTCGCAATATACCTTCGTTCGAGGAAACGCGCAGACGAACCCCCGCCAGAAGCGCGTCCCAAAATCACGACGATCGAGGTGCGAGCAATGGGAGTGAAGGTCTTCTGATAGATCTCGATACCCCCGCCCAACCTTCAGCGCCATCGAGCTCCGAAGAACGAGCCGATCCGTTCGATGGATTCAATGCAGAGGCGATCCGCGATGAAATGGCTGCGGTGAGAGAACGGGAAGAACAGGAACGACGGGAACGAGAACGCAAGGCTATTCTACAACAGAGAGAGGCCCGCCGCAAATCTATGGGTGCGTCTCGTCCCATGCGCATTTCTCAGGACTTCCACATACTGATTTATGATCATAGCCAACCGCCGAGTATCTTTCGCGCCCGAGGCAACATTGCACACATGGAATGTGGTGGAAATTCCCGACGACTCGACTTCTTCATCTACTTCGAATTCTACCCGACGCGCCTCGAATTTAGCGAACACTGAAGCACAAGAACCTGCACATGCGCCACAAACCGAACCGGCGTCCTCACCGAACAGCTATGCCGAGTCCGACATTGCCTTTTCTCCCGTGCAATACCCGGACCTTGAGCGCCTGAAAAATGGCCCAACGCACCCGGGATACGATGCAGTGGGATCTTCTCAAGATATGTCATCAAGTCCCTTCAGCGGAAGCTCGATGGATGGCACGGAAGACGTTGGGATGCAGGATTCTGCCAGAGACGATGACGATGATGATGATGACGACAACTCCTCTACCTCCGGCTTCGATGGAGAAAGCACAGCGATGAGCTTGGACGATATGACGGTGCGGTCCGCCGCGACAGCGCAATCCGATGCCTCTGAGAGCACCACCTCCAGCAACCGTTTAAATGACGCTCTACGACAGGCCGCTCGAGAGGCAGGAACACAAAGCTTCGATGATGATGAGGATGGGGACATGTCGATGGAAATTGCCGACCAAGAAATAACCGGAGCGTTTCAACCCTGGATCAAGAAGGGGGAGAGACAAAGCTTTGACTGGGAAGACATAAGCGCCCGCCACGATCAGGAAAATGTCGAACCGGCCAAGCCAGCCGTGGAAGATACCGCGTTCGACGATGCGGTTAGTGAGATGGGAGAAGATGATCTCAGTATGGAAGTTACAAACGCTATTGGGGGCATTCTCTCCAAGTCACCTGGTCGGCGTCAGACTGTCGCTCGTCGCAAGTCCACATCTGAGGAGACTAGCTACGACGAACAGACGATGGAGCTCACCAACGTGGTGGGGGGTATTGCACATGCCCCTTCTCCTGCAAAATCTGTCGGGGCTGAAAGCAATAATGAAGACGAGGAGATGACTATGGAGTTTACTTCTGTTGTTGGTGGAGTGCTGAAGAAATTTGCTCCTGGCTATAATGCCAACGAGGAAAATAACGACCAGCCAGAATCTGCCGATGGAGAAGTCCAAGGGCAGAACCTGTCTGAATGGGAGAATGACGACGACGCCATGGAAGAAGGCGCAGAAATGGAGATAACTGGGGCTGTTGGCGGTATCCTTCCAGCAGCTGAAGAGCCAAATGACCTGCCGCAGGAAGAAGAAGGAGGCAATGATGCTGACGCTGATGCTGTTGATGACGACGACCAGACCGCCGGTATGGAAATTACCACAGCGATGGGCCAAATCTTGCCTCCTGAAATGGAAGTCGGGGACAAGGATCAAGCGAAAAAAGTGATGGGAATGGAATCCGACGCCGGTCAACTGAATAGCTCTCCCTTGCAAGGAGGCGTGCGACAGTCTCCCGCCAGATCCCCCGTCTCTTTTCACGTCGCTGCTGTTGCCTCAGAGAGTGGTAGCCCTAGTTTGGCAAGTGTACGCTCTCGACGCACGAGACAGAGCTTGAGCTTTGGGGCACCAAATGCGCCTATTGCTCAAACGCCTGAGATGCCACCATCAGAGTCTGTAACGCCCCCCAAACAGTTGACGCCGCAAGTCAGTCGCCCAGAGACCCCCGGCAAAACTCCACCATCAAGCAATAGGAAGTTTCATAGTGCATCTCCCAAGAAGTTGTTCCAACCCGAGCTTCAGGAGTCAGCTAGCAAACCAAAATCACCTGGCCGCAAAAGTCTGTTTGGTGCCAGTGCAACGGGAGAATCCACGCCTCTCTTCATTCTTCAGCCTCATGGAAAGAGACATTCGTCCGGGCTTGGGATCGACAAAGAAGGGCTTGGATCTCCCCGAGTGGCGGCTATGTTGGACAAGCGTCGATCAATCGGTGACGAAGCCTCGGAGTTCGTTCCCCAGAAACAACCGCAGCAGGGAGTGCGCTTCGAAGATCCTGTGAAGCTCCACGAAGAAGTTGATCGCGAGCGCGAGGAAGAGGAGGACCGAGAGGACGGTCACATTCCACCTCTCCAAGACGCCACAGCCAGCTTGAAAGATATGATTTCAAGCCTCACGCCGAAGAAAAACAAACTCAAAGGCCGTAAAAGTCTACATGTCGGTGCAGCTCGTGGTCTTCTTGGCAAGCGACCCGCAGAGCTGGATCAAGACGATGAGGAGCTGGACAATACTCCTAAACGTTTGAGGAGTGCTCAAGCCAGCCCGGTTAAGAGTATCAAACTTCCTGCGCCTCCGACGAAGGATGAGACCGTGGGCCGTCGGTCGCCTCGGAAGACCATTGGCACATCAACGCCCTCCAAGTCGCCTTTGAAGACGACTACGACGCCTACACACGAACCACAGAACGATCGAGCCGTTGAGGATCATGCGGAAGTTGCTACGCCGCGTTCTGAGCCGGCAGACGACACTACTGCCGAAGATCCAGAACCAGAGTTCGACCCTATCCAGCTGCAGGACTTTTTGAACATGACCAACATTCATTTCATGGAGCTGGACACCACGAAAAGACGCCACACGATTGCTCCTGATAGTGCCCGTAAACGAGCGGCTAGACTTTCCAGCGACGGTGATCGGTCCAGCGCTGCCAATTTTGAGGACTGCGTTGCTGCCGGTATCTGCACCGTGCCTATGCTGGAGTTGTATCAGCATGTAAGTTCTACCATGTTTGATGAATTAAATGAATGCTAACATGGTCTCTAGTCGTGTCGGGAATTGAAATCGTACATCTCGGAGGGCAGGCAGGTCATTCGCTCCATCGAGACGGAGACCTTTGCCGACAATCCACCCCTTTTCCGGGAGTACATGACGGCGGCTCCTGATATCCGTCTACTGATGGATAACCAGTTCCGAAACGTGAAGACTCATGCTCGACTTCTGAGCAAAGCTACGTGGTATGAGTGGCGGATGAAATTGCTTGAGGGCTTGAAAGAGGGCCTGAACGGCCACATCGAAGAACTGAAGGCCGATGAAGATCGTCTGTCGAAACACGAGACGATCCTGAATGATGTCGTACCCGCGCTTACCGAGAAGCATGCTGCCCTCGAGGGCGAGGCTACGACCCTGCAGCAATTGGCCGACGAGATGGAGAACTGTGACCAGGATGAGCTGCGTGGTGCCCGAGAAAAGCTCTCCACGATTGAGGAAGAGATTGAAGAGAAGAAAAAGCAACTGAGACAGATGCAAGCTGAGGTTCAAGAGAAGACTCATACGCTTGAAACCGGTACGGAGCGTAAGGCTGAGTTTGTGGCTCAGATCGAAGAAGCGGAGAGGGTCAAGGCCGAATGTCGCGGATGGAGTGCGAAGGAGATCAGCGCACTGAAAGGTAAGTTTACCTAGAACGATGTATTGGACGACTTGCTAATTGTCTCAGACTCGGTACACAAGATCGAGCGCCAAACAGGCTGGTCGATTGTCTCCGCGACATCGTCTTCCTCCACGCCACCAGGTCCGGTGGTCACAATGTCATATCGCGCACAGCTCGATCTTACCTTCCACCCCGGCGCCTTCTACAACGCCAACGACGTCGAACAATCCTCGTCCGAATCTGACGAGAAAATGGGTGCCCCCATTGAATTGAAGTATCATCCTCGCAACGGCGCCAAGGCCGCAACTCAACCGTCCAAGCTCTCGTCCATCGCATTGCTCGTTTTGAAATCCCTCCAAAACCACATTGCCAGCCTCAGCCAGCCCAAAGTCGCACCAAAGCACCTCCTCCGCTTCATCTCTGAGGCATGGGACCTCATGCTCAATCTCGAAGAAGAGGCCCGCATGCTAGAATTCTGTGGCGTCACGAAACTCAAACTGTCCGAGTCCGACGACCAACCCTCCCTGCGGGCCCGATGCACCCTCCTCCAGTCGCTCCCCGCCGGATCCAAATCGAAGGCCTCGACAGCATCGGGACCTCGGAGAATCGACGTCGACTTCGCGGTCAAGACGCGCGTGATCTCCCCTCCCGACTCTGCACCCCCCGGGTCCGTCGGCGTCCTCGATTTCGAGACCAACGTCCTCGCCAGCAAGGTCTACGGTTTCCAGAAGGAGAGCGGCATGTCCGAGTCGGAAATGCAAAAATTTCTATCTAAGGAACTCGGTGCCAAGGGTTCTGGGCTTCAGCTTGGCGGCGGGGTCTGGAGTAAAGCCGTTCAGATGCTTACCGGGACGGTCTTTTAGTGAGACACTTCTATCTTGGGACTTCAGTATTCAAGATAAAGCTTTATGTTATGGAAAGGGAAAGGATTCGGAGTCGGAAACCGGGACGGAGTTTCTAGGGACTAGGGGTTTCTTTTCTTCTCTCCCCAAGTTGTTTATATTTTTTTCTTCATGAATTAACCGGGTTATTTGTTTTGGGGTACGGGAGGAGTCAATGAGTGGGATTAGGGTTGTGAGTTTGAGTCGTGTCATACAAATGTTGACTATGGTCATTGCTTGTCTGGGATTTTATTAATTAGCGCGTGCTTGTTTGTGAATTTGCTTCATGGATATTTGTTTATTGTACAGATAATTGAAATGAGATTCCATATTATATTCCAATTGAAGAACCGCGGCCTTTCATGATGTTGCCTACATCACAGGCACAAACGACGAAATGCTTGGTAGCTTGCCTCCGACATCCAAACGCCTACGCATCCGATTCCGAAACCTCTTCGACAATGTGGGCTACACGAACATCAAGCCCGGGATGGGTGAAAGTAGGTACAATAACCTCATCACCCACCGATGCACCATCGGGGAAAAAGACGACTTCGCCAGTGCTGAGGCGGTAGTGGCCAGCATTATCATCTTCTCCTTCCCTATTATCAGCACCCTCCTCACCGTTATTGACATCTTCTTTCCTCTCATCCACATCTTCATCGTTACCGACACCTTCCTCGCGCTCCGCTGGTCCAACCTCGGTATGTTCGTCTCCCTCATCCTTGCGATTTGCCCTCTGCTCAAGACCATACTGCTCCTTCGCGTCAACAAAACCCAAGTCCATGAGACTAAAACTCGACAGCAACAGCGGCGCCTCGTCAAGGGGCATGAAGAATTTGTCCATCGGCCGCACCTCCGGATCTAGAAGACCGTCCTCATTCTCCTCAGCAGTGGTATCGTCCAGGAACACACAGAGCAGGCCTTCGGTGGCCCAGTTCCGCGTCGTGACCACGAGGAATGCCGACGGATACCAGCCTAGGGTTCCCTTGGCTATTCCGCCGGAGCAGGGAGTGATTTCCTTGTCCAAGTCGACATGGGCTTGCACGACGTCTTTGAGCGTCTGGCCGGCGAAGTTGTAGGTATCTGGGGTGCGAACTAGCGGCGTTTCGCTACCATAATCAAAATGTTCTTTATTAAGGAGGGTTACAAGATCTGAGAGATTGCCAGGTGGAAGATCGATGAGGGTGTAAAGAGCAAAGGCAGCCAGGTCCCAGCTGTATTCGCTGTAACGGCAGAGAGCGGGACAGGTGGCGGGGAGGGACAGGTCAAGAGACATGACGTTTTCTTGACTTGATGTCTCTTCAGATGATCGGTGCCTTTTCGTGGGTTTCAACTGCAGTCGGCCAAATGTTCGAGTTGGTGGTTGGAGGGGTTAGAAGAGGTGACCAGGAAAAGAGAATGGTCAGGCGGTAACGTTGTATGGGGCCGAGGCTGTACAGTCGGATCTGTTGGACCGAAATAGCACATCGCATTCACTTCTAGGCTGCACAACCATCTTGTAACATCTCATCTATTTGAAAGAAGTGGATTCATTCATTTGATCATCCTCTGCAGCCCGAATACCATCTGGTCGTCGTACGAGGACCAATATCTCTGACATATCCATTCTGGCTTACCTTCTACCCAAAGTCTTTCCATAGCCCTCTGTAGAATAACCACAATTGGCTGGGCTGTCATCTTGAGCAGGGTCATGTTGGAAAAGGAGCTTTCCCTTCGGTGAGGCCGTGCTCTTACCTCCACTGCGAGTGTTCTACGCCACTGAATCATCATCTCTAATGGAGTATGCACACCGTCTTGAAAACTGTCTGCTTGACTCGGATTGCTCCCAAGCCTGGAATAAGACTCTGAAAGTGCATAACGTATGCATTGTTTACAAGAGAGATGATATCTTCCAGAAACGGGTGTTCGTGTAGTTGATATGGTGAAAGGATCTTTTAGATTTCGTTGTGGAAAACAGCCCGAGAGAGTGAGTGACTACACTCGAGTATATATATATGACTTTTTGGCTCATATAAAAAAGCTCTCCTCTACAAGCCGCATAAGAAGGGAAGATTGCAAGCAAGGACCGCCTTGGCTACTATTGGGTGAGAGTCTGCATTTGGAGGCTTGGGCTAGTTCCAACACTTTCATAGGGGACCTTTAGGAAGGTCGGGCCCGTACTGGTTCCACATACTATATGCCTTTCATAGGGTTTAGCTCCTATCAGGAGTGCCCTGCATGCATTTTTCCCTCGGTAAGGGTTAAGGAGACTGCTCGCATTGGACGTGTACTCTGACGTTCGCCGCAATTCCGCTTCAACACCACAGAGCAATAGGTACAGACACGTCATTTGCAGGGTTTTTGGGGAGTAAATTAGTTAGATAAAAATAGATTGAAATAGAGAAATAGATAAGAGAGAACTTACTGAGTACTAGTTAGAATATAATGTATTGAAGTTACTTATTTAGGGCACTCAGTCTTCCGCTTGCTTTATGCTCAGTGGTAGCCTCCTAGGGTGTGTTTAGGGCGTGCTTAGGTCTATCTAATGAGTAAAATGCAGCGAGGGGTTAGCACTGAAACAGAAAGGAAAAGCAGTCGATCTGGCGAGAAAAAAACGTATATCTGTTTTCATAGAGACTCCTTGCACTGATTTTACCGCCTCCCACCAACCATCCCCTAAACGTTATCAAACACGTAAACTAATATCTATACCTACTCTCTACCTATTTTATTCGTGTAAGCTCATGGCTTGCTTATGTATATTGGTACTATGTTTATTTATTGAACACTAGCTGAATACTATATAGGTTGGTTTATTGATTGTTATCATCAGTCATTATACTTTCACAATTTTCTAGTCTCCCGGTTGTCTCGCTTTTGACCGTCCTTTGCATGTCTTCATATGTGACTGCATTCAAGAAAGAATATCCTACGATACACCTAGCACACCAATCCAACCCTAGAACGGATCAAAGAACGGCCCGTAAGACCACATCGGCTGTGCTGGTGCTCCGTACGGTAAGGCTCCTCCCCCTCCAGCCCCTACCCCATCCGGAAACCCGAATCCCATGTTCATGGGCACTTGAGGCGGTGGTTGAGAGTGAGGCATATCTCCAGTCCCGGGTCCAGATCCTGTGGTGGGAACGCCTCCAGGTCCGCTGGCGCTTGTGCCCGGAGGACCGAAGACGCCGCCCCAGAATTGGTTGCCGAGTTCCCAGTCGGCGGTGAGGGGAATTTGCCAGAGGTCTGGGGCCAGGTTGTCGCTGATGGAGAAGGGGAGCATGCTGATATTTTCGAGGGAGGAGGTGGTGGTGGTGTTGTTCGTGGGCTGTTGGGGTGGAGGAGGGATAGAGGTATTGAGTGGGGTGTTGGTGCTGGTGTTGTTGTCTGGAATGTCGCTGAGACTGTCGGGGACGACGTAACCGGAAGAGTTGATGCGTGGAAGACCCTCGAGGTTGGGGATGTTGATGCCGGTTGATGTGGGTGGATAACCGGCGGGAGAAGAGGGCATGGAGGATTGCTCGTCATCGTCCGATTCTGCTGCTGTGGTGTCAAACACTTCACCTGTCGGGAGCGACCGCTGGCCCGAGTGATCTTTCTCGCCGGGTTTAGCGGTTCTCTGTTCTCGGTCAAGTACCATGCGAGCGATTCTATCGAAATTGGCGCACATTCGCGTCATGAACCGTGCGTAGGTGCAGGGTCTGTCGCCGGGAATGAGCGTTGCGAAAAAGGTGGCGGCCATGTTCAAGGATTTAAGGTCTTCCTTGTTGTCGGGGTTCTTGGGGTCGCGAAGGATGCTGACGAAGATCGTCATGACTGCGAGGAAGATGTAGTATAGTAGAGACCTGAGATGGTATTAGTAAATACAATTCCAAGGGCATCGACGTCGTGACGTACCATATCCATGCCACGTCGCCCCATGGTAGGTTGTTCACCAGCTTCAATGTGTCTCGGGCAGCTTGGGCGCAAATTACGGTCGAGGCAGACGCCTGACTCAAAATGATCATGGAATCTGGCTGTACTCGACCTCCGCTTGCGAGTCGGTGCATGTAGGCGAAGTGGATGACGAGAGGCAGACGATGGATCATGATTAGGCAATTATAATAGACGAATTGCAGACCGGCACAAGCGAATCCCATTAGAAAATCATCGCCTGATCCACGTTGTTTCAAGTTCTGTTGAATGAATGGGTCTGCGCGCTTCCATTCTTCCAGCTCGGCGTGCAGTTCACGAACCATTTCGCAAATCTCCGTCGGAGATTTGTTATGGAGCGCCTTAGCGGCGTAAAGCTTGGAGTATATCCGGCTCTTGATCACAGTCATATGGCATAATTGGCGGAAGAAAGACAAATTATTAAACGAGATGAACCTGTCTTCGGCGGTTTCTGCAGGGAATCCCACGTCATAATCATCAGGATGTTGAGCCGGTGCGCTGCCCACACGTATACAAGAGCTACATTATATCAATTAGTCGTTCTATTGCTAGCACTACCAACAGGTCCAGGGACAAGGATTGACTCACCTTTGGTCAAGAATGTATGCAATCCAAAACACCCTCTTTCTTTGCTCTTGCTCAACCGCCGACAAATGAGGTCTCGGAAGGTCACGGTGGAGCCCCATCCTTTGACACGATCTGAGAGCAGCTGTGATCGTCGGAAGAGCGGACTGAGTGCCAGAGTTACCGCGGAGAAAAAGTGCCATGCCCAGAAGGGCTTGCACACTCAGCAAGTCGGTTCGTCGCAAGGTCAACTCGGCAAACACCGACATGGCATTTTTGTAGTACAGCCAAGCTTTTTCGCGATCTTTTTCGGACTTTTGGCTGTTGGAGAATCGATACTCATAAGCCAATGAGAGAATGATATTGATGCTGGCCCACCGGGCTGCGTCGTCACACGTTTGCTGCGTATACTGCCATTCGACCAACTGCATGAACGATTCTTCATGATACAACGGAAATAAGCGGTTGACGGTGCGAAAATAGTCTCCTAACAAGGAGAACACTTCTGCTCTGGGCGGTAACGGTTTGAAAACCTTGGATGAAAACACGTCGTGGAAAACATCCGGGCGCCAGTAGTTCCAGGGACTATCATGATTCGTGTTGGAAAAGATGGGAGCGAGAACTGCGGCTCCGCCTGTTTTATTCTTGATCCACTCAATGCCATCGCGGGATAATATTGACAAGGAAGAGCTCCGTCCTGATGGTAAATGATTAGTGGACTGTAATTCCTCGGGACACTCTGGACAAGGTACCGTAGTATCGAGAATCCTCCTTCGAGTCCCCTCTGATAGGCGGACAGCACTGCTGGGAGTTAGTGCAAGGATGCGCACGCTTTTTGCCTTTCTTGGGCGCGGCAGCTGGATTTAATGAGCAGAATGGCTTGACAGGACCGGGCGTTGTGCAGGATATAGACATTGGATCCCGATCCCCTGGTATATAAGCTGGATGTCTTGTGCCTTCATCTCCTGTCAACTCATCCGGACTGCGCCCACTATCATTAGGGTAGTCCGGATCAGTGCCGACGTCACTCTCTTCGTCTGACTGTTCTTCGTCGTCGTCATCATCGCTGATGTCGTCGTAGCCTATAGCTTCTTCGTCCAGGAGACCCGCGGCTATGAGCAACGACTCCGTCTTCTTTAGTCGTTCCTCCAAGGTCTTCACGTAGTGCGTTCTGACGAATGATTTAGTAAACAGTTGCCTCCTCTGAATGGTCTATCAACAGAAGGATACCTTTTCAGATTCTCTTGCTTTTCTTTTCTCGTAGTGAATTTGCACGTTACGTTACGACGCATACATTGGATACAGGACGTGTTGTTGCCCTCGACTATGCATTTGATCTTTTTCTTGTAACAGGTCTCGCATGCCTAGGAAACGAGGTTTACTAAAGTGCCTCTGTAAACACAGTCAGGAAGTCATCAGTCTTACCAGTGGGTTACGTCTCCGGTTTGGAGTCTCTTGTCCGTTATAATTGGATCTAGTACTCTTTGATGCAGTGGACTGGTCACCTAGAGGCGGAAAAGACGCCATCGCTCTAGCGCCCAGCGCCGAATGCTGCATAACGGTTCCGTTCTGCTTCAAGGCACCGTGGCAGAGGCTGGAGGACAGCAAATGCAGAGGAAGAGACCCCCGTGCCAAAGAACGAGGCAAATGAGGCTAAGAAAGCATACGGGGGGTGGGAATTAGTGATGACCGGTCGCGGCGATGACGCTGATCGGGGAGACGAGGGCAGCGATGAAACAAATCAGAGGACAAAACAGAAAAAGCCCCGAGCGGAGACTGGGCTTAGCTAGCAGGCAGGCCCGAGAGGAGAAAAAGATGAAGTTGCGGAGGAGCGCACAAAGCAGGCGAATGACAGCGCCACACGGATCGACTGGCAAAAGTCCGGCTCCATCGATTTGTTGGGAACGGTCGGCGATCTCTGCTTGTAGGAAGTGAATCCCACAAAGTACGAACTGATGAACAAGAGAAAAATCAGAGCAAAGAGATAAGATAATACCTTTTTCTCCTTTCTTTTTCTCTTCTGTCCCCGTTTCACCTTTTTTCTTTTTTTTCTGGGCGGACAACCGAGGGTCCAGAGCCATTATTAATGCGCGTCCCCTGGCAATCAGTCGGAAGTCGGCATCGATGACTTCCGTCCGGTACGATGGGGCCCCGATGGATCGACAACTTCAAGTATCGAGTATCAAGTATCAACGTCCTTTGCTCGACTTGTCGTTCATCTGAACTACTTCCCATTACATTCGGGGCTATAAGTTTCCTGTACCTGTTTGGCATGTACGCACATCCATGCTTCTCGCCGCTGGTCCGGTTCCTTTCTTGTCCCGAGCAATACGATAGCCCTGGCGGGCCGTAAATCCCCTAAATGAACTTGGCAACAATCCGATAGATGTGGGATGAATCAGGAGCGACCGAACAAATATGCTCCTCCACGAAACAGAATCAACCACAGGCGCGATGGAGTTTGTTCATGTAACCGATCCGCGATGTGGATGACGGAAAGCGCTTCTGGTGACCTGCGGGCTGTAAAGTGATTGTTTGACGTGGTTGAACTTCAGTACAAGGCTTCTTGTCCAAAAGACAGAACTCTTGTCATATTCCAATACCCATGGCCTCTGTCGAGTATATCATTCCCTTGCCCCGATCGCAGTTCTGAGCCTTGACGCCGCGACAAAGCATTGTGCCAGGAGTCCTTGCGTGCAAAGCATATAGGTTCATATTTCTGATTCTGTTATGCGAATGCCGCAATGAGCGACAAGCGAACCGTGCAAATACAGTCACGATGCGATGAGGGTTCGGTGGGTACGGACTGATTTTAAACCGGGGTTCGTCGTTCTTCCAAAAGTACGGTTCTGCGGGATAAGCGTTAAATATGAACAGCATACCACGGTCAAGAGGAGACAACTCACAATGTCAGAGCGCTTCAGAAAGAACAAGTATTGCTTTGGTGTTAGTCTGATGGTTCGGATTAGCGTCAGGTGAGCAAGAAATTTTCGGATGATCCCCGCTTGTTCTCCAAAAAAGAGAACATCTCTCTCCCGGTGTTCAGAGCGCAATCTGTGCAGCGGGTGCATGAGAAAGGAAAGCGAGGACGTTTATCTCTCATCGTTAGGGAAAGAACGTTATCACATTCCTGGGCATAAAGTGCGAGCCGGAGCGCATTGATTGACGTCTGGTCACGGGTGTCCCTTGCATTGGAATGCCTGGATTCTCAGGCTGCTCTCACGCAATTCGGACTTCTTCGCACCTCAAGGAGCTGGCTGGAATCACACCATCCAGGCAGTTCCTGCTCTCATCACAATCGGTTGGCTGACCAGCATACACATAGGTGTAGTAACAGCATGTCCCGATCAGCCGACAAGTCATGCTATAAGAGACAAGAGATTCGTTCATTTCTTTTTCTCGCTCAGGCCGGGTCGCCAGGCATCGTGAATTGCCACTACCGAATAACAGGGGTCGGCACGAGCGTCACACGAGACAAATCCTGCGTCGTGTTCGTTCCTCCCACCACCTACATCAGGCATCCTGCAGACGGACACCGGGGCTGTCTGACCAACAGTCTACCTAGGTAGCATCGTCAGGCGCGGTCACAAGAATGGTTCTATGACACGGATACCAACCATATTATCCGAAGCCGCCACTCCATTCGGTAGACATCCGATTTCGCTAATTACCTGCTTTCCCCTGCTTTGAGGGATGCCGATTTGCGAGAGGCGCGGCCGGGTAATTTGCCACGACTTTTGATATTTGGTAATAGAATCCTCGACGTCCGACGGTCGAGGAGCGAGAACAAGGCTTTCGTAGACCGAGACCGAATCATGGTCGAGAATTTACCAAGCCGGCTAGGAGATGAAGTGGGTAAGATAGTTGCACCAGACGGCCAGGGAGAGCAATGGCGGCCGAGAGTCCCATGTAGTATCGATCAATAGCTCATCCACAGTTCAGGCTACGGAGTACTCCGTCGAGACCTGAGACTTGAGAGTCGGGGCAGACCCAGCACGAGATCATGAGTGGGACGAACAAGGCTGTCAAGTGTCAAGCCAATGCTCATCGGGATCGAAGTTTTAAGTATGTCTGTGACTGCGGACTGCACGCCATAGGGAGATTTCGGGAACGGACACGGTTACGGATCAAGACGAATCCTTTTCGCCTTTGGGTTTCCAGCGCCATCTTCGGTAACCGCGTGTGGTTCGTGACACTCCGGACTTTGTATGGATGGCATTGTTGTTCCTGAGTCAGTTGAATCCTCCAGGGGCAAACATTGGATGAAAGCGATTGAAAGACACGTAAAAAAGAAGGGGAAAAAAGGAACAGGTATCCGAAAGCTGGCCCTCGTTCGCAGACAGCGGGATAGGGGGAATTAAAAGCAGACTCCTTGAGGCACGGTGTAGATAGTCTACAGTCCAGAAGTGTAGGCAAAGTATGGTCTGTAGATAACGATGCCAAGCTTTGCCGAGTGATTGCTTCACGGCTCCGATGCACAATGCTCTCGGGGGCTGACCATGGGCAGTTGACAACTTGACAGTGACCACGACGATCGGGGAGACCGCGTCATTGTTCCTGTCGGCGGAAGTGCGATGAAACCGCCCGAGGAGACCCGGCCAGGGCTCGACCATCAACGACGAGGGCGATGGCAGCCGGTGGAGCCAAACACTTTCCCGGTTGAGAATCTGATATTGATCGCGGACCGACCAGTGCAGTTAGTCTCCAACGGACTGTTCCGCTAGACCCAAGACGAAGAATTCCGGGCGAGAATGCAGAGGGTGAGTGGGTTTAATTTAGTTTTAGTTTTTAGTTGTTTAGCCCTTTAGATCGTGCGGTCGAGGTTATCTTAGACAGTAGACAGACAGGAGTAGAAGACAGATGGACAGGGAAAGAAATACCGAAGAGGTACCGACGCGGTACCTCGAGAGGAGCGGGCGCAGTCAGAGCGACGCAAGTATTGGCAGGTACCGCCGCCCCCCCTTTTTGTCTGATGACAAACCCCACTACGAGAAGATGACGATGCCGCGCGGGATCAAGACGAGCAGCGTACAATCGTCGCTTCCCATTCGATCGGCCACGTTTAAAAACCAGCAGACCGGACAGTCTTGTTTTCCGATCGGAATCCATTATTCTCTTCCTTCCTCTCTTCTCTTCTCCCAGAACCACCACTACAGTTCTACAGTTCTACAGTCTACACAGGACAATCTCATCGAAGAGTATACAAACTGCCAAAGCGGTGAAGCTGTTCCGAGGCAGCGACGGACGAACCAGAAGTCGCGATCACGACATTTCTCCATTCTATCAGATCATCCGCTAAAGTTGGTAGTCTTTGGATCGCCTCTCGAACAAAACTGCCTCGCTGTTGCTGATTCCATCCCCAGCTCCCTTGTCGTTGGTCCTGTCTTTCCCCCCCTCGAATCCATTTGGATTCGATTGTCGAATAATTCCTGGATCTTGTCCCGTCCCCAAATTAATTCTGGTATTGTTATTTCGATTTTTCCAAATACTATCCTGCTTGATTAATTTTCATTACGGATTCGCATGATTCTGCGTAATTCCTATCGTGTCTCTTCTCGTCCCTTTCTCTCTTTTAATTGACTCGTGCTCTCTCGCTCGTCTCTCTTAGGCGTACGTGGCTGACCCTCCCGCGTTATGCGACTTGTCGAGTGAAGGCACTCCCGATATCCTGACCACCTTCCATCCACCTTTCTCAATTCTACCCTCTCTTGCATCTCGTGTATCAATTCGCGACTGGTTTGCCCCTCTCGCCTGCACCTTTCATACGCCTCGTTCCCTGATCCTCCCCTCCCACTGATCTGGGGTTTGACCGGTCCGAGTGGATTCCCGTCGGTGGCATCATCTACTCCCGGTTCTTGCGTCTTTGCCTCTAAAGCAAGAAAGGCAAAGAACGTTTAAAAAATAAGACGCCCACACCAATCGTGCGTTCCCAATTTTTAGAGAGGTAATTTTAAATCGGATCTGAGAGGGAAAAAAAAAGAAAAGGGCAGAAAAAACAAAATTATTACGAACTTGTTCAAAAGAGGGAAAAAATAAGAGGTTGAAATTAAAAAAAAACCGAGATTTAAAAAAAAAAAAAAAAACAAGAGACGAGGCCAGAGAAAAAGAGGAGCAGCGCAGCTTTTAGACGCAGCTCTAAAATCCTCCTCGCAGCCAATATGTCAGATGAGCAAATCGCTCGTCAGGCTGCCTCCAGCTTCGATAGGCTCGAGAATTTCAACTTCCTTCTCTCTCGACACGATCCCGCCGTGGCTAAGAGTCGTCAGTACTCCTTCGACGCCGATTCTGCTGGCCTGGCACCGCCGCTCCAGAATTTGAATATGGACTACGATCAGACTGAGGGAATGGGCGGTCTGTCCGTCAGTTCCTACGATAGCATCGACGACGAACGCAGCCCGATCGATGTGAGAGGGTACCCGTATGGTAAGTCTGAGCTTTTTCTTTTTCTGTCCGTGCCTGTTTTTCTGTTTTTGGATCTTGTGAATGTATGAGCCGGAACGTTGCATCGTTTGCGCCATCTATCTGCCCTCTGGTTCGCGTGGCCTCAATTAGAGCGATGATGAGAGAGAGCTGTCGGATTGCTCGCATCGACTCGGCAGCGCGCCTCCATCTCGGGATTTTCTGGGGAAAAAGGCCCTTTTTATTCTTGACCGATGTTCTTGGGGAACTGTCCAGCTGGCCCTGGTGGAATCTTGGCTCTCTCCATATCCCTTCTGTAACCGCGCCGCGCCGTGGGCGTTGACTTGCTGTTTCCCTTTCCCACCCCGGTCTCCCAGGGGAGTTCATTTCCCAATCCGTGAATCCCCCAGGTATGCCCATATTCTTGTGATTCCGCTGGATTCTGGTGTCATTCTTCTTGACTTTCTGTCGGTCCTGGTTGGCTCCCCCGGGGTTCGGTGGTATTTCGAGAGAGCCTGAGCACGCAATCCCTCACGCCAATGACAACGTCGGAAACCTTGTCTTTGTCGGTCCCTTATCCGCGCATCTGCCATCGTGATCCTCATTCAAGGGTTCGATCGCCCCCTTTAATACCGCTTTGCCCGATACGATTTGCTTTTCCCCTTCCACCTTATCTTCTTCTTCTTCTTCCTTGGCTTTTGAGGCGTTGCGTTCCAAACTCTCTCTCTCTCCAACTCCGTCCTTACCCCAGTTTACTTACTGTGAACCTTCTATCAGCAACCGGGGACAAGTCTATCAACTACTCCATACCGGACCAAATGTTGTCCTATTCTGCTCATCCGATCTATCCGCCCATCTCATATGGCCCCCCTGATGACCTGGGTCATGCCCCGGGGGCCCTGACGCCCTCGGATGTCTCGTCCTCGATATCCCCGCCGAATGGTCAAATCGGCAACACCAAATATAGCACGCAATTATCCGGCGATCATATCGTCTCCGCTCTAGGTCAGGAAGAGCATGTCCGTCGCGCCGCCGAAGAGGACCGACGACGCCGGAACACCGCCGCCAGTGCGCGGTTCCGCATGAAGAAGAAGCAACGCGAACAGACGCTCGAACGCACGGTGCGAGAAACCACCGAGAAGAACGCCAGCCTGGAGGCCCGCGTGGCCCAACTCGAGATGGAAAACCGATGGTTGAAGAACCTTTTGACCGAAAAACACGACACCTCGTCTAGTCGGATGCCACCTCCCGAGACGCCCTCGAATCAAAAGAACAACTCCGCCGGAAGCGGGCAAAAACATATCCAGCCAAAAAAGAAGGGCGTGGGTACCGACAACTAGGAACCAAAGCAAAGCTATTTGATTTATTCTCTATCATATTGAAATTTGTTCAACTTATCTGCCTGCATCACAATGTTACTCATCAGACACGCTTTGAGTTTTCTTATCTTTTCGAGTGAGGCTTATATATCGGGGTTCGTTCTTGTTATCGGGGTTTCATATGGTTATGGTTTCTAGTCCAGTTTCTCTTTGTTTTCGCATCATCTATCTGTCTTTATATGCTCTCTCACCTCGGAGTGATTTGATCCATCCACCTACTCGATGGAGACACGTGACGATGTAATGACCTTTGTCTTTTCCGTTTGATTGTTTTGTTTTTTTTACTGCAAGTGCCAGTATGAATTGCGCGGATCCATCAGTTATATATTCAGGGTTCCCTTGATTGATTGACTCGTTACATGTTTATGTTAATCCCTGCAGGCCAGTGGCTTGGTTGTTTGGCGGGAAGACCTTTCTTCGATCCGGAAAGGAGAGGGACTTGTAGCCCGCAGGAGTATGGAAGGATGGGAATGGAATGAATGATTTGGTTTGATTTGATGGGCTTAATGTTCGTGGAGTTGACGAGATCGTGTTTGTAGTTTCTTCTCCAATCCAGTTTATCTAAACGATTTTTTCTATTGATAAGCCAAATATTCCCACCTACAACGCAAGGTACTATGTAAAAAGGTATATCCTCAGACTCTACCTAAGAGTCGATACCCCAGAGAGAAAGAGCGGCCCGAACATGGGAAGTAAAAAGACCTCGGGCCAAGCAACCCGTAAGAAAAAGCGAAAGGAAAGGAGAGAAAAAGTGGAGGAGCCACCAAATCCGGGGAATCACGTCTTCGTCGCACCCGCTGACATCACCCGGTTATTCGAGGTTAAGTTCGGTCCGGACTGGGAAAGGATCGTCTTCCTGATGTTGATTACAACCGTACTTTTTATTTTATTTTATTTATTTTTTTTGCCTGCGTCCCGAGGAGATGGTTGGTTGTTGGGTGTTTTTGATAGTGGAGGGGTGGAGTTCGGAGTTGGGTTCGGGTTTTCTAGAGTATAAGTTAGTACTGTTATGTATGTTGATGTTGTGGTGCTGGGTTTGTTTTACGGAGTATTGGGGTGGAGTTCGGAGTTGGGGGGGTTTCTTTTTCTTCTTGTAGGTATTCCCCTAGGTGCTCCGTAAAGTATATCTGATTTATGATTTATGTATGTACTACATCTAGACAACGAATGCTGCACCTAGATACAACCATATAACACAACTAACTCATTCGTTTCTAAGCCATTCAACTAAGTCCCAGAGTTAATGGTAAGAATTGGATCCCTTCTGAATAGTCACGGTCATTTACCTAGGGGTTGAATCTAGGACTAAAGGTAACCAGCTAAGGCTCTATCACTTTGTAGGTACTTTTGTATCAATTTTCTCATGAGGTCATGGTTGTTTTAGTCTAGGCGATGGTAAGCTTGACGACTTGCATTGTTGGCTTGGGGAGGTGGTTGGGCCTTCTTTTTATCTCGTTTTGTGGTTGTTTCCCCGAAGAGAATGGTTATCTATATCGTCCCATGTTTCTTTGGACATGGATGATAGGACTAAACTTGCATATTCCCTAGTTCGATCCAATCCCATTGAAAAGCAGGATGGTTAAAAGGGGCCTGAACCCATGTAACTGCGCTGTATAAGCAGAATACCTGAGAAGACAGCATGGAGATGGTTGATGCCTTGTCAGGCCTTGAATAGCTCAGAATCCAGCAAATCGACTACCTACGATATACATACATACTAGAAATCAGGTCTCAATTCATATCAACCCTAACCAAACGGTAATTGATACCTATTGTTATCCAGAATAGCAGCATGTAATATACCTATACCCAAGTGAGCAACCAACAAAAACCAGACCTTCCTTCCTTCCTTCCATCCTTTTCTTGGTATGTTGAATACCATCACTCACCAAATCGACGCAACCAGACTCCCGTTCTTTACCTACTTACATCCGCACCGCCCTCCGCAGCTTCGCAGCAGGGCATGTCGGCTGAATAGCATTGAAATCGCCCGATTCAGCCCAGATGGATTGCGGGTTCCCGCAGACGGCAGCTCGTACGCGATAGGGACTGTATAGAGTAAGTCATTTTATCCCTGCGATTAGCATCCTGTCCTGTCCTGCTCTCTGTCCTAACTATGAAATAGAGGAGCGGGTAAAAGGAGAAGGAAACGTACGTCGTTCGAAAATCCGGATAACATTTCCCGGGAATCGTCACGCAGCCGTCGTTCTTGCCGACGGGCTGCTCGTTAAGCAGAGGGAAGATCTGGGGAGATGGCTGGTGGAAGTTGGTGAGGTAGAGGCAGAAGGTGGCTGGGTCGGTGCTTTATTTGGTAGAGAATAGGGTTGTTAGATAGATAGATGGATATGGATGGTATGGTTGACATTTGATGTATCAGGTGGGGGGTTCTTTACTCGACTGCAGTCCAGCATACTTCCCAGTTCTTGGAGACGTCGACGGTATCGCCGGTTTTGGGCTTCGTGATTAAGACGGCCTGGGCGGTTGCCAGGAGAGTGGCGATGGCGATGGGGATGAGATGCATTTTGAGAAGATCTTTCTCTTTATAAAGTACGGAGCAGGAGTTCAGCTTGGGGGTGCTAATGATAGGTTTGAGTGTAGTGCAAGAGAGGAGCTTTGAGTAATAGAGGATCGAGGGGAATGAAGGCGCTTCTTATACCCATCCTCTACTGCTGAGTCTGCTGAGCTCTCTTTTGCTTTTGCTTATACCATAGCATAGGAACTTTCACATCCGGTCGTACGAAGATAGTCACTCGCGACTGAAAACGAGCCGTCTAGTTCCAGTTGAAGAAGGAGATCGAAGTCCAGAAGCAAAACACAGCACGCCTAACTCAACTATAGGCCAATCATGACCCCCACACCGACCGGTTTACGTATATCCCCTATTCCCTATCCCCGAGACACGATGCTATACGAACCGGTTGGGATGATGGGGTTGACGATAGGCGAGGGAATTCCGTCTTCGCTGACGGGCTATGAGCTTCTAATCGTTGCCATGAGCTTTGTTTATTTGATGATTGGGTCATCACCTTACGAGATGGGGGCTTGGGGGTTTCCCCTTGCTTGGTTTGGATGTCTTCTTTCCGACGTGGATAGGTAGTAGTAGGGATGCAAGGGTCGTGTCATCGGACTGGACGTTTATGGTTCTAGGCCCGCTCCCCGATTCCTCTGCCTTTGGTGGAGCGTAATCGAGAGATTGTATATGGCGGTATTGGGGAGATGCCAACACACAATAGATGTATATTTCAAAATATGCATGCAAGCACCGTCAAGTGATTTCTGTCGAAGACACTCACCTCAAATCTGATAAAGATGGTTATGCATAGTTGCACTAATCTCTAAGACTTAGCAGTTACCCAAAATACCTACCACTGTAGTTCATACACATACTGAGGTTTCAATCTCACCCACTCCCACTTTATCAGACATAAAACCAATCAGATAATTCTCCGGCGAGAAAAATATCTCGATCTTCTCGCATACTACCAAGGCAACTGCAGTGTTACGGTGTCACAAACCCGGAGCAGCACAGAGAGACCGTGTGAGAGTGAGAAAGAGAAACAAGGTCAAGTGGACCTGCACTTGTACTAGGTGGTGATAGACACTATCCCCTGCAGTATTTGCTTCGTGGCTCGTCCAATGATCCTGATCCTTGTTCTGCATTCTTGAGCATAGTGTCTATCCATGAACTCATAATACTACCCATAAATCCAAGCTAAGCCCTTAGGCGTAGACAGTATCTACTAATTCAACATCCCTGACATTCCCCTAGAGAGGATTTCTAGAATTCTAAATCCTATACCTAAGCCCAAGGCCTAGAACCTGGCCTGACTTCATTCGTAAGGCCTTCGTAAAGCTTCGTCAACGACTCAGCAACTGCTCCAAGGCCTCCCCTTCAATAAGTAAGACACCCCCGGGAGCTGACTAGACAGGGCTTGTCAGCTTCGCGACATCTTTTTCAAGAAGGCTGTAGTTGAGAATATCATGACGTACACATGAATTGATAAGTAGCCAAGCAGAATACATTCATCCGGGGTTCCTATCCCTGCCTCGTATTCTTGTGCAACATACCCCATGACTAGGGCCTCACGTGGAGGCCTTGAATGTATTTCCGTGTGTAGTTGGTTATGTATGTCTTAGATTATCTGTGTCAGCGCCTAGATGTAGGGTACTGATTAGTGAATTATGTGTGGTTGACGGTTAGGTTGGAGAGGTAATATGAGCATTAGCTATGGGGATAAGGGCATATGGGTTTATAGTAAAGGATAGGAATATACCTTGCAACTAGTCACCATACTGGCAAACATACAGTTAGAAGACATCAAGTAACATGTGAGATCATCTACTATCTTGTTGACAACGGAGAATAAAGGCAATGAACATTAATTACTAACCCTACTCCCTACCAATAACAAAAACGCAGTCAAAACAACCAACCAGTAAATATAACCCTCCCAGATCGTGTGGTATTACATTATAACAATTAACCCCGAGAGCCTTCATCACTTCAACTCGACAGAAAGTCCAGATGCATATGAACATGTTCGACATAACAGCCCCTAAGCAGTCCAGTCTGTATGATCATCCAGGCTCATTATTAAGTAAGAGGGGGGGATGGAAACAATTCACGGAATTGCAACAATCAACATGAACTCATGATAAAAACAAAGTCACATTACGACAAGCAGGGATTCCCAATCCCGGAGTATCAGAGCGTGGAAACGAAGAACGTATGAGTTAAGAACCAGAGCATTCTCAAAGTTGAGCCCCTATGTATTTTGTGGCCCTGGTTTTCCTTGCTGTGCGGTCTGATTTTAAACCTGGACAGGCTCACGCTCTTCTTCTCGACCCCGGGGCTCGCCGTCGAGGGTGCTGGTCACTTCCTCGCCATCTTCCACGTCGTGGTAGGTCTGGTGCTGGTCGGCAGGCAACCACGAGTCCCGGTCACCTCTCAGGGGCTGGTCCTGACCCGACAGATCAACGCCTTCTCGGTTCTTGGCGACGTTGTCGCGTTGGCGCTGCGAAAGGGTGCGAGTACGAGTGGACAGGCTGGATTTCACCGAAGCCTTGGAGGTGACCCAGTTGGCCAGGGCCTCTTCGCAGTCCTGGATCACGCCCTTGCTGGCGTCGTATCCGTCGTACGCAGTGCGGGTTTCACCGGGGGTGACGGGGGTGTCGTCGATGAGATCCAAGAGGTGCTTGCCATAACCCGCGATGATGGCCACCTTCTCGGAGTGCTCGCGCAGCGCATCGAACTGGTACTGGAAGGCGGCCTTGAGCTTCTCGCGGGTGATGTTGGAGAGCTGAGCCTCGGCCACAAGCGATTCAGCCTCGGCGCGAACCAGCTCCTGCTCCAGGACCACGATACGGGGCGAGTTGGGGTCCTTGTACTTGAGCTTGGCGATCTCATCGGTGATCTTCTGCTTGCCTATAGTCAAGGTATGAGAAACCAATCTTGAGAATTGAGAACAGGTGAGAACTTACGGTCCCGGCTAGGCTGCACGGACGCCTCAATGTTGCGGATACTTTTGATGGTCACACGGTACTGGTCGTAGCGATCGACGTAGAGGTCCTCCAGCTCTCCGATCTCGTAGAGCAAAACACCAATCTTATCGGTGACATCCGACACGTCCTCGTCGCAGTTCTCACCCCAGATGGAGAGTTGTTGCTGTAATTCCATATCAGCTTCAATTGCATCCGATCCAACCCGATCCGAGGATCATGATCATCCACCTACCGCAGTCTCCATGCGCTCCTTGGCGACCAATTCCATACTGCGCATAACGTTCTTTTCCATCTTCACCAGCTGTGAGAGTTTGCGCGCAAGGTCGGGTCCAAAAGCGCCGGCGGCGTTCTTGCGGAAGGCGTGCCCTGCTTAAGTTCGTTATTATGCTTATCATTACCGACAATTCCGTCGCAATTGCGCTGTAGTCCCCTTGCTGGCGGTCTGGCGGTCGGTCTGGTGTTCAATCGGAATCGGATGGAGCGAAAAGACTTTCAAGCGCACAGAACAAGAAAAAAAAATACTCACCGAAGCCACCCTTGCCCATCCATCGGCCGGTCTTGGTTGTGGACAATGGCGGAGGAGGGTTCTCGATCTGCGAGGCGGTCGGCACGCGCGACTGGCGCATAGAATAGGTACGATGCATGATGAATTCGCGTGGGTAGGGAAATTAGCGATACAGGGGTGCGAGAAGAGCGATAAAAAAAAGTTCGAAAAAAATTAACTCGGAACGTTGGAAATCGGACGAGGCGGAATCTTTGAATTCAAGGGTCTCCTTTGCGCACGAGTGACGTGTACGGGGAACTGCCACGGGATGCGACGGAAGGGCGACACACGAGGGCGGAGCGGATAGGGTGAGGGAGAAGGTGTGGGAAAGAGAAAAAAGAAAGCGAAGAGAGATGAGAAAAGACGAGAGAGCAAAGGGAAGTGCAACCTAAAGTGTGTTTCTCGAGTCGAGAAGAGACCCACGTCGACGGAGGAGGAGAGGAAGAGTTGCAACGGGCGACGCTGGTGACGTCGAGACTCGCCGACACGCTAGTCCCGATGGGGCAGTCACGCTGGCGGCGATGATGAATAATGACGATCGGCCTGATCGTTCAGGCGCAATTGAGCTCGCGGATTGGACGCGAAGAGTTCACACGAGTGATTGAGGAACTTATCGAAGGGGTCTGCAGGGGACCAGCATCTGCCCCACTCGAAGTCTTCATCGCCGTGGTTACTCTTCCATGCTCTGTCTGCTCGTTCTACTGTTCACCGCTAGGGACTCCGGATCTGCGACGTCATCGATAGGTCTCCATTGTGATGTCATCGATTCCCCTGGCCTCGCACAGTTCGGGTCGTCGGTTCAATAATGTCATGACTAGGTACGACTAGGTCGAGGTTGGTTGAAGTTTGAACTCCACGGTCAGGAACGCTTTTTCTTTTTCTTTTTCTCTTTTTCAAATGATAACTAATTCTACTAGGTGTACTACACTCCATCAAGAAACGCTTGGACCATGTGCATGTAGACGTAGGACGGAGAATTGTGAAACCACCCATATCCAATCCTAAATAAAGTACAAGGTCTCTCATGCTCGGGTGATCGACTCTCCGCTTTCGGATCGTCCAGATTAGATCCATCGTGCGGTGCTTGGTTGGTTCATTTTCGCCTGCAACGTCGGGGACGAACGGTGGGGACCAACCATTACGTGACAATTTAAGACCCTGGCAGAGAATTCTTCAGGAATCTGATGGAACGTCGTCCTAAAAATCTTGGCAACAGGATTTTCGTAGATTTTTATTTCTAACATGACCGAGACTACTCCTTCCTCTGTCGGGTTTTTCGCTTCTTACTAGTCTTCACGTCACCACTGCCAGCCTGCTCAGCTGCCTCGCCCTCACGTGCCCCCCGCTTGGTTCCTGTCGCTCGTCCGCCAGGATTCCCAGGGGATTCTTCGCCATCAACCTCTGTCGATCCGGTTTGATCGGCTCCAGCTTCCCGCCGTAGTCGACTGAACGCCTTCTCCATCCGACTCTGACCCGCGGGTCGAGCCCGTGGCGCAAACGCTCCGGCTCCTGTAGGTCCGTGGAAAAAGTTCGTAATGTTGGACTGCGTGCCTTCTTGTTCCCTCTGATTCATGTCCCGAATGACGGGCACCAGCACTTCGTCAGTTCGTTCCTGGCTCCATCCAATCGTCGTCATCAGGAAATGTCGTAGTCCGTGGAGATCGGGAACACCCCATTGGAAAGCAGACGGGTCCGAGTCGACCTCGGGTTCAAAGTAGGCCGTATCTACCCGGGAGTCCGGGAAAGATGGAGGCAGGAAAATCTTCGAGGCCTGCTTCTTGAACTTCTTGTAGAAAGCTGCGTGTTCGCCCTCTGCCATGTTGACTCCCATTTGAACCTGGGTCCACCAGTCGCGGAATTCTTCTAAGCTGGCGAATTCCGTAATGATCTCGAGTGCCGTTACAGGCCCGATGCCCGGAATCCCCTCGGTATAGTCACTGCCGAGCAGGTGAGAGAAACTGATAAGCTTCTGTCGATGAAGAGCATACTCCTTCTCCAGATCGGAACTGAGGTAACACTCGACGAACTTGCTCTGATTGAACATGTTTTTGTAGATACGGGTACCACCAAACAGGAAGCAATCGCTGTCATCAGTGATGATGCCGTCGACGAGGCCCAAGTTGACTAGTTCTGCACACTGCGCTTCGGCCTCCATGGGCGCGGTAACGTATGGGAGGCCGAATAATTTGAGCAGCTGCTGACACTCGGTTATCATGATCTGCGATACTTCATCTGCATCGCGACGATCCTTCTTTTGTTGCGACCGCAACTGCTTAAGCTCCTGTTCGTAATCAAAGGCGCTCTCATTCTGTGCCGCAGAATTCAAGGTGGCCGCAAATCGGACGTGCTCCTCGCCTTCGGCTGCGAGTTGTCGCATCAAGTCCTCATCCTCAGGGTCCGAAAATTCTTCCTCTTCCCTGACGAGCCTCTCGGCTTCGGCCAGATCAATGGCAGCTTGAGGTTCTAGCCCAGTAGTGACATTATCGGCTACTGGCTGTTCAGATGGTATTTTGACGTCCTCAAATTCGGGCGACGGTGACGCTGCGGTACGTGAGACAGCGACCGACTCCTGTGGCTCGGTTGGCACATCCTCGAACTCGGGCGATGGTGATGGTACCGTACGTGATTCAGTAGCAGGTTCTTGTGGTTCTGCAACGTCCTCAAATTCAGGCGATGGCGAGACTTCGGCATGCTCGTCATCATTTTGCATACTGGCGCCAAATACTTCACCATGTGCACTGGCTTGCTCATCGTTCTTGTTTTCTGCAGCCGAGCTGACTTCCGGAGACTCTGGAAGACGAACGACGTTGTCTTGCGCTGCTAGCGGCACAGTCCCGGGGGTCGCGTTGATTTCCTCGTATTTGGGAGCAGCTTGTGGTGCATCGGCTTTAACTTCTTCCACATCAGATTCCAAATCGATGACTTCGTTTGTTTTTGGAGGCTTGTCAACATCGATGATCTTAGGGGATTCGTGATTCTTCAGGAAGAGGTGGTCCGGAGTCAATTCCTTGTCCCTACGGACCGGCAGTGTATCATCAGCCTTGTCGGTAATGAAGTCCGCTTTCGAATTGCTCCCTGAGAACCATGGCGGCAAAATAATGTTCTCCTTCGATTTAGAGTTGGACTCTTTCTCAAAACCACCAGCATGCTCATAAACCGTTTCGTTGTTTGATTTTTCATGTCTAGACGGCTTGTGGAGTTTCATGGATTCGAAAGGTAGAGGCCCGTCGAAAGGATGGTCAATGACCGGACGCGAAGCACCGGTGCTGGCCGGCTCCTTTTTTGTTCGCTTTGATTGCGCCAATGCCGCTCCAAAATCTAGTGCGTCATCGTCATCGCTCTCTGCACTAATATTGTATGTATCATCCTTGTTTGATGGGAGAGGAGCGGTATTTCTATTGAGCTGTATATCAGGCATATCATCGTCCTGTTGATCGGCTCCAGACTCGAGCGACATTTGAATCGCTTTTTGGAGGTCTCCATCTTCACCCTCTTCGAATAAGCCGTTAATCTCTCTGCTTCCTTGTAGTTGACCATCTGGAACAAATAATGAGTCATCCTCAAGGTCTTGCGACATAGCGCTGGCCTTTCTCCCAGCCGTCCTTTGCATCTGCTCTCTGACGGAATCGTCAAGAACGCCATCTTGTAGAAAGGGGAGTCGAGGAAGTCGGTTAAGACCTTCCACAGGCACATCCTCGAAGCCGTCATCATCATCGGAGCTGTGCTCTACCGGAAGAACCTCCTGCATTCCGTACTGATCAACGTCGATGGGTTTCCCCTCGCGACCTTCATCCTTGTTGCCGACCACACCGAGGACCCAGCCACCTTCCACCGTGTTGTCTTTCACCAATACGTACTCCTTGCCGCGTTCTCCGGCAATCCTCTGTCCCGAGTTGTAGAATGCTTCTTCGCCATTCATGCCGTTGATGTTCATCAAACGCTGAGTCAGATCGTTCCTCTCCTTGACTCGCTCAATCTGGAATTTCGAAAAAGCCATACGGTCCGGGAACATATGATCAAGCTGTTCCTTGGAATACCCCATTCGTAGGCGACTCCGAAGTCTAGCCGCATTTAAGATATTATACCGATCTGTAGCCGGAAGACTGATGAAGAACGGGCTGTCGAAATCGATTTTAGAAAAGTCGTACAAATTAATGTCCTCGCCCCGATGAAACTGTCTGGCGTACTCCTCAAGCTCCTCCTGTGACATAATGCGCGGGTCGTTCGGAGCGCCCATCGCCTCTAGTGAAACCTGCATGTCCGGCAGATGGTACGCATCCTTCTTTCTGAACGAGCGGCCTTGCTGCTTCTCTTTGTCCGTCATAAAAGCCTCCTCCGCATATACCGGTCTATCTGTCACTTCCTCTTCTGTCTGCTTGGCTGTCGCATTCTTGCGATTAGCCGCCTCTTCCTCGGCAATTCTTTGCATCTGCACTGCGAGTAGTTTCCCGGCCGTGCGCACGGCATCTTCTCTGCGGCCCTCTCGTCGTTTCTGTCTGCTCGCTATGGTCTGTCGCTTGAGGATTGGGGCGCCACCATCAAACACGAAAACCGGCTTGATGCCAAAGTAGAGTAATTTGCATATGCGACGGAAGAAACCCACGATGTGGGAGTTACGAAGTGCATTTCCTTCTTTATCACGGACTGCCTTCAAAAATTGATAGATCCAGATCGACGCATCGACGGCCAACCGCCTCTTGTTGAGGGTCTCGAGTTTGATGGGCCGTGCGCAAGGCTGGACGACGTTCCAGAGCCCGTGAACACCCATAATGACTTATTTATATTATGAGATGGCTAGTTGCGACGAAAACATGGCTAGTGTGAGTGACTGTGAAAGATGGCTGCGAAGACAGTGTCATCTACCGATCCAGCCGGCGATCCTGACGACATCGTAAGAATCAAGGCGAAGAGCCGCGTCGCCACTTCGAGAGGAGCGCGACATCACGTGCCACATCATACCCGCTTCGGGTAAGGCGGGATGTCGGTGGGCGCGTTACATAATCATTCACAGACAATCGTGGAAATTCTGGAATTTTGTGATGGAAGATCGAATCTCCATGCGGGGAACAGATAACGCTTGGACGCGATTTTACTGTCCGAAAGCCAGTTAGCCGTGGTGCTTTGCTGGTTGCATCAATGAATTCCTCGCTCGAGGTCGGTCGTGACCCCAATCACAGTCATCCTTACAACTGCTGACTCAATTACTAGCATATTGATGCTTGTCTCCCTATAACTGCGTTGAAGGCGTTTGACCTGGGAGATGATGGCTTTGTTGTGGAGGGCCAAGGACCTCATGCGCGGCTTTTCGACGAGAGCGGTGGAAAGCTGCTAGGCAGTCTAAGAGTCTTCAAAAGAAGCAACATCCATGGATTCATCGTTCTCAGCCAAGAGCAGCGGGGCATCAAAGATGCACACGCTCGGCTTCTTATATGGGGAGGGGAATCCCTAAGAGTGGTTGACCTTTCGATTACCCATGACACTCTCTCTGGTAAACCCGACGTCTCTCTTCGGGCTACATGTGCGGAGTATGTGGCTCCAGACTGGATCATGGCCGGCTGTGTGCCTGAAGTGAACAATACCGAAGTAAGAGCATACATGGTAACGGCCCACAATGCTGTTCTCCGTCTACGCTTGATGGAAGAAAGCTCCGCCGAATATGAGACCAGTATCCATCTGGATTATCTAGTGGCTGGAGTCAAGACTCTCCTCTATTCCGCTGACATCATCTCGTTCTCCTCGTCTCACATCCTGATCGCTGCTGGAACAGTTTTCGGTGAGATCATTGTTTGGTCTTGCTTTTTGGACGAGGGCCAGAGTCTAAGCACTGGCGCTGTCGCCTCAATCCACCACTTTTTCACCGGACACGAGGGGTCCATTTTTGGAGTTAGGATCTCTCATGAAATCACCTCCTTGCCTGGTTGCTCCTCGGGAAGGTTTCTGGCTAGTTGTAGTGACGATAGGACTATCAAGATCTGGGATATATCCGATTGCCAAAAGTCGTCTCGTCACGATCCTTCGGCCTATTCCACCGACGGTTTCGACCTGCGAAGTACCGGCTTCGGCGACAGTGCACTTGGCACCGAATCTTGCATCGCCAGCGCTTTCGGCCACCAGGCGCGGATCTGGGATGTGTCTTTCCTACCGACACAAGCAGGAGAGGAGTGTAAATTGAACCTTGTCTCGCGTGGCGAAGATGCAACCTGCTTTGTGTGGGATCTCAGCTGGGACCCCTCTTCCGAACAATCAGAGTTCAAGCTAAGTGAAATATCCTCCGTACGCCAACATTGCCAGAAACACATTTGGTCTTCGGAGATTCGTAGGACCGGCACGCAAACGATGGTCTATACCGGTGGCGCAGACGGTGCGTTGAAGGTCTTCAAGATGGAGGTTGGTGAGAAAGGTGCCCTTGTGCTTCCAAACAGGAATCGGCGCATCAACTACGTTGTCAACCCTCATGATTCTGAGCCTAAATTGGAAAAAACCACGAAAAAACTTGGTTTCGTCTCCCCAGATTGCTTTGTCGCGGCTACGACCCAAGGAGAGATTCAAGTCTGTCGGATCGAATCTTCAGTGTCAGCCGAAAGCTATATCTCCCAAGAGACTATCTCTGTGGAAGAAGACCTCCGCTCATACTGTGCGATTGCCGGTCTACCGAAGTATGGGATCGCTCTTCTAGGGAGTGCTAGAGGAACCATACGGTTATACGACCACAGCACCAAGTCTCTATCCTTAGTGGCAGAGACAAACCAAATGCCGCAGGGATTCTTTGCCCTCGATTATGATCGCAGCACGACCGACAAGTCAGGAACCCTCTTCTTCCTTACGTCGCACGCCAGGTTCGACAAGGCTGAATTGTTCATGGTGTCGATTTCGGAGAACGAGAAACCGCAGATAAAGAACATCACAGTCTCCCTCCCCAAACGCTTCGTCGTGGGAGATGCATCCCTGATTTGCGGCAATCGGTACCTGGCACTAGGATCCCAAGGGGGGTCACTTGCCATTTACCAGCTAGAATCGATGGAGCCGCTTCTGCAACCTATCATAAATGTATACATCCACCCCGAAGGTATCAATAAGATTGATTCTTTCTATTCACTCTTCGGTGAGGCGGGTAGGTCGCAGACTTATTTCCTTACCTGTGGTCGAGATGGGTTCTACGGCATCCATACACTAGAGGAGAAGCTACAAGACTCCCAAGGAGTGTCGTTCTCTTTCCGAACGGTTCATCGTTCAACTCCACTTCCCAGGTATAACATCACGGGTGCCTACATTGACAAGGTATCTGGCGATCTCATGCTGCACGGGTTCTCGGGCACAGATTTCATCTTATGGAATGAGTCGACTCACTCCGAGTCCGCTAGGATGACCTGTGGTGGTAGTCATCGAATCTGGGCTTTTCAGCCTAGTTACACGAGCCCCAACTCGGGTCTGCTTGTATGGCTACAAAACCACCTCACTGCGTTCCAGATCCAAGGCGATGCCAACTGGGCTTTACGTGCGGGCAGTCATGGACGGGAAATCAAAACGATGTGTGTGTCGCCGGCAAATGACGAAAGAGGAATTCTGTATGCCACTGGAGCTGAGGATACTGCCTTGCGGATATTTGCGCCGATTGACCCGAAGGAGGAGAGTCGATGGGGCGCGTTCAAGTGTCTGCGGGTTCTCACGCAGCATCAGACCGGGTTCCAGCACGTGGCCTGGTCGAGAGATGGGAAGTTTCTCTTTACGGGGGCCGCGAATGAGGAGTTCTTTGTGTGGAAGATACGCTCAGTTCCTCTGTTTGGCTTGGTGGCCAACCTTGTCGCCTCGAGCCCCAAGAGCCATCCCAGCTCCGACCTCCGCGTGACCAGCTTCGACATGATCGAGATCGAGGGCGCAGAGGCCGAGGGTGACTTTTTGCTCTGCATGTCTTACTCGAACTCCACCCTCAGGGTATGTACCACCTCCTCTATCTCCCTCCTTCCGACATAATTTCACTGACATCTGTAGATCTTCCGCTACACGTCCTCGGCCAGTGAAAACAATTTTACGCTATTGGCAAAGGGCACATATACCAGCAATTGCCTAACAGAGGCACAATTCATCCTCCGCGACTCGTCGCTGGTGATGCTGACGGCATCCACGGACGGATACCTCACCCTCTGGAACCTGACCTCCGTGATCGACCCTTTCTTCACCATCTCGTCCGACTCATCGACCTTGCGTCTAAAACAACCCATCGACGCGACAACGATCGCGCCCGAGGAGATCACCTGCGAGAACCGGTACCAGGTCCATTCCAACAGCATCAAAGCTGTTGAGATCGAGCACATCTCCGACGTTTCGTCGTTGATCATTGCCGGCAGCGATGACAACTCGTTGACTCTATCGCTCTTGAATACGAATTTCACCCATGCTGAAGCCAGTGACCATGCGTACACGGTGTCTATCCCCGATGCGCATACAGCGTGCGTGACCACGGTTAAGGTCCTGGAACGGCAGCTGTCGTCCGATGGTAAGACGACTCACATCACTGTCGCGTCCTCTGGAAACGACCACCGGGTCAAGATCTGGAAGATCGAGGTCGATGCGTCAAAGGAGGGATTCGAGGCCATTCAGGTCCAGAACGTGATCGACAGGTACAGCTCCGTGGCGGATATTTCGACGGTGGACATGATCCGGGAGGAGACGGGCGAGATGAAATTACTTGTGTGTGGAGTTGGGATGGAGATGATGAGCGTTCAATTGCATTAGCGATATTAGAATCCGGTTTACGACGAAATGGTCATGGTTTGCACGTATATAGAGAGAAGGGCAAGAAAAAAAATTGGGGAAAATTAGAATCGAGCAAAATAGCCACCTGGCGAGGTGCAGATCGAATTCGGAGCCTCCGCAAAATGACTCCAAATGCCGTGACCAAAAGGGTATGGAGAAAAGCTCCGTCCATCACACCATGCGTCTTGACATCCTTCGTCGGTCTTGGTTTCCCCATCTACGAGACCCCGCAATTAGCTTGAATCGATCGATCATTTCTTTTTCTTATCCTCAGCCTTGGATTGTTCCGTCGACTGCAGACTGCAGAGGCAAGGCAAGGACCGGCTATCCGATGGCCGGATAAATGGAACCCGTTCGGACAACGGATGTGACAGAACTGGATGCGCAGTTTACTACCTATGTGGCTTTAATCAATTTCGAACGTGCTTCAGGATTTGTCCTCTCTCCACTGACGATCCCCGCCAATTTCTGCCAACGGTTTTGGGACATGATGAGGAGGGAATGCCGCATGGTGGAGAGGGGTGAGAAACGGAGATATATATAAGGACGAGGAAATGGCAGGGTCTTGATGGGTGACCAGTCAGTTCTGTTTCTTTCGCTTATTTGCATCTTATCTTACTTGGTTTTCGATCATGAAGTTTCGAGCTCTGTGTGTGATGGGTGCTGCGTCTTTGGCTGCTGCGCGGCCATTTTCGCGGGCGCAGGACACCACACATTGGTTTAGCTTGTAAGGGTTCTTGTTTGTCAATTAATATTGAGCTCTGGGTGTGAGTCTGACCTTGTTTCACAGCGGTAATTCATATACACAAACTGGATTTAACGCCTGGGGCGAGCAGCCCACGCCCTCCAACCCTATGGGAAACCCTCAACTAGGTACGATGTCTTGCCCTTTCAGTCCAACAACCCATCGAAAGGGTCTGGTTTCAGTAGCCTCACACTTACACAACCAGGGACCGGCACAACAACCGGTGGAACCAACTATGTGGGATACCTGACGACAGCTGAGAACTCGTCGCTGGTACTCTCTTACAACTTGGCAGTCGGTGGAGCCACTATCGACAACGACCTTGTTTCATCCTACGCCGACGATTTGGTCTCCCAGGTGGGCGTGTTTGAGGACCAGTATGGCGACAAGCCGGACTCGGCGCCCTGGACGGCCGAGAGTGCTGTGTTTTCTTTCTGGATTGGTATTAATGAGTATGTTTGCCGTTTTCTTTACCTTTTCTCTTATTGTCATGTGTGATACGTGGTTCTAATTGCCGGTTGGTCTAGTATCGGCAACTCGTTTTACAACCAAGATGCAAACACTTTCACTCCGAAACTAATCAACCGGATCGGGTCTCTCGTGCAAAAGATCTATGATCTGGGTGGCCGCAAGTTCCTTTTCCTGAATGTGCCTCCGACGGGTCGGAGCCCTTTCTTCCTCGAGCAGGGCGATGACACTGTTCAGCAGCATGCCGCGTACTTGGCGGTCTATAACAAGAACCTGAAGGCCATGGTTGATGGGTTCAAGGCTAATCATACTGATGTAAGTTCATGTCCAATTGTAGATTCCGAGAGATAGAGAAGAAAGTGGTGAGAGGAAAGACTAAAAGGTTCCGTACAGGTCACTACAGTCTATTATGATTCGTGGTCATTCATGACCAAGGTCATGGACAGTCCCTCGGATTACGGGTTCCCTGATGCGACTTGCATCAACGAGGACGGGACGTCTTGTCTCTGGTGGAATAACTACCACCCTTCTGCTAAGTATCACAAGGAGCAGGCGGAGGATATGAAGGCTGCTTTGAAGCCGCTGGGGGCGTGGTAATTGGTCCTGTTGGGTAAATGGCATATTGTGCCGGAGCTGGTTTACATTGTATATGTGGTGGTGATATAGGTATATTAGCTATTGTTTTGTTCGAGAATTGAATTGACGGGTTCTATTGTCTACTTTCATTATACTTTGTGTCTACTCCGTAGACTCACTTAACACAGTATTCATTACTATAATCATTAGTACTACAGTACCCACTATCTCACCAGAATCAGTCTACCTCAACAGACCATGATGTGATCTAATGAGCCCCCATAAAAACCATCCCATCCATCCCTGTCAGGCTGTCACCCTTACCCAGATAATCCCTCTGCAGAAGAGAAACCAAGAGCCCAAGAAACTAAAACAAATACCGATGTCAATCACTTACCCCAAACGCCACGGAAATTGGGGCGTCTGTCGATCTCTTCCCCAAGCCTCCGTGCCTGACATTCATCTCCGTTTCTGTTTCATCGTCTATTGCCAAGGCCGAGTGGGATTTGATTATTGTGTGAGGAGCTACACAGTACGCAGAGAGCAGCTATTGTCAGTGTCTACTGTTTAGTTGGTTACTATCTACTAGTCACTACTGTCACCGCCTAGGATGAGTTCCATCTAACTAGTAGCGGAAGAATCTCTCCATCACACACGGTCCGAAGACCCGAATCTTTAGTATCCAGTATCCACTTTCTTGTCCTTTCTTCAGCGCAGAGACATCATTCGATGTCCGGCTGCGGGGGCGAGAGCGCAAAACAGGATGCGTCTAATCAAACGGGCCTTTACTGATGAGGAAAGTGAAGTTGATTCATTCCGAAAGTTGTTCATTCCGACGGCGTTGGCTTCATGTAGGAGCTAGAGCTTGAATTGGTGAACGGCGGTTATATAAATTGCTCCTGTCTTCTCGATTTGATTCTGGTGGGTTGATCAGAGTACACAGCACCGGTTCTCAGTCTTTCGATTTCATTTATTTTTCTTTCATTGTTTGTGTCTGTCCCCTCGAGGCATAAGACCCCGATATGAAGCTCAGCAGCCTGATCATCGCTGCTGCGGCAGGCTCCGCGGTGGCTGCTCCCGCCGCGAAGGAGCATAAGAAGAGAGCTTCGGTTTTTGAATGTTAGTTCCCTTCATCTACTTACCTACTTGACATTGAGCAAAACCTGCTAATACATGGTACAGGGATCGGAAGCAATGAATCTGGCGGTGAATTCGGCGAAGACACGATCCCCGGAGAATGGGTATGTCCATGTCTGCCTTTGTTCATCTGACCCATTGACGCCGTGAGCCCTCACAAATTGCTAATTGCATCCTCTCAGGGAACCGAATTTATCTTCCCTGATGTCGACGCCATCACTACCCTGATTGGCAAGGGAATGAACATCTTTCGTCTTCAGTTCATGATGGAACGGTTGACTCCAAATGGTATGACGGGGTCGTATAATGAGGCGTATTTGAAGAATTTCACTACTGTGAGTGTGATTTTCATATTCAGATAAGAACCAAAAGGAGAGGGAGGGAATACTCATCTGACATACTCCTAGGTCGTCAACGCCGTCACCGATGCCGGAGTCCACGCTATCCTGGATCCTCACAACTATGGACGATTGTGAGTATCAGTGTCTATTCCCGCTAAGACGAAATGGAAAAGCTGATGTCATTCCAGCAACGGCGAAATCATCACCGAGACCTCCGACTTCCAGACTTTCTGGGAGAACCTGGCCGGCGAGTTCAAGGACAACGAACTGGTGATCTTCGATACCAGTATGTCCCCTTCCCTCCACCACCCCATCCCCATCCCACAGATACTAATTCCCACACCCCAGACAACGAATACCACGACATGGACCAAGACCTCGTCCTCAACCTCAACCAAGCCGCCATCGACGGCATCCGCGCCGCCGGAGCAACATCCCAATACATCTTCGTCGAAGGCAACTCCTGGTCCGGCGCATGGACCTGGCGCGAGGTAAACGACAACCTGAAAGCGCTCACCGACCCCAACGACAAGATCGTCTACCAGATGCACCAGTACCTCGACTCGGACGGCTCCGGCACCTCGGAGACCTGCGTGTCCGGGACCATCGGCAGCGAGCGCGTCAGCGACGCCACGGACTGGCTGAAGGAGAACAACAAGGTCGGCATCCTGGGTGAGTTTGCGGGCGGCGTGAATAATCAGTGTCGGGAGGCGCTGGGGGGCTTGCTTGAGCATTTGGCGGATAATACGGATGTGTGGAAGGGTGCGGTTTGGTGGGCGGCGGGCCCGTGGTGGGGGGATTATATGTTCAACATGGAGCCGCCGAATGGAGCGGCGTATACGGGGATGTTGGATTTGTTGGAGCCTTATTTGGGGTAGAGGACTGAGGGCAGTAGGTTATGGGAGGGAGTGCTGTCCTTGACTTGGTTAGGTAGATGGATTAGAGTACTGTGTGCAGAATGGAGTGGATACATACGTGGCTGACAGTCAAAAATAGCTTCATGTCGCCTCCATCAGCATCTGCTCCATATGGAGGTTATCAATCTCTTCTAGATCACTAGATAGAGACTAGGTGCAAACGTAGAACCGTCCGTCAGGAGATTCGTACGCCTGCACGGAGCACGTACCCACTGCCTGCGTTGCTAGAAGAACCTATCTCGAATCAAGGTTAGACAAAGACGCGAAACAGTGCACAGCCAGCCTTACGAACGTAGTCTATCTAATATTTACTATCTACTAGTACTCCGTAAGTCGCAAATTCTAACCGACAACTGCTAGTCCAACTATTGTGGGGAGGAGCTAAGAAATTTAAGAACAAGAAGAGGGCAGTGTAAAGACTAAAGTTAGTCTCCCGAGTTTAAAATAATAACAGGAAGAATCGGATTGTCCAGACCGGAAAGTCAAGAGGGAAATAACGATGCCTAAATCTGAACGTCACGGCAGGAAAAGTTTGGAAAGGATCTGATGCGACCGAAATAGCAGACTTGGCTGATCCCATGGTTGCCCTTGGCCCCTTGCGTTGCCGTCCGTGGAATCACCCTTTCTGAATATATCTGACAGACCCTGACAGGTCTGAAGTCTCCGTGCTGTACGCAATTCTGCATAAATTGGTCGTCCGTCTGCATGGACAGATCAATAGTTCCGCCCTCCGGAGAAGACTTACGCCGGCGAAACGTACTCAGTAAGGATTAACTAATGAGGAAGGAAATAAAATTTTGAATCAAAGGATTTCATGTCCGTGCTGAAAATTCTCCGGCCCAAAGAGTAAGTCAAAGCCTCAGTTGTTTTGAATTTATCTGCGACTGCGAGTGTGGATTGTATGGAGCAATTAGGCTGCCTCCTTATGGACCCATGGATTCAAAGGATGGAGACCCACCGGGATGGGGACATCTTGGCTTTGCCTGTTAGAGTGTAGTCAGCCAATTTTATTATTATCATTATCAATATCATATTATCATTGTTACTCTGGACTTGGTGTCACGTTGGCCAAGAACGAACAATCTTGTCACCTGGCGAGGTTGGATGACGGGATATCGTGCATATGTGCAGATCTCATGGTGTGGGTGTCTACGGAGTAACCTGTTAATATGCATTACTCAGGACAGAATCAATAGAAGATCAACATGAGACATCGACAGAATCATCAACAATCTGGAGAAGTATTGTATGTAATGCTGTACGCTAACAGCAGGACGCGTACGACCCCAGCCACTTATGACGTGGCGGTAGGGCTGGCGCAGTCTCCGCCACGAGCCTCGATTTGTCCCGTCTGGGACTAGCCTGGTAATATAAGATCCCGTCTTGCCTTCTCCGGACTAGCGCCTCGGTATTACGTACGGAAAGTTGCGGTGGAAACCAACTTTAGCAACGAGAATAGAAACAAAGCGTGGCGTAGTCGATCCCGTCCCGCGTTGATTGGCCTGCCGATCCCGAAAAATACCAGGAAAAGTGCAATAAATAAAAAACAAAAAGGCAAACTGCGCCCCCAAAGTGAAGGGAGCGCCGATCAGCTGCCCTTAAAACTGTTGCGTTGACCAGCCTTCGATTATCTTCATTCTTTCTCACCTGTCTGTCTCTACATTCTCAACTCCTTACCTCCAGTTGTCACCTACATCTACCTGGGGATACGCCAAACTAATCAACCTCCGACTACATACTCCGCGCTTTATACGACCTCGATCCACATCGTCACCATGGGTAAAGGCGGTCGCATCTTCTGCATATTCACCCCATATGCTCTCACCATCGCCTCGTTGGTGTGTATCATCATGGTTGGTCTGGGATGCACGAATTCCGGTTCCAACACGCTGAATGATCTCTATTTCTTCCGAGTATGTCACCTTGGAAATAAGATGAAGATAAAGCGATAACTAACATCCACCAGGCCAACTTGGAAAATATGACGACATCGGCCACGACAGACTCCAAGGTCTCCGACGCTCTTGAAAAGGCGCACTTGAAGGTGAACGACGGCGACATCAAGTCCGCCCTGGAACAGGTCCAGAAGCAGTTCGGCATCTCCGACTTCTACACCGTCGGTCTCTGGGGATACTGCGACGGCAACGTCACCGACAGCAACGCATACAAGGTCGAGGAGTGCTCCAAGCCCAAGGCCCAGTTCTACTTCAACCCGCTTGAGGTCTGGAACTTGGAAGAATCCGGTCTCGAGAACGCCCTGCCCGACAGCATCAGCAAGGCCCTGAACATCTACAAGAACGTCTCCAAGTGGATGTTCATCGCCTACATTATCGCTTTCATCGCTACCGTCGTTGAATTGGTTGTCGGAGTCTTTGCCATCTGCAGTCGCTGGGGAAGCTGCGTGACCACCCTGGTCTCTGGTGTATGTTTTCACCCGGTCTATCATTTCGATCGCACATGCTAATTGTTCTATTAGGTTGCTTTCCTTTTCACTGCCGCCGCTTCGGTTACTGCGACCGCGATGTTTGCGACCGTGACCGGCACGTTCAACGAGAACCTCAAGGAATACGGCATCAAGGGCAACATGGGCAAGAACATCTACGTGGCCACCTGGTTGGCCGTCGCTTTCTCCCTGGGAGCTGGCTTGTTCTGGATGATCAGCTCGTGCTGCTGCTCCGGCAAGTCGCCTTACAACCACAAGGACAAGGGCGCCCGTGGCGTGACTGCCGAGAAGGCCCCCTACACCTACGAGCCCCTTGGCCCCTACGGAACGCCCGCCCCTTATGGCAACACCTCCTATCCTTCCGCTGGTGGCAACCACGTCCCCGTGCAGACGAGGACCAACGCCTACGAGCCTTTCCGTCATGTTTAAGTGACAATTATCCAAAATCATCGTCAACCAACAAAAACACAAAAAAAAAAAAAAAAAACACTACGGCATCCTTGGCGTTTGTCTTTCCATAGCGAACGGTCATGATTGGTCTTGCACATCCGACCTCCCTCGACATACATTCCTACCTACCCAACTGAGATGACCAGTCGGGCCATGATGCCTCTAATGAATTTAATGCGAAGTTGCAAAGGGATTGATTTGAATGGAATTGAACTTTGGGACTTATTTCGATCTTGTATTTTATCTGCTGTGACTTTTTCTTGATTTTCGATCTCCGGGTCTAGACTGGCTTGGCTTGTCTGTCCGTGAGCATGAATATTTGGATATAGATAGTGTCGATGACATAGATACCCTCCTTCAACTTATGATGACATCTAAGATTAAGGATTGTTCCGGAATGATTGCTGTTTCATCTTGGCTTGTTCTAGACCAGCGTTCTCATTAGTATTACGTACCTAGAAATGGAACCCCGACTTGGGCTAAAAGCTCCTTTCAACTCTTTGGTAACTTTGGTTAACAACCGTTTAGCTGTCGATGTCCAAGATTAGGGGATGCGACTCCTCACATCCACACTATCCCATTCCACTAATACATATAAACAATCAAAAATAGCTCTGATGATTCAGGCCTCTGGATATAGGGTCTTTGACGTGTCTATGTAAAAGAACAGCCCCTTTCCTGAAACTGCAGCATAATGTTGCCTACGGTGTTTATTATACCAACTTCCTAAACCGATCATTTCCTGAGTGAATTAATGAAAAAGCTCAGTACGGTATAGTTCACCAGCTACGAGAAATGAGGTAAGCAGCCACGTCTCTCCAACCATTCCGTAGTTGGACATGACCGTCTTAAGCGAGATGAACGGCCATCTTGGCTGGTCATTATCGGGGTTTGCCCGCGTTCTTTACTTTCGTGATTAGTTATTGGGGAGTTGCATTGTCATGTCCTACCTAGTTACTGAGGAGAATGAATGATAGAGTTCTAGTCAGATCTTTGGTTAGATTATAGGTTTTCGGAGTATTTACTGGCTTTCTTACGTTCTTGGTCTGACTATAATTATAACCTTCTGCAGAAGAATGTATGGTAGAGCGATTGACTGTCTTACAAGGTATCTCTGATTCTAGTGCGGGGTATAAACGCATTGGCTTCTGTAGGGCACTTACCTACCTACCTACTTTCCTCACTACTTAGGTCTTAACTCCGTGAGTAAGTCCTGCCTCATTGGCAGATTGAGGATTAGTATTCTGCAGGTCTTACTTCTGCAGATTTCTGCTTGTAGTCTATACTGAAGCCGGATAAACCGGACCAGGTGAGATTTTTTAGTCTGAGAGGTAAGTAGGTAGGTAGGGAGTGTGCAGAGTCAGCGTTCTATATTATAAAAGGGAGAGGGAATCTGTTGTCTGGTGCTTCGTCTTTAGGGGGTGTAACTGTCTCCTATAATACTATATCTATACCTGTTCCCCATAGAAGCTTTCTTCTACTTCTACTACGAACCAACTACTTATACATACATACACACCCATTGACCTACTCACAATGTCCCCCACCTCCTCTCTCAATGTAAAAACAACATCCCCTCCACAGAGCTCCATAACCTTGGTGTATATACTAACCTAATCTCATCTAGACCCTCCTCCCTCTCGTCCTCACCTTCGCCCTCACCACAGCATCAGCATCAGCATCAGCATCGGCCCTCGCAACCGTGCAATTCACATCCTACGGCACCCCGAACTGCGCTTCCGCGGCTATAGGCTCCGCGCGCGTCGTCTCGACGTACTGTGTGAATATCGAGGATTTTCCGATCAGTTCGTTTAGTGCGTCTGTGTCTGAGCCGTGTGAGGCGGGACAGACGGCCGTGTTGAGGTTGTTTGGGGAGGCGGGGTGTGATGAGGGGGTTTTGGAGGAGGTTGAGTTGGGTACGGGAGGGGAGGATGGGTGTTTTGGGTTCGAGGGGACGGTGAGGAGTTTGAGTGTTCACTGTGTTTAGGGTCTATAGCATCTAAGGGGATGATGGGGGGTTGTGAGTACCTTGCATAATAGGATTAGAAGGGTTGATGGATGTTTCGTTTTGTAGTTAGGGTAGGGGATCTAGTACACATGAGTAGTCATTTCGAGCAAAGACCAAACTCAGGCCATTGAATTAATAATAAAACAATTCGTTATCAGGATATCACGGGACGTATTTAATATACAGATAGGCAACTTGTGTTGTCAAGTTTAAGTAAAGCAAGCAGGCTAAACATAAATATAACCCGAATCGAAACGAAAGTCACAAGGTGACATCCACGTCCACTAATATTTAAACCGTTGGATCACTCCCTTCTCGTCCACGGGGATATGCGCACCTCCGCGGCGCTGACGCTCCTTGAGCACGTTTTGGTCGGCCCGCGCCCATTTTTTGAAAGGCGTGTTATAGTCGTCAGACCATACCGGACCCGCTGGTCGTTTGTATATGTGTCGAAGGGATCGGAACCAGCCTTCGTTGATGCTTTTGGCCTCGGTTTCATTACCAGGCTGGGTGTCATGTTCACCCTCCGGTTCGATTTCTGGTTCGGCCTCTGCCTCTGCCTGAGCCTCCGCTCCGACATCAGAGGCAGGTATCTCAAGTAATTCATACTCCTCAGGAGCTTCAGAGACCCTCACGCCTGTTGCAAGTCCACTGTCGCCGAGTTCGATACTGGCCGTCTCATGCGTCTCATCCATAAAATCATCCTCCTGGTCAGACTCGTCTGTATTCTCGTATTCCTGAGTCTCCTGGATCACGTCGGCTTCGTCAATGACCTCAGCTACTCCAGATGCATCGGTATCCTCGGCATCGTCAGTGTTTTCCCGAGAGTATTTGGAGGCCGTAGTGTCTTCAACATCCGGAGTGACCTCGCCACTCTTGGTATTGTGGCTGACATTGGCCGCCTCGGCTATTTCGACGGTCTTAGACTCCTCCGCATCTCGATGTATCTCTACAGCCTGGGAAGTGTTGGTGACTTCAGCAGCAGTTTCGACATTCCGAGTTTCTTCAGCCTCATCGGCTACCTCGGTCATTTCGACATCCTTGCGGCGCTGGTCATCTTCATTCATGCCAGGACTTTTCGCATCGGCTTCAAGGATTTCAACTTCAATGCTTTCAACGGTGACCTCTTGCTCCTCGTGGCCGTCTTTGGCACCTGTAGCCACTTCAACTTCAGCCATCTCAACGTCCTGGGGATGCGCATTCGAATTGGTTTCAACTCCAACCACCTCGGCAGCCCCAGCGCCTTCAACTTCATGAGCGACATCATGTTCCGTATCTTGCTCGCGTTCGGCAACCTCAGGATTTGTTGCCTGAATGTCCTCTCGGTCCCCGCGATCTGATAGATTTTCATCAGGAGTGTACCATTTGGTCCTTTCGTACGGAGTAGGTGAAGACATTGTAGCAGACATCTTCTCGTCGTCGGTATCGGATTGCAGACCTTGAGTCGAAGGCCCGAACGAATGTGCTTGGAGATTCGAAAATTTGTCCGCAAGACTTCCCGTAAAGGAAGTGCCCATCTGAGGCTTGGCAGGGCTCGCTGCCGCGTCTGTCTGGCCTGCAGGCATGTATTGAGAAGCGGCTACTTCGATCCCATCCGCCGTAAGACTTCGCTTTTTGAATGACGGCCTGGAGAAATTAGACGCAAAATACTCTTCGTATTCTTGTGACTTTGCGTCCTGGGACTGCGTCTGCTCAACGTGCTGTTGGTATTCTTTTAAATGTTGGATGACAAAATCATCCCACAGAAAAGACCTCTTCAAGTCTCCTTTGGCTCGGATGGCCCGCAGTTTGAAGCATAACTCCGTAAAATGCAGAAAGTCTCCGGCATAGAGTGGATAGTCGCTGCGGAATTTTTCATAAATTCTTTGCGCCTCCACATGGTTGCTAGAGCCGCCAATGTAACTTTGTCGACGAAATATCACGCTGGGTGTTGGCTCTTTGATCACTCGGGCTTGTTGGACAGGATGGTGTCGCTTAGCCGGAGACTGCTCTTCGACATCGAGCTCCGACGCAAAGCGCTTCAGTGGCAATTTAGTGGTATGCTCAACGGGCGGGTCCTGTGCGGAATTGGGAATGTCCGATGCGTTTTCTGCACTTTCACCTGACGGGTTGGAAGAAAGCACTTCGTTGTGAGATGAGAACGGTTTCGACGACCCGTCTGATTGGGACGTCGAAGCGGGTACAGCCATGTTCAGGTGCGGAGACGCGTTCTGAGGTTGCCAGCTACCATTGCTTAGTTGTGTCGCCATAATGTCAACTTCATGGAAACCACTTCCCTGGGGAGCGTTTGAAAACCCCTGGGTGTCTTGTGTGCCGGGTAGGTTGCTGGCGTACGTATTCAGAACGCGCGACTGAGAGGAAGACTTGGCCTGGGGGGTTGTTGTTATTCGTTCAGAAGAAGCGACTGGACCGGCTTTGTCCTTGTTCGCGTTCGCAGGCTGGTGGCGATTAAAGTGGCCGGCAGGGGTTTCCACCACCTGTACTTGTTCATGATGTGCGGGGAGAGATGGCCCTGAGCTGGTAAATTCAACTTCCGACTGGCTGTGAAAGTAGCTTTGCTGCGATCCAGGAGCCCCGAGTGGACAAGGGACGGATGTGTCCATCATTGAATCATCGCTTTCTTCATCAGAGACCGGCTGGCGATCCTGGGCAGCATCTTCGACGTCCAACGGCTGTGTCTCGGTGGCAGTGGTTACTCCATTGACGTTTCCATGCTCCTGAGCGTTCTGATTGTCTCGTGGCGGGTCCTGTTCTCGCTGAGCATCAGGATTCGACTGGAGACTATCCTTGCCTCTACCCGCTTGCGCGACTACTACCCTCGGGGGACGTCGCTCTGCTGGACTACTATCAGCTGGTAATTGCTGCCGAGGGCGAACATCCCGTTCCGGAGAGCCATCCCATGAATATGGGCCATCTGAATCCGACTCGGACGAAGAGCTGCTAGCGTCCGGCGAGGGCTCGTGCGAGTCGACCTGTTCGACCGATTGGGTGACAGCAGCTTTCCATTCTTCCGCTTTAGACAACCGACTTCGTTGGTAGGCGATATCGTTCCATTGCTCTAGAAGAGGTGGAGGCACATGGCCATGGGGCATTATGTCTCCTGTAGCAGGGGGAACCCAACGCAAGTTGTGCTGCTCAAACAAGGCTGCTTGATTTTTTGGTATGGTAACATCTCGCCTGTGAATCTTTGTCATACCATCCCACGGGTCCTTGTTCCTGGATTCTTGAAGGTTGGGGGATCGTTTTGTGCCAGAGGTTGTTTTATCAGCCGTATTCTTTTCAGGTTCGCTCAATGGCGACTTCGAATGTCTATTATCCTTTACGCTCTCGGCGACTTCTGCGGAGCGTTTATTGCTGTCGTCTGGTTTACGAGGTTGCGAACTTGGCTGCTCACGCTCATCCATACTGGGTTGACGAGCCGCATTGGCGGCACCAGGGCTCTCATCCATAGCTACTGACTGAGAGGCAAGAGTAGGCGTAGACTTGCGCATATTTTCCATGCTCATGCCTCGAGTATCACTGACAGCAGTCATGGGCTCGTTGCTATGAGCCTGCCCCGATCTTTCGGTTTCAATCGAGCGTGCACGACTAGTAGATGTTGAGGTAGCTTTTAGTGAGTGACTCGTCGCTAATCTTGGATCAGTAGATTTGGAGTTGGATTCTAGAAGTCCTAGAAGCTTGTTCGAAGAAGTTGAACCATTCTCTGAGTTTTTAGAGCCGGTCGAGGGCCTAGGAGCATGGAACATTGGTTGGACCTGGGACGCTAGAAAATCCTGGGTATCATCCACATGGGAAACCCCATTGGCTTGTGTCTGGGGGGGCTGATTCAGACTAGACGTATCTACCAGGGTATCCTGGTTTCTCTCCCGGGATTTAATCTCACTGAAAACCTTTCGCATAAACTTTTGTAGAGACTGGGTCCTTTTGATACCTTTGCCTTGCGGTGGTCCTTTGAATGGGCGTTCATCGGGTGCGACTTCAAAACGCGTGACATAGAGGTGAAGCTTAGGCTGAGAGATGGAGTATTCGAAAACCACTTCAAAATCCAATAGCTTGAGGTAAAGTCCTCTGACCGTGTCCTTGTCGAACGAGCGATTGGGACATTCTCGCTTGAATGTTTCAATGGAGTCTCTGCTAAGAATCGCATCGATCTGGGTACGGAAATCGGTCACATTAAGGGTGGGTGTTTTATCGCCTGTAGCCCACTAGCAGTGAGAGTCTTGGTGTCAGCGATATGAAGGCTACTTGTGGATTAAGTGAGCAACTTACGCCGTTGATTAGGGCGATTTGCTGAGGGACATTGACGAATCGAAGATTACTTCCATCATCTTCCACCTCAGAGGCCTTCCACCGGACAGAAAGACACTTTTCAATCAAAGGAGCAATCCAGGAATCTATGGACGATGCCATGATGTCGATCCAATGAATGGGCCGGGCTCAGTACATGTAGCATGGTAGTAATTTGATATTAGATAAGGTTTTTGGTCATGGTATCCAGTTTAGTGAGATTGAGAGTGTAATATCTGCGGATTTTCATGAATACTGCATCACATATTCGCCGGTTGTCTCAGTCGCAGGCTGGATTCAAGAGAGACATCGTCGAGGCTTCAAGAATAATTCCTCGGATCTCCTCCTGACGCGAAATCGACGCGCCTCACCGCCTGCCGGATCCACCCGCCACTTCCGCGGTGCCACACAACACGTCATTGGGCACATGTTGCGGTCTCCTCTTGTCCAGACCGAAGCATCTAAAAAAGGTCTTTGATCTGTCAGGCCTTTCTTCTTTCCCACCTCTCTCTCGCCTGACTTCTCATCTTTGATTCTCGCCAGCTCAGAGGTGCCCCCCTTTGAATGCATGGTCGATCATCGGTATTGGATATTGATCTCCGCGACCCCACCTCTCCAATAAGACGCATACAGCACCACCTCGAGACATCAAACATTAGAGCCTCGCTGACAGTCGGTTTGTCGCGAATGGTTGCCACCAATCTTACCCTCTGAATCGGGGCGAGCTACTCGAAACTTGGCTCCTGGCTTTAGGATAACGGACCCGCCAAGTAATAGGCTGGATGGAGTCTCAACGGTCCCAAGGGACGTCAAGTCCGGGCGCATCGTCGATCTTCCTCCCACTCGGCCGTCGAGGATCTCGGTCCTCGTTATCAACCCAGGCCGAGCGGCAAGGTCTAAACGCAGCTCTTGACCAGATTCACACGGCGGCGTATCAGTCGGATTCCCTCACAGTTTTCAACGATTTCACAAACCCACCCGCCCCTACATCCGCGGCGGAGGAGAAGAGTTTCTCGGGCGAACTTCAAGGAGGCCTCAGTGGGTTGTATAGTCGATTTCGGACCTCAGTTGGTGGCGTGAGGGATATTGTCAGTGGTGTGGGAAGGTCATCGGACAAAGCGTCCTCTGAGGATCACGGTCCCAAGAGTCCTCCGTTAGAGCGGTCCGCCTCAAAGCCTGCTTTCGATTCCGCTGCCTCCATAGAGTCACAACAATACCACCCAAGTTCATCTCAAAGCTCGAGACTACACTCGCCGACTTCTGTCACACACTACCCTGCCCAGGATGGCCACCATCTTTTGGAGCCCCGGAAAGGCTCGAAGCTCTCATCAAAAACCACCAGTATATCCTCCAAAGCGTCGGTTTCGCCGTCCCCTGCGTTGAAATCTCCAGCTGTGCCCTTGCCCAAATCCACTACGAGCTCGGCCGCCGTCGATCCGACGGTCACTGAACTCCATGTCAACGCCGTCAAGGAGCCTCCTCACTATTCAAGTAATAATTCTGTCAATCTCTCTACTCATAGCTTGCAGACAACCGATTCAGTCGGTACCGATAAGGAAGAAGCGCCACATCCTCCGTCGCTGAGCTCTTCTGGATGGAGTCAGCGATTGTCGCACTCGCCTGTATTACAGGCCAAAGCTCACAATAGCTCCACCGAAGCTCCGGGAGTCCCCGACTTTGGCAGATCGTCCACAGCGGGCAGCCAAATTTCTGACAGTAAGAAGAGACCAGATGGCCAGGGAACTCATGATCTTGATATGTCCTTGCCAGGGCCAGCGCGAAAGGCCAAAAACTCAATCGACGGTTCCCAAACTGGCACCTCGTTAGCCCAGGAAAGGATGAGGTCCGATTCAGCCGCGTCTTTTCACCCCGATTGGTCCAGCGTTGTATCCGGCTCCGGGACAAATAGTGCCTTCCAGACTCCCAATAACGGAGAAACCACCTTTCCTGACGGTTTGGCGTCATCCACGGCTGCAACATCCATATCCTTAGCGGAGGGGGATGCACGTTCGCGAGAGGCGCTTAAATCCCAATACAAGGATACTAGAGCCCGTCAAGAATCTGTCGCGTCCAGCTCAAGCCGCTTCCAAGGAGGTTTCACTACACCTCAAACCACCCATGCTGAAACGGGGTCTGGTCCCCCTATCGTGCCTCCCATCAATACAGCTGTGAATCGCATCCCTAGTAGCCAGGACGCCCGAGGTCGGCGCCCACCTCTTAGAGAAAACTCGAGTACACAGTTCAGAAGCAAGCTGCTCAGTAAGGAATATTGGATGCGCGACGAGAATGCCAAAGACTGTTTCCATTGCGGTGAACCCTTTTCGACGTTTAGGCGGAAACACCACTGTCGAACCTGCGGTCAAATCTTTGATTCTAAATGTACGCTTCTGATTTCAGGAGAGAGATTTGGTCAGCAAGGGTCTATTCGCGTTTGCCAACCATGTGAGGCCATGATCAACGGCCACGATGACGATTCGTCCGAATTCTCGGACAGTGAGCAGAGCCCGATTGCCGTCAACCCTCGCGTTTCGGAGCTGGGATCGGCAAATTATTCGCGCATGGGCGCAGACGATGATGACACTTCTTCCATCATCTCGCAGCCAATGGAGCATGTAATGAAGATGCCAACGATGGCGATTCCAGCTACGCGACGTGCTGGCGAGGGTCATAATAGGCGCTCGGCTGTTCTTGAGATCAGCCCCGATCGACCCCTGCTGGCGAGGCCGACATCTTCAAGATCGCTCAAATCCACTCTGAGTGGGAGAACTCACTCAATGGGCCACAAGCGTCACCATTCTCGTCAGCAGGTCATTCGAAATTTCAAGACACATCATGATGAACGCGCCCCCTTTCAGCGGCGCAATGCCGACGACTCAGGTCGTGGGTCTAACCTCCCCGCGTTCCACAAAGACAATATCATCGATCCAGATCTGGCGCAGTACCTCTCAGATGATGCATCTAGTGGCGATGAGCAGCCAAGTCTCTTGTCGGCGGTCTCGGATGCTTCCTTATCTAAGAGCGGTGGCGAGACCGAGAGAACAACGTTTGGTGGCCTTCTGGCCGCTATGAAGAAGGGACGCTCTGCCTTTGGAGACCGAAGCGTCACTAGCTTCAACCAAGCTGGCGGCCGTGAGCTGGACGATGGAAGTATCAGCAGCTCGAAAGCTGTCAATCTTCCCCGTCGACGACGCAACCTTAGCGTCGCTAGCAGTATCCACCGCCACTCCCCGAGAGCCTCGAAGGAAAGCGGTTTCCTTTCTCATGAAGCATCGAATGCCGCCCACGTTTTTCCTGCGGGTATTCCTTCTAGTGGTTTCAAGATGACGAGAAGTTCTTCTATGAGAGGAGCAGGCGCCCCTCCGGTGGAGCTCAACAAAGCTAGTTTGCAGCACGTCCGTAAACTGCTCCGTCAGCTTCTGACCGACTCAGCCATCCCCCACGCGCATAGCTGGGAGACAGCGCTGCTACCCATCCTTCTCAAAGCAGCAGATGATGTTGATCCAGACGTTCAGGGGGGTGACGATATGGACATTCGTCATTACATCAAACTTAAGAAGATCCTGGGTGGCCGGCCAGGTGATACATGTTATGTCTCCGGCCTAGTGTTCACAAAGAATCTCGCGCTCAAAAGTATGTCCAGGACCATCCTGAGGCCGAAAATTCTCATCATCGCCTTTCCCCTCGAATACGCACGTCACCAACAGCACTTCATGAGCCTGGAGCCTGTGATTCGCCAGGAACGCGAGTTCCTCGAGAACCTCGTTGGCCGCATAGCTGCTCTCCGGCCTAATCTGCTTCTTGTTGAGAAGAACGTCTCCGGGCTCGCATTGGAATTGTTAGAGAAAGCCAACATTGCGACCGCCTACAATGTCAAGTCCTCCGTCCTCGAGGCAGTGTCGCGGTGCACGCAAACAAAGATCATCACTTCCATGGATAAACTCGTGACCACTCCCACGGGGAGTGAATGCGGCAGCTTCGATGTCAAGACGCATGTGTTCAACGGCCGTAAGAAGACGTACATGTACCTTTCTGGCTGCAGTAAAGAGCTCGGATGTACCATCGTTCTCCGAGGAGGCGATAGTCAAGTTCTGTGCAGTGTCAAGAAGATCACGGAGTTCATGGCATATGTTGTCTACAACCTAAGATTGGAGACCTGTGTGATGAGGGATGAATTCGCTCAGATCCCAACCTCATTCGACATCGGCAGCCGCGATAAGAAGGGCGACGAACGAATCCGTTCAAGCGCCTCAACAATCAAAGCAGAACACCAAAGTGTCCCGGCTCTTCCGCAGGCGGAATCCACCGATAGTAAGGGTGATGGTGCCTCTCAAGACAAGAGTAGTGGAGTCACCGGCGAAGATACCGACGTACCCGACGATGTGCCAATGCCGACCTATTACGAAGACATTGTCCGTGATCATGAAACCAAGATCATCTCGGCCTCTCCGTTCGTCAAGTTTGAACCTCCGTACCTCCTGATGCGGGCTCGAGAAATGGAACGCAGGTTGGATTACCTGAAACGTCTCCAAAACCAGGACCTTGAATCAGATCAGTCGTTGGACGAGAAGAATAAATCCCAAAAGTTCGTTCTGATCACGCCGGAAATGGTCCACGAATCACCCCAGGGCGCTTCGCCAAAAGTCAAGGAGGTATTGCGCGCGGCCCACGATGCCGAATACGACCGAGCCCTGCATCACTATCAGACCCAGAAACGCCAATGGGAGGCGTATATAGGGGGAACCACGGATATTTTTGATCCGTATACGCACCAGAATATCGTTGTACTATATAGTCTGGTCTGCACCACTTCCTCGGTCCCATGCTCTGGTCCAGATCTGATCGCCTTGGAGTACTATAATGAACACGGTGGTGAGGATGTGATCCTCGAGCCTGACTGCACCATTGGCCAGTACGTGGAGGATGTCTGCCTCAATGCAAACGCCATTTGTACGGTCAATGGCTGTGAAAAGCACATGTTTGAGCATCACCGGCAATACGTCCATGGGGAAGCCCAGATCAGCGTTTTCATTCAGCCTTACCCATCCAAGCTGCGTGGTCTTCAAGACTCAATTTTGATGTGGAGCAGCTGCAAGATTTGTGGCAACGAAACCCAAGTTATTCCAATGTCAGAGAGTACGTGGAAATATTCGTTCGGGAAATACTTAGAGCTTTCTTTCTGGAGCAAGAACCTTCACGCTCGGGCAGGCGTCTGTCCTCACGACCTACAGCGTGACCATCTGCGCTATTTCGGCTTCAAGGATATCGCTATACGTATTCACTACGACACGATCAATCTGCTAGAGATCATCGTTCCAAGGACCCGTGTCACGTGGAAGGTAGACAATGATCTGAAGCTCAGAAACGAGGTCTACGTCCGTACAGAGCACCGGTTGAACAAATTCATGGTCTCCGTCAAAACTCGACTCAAAGGCATCAACGTCGAAAGCGTCGTCCCCAAATTGATGGACGCGTGCAAGAAAGAAATCGAGGTCTTGAGCAAAAAAGCGAGTGAAGATCACGCATTCCTCATCCGACAATTGCAGGATAAATACACGAACTCCCGTTACTGGGAACTGATCCCTCTGAACGAAGTGCTTCGCTCCGTGCAGGAGAAGGTTGTCGAATGGGATACCGCTTTTGCAGAGTTTGAGAAGAACTTCTTCCCCTCCGAAAAAGATATCAGACGGCTGGCAACCCTACAGCTGAAGAAAATCTTCTTGGACAAGGATGCCTCCGTTACGTCGCTCAGCTCAACCGAGGAGGCTCCGACTACCCCGACAGAGACTGAAAACGACAACAACGAGGAGCCCACTCGATTGCGGGCAATGCGTCGCATGACACTTTCTCCAGAGAAAGCACAGGACGTGCTCGTGTCTGTTGTCGAAGAGCATTCGGGGGAGAAAGAAGGCGCCGTAGCCCAAGGAGACGAAACACCTAGAGTGGAAGAGATAGAATCTGCCGCTCCCTCGCCTACCCCCGAAGGAAGACCACGCTCATCCACCCAACCCGAGATTATCGCGGAGAAAGAGGTGCAGCATCTCGATTTGGCGGTGCCTTCGTCTCAGCCCGAAAGAACTTTGGAGCCGTCCGCCACCATTACAACTCCTACCCGGACGGACATGGAAGACCGCCCGGGCCCGGTTTCAACCTCACCTGATTCGAACGTCTCTCCCATGGGCACTAGCCCCTTGGAGCGGGTAAAATCGCGCAGGGCAAGCCAGAAGAGTAACGAAACCGAAGGATCTCCGGTGAGCCCTGTAGTTACGCCAAGTCGCCTTCCGTCCGCCATCCCACGTCCTGCGGAGATCGCCAGTCGGCGCATTGGCAAGGCAACTTCTCCGCCGCTGTTGCGTGCCCAGTCCCAGCCTGCTCATCTCAAGGACGCAGCCAATGACACAACCCCGCCGAAGGGGTATAAATATGGCACTGGCAAACAAGGCGGCTCCGGTGGGAGCCCCGGCCCGTTTGACACGAAGTTCAAATTTTCGGACAAGAAATTGTCGGATCGATTCGGTCTCGGTGCCCTTCGAAATGGACGACTCGCCTCCGGCCCCTCTCTCATACCTCGTTCAATCCCGACCAGGCGGAAGCAGTCGCGTGTGTCTTACTTAGCCAAGCACTTTGAGCAACTGAGTCGTGAATTTGAAAAGGAACGTCAACGCGAGCGAGCCCAGCGAGCTGCAAAAGGTTCACATTCCCGCGCGTATCCACTGGCCAGCTCCAAGCCCATTGTCGAGGTTTATAAGAACGTCAGGGAAGCAGTGGAAGAGCGAGAACCTGCCGGGGAAGGCGAGGACTTGTCATCATCGGCTCCGCGTGTGTCTGCGGATAGTTCGAGCCGAGGCAGCGAGGAATTTCTAAAGAGGACCTCGGAGGAAGAACAGCGGAAAGATGAAAGCCCACATGAACCGAGGGAGGAGGTTGAAACTGAGAGCACTGCCCCGGCAGAAGATCACCACGTCTTGTCTGAAGGTGAGGGCGAAGACGCGCATAGCGATGAAGACCGAGCCTCGACAGATGGGCTTCAGGTGATTGATTCCAACGAGGACATAGCCAAAATGTCTCCTGAGGACGAGAGCATGGACCTCAAGGAATTGCCCAAGCACGAAAGAAGCACGCTTTTGAAGTTGCTTACCAATTTTTGGTCTGAGCGTTCGGCGAGTGGATGGAGCCCTCTTGAATATCCGCTCACAATGTCTGATCACGTCTTTGCCGATTGTGATATCATCGTGCGAGAGGATGAGCCAAGCTCCTTGATTGCTTTTGCCTTGGATTCTCAGGATTACCAAGAGAAGCTCGCAAGTATACAGCAGCGCTACGAAGATCTCGACGCGACTGATGCTGGGCCGGAGAAGGACCCCGAGGCACGAGTTGAACATGCGCTGTTGAGGTCCACTGGAACGCATCTCAAGTATCAGTTCCAGGAGGGACAGGCAAAGATGCTTTGCAAGGTGTTTTATGCCGAGCAATTCGATGCCTTGCGAAAGAAATGCGGCGTCTCGGAGCGAATCGTCGAATCACTTTCTCGCTGCGCTAAATGGGACTCGAGGGGAGGCAAGACCAAGTCGCTCTTCCTGAAGACCCTGGACGACCGATTTATCCTGAAATCTCTCGCTGCTATTGAAACCCAGGCGTTCCTCAAGTTTGCCCCCGCCTATTTCCAGATCATGTCCGAGGCTCTATTCCATGAGCTGCCGTCTGCCATTGCCAAGATGTTCGGGTTCTACCAAGTGATCATCAAGAATCCCGCGACGGGCGCCGAGTTCAATTGGTATCTTTTGTTGATGGAGAACTTGTTCTATGATCGTGTTCCAACGCGGATCTTTGATCTGAAGGGATCCATGAGAAACCGCAAGGTCCAGAGTACGGGAGAGCGCAACGAGGTCCTCCTGGATGAGAACATGGTGGATTTCATCTACGAGACGCCCTTGTTCGCTCGGGACCATTCCAAGAAACTGTTGAGCCAGAGTGTTTGGAACGACACGTTGTTCCTAGGACGGCAAAACGTCATGGACTACTCGCTTATGATCGCTATCGACGAACAGCGGTCCGAGCTGGTAGTTGGAGTCATCGACTGCATCCGCACGTACACTTGGGACAAGAAGTTGGAGTCCTGGATCAAAGATCGAGGCTTTGCCGGCGGCGGCAAGAACCGGCCCACGGTGACCAGTCCGAAGGAGTACAAGAGTCGATTCAGGGAGGCTATGGCTCGCTACGTCCTCCAAGCACCAAGGTATGCATTTACTTTCCCTTTGTTCTACTTTTGACGGTGGCTGACCAATTGCCTTAGTTGCTGGCATCAACTCCAACGAACATCTCTTCCACCAGCGCCTCCCTCCATGAGGCAACAAATCCAGGACGGAGACTTCGATATGGAGTCCGCGGGATACTGAACGAAGGTATTGATTGTTATGGATAGATGACTTTATGACCTGTGCCAATGATTGTATGACTACCATGAGGAATATGACCATTTACGACTTTTTGTATTGTGGTATCTATGGCGTTTATCTGAATTGTTGGATGATACGATTGCATTCATTGGAGTCTAGCGAGTGTCTTTTTTTCAGGAGGAATGAATGACAAAGAATGGAATTTTCAAAAGAATATCATCTCATCGCCTACTCCAAAGTAGATACTAGTACTAGATATCTCGTACCTGTACCCATTACGTCATCATCACATGACAGCCGGTCCCTGAAGAACGACTGCAGAAACACCTAAGCATTTCTCAACAGAAGTAATTTATGAAAACAAATATAGAATTACACCAATTATATACACCGTAGAGCTATCATGGGACCTGTATGCTCAACATTCCCATAACCCAAATGTTGTAAGTAGTAAAAGTACAGAAATGTACGGAGAAAACTCGCTCTTCCGTTTCACCGAGCGCCAAACAACCCGACCCGATCGGCGGAATTCGGGACCCCTCGGGAATTTGATTTGCCCTCATTCTTCATCGATTCGTGAAGCGTGCTGAGACGAGGGGTTTTCTCTTTTCCTTTACTTTTCTGTTTTCTTCTTCTCTTCTGTTTGCCCCTCTTTCCAGTACATTTCTTCTTTTTCATCTCTTTGGTGTCTATTGTTGTTTGCGATGTTTCTCGTGTTATATGGGTACCTACCTACCTATAACTACTTCCCGTTGAACTAACTAGGTTCCTGAGGCCGCCTACTTGGAATGAACGAGTGAAATGCGCGTGCGCGGATTCCGAGTCGAGTTTCATGCGACAACGCAGCGGCCGGACAGAGCAGAGCAGAACAAGACTGAGCTGAGCTAGCTGATCACGCCAGAGCCATGCACGAGGAAGACCTACTCTGTTACATGCAACCTCGGTTGATGAAAGCCCGAGGAGTTCTCTTTCCCCGCGCGATTTTCTTGCATGGGGGGAAGGAAAGGGAGAGTTCGTTGTCTACCTCTCTGTCTCTTGTCTCTGCCTCCGTTTCTCCTTGTGTCTTCTTTGGTCTCGGGTTTCACTCTCTTTTTTTTTTCTCTTTTCTCTCCTTTTTCTCTTCCATACCGACACGAAAAGGAACATCTGTCTTTCTTACTGAACTGGACAAACTCATGAACTAACAAACTAACCATGTACAGGCCAGATACAGACTACAGACTACAGTGAAGTGATCTTGGAATATTCAACTGAATTCATTATGAAATGCGAAATCATTAATCTAGCTTTTCATCGCAGGAGATAACTATTGACTCCAAAAAGGAAAGAAATTATGGCTCAAGAATACGCAGTATGTTCCGGGGGAAGGATGTGTCCTCGCCGCTGCGTTTCCAACCCAGGACACACTTCCAGTGGTTGCTTCGTCGTCCGTCCGACACTGTTTCTTCGAGTCCCGGTCACTCCTCAGTCTATGAGTCTCGCAGAGTGACCGTCCTGAGGTCATGCTCGAAGTCGAAGAGCCGTCTACGATGCCTTGCGAAACCGCCACCCCTTGCCCACCTCCCATTTCTATCATTTCATGGTTCGGCGCTGTCGTTACCACGTGATCCCACTTGTTTAAGTGGCGATTCTGGTCAGGATTCTAGTTTCGACATTTACTCGGTCAGACCAAGGTTCTCCTCGGCGGGCACCACACGGACGGTGTTGGTGTGACCCTGGCCACCGCGCCAGCCCTGGACGCAAACAATGTTGTCGCCCTTGTTGATGATGCCGAGCTTGAGACCGTGGGAGATACCCCACTTGAGACGGCGGTCGACATCCTCCTGCCAGATCTTGACGTTGAAGTCGGGCTTCTTCTCGGGGAAGAGGAACGGCCAGACACCACGGTACAGGTGAGAGTACTGCAAGGCCGACATGTTAGCGAATCAACTCTCAAGGAATCGATACAAAAGGTTCAAACTTACGCGAGTGGCTCTGGGGTTGCGAGAAACCATCAGGATGGGGCAGACGGGGCGGTACTTGGAGAGGAGACGGGCGGTGTTACCGCTGCATTCATGGTCAGCAATCTTGAATCCTCAACATCCTGTCGAAATATACATACCTGGTGGTCAACACAACAATGGCACCGGCGTTCAGTTCCAGACTGGCGCTGACGGCAGCCATAGCGATGGACTCCACCGTGCAAGTGGGACGGGGAGCAAGGTTGCGCAGCTCGTCGAAGACGTTGAAGTGGGGGATGGCAACCTCAGCAAGCAAGCAGGTCTCGCTCATCATCTTAACGGCCTCGGAGGGGTACGAGCCCTTGGCGGTCTCTCCCGACAGCATGACACAGTCGGCACCGTCAAGGACAGCGTTGGCAACATCGGACACCTCGGCACGAGTGGGACGGGGGTTGTATGTCATGGACTCGAGCATCTGGGTGGCACAGATAACGGGCTTACCCTTGATGTTGCACTTGGCGATCATCATCTTCTGGGCAATGAAGACCTTGGGGGCGGGGATCTCAATACCCAGGTCACCACGGGCAACCATGACACCGTCGGTCTCCTCAAGAATCTCGTCAAAGTTGTTCACACCCTGCTGGTTCTCGATCTTGGCGATGATCTGGATCTCGCGACCCTCCTCACCCAGAACATCACGGATGTGACGGATGTCGCTTCCGCGACGGATAAACGAGGCGAAGACCATGTCGACGTTGTTCTTCACACCGAACTTCAGATCACTGATATCCTTCTCCGACAGAGCGGGAAGGTCGACGTCAGTGCCGGGCAGGTTGACACCCTTGCGGGAAGAGATGTTGCCGTTGTTGAGACACTTGACACGCAGGGTCTTGTCATCGACGACCTCCAGGACCTCGAACGAGAGAATACCATCGTCGACATAGATCAGCTTGCCGGGAGCGATCACCTTGGTGATGTTCTTGTAGTCAAGGTACCTTTCGTTCGCACATCAGCTTTAGTCCATACCAAATGCTACGATTCCCCAACCACCGAGGCGGTGGGCGTTTTACCAGAGGACTCACATGTTCTTGTCGTCGCTAGCGGTGGCATATTGCTCATCAGTGGTGATGTTCAGCTCGTGGCCCTCCTTGATAGGAATGTCCTGGTCGCCGGGGGTGTTTCCGGTACGGATCTCAGGTCCTTTCTGCAATGTGGAGTTAGTGGCGGTCCGGTGGAAGCGTCGGATTACGGGACGAACTCACGGTGTCAAGGGCAATGGCGAGAGGACGACCGGTCTGGACGCGAGCGGCCTCGCGGGAGTTATCGATAACGGATTGGTGGTACTAATTGGGTGGTCAGTGCCGCGAAGAGGGGCAAGAAAAAAAAGCAAGAAAAAAAGTCCGCAGGATGACATACCTCGTACGAGCCGTGGGAGAAGTTCATACGAACAACGTTCAGGCCGGCTACGAGATCTTGTCAGTTTCACTATCGGGAATGGTTCATTCGAGGAATCTCTCCGTACATCTGCGGAGGAGGTTGATCTTCTCCACCGAGTTTGTCTTGGGACCTAAAGAGGGGCGGAAAAAACGGTTAGAACGGCACAATGCGAAATCAACCCAGCGCTCGACAGGGCAACGGGGAGTAGAGCGCACAACCGACGGACAATTGAGGACATACCAATGGTTCCGATGATGGAGGTGCGACGAAAGTTCTTCGCGGGGACCATCTCCGTGTTCAGCTTGGAGTGCCACTCCAGCTTCATACGGTTGCTCAAATGGTCGAGAGAGGAACTGGCGGCCATTTTGAAGAGTTCTCTGTAGGTTGAACCTAGATAGAGAAAAAGAGTAGATAGGGGGGAGAAGAAGAGGTGAGTTGGAGAAAGGGAAGGGAAGAGAAGGAAGGAAGGGAAAAAAGAGAGGGAGAGATGAGGTGGATGGGGGGTGGCCAAGAGGAGAGCCGGTGAGAGAGGGGCTGCTTTGGGTTTGGCTCCCGACCGATTGGTTTTGCCTGGCAAATTGTCTGTCTCTGGCTCTCTGTCTATCTCCGGTCGGTCCCCCGCGGCTCGATGACCTGCCTGTTCCCTCAGGCAACCAGAAAAGACTTTACGCCGGGCTTGGAATCTCTTGGTTTGTCTCTATTAGACAATGAAATGTGTCCATGAAATACATCCCACTATCGATATCTGTCTTCTTTTTCTGTTCCTTATTTTCCCACCCCCATGGACGTTCACAACTGTACGAAGTAGTTCCCATCACGAATCAATAGTGGCACCGATCAGGTTGGGCCGTGCTTTGCCATCTGAGAAAAAAAAAAGAAAAAAGAAAAAAGAAAAAAGAAAAAAGGGTACCTGAACCTGATTTGTATTCAATCGCCCACATGACAAAATCACTGGATTCTATCGGCTCCACCAAAAGGTCTTCCGTACATCCAATTGCCCGTCTGTCGCAGGACAACTCATCCATCATTTGCCTGTCAATTCCCCTGTCGCCCAAGACTTCGATCATCAATCAGTCCGCTGGTCCGTTCGGAATTGCAGTATCGAGTTAGAGGGAGCCCACGAAGTACATACACAGACTACTAGTCTACTACTCCGTAGCACCGGTGTACATCGTCCTGCCTCAGGCACTCACTCCTCCTCCGTAGGCGAGGCGGCACCCTCAGGCCGGCCTTTTGTTATCCGTTCCCATCATTGGCCGGACCGCATATCTCCATTTTGGTTGTGGAATGGACTTTCGGTGGTCCGGAGTACGGGTCCACGGACTAGTCCAGTCCTGACTTTTGTTGGCGTGCGTAGAACGGTAGAAGGGCAAACGGCTTCCCGATTTTCAGCCTGGCTTGCTTGCAGTGGCATTACTAGTATTATTATTATTGGCATTGGCGTTATTGACATCGTGGGGTCTCTCCGTCCATGCGGTTGGAACACTTGGATTCTCGTCGTCGATGTCTATCATAGTCTACCATCTACTCCGTAGATCTGCTTCTTGGATTTATTTCTCACCACGAAAGGATCCGTGGCTGTTTGTGGGCATTAGTTGTTGGGGCCGGTATAATTGATTATTGAATATTAATTATTCATGGTCCGTAGACAGGTGAGTTTATAGTTGTTGTTATCCCCTTTCCGTTTTCAGCTTCGGATTGGGTATCCCAGCCACGTTTCCAGCCTCTGGGTTATCGGCTCTGCGCGTACGGAGCACTCCGTGGGATCTACTCCGTACGGGTCTGGAGTATGGAGTATGGCAGAACCGCAGAAGTCTAGGGCCATGCATGCCTTAACTGGTTATACATTGGAGTTTGAGTATGCTTATATGTATGCACTTTTCTTATGCCGTTGCATTTCGATGGTAATCGATATCAGTGGTACTATTTGCATTTTGTTAGAAAATCGGCCCGAAGGCCCGAAGAACCAGACCTTGACACGGAGTGCTCCGTGTCTACAGTCAGAATTCTGAAGAGTAAGCATCGATTGATTAGCGCATGATGTGATATGACTGTCTTCAGTTAGATGACATGACATGACATGGCTATTTATAGACGGGAAGATTTGGCTGCTGTCTGTCTGTCATGCGCATATTACTATTCCGATGTCTCCGTGCCTGGATTGATATAAGTATAGAGTTTGCTCCGTAGGGTGTAGCATAATATGCATATATATGCGTTGAATGGTGTCCGTCGAATCTGGTCGTCGAGTGTACCCACGTTCCTGGGCCAGTGGACTTGGTATCCCGAGTCAGTCAACTACACCGGAGTTCATCGCGGATAGGACTTGGTCTACTTAGTGATCATGTCGCTCCAATATAGGAGTATCTATGACATTTGGAAAGTTGACTGGACTATGGATATGTTGCGGTGACTGAGGAATCGATCACCCCGTACCTCCGGGTTGATAATACGGATATCAACAGGGGTCTAGTGAATAAGTAACCACCATAGTCTTTCCATGTAAATTTATAGGATTAACCCATCTGCATACTTAATTTCCAAGAACTTCGGAGCTTCATAGTAAGTTGTGGCTGTCGTTCGGACTGCACAGATCGCTTCAGAGCTAACGGACAGACATTATAGAAAGCATCAAACGAGATCCTACCGTACGAGTCAACTTCAACTCAAATAAACAATTTAACCGTTATCGTGCAGCTTTGAAACCACTTTCCCCCACATACCCAGTAGTTATGTGTACAGAAAAAAAACCCCATCCATCCCAGCCACACCTAACAGCCCAAACCAGCCTCCCGTCACCCTCACCGCCCACGGCCCCGCGGCAGCCAAAACGATCACTCGCCCACGTCATGTGAAACAGAGCACGTGAGGCCCGCCGACCTCCCGTCCTTTCCTGCCCGAGAAGGCAGCATCCGGTAGGCTGCTTGCTTGTGCTTCTGCAGATCCTCGTCTTCTTTTCCCGGTTGACTCTCCTCCTCTGTCTACTGTCTACTTCCAAATTTACCTTACCTACTCTGTGCCTACGAAGCATAACCAAGTTATCCTGCTCGATCCGACTCGCTCACTCGGCCTTTCTATCTATCTCTTGCTACAAGTGTTGAGGTACCTTCATTATGGTATGTTTTGGTGTCTTGGTTTACATTTACGGGTTGTCTAGCTTGCCGTTCGAGCTGGAGGAGGGTTCAGTGTAGTTACATGGAGAGATCACATCGGAGTCAAGAGAAGAGAGTAACAAAAAGAGGGGGCAATTGGCTGACCCAGCACGAATACAGTTCGGACGTTTGACTCACTACGCATTCGATGCGGTTCTCGGTATGTCTTTTCTCATTCCTCTCCCTGCTTTTCTATGTCTTTGATCTAAAAGTCCATGTCGCTAACCATGTACTCTCCTATGCTATAGTCTCTGCTTTCCTGGCAGGCGTCAAGCGCTCTACTGGCCTTACGTAAATACCTCCCCTCCATCCCTCCCTTTTCGATCGTGATCGTTCTACCTATAAAATACACACGGAGGATGTCGTTGCCTACCTACCTACCTTACTCCGCTACACCAGACCCCAACCTCTGACGGAGAAATTCTAAGAATATTGACTGACCGTTTCATCCCGCGCCCCTAACTCGACTCGAGAGGGGAATCGCGTGGGACCTTGCACAGCCCTAGTCTGAACTCTGACCAGATCACCGACAACAAGGACTTCAAGAAGTGGATCGATAACTACCTCGGCGTTGGCGAGTGGGTGATGGATCAGTCGGTTGCCGTGTTGGGTTCGACGAGCTGGTTTGAGCGCCGCCGGTGAGGCCTGAGGATTTTATTTTTCGACAATCGACAAGTTTGCGCTGTTCTATGTTCGACGATGGTTTTGTGACTCTACATCTACTTTCAGCTGATTTTTCTTTCGTTGCTCGGTGGTGGGACACTATGATGGTGGTGGCTGGTCGGGTTCATCCGCTTCTCTCTGAGGAATAGAGAGGGATGGAGAGGGAGCCGTCGTGGCTGAGAGAGAGGGTTTGCCTGTGCCCGCCAGGTAAACACCGTTTCATGATTGATGATAAACTCCCCTTTTTGGGCCTGCCGTTCGGTCTGGATGGCAGGACCCGTGGCGTTGGGACTTTTCCGACTTGCTTGTATACCTTCCTCGATTCTGCATTTATATCCCCACTCGTCGCTTCGGTATACCTGCATGTACATATATGTGTCGGTTTGGCAATTCTGATTGCGGTCGCTTGTGGCGCTGCTCTACCACCAATGTCCTCGTCATCAGCCTGGACTACGGAGTCATCACTCGTCCGATACGATCCGCAAAGTCTTGTAATCATAGGCTTTCAGTCCATGAAACAAGAAATCCATCCGTCAACTTCATGTCCTTTCTCAGCAATCCACTGTGCCAATATTGGTTTCCAAGACCACGAAGACCTCGTGATATGCTTCTGAGACTTGGATTCGTAGACCCGCCCATTCACATGGTAAAAGAAAAGCAATGGCCGTCATGGGTTTTAGTAGACGGCAATGGTGCTTCCAGAAAATCAAGAGTCCAAAGGGTCATATAAGACATTTATTTAATGCACCGTATACAAAATCGCCCTGATTCAGAATACCAATCATTGAGCGGAAGCCGGTGTAGACATGATTCGTGAAATCGTAAAATCCGTGTGGATGCTTGGTGAAACGGCATATCGTTTCATATCTTTAGAAGGTCGTCGATATCAAGACGACGATAATAAGAGATGTGCCCCATGGCCTCCCAGTAATGTGCTATGCATTCAGGGTTTATAAGAATAAGTTGCGAATCGATGAAAGAATCTGTGCGAGTCAGGATCATGTAAAGATTACTGTAGGCACAAGGATGATCAGTGACCTACCATCTCGAAAACCAAGGCCAGCTACGTGGCCTCGACTTCGCACGATCCTTGCCCCTTTGAAGAGAGCCTCATCTGCAGTGCGAACAAAACCGCCAGGACCAATGTCGTTTGAAGCGAAGGTAATCTCACCCCGCGGGACGTTGGGGTCTCCAGTTAGCTTGACCGCCTCTAAACTGCCTCGGTGGATGATCTCGTCACCGTCGGATGGCGGTTGATCAAGATGGCCGTCATCCGGGTCATGTTGCATGAAAAGCAAGAATTCGCAGCCGTGCGCAGAATAGTCCCCAACCCAAATTCCCTGATAGGGTTTCTCCCGCGTTGGAGTATACAGGCGCGGATCAAGGGTCGAGTAAGTTGACAGGGTTTCACTACGGCCTGCCGTGAAGATGGGCATGCCAAGGCGGAAATGGGCCCATCTTCTGATCCGGAAGGCATGTTCGGACATCGTCTCCAGATTTGGAGGGCGACATGTTCCATTTGCCAAGTGAGGTTCTACATCTCGGTAAACGTGGTAGTCACTCGGGATGGTAGGCGGCGGCCACAATTTGTTGGAGTCCGGCTCCGACGGGTTCTCCGCTGAACAAAGCGAGAAGGCATTGAATACATGCTGCGTCTCGAGAGCCATAGGCATGCGGGTCTCTCCGTTCAGATAACGCCGTTCACCTTGGGGATTTTTCAAGAAAAGGACTGGGTCGTCCAGCCAGAGACTGGCTTTAGGATGGAAGGGTTGGACGATAACATCTGGATTCCAACTCCACATTTGGAATGGTTGGCTCCGTCGTTCTGCAATAACGCGATAAGCCTCAATGACACCCCGTCGATGATCGTAACGGGCCAGAATCAAATTTCCCGTGTGTTCCGTGTCCGAAAACCAGACCCTCTTCTGCGGGATGAACCAACACGGGTGGTGAGCAATGTAGAGACTGCGAAACGAATCGAAAGGGCCCGCATCCTGGATCTTCGTGGGTAAGTAGGAGTTGATCAGATCCGCCCATAGAAAATCGTATGTGGCATGCTCGGCGAGAAATCGACAGGTGGCCGAGACACGGGCGAGATCCAGTGCCGAGAGATGAGATAGGATAAAGTGGACGATCTCCGGTGGGAGCTGCAGAAGAGGAGCCTTTCCCACGTTGAGGGGCTTTTCGGAGAGAGGTCGCGACCGTGGCTGCTCGTTCACTTCAATTTCCACCGTGGATGCCTGGTGATACTTCCCTAGAGTCGGGTCCTTGTGGTGCAGATCCATCGACGCCACAGCCATCAGGATGGTCTTTGGTGGAAGACGAAGAGATAGAAACAGGGGGGTTAACAAGGAACGGACTCAATCCCACTGGCCGAATGTCCGGACGATGAGCAATATAACAAGATCTAGTGGAATGGAGGGGGGAGACGGAGGTAGACGGAGAATGATAGGTGAGGATCGGCATAGGTAAGGAAGACAGCGAACTGGCTTGGTGCAAGTCAGGAATCTCAGGATGCAGGTGGTACAGTGTAGTGTACAGCGTTGGTGTAGAAGGGAAGTAAGGTCGGAAAGGAGGAACGACTCGGGAGTGCTGGCTTGATAGTGTGCGTGCACATGACGTCATCTACAGCACTGTCGACACCACCCAAATGCGACTTTGTCGGAGAGTCCAGGGTCGTAAGTGTCGTTATGTGCTCTGCGTTCAATCTCTCATTGTCCTAGTGCATGACAGAAGATACATGGTCGGTGACTTCTCACATGACAATTCGACAAACCTCCGGCGAGAGGACGATAAGATAACGAACCTAAGAAGCTGGCCAGAGTCCAGACTCGAGAGATCCCCGCGTTCTCGCATAGTTGCCAATGGAATGATTGGGTTCTGTAAAGGTAGCATCCTGTGGATTTACATTGGTTTATGCAAGGGTGAGTGCTGCCTGATATTTCAGGCACCCATGGCCAGGCCAATTTTGTTTACGTCCCAAACGCGTAAGGAGGCCTTGCCGGATCGGGACTTCCGGGGTAACCAGCCGTGTTTGGCTTTTTAGTTTAGGCAGTCTGTTTGTTTGTCGCTTCTGCCTGCCGAGTCTCTCGAGTATGGGGAATATTTTATCGCGCTGTAGTCCTTATTGTTTATTGTTTATCAGACATCTCGCAGCACTCTGGCCGGTCCTCGTTCTATGACCTCTGTCGGAATATATTAACGATCACGTCGGTCTTGCTTGCGACACCATCTACCACCGGCCTTTACCCCACATATATAACCATGGTGATGGACACCAGGCAGTCTCGTCGAAAGAGACGAAACAGTGCTATTTCTAGCTCAGTTCCATGCTCCCCTACTACCTCGTGCAGAGTTACTCGACAGACCAAGGCTTCAACCTGCGAGACTCCCCGTCAGCCAGCCAAGAGGGTCCGTTTTTCCGACCCCGGTCCCCAGCTAGAGAATGACAAGGACTATTCAACCGGGCTCACGCCTGCCATGCTTCGCACGTCGTTTGATGAATCGGCAACTTCAGACGTGCCTCGTACCCCGAGTCGGGCGGCGCGACGACGCTCAACTCCGCTCCCGCGGCGCCGTTCGTTGGATCCTCTGCTGGACTCTGCTACTTCCGAACGAGTGGTGCAGTTCACCCCGCTGCGGCAAATCCTGGACTCTCGGACCCAACGGCGAATCCGTCGGGTCGGGCTAAGTGATGAGATCAACAATCACCAACGTGAGAAGCGAGAGGTCGCCCAATACGAAAAGACTCTGCAGACCCTGTTGCAGGAGAGGGATGCTCTGAAAAAGGAGCTAGAGTCGAGCCAAAGAACTCGGGACACTCCCGACAGCCTCTCCTCGGGTGAGGACACGGTGTGCTTGTCACCTCAGGCAAAGATTAACCATTTGGAATCCGAAAATGGTCGCCTGCGAGAGGAGATATCCTCGTCGTTTCTTTCGTGCCAACACCATTCCGATGCCGCGCCGTCTGAAGGTGACACGATAAGCATCAACGATACCGGATTTGAAGGGGATACAATACTCATGTCGTATTCTCCGGATCTCCGCGGGTCCGACGAACACCCGACGCCTGGGTTAAATGACCTTCCTCCTCTAACTCCAGAGCGTTCACTTCATGAGCCCTCTCCAGCGGCGCCCTGGTCTGGAAATAGCCGAGACGTAGAGATCCTTGCCCTTTCACGGGATCTAGAAGCCGCTAGGAAGGAAAAGAAAGACTTGTTTAACGCATGTCGAGCTCGATTTGCCTCTTTGGAGGGCACGCCCCTGGAACACCATCTGCGGCAAACCTCTCCGCCACCAGAGTTTTTCGATCAGCTTGTCCCTAGCCTAACAGAAGCCGTCTCACGGGCCTCTGATGCCGTTGGCGCTCTTGATTCGGTCAAAAGAGAAATATCTGGTCTAGGTTTCCCTGGCGAGGACGTGGAAGAGATCGTCCACGAGATGCGTGATAGGTTCCGCTCAGCCCGCCTTCAGTTAGAGCGCGCAGTTCCCGGAGAGACCGCCAACGCTGGCCTGAACGACGGGAATGCTACCTTGGGCGCCTTGGTGAAGCGCGTCGAGTTACTTGTCGGGAGCCTTGGGGAAGAGCAAGTGCGCCATGAAGGCACCGTTGGCCGCGAAAAAGCCTTGCGTGGACAGTTTGACGACTTGTTAGAGCGATATGAGGGTGCATCGAAGAAGATTGGAGACCTCGAAGCCTCCATTGCTGCAACAGCCGGAGACATGATCCACACGAGAATGCAACTGCAGGAACTTGAACGTGAGGGGCAAGAGCAGACCGTCGGGATCGAGCGACTAAACGAGGCGCTCAGCAAGTATCGCGACGAGGTGAAGAGCCTGGAGAAACTTGTGACGGACCTGGAAAAGGAAAAGGCCACGGCCAACGAGAAACACAACGAACAAGTCTCGAAGTTGGAAACTAAAGTGGCGGGCGAAATGGAAGCCCGCCGGGCAGCGGAGTCGGCCCTTGCGGAGCGAGAGGCACGAATTCATGGATTGGAAGCGACTGTCGAGCAAAATCGAGTTCGCGCGTGCGATCTAACCGCCAGGGTTGAGTCAATTGAGCGAGAACGTCAACAAACCATTGAGGGCCTGGAACAGCAAGCGACCGACCAAATCCAGCGCCACCAACAGGAAATGGGATCGATGAACGTCCGTGTTTCAGAACTGACGACATCGCTTGAAGGCGCTAAATCGGAGATGGACAAACTCCGTCGCGGCAACACAGATTTAGAGGAGCAATTGCATCTCGAAGTCGAGGCCCGGGATAGCCTGCTGGACAGGTGGGCTGCAGACCAAGCGCGGTCCTTTGCCTTTATGAAGGAAACAGTCAACGCAGAACGGCGGAGAGCGAAAGTCCGCACCGCCAATTTCGAGCTCAAGTCGGACGAGCTGCAATCCGACAGTACGAATCCAGGCAGTGAGCCGATCACTCCAGTCAGCTTGACACGGTTTGTCGATGTGGAGGTCGGACGAGGAAAGCAGCGGAGAAAACTTGACAGTGGAATTGGTATTCTAACCGACGAAGACGTCCTGGATGAGGCTGGTGAGAATGATAATCGTGTGCTGCTTCCTTCTGATCCAGCCGATCTTTAGTTCTTGTTCAACTTTGGGTAATTTGAAATTCTTTCCTTTGTTGAAACACGCAGTGTACTCTTGCTGTGAGCTCGGTCTTTGGATTTCGGGTACTTTGTAAAGATAATTAGGGTAGTTGAACAGAGAATGAAAACTTGCTTGATCTATAACTATAACTATGTAATTGTTGACGCCGAGGCGAACCATGGATGATCTGTCGATGACGTCGTGTCGATCATCGATCAAAAGCTCCATCGGTCTCATCTCTCGTTTCTAATGCTCTGTTCTTTATCAATTGTTTACCATTAGATCGATTCATACAAATAGACATACAAAGAACCATGGCCGAGTCCACTGACGCCCAAAAATACCGTTTAAAAGTCACCGCGGGCTCCGAATACAACCCCGACACCCATCGCATCGTACCCGTCAATGAAAACCAACCACTACGCATCGACAACGAACACGCCACGATAAGCCTCTGCGTGCGCATCCAGGACTACACCGGTATGTACTCTCTACCTAACTACCCTCATCCCACAATCTGGTATCTCTAACTAATGTGACGGAAAGGCTACCCCGACGACTCCCCCAAAACCAACCCCTACTTCACCCACCCGCTACACACATCCGACCAATACTCCATCTCCTTCGCCATCGTCTTCAAACACCCCGTCCCCGGCACGGACCTGCTCTTCGGGAATAACTTCGATCGTCCGATTCGTGATCGTCTGCCTCCTGGCTTCAATGCGGCGCTGCGTCTCGTTCGCTGGTCTATAGATCCGACGCTGGAGGGCGATGCGTATGCCGATAAGCCGTACTTGTTTAGTCCGGCGTTGTCGACGTGGAATCAGTTTCGGGTTGGGGAGAAGGTGAATGGGAATGGGGATGGTGAGGTTCCTACTCTGCATAGTGGAGATGATGAGTGTGAGGGGGATGGTGTCGTAGAGGAAGGGGCGGATGGGGATGGAGTCCAGGTAAGAGAGGAGCTGGGGATCCCTGGGGATGTGGCCGGGAGGAGGAAGTGGTTTCAGGAGGAGGAGAAGAGGAAGGAGTTTGTGTTTGAGGAGGGGAGGGTTTATTGGGTGGATTTTGGGAATCCGTATTTGGGGTTTAATGGTATGGTTCACTTTTTCGCTTCTTTCCCTTTGGTGTTGGGTTGGAGTGGAGTTGGAGGAAGGGCTAATTTCTGGAATAGATTTCTCGTTACGGCTTCCTGGTTTCAACATCCATGTTCTACAGTATATAGATGAGGATAACCATGCGTTACGATATGTGCTGAAGAACAAGACTACGGATGAAGTCTACTTGGTTGTGCTGTTCACGTTGGTGCTGCAGTGATTTCTAGATATTGCTAAGCTATCCACGGGCATATCCACGACGAGGTGCATTGACGAAAGACAATTGAATAAAGCGAATCTACCCAGCTTTCAACAATCGCTAGAAATCCTGCATTCCTTTCCCGAAACGAGTTCAAATGTGAGGCAAGCGAGTAGTATCACCGCGAGGATTGCCATCACTGACCAAATATCGCGTAAACAAGAACATCGAATCCGTGTCCTGGGTAAGAAAACGGTACAAGGGCGACATTCGGACCATAAGCTCATGCCCGTTGTAATATGCCGTCAATATCCTTCCTTGCCGTTGACCCATGAACGAGAACAACATTACCTAGAAGCGTCATTAGTTACGTCACATGCCGATCTAGGAACCTTTGTCGACTCAGCGGAACAACCATATGATGGCTAAGGTACTCTTTCTCCAGTCGGGTTCCCATCGTAGCAACGATTGTAAGCAGTTCTGTACGCAAAAATTTGGTCCGGGTCCCCTTCGACACTGCTGCACATGCATATTTTGATATGCGCGTTAGGCCCAGGCAGGGTCCAGTAGAATTTGGGTTTCCATCTGCGGTCCCGTTCAGAGATTTGTGCGGAATATTCTCTGCTGAAAGGCAATGTCCTGTAAAAGCATGACCGATGTCAGCTAGGCTGCGCGGCGTTGGCTTTTGAGTGCACTCACCCAGCGCAACACCACAAATTCAGGTCTCTTAGAGGCCTTACATTCCCCCGGGTTCCATACCTCGGCGCGGACTCTACCTCCCACTTCAGGCGCTCGCTCATCTGAGAACTCCACGTGTATGTCTCCTGCGGACAAGATAGAATGCCCTCATCCAGCGGGCTTCCTAGGGCTTGGAGTCCTGTACTTTCGTCGTTTACCTCCGGGTTCTTCTCGTGATTTGCCATCTGCTCGGTCGTCCATGGCGTGAAGTATCGGCCGCAATCTCCTGGGATATCGGGATCGAAGAGTCGGACATTGATGCCCAGATTTGGAAGAGAATGGGTGGGAATGATAGGACGACTGTCGTTTTTCAGCATCTGGAATAATCGATCCAGAGCAGGCTTGATCTGTTCCCGCGCTGCGCTGGAGCTTCTAGGCGTGCCGTTCATGCTGGTAAATATCTTCGATCGTGATATTCGGGAGTTCAGTTGAATTGAGTTGAACGAAGGCAGAGGGTTAGATTAAAAGAAGGAGTAGAAGTAGACAGCGATATCTGTCTGAAAACATGATGTAAGGCCTGCTTTGTAGTAAACATCCGGTAGAGACCAAATGGCAAGTGTCAGCAACAAACGGTACTGTTGATAGTCAAGCCTTTGTTAAATGACAAAGATAGGTACGGGCCGGGGCAAACATAAGTTTCTACATTTTGTTGGTTGGAGCTCTAACTGCCATATGAATATCGCTGTCTTGTGATCAGCGCTGGCTGCAGTAAGTGGAAGCCTTCATGACTGGTTTACAGTGGTCGAGATAAACAAAACGACTAGAATGCTTAGATGCGTCTTTAATTCTGAACGAATTATTTGGGGAATATACCATTCAGCCGGACTGGCAGACCATCGTTTGCACCGGTGGGTCAGCTCCTGCTAGGAGGCGAGACGTCCTCCCAGGCTCCCACGCCCAATCGGCATTCTGTTCTTGCTTCTGCAGGCTATCGGAAGTGGGCTTCACTAGTCCGGACCGTTGATTCGTCCAGGTTTGCTGCAACCTGGCCTCTAGGGAGTGTGGGGGACCGTCCACTGCAGGGACAGGACGGCGATACATGGTTGATGGATTGCGTCCTACCGCAGGAGGCCGTGTATGACAGGGGTTCGTTCCTTGATCTGATCTCTGACGATGCCCGATAGGTACAGAGTGTAAAAGGCCAATAGGAGATCAAGTATCCGGCCAAAGTCAAAGATACTTCGTGCAAGGGGTCCGTCCCATCTAGACGACGATCAACAATATGAGGCACTAGGGAGGCGATAAAACGGCGTCAGGGCTTGAATGGACATCCACCCATATTGGATAATCGTCAGAGCCATTCTAGAATGCTCGGCTTGAAACGGGAGTGGCTAGTTGACTACGTACGAACGTAGGGATGAGATTAATGAGGTGAAGGGAAGGTGAAACTATTAAAGTGAAGCCGCGGATCCGACCCCTGAAACCGCTGCCTCAGGCCTGCCCCCCCGTGTCCCTCCACTTTTTGTCTCTCCTTTCTGTTTTCCACTTTTCCTTCTTCTTCTTTCCTTCTCGCTTCCTTCTTTCGTTCTTCTCTTCTTCTTCCCTTCTTCCATTTCTTGTCAGCCGGTCTTTCTGCTCAGATCCCATCCCATCATCGCATCTCTCATTGATCCCATAATGTCCGATCCGTACTTTGCCCTGGCGAATTTAACTTCTTACTAGCTTTGTTCTCTCTCCACTTCCACTCCTTTGGAACTCCGCGTTGATTGTTTGGTTCTGTTTATATCACGTCACCCGCTCCCCCTCACGTCAAGCGCGTCCCGTCATTGTTGATTTATCTGCAACCCATCCGCATTCATCGTTGCGACCTGACCAGCGGAATCGTCGGGCCCTCCTACTTCCGCTGCAGACACGCTGCATTCGCTTACCCCTCAAGCTGCGACCTGCCGCTGTCCCACGTCGTCTCACCCGCCCTCCTCTCTTCGCCTAAATATTTCGCCTGACGTGGCTCTCCCTTTCAAACGAGACGTCATGAATGACACTGGCGCTCATCCAGGTGTGAGGAATCTCCTTGCCCGGTTTGAGAACAGCCAGAGCAACACCACCTCGCCACCTGACCGCGGTCGGTCTCCTGTCGATTCGGAGAATTCGGGCTCGGCCAGACCACTCTCTAAAGTGCGTGCCAGCTTCGTCGCCGTCGACGGTTCGCAGTCTCCGGTTGCTGGTCTGCGGAAGACTAGTGGTCGCAGTGATAGCCCCGCCGCTCCGCTCAGGGTCAGAAGCTTCAATTCCGACGACGTGCCCAGCCTGAAAAGTCCGCTGTCGGCCTCCCCCACCGGCAGCGGCTTTCCAATGGAACAAAATGCGATGGAGAATGGAAATGAATCCAAGGATGCCGGCTCTCAGGAACCGTCTGACTTCCCGGCCGTTGTGGTTGAAGAAGGCTTGAAGTCTCCGGTGAAGGAAGCTGTGTCATCACACAACAAGGAAAACCAGCCCGTTTCAGAACCTGCTGCCCCTGCATCCCTCGCTGCCTCTCCCTCAAAGACAACCAAAACCGTTACCAAACGACCCTCGGCAATTCAGGTGGGAAAGGCCGCCTCCACCAACAAACCGGCCCCTAAGCCGACCCCTGCCACCGGCCCGAGATCTTCGGCTCAACCGCGTACTCCGACCTCGCCAGCAAAGACTGCAAACGAGAAAACCAGGACAGCCCGCTCCCCGAAGCCTCCTGCTGCTGCAACTAATCAAGCTCTCACGCACAAATCAAGCCGGGCATCCTTGAACCCTGCGACGACTAGGGCTACTACCACCACCCGACCTGTCCGTGCTTCGATGCCCGCGCGCGAGGCCACCAAAGCCGGCGTTTCTGATGCGTCCCGTACCACCAAGCCCCGATCCAGATCACCGGCCAAGTCCACCCGCCTGTCGCCCTCTGCCACGGCCCCAAGCTTGTCGTCTGTCGCGAATAAACCAGGAACCACGGGAACGGCTACTTCTCGACTTTCTCGCAAGCCATCGACCCTGAAAAGTGCCAAATCCGGAACCCAGCAACGCGCAATTACCCCCACTGCTTCAAGCGTGCGCAAATCCTCCCGCCCCTCCCCTCCATCTGGAGGCGAGCGGCCCCCGTCCCGAGTGAGCAATGGCAGCTCTAAGCCTGTCGACGAGGGATTCTTGGCTCGGATGATGCGTCCTACTGCCAGCTCTGCCAGTAAGACCCACGAGAAGGTCGACGTGAAGAGTCCTCCCCGGACCTCTAAGCCGACTCGTGCACCGGTGAAGAAGGTTGCTTCCAAGGCTGAGATCCGAGCGCCCCGTGCGGCAAAAACTGTTGAGAAACCTCAGCCGACCCCCGTTGAGAAAGCGAACGATGCCCTCCAGAAGAAAATCTCCACGGAGTCGGTCATCAAGGAAGAGACAACCGAGGTTGTTTCCGCCGAGCCTCAGGCCGAGCCTCCCAAGCCTGTTGAGCCTACTGTGGACTCTCAGGAAAAGCCTGCCGAAGCTCCCGTGGAACCTTCTACCGAATCCACTGCTGAGGAGCAGCCTGCTGAGGCCCCTGCCGAGACTCCTGCTGAGCCGTCGGTTGTTGCTGCCGACCCCGTCGAGCCCGCTGTGGAGGCCTCCACCGAGAAGCACGTTGAGCAGCCTACGGAGCCTTTGGTGGAACAGACCACTGATGTTGCTCAGTCGGCCATCGAAGAGAATGTTGCCTCCCCCGCCGAGACCACCGAAGTTTCTGTTCCTGTGGACCTGGAAGAGAACAACTCGCAAGCCGAGTCCAAAGAGGCTGTCGAGCCAGCAGTTCCCGAACATACTGAGACTGACAAGTCCACCAGCGACATTGTCGAGTCTGCTCATGAATCGAAGGACACTGACGAGATTGATATCGCCAAGTTGTCCCTGACCTAGATGAGGCCAAGCTGCTAGCAGTATGGATCCATTTGTCAGCTTGAATATCAAACAGAAAACCCCACTTTTTCTTCTTTCCAATCTGCTCCCATTATCTTTCAATTCTTGTTATCTACTTTCTTCGTTATACCCTTTTCATAGCCGTGAAGCGATCTGTAGATCTTCGCGCAACTTTTTTCTTCTCTATTTCAAGCTGGTTCCTTTTTCTATTTTCGTTTTTTACTTGACTTGATCTGTGCCTGCGGGTCTTGGTTTCGGGAAAGCATTTGTGTTCTATGGTTGGAGCAAGGCCGACAATGTGTGCAAGCTGGAGCATCTGTATGGTGGAGTTGTGTTCGGTCCCATTTGGTCTTGTCTTAGCGTTATATACTGCATCTTGCATACATCAGATTTCTCCAGGACTGATTGCTTTCAATTTTGTTTCGAAGTTAGTGTTGTCTTTAATTGCAATCTGGGGTGTTGCTCTCTGTTTCTAAATGCCTTAGATATTCGAGATCTAGAATACAACCCTGGTTATTTATTGCTTCTGTTCCTTTACAATTTGACTGTTAATCAGGTTGGCCAAAAGCCCTGTCACGTCTTCTCTGTCCATGAATACTTCAATGACTCTCAATCCAGTCCCAGACTGAATCCGATCATCGGAAAGCACGGTCTGTAGCTCCTGATATGTTCTGGCACTGAAATTGTTCCCAAGCTGACTCTTGTCCGCCCCAAAGAAGCCCAGTGCATGGTCATGTCGCCACGCCGCAATGTCGTTATACGCCTGTTTTCTTCCGTGGATGGCCCGCTCGATAGTATATCCCGCATTGTTGATGATGAAGAGAATGACGTTGAGCTTCTCGCTGATTATCGTGCTGATTTCCTGCACACTCATCTGCAAGCTTCCATCGCCAATGAAGAGAATGGCACGGGCGTTGTCATCCTTTTTCAATTCTCGCTTCGCGATTGCTGCGCCCAGTGTCGCGGGAAGCATGTATCCGATTGAGAGCCAGGTCACTGCGCCGAAAAGACGCGTGTCTCGAGGAAGCTGGAACTCTCGCCCCCCGTGCGAGGCAGTCCCCGTCTCGGTGAGGATGAGATCTTCTGGGCGGAAGAGCGGGTTGACGAAATCGTAGAAAGTCTTCTGCGTGATAGAACCATCGAGGTTGAGGGTTGTTAGGTCGGTATGGCTGAGCTTAGGGGGGCCTGTGACTCCGGCAATCCGGGAGCCGTCCAGACTCTGCAGCAGCCGGGGCAGGAACGAGCGCGGCAGCTCACGGAATGTGTCCTTGCCAACGAGGATCCGGTCCGGGAGAAACGAAATCGAGACGGATTCCCGCGGGATGGTGGCGAAGCCCTGCGTGTTGGTGTCGCTGTAATGCGGACCCAGGTTGATGATCAGATCGGCCGTCTCGAAATACGTCTTCCATTCTTCGCTTGCGAGCGGCCCCGAGTAATGTCCATAGACATTAGGCAGTTCTTCGTTCACCAGGCTTTTTCCAAAGACCGTGGTCCATGTCGGCCACCCGGTCTTTTTGACCAGTTCATCCACCTGGCTGAGAATCCCCAGAGGCCGACACTCACCGTCGACTAGGATCAGCGGCTGTTTGGCTTGGTACATGCGCTCCTGGACCTGCTTCAGCAGCTCATCCTCCTTTTCATCTACTTCCAACGGCTCCGGCACCTCCAATTCATTCCCCAGCATGTCCGCCGACACCAACACATCCACCATATCATCCGGCACCTCGATATAGACTGGCCGACTATGCAAAATCGCCTGCTTCAACATCCAATCCACCTGCTCCGGCACCGTCCTCTCATCCACCAGATTCGTCTGCGCCACCGTCACATGTTCCGCCATCTTCCCGAACCGCCGATACTCCCCATCTGCAAACGTATGATGCATCAGGGTGCGCGAGTCCTGCAGCGCCCGCGCCGGCGTCCCGACGATATGAATCACCGCCGCCTTCTCGGCATAGGCGCCCGCGATGCCATTGATGGCGGACAGCTCGCCCACGCCGAAGGTGGTGATCAGCGCCGAGAGGCCGTTGATGCGCGCGTACCCGTCCGCGGCGTAGGCGGCGTTCAGCTCGTTGCAGGTCCCCACCCAGTGCAGGCCTGAGGGGGTCACGAAGTCCAGGAGTCGGAGGTTGTAGTCGCCTGGCACGCCGAAGATCGATTGGATGCCTAGCTGGCGGAGGCGTGTGAGGAGGTAGTTTGCGACTGTGATGGTTTTGGTTGGGGGTTGGGGTTGGCCTTGGGATGGGAGTTTGATTTGCGTCATGGTTCTTTCTGATATAGGTTTGGATTGGATGACAAGGGTTGTTCTTTAGGTATTGTTCCAGCGCGAATGTGAGTGTGAGTGTGACGTTGGATTGGGAGTAGACTGGGTAGATAAGTAGTATGATGGAAGAGAGAGCAAAGAACAAACGAGATAAGAAGAACAATTTATCCTCGCATGCGATAACCCCAAGGCCCTCAATCTCATTACTGATTACGTCTAGAGTCCAGACTAGGTAAGGCAATCCCGACTTGAAGCGCCGTCATTTGCTGGTAGGAACAAGCTTACAGGGCTCTTTCGCCGAGCACTCCGATCCGATCGATTTTACTCCGATGCTAGCCATCTCTACTATTAGGGTAGTCTACTCTCACTTGGAACTTCAAAGGGCATATATACTACCTATATTTTAAAGGAACAGATGAAAGATAGCTTGAATGAATCTCAATAATTCTTTCCAAAGAGTAAGTTAAAATAAGATTATTCCAAGATCAAACATTCAGTTATATTCATATTGTAAATGCGGAAGAGGGGCTAGATTAGGTTACCCTCGGTCACGAGGGGAGGAGTTACGGTGGGTGGTCTCCCGCAGGGCGTGAGTTTAATGTGAGATCCGTTCGGGCCTCCGGTTTGGTTTGGACCCCGGATTGAGAGATAAGGAGGGCGTTGATTACTTAATGATTAGGGACATTGGATGAGAGTTATAGATACGGGTTGGTTGGCTGGACCTAAGTAAGTATCACACTACTACCACTGCTAAATAATAGTGTTCTAGGCTGGATATTCTATGTTGATGCTACTAATATGATGAATATTTATTGTTATTGAGGGAGTCTACGCATACAATAGGTCATAGTAGAGGATACATATTACTCAAACAGATGAGATACTTCAATATTTGCTCGAAATGTAGGAGCTATAGTTGTTTAGGTAGAAAAAAGCGAGATCTCGCCGACTACTCCGACTTTCTCTCCGTATGGACTGAACTGACTGTATAGAATTGACGCTTGCCTTCCAGATCGGGATATAAATAGTCCTTACTCTTGCTCATGATCTGCTTCAACTGCATTGCTACTCATGATAAACCCAGCCCAATTACCGGCAGTGAACATGTCTCGTCTATCAATCGCCGACATTGACTCCCTCCGTGCCAATTCCGCACATATCCCCTGCACCGTTGCCCCATACACAACCTCCGAGTCCTTCAAATTTGCACATAACCGTGCGAAACCCAAGTCAGTCTCACTGGACCACCATTTCAGCCTCGAGAGTCGGGGTTTCCAGGGCTCTGCGATGAAGAAATCAGCGAGTCCGCAGAGTTCACACAAGATTATATCGCTTGGGACGGGCCGGCCGACGGCGGAGTCTTATCCGTGGAATGCTCTGGCGCTTTGAGTGCCCTCGATGGCGTCTTCCCGGAATGAGAATGGGGAGCCTGGCCAGGTGGTCAAGCAGACGATCGGCAAGCACGACGCAGGATATAATCTCTCTCTTGGCTTGAACTACGGCCATGCGGCTGGGTCGCCGCACCTGGTGCGCTTTGTGACCGAGCACGTCGAGCTCGTACATAACCCTCCCTATGCGGACTGGGGTACGGTCCTCACGGCGGGATCGACGTCAGCGTTGGAGATTGCGTTGCGCGTTTTCTGTAACCGAGGAGATACGGTCTTGATGGAGCGGTATACATATCCTGGAGCGGTCGAAGTGGCCGGTTTGGTAGGTGCTCGGGTTCAAGGTGTGGATATGGATGCGGAGGCGTTGAGTCCGGATCATCTGCGAGAGGTTTTGCGGACTTGGGACGAGGAGGCGCGGGGACCAAGGCCGACGGTCTTGTATACGGTTCCGTCGGGGCAGAATCCGACGGGCGTGACGCAGTCGGTGGAGAGAAGGCGGGCGATCTATCAGATTGCTGAGGAATATGATCTGGTCCTTATCGAGGATGATCCGTATTATTTTCTCAGCCTGGGTGACTGCCCCGGACGGCTACAAAATGACATTGGTGCGGACGGCATTCCGTCTTATCTGTCTCTCGACCGAGCAGGCCGCGTTGTTCGACTTGACTCTGCATCTAAGATTCTCGCTCCGGGGCTGCGCGCTGGTTGGGTGACGGCGAGTAGTCTGGTGATCGATAAGTTCCTGGCCTACCACGAGGTGAGCACCGTTGCGGTGAGCGGCCCGACCCAATTGATGCTTGGAAAGCTCTTGGATGAAACATGGGGTCACCAGGGGTTCTTTTCCTGGCTTGATCGTCTCTCCCTCAGCTATCGTTCCCGCCGAGACAGTCTGCTGGAGGCCTGTGGTCGATACTCACCGAAGGAAATCTGTGACTGGGTGCCGCCGGAGTATGGTATGTTCCTCTGGATTAAGTTGGATTGGAAAGAGCACCCCCAGTTCCAGGGTCAGACTGAATTCCAGGATGTGGAGCCAAAGCTTGGGGGAATAGAGGACCGAATACTGAGCTCTGCGCTCAAGAATGGAGCACAAGTCACCAAAGGGTCTCTCTTTCAGTGCAGCAAGATCCTAGCGGATGAACTGCACTTTCGACTGACCTTTGCGGCCGCCCTTGAAGATGATTTGGCTGAGGGTGTGAGAATATTTGCTAATGCTCTGGTAGACGAGTTTCGCTAGGACACCTATCCGAGGAGGTACTTAGTTTGAAAACAAAGCTAGACAACCGCTAGACCTCTGTTAACCCAGAGTCAAAAGCCACCAATGAAGGGTGATCTGCCAAGCTCTGCCAGAATCCGGTTTCAAAGTCCCAAAGATCTTGTCCCAGAACACTTGCCCAATCATCGACCCGTTGCTCATCTGCTGCCATATCAGGCGCAGGATGCAGCGGCTCTGAATAAAAGGATTCGAGAAATCGTTAAATCGTTTGCGTAGCCTTGGTGATCAGCCCGTAGATCGGGTCTGCCTCCCTTACAATTGCTCCTATCTGGATTTCAGCAACGAAGATGCTGAGATCTTGCAGTATTCTAGTCCTTGATTTGCCGAGCGGTAGTGGCGTGCTTTGCTGTTTGAGCATCGCGAGCAGGACTATGCCAGCAGCAGGTAGACCATAGTGTGCAATCTGATTGCTTAGCATTCCGCTTGCTAAAAATGTAAGATAACTTACCTTCCAAACAAGCCCGGTTCCAGAGTTGGTGAGTTGATCCCGATTGAGGATAACCTCAACGACAAGAGCAAGCATCTCTCCGGCGACGGTGACCACCGAGGTGTCGGGATCCGCAAGAGTATTCAGCAACAATAAGCGAAGCAGAAGGAGAACATGGAGCTGATTGAGCCGGACACTAACCAAGAAGTCTTGATCGAATGGTGACTGTCGAGTGTGTTGTCTGATGCTGCCCTCTAGCTGGAAATGCGGAGGCAGTGCTCGCCACTGAGCTTCTGCCCTATCTTGGATAGCACTTCTGTTGTTAGCCAATTTCCGTTCGACTATTTGCATCAAGATATACCTAATTTTCTGCACACATGTATGCGGCTTATCTCGGGCTAGCTCGAGGATTTCCTCCTTCAAGGAAGCGCAAAGAGCAGACCAGCGTGTTTCTTCCGTATAACTAGGCATTGCATCGGTGTCCCACTCTGTGTTGCCTTGCGAGTCCGGAGAACTCGAGGGAATTTGAAAGTGGCAAAAACGTTTGCTCATGCGCGGCGGCCTCCCTAAAAAGATGGCGATGTTCTTGTCTGCAGAATAGATTCTTGCAAAAGCTGTCTTTCGCACCTTCATGAGGAACGGAGGTGTTTCCGTCTTAGTCTCGATATTCTCGTGGTAACCGAGCGCGAACATCGAAGACATGACATCCCCAAGTTTGCGCCAAGGATGATAGCCTTGCTGAATGAGTCGATGGTTTCTTTTGAAAATCGATGGGATAGAGCCAACTTACTCTGAGCACCGTCGACATAAGAATGTATAATGAAGTTCTCATATTGTAAGATCAGTTGTACATCATTTAGACAATCAAGAGATAGGGTGATCTCCAATGAAGCGTCACTGAACTTCGTACAGAGCTGACGGAGAGCATACTGCTCTTCCCGTGTCATATATAATTGGGGAAAGAACGGGATGTCGTATGTTGCCCGACTCACGGCTGAGAAGAATATGCCTAGAGCCTCCCATCGCAGATTATTGCCCACAGACTGAGCCATGAAATCAGAAAGGTTTGAGCTAGAAGTAAACTCCAAGGGCTGTGCTGAATTCCGGAGAAGGCGCCTCGCGAAAGCTATATGCCAATCTTCGTCTTGTGGAAGTGTTGAAAGCGAGTGGATAATGCTTCGCGTATATCCTTCAACGAATGGTTCGGCAAGAGCTAGGTTCGCTCCTTTCGCAAGCCATAAAAGGACCAGATCGTTCATGGCTGTCAATGGGAATGTATTTAATAGCTGCCTGAGAATATCGAGTCCTTGTAGCAGACAGCCCTCATCGGCCAATTGTGGACATGGTGACTCAGACAGAGTCGCATCAGAAGAGCGTGGGATCCCTGCTGTAGTGCTTTGATCTAACGAGATGTGTTCGAAGATTGTAGCATGACTCGACGACCCTAGATACCCGGGGTTTGGATATACATTGGGCCTAGGATTGAAAGAAGAGGCTGGGAGTCCTGATGAATGGACCCTTTTGGACACTCCTGGGGATGATGGATTGGCTGGTCTTTTCCTCTTGAACGGGGAGACTCTGTAGATGCACATGCCAGTTTTATTGTTGTTCTCACAACGCGTGCATGCTGGTCGCTTGTGGTCGCAAGCGAGCTTGGCCTTCCTGCAGACCTCACAGGCTGCTAATCGTGATGCCATGGCGAACAAGTGTAGATCAGTGTACTGTTGAGGATGGGTCGATGAGAGCGAAAATCGGAGGGATCGGAGTCTCGGAGTAGATGCGGAGTCTCTTATCTTATCGGCAGCTAACTGTTAACAGTTTACGGACGGGGGGAGGGATAACTGGGAGTTTCAAGCCAGTGCTGACTCACTAGTCCCAAGCCAGATGGTATCTTGTGTTACTACGGAGTACTGTGGTTTATTTTGCGATCTGAATATATTGCACTACAAGTTATTGACTCCCGTACATTCTGGCATTCATCATCAAACAAGCGTACATACAAGGACAAAGCCCCGGAAAAAGAGACAGAGAGAATTATCAGAATAAACAGTTTTATCCATCCGCAAGTAGGATAATTCACAGCTTCTTCTCCAACTTTTTCAAGAATCTATTTACGCCACTCTCGACTCGCGAGGCGCTGTCCTCCAACTTCCGAGGCCGTTGCCCGGGGTTCTGCATAGCTTGATGTGCATATTTTTGATGGTGAGAGGAAGCCTCTGCTTCTGTGGGCCTATAAAACTGTTTATGGATGTCATACTCGCTGTTCGTAGATTGACGTCTTGGTGCTTGGTCGTAAGAGTAATTCGAGTAACCACCTACCGGAGGTGGGGGGGAGGTCGGTTGGGTTTGAGGCTGCGCCGCGTAAATGTTCTGCGTTTGACCATAAAGATGCGCATTGGGGTCTTTGGGAGGAGGCGCGAAAGACATCGTCTGGACAGGTGGTGCATTGACAGCTTGGTTGGTGCCGGAGACGAATGAGGGTGTATAGGACGGAATTCCAGGTGGGCTCTGTATGGAGGATCGAGAGGAGAATGAACCGGAGTGAGTGAGCCCTGCGCTTGGGGGTGGTGAGGCGTAGCTCCCCGGCATCGAGAAAGATAATCCTTGGGTAGCAGGAGGAGGAGGGGGTGCGAAGTTTCCTGCGCCCGAGAGCTGAGACGGAGGACTATAGGGGACACCGTTGTCGGCTGCTACGGCAGCTGCAAGCCCGGTTCCATCGGCACCGTCGAGTGGTGGGGGAGTTTTCTCGCGGTGCTGAATCGGTTCGGGGGCGGCTGGCGCGGCAGGGTTGTATGGGAGAGGGGTGAACTGAGCCGGGTCTTTCTGTTCATCGATCGAGGAAGCTCGCCCGGCGTTTGATGACGGAGGTCCGTTGAGCGGAGGCGGAGGGGGGAGAGAGCCAGGCGCTATCATTGATTGGAAAGTAGGGACCGGGTTTGCGACAGGCACTTCGGATTGAGAATTCCGGGTTTGTCCGTTCTGGTACGCGGGGTCGGTAATGGCTACATTTTCTAGCTGTTGTACGACCGTACTCGTGGCCGTAGTTTGCGGTGGAGGCGGAAAAGGACGACGGTCTGACTCGATCTGGGAGCGGGAAAGACAGCGCTCAGTCAAGTCTAAAAACTGGTTTGCGTCGTCCGACGTCCAAAAGTAAATGTCCAGCGTGTGAAGAAGCAAAAGGTCGTCGCTCGTCTCGCGAGGATCACCGCTCGGTAATAGCCATTCGTAGGCATTGGCGCCAGCGCCAGCGCCAGGTGGCGGCGGGAAGGCCTGCTGTTCTTGGGACTGTCCGTCCACTGTGAGTGTACATAGGGTCGGAAACCTAGTTGAGTGGCGGACATGAACCCGATCCAGAGCTGATAGTGACAAAAGTTAGCGGGCTGAGGATGACGACGTGCTAAAGCAGTAGTGATAACTGACATCCATTGAATGAGTCCTGCTCGGGGGCACTGGGATTATTGGCTACTTCAATCCGTATCTTATGTTGGGCGGCATTGTAGTAGAGATAAAGGTACGAGCCTTTATCAAACCGATGATGCAAAGGCTTAGGGCTAGGAGCTGTAAAGTAGTAATGGATGTCGGCGAAACTAAACGTAGTCAGCCCAGCTCATAATATGCGATCGCATTCCAGAAATTCGCGCTGCAAGCGGCAGTCTGCGGGGTAGATGTGTATCCTCACACTGTCAGCACTCGCTCTTCGCCCTGCAATGGAGGCATGGTGACCTGTCGGATACTGGGGCTGGTTTGCGAGGGGAGAATGTAGAGACAGGAGAAGCGCGAGGGACAGGAGGGATAGAAATCGGGGACATTGTGATATATATAGGCCTCAAACGAGGGGAAACAAGGAACTGGCCTCTGAGATGCAGCGTCAAGACCCCGGCGGCTACGAGGGCGCTTGGAGATGCATGATCGGCCGGTGATTAGTTGATTAGCTGCAGCTATTAGTGGCGGACCTGACCACCCACCGGCGAAAGGCGGTGGGTGGTCGGCAGCGTAAAGGAATTTGCAGCGTAAAGGAAGAATTTCAATAAAACACCTTTTTGAAGCCATACCAACCACCAAATATGTCTAAATCCTCTAAAATTCGCGATGAACGCGTAAATGAGGCCGTTGAATTCGTTCAGCACAATAAAAATCTCTCTATCGCGAAGATCGCGCGGCAATTTGGCGTTTCTTACTGCACTTTGCATGGCCGCATTTACGATCAACGAGGCCCTCGCAGTGCTCGAATCTTTTCAAATAAGGCTCTCGATCAGTATCAAGAGACTGCTTTAGTCCATTGAATTACAAAAATGCAAGATCTTCACTTTCCCGTCACTATCTCGATGATTGAAGAATGGGCAAACCTCACAGTCAAACGCGTCAATCCCGAGCGAAGCGTCAATCGATCGTGGGTGTATCGTTTCGTGAAAAGACTCTCTCCGGACCTCAAATTGGTTATAATGACGCAGAAAACAAAGGAGGTGAAAAGGATTGAAGCTGAAGATGTTGGAGTTTTGCAGTTTTGGTACAATCAACTCGCGAATATCGTCAAATCTCTTCCGCCATGATTCGTATACAATTTCGACGAATGCGGCTTTCAACCAGGAGTTGGAAAGCGTCAAAAAGTCATCAGCAGACATAAAGAATGTCCTGATCTTCCTGAATCCGAACATTCCGAGATCATTACAGCGCTTGAATGTGTTGTAGCGGATGGTTGGAGTATGTCGCCGCTTTTTATCTTTAAAGGCAAGAAATTTATGGAGAATTGGTATGATGAAAAATTGCCGAATTTCTATACTGTAGTCTTAGAAAAAGGCTATGTCAACGATCAGCTAGCAATTGATTGGCTTCACAAATTTTATCAAGAAACTTCGACTGAAAATCGCTTGAAAAAAGAAGAAAAACGTGTGCTTATCTTTGACGGTCATACAACTCACAAGATCGTTGAATTTATACAACTTTGCGAGATCTACGAGATTCTTCCTTTTTGTTTTAAATCTTATACGACTCATCTTTGCCAACTGCTTGATGGAAAGCCCTTTCTCGCTTACAAAACGCACTTTAAAAGGTTGAATAATCGCATTGCGCAGTGGAGTGAAAAACCGGGAGATAAATCGAACTTTTTACATGATATTGCTGAAGCACACAAAAAGGCTTTTTATCCGCGAATCATTTGCGAAGCTTTTAAAGAACGCGGTATCTTCTCTCCTGATGGATCTGCTCAAATTGAAGCAATTGAAAAGACTTTATCATCGTTTCCAGAGATCTCAGCGCCTGATCTTCGCGTATACGGAGAGACTACGCCTCTCCCAAACCTCTCTTCTTCAAGCGTTGAAAATACGCCTCCAAAAAGCGCTCAAGATGTTATGAAAAGCGAGAAAAAGCTCTTTAAAATCATAGATTCCGTGGACCTCACTCCAAAGCTTCGTAGAGGCTTTCAACGCGTACTGCATTATTCAAAACTTCAAGCGGAAGAACTCGCGAATCTCAACACCACGATCGAACGAATTACAGCAACTCAGGCTTTTCGTCGCCGCAAAACAACTAAACGAGAGGTTCCAAGGCTTCGAGATACTGGTATATTGAGCGTCAAAGATGCGAATCGATCGATTTCCGATCGTAAAGCGAAGGAAGAGGCGAGCAAGCAGAAAAAGGCGATCAAAGCATATAAAGAAGCGTTTGGAACCTCTCCACCACCGTTCGTTTTTGAAGGTCAAAATACTGCTTCAAATAAAGAGAATTAGTATAGGAATACGTTGAATAGTTGCATTTTATTAATTTTTTACGTGTTTTGTTGAGATATTTCAAATTGCTTCAAATTCTTCCTTTACGCTGCAAATTCCTTTACGCTGCCGACCACCCACCGGCGAAAGGCGGTGGGTGGTCGGGTCCGCCACTAATAGTCAGTGACACCACCGCCCTAGAGGAGAGAGTAGTGGTGGTGAAGAGAAGACACGAGAGAAGGATTCCTCGACAAGTTGCATTAAGTATTAGGGCGTCGTAAGTGCCCGAGAAAGCTATATAGCTATGGAATATTTCAATCTGGTTGATACATGAATAGAATGATTATAGTATGTTGAAGTTGAAGAGAAGAGAAGAGAAGATGCGATTGTCAGCGTGATTACATAAGCCCTCCCGGAGCTCGCGCCGGCGTTTTGGTTTGTCCGAAAATTTCTCATTCGGGCTTCCGCAAGATCGACTGCTTCTCTGCCATCGTCACCGTCCTTCTGTCGCTTTGTCATTGTGCTGGGTGTTGTAGAGTGCTCAATTGCTTGTGTAGGTGCAGTTGACCCGAAGCCTTTCCTTTTGCAAACACATTTTTTCAATTGCTGGATGACCGTGTCGCTGATTTCTTTTCGTTTCGCTCTCCAGGTACCGCAACTATTAATCTACGCTCCCGTCAACAATCTCCAACGCCCGTCCCAACATGTCCCTCGTCAACCTATCCCACGTTTGTTCGCATTTGAACAATGCCTCCAAGGCCCGTCTTGGTCTCACATCGATCCCGAACTCGAAACTCCACCTAAAACTATGCCTTGCCCTCCAGGCCGGCGGCTTCATTTCCTCGGTCGCTCGGGGTGGTCCGACTCCTCCCCCTCAACATACCCTTCTTGGTCACCCGGACACCTCTAACGTGGAGCCTGTGACGCAAACCAATGTTGCGTCCCGACGACTCTGGCTGGGGCTGAAGTACTGGCAAAGCGAACCTGTGCTGGGCAAGATGAAGATGGTCAGCAAGCCTACACGAAGAATCTCGATCGACGTCGCCGGTCTTCGGGAAGTGATCCGCGGAAATAAGAGCGGCTATGTGGAAGGTCTGCGGTCGCCAGGTGAAAGTCTCTACCTTTCTACGGATCGCGGGATTATGGAGGCGCGAGAATGTGTTGAGAAGAAGGTCGGAGGCCTGGTCCTTTGCCGGGTTCAGTAAATAATTTCGTCGAAAGATGAAGGAAACCTGGAAGATGGAGCGTTTGTTTTATGAATGTTGTGGGTTTTGCATTTATACTGGAGTTTGGATTGTCGCAGTGTCTTATCCCATAATTTGGTATCTGATGTTTGCGATTGTTGGGATAGATACCTTTGTACAGTAACATAGGCTCGTCTTCATGTATTACTTAGTTTCACTGACCTTTACTTCATTGGCCCTTTCCTTCTCGAGTTCTGTTTTGACGCAGACGGTTGTATGCTTAGGAAGTGTAGCACTCGTCGTGGAATGTTCCGCCTCGATGGGATTGTCATGTGTCTCCGCCCTTCCGCCTTCCACCTTCAACAACGGCGGTCAATCGCTTCCGCTCCAAATGCTTTTCTTTCATAGAAGAACATTCAACGCCTCTTACATGAGACCGAGCTTTTCTACTTGACTCAGTCATAAGCGCCACCCCCACAATGTTCATCCACCTTGGTTTGTCTCACTAGGCTGATTGGCAAGCGTCGTTCTATACCGCTTGAGTCAAGGGGCGTGAGTCGAGAAGCGATCTTAAGCTAAAAAAGGTAATTGAAGATATACTTGCAAGATTATTGCACGATGTCTGGAGACGAACTTGCATCGAAAAAAGTCTTGTTGTCCGGGGGCAGCGGCTTTGTTGGTGCCGCGATAGCCAGAGCACTTGCCGAGAAACATCCCCAATGCTCCCTGACCATCATCGACTTGAATCCTCCTGGGACTACCAATCTTGTGCCGGAGGGCATTTCCTTTTCCCGGGTTGATGTCACCAATGAGGCGGAAGTCAGCCAGGCGATGAAACAGATCAGACCAGACATCGTTATTCACACGGCCGGGATCGTTCCACGCGTCAGCGAGCGATTCGGTAGAAGACTAGAAGGTCTAACCCGAAAAATCAATGTTGAGGGAACCAGGAACATGCTGGAGGCGGCGAAATGGAGTGGAGCCAAGGGCTTCATTTACACAAGCACTTGCTGCGTCGTAACAGACTATCTGGACATGCCGTTTCCGAACATTGACGAAAGGTGGCCGGCGCCTGCTTCGTCACTGATATATGGCGAATCAAAGGTTCATACCCCCAGAATCCCCGCAATGGTTGTCTCCGTGAATTAGAAATCGTCGACTGACATCTGAAATTCAATCCAGGCTGCTGCGGAGGCACTGGTTATCAAAGAGTCTAACGACGCGATGGCTACCTGTTCCCTCCGGCCTTCCGTGCTCTGTGGACCCGGTGACAACTTGCTTGTCCCTTCGATTCATGCATGTATTGCCAAGGGCGAAACGCCTTTTGTTATCGGGGACGGGTTCAACCTGTGGGACGTGACCTATGTCTCTAACGTTGCAGATGCCCATGTTTTGGCTGCTGAGAACTTGATGTCTTCGAGGACTGCCGCTGGTGAAGTCTTCTTCATCCAAAACAACGAGCCAATCACTTTCAGGGACTTTTGCCTCTCCGTATGGGCTCACTTCGGCCACATACCATCTTTTGAAGTTCCAGTTCCCAGGGCATTGGCCTACTTCGCGGGCTTGATGTCCGAATGTTTGACCTGGGTTATGGGAACAACAGCTACTCTGAGCCGCGGCAGTGTCAAAGATGCATGTTCCATTCGCTATGCTAGTGAAGAAAAGGCAAAGAAGATTTTGGGGTACGAAGCTCGTATTGGACTGGAAGATGGGATTCGCTTGAGCTGTGAGGTACGTGCATACCCCAAATGGCCTGCAGTTGTCCAATTAATCAAACTAACCTATCTCTTACCCGGCGTTCTAGGATTATGCCCGGCGTCTAAGCATAAAGTTACCGGCTCAGAAGCAATCGAAAAAGGAAGAATAGGTAATTTATCAAATTGAGTCAGTTTCCTCATCCGTAGTAGCCTCGCGAGGCAGCGGAGATGGATACAACACTTAGTAAGATATCTATCTACTCTCATCGACCCATCAATCCCCGCGGGATTCCTGATTACCTAGGCGCGGTGGTACGATTTGAATTTGATTGCAGTTGCTTCCCGTTGTTGCCCTTCTGTCAACCTTCTCGACCAACGGCCGATTTGCAATTGCCTCACAAGTTCGTAACACTGCCTACGTCTTTGATTCTACCTTGCCGCCCGAGATTGACTTTTTGTTTCTCTGTCGTTTTACACTTCCGCTTTCTTCTTTACAGGGATCTCGACTGGGGGTCGACTGCTGGCTTAGCCGGATATACGGTTGAAAGGGGTTTTCTCGTAGTAAAGGTTGTCTGTGAACATGTTTTAGCCCTCTGATAAGTCCAACAGATTTTGTCTCATTAAGGGCATCCACTCTCTCATGACTAACTATTTGTCATAAGCTTAGCAAGCCGTCAAATTCTCGTGTAGAGTCAAAAGATCAGTATGCCTATTTTTCGCTATGCATAGGACATCACGCATGTCGGCTGCCTCTTTAGTGACCTTCTCTCCGAGAGTCAATAAATCGGCCAGTATTCATCAAGAGATTAATCATCTATTAAGCAATTATCTCTCTTTATGTCGTTGGCTGTCCTTATTGTGCGTAAGATATATCTGGCTGTCGTACTGCGCTTTCCCTAACTCTTATAGCACCATCTAGGATTCGATGTGATCCACTGCCTTGGAGCTTGGATTAAAGCCGAGCATCAGTTCTGTTATTGGCGGAGGTCTCTTTCAAAAAAGAAAAAGACAAGGCCGTACAGCCGATGGTTGGTCTGGCCAGAACAATCTACTTGAAATACCTATTCAATTTACTCCCTTTCTTGTCATAATTGTGAAGGCAACCATAGCAAAAAGGTAGTGCTTACTTGTATGATGTGATTGTGCTCTTGGAATCACACTCCTTAAGCCTCAAACAGGCACTAAGCCTTGATGTTGAGTAAGGTATGTCGAGTAGAAGATTCGGAAGATAGACATGTCGATTGAACACAGAGTTTTTAGCCCATTCATGATGACCTGTGTAGCGTGTGTAATGCCTCTGATATTTCAGAAGCTTGATAGAATTCTAAAAGCTATTTTCATACTAATAGAAGACCTAGATATAAATTGTAATATATCTGGCACTAATTGAGGCGTCCCAATTAGTTGTTGTATGCCTGTATTGTGCCCTCAATCTTGCTTATCATGAATGTCTTGCTTATATTCTGAGCTCTGCTGACAAAAGGTATGCTGTCATCATCAATTTCATGCATTTTAGGCCATTCAAGTACTTTTCCAAGAGGCTTCCTGGCCGCGATGTCCCCGGATCATAAAATGATTGCAGCTCCTACGGTTGAAAACGCCTACTCAATCTGAAAACAAGATATCCATAGCTCAGAGGGGCTTTATACTTCCAAAATCATGCGCAGAGGCCAATAATCCCAAACCACTACGTGAGCGTTCTCGGGAATAAACTATAGATCATATGCAAGTGCAAGCGTACCTTGAAGGCTTGTACCTATTACAACAGACTCGAAGGGGCTAGCCCCAATTTCTCTTACAGATCTGCTTTGTGACATCACAGGCAAAACAGAAGAAGCCTATAGAGAGGCATGTGGGCAATTCCCAATAGTTTTTAAAACGTGGGAAGGCAACAACGCAACAAGGCAACAACCGAGCTCAAGACGAGACGCTCTGAGTGATACTTTTAGGCATTAAAGATTTTGTCTGCATTAATGAGCCTTTAGAGAAGGCAGTCCGCTGTTCAGGGAGGGAGGAAAGTGTTGTTGATGAGATGCAATGCTATTCTCTAAGGAACCGTCTACCGGCACACCCCTCTGGCTACGAACACCTCACGTAACTAGATACTACCACTCAGGGTAGCTATACTGAGCTATATTTGCGTACATAATAGAAATCTATACTCACATACGGGCATATGAACGCAGTCGATTCTTGGCATTCACCTCTTCCTTTTTAAAAAAGGGGAAAAAAACAAAACTGCGCTTATTATCCTGGCTGCCGTCTCAAGCAAGACGAAAAGAAAGAATAGTTCCACGTATATCAAGACTACTTGGCCAGTGTAACCCTGTCATCGATGACAAACAAAGAACGTGTTGTTCTGAACACGACATGCTTCACACCGTAGGCGTCTCGGCTTACGAGATTGTTTCCTGGCGCTCCTATGGACTCTTACAATACTGACCATGTATGCCTACATGCTGTTTCACAGGTTGCGCTGGATCGAAAGACCCCCCTTGTTGGACCTTTCGTCTTCCGACTTTCCCCCCTTTCCCCTCTATCATGATTATCTTTTTTTTTTCTCTGAGTGGCGACACGGGGTGGCGGCTTCTTACCTTCCCTACATGCTCTGTTTTGGAGTGAGTGAGCAAGGACCCGGTCATACATAGAAATCATTGACCCTCGTTGCACAAAGAAGTTTCCGATAAGCAAAGCTGGGCGAATTTGATCACTGGGTTGTTTTTCTCGATCGATGACCTGATCTCACAGGATTCATTCGCAGAATCGTTCACACATGGGACGGGAATAGGCCAATACGATGGCTTGCAGTTTGGGCAACAAAGCCTGCAGTGATGTATGCCCAACTGTGTCGAAAAGTATCAGAATCCCAACAGGACAGGCGAAGATCCATGCTCCCCACAGTAGGATCCCAAATTTAGGCCGCCATCAGTCCAAATCTGGCGCGTGCTCCATATCCACAATCGCCATTATCCAGACATCGTGATAATAACATAGACCATGGCCCGCCGTATTGCTCTGTAACCACTAACCAGAAGTCTGCTCTAGATGGGCCGGTGATCAACATCAATTTCGGTAACCCACAATCGCTGGGTAAGGGGGGAGGGGAGAACTTTCGGTGAGAACAATGTCTAGATCACAAGAAGGATCAGATGGGATGAGAAGCGCCGATGAAGATGGTTTGGGAACCTGAGGCCGACAGGCTACAGCCCCTTAGGCCGCACGGGATCTCCCGAGGGGGTTTCGCCCTTTCCTTTCGTGATCTTCCCCCTTTCTTTCCCTTTTCCTCTTCCCACCCCCGCTGTCAACTCAATCCCCAAGACCCTCTCTGCCATCTCATTGATGAACGATCTCGGATGGGGCCAAGCCTCGAAACAAAAAACAACCAAAAGACAAATAAAATAAAAAGACAACTCGCCGTGGTGCCTAGTGGATATGCAATTATGCATGCGCCCAGCTGGATCCTGACGGACATTGCTGCCCAAACCCCCCCCCGAATATGCACCCGGCAATCCTGTGCTCCTCTGCTCCTCTTTCTCCATCTTGTTGCTCTACCTCCTTTGTGGATACGATCAACAGCGGAGACCGATACTCCCTCTGATGATTCCAGTTTGCTACCGGGTTCATCCATGGGGTTGTCATCCATGCACTTGGTTCGGCAGACTACTGGCTCATTGGTCCCAGGTTCTTCCCTGACCTTAGCGATGCCTATAAGATAAGTAGTAGTTAATGTCTCATCTCCATGCCGTCACCGGAAGCCCTGTTTAGCCTCTTATAGCTACCCTTGTTTTGAGGAGACTTCAGCGGAGAAGATCCGACCTGAATCGATTGGCCATCGTCTACAGCGTCAACTCTGTCATCTGTGGTATTCTGATATATCCTCCGGAAGGCTTGTCCCCGACAGGAACGGCATCTTGCCTACGGAGTACCAGCACGCCTTTGCCGCTGGTGTGGAGTTCTTCATACCCTGCCTCATTTTTTATTAATATTTGTTTCCGAAATTAATTTATTTTTCTTCAAATAATCCTCGAATTATTGTTTCCATTGTTTTAATTTTACATATCATTGCTCTTATTCTCGTGGGACCGGGAGAAGTCAGAGCTTATCTGGTGTCCCAACGATTGGGCCTTCAATTTCCTGCCCTTGTTTGCCTCTCGTCGCTATATTAACCCACGGCCTTCCACCCCCCCAGTGAGGTGTCAGTCGAAGTCCTCTGGAATACACCAACAGCCTTTAGGACAAGAAACTCCACATATCTATGTCTTATTGCTCGCAACACGTATTTTAGTTACGCATCAATTCATGTCGCCAGTCCTTCCACCCCAAATAATACCAATGTCTTCGGCCTTCAGTTATTTCTCTGGTACCTCCGGGAGTGGTGGCTCTTGCACTCACTCGATAGGCAGTGATTCCGACACGTGGTCCCGTCATAGGTTAGCTTTAGCGAATACCTAATGCATTCCCCTCCATACCGTTCTATCCTTCATTGTGACACTGACAAACTCACCATCTACAGTGGTATTTTGCCCCAACGCTCGCAAATCTATGGGACATCTAGCGAGACTCCCGTGATTTATCATCCAAGGTATCTAGACAATCTGTGTGCTTTGCCTTCATGCTACATTGCTGGAAAGAAGTCATGTCATACTGAGACCGCCTTCATGGCTTTTCCCAGCGCAAAACAATTCTCGCCTCGTCGTGAATGTGGCCCAATAGAGGCTCAGATTGCTGCCACAAGACCGTCTGGACCAAAATCGCCCGATGTCGAGTTCCCGATGCCCTATAATGGGCTCCCAGTAACAGCACACACCTCGAGTGGTATTATTGCATCGTCGAATGGCTCGTTGCCACGTCCGCCTTCTTTGTACCGCGAATGGGATCATCCTGCACGCCTCCCTCCAGAAGTCCTTAGACCAAACTACGACTTCGGAAAGCCCGACAACACGGACTACTTAGTGGAAAGAAACGGCCGACGTGCAACAGACAAATTCAAAGGCAGCACTCGTTACCACTCGCAGAGACGACCATCCAACCGAGATGAATTCGATGGTCCACATCAGCTTCTGGAAATTCCTTCACCACGCATCGTTGCGGCGCAGGCAAGGGACTTACCTCACCTTCCTACTAATCTTGATGTCTCAGAGCAAGACCGCATCTTGAGCGCGGTCAATGACCGATTGTCGCAGTGCGCATTTGATTTTGTTGCGAAGTATCAGTTTCCGATTCCGCTGGAACCGGACAAAAGACAGGTGAGGGTTCCCTCAGACCGTGAATGGACTGAGTGGGTATATCTCCTAAAAAGGTTGGCCACCAAGCGCCGCATTCCCGCCAGGGTCCTCTATAATGGCCAAATCAAGCAATTAGTGACGGTCCTGGAAAATTCCCTGGAAATGAGACATGCTGCCAAACATCAGTCTAGACCCATCAAGGATGACCGAAACGTACTCCAGCTCATTTCAGCCGGGACTCAAGTGGCGAAAATTTTGAAAGATGCCAATGCTATGGATTATTTGGACCGTCTTTATCTTGACACGGAGAAACGCATCCATGATCGACGCAGTCGTCGGGTGAAATTCGCCAGCCCTTGAAGAAGGGTTCAGTACCCTTTTTACCAAACCTTCAAATGATGAAATTTTCCCTTGAGATGGCCATTTTGCTTTTCCTCCAGCCTCAGACCCCGGATCTTTTTGGAACCATCCAGCCGTTTATGATCACTTTCTTTGGAATACTTCTCCTCTTGTCCCTTGACAAGCCCTTTTAAGGATTGAACCTTTTGGACTATCAACTTGTGAACCCTGGACCACCTGGACTTTCCGTTATCCAACCGGTTGGAATGGAGGCCATTTTTTATGTTTCAACGGACCCTTATGGATGGAGCAATAATCCTGCGTTCCAAGTCTGGAGTTATATTTACAACCCTTGAGTTATCCCGGGAGCGCCCTGTTTGCCGATGCCTACATGGGTGATGTGATGATGAACTTCGAAACCGTTTCGGACACCGTGTAGTGTGCAAAGTGATTGCGTATCTCACTCGAAGGATACTTCGACCATGCCCTACCAATACTATAGCTTTACTGTTGGCCTGTTGCTGGCCCCTTTTTCTTCGTGAATTTTGTCGTTCGCAATCTGTTATGTGTTTTACCCTGTGCGTTTAGGGTTTGGGGCGGCCTCTGGAAAGAGCTCTTACGAGTACCCACACTTGATGTCAGTTGGTTTTAGATTTCGCTTTGCTTCTTTTTGTTCCTTGATGGTCGTTTCCTGTTATTGTTTATCTACTACGCGTTGAGGATCTGGTTATGGTGTTGCTATCTGATCTTTGTTTATTGACTATGTGTGCGGGATATGACCTGTGTGAATCCGATGTATGACCCTGGGAATTATCTTGGAACCCCCTGTCCGGCGAGCTGGTGTTCTGTCTCTATTCCCTGGGATATAGATCACGGCCAAGGACAACCACTGCATGAGAAAGCGCAACTTGGCGCTCCATGATTGTTAATTAAGGCAACGGAGAATGGAAGAAGAAGACAGATCAGGTGGGCTCTATTTGTTGTCTTACAGTCTCGAGCTCTTCACCCTGGAACTGAGCTGGGCCACCTATAGACAACAGTTTTACAGAAAGGATCGTGTCAGGCGCATATCCTAGACAGAAAGGAAATGACAGACCCTGATCCTTGTTTCCTCGGAACTTATTAGATTGGTTGATTCCGCGAAGGATCTGCTGACGCCTACCAACTTGATTATCCAGCAATCTACTATAGGTAGAGGCTTCCAGCAGGACACATACATGACACATACATGATGAGGTGTCCAGATTGTCTCGGCGCTCGGAAATGGCACGTTAGTGTTATTGGACAAGCTATTTCCAGATACTAACACTAATTCCAGCAGCATTATGAATAGTTATCTATTGACAAGAGAAGACATAGGTTCTATGGTATATGTACTACATTCTAAAACAACGCAACAGAAGAGGAAGCGACAGTATGTTCAAAAGCAACAACAATATACAGAAGAATAAAAGGAAATGGTGGTCGGCACGCGTGCGGAACCTCTTTTTCTTGTTGTCTCTCTCTTGCCCCCTCCCCCTGCCCCAACCAATGCAAAAGAACTCAATGATCCACACTCACCGACAGTAATCATGCCAGATTAGGCAGTACCTCGGCGAAAAAGACCTCCGAGGCGTCGCAGCGAGCACCGTAGCACAGACAAAGGCGAGAAAGAACCGGGATACTTCCACGCCAGAATACTGGCTGCTGCCGCGGCTGAGACTAGCGCAGAGAGGAGTCCGTAGCCTAGCAGGCGACCCTGGCGGTGGACAGCTGTAATGACTTCCGAATAGCGCTGGTTGCTGAAGCTGACGCGGGCGTACTGCGTTTGCCAGCCCAGGCTAGGGAAATGGCGGTCCAGCGATTCCTCAATCGTCTTGCGTAGTCGGTAGAGCGGCAGCTTGACGCCCCAGCGCATCTCGAGGTAATTCTGCTTGGAGAGATCGTTGATGGCGTGGGTGTCGGCTAAGCGCTGATCGGTATACGCCTGGAAGGCGGTTTCGCGGGACTGGCTCCGTGATTCGAGGGTTGCGTCCAGATCGTAGACCCCATGCTGATCCAGGGATTCGAACAAGATGCGGATGTCCTCGAGACCGGCGTTGAGACCCTGGCCGTAAAAAGGAAGCACGGCATGGGCCGCGTCGCCCACAATGACCACGCTGGACCCGTAGTGATGCGGCTTGCACTTGATGCTGATCAAGGGGAGGTGGGGGTTGATGGTAAATTGCTCGTGCAGGGCCTCTGGGGTAATCAGGTTCGGGCAGACGCCGGGGAAGTGGAGGTCGAAGAACTCCAATAGGTCCTCGGAGGAGTCGGTCAGTTGCGCGTAGTGGATGGCTGGGGCGAACAGCGTGCAGGTAAATGATTTGTTGGCGGACGGGATGGCGATGAACATGAACTCCTTTCCAGGCCAGATGTGCAGATGGTTGGGCGAGATGCGGAAGTCGCCGGTTTCGCTGGGTGGGATGCGAAACTCGCACCATAGGGTGTCGATGTACTCCTGCTGGTAGTCTACTCGCGAGAACTTCATCATGTGGTATCGCGACGCCGAGTGGGCGCCGTCAGCGCCAATGAGATAATCAAAGTCTACTTCGATCTCCGGGACTCGATTGCCAGATCCCGACGGGGGAGTTTCTCCCGGCGTCCGACGTTCGAACCAGGCTTTATTGGTGCGAAAGTCGGCGCCTGTCAGCTTGTGGTTGAAGTACATCTTGACGTTTGGCGTGCTCTCGAGCTCGTCGAGGAGCGCATTGTTCAGAGCGCCTCGATCTACAGCATTGATGGCCTATATTGAGTTGGACTCTATTTGTCAGCTTCACTCCCTTATTTCTGGGAGGCAAACTAACCCGACCATGAACGTCATACTGCTGCGCATCCTCCCAGAGCTTGCCACTGTCCCGACCATGAATCATGCGGCCGTGCATAGGAATCGACTCGTCGAGGACCTTGTGGATCAGAGATTCGCGATTCGAGGACCGCATGGACGTAATGCCTCGTTCGGAGAGTGCAAGGTTGATGGACTTTGTGAAGTTCAATGGAATGGTGTCAGGGTCCCGAAGATCTATGGTATCCTGCAGTGTGAGTTCAATTCAGGATGGTCATATAAGGCAATGCGAATGTGACATGTCTGTTCGCGATAACAGCAAGTGGGGTACATGGCAAGAAGGATGCAGTCAATGCTGAGTGATTGGTCGCAACATATGCAAACTGACAATTGCAGGCGCAGGCAAAGACTGAGATTGCATCGAGGTTAAAAGAGACTTACCCCCTCGCAATTCATATAACTCAACATCGTCGCCTCTCGCCGCAGCATAGAGCGCCGCAAGCGAGCCAACCGGCCCCGCTCCGACGATGACGACCTTTTGTTTTCTCGACGAAGGCTGTGCCATTGTGCTTGCGGCAGTCAATGAAAGACTAGGTAAGGGGCTGCCCCTTGCGTCGGACAACGGTCGCCGAAGAATGGAAGAGATATATTACAAATTCCGTGAAGTTTTCGGAGTCACGAGAGATCGATAAAGTTGCGTCACGCCTGTCGCCCCACCGGATTCCCGATTCCGCTTAGCGTTTGTTATCGTCCCAACCAAACCGGATTTGGCAGCCGCAAATCACGTGGTAATTACCGCGCGCTTCTGTACCCGCGATAACAATGCGTGAGCGGCGGCGCGATAAGACGACCACGCCAAGCCCCTTTGGATGTTGGTACTAATCCATTTGCGGGTTAGCCTATTGGTAATCGTGCCAGCGCGGGGAGTTTCTAGTTTTTTCCCTTGCAACGTTAAGCGCCGCTCTTTCTTGATTCTACTCGATCGAACCATCCTCGGACCATTTACTCCCCATCTGACACAATTTCACAATGACAGCTGAAGTTGCGCCGCGGAAATGTATGGGGGTGGAATGCGAGAAAAATGCCGGCACTCTCCAATGCCCGACATGTCTCAAAATGGGCAACGATAGTTTCTTTTGTTCGCAAGACTGTTTCAAGCGAAGCTGGGTAGGCTGCCTTGCGTGACCACCTGGTTCACGTGTGTCCTCCGTGGGGTTCTTCCGAGTTCTTGCTAACTTTTATCACCATCTAGGGCGAGCACAAGACCGTTCATAAATCGAAGAGTAATTTCCTCACCAACCTGTTCCCCCCAAAGGTAGTTTCTGAACCAGATCCAGCAACGGGGCAATTCAACCCCTTCCCATCCTATCCCTTCGCCGGATCTTTGAGACCTGTTTATCCCTTGTCTGCCACGAGAACGATCCCCAAAACGATCCCTCACCCCGACTATGCCAAGGACGGCATCCCCCGCTCGGAGCAGAAGTTCCTGGGCCAGCGGAATATCACAATCTTGAACAAGGAGCAACAGGAGGGAATGCGGAAGGTCTGCCGCCTGGCTCGTGAGGTCCTGGACATCGCCGCGGCGGAATTGAAGCCCGGAGTCACCACCGATTACCTGGACGAGGTCGTGCACAAGGCCTGTATAGAACGCGAGGTAAGCGTCGGCCATCCATAGCAGGTGATACGGTACTAATCAAGCCAGTCCTACCCGTCGCCCTTGAATTACATGCATTTCCCGAAGTCCGTCTGCACTTCGATCAACGAGACCATCTGTCACGGCATTCCCGACCAACGACCTCTTGAGGACGGTGACATCATCAACATCGACGTGACCCTGTACCACAACGGCTACCACGGCGATCTTAACGAAACCTACTATGTCGGAGACAAGGCCCGGGCAAACCCGGACGCCGTTCGCGTCGTCGAGACTTCGCGCGAGTGTTTGGATAAATCCATCGATTTGGTCAAGCCCGGCATGCTTTTCCGGGACCCCGGAAATGTGATTGAGAAGCATGCCAAGAGCCGCAACTGCAGCGTGGTCAAGAGCTACTGCGGTCACGGTATTAACCAGCTGTTCCATTGCGCGCCCAATGTTCCCCATTACGGTAAGAACAAGGCCGTGGGTACCGCTAAACCCGGCATGTGCTTCACGATTGAGCCTATGATCAACCTTGGAACTTACCGGGATCGCACGTGGCCCGACGACTGGACCAGCACCACGGCCGACGGGTCTCTATCTGCGCAATTCGAACACACTCTTCTAGTGACAGAAGACGGCGTTGAGGTTCTGACTGCTCGTCTGGAAAACTCGCCCGGTGGTCCCATCCCTATGCCCGTCGTTGACGAGGCCGCGAAGACTGAGGCATGATCTCCCGTATTTGGAAGCGTGGGATTAGACTCGGCTGGATAGAGTGCTAACTAACGACTGTTTATGTTTTGTTGAAGTATTGATCTGATACCAGGTATTTGTAGAAAATCTTGGACGGGTTTGTCTTTCACCTTTGTATTCAAAGCATAGTAATGCATCATAGCGAGAGGTTGAGGATTTCAGACCAGACCAAGCCAAGCTGTCTATCCCTTGGACTCTTAGAGGTCTATAAAAAAGGCGCACTGAGAACCGGTTATCTACTCCAGGGACTCGGGCATCCGAAACGGGCTAGTGCCTGCCGAGCGAGGGGCCGAGCAGCCGATGCAGCCAATCAGCGACGAAGGATTTCCATAACTCCCGAGTTTGTCAGCCAGGTGGAGACTCTTATCATCACGTGTGCGATAAGCCTGCTGCGGAGTCATCTTCCCTCCGCGGAATCTAGTTACTCTTTTCCTCCTTACTACTATTATCTTTCGGGGCTTTGGATAGAGCTGCTGGAGCTCGAGTGAATGTGTCGATAGCATGTCTCCAGAAATGGATCCCACAGAGACTTCCCCGTTGCTGGGGCCTCAAAGCAACGGCAATGCTCCCTCGACCGGGGCAATCCCCAGGGATCCCGAATCCGCAGAGCAGTCCGATGCAGCACAAAACAAGGATGCCGCTGAGAACAGAAATAAACTCGCATACATTATCCCTGCGGTCTCGCTTGGAGTATGAACTCGCATGACCTTTGACCTCATGAGCTGCGAAATACTGAAACTATGACTAGATCTTCTTGTCGGCCGCCGACCAGACGATTATCATGGCCAGTTACGGTCAAATTGGGAGTGATCTCCATTCGCTCAATCTCACCAGCTGGATCGCGACGTCTTATTTCTTAACCCTAACGTCTTTTCAACCCCTATACGGTAAATTGAGCGATATCTTCGGCCGGAAGACCTGTTTGTTGTCAGCATATGCCATCTTCGGCACGGGCTGCTTGTTCTGCGGTCTGGCACAGAACATTCATCATTTGATTGCTGCTCGTGTATGCCTCCCTGGGCTCTTGGAGTTTTATATCGATTCTGCTGACATTTTTCTAAGGTCTTCCAAGGCATTGGAGGCGGTGGGATGACTACCGTGGTCAACATTCTCATGAGCGATATTATTCCCCTCCGAGATCGGGGAGTATGGCAGGGAGTCGTCAACATCATCTACGCCAGTGGCTCAGGAATTGGCGCACCCCTAGGTACTGAAGAATTTTACTTTCAATATTAGACCACCCCTACTGACTCATTTGCTGTCTAGGTGGAGTCTTAGCCGATTACATCGGTTGGCGATGGTATGTGCTTCATTTCCTCATTTAGTGCGGCGATTGCGCGATCACTAACCCCATGTTAGGGCCTTTATTGCCCAAGTTCCACTTTGCATAATTGCCTTCATCGCTGTGTCTATCATGCTAGACCTACCTTCGCGAGAAGACAGTCACTGGAAAGATAAACTCCGGCGCATTGATTTCCCTGGCGCGATCGTCCTCGTTGGGGCTGTTTTCAGCTTTCTGCTTGGTCTTGATCGAGGCAGCAATGTATCTTGGTCTTTGCCTATAACAATCGTCTCGCTGAGCGTATCGGCGGTCCTGTTTGTGCTCTTCCTTGTGATTGAGACCTACTACGCAAGGGAGCCGTTCGCACCCCGTCACATAATTTTTGACCGCACATTCTTTGCGGCCTACAGTTGCAACTTCTTCAGTTTCGGGGGCGTTATCGCCTCTCTGTTTTACATCCCGCTGTATTTCCAGGCCGTAGATGGCGTCTCTGCTACTGCTTCTGGATTACGGCTCCTACCTAGTATACTCACTGGAGTTTCTGGCTCACTATTTGCTGGGTTCATGATGAAATGGACTGGGAAATTCTACTGGCTAACGGTGATCGCGTATGCGGTTCTGACTCTGGGAGTAACACTAATCTTCCTGTTCTCGGGGGGAGTTACCGAGAACCTCGTTGTTATGATTATAGGAACAATGGCACAGTCTTTTGGTAATGGCATCGGTGTCACGACCACTCTGATCAGTTTGAGTAGGTTGCCCTTTCTGATTATTGCAGGTCTCCGCATCTTCTAACCTGCCCTGCAGTATCAAACTCGACACCCGAGGATCAGGCTGTGGTCACTGCCTGCTCGTATCTCTTCCGATCTTTGGGATCAGTGATTGGGCTTTCCCTGTCTTCCACGGTGGTGCAGCAAGTCCTGCGCGGGCGACTGAGGTACGCCTTGCGCGACAGCGAGGATATCGATCGTATCGTCGAGGGCGTCCGCCAGAGTCTCGATTTCATCAAAACCCTTGATCCAGCCGTTGCAAAGGTTGTTCGCAGCTGTTACGGATGGGCAACAAACAAGGGCTTTTCTCTCTTGGTTGGCATCGTGTTCTTTGCCCTTGTCAGCAGCTTCTTCATTCGCGAGAAGAAACTGACACGATGAAGAATGGTCATTCGAAGCGGTTGAGTCATGACCTTGCTAATACAGCTTCATACCATGCATTAAAATGTTTCGCATATACAGGACATGGAAGCAACGGAGACAAAAGCAACAAAAAGAGTATATACAATTTCGATTTGGAGGATTAGCGTCTTGCACTGCGCATTTTGCTATAGATGTGTTTCCACGAGATATTTCAAGTGATTGGATTGCAGCTTTCTAAGTTTTATCTTAGGCAGTGGATTTAGTCAATTGAACGGGAGTAACTAGTTATTGTGACAGTTTTGCCATTTCGTAGAATACCTATGCAGTGGTTGACGATCGGCGAGAAGGCGGTCGAGCCGGAGCCCGGCCGCCTTCCTCTTGCGGGAGAAGAATAATGACAGCTTCAGCTTCCCCATCTCTTTGACACCACCCTCCTCCCAAGGGCATTCCTTTTCATGATTAGTGGCCCTCCGAATTTCCAGGCCCGCGGCTCCTATATGAAAACTCGATAATAACTATGAGCTCTGTTCCCTAGTTGGCGCACAACTTTGGACCGCCATGTCGGAATCTCACACTCGGCCGGACTTGTCACGATATCGCCCGGTCCTCTACCTGCTCACGGGGGTTGTAGCCGCCTACGCTCTGGTCTATGTGAATAATCAGCTTTTATCATCGTCATCGTCGCAATCATCTCTTCGCCGTCGGAGAGCCGTTCGCCGCACGAGACGAAGTGAGCCCGAACAACCCGCGGCCGCCGACACGCCCTCCTCTCGCGCTATTGCCCACCTAGAACAACTCGAACGCCAAAACGGGGTATATGGCACATTCCGCATAGAGACTGAAGATGGACGTCGTGTGGAAAGCGGGCTGCTCCCGTCGCTACTGGCCACACGGGACCAGCTGATGGAGGAAGTCGGGGTCCCTGAAGCGCACGCCGAGCGGATGCGCGAAATGATGGAAGACACGTTTTTAGAGTCCTTTCTAGCTCTAGACTTCCCACCGACACATATGTTAAATGACGGGAGTCCGGAGCGGGAATACTTGACCGAGCAGCTGCAGCAGCGAGGGATCTCTCGCGCTGGTATCGAGCGGGCATTAACCCGGTTCAACGAGGACAACAATTACGGAGAGGAACTACGACGGCGTCGGCAGAATGGCGAGCGAGTCACATTATCCACGTCAACCTTCCCGGATGAATCTTCTCCTGCGATCAACATGGATGGCGGCGAGACGGTGGTCGACGATCAGAGCGTCTTTTCGTGGCGCGACGGCAACAACGAGACTTCTCCGACGCGCGAGGGCCAGAACCTGCTCAACTTACTTTACCACATTGCGGAGGACCAGGCCCGGCGAGATGGATATATCCACAGAGGAGTGACGTGCAACAGCTGCGGAGCCATGCCCATCCAAGGCATTAGATATCGCTGCGCGAACTGTATCGACTACGACCTCTGCGAGACATGCGAAGCTATGCAAGTACACATCAAAACCCACCTTTTCTACAAGGTCCGAATTCCAGCGCCGTTCTTAGGGAACCCTCGGCAGTCCCAGCCCGTCTGGTACCCAGGCAAGCCATCCATGCTTCCACGCAGCCTACCTCGTTCTCTGGCAAAACGTCTCATGAAGGAGACCAATCTTGAGAACACGGAACTTGATGCACTCTGGGACCAGTTCCGTTGCCTCGCAAATCATGAATGGATCGATGATCCGAATAAACTATGCATGGCGATCGATCGCAAGACGTTTGACCGGTGCTTTGTTCCCAACACCTCGATCCGCCCTCCCCCACCTAGTCTCATCTATGACCGGATGTTTGCATTTTACGATACCAACGGCGATGGTCTAATTGGGTTTGAGGAGTTTCTCAAAGGTCTCGCCAGCCTAAACAATAAGAGTATTGATGAAAGGATGCGCCGCGTGTTCCGTGGCTACGATATCGATGGTGACGGTTACGTTGAAAGGAAGGATTTCCTACGGGTCTTCCGCGCCTACTATACCCTCAGCAGAGAGCTGACCCGTGATATGGTCGCCGGTATGGAAGATGACTTCCTGGAAGGCGGCGCACGAGACGTCGTTCTGGGAATGCAACCCATCAGTTCTGCGTTCCCTGGCAACATTCCCTCTGGCGAAGCGTCCAGAACTGGAGAAGGAAAGCGCATGAACTCGGAAGGGGACATGGATATTGTAGATAACGAAGGCGTGTTAAGGCCCGATGGCACTGACACCGGGAATCGACACTCGGTCGTTGGGGATTCTGCCGTTCGAACCAGGTACGGCAGTGTGCGCCCGTTGTTTCCGTCTGTACGGCTCTCGACGCCTACTGGACCCCGCGCCTCGGTCAGAAGAAGTGAAAATTTCGATCACGGTGATGATGGCAGCTCTGACGATGCGTCCAGCTCGTCGGTGGCCACCGACCGCTGGCCTCCCGCTGAGCACATTCTTGAGGAAGATGTTGTCAGGGCCCTTGGAGCCCCTGTTCCCCTTGAGGAAGTCACAGACCCGGTCGACAGAGCTCGCATCGACACGGCCGTGTACAACCGGATGTACGATGATGACCAACGACAAGTGAATGACGTCCGTCGGCACGGTATTGATGAGCGGTGGCGACGAAGAGCGTTCTACACCGACGAAGAAGACGGGGCAGTAGCTCCAGAAGGCTACGAAACTGATCCTGAAACTGACCCTGATGATGAGGAGGCACTTGAAGATCATTTTGAATCTCACCCGCCATCCCCGCGGTCGCGTTCATCCTCCAAAGTCCGCTTCCAGGACGACCTTACAGATGACTACGACGTGCGATCCAATCCGTCCACGTCGTCACGGAGCATATTGGTTGGAGAGAGGTGGGGAGGTTTCGAAGTTCCCGAGGTTGAAAAGGATGTAGGAAAGGAGATTCTCTATCAAGTCACCCAGCAGGGATTCAACGAGTTATTGGATATTCTCTTCAAACCCAAGGAAGACCTGCTCATGGAAGCCTACAACACCCGCGCTGAGCGCAAGTTCTGGGCCCGCGAAATTGAGCTAGCCGCGCAGCGTCCCGAAAATCAATTTGACCAAATGTTGAAGCGGGAAGAGAAGGAAAAGGTGGAGGAAGAGATCAAGGAAACCGAAGACGATGAGAAGAATCCATTCAGCGATCGACCGCTTGAGGAGCTCCTCGACCGTGCAGGATATTCTATCCGCAGCCCCCCTCTTCAGCCTCTGCGAGACAGCCCTATATTTGCTCCTCGATCCCCCGAGTTGCGTCTACCGGACGACAACGTACGACCGACACACCTCGCCCAGCCTGACGAGGTGGAGGAAGAGGACGACGAAGATGACGAAGAGGATGCAGGGAGCGAGGGCGCCGATCGACTTGGCTCTAACCCACTTGAGCCACAAGCCAATGAATTGGCAGTGCCCCCTGCTACATTCCCACCAGGCTCTCTTACAATGGAAGGGAGACAGCCTCCGGTCGTGGACATAGACTTCGATCCTACGCTGCCGCACCACCGTCCCAACGAGGACGCTCTAGATGCCTATGACTCCGATTCGTCCTCGGTGCACACCATCTTTGACGACGTCCAGCAGCACAACCTTCCCCCCGAGCTCCGCTTCCCACCCCAGGGTCCGACCTCCTTCTTCGGAACCTCGTCAGCACCCGCCTCTCTGGCCGCGTTCTCGCCCGAAGCCGAGGCCACGGCGCCCAAAAGCTCCCCTTCGCCCATCCAACCTCTCCCACCCACCGCCAGTCCATCGCCTCCCCGCCGAACCGGACCCACGCAACCTCCCTCCCAGCTGACCCTGGCACGGTGGGCATACCTGAATTATATCGAGCGTCAAGCGCACCTGCGCGGCGGCAGCGGGGCCAAGCTGAACTTTGACGAGTTCTCGCGGCGCATGGGAGCTGATCGAGGTCGTCGGTTAGCTTTTGTCGCCAGCTGGATCGAAATGGCCAGTTTTTGATTAAACCGAATTGGTGCTCTCTGGTTCGATTGGGTTTCCCATCTGTCTACTGATCTGTCTTGAAGGGCTTGGGGATATCTGTACAGTAATACTTTCTAATATGATGTGGGTACACGAAACATAAACCTGTTTCTACTGAGGAATACCAATCTCCCTTATTTGATATGCCTGGCATCGCTTGTTTCAGGGCTTTGGGCAGCTGGATTAGATGAAGCAGTACGCCTTGCGAGATAAAGATTTTCCCTCGTATCGTTATTGGAAGTCTTGTTCCTCTAGTATCTTTTCATGCCGAAATGAGATATCCACATTCTGTTTAAAGTTGATTTACAACAAAGTCATACATTGAGACGCCCAAATACACATACCTCGGGTGGTTTATAGTTCCTAGTCGAGAGATATCGTGAAGGAAATAAGAATAGAGATGGCAAAAGGAAAGGACATGTTTGATTCAGATACATCCACCAACCAATCCAAATCAAAACGATTAATCCCAATATTTAATCAACCCATCCAATCCACCCGTCACCACCTTACTAGTTTCCTGAGGATGCCAATCCAAACAAGTCGTCGCGCCGCCCTCCTTACCTCCCGCCATGATCTTATGATACATCTTGCCGGTCTTCCAGTCCCAGAAGCAGACGTAGCCGCCGCTGTCGCCGGAGGAGATGAACTGGCCGTCGGGCGAGATCTTGAGGTCGATGGCGTAGCCGGCGTTGTTGTGGCCGCGGAAGCTCTTCTTGCGGTTCTGGCGGAACTTGTCGGTCGCGCCGTACACGACGATCTGATTGTCGCCAGACTGGAAGGCGACGTACTTGCCATTCGGGTGCGGGGTGGCACGTGTGAGCGCGAACATGTAGGGTTCGGCGATGAACTTGATGGGCACCGGGATGCCGTATTCCCAGGCGCGTAGGGACTTGTCGTCCGAGGTGGAGATGAACCGCCGGTTTTCGTCGACGAAGGTGATAGTGTTGATGGCCGCCAGGTGGTGGTCGTATTCTTGGACCAGTTCGCCCGAGCGCGTGTCGAATTGCACGATTTTCTTGTCGGACATACCGGCCAGGAACTCGTGCGAGAGATCTGGGTTGGGGTTGAAGCGGACGACGTGCGGCGTCTTGCCTGTCGAGAAGCGGCCCAGGCATTTTCCGTACTCCGTGTCCCAGAGCTTGATCTGGCGGTCGTAGGAGGCCGTGAGGAAGGTCTTCCCTGTCGGGTGAAAGTCGGTGTCGGTGATGGCCTTGCTGTGGCCCGAGAAGGTGCGCAGAAGCTCGCGCTGGTGATACACGTCCCAGATCTTCGCCTTGCCGTCCGCCGCGGCCGACAAAAGCAAGTGCCCGGAGTTGGGGATGAACCGCAGCGACGTGATGGCCTTGGTGTGGGATTTCCAGGTGTGGATGAGTTTCTTGGGCACGTAGTTCTTGATGCTGCCCACGTCCTTCTTCAAGTCGATATCCAGATCCTGCGGGACGTGCATATACGTGCGGCCCATGTAGTCGAATTGCTCGGTGCCGTGGAACTCGGTCGTTTCCACCCGGGACGAATCGTCCTGGTAATCCGTCGCCTCCTTGCTCATGGCCGGCATGTTCGACGGCGCGATCTCCTCCTCCACGTATTCCTCGTCGCTGGCGAGTTCCTGGTCCGCCAGAGCGACCTCCTCTTCGTACACGTGATCATCATCCTGGTATTTCGCCCACGGTCCGAGATATGCGCCCGCGCCCTCGACGATGCTCGGATCGCCCTTCTTTTGTCGCTTCGCTCGGAGCGCGGCCGACGTCTCCTTGGACGGTTTCATCTGAATGACATCCCGACCGCCATACTGTGCGGCCTGATCGAGATTGCCGACGAACTGCTCGGGGAGCGTCGGGTTGCGCGAGTATCCTAGACTCTGGAACGTGCGATGTTGCGCCGCAAAGGTAGCCTCGCTGATGGCGGCCTCCTCGGCGAATCCCGTCGGTACGTTTTTACGCTTGAGGCCGTTGGCAGGCCCGTCGGGTTTGAAAGGGTTGGAGGGACCTTGCGTAGGCCGCGCGAGGTCGTCATAGGTCGCGTTGTAGGTGAGAGCCGTTGATGAGGTGTTAGCCAGCATCATCTGCAGGTGCGCCTGGTCCTGTGGAATTGTTAGATACCGGTGAACATGGCCGCGGTCGATCGGATAAGAAAAATGCAAATGTCGAGGGAAAAGACGAGGTGAAGCTAGGAAAAGCTGGAGGGACCAAACCTCTGTGTTCACTTCTGGAGCAGCGACAATTTTAGTCGCCGAGGGGGCAGCACCCTGGACCTGGGGCGTCGAGTCATCGTCGCTGGAATCGTAACCCGCGCCTAGTAACGAAGCCATGGTCGATGGGGGTAATCGGGGAGAATTAAAGAAGAGAGTTGGAAGGGAAGGAAGAAGAATGGATGAAAGTCCGGCAATTTTACGGGCGGCGACACCGCCCCGTTGCGAAGATCCCGGGGATTCACCACCAAAACAGAATTATATCTACTCCATCAGATTCCTCTTTACTCATAAATTCAAGACTACAAGCCTATGGTCACTGCACATCGAGGGTATCGTACGCTCATCGTTTGTCACACCGCTAGAGGTATATACAGCACACATTAAGACATCAACATGAAATAGAACAGATCAATCAAACAGGGACAAGCAATAAAAATCCATTCCACGCCATCGTGAATAATGTCGTGTTTCAATCATCTCCCAGCTATCATCATTAGTATCCCAAATCAAAAATCTCCGAGGCTCAATCTCCAATGCCATTCCAGTTGCTCTTGACCTGTTTCCGGCCAGTTCACGCGGCCCCAACAATCGATCTATGGGAGAAGCTCCCATTACTGAGATGGCCGCAGCGATAGATGGTGACGGAGACTCAAAAAGCCAGAGGGAACCGTCCTCGAATCCTTTCTCTCCCCCACGGCAGGACCGACCTGCAGCACATCACGCGACCCGTCCGTCGGGACGCCCTCCGCGCATCGTATGTTCCGTCTCACCGCGAAGTCAGTGGGATTCGTCGCGGATCAGGGCGACAATCATGCTGTACAGGTAGAAGAAGAACATCAACAGGTGGAAACCCAGTTTGATGAAGGATTCCTGTGCAACGCGTTAGCGATCCGTTCCCTGTCGGTATGACGTAAACCCGGATAGACTGACCTTCTTGTGCACATTGAGCTTGCGGAAGATCTCGGTCGCATCCAGCAAGTGCTGGTTATCGTAAATCCTACCCAAAACATGTCTGATTAGCCAAATCATCCATCACCAGCAGAAAGACCTGAATGTCCGTCAAACACAACGTACTTCTTGGCGTTGAAGGCCAACAGAGGCAGGTTCAGCACGATCGCCAGCCAGTAGCCATTGATCACGAAGAGGAAGGTCAAGAATCCATGAACGGCAGCTTCGGGCACAATGTAGGCGTTGAGACGGTTGCAGAGGTCGATAGGGTTGATGTAATCGCTGTGGTTGAGAGGACCGGGTTAGCTTAGCTCGCTAGCTTATCACTTCGGCGCAATCAAGTGCCCGTGGCCGATTGCGGCGCAAAAACATGCGGCCACAGAATGCCAGATTTGAGAACAGACGGAATGCAGGGGATGCTTACCATTCAAGATCGCTGTACATAATCGTGAAAAACACCTGCAAGAACAAGTTGACGGCGTTGATCAACACCGCCAACAGGTAGAGCCACGCTTCACCGGACATGGTGGGAAGAAAAAATTCCAAACTCGGAGGAATGTAACGGGAGACTAGTTGAGGAGAAGAGGAGATGGAGAGATGTAACCCGAGAAGCAGGGAGACTGGAACAAGGAGAGCAAAGCTCGGAGACGGAGAAAGAGGGAGAAAGATGGAGAGTGGATAGGGAGGAGAAGGAGAGGAAGCGAGAGAGCGAGAGAAGCAGAAGAGGAGCAGCCAAAGTTGGTGTGGATTCCAAGGCGGTGAGAGCCGCGGCGAAGATGTCACGATCGTTGCACACCTCGACTTTACCACTCCACATACATGGAATATCTTCTAGACTACGGACTACTGGCAATTCGATAGAAAGACATGGAAAGTGATCGAATGTTCAGACAGGAGATCGACTCCAATGCTACTCCTATGTAGATAGATGGCTTGGATACCGATCGGAGCCCTCGTGGTCGATCCGCCCCCAGCCACCGCAACGGAACAGGTTGTACTCCGCATGGGGGGAGAAGCTGCTTACTAGTGATTTGGGGTGGATCTGTCGATTTCTCGATCACTCGGTACAGACAAAGTACAGATAGAGGAGCACAGATGATGTTCCCAGAGGTTTCTGCTTTGGATAGAATCTACAAAGTCTTTCGCCATGAACGATGACGTGCACGTGCTCTCCGCATCGGCACATTCTTGAGGCATCCCAAGTGGCATCTCGATCTTCTGGTCATTAATTGCTATACCAAAACAAACATTATTGGGTGGCATCCGCACAGTGGTTACCGTTAGGGCACTCGGCGAATGACATGCGACAAAAGACAAACAGACGAACAAATGATAATAGCACAGAGGTCCCTGGGACGGCGTATATACACTACACTAGTCGATCCAATCAATCACCGCTTCTCAACCAGCAACAGATGCATGGCAGCGTAGGCGATCACAATAAACGCCCCCGAGATGATGGCCAGTCCAATCACATCCGTCCACAATGCGAGCGTGTCGAATCCGAATGCGCTCAGAATAGAGGCCCCCGGGACCTCAATGTCTAATCCGTACTTGTGGTCGATGAGGGTCAGGAACGTAACCTCGTTGACAATCAGAGCCTCAAAGCCGTAATGGAAGATGGACAGCTGAATTATCATTAGCATTGTCGTCGGGAAACTAGCACAGGAAAGAAGGGGGCAGGGTCAGAGAACGTACCGTTTGCAGCCACAGAGCAGACTTGGGAATTGCGTCGTGGTTGAGCAGCAGACCCGCAAATAGCAAGCTGAAGAGCATCACCAAGCTGCCGATCAGATTGGCCACTCCGCCGTCGCGGCAAACGATGCCAATGAAAAGACAGATGTTAGCCGCCGCCAGATTGAAAAGCACCAGGACCAAGAGGAATCGGAAGAATTCGGGCCACGCCGGGATCAACCCTGTCATGGGATACACAATGATTCCCATGATAATGGGAGGGAGGATTCGCAGGGGTACAATGTCAAACACCACCTTGGAGGCGAAATATGTGATGGGATGGTAATAACCGTTGGCTCGCTCACGCACAAAGAGAAGGCGTTCCGTAGAGAAGACCGTCAGACTGGTGAGTGTACTGAATCCGAACAGCGCCAGAATAAAGAAGAAGAGACCCAGTCGATTCTGGAAGCCCTTGATGTCGTCCGTCAAACCGTAGAAAAGGTAACCACATAGCACGGCCAGCAGGATGGAGATTGCGTAGTGCGTGAGCATCAACATCGGGTTACGATACAAGTTGCGCCAGGTTCGCTGCGAAAGAATGAGAAACTGTCGGATTAGGCCGACACGGGCATAGTTCTTCGGCACTCCAGTAGGGCGGTCGGACAGCATGTCAGAGTTGGTCGATCCGTTCGCTGCGCGTGCAGTTTGAACCGCGGCTACGATCTCGTCGTGAACGGAACGAGCGACATCCGACGTCGTGTAATTGGCAACGAGAATGTCCAAGTCGGTTTGGCCAGGAGCCGCCGGCGGCAGCTGATCCGGGTCGTCGAGAATCTGTGGAGGGACGTTGCCAGGTTGACGGGAAAGACGCAGCCACTGCTGAGTATTCTCCGCGACATCATCAATTTGGGCGTCTTCTTCATCTGTTTTGGGTGTAGGGGGCGTTTCCATATCCCTCTTCCGGGAATAGAGCTGTCTGTCCTGGCGTTGCTTGAGCGAGACCCGGCGCTTGCTCTTCGGTCGGCGACTGGCATCCAAGGTACTGCTAGAATTGTCCTCGATGCTCGCGTTCGAGGCGCTGGCGACAGACTTGACCGCTCTCAGGCTACTCGAAGCGGTCTTGGGCGGGTCGGTGCGAACATCCAACAGAGGCGACTCAATCTCATCGTGATGGGACCGAGTAACGCTAGCATGCATGGTCATGTCCACGAGATAATCCGCAATGTTGAAGCCGGGGGGACAAGAGTATCCGGAATTGTCAAAGTATCGCTGACAGGTCGAGAAGGGGCCGGAATACACGGTCTTGCCTTGCGCCAAAAGAACAAGGCGGTCGAAGAGAGCGACGATATTCGATCGGGGTTGGTGAATGGTGAAGATGACCGTCCGGTTGTAGGTCTTGGCCAAAGTCACCAAACATTCGACCACGTTGAAAGCGTTGTAAGCGTCCTACCGAGTCATGTTAGTGGGTTGAGTGGACAGGTCTAGTAAAAAACTTACAAGTCCGCTGGTAGGCTCATCGAGGAAGAGGATGCTTGGACTAGTGACCAGTTCGCAGGCGATTCCAACCCGACGCTTCTCGCCACCAGAGATACCACGGCCTTTACCCTCCTCAGATCCAATAAGCTGGTCCTTGATGTGGAAGATTCCAAGTTGCTTTTCAACTTCGAAAACCCGTTGCTCTTTGGCTGCCCGGCCCATGTCCCTCGGCAAGCGCAGGAGCGCGCTAGTCAGGATGGTTTCGTGGACGGTTAGAGTAGGAAGCATCGTATCCTCCTGGTCAACAAATCCGATCATACCCTTGAAGTCGTGGTCATTGAGTTTTTCGCCGTTAACGTAGAAGTTGCCCTGAACAGCGCCCCGCTTGTTCTTTCGTGCCAAGATGTCCAGAAACGTGGTTTTGCCAGCGCCCGACGCACCCATGATGGCGGTGATCTGGCCCGGCTGCGAGGCACCTTGAATTCCAGATAGAATCTCCTTTCCGTTCAGGTAGTATGAGACATCGTCCCAGTACAGAGCTGCCGGTCTGTGTTCTGCCAGAAGCTTGGCAGCCTCGTCATCCGATTCGTCGGTTAGAGGAAGATGAATGCGTCCACGGTAAGACCGGCGTGACAGGTACCACACAGTCAAGATGACCGCAACAACAAAAAGCGCACATCCTGCGATGACGCCCGCGATCAGCGGAGTGTTGATTTGCTTGACCGGGCGGGTGTATCCTGGAACGTCGGTCCTGTACAAGCATTCGCCGGCGTCGCAGCTCAGAGTGATGCTTTCGTCTCCGAAAACACTTTTGATCAGATCATTCATCGCTGGCTCCTGGAATCTGCTGCCATCTTCCGGGCTTCCGCCTACGGTTGACACAGTCGAAAAGGAAGCTGGACCTTGGATAGACTCCTTGAGAAAATCGCCAATGTCGATAGAGCCTTCCTCGCCACAGAGCATGCGTCCTGGAATACATTTGCACTGGATGGTCTCGCATCGGTAATGTGTTTTGTTTTGGTTGTGGGTGGTTTCCAGGCCCCATTCACACTTGTCCAAGCCGCAGTAGAACGATTCCCTTTGGTCCACCCAGAACTGGAAGTTGCAGGTCTCGTCCTCTGCCTCACAAGAGAAAGTCACTTGGGGCTTTCTCTCCTTCAGCTGGTCAAGAATCTTGCGGTTCGTGACATCACACATCTGGAAGTTCTCCTTGACCGTGACACCTTGCTTGTAACAGACACCCCCTTCGCTTTCCGGCATCATTGCGTTACATGCATTATCCGTTTGACAGACATTGCAGTTGATTCCACCCCAGCCATCTTCGCAAGAGCAATACTTGTCCTTCCGAGGAGCTCTTTCGTGGCCGTCTGCGAGCGAGCCGCAGACCGGTTGCGAACAATCATCACCGCCGAACCCCGGAGGACAGACACATTTCCCAGTAAACTTGTCACAAGGAGCGAACTGGTTACACTGGAAAGCGTCTAGTTGACAGTTGAAGCAGGGCGGACAGTCCTTAGGACGGTCGACGAAGGAGAGGAGCGGAGATTGGAGGTCAGCGGCATCGGTGTAGTTGCTCTGGGCCGTAGCGATCGATGCGGAGAACGAGAGCAACGTGGCCAGTGCAACCCCAACTGAAGCCTGTAAGCGCATCGTGGGCCAGCCAGGTAGTCGTGGGTTGGAAAGCAACCGCCGGTCTTATCGCTCGTCGGGCTACCTAGGAGAACGGAGCGGAGAGCGACCAATGCGGAGTAGCCCGATCACTGGAGGGACCGGTCGGGAGATTGCACGCCGCGAACTCTGAATGAAGACAAGTTCTAGAGTGAGAGGAAATATGCGATGAGTGTGTGAAAAATAAGCCGAGTAGTAGGAAAGGCGACTTACCGGGGCAGGCAGTAGGGAAGAAAGGAGCGGTGGATGGCGAAGTTGGCAGTTGGCAGTTGGCTGGGGAGAGGCTGAAGGTGAAACGGGAAACGGGGCGATGACGATACCGCCGTGCCTGGCAGCCTGGGGCATCCCTCGGGGTAGTAGCGCCGTCACCTGACCTGTCAGGGCCACCCTCCAGACTCTTCATTCTTCATACTTGCGTTCGTACGGGAAACCAGCGATCGAAGATGTGTCTCTCGTCTACCTGATCTCATTTCATGACGACGACCTCGTGCTATCTTCTGGTCCTGGTCCTGGTCCTGGCCCTGGCGATCTTCCTGTCCCCATGTCTTCTATACCATATCACGTGACTCGTCCCTCATCTACCAATTGAGAGATCCCCAGAAAACCTCTACAATTAACACTCCCCCAGAGAATCAGAAAAATCCCTCCCGATCGTTGCAAAACCCAGGTTTCTAGCGTCATGGTCCAAGTTAAAGAATTTGCCGTGGAGCAAGTACGTTGCCCCCAATCTCACTTGTCTATTTTATCTGTCTCCCCCGCACCAAGTCATATCTAACCCCGCGGTGTCAAATCAGTGGATGGACAAGTATGAACTCCAGGCCAAATACAATGTCGCGGAGACCTGCTGTGCCTCTGTTTCCGTGAATCAGCTCCAGGACATCTCGGAGGACAAATCTACAAGTCCATTGGATCTCTCCTCGAAGCTGACCTACGGTGCCATTCGCGGGTCGGAACGCCTTCGGAGCACCTTGGCCAACCTCTACTCCGTCAAAACTCCCACGCCATTGCCATTGGACAATGTCCTGATTACACCCGGCGCAATTCAGGCTAATTTCCTGTTGTTCTACTCCTTGGTTGGCCCCGGGGACCATGTAATCTGCCACTACCCCACGTACCAGCAGCTCTATTCGGTCCCGGAATCGCTTGGCGCAGAAGTGAGTCTGTGGAAGTCCAAGGAGAAGGATGATTGGAAGTTGGATATCGAGGAGCTAAAAGGACTCATCCGGCCCAACACCAAATTAATCATCCTCAAGTATGCCTTCCTCGCCCGTCATGTTTGGTGTCGTTCCTAACGCGAACGGTTGTTTCCCTTCCGTTGTTCAATAGCAATCCCCAAAATCCGACCGGAGCCGTGATCCCTCAAGCCACATTAGAAGAGATTGTCAAGGTTGCGCGAAGCTCATCGATCTATATCCATGCCGACGAAGTATACCGCCCGGTCTTCCACTCCATTACCCCAATGGACCCGGACTTTCCGTCATCTCTACTGTCTCTAGGCTATGAACGTACAGTCGTGACCGGATCGCTGTCAAAGGCATACAGTCTGGCTGGGATTCGGGTCGGATGGGTTGCTTCGCGCGATCGGTCGGTGATTGAAACCTGTGCTGCTGCCCGGCACTACACCACGATCTCCGTGAGCTACCTGGACGACGCGATTGCAAGCTATGCCCTGGCACCGACCTGCATCCACGGACTGTTAAGGCGGAACATCGAATTGGCCAGGACAAATTTGGCGATTTTGGAGAAATTCATCGAGTCCCATCGGTGGGCATGTGAATGGGTCAAGCCGCGAGCGGGCACGACGGCATTTTTACGCTTCAACAAGATGGGAAAGCCCGTAGACGACGTTGCCTTTTGCGAGACGCTGCTCCAACAGACTGGGGTGATGTTAGTTCCGGGCAGCCTTTGCTTTGGCGAAGGGGAGGACTTTAAGGGGTACGTCCGAATTGGATTCGTGCAGGAAACCGAGGTGTTGGAGAAAGGGTTAGAGGCCCTTGCATCGTTCATGGACGACGGATACGACGAGGTGCCGGTGGTGAAGAGGAAATAGTTGATCTCATCGCCGTAGACGCCATGGCGTCATCATCCACATGTGACGCCAAGAAGTTGTCTTTCTCAACAGACGAACAGATGAACACTTTCAATTTTCATACTTGGGGTGGATTAAACAAACTCCTGCGGGTGGGACCCGGTGGACACTAAGAATTATGAATCTGCTGGTGCCGAGCATAACTCGCTCCGAATATGCCGCGAGCCTTCGAAACAAACCGAGGCAATCCTTCTGCCATTGTCCACCCGCCGAACAGCCACCCTGCTTTGACTATTCGCTCTCTCTCCATGTTTCCCCTCACCTTCTGCTTCTCCTATTTATCGGCCTCGCTTTCCTCTTCCCCATAAATCCCCAGGATGTTGGCCGTTGCTTTGTTGATTGTTCCCTCCTGCCGATCCCTCGTTCTGACCCACTCCTCGGCACTCATTCCTTGAAATTCTCCGTCATACCACCTTCTTGAACATCAGTGTTGTCGCTATTCACCATGTTACCCATTTCGATTCCGGGTATGTTGCCTATACCATGACCTTAGTTTACTCCGGGGTATTGACTTTGTCGATTAGACATCCCCCTCTCTCTTCTGGCGCCCGCCGCCGCCACCACTGTCGCATACCTCAATGCCAAGTATGCGCTATTCTATGATGTCAAATTAATCGGTGGCTTGCTCAAGGGCATTGTAAAATCCCGCCTTGCTTTTCGTCGGGATAGTGTGAATCTCTTCTATATATTAGAACAACATGCGCTCGCCCCCGCCACCAGAGACTCCGAATTCATTGTTTACGAAGGACGCTCGTGGACCTTCCACGAAACGTATGTGATGGCGCTGCGGTATGGTACTTGGCTGAAGAAAGTTCACGGAGTCAAGCCGAAAGAAGTCGTGGCGATTGATTTCATGAACTCCTCGACGTTCGCGTTCCTAATGCTGGGTCTCTGGAGCATCGGTGCCGTGCCCGCCTTGATCAACTATAACTTGGCAGGGAAGCCGTTGTCGCACTGCATCCAGGCCTCGACTGCTCGGCTACTCATCGTTGACGAGGAAGTCCAGCCATCCTTCCCCCCGGAGCAGATCGAGATTTTGAATTCGCCCGATTTCCGCCCAGGGAAGGGCTCGGTGGAGGTGGTCATCTTCACGCCCGAGGTGGAGGATCAAGTCCTTCAGTCGGATGCCATTCGAGACGAGGACGAAGCTCGTGGTGGTGTCGCGCTTCGAGACATGGCGATGCTGATCTACACCAGCGGCACCACCGGTCTTCCCAAGCCGGCAATTGTCAGCTGGAGGAAGTGCTGGAGTGGAGGCGCCTTTGTGTCGAACTGGCTTAGTCTGTCAAAGGGCGATCGATTGTTTACGGTAAGTGGAGCCTATCTTTTTACAGCGAAGCCGTGCTCCCTGCCACTAACGCCAATGCAGTGCATGCCACTCTATCACTCGTCGGCCTGCATTTTAGGGCTCGTTACCTGCATGATGAGCGGCACCGCCATCATCATTGGTCGCAGATTCTCCGCCCGGAACTTTTGGCGAGAGGCACGTGAGAACAACGCAACCATCGTCCAATATGTTGGCGAAACCCTCAGGTATTTGCTGGCCGTCCCTCCTTCAATCGATTGCATCACTGGGGAGGACCTGGACAAGAAGCACACGATCCGGGCGGCTTTCGGCAACGGCTTGCGACCCGACATTTGGAACCGCTTCAAAGAGCGATTCAACGTGCCCACCATTGCCGAGTTCTACGCGGCCACCGAAGGCACTTCCGGATCCTGGAACCTGTCCTCCAACGACTTCACCGCAGGAGCCATCGGACGGAATGGCGGTTTCAGCTCGCTGATCCTCGGAGGCGGGATCGCGCTCGTCGAAGTCGACCACGAATCCCAACAGCCCTGGCGCGATCCCAACACCGGCCTCTGCAAGAAGGTTCCGCGCGGTGAACCGGGCGAGCTCATGTGGGCGATCGATGCGCGCGACCCCGGCGACAAATTTCAGGGCTACTTCGGCAACGATAAGGCCACCGAAGGCAAGATCCTCTTCGACGTGCTCCGCAAAGGCGACGCGTATTTCCGCACCGGCGACATGGTCCGCTGGGACAAGGAAGGACGGTGGTACTTCAACGACCGCCTCGGCGACACCTTCCGCTGGAAGAGCGAGAACGTGTCCACCAGCGAAGTGGCCGAGATCCTGGGCGCCCATGCCGACGTGCACGAGGCCAACGTCTACGGCGTTGCCTTGCCCAACCACGATGGCCGCGCTGGCTGTGCTGCCGTCGTCATGGAGCAGCAGCTCCAGGCGACCGATCCGTCTATTTTGTCCGCGCCCAGCCCGTCGACGCTCCAAAGCCTGGCCTCCCACGTCCTCCAAAGCCTTCCCCGGTACGCGGCGCCGCTGTTCCTGCGCCTCACGCCGCAAATGCAGGCAACGGGCAACAACAAGCAACAGAAACATGTTCTGCGGACTGAAGGCGTGGATCCGTCCCTGGTCTCGTCCTCTGACAAGCTCTACTGGCTGCAGGGTAACACCTATGTGCCTTTTGAGCGGAAGGACTGGGACGGACTTCAGGGTGGGCAGGTGAAGCTGTAGACTCATCTGCTCTGTCACTCAGTCTCAGATACATAACGGTTGATGTGCTGTGCTTGTTCTACGTAAATTCCACATTTCTCATTTCTTTATATTTGCACCCGAGCTTTCAACTTTCCAGCTCTGCCCCGACAGTCTTTAGATACCCTGCCACTTTGTTCTTTGAAATCTCCCTTGAATTATCGATAGCCTAGCTGTATGTCTATATATTCTTTTTACCTCTGGCTTTGCTTCAATTACAACAGATACATAATATCTGCCTTTTCTCCTGCGTCCTCCTTTGTATGTCATACATATTCGTTCACGTCGAACATCGCCATCGACATCGAAATAAAAGCTCACCGTCCAGTCATACGCAACTCCACAAGTCGAAGACCTGGATAACACACGGCCGTCAAGCCCAACGCAAGCCACATTCCAAGGTCACAGTCTCCGGAGAGAGATCTGGCTATGGGTCCGACGAAGTACGATTGCGACTACATTGCACACAGTTAGTTTCTTCTTTTCAGCCACATCAAATGATCGTATGAATAGTGGATAACAACAAGAAAATTCCAGAGGGAAGGAAAGGGGAAAGAAAACATACCATCCCCAAAACCGCACCCACACAACCAACCACGAAACTCACTCCAGCCGCCAACCCCATCGGCAAACGATGAACATCATCCACAATGTCCCAGTTATACGTCTTTCCCCGACGGAAAACACACCCCTCCTCTACAACAATCACCAACCAGACCACAATCCAGTAGCTCATCAACGGCAGGAAGTTCTCCATGATTTCACGCAGGTAGTCGTGCGCCACGACCGCGCACGCCGTGTACACGATCACCTCGATGGTGGTCAGTAGCGGGCGCGGGATGCGCGGTCCATACCGGCCGAGCATTTGTAGATTCAACCCGGCGGAGTAGGTGCAGGGAATGTTGTTGGAAACCATGCCGAGGATGAGGATAACAGAGCAGAAGCTACCGAAGCCATGGAGGGTGGAGAAGGAGGTTACGAGGAGGCTGCCTTGGGAGGTGAGGGAGGCATCAAGCCAGCTGCTGTTGGTGGAGAGGCCGGTGGCGAGACCGATGCCTAATAACGTGGTCATGACCATGGCGAGGCCCATGCCGGTGCTTACGGCGAGGAACATGCGCCATCGACTGGTGGTGGAGGAGAAATAGACAAAGTAGTCGGCGCTGGAGGGCGCCCAGGTGATAGCGGAGGCGAAGCAGAGGGAGAAGAATGAGAGGCGGTTGGAGTTGCTGGTGGCAGTAGGCTCAGAGGATGGGGCAATGGTGGTGTTGAAGATGGGACCGGCACAACCGACCATGACGAAGAGGATGGAGAGTTGGACGATCCAGGCGTATCGCGTGTAAAAGTGGAAGAGGTGCATGCCAAAGGTTGCAATGAACCAGGTCAGGACGGCCACCACGATGATGCCGACGGGTGCTGCTGTGTGGCCGTCGGACACGGCGAAAATGACCTGGCCTCCGAGGATGACGTTCACCATGCCGTAGCCCAGCATCGTGAGGACGTTCAGTACGCAACAGACTTTGCTGAGGTAGTAGCCCAGGAAGTATCGAGTTGCCATCTGGCGGTATTATTAGCGATGTCTATAGGGACGGGATGCTCTGAGCTGAACAAGTCCATACCAAGGTGCGGTGCCCACTCTTTGGACCCCATGTGCTCATGAAGCCCACTACCATACTTCCCAAGGTTCCTCCAAGAGAAGCACACATGGTGGCATTACTCCAGTCGAGGCTATACCGTGCCGGACCGTACAGTCCTACTATCACGTTGTTTGCGGTCAACGAAGAATTGAGCCACAGCAAGAATATGCGAGTGTAATCATCGCGTCCCGGAGAGTGCCGTTCATCCTCTCCGACTCGCTCAATTCCTCGCGTTTCTAACCCCAAAACCCGAGTCAAGGTATTCGCATATTTGCGATACTTGGATAGCAGCACAATCGCCCCCTCGTGCGGGATTTCGACTGCTACCACTTTCGGCTTCGTCTCTTTAGATGGCGACTGCAAGTCAGAGCCAAGCTCTGGGTCCGCCATTAACGGTATTGTCAGTGTTCAAGGGGATGAGACAATTTATATAAGATCGACACGAGGGGTATATAGAAAACAATGAGCGCAGGTCTTTCGTGCTTAGTACGTCATCAAGCCGTGAAACGTTGCATCTTTTCCCCCTTTGCACAGAGAAGTGTTGTCGATCGACTCCATTATATACCTGCTGCATCAGGGCAACAAAAGCCCGGGGACTTGAGCGGGTCTGTCAAGATCTGGAATCTAGAGGAAACTGCATATTAAACCATCAAGCATACCAAGAGAAAGGGCCGAAAAATGGATGCCTAAACTGCAGTGGCATCAATTGTCAAAGAAGCCAATCGAGGTACATTCTCGTTCTGGGCCCGCGCCCTCTCTCTTCGATTGTTGGCCGAAATAGCCTAGAACTAGGGAAGCTGCATGATCGTTTGGGTTTCTGCAGATTCCCTTGCTCGGATGTTACACTGCAGGCAAGGAACTCCCGAAAATGTTGGGTCATGGCGGTTGTCCTTGGGTTCAATGCTACAGTCACCCCGAGATTGCAGAAACAACGGTAAGGAAGCATACAGACTTTGGGGTATGTAGTAAAAGACACATGCATTCCATGTGGTCGGCTGACTCAATCGAATTGAAGGTATTGGTCAAATGGTGTCATATCCCTTTTTATCAAGGGGGTGCGTCTCTCATACCTGGCCAGACCAGACTATTTATTCTTCCATTGACAGCCACATGAGGCCTGGGGCTGAGAGGCGCTCCCCGGATAGGGCACTGAACAGGTTTTGAACATGTCTGAGTAAAATGGGAGCTGAACCAAATGCCCAGGAGAGTTTTGGTTATTGCATTAGCCGGTGCAAACCAATATATAGGCTTGTTGAGAGTTTTTCAGCGGGGCCAACGCCTGGTTGCGCTGAGACTAGGCTGATGTGTTTTGCGAGAGAGAACTATTTCCAGAACCTTGATTTTAGAGATTGCTTGCGTTCAAAATTGGGCTAGTTGCACAAGAACCTGTCAGAATGTGGCGATGTTGTGTGTTTTCAAAGCGTTTTATTGAGTTTATCGTTTCGAAAGGACCTGTCATTAATTGCTTGATGTAGACAAGATGACGAGTCATTTGATGACACTGATCAATCCTTAATCATTGGATATGCCAAGGTTCAGTGTAAGGTTCAGGCATAACGATGAATGAGAGCAATCGAATTGCAGGTATGGTGGTATATAATCTTGCAGCCAAATTCGAGAACTGGTTATCCTGCTCTGAAAGATGAATCTTGATGAGTAGTAAGCTACCTGGCAAACCCAAAATAAGTTATCTGATGAGCATCTATACAGCGTCTGACAAGGAAGACGGAAGAGGGAAGATGGAAAGAAAGAAAGAACAAAAGAAAGAGAGAAGAGGAAGTAGATGAACGGGCGCTGATTGGGCGGGCTTACTCAGCTACGCTAGGCCCGATCGGGGCGGACGTCGGCGATGGAAATTCTGCGGTTTTGCTTCGTCTTTGGCTGTTCATATCAACTCCCCCAAGATCCAATCCGCCATCATGCTTCCCCGACTCCTCCGGCCGCAGAGCTCGCTGCGTGCGGCTTCCTCCTTCGTTCAGGTAAGGCTTGTTCGCTTTCTCACCGACCTGCTCAAGCCGTCGCTGTTCCTGACCTGAATTTATTGCTAGAAACCTGTCTCCGCCCTCCCACGCTTCCAATACCGCAGCTTCCATCGTGTCCCCAAATTGACGCACGACGAGCACTTCAAGGCCAATGGTATCTCGGAATTTATGTCTCCCGAGGCGGTCGATTTCGCCTGGACGCAATATCAGAGTCTCCTTGTCGACAAGCTGAACCTTTTGACGCAGGGTGAGTGATCTCGACTTCGCGTCTTCCAATCGGGAAAGACTGGCACATCTATACTTTACCGAGTTTTACACGGAGGAATTAGAAACAAGGGTTCAATGGCTGACATCAATCGGCAGACACCCCTGATGCCGACGCGAAGCCCGGAGAACTGCTGGTCAAGTACTCCCGCCGTCCGGAGATGGCCTCCGTTTTCAACTACGCCTCCATGGCCCACAACAACCACTTTTTCTTCAACTGTTTGGTAAGTACCAAGCAGATCGAAACCCGCTCCTCGGAAACCAACCTAACGCGTTGAATTTGCAAAGGCTCCCACCCACACCCAGATCCCCGAAAAGTTCGCCAAGGACATCATCGACACCTGCTCCTCTGTTGAGTCTCTGAAGCTCGACTTCCTGGCGACCGCCAACGCCATGTTCGGACCTGGATTCGTGTGGCTGGCCAAGAACCTCGAGCGGGAGGGACTCATGCACATCTTCTGCACCTACAACGCCGGTTCGCCCTACCCGGCCGCTCACTCCCGGCGGCAGTCGGTCGACATGGCCACCCACTCGCCGGACGCTCCGATGGGCAACCAATTTGCCGGCGCGATGGGCGCCCACTCGCAGAACCAGAAGAACCTGGCGCCTGGCGCCCTGGACGTCCAGCCCATCCTGTGTGTGAACACGTGGGAGCACGTCTGGATGATGGATTACGGCATCGGAGGCAAGGCCGAGTACCTCGAGCGGTGGTGGGACCGGATCAACTGGGAGGTTGTGTTGGATAACTACAACGCGGTCAGCTCGGTGCAGGCAGGACGCCAGATGTCCAACTGGAACCGCAGCCTGAACATGGTATGAACACATGAGAATCCGGGAATAAGGAGCGGGGAGCATAAATCGATTTCTTCTATTATGTCTTGATAATTGTATTATATACTACTAACTTGCCTGGTTTTTTTTGATTATCATGTGTCTAAAAATATCAATGTACAGCGAATGATCGCCCATAGAAACAAACGAAAACAATATCAACCAAAGAACTCTTTCTATCCACACACATCTAACATCTTCTATCTATCTATACAATGCTATTAATACATCCCCAACCCAAGACCAACTCGAAAGGCGATCAATCACCACCTCTCCACCTCCCTAATCCTCTGCTCAAACGCATCAATCATCGCCGTCGCCATCTGATGCTCCACAGCCTTCATCATCGCCGCATGCAACTGACTCTTAAACTCAAACTCAATGCGCAACCGCACCGTCGTCTGCCTCTGCTCTCCGGCCTCAGGAACCAACTCCCACCTCGTACTCAAATACTCAAAGATCCCCTCATTCGCACCGGGGAAGATACCCCCGAACAAGCCGCCGGACTGACCCTGGCTCTGACCCTGCGTGATTTCCGTTGGTGATTGTCCATCCTTCGAATCCACCCCGAACTTCGCCCCGCTGCGCGCCTCCACTACCCAGCGGCTCTCGTCGCAATCGACCTTCGACGTGAAGGTCTCGCTGATCGGCCCGTATCCGACTGTCAGGAACGCGCGCGTCGGGTACCCGGTTTGCGGATCGCGGTGCGTGACCGTCGACGCGGACAGGAAGGGGAGGAAGTCGGCGTAGGATTCGACGGAGGAGATGACGCGGAAGAGGCTGGCGGGCGCGTAGGGGAGGGTGCGGGTGGCGGTCAGGACGCGGTCTTTAGGCTCGTTGTTGTTGCGGCCGCCGGAGGGGAGGATGGAGGAGAGGAAAGGGCGGGTTTGTTGCGCTGGCGTTGCGGTTCTAGGTTGTGGGAGGCGTGGTCGTGGTCGTAGGTTGGATGGGTTGTTGGTGACGGGGGTTGCAGATCGGAGGCATTGTGAGCTGGTGCTGAGGGGGGAGCGGGACTCGATGAGCGAGTTGATGCGCCGGCTCAAGGCGCGCATTGTAGAGGGTTTCATTTTGGATGTGGTGTTGGGTTTGGTGGCGTAGACAAGAAGAGGATGAGGGAGTGGCTTTTCTAGTATCCGTGGTTTTTTTCCTCCCCGACTCCGACTCGGACTCGGATCCACGCGGGTCGTGCCGAGGATTGATCTGAGGAGGGTAGAACTGTACAAGTATAGATTCATTTCACCTAGCTATATAGTGGCATTGATCTCGTTCTGCTTGTATCAAAACTACGCATTTTCAAGCATTTTATCTATCTCCCTCGGATCGTTCCAAAAGCTCGTTCCTTGGTCCTCTAGACCTTGTATCTGCTGGTCCCAAAGACCCTGTGAACGGATTAGCATCAACCAGAACATAAATTGAGAAGAAGACTCACCCAATTGATGTTTGTCGGTGCGTCAAGCATGTCTTCAATAACATCCAAGGACGCCAAAGGTGGTTGCATAATGCTTGTTGCCTCGGCCATCGCGTCGGCGTCCAGACCAAGAGCATAAGGTGGATTCCGTATAATTTGCCAGCTTCCATATAGCGGAGGTTGGGCTAAGAAATTGTCAGTGATATCTTTCTGACTTATTATGTTTGACAGGGGGATTCTTACTGGATGCTGCTCCGGAAGTTGGCTCGCTTGCTATGCCATGGAGCTGGTTCTCCTTCTTTACCCTACGCAACATCACTGTCAGAGCAGCGTGCGCCTTTTGTGCATCCGCTGACTGTTCTCGGGACTTTTCAAATATGCTATGAGACATCTCAAGCGATGCAAGGAGATCTTCTTGACCTTTGATGACCACTGTGACATCGTTGTTTGCATGGCTCAATTGCGGCCCCGTGATTTTGTTGGAGGAGAGTTCCAAGCAGATGATCATAGCTGCGAGTAAGTAGTCCGCATATTGCAAAGAGTTGGGGAACTGCCGATCGCGATACAAGATTCCCCCGGGCTGAGTTTCGTGGTACAGGTCTGCTTGGTGTCGGAGGATCTCCTTCGACGCACTCATACAGGCCCAGCGGGAGTACGCATACCGAAAATCGGTGTGAACTTCGCCTAAATACCTCCGATGCAACACGCATCGCGCCTTCTGATAGAGCAGCTCCAAGGTATACCGTCGGAGGATCAACTCCGCCGGGTCGGCGATCGACTGGTCGAGAGGGCGCAATTTGAAAGCCGGCGTGATCATGTTGTGTGCTTCTTCGAGACGCCGGTCAATCTCGAGTGTCTGCTCGTAGGTGACCGGCTCTCGTGAGTACGCCAGGTCGGAGATCTTGCCAAACACCGACATGATCCTCGATTTCACTCGAGTGTACGATGTGGCCGTCACCTCGTTATCGGGTTTGGACGGCGGCAGCTGCTCCATATCCTCGTAGATGTCTTCGTCTGAGAGGTTTCGCGGCGGTTCAACGTCGTGCTGCCAGTCTTGAATTGTTCGAGGCACGCCCACCTGGAACGATATTAGACTGTCCAGTTGACACAGAATCGACCACACCCGCCGTCTCAGCTCACCCTCGAAAGGGGAAATGCTGGGAAAGTGTTGTGGGTCTCGATGATATCCCATGCGCATGGCCAATCTGATCGTGATGCCGAGCATGAATGAGACGCCCACCTGAGCGTCGTAGGTGCGGTAAAATTCTACCATCGTACATGTAAACAGTGCTTCGACCTTGTAACGCCCAGGCTTGGTATAGTTCGACTGGGCTAGGCACTGCGCAGTCCGTTTGCGAAATGTAGCAAGTGTTTCCACCGGGTCTCTGAGAGGGCTGGGTAGCGGCTCTTGAAGACGCTGATGGATGGAAACTGACAAGGTTAAGATGCCGTAAAGCAAACCGAGCCACGGCAGTGAAACGCTTTCTGGCTTTTCCCAGAATGCGTTGTACTGAAACATTGTTAGCCAAGGAGCTGGTAAGGGAACGCTTTAAGTACCTCTCTTTGAAAAGTGATGATATGGAAAACGACTGCGCATCATTCCGATTTATGAGTTTCGTGCGTAATAGCGTGTGGTTTTTCTGAGCTTACCTATAAAAGGCTCCTTGCTAGTGAAGAACTGAGAGATCAGCCGGTCCGCTACTGGTCGTGCAGGAATATCTGCCAGTAGCTCTTCCTTGCTTGCGGGCTTGTTCAGTCCAAACAGTAGAGTCGGAGAGGCCATATCAAAGGAGTCTTCTTCTTCGACTTCTTCGTCAGATTCATCTTCACTTCCTTGGAGATATTCTTTGACCCCGTTGATCTTTTTGCCCAGCCTCATTAGCACAGTATCCTCATAATAAGAGGGTTACATACTTCCTCGAGTATAGCACTCCAGTGCGCCCCGTCGATATAGCTCGTGCCCGTATCTTTGACAAGCAGCTTGCTAGACGCGTCGATAGGCGAGTTCTTCGTTTCGAAACTCTCATGCGACACGGGCGTCTCCAGCATGACCTGGCTATCGTCCTGGGGGCTGATGTCCTCTTGGCCTACCGGGAGCTCGGACTCATCGGAGCCATGAGTCTCATCCAGCTTCTTCTTCTGCGTCAGAGACAGGATGAGGTTTTCCAGATGCTGCAGGCGGTCCTGAACTTGGGTTGGACTCGTATGACCGTTCGACGCCCTTCCTCGAGGACCGCGTCCGATAAAAGTGCAAGCATGCGGCTCGCCCCGTTTCTTGCAATTAGTGCAAGGGTGTGTACGACAGCATTTCAACCTGGTGGGTTGGTCAGTGTTTGTCGACCACTCTTTGCGCGGCGCATGGCTTACTTTCGGCTTCGGCATGCCGTGCACGACAGCTGGACCCGGGTCCTCTTTTTCTCCTTGCTAGTGACAGCTGAATCCCGAGCACGAATGTCAGACATGTTTTGAAAGCTCGTTCAATTGAGAGATAAGTAATCTGGCAATTCAACGGATGCCAGGCTGATGAAAAGAGATGAACGAGGCAACGACATGACGGCAACGGCAATCCTCCGGTGTTTGGGGCTATCTCCGCCACTAACCCCGAAGTACTCCGACAGCCAACATCCTTGGATCTTCTGTTGGGTTACAGAAGTGTGAATACAGATAGACTGGCATCATAATGTCCATAGTCTGCCCATCTATTCTATATGCCAAACATTCAAGACCTTAATTCTTCTGCAAGTATGTATCCACAGGAACTTGTCTCATATTAACGACCGTGTTATAGGCGCTTAATGAAAGATGTACATCCGCATTGTCAAAAGACTGGGAGTATAGTAAAGACTCGACCAATTGCAAGATGCAAACTGCAAGATGCAGATGAATGATGACGGAGAAGATGAAGAAACGATGAGAAAGATGGAGATCAAGAAGATCAAGAAGCCGGCCAAAGGGCAAAAAGCCGAGACGGCTTCTTGCCCGAACCGGCCTAGTGTGCCTCGGAAACGGCGAGGGCAGGGCAGTTCCGAGACTGCGGCTTTTCGAGATATCCTCCTCTTCCTCTCTCTTCTTTCCTCCCTCCTCTTCTATATACCACCCGGAGCGATCCCTTCCCTCACAATTCTTCTCTATATATGCCCTCGAACTTGCAAATTATGTCCCTCTTCACTACGGCGCGATGCGCACAACTCTCATGCTCCCGGCGAGCTTTCTCGGTCTATCACCGTCTCCGCTCCGCATCTACATCTACACCCGATGCCTCCTCCATTGCTGCCTCATTCCTCTCTCGATTTCAATCCCTAGGCCCTCAATCTCGCACCCAAATCCTCGACGCCAACCAGCTCCAACTCCTCTCCCTAACCCTTAACCGCCCCTCTCTCTTCCCCGCCTCTCCCCCTCTTTCCAATACATCCCCCACTGTCTCCGTGCCCCAAAACACCCCCGTCCCCCCTGGCTACCACCTCGTCTACTTTACCCCTGCGTTTCTTGAGGATGAGCTCGGTCCCGACGGTACTGACGTCTCGTATAACCCGTCAGCGCCGTTCACGCGACGCATGTGGGCCGGCGGCGAGGTACACTGGCCGCGCGGCGCAGATGGGAACCCGAACCCTTTGCGCGTGGGTCAGGAGGTGCGCGAGACGACGAAGGTGTTGAGCGCGGAGCCAAAGGTGGTGAGGAAGACGGGCGAGGAGATGATCGTGGTTGGCGTGGAGAAGGAGTTTAGGAATGAGTTTGGCGTGGCGGTTTTGGATCGCAGGTAGGCTGTCCACTTCCCAATCATATATTCACTTTTAGCTCTAGGGGGGCCGGAAGTGCTATATATAAGCCTCTTAGCTTGCTCATAATAATTATAACAGAAACTGGGTGTTCAAAAAGGAATTGACCGCCCCGGTGGCATCGACCTCGTCTGCCTCGGCGCTGGAGGTCTCCTCCAAACCGGCCTTCTCGGCCACCACCGCATCAGGGAACACGCATACCCGCACCCTGAGGCAAACAGCCGTAACGCTGTTCCGCTTCTCTGCTCTCACCTTCAACCCGCATAAGATCCACTACTCAACGCCCTGGGCCAGGGACGTAGAAGGCCACAGGGACATTGTGGTGCATGGGCCGTTGAATCTGATCTCCATCTTGGATCTGTGGAGAGATACGCGGTCTTCTGCATCTAGTGCTGATGGCGATCTGATTCTTCCGAAGAAGATTGCTTACCGCGCGACGAGCCCGCTGTATGCGGAGGAAGAGTACAGGGTAGTCTTGGATGAGGAGCAGGGAGATGGGATGGCTCGGGTGAGGATTCTGAGACCAGATGGAGAGGTGGCTATGAAGGCGGAGATTTATTAATTGAGCTTGAATTTGCTGTATTGCATTGCTTTGTTGTGTTGTGTATTTGAATGAGTTGGTTATACACAAATTTTCATATAGGTCATAGAAACCGCAGGTTGGTTGAGTGTCCAAACTATACACATAGCTACAACTTCTCCTGAACTCCAGAGCTCTCTCAATATAAGCACTCGCAAAATGACCACATGTTTCCATTTCGACCGTGACTCAGACTACACAACATGAGAGATCGACCCCTTGTCTCGATCAATCAGCTCTAAAGCTTGAATCATTAATGAGTTTTCATTATTGTACATGCTAGCGTTATTCATAAGGAAGGCACCTTGGCGGAGCAACAAAGTGAACACCTCGGGACACATTGAGAGAGCAGAAAGAGTCTCTCTGGTAACACAATTTGGTCTTTCTTTTATTTTCTTTGTGTAGTAACCCTGACAGGCGGCTCTATTGGTTGACTAATTTTCTTTTCTATAGAAGCCCTATCTGATGTTGTACAAGGTGACGGGGTTGGTGTGTCGGTTGCAAACTGAACTATATACTTGCATTGGGCTGGCGGCAAAAGAAGTGACAAAGTGAGCAATTTTGGGAATCCCTCTCATTGTGGTCCAATGGAAACAAAATAGATTAGAAAGATACCGAAGCAGAATAATAGAAAGCTTTCCTAGAAGATACCACTCTCCTTATAAAATCTCCTGGCCGGTTGGGATTGGGATACTGTTGGCCATTGCCATCCGAAAAAGCAGTTGACAGCAAAGCGTGCGATATGAACGACAAACATGCCACCTATCAAATCCAGAATCCATTAAGCAATGGCTAAAGGACTCCTTTGACACCGGAAGCAGCATCCCAAAGCCGAAAGACAAGGTACAATGGGATGGGCGCCTCCTACTCCCCCCAAGCCCACTGGCTCTCCTTTCATTTCATGTCCTGAAGACGAAACAGACTACAAACGAACCCATTGTAAGCTTCCCTTCCGCAGACAAATAAACATTTGCTTTGTGGATCGTGTGGATCAATCGGCTGCAGCTCCGGCGCGTACGTCGATTGAGCTCATTAGGCGATTTGCTACGACCGCGGCGCTTCCAGCTGCATCTATCTGCACGGGTTATTTTGGGCATCAGGTTGGCGGCTACAGAGTAAGGATGGATTTGACAAGTTGTTGCTCGTTTACTCCGGTCTCTCGCTCTTCTTGCTTTTCTCTCTCTTCTCTCGCACTCCATAGACACACTCTTTGTCTGCTTCATTGTTCAACATTTCAACACTCCTTTAACTAGTCCATTGTTGTCGATACCCTTGTTTCTAACATTCAATTCACCATTCTTTGATTTCAGCGCCACTGCCATATCCTTTGACCGTCATATAATTCAAGCTTCGTCCTAAAGACCGCCATTTGGCGATTCACCCCTATAGAGAAACGCACCGCCACCATGGCCGAATCGACACTCGCTATCACCGCTCGAGCGCCGTCGACCATGACATTCCTACTGCTCGCTCTAGTGGCTACATCGATCACCCCGAGCCACGCACTCAGTGTCCTCCTAGAGCGTGCCGCAGACACCTGTCCAAAGTCGTATTCGCGCTGCGAGAACGCAGGTCTCCCGGACTCCTTCTGCTGCCCGTCCTCGTCGACATGCGTGAGCTTGGACGGCGGATCGTCGGCCATCTGCTGCCCCAAGGGCCAGAGCTGCGAGTATATCCAGCCCATCACCTGCGACGTGCAATTGCAAAATGCAAAGCTGCATCAGACCAACGCTATCAAGACAACCAGGCTGGACGACAACCTGCCCAAGTGCGGTGATTCCTGCTGTCCTTTTGGATACAAGTGTAAGGGAGGCGAGATGTGCGAGATGGACACGGATGCACAGCCTTCATCGGCCACGAAAACATCAACAGCGACGCCCACGACAACGTCTGCTTCGTCCAAGCAATCCGCCACCACGGACTCAGATCCCTCCACCACCTCCGATACGGCAGTTCCCACGGTTGTATCGCCTACCAACCCTAAGGCATCATCCTCCCTCTCTTCCAACTCCAACTCCACCGCCGCCGCCGTGGCCGCTTCATGTCCTTCCTACCCCAGCAAAGCCGTCCTGGCGGGCTTTTTCCCCGGCGCGATCTTCGGCGCCGTGCTCGCCGCTTTAGGCATGATCCTCTTCCGACGCTGGCAACAGCGACAGCTCCCGGTGTCCGAGAAGGTCGCCCAACACACGCAACGCTCCTCCAACGGCACCTTAATTGGGATCTCCAGCCCCATCCCAACAGAAGACACCTCATACCGCACCGACTTTCTCCTCCGACGGTCTCGATCCTCCAAACGCAGCTCTGAAGGCGCTAGATCCGTTCTCCAACGCACCGGCACCCGCGTCAAGAGCCTCTTCGGCTCTACCCCCAAGATCACCGTCCAGCCGCCCCCGTCCGACGACGTGCCCCAAGTGCCTCAGATCCCGCCGATGCCTGCCCCGCCTCCTCTGCCCGTCACGCCGCCGCGACAGGTCCGTCCGCCCCGTCTGCCCAGCACGGAGAGTATCCGCGTATATACGCCCCCCGGCGTGTTTGCTAACACGGGCGTGCTGAAACCGGACCCGTATCCGTCGTTTCGGCCGGAGACGACCTTCACGGATATGATCGATCGGGTCGGGTTTAAGGATAAGAAGGGGGATCCGTCGTATAGGGTGACAGCTGGGTCGCAGGATAGTCCGACGAGGCGGAGGCCGTAGGGTCTTGGTTCTTTTCCTTGAGTATATGTTCCCGCTTGTGCTTGTTTTCCGTGTTGCTTTGTTCTGCATCTGCGTGTTCTTAGGTTGAAAGGCATTGCGATTGCGTGTCCTGTGTGTTTATATAGATTCCCGATTCCCCCTGGCAGATACCTCCATACCGATATAATGTGTGCATAGTGTGGACGAGCGGCTTTCGAGATATGTGTGAAATTGAACTCTCTTGACATAGTTAGCATGTCTTAATAATAATAGTATCATTCAATGTGCTTGTCTGATGAAGAACGAATTCAAATTGAACAAAAAGTATACTATATTACAGTGCGAAGACAATTATATAAACTGATATCAAACCTCACAAACGTGCTCTCTTAGCCTTCCAGCTGGCCACTGCTCGTTTGACTTCCTTGAGCAGTCCAACAACAAGAGGCACACCAATAGGCCCCAGCAAGGGGAGATAGACCGCCACCTTGTGTTCATCCGGGAAATAAACCTGACCGACCATGCTCTTCTCGAAGAAGCTGCGCTCGGCCTCTGACTCGGCAACGCGGGCGTTACTCAATGCCGCTTGGAAGCGACCCTCTTGGAGATGAGTGCATGCGGACGCTAGATGGCTGAGTGTCGTGGACACGGAGGTTGCGACCGAGGCGGGAATGGGGATGGAGGGCAAGGACTCGGTAAGACGAGCGAGAGAGCCCATCGTGGACGAGGCGGAGAAAAGAAGAGTTGCGGCGCGAATGCGAATGAGCGTCTGCAGCCGGAAAGGAAGGGAGGATGGCGTGGTAGGCGCGCCCAGCAGGGTCAAAAGCTGGTGGGAGAAGGTGAGGAAAGCCGGGCGAAGAGACTCCTGGGGGAGATACGAGGGATTGCTGGGATTATCGACCGTCTTGGACAAGGGAGGATTGAGAATAAAGACTCCGCCCCATTGAGGGATGATCCAGCTGGTGGCGCTGCTCTCTTTTACGACCATCGGGGATTGAGAGGGATCAGGCACGTAGAGAATGAAGTTGATCGTGGGACCGCTGCCAATGCTAGGGCTCAAGGGCCATTCAGCTGCATTGATGAAAGCGCTCAGGTCTTCCGTCTTAAGGGTCCACGCCCCCACTGACTCATCATATTCCGGGAGAGGTGCCGTGGGCGAGAAGCCCGCGTAGAGCTGGACCTGTGTGTCGACGGTGAAGTTGCTAATCGGGGAGTAGGCATGAAGCAGAGGCGAGATGTACTCATCTACGGCAGCCTGAATATCCCAGGACGAGGGCTGCGAGCCTGGCGTAAACAATGAGAAGGCCAGATGATACGTGTCTGCGTGCTTCATGGAGCGGCGCAACCGCCGGCTGATACTCTCTGCCAGCTGCGGAGAGATCGAATTGAGAAGCGCAGAGGGCTGCTGGTTGTTCGACGAGGCCGGGGTGTTGGTATTGGCGCTCACGACATTGTTGTCAGACAGCACATGCGCCACAATGGCTTTCTCTTCCGTGAACAAATTCTGGAGCGTTCCTGCGATGTATCCCGAGAGCGGCGGGTTGGAGGACGACGGAGGGGGCACCTGGCTGGGCGGGTAATAAACATCCAGCTGCGTAGTGTCGGCATGAAGCTCCGACTGAGGAGCTGTCAAGTCATCGCGCGCGAGCAGACGAACGGTCAGCGCGGTATCGGCCTTCCCCTCTTCTTCTCTGTCGTCGGACAGCTTGAGTCGGAGATGATGCGCGGAGAACTCGTTCAGGTCATCGAGGGTGTGTTGCGTCGCCCGGATAAGATGCTGCGCGTCGGACTCCGGGAGAGAGGGGGTATCGAATCGAATATCAAGCGGGAATACTGGGCGACAAGTCTATCGATTGTGAAGCTGATCAGCAAGGTTCGTTCGTCATTAGAAGGTGTCCTACCTTTCCATCAGCCCAATCCACCATGTCCTCGACGGGCAATCGAGCGCGGTAGATGGACGTCGTCTTCCACCAGATCGGAAATCCCAAGAAGATTATGACCGCCCAGAAGGCAGCGATCACTTTGAATCGCGTCTGAATGGCCTCTGGCTTCTCCGGGGGAGGAGCTCGCGGGGCGGACGGAGTAGCCATGGAGTCGTCCTGGGGAGTCAGGGAGGAAGACCCCCGGTCTTCATTCTTATCGGTCATGGTCAGGACATGCTTTGACCGGAAAAGAAGGGGGGATCCGGTTGCACTATAGTGTGCAGGGAATGATGGAGAGGAGGGGGGTGTGAAAGAGCGACGGAGGAAAGGTGACGACGGCGGAGGACAAGTAGTCGACGGGCGGAAATGTTCTGCGATCGCCGAGGTCACCGCAATGCAACTCCACATCCATACACCGTTGTAGACTATCATCTTTGAAAGACAGATTGATATGATTTGGTTAAGAGAAGATCATGACGACCAAATTTTGATTCACAACAGACACTAGTATTCCACCTCATTAAAAAGAATAAAAGAAACCAAACAATCCGGGTATCTTGATCTACAGTATAAAACACCAAAACAATAAACCCCAAACACCTCTCCATCCAGACTTTGACTAATACTCCTTTTCGAAAAGCTTCTGGATGGGTTTTGCGGCCTGGTGTAGTGTCTGTTAGTCACTGCTGCACAGGATCTTAAGAAAGAAAGGGGGATGCATACGTCGATAAACCGCTCCAAATCCTGGTCCAAGCTGGCCAAATCATCCTTTCGTTTGTTGTTCTCAGCGATCAGAGCCTGCTTGCGTTTGAGAAGCTCCTGACGGGCTTGCTCAAGTTTCTCACGCTCGGCATGTTCATGATTGATTCGGGCCACCATGAGTTCGTGGGCATCGGAGTCGTTGTGTTCGGGGAAAAGGGCCAGGAACTCCTCGACAGGGATTAGAGGAAGGGCCAGGTATTTGTGGCTAGGAGATAGAAATCTAATTAGCGGTGACAGGGCGTGACAGCTGTGCGAAAGACCACCTACTCATAAGACTCGCAGGCAGCGATTTCACCGGCCAAATGCCGTTGCTCATAATACAGATTCTGCAGTTGGAGATGTAACCGATCGATCTCCTGGCGACCTTCGGCGGTAGATTGTTTCGTCTCACGCACGCGGAGAATTGCCTCACGATTCTGACCACGCAGACGAGCCAGCAGAGCAAATAACCGCTTTTGTTCCTTCGACGCGGTCAGGGCAGCTTCTTGCGGGTCGGAGTCTGCGGTCGGATCCAAGGCAGCCAGCAATCGCTGGCATTGATCGCGGGTCTCGGCGCTGGTGGACAACACGGGCAATAGCGAGGGTTCGGCGACTAGGTCACGGACAGCCATGGCGACAGGTTTGAATGAGGTAGTTGGAGGATTGAAGGGAGGGGAGCGAGAGGCGGATCGATGATGAACGTGGATGCAATGCGGTCGCTGATGGGCTGGACGGCGCCGCTGGTCCAAAGAGTTGAAAGCCTTTTCAGTTCTGTTGAATGGCGGGCTGAAATCCACGAGGATAGAAGCAATCGCGAATGAATGAGGGCGAATCTATCATTGGAGGAGATTAGGAAGGAGAGAAAGAGGGCGGCGTCTCGGCGAGAAATTAATTAACTGGATTGAAGTTAATTGACGCCCCCCACTTGACTTTCTCTCTCTCCCTCTCTCTCTCTCTCCGGCTCTCTTCTTCTCTCCTCTCCTCTCCTTGTCGGTACTTTGTTCTGGGCCATTTTTAAAGTCGTTTCCCTCCTTTTTCTTTTTCCAGTTCAATTTCTCTCTCCTCTCCCTTGCATTGTATCGCTTCATACTTGTTTTTGTTTGTGTTTCTGGCTTTTCATTTCTTTCTTCTCTCCGATCATCTCCGACCGTCGGGCCCCCAACCACTCTTAGTTTCCTCAACCCAACAACCCACACTCCTTTCCCCTCACGGTCGTGATATGTGCAATTAGCCTCGCCAATTCCTGACCGGTGGGAATCTGTTGGACGGTATCATCATGACTTGCTCGGCGCAATCTATGACCATCGAGTCGTACCCCGAAGCCTCGACAAGTTCGTACGCCACTCCCTCCGAAGAAACCGCTCTTCTGCGGGACCGACGCCGAAGACACTCCTTTCATACGGCGAGGAAGCTTTCGTGCGACTATGATGCCGACGCTGTGTTTTTAAGAGTGAGTACCCTGGCCGGGTGGCGCCCTCTTGCCCCGTCTTGTCCTTGCCGCTGCGGAACATTTCCCCTGACCCAGACTTTTCTATAGGTTGAACTCTTTCTGGCGGAGCTGGAAAGACGTATGCACTGGATCGAAGAATATCGTCGCTCTCATATGGTTCAGGTCGATTCCAGTCTACGTCGCGGATATGCAACGCTTGAAGCCGTTAGGGACTCTTGTTCCCATGCCTCAGGGGAACTGATGGGCAGCGGCAAGAAGAGAGCCAAGATTTTGGTGGAGACCCTCGAAGACCGCTACAACGATGCTCTGGCAACCAAGGAGACCCTGGAGCAGAAGGCTCAGGTTGGAATTCGCCTGATGGAGACTTTTCTGACCGAACTGGAATCTCGAGCGCACGCCGTGCGGGACCGAGGCATCTACGGCGCCCTGGACGACGGGTGGAAGGCGGTTGATTCGAAGCTGGTACATGCTCGCGAGGTAGTCGATGAGGGCATGGAGCGTGCCCGGAAAGCGAAGGACACTTTGCGCGAAAACATCGACCAAGCCATCCTGCTGGCCAAAGAGCAGCGGCTGATCACTTATGCGGATCTTCCGCACCCGTGGCGAGTCAACCCGCACATCTTGCAGGGTTATCGGTTCACTTCCTCCAAGGTGGAATGCTTCACTTCCATGTTCACCTACTCCAACGAGCTGGTCAATATCTGGTCGCATCTGATCGGCTTGTTCATCGTTCTCTCGGTCGCCTTCTACTTCTACCCCCTGAACCCGAACTTTCACCTCAGTACCAACACGGACGTGGTGATTGCGGCCGTCTTCTTCTTCGCTGCGTGCAAGTGCCTGGTCTGCAGTACCCTCTGGCACACCATGAGCAGCATTGCCAACCAAGGTCTGATGGAGCGATTTGCCTGCGTGGATTACACCGGCATTTCGATGCTTGTGGCGGCTTCCATCGTGACCACCGAGTACACGGCGTTTTACTGTGAACCCGTGTCCCGCTGGACTTATATCCTTCTCACCATGTCCCTTGGGATTGGAGGTGTCATCCTTCCCTGGCACCCGACGTTCAACCGGGCGGATCTCGCATGGGCTCGAGTAGCCTTCTACGTGTCGCTGGCCCTCACCGGTTTTGCACCACTGTTCCAGCTGACCTACACGCGAGGCTTTTCATGGTGCCTGTACTTTTACGCGCCCGTCGTGAAGAGCATCATGGTATACTTTGTGGGAGCCTGTGTCTACGCCTCTCAGGTGCCCGAACGATGGAGTCCCGGGCTCTTCGACTACGTTGGAGGCAGCCACAACATCTGGCACTTGGCCGTCTTGGGTGGCATCCTGTTCCACTACTGTGCCATGCAGGACCTGTTCGCCAATGCTTTCCAGCGTGCGAAGGGAGAATGCCCCAACCTTGCTGGATAGAGCGGATGGAGTTGCAACCACTTCCCACCAACGGTTTTTGAGTAGACACATCTGCAAGTCAAATAACCGTTTCGGCTTTCTCGGCCTTCCATGCCACGCCTGACCCCCTCATGGTTCCTCTTTGGTTGTCGGCTTGGCCCACCGTTTATACATTCCGGTGCACCGGGTCTTGATCTTCTTGTACATACATTTTGAATTTGATATGCCTGAGAGCCATGGTTCTTTGCGACCATTTTCTCCTGGCTATCAAACTGGTACCTTTGTATCTATGGTGTCCTTTCCCTCCGGTCCCCTCGGGCTGGTCCTTTATCACTAAGCGTTACGTTTACGGTAAATAGAGCATTGTCAGAGTTCATCAAAAGTGTCATTCGTCGGCAGATGCCGAACTGTTCTTGATTCATGGAGATATTCTAGATATCATTTCTATACTGCATTCAAACTGATTTCTATCTGTCGTGACATCGTGAAACTTACCATCTCTACCTTGGACGGTTTTATGGTTGGGCGAACTTTGGCCTGGAGCATTTCGTGGAGATCGAAGTTCAACCTCCGGGCCTGCAAGCATGTTTCTAGGCCTTTCCCGCACGGCCAATGCGTGGCGACTTCTGTCGAACAGGCCTCGTGGAAACAAAGTTCAAATTCGAACCCGATACTGAGAATCCGTCTAAGAGCGTGGACTGACTTGCAGTGGACTATACACCGAGCACAATCTAGGGATGATCACGCTTCGCTCTTCTCATCACCCGCGGGAGCAGCATCTGCCCGCTTGAGGAAATGGCCCTGGATCCAGGCCCGATACATCTTCAGTTTCTGTTGGCGATTGACAATCAAACGGTTGTCCACGGCCAGTTTCTGAATTTCAAAGGCCCCTGGCTCCGCCGAGGCATCCGTCGCAGGCGATTCCGACTCTTCTTCCACCTTCTCCGGTAGACCCTTCTCGGGAGTCCACTGACCCCACATCCGACGCAGTTGCTCCTTGTCAAAGAAGTACACGCGCGTGCCGTCACCACGGATGTAGAAGTTCTCACCCATGTACCGGCCCTTCTTGAATCGCACTTGGGCCAGGTCTCCTCGGCCGTAGTCACGGAACAAGACCCGACCGCCGGGCTTCAAGACACGGTATACATTGCGAATAGCCTGCTCCCACTGGTTGGGCGCCAGGGCGGAGAAAATGAAAATCAGAATCACCACATCCACCGACCCCTCGGTCAATCCGGGCGGAAGGCCGTTCTGGTTCTCATCGGGCGCGGCCGAGACGTCCCACACGTCGGCGGTCATAAATTTCGGGTTATAGTGCTCGCTGTCGCGCATGACCTGAACGGCCGTCTTGGAAAAGTCGCACGCATGCACCATGAGTTCTTCGTTGGCGTTGTTCAGCAGCAGCGGGAACGCCGTGTTTCCAGCGCCGGCGCCCACCTCTAGCACGACCTGGCGACCGGCTCCGGCGGTCGTGACATCCGCTAGAACGGGGAACTCCTGACGCAGCCATTTGCGGTCCTTGAAGAAATTGGCCGTGTTGTTCTTGTAGAATAGATTCCACCACTTGGCGGGGTCGGCGTTGAAGCGGGCGCGGTCGAAATCGGATACGGGCGATTCGCGCTGCTTGGCGTACTGGGTTTCGGCGAACGCCTTGAAGTTGTCGTCCGGTTCGACGTGGTCCCAGGCATTGAACTCATAGACGTCGTCGCCTTGTTCGAGGTAGCGCGAGCCGAACTGGAAGGGATCTGTGCGTTTGAGGTTGTTGGCGGGGTCGTGCGAACGATGCGGGGGGACTTGAGGTGGTTGCACGATCTGAGCAATGCTCAGGATATCCTGGGGGTCGGGAGGTGAGATTGGCGCTGTGGAGTCCGACATGATGGTTTCTCTTTCTGTGAAGGAGGTCGAGGGGAAGAAAGAGAAAGGAAGAAAGAAAGTCTTTGAGGAATAAGGCCCTGAAGGAAAACCTTGCGGAGAAAAGAAAAAAAACCAAACGGAAATGGCGGGGCCCCTTGATGCCTCAGGCAACAAGCGGGCCCGGTCAGAATGTGGGTGCCTGAGGGATCTGCATGCTCGACCCTGGCAGGCCTCAGGCAGCAGGATACGAATCCCGTGGGATTCCCCAGTCCTTTGTCCTTGTCACTTCTTCTCTCTTCCTCCGTCTCACTCCCGACTCCTCACTTGACTCTGCATTCCTGCCCACAGCTGGGGATAGGCTGTGTGTTGTGTGATATCTGGCCTCTTTGCCCATCACGGTGACCTGGCCTTTCGTCATCATTCTATTAGCGCCTGGCATGACCTACTGCCGGAGTACTACATAGACGTACTATCAGTATTCATATACAACCGTGCATCGCCATTAACTCTCTACATTCTACTCCTCCGCTATATACACACATTGACATTGCCAGCGACAAGGGTCAAACTCCTCACTATCCAAACCCGAATTTACACTTCCTGCCCTAGAATATGGGCATATTCAACTGGCTCTGCTGCATTCCCTCAAGCACATCTCCTCCCCCGCTCTCAGCCTCGTCTCAGCCTCGTCACCACCACCATCCCACCACCACCAACTCAGCAAACCATGGCTCCTTAGGGGAAGAAACTGGCTACACCTCACCATCTGACCTCCCAGCCTACACGCCCCGCCCCGTCAGCATCCACGAAAAGACACTAGAACTACACATGCGCGATCCCCCGATCTCATCCACCTCTACCACGTCTAATCACTACCCGAATCATCACCAAGAGAGTCAACACGACTACCCCGACGAAAAAGCCCACTACCAATACGACCAGGATCATCATCCACTCCCGTTACGAAATAGTAATCGTCCCGAGGATCTCTCGTCCGACGTCTCCTCTGCTATCTCGTTTACTAGTAGTTACGGGAACACGTCCACCGCGACGAGGGATACGCCGCCGCCGCCGTATTCTCCGAGAGAGGGATCGCCTGTGCCGGGCCGGTCGAGGTCGGCTTCTTCGGTCTCGGGACGGGGGATGGGATGGGCTCCAGGTGTTGGTAATGGTGGTGGTGGTGGGGTCCCGACGCAGATGATGCAGATTGCGCAGCCGAGGCCTGTTTTTCAGAGACGGGAGACGTTGATGAGGAGTTTGGTTGCCAGGAGGAGTATCGAGGAAGAGGTCGAGGGGAGGGGGTATTAGCACTAAGTGTCATTTTGTTGTGATTCGGGGTGTTGTCTTTTGTCGGGGTCTTCGAGAGTCGATGATTGAGTGAAGTGGGATGGTATGGTATGGGATGGATATGCTTGGATCTACTAATGTTTACGATTACGATGGATGGGTTATGGAAGGACACTTGAGTGCATGGGTTCTGGCGTTCAAGGGGAGCAATTGGTCGTTATTTATACTATACTATAATATATTCTGTCCTGGTGCAAACCCAGGATCGATGTCACAATCAATACGATATACATTCTGTCATGATCCGAGGATTCATCAACACATATCCACCTATTCCAACGATAATACATCAAGAACCATTCAAATCAACCAGCATCATCCGCTCCTGCACATGCCGCAGTAAATACCCGCACACCTGCGCCGGAAACTCCAACAGCGCCAGAACCCGCGGATCATCGCTATATTCAAGATACATGCAGATCGCCGCACATTCGGACTTGATCCTCGTCTCCATCCACCAGAAATGCACCGAGTCGACCAGACCCAACCACCAGGCCAAGATGAGCAGAGCGGGCGGGTCCTTCGCTAGTACCCGGTCGTAGAACGGCTCCGTTAACCGGCCTACGAAGTTCATGTACTTGCTGAAACTGCGGGCGGAGCGCTCTGCGGATAACAGCGGGGTGAGCATGCGGAGGGGCCAGTGGTAGGGATTCGTCTCTTCGGTACTGGTCTCGTTGATGTCGCAGATGTCGGCGAACGCGGGGTCCAGGCCCTCACGGCCAATTCGATGGTCGTCGAAGAGCGGGTTCTCGTTGCGGGACGCCATGAAGGTGTCGAAGTAGATGCTGGTGGTAAGCCAGCGGCGGGTGAGGCCGAGGAGGTGGCGCAGGCCGCTCTGGAGTAGGAGCCAGTTTAAAGCGTTGGGGCTGTCGGAGAAGACGAAGGAGTTGTGGGGACTGTAGGTCTCGAGTCGGAACGTGTGCACGGTCATCAGGAAACAGGCTGAAAACAGAGAGTCCATGTTGTGAGACCCGGCGTGAGAAATCTCGTGCGAGTACTGGTTGATGGCTTTTTGCCAGTGGTACGCCTCGACGGCTGTGTAGGCGCTGTTATCGGGGAGGATGTGGCAGAGGTGCGTTGTAGCGGTACCGATGATGGCGTGCATGAGGAATGGGGTCTGGGTGACAGTTAGGAAGGGCATGGGACTTGACGGTTACTGTCTCAATGGTGTGCTGACTTGAAGTGCAAGTTGAATAGTCTTACTCCAGAGAAAACGTTCGGTGCTCCCGTTGTCAACCGTGGGCATGGTATGTTCATGGAAATGATGCAGTGAGCGAAGGTTGTCGGAAAAATTCCCATCTTTGGGATTGAGTCGAAGTAGCTCGTTGATCTTCTTTGAAATCGCCGACAGTGACAACGAATGTGCGGTCGTGCCTGGCGACGTCAAACTGGGCGCTTTCTCAGCCAAGTACGCAACAATGTCTTTGTCATGTTTGAAGACCGGTTGTGGCTCATAGAAGCAATCCACGCCGTGTTTTTGGCATCGCAGACATTGTGGTTTAGTTTCGTCACACTAAGCGGAGTCAGAAATTGCTACACAAGACAGAGCCATCTTTGGGAGAAGAGGATTATATGATGGTAGAGAACGGATTCATAGTACCTTTATCCGTCGTTCCTTGCACTTCACGCATCCAGCACGAGACTTCCGATGGGCTCGCCGAGCATGATAGACAGATTTTACGGCCCTTCCAGAAGGCCCAGTCCCAGGCTGGTGCAGGGTTACTCGGAAAACACTCTGCTGGCCCTGCAGGGTCCCGGATGGCTTAGGAGGTCTGTAGCTGCCGTGCGAGGGTGTACTCTTGGGGGACGTATCATCGGAGGCCGTTGACATTATGGGCCAAAATCGATGGTTGATCTAGACCGTCACCTAGCTGCTTAGCGATCATAGAACCACCGAACCGAGATTCGATACTACTAACCCAGAAGAATTAGTGTGAACCAATAGACAGCGCGGTATGTAAAATGACCGAGATGCTGCATCCTTATTTGCCCATCGGACAAGATGTGTGGAGCAGCCCATAGGATGAAGGGTGGATGGTCCCCCTGCTATTGTGCTAGTACAATGAAAGGTGGCATCGGATTGACAGACCAGGAAGAGATGAGGGAGCAAAGAAGCAAGACGAGACGAGACGTTGGGGCGACACGAGGCTGGCACTAGTCTTAACTAGGCAACTCTCGTATCCTAAACCGGGGTTCATCTACAAAGGCCATTAAACGTGTTATGTCAAACGATAGGATATTAATTCAATGCAGCTCATGTACTATGCATAGTCGCGGGACTCCGTTCCCTGAGAAAGTAGACACGCTCATAACTTCGTACACCATTCATAAGGTTTCCAACACGCTAGCTTCAACCGATCTGGGCGTTCGAGAAGTCCATTTCTACAAAACCTGTTAGAAAAGCTAGAAACTTGGCAATTGAACCACATACCTGGGTGTTCGGCCTGGAACTTCTTCAAGATATCCATCTTGCGCTGCTCATCACTGCTCGGCCCGCCCATTTCTTTCTGGCGCTGGTCGTACATCATCTTCTCAACCATGGCCCTTGTCTCTCCATCCAGATCGCTCAACTTGGAATTTTCGGGGGTGATCTTGCTGACATCGATCTTCGGCGCCGTGGTCACCACGTGCGGCCACCATTCCACCTTGTTGGCCTTGTCCAGGTGGACCGCCACTTCCTTTCCGGGGGGTTTCGACGTTGTCTCCAAAGTCCACGAGCATTCATCCACGAGAACGGGGTGGGGAAAATCGCCCTAGATGTTGCATTAGCCTTGCGACTTCTTCACCTCACGTACGACGGCAGGCAAATTTGAGAAAGAGAGACGGGGAAGAATACCTCAATAAACGGCTCCTGTCCCTTAATGGCCACCTTGATTTTCGACTTGGTCAAAACCACATCCATGTCCCTTCCCTTGATGTTTGCGGGAATCGGAATCGTTATGTCCACGTCTTGGATGCTCTGGGTCCACTTGTACGGCAGCTGCGCCTGTTCGGCCTCCTCCTTGGCCTTGCGCTCTCGTTCTTCGCGCTCGCGCTCGGCGGTCTCGGCCGCGGTGGGATCGCGTTCCACGTCGGTAGACATTTTGCAGTGATCGGATTATCGAAGGAGAGAAGGGCTGGTCGTAGCTCCGGGGTAGCTGTGGAGGGGTAATAGTGGGGTAAGCGAGTGTTTTTCTTGCGGTGAGGCAGGAAGGTGGATTTACCTTAAAATCTGCCAAACGGTCCGGTGTAGATAAACGGAGATATGAAGGAGGTGTAGTGAGTACAGAGTAGTGTGGAGAAGTCGAGTGAGAGGAAAGGGAAGGTCTGGTCTTCGAGCATCTTCGACTGTGATTTCATCCGCCGGGTGGACCCGCTCAACATGCGGCCTCTAAACTGCTTTGGGCTCCTCCGTTGATCTCGATCTACTGTCAACATCTGACTACATGTCTAGGGTTCATGCCATGTTTTGTCCATTTATGTGTTGATTGGGCTGATTGATAATATCTAATACTTTGTCTTACTCTAGAAGCTAGGTTCACTCTCCCCGAACCAACACCCCGCGATATCGCATCTTGCCATCTCTGAGCACCTGCATCGCCTCCTCGATACCCTCCCCAGTCAATGGAAAGGTCTGGGTAGTTGGAACGATCTTCTTCTTTGAGGCAAATTCCAAGAGAGCGCGAATACTATGACGGGATGCGACTAGAGACCCTTGAATCCGAATACCTTGGAAGCACAACTGCAGTGTGGGAATCGCAGATGGCTCAAACGTCGCAGTCAGCGGATAGATGGAGCTGGGCGAATCCATCAGGGGAATCAGGCTGAGATGAGGTTAGCCATGGTCATTGAGGGTGCCATAAGATTACATACGATTGGTAATCCAAACCGCCACTTCCGCAGAGCAGCAAGTGCTTCAGGGATTTCAGATCCTGCGGCTTCTCTCCTGAGCGAAACACATGATACTCAGAGGCACCGTACTCCGTGGCTTCCTGCCTTTTCGACTCCGAGCTGGAAAGGACCACTACATGGTAGCCCATTGCAGCGGCAAGCTTGATGGCAATATGCCCGAGTCCTCCGACCCCCATGATTCCTACCCGGTCTCCAGCCTCGATGCCAAACCGCGTCAAGACAGTCCAAACTGTGGCGCCGGCACACATCAGCGGTGCGGCATCAACAGAACTTAGCTTTTCCGGGATTGGGTAAACGCAATTAGCATCCCACACAGCGCCTAAGCTGAACGTCCCATTGTCGAAGTCGCTGGCTCCGTATATCTTCCGCTCTTTGCAGTATTGATCCCAACCTGTCCGGAGTTAGAAAGGAAGCCCGGGGTATCTCGAAGGAAGGGGTTCCTACCAGTAGCGCAGTTGTTGCAAGAGGCGCAGATGCTGTGAGTAAACGCAAACCCTACCCGGTCCCCAACTTTGACTGAAGTAACGCTAGCACCTAGGGCTTTGATAATACCAATCCCTTCGTGACCTAGAACTTGACCGGATTTCAAATAATGCTCGTCTGTTCCACATAGGCCAGATGCAGTGGTTTCAATGTAAACCTCGTTGTGCTCTAGGGTGCGGGTAACCTTGTCGGCAACGATCTTGCCCTCGGGGGAGCCACGGAAAACGTCGAATGTCACGCTCATTTTGAAGGTTGGAACAGGATTATAATTTTTCAAGACGTAAGATAGAACAGCATTCTCATATACGTTGCAACACAATCGTTTTATACCTAGAGAATTGTGGACTGTTGACTAAACATGATAGGTAATCAAATATCTCTTCGGACGCTTTCTTTGCCGTCGCCACGATGCTGATGTCCGACAGATGCTAGGACGGTCAATGAGTTGCCCCGTTACGGAGACTAACTCGGAGACTTTCAAAATGTATGTTTATGATCCATCTATTAGGAGGCACTATGGGGTTGTCAGAGGACCGGTTTCGCACATTGGGTTAAGAGTGCAACGGGCGACTATCACGATCACCAAATTGATCAAGGCCAACAGAAAGTGACGGCAAAAGACAAACTATCGGAGGAAGTTCCCACGTACTCACGTTCTGATTAGGGGTTCTCGGCGAGTTACAGGCCCTATTTTGTGTCACTGAGGATGTCGAAGCTGCACTTCGGAGACTGTCACTTACAGGGCGCGCGGTTATCTTCGCATTGTGGACAGCGACACCACGCCCTGTGTAGACTATTTTATAGTTCGTTTAAACCAATCATTCAGCACTGGGTGGTTCTTGCGATGTGCAATGGATTCTAGCCATCGCAGACAGTGTGCTAAGGGACGGGGTTGTGCTAAGTTCTAGATTACCTGCCATCCCAACTGAACGTAGAGCTTCACAGATACTACGCACGCAAACAACGTATCCAATAGGTAGGTAAACCAGATACTTATAAGTCTACCAATAGATAATTCGATCCCAAATCGCCCCATGCAGCTAGGTATAAGCTATCCAATCAACCTCAACCCAGCGCAGACTATCAACTCATGCCCATCAATAGTTATGACTACATCCACCCCCAATGCATACATACCACCGAAAAACAATTAGGTAGTTACTGTAAATCCTCCCTGTTTTTCATCTCTTCCAGCAACTCGATGAAGTCCTCATCCCCTTTCCTCGCGCGCCCCTCAAACACAGCCATATTATCCTTCAACCAGGTCGAATCGCCACCGGCCTAGACAGAGCCCATTAGTACATGGTCACGAGCAGTCAACCCCAAACCAAACAACTCCTAACAGAACAACACAGAAGTTGAAATAAAGAAGCAAGACTGTATAAAACCCCAAAACCAAAAGCAACCCAAAAAGAAGACAAACCCTCGGCAACAAAACCCCACACTCCAACCCCGCAGTGATAGCACCTAGGATAAACACGCGATTCAGCTCTCTCGCCTTTCTTTCTTCTTTATCCAAATGTTTGACGGATCCGGCATTCACGATGTCGTTCCAGGCGGATTCAATCTTCCGTGCGAGATCCTCGAAATCGGATGTTGTTCTGTTCCCACCGGAGCGGACGTGTGCGAGGATGCGGTTTATTGGTCTCTTTATTCTCTCGCTCACGGGATCCGCGATGATGATGTTAGTTGATGATTAGACCGGGGAATTTAGGAGGGAAAAGGTGTAGGGGTGAGACGGACCTCTTTCCCGGCGATATAGTTACAATAGTGAGCTGAGTCTACGAACTGGACGTTGACGAAGAGGCTGGGGGTCGTGAACTTGCGGGTGTGGATGTGCGTGATGGACTGGGCGAGGGCGTCTCGTTGGGGTTTGGAGAGAGGAGTGGAGTGTTCGATTGTGTAGAGAGGCATGTTTTGCTATACTGCTAGGATAGGGACCGGTGGTTGTGGTGAGCTGTGTTGTGTCTCTGGGACTGGTTGATGTAAGTTGGGTAGAGAGGTGGGGTGGAGGTGCTTGGATACATATATCTACAGTAGGCGAGGGAGTATACATGAGTTCATGCGCCGAGAACCCCTCATTGACTCGATGCGTTGAGCTGATCTATGACAGTTGGGCGAGACTACGAATCAGCCCTCTTCGGCCGATATAAAAGTCTCCGAGTCGGACGATCTGTAAGGCCAAGACTAGGATAAAATGAATAGAGAAGAAAGATTCATCATCACGTAATATAGATAGATGCATTTGTGCAGGGCAAATTGCTTTTTGGAGATGATTCACCCTAATATCTGACATATGGCGAGGTATTTCGACTCTTGGGGTATGTGGCTCGAACCAGCGCTGGATAATGCTTTCGATTCTATCATGTGCCAGTAGACAGAATGGTTGTCATCAAGATGCTTGGTCCCTGTGCAGTTGAGCGCGGTGTGTATGTATTCTACCTCGTCAATCTGATGCTTCCTGCGCATTCAGGTCGATTGGAAGCGAGAATTGGAGATTTCAATACGAAATCCAGAGTCAATCTTCAACTTGATATAGAAAAAATGATAAGGATAACTGATATATAAATGGCAAAAAATGCGAGAAAAACCCTCCACAACGCCGGCCATTAGGCAGATCCGAATATTGCTCAAACCACCCAACCGAAACACCGAAAAGAAATGCAACTATATCCCGAGATTCTACTCGGTACTATCGGTAAAAATATCCTCCAAGAACAGCTCTGTCCCGGATGCATTGACGTGGCTGCCGGCCTGATAGGTCGAAGAAGGGGCGTGGGCGTTCTGGGAGACATCCTCGACATCCTCGACATCCTCCACCTCCTCCACCATGATATCCGGCTGCTCAACGGCGTCAAAGAACTGACCTGCATATTCGGCAACCTCGTTGGCAATTTTGGTCTCGACGATGCCCTCGAGCATCTTCATATCTTTCTTCCATTGCTGCTCCCGTCGCTCTCTCTCTTCGTCCACGCGACGGCAGGTTCCATCCCGTTCCCGGATCCTTAGGCAGTTGGGGCAGAGATAGTTCACCTCGCAATAGGTGCAGTTGCAGGGAGGGTTCGCTTCGATGCATTCCTCGCATACATGCACCGAGCAACTCGTGCATTCCCGCAGGACACTGGCGCACCGTTGTCGCTGATCGCCGACGGCGCGGTACTGGGGACAGAAGAAAGACTGACAGCCTTGCCATTTCGTAGGTTCTATCGACCACTCGCCGTACACCGAGGCGGGAGATGAAGAGCGTGATCGGTTGGAGTTCGAGATGGAAAAGCTCCTAGATCGATGAGGCTCGATGGGATGAGAGGAAACCTCCGGCTGGTCGAGACTCTCGGCGATGCCATCGGTGGGGACATCCTCAATATAGCTGCTGGCTGCCGAGCCGGCCGCGCGTTGAGTTCGATACGGCAGATCAAACTCAGGCGGGGGGCTGGCGAACTGAAGAGGTGGCGAGACGTAGGAAGGGGAGCCCAGTTGGGAAACTCCCACGGTTCGAGTCTGGATGGCCATCTTCTCCAATGTCAAGTCACGATACCCGCAGATCCGTAGGCGAAGACCGCGGAGGTCGTGCTCGATGCACAAAGGCTTAGAGCAGCTCTTGCAGTGAACTTTCCATTGCGGCGTGTCGTAGCATTCCTGACACAGGTTCCGCGGGCAAGCGGTCGGGTCTCGGTCTGGAGGGCCAAGCAACCATTTCATCATGGCCAGGTGCCCTGCTTCCAGCGTGTAGTCAGGCTTTTGGGGATCGCCGTAGGCGTATTTCGGAAATGTCTTACTCCACTCGTTGGCCGAGTACTCCATATCCTCCCAGCCCTGCCCTCGTGGAAGAGGTGCCGCTCGAACCTGATCGACATCCCGGTTCGGCGTTCCGATGCTGATGCCACCGCCGCCCGAGAAGATTGGTTCCGTGCAGCACCAGCGAAAACTCAAGTTCGGGTACGGAAGCGCGGTGTGTTGGTTCACAGCGTTGGTTCCTAGCAAGTGGCCTGGAGGATCTTGCATGAGACAAGGAGAATGAACGGCACCAGGCGCCCACCACAGTGCGTCTGGCGTTTCCTCGGGAGTAGAGCCACGGGGACGACAGCGGACATAGGGACGATCGTAGGCACAGCTGGCGCAGAGGGTTTTCCGACAGCCAACGCAGTGCATCAAAATGCTACATTGTTCACAGCGCTCCGAAATTGGCTCGCAGCAATGATCGCATCGGATGTTTTCCACGAATCGCCTGTGGCTCCAGCGTCGGTGCGCCGGCAGCTTCTTGCCCTCGCCGTAGTCCCTTCCTTCCCCGGTCCCCAGGGGTTCGCCGTGGCACCCCGTCTCGCGGTGCTCCCACAACTTGCCATCCTTCTTGGGTGGGCGGAATCCCTGGTCAACGGGGCCAATCCAGTTCTTCGATCTCCATAACCGATCAAAAACCACCCAGACCTCTGGTGATCCCTGAGGAACCCTCATGGACACATAACCCCTTCGTCTATGGCATCTTCCAGCAGGGGTAGAGCACCACGCCGTATCGGTCCAGATCCCTAGCTTGTGGCAGAGATTAACCAGTTCATGCGTTGGCTCCGAATCCGAGTCCTTCCGCGTTAAAGACGACGACAGATACGGTCGTCGCCGATGATGGCGGCAGCGGTAGGTGTACAAACTTTTAAGGGCCAGGTTTTTGGTGCACGGCGAGCTGCCGATGTTCTTCTCCATGCTCACATCATATTGTAGTCCAAACATCATTAGGTAAGGGATTATATGGTATTTGAGGGAAACATTCTTGCATCCACGGACCGATAAATGCTCCAAGGTTTCACGTCGCGAATATAGGACGGTCGAGATGAGAATCTGCCCGGATACCGCCGTATTGTCCAACTCCAGACTGGTCAGACACGGGCTAAACGGGATGACCACGTGCATCAGCAGCTGATCCAGCGCATAGGGTCGTGACTGTCGAGAGACGATCGCATCCGAACTACCCGGTACCACCACGCGCAGCGGAGATGGGTTGCTGGATGGATAAAATAGGCGAAACGATAGCTGCTTCCATGCTGTCGGGTACGATCGGAGGAAGGATCGGAGGTAGGCTGAAGAGTGGTAGAGTTTAAGGATGGTATCGGTGGGGATCTGAAGCAGCAGAGATTCAAGGATAGGAGCGTGGGTGGTGAAGACTCTCTCAAAGGTCGACAGCATTCTCTGGGCTGGTATCACCGACTGCTCCAGCGCGGATACCACCTGCACTTGGTTGGAGCCGGCGTCGTCGTCCATGGCGCCTAACCCGAGTCTATCTATCGCGGGTCGCGAGGCCCTGTCGAGAACGGTTGACACGACGCGGTTGGGACGCCGTTCGTCTAGTATTTCTTTGCTTTCACCAGATATCTAATAGCCCTGCGAGAAGTCGAAGTGACGCGAGCTCGCGAACGCAGCGGAGAATGCGGGAGGCGCAGGGACATCATAAGGAGAGAGGAAGGGCGGCAATGCGCAAGGACAGAAGCGGGATCGAACCTAGTCGGATGCCATGCGAGGCCATCCAAGGGAGGGGATAGAAGAGAGTGGGGAGGATAAGAAGAGAAGGAGACCAGAAGAGAGGAGAGGAGAGGGGAAAAGGAACAATAGGCGCTGAGGGAGTGTGACAACTCACGGTTGGGAACAAATCCAACTCATTCCGGGATCTGCCCGGGAGTGCATCATGTGATAGGTCGCCCCGAATGAGGAGGGCAGGTTGGGGTCCTTGCACAAGAGGGGTTGCTTTATTGATTGGGGTTTAATCTATTGCTTCGTGATGAGTCTGCGCCGTGGCGTGGTCTACCCTGCTCGACTTTGGCGCTCAGTGCAATTGCAAATCCAATTGGGGTATGATTGACTTCTATCGATCTATCGACTATTCGACTCCCTATGCTTCCCTACGCCGTAATAATCATGGCCAGAGTTTGGGTCCACCGTTTTGACCCCTTCTCCAACGGGTGTTCCTCACTACAATCCAGCTAACCTCCCTTAGGGCGAGTCTAGTGCTTCTCTATTGATCCGCCCACCGTGTATCCCCTTGCGATGCCCTTGCGCCCTTCCACCACCAGCGTACTATCCGGGGTTTCCGTCTCGTCGTCTTCTTCATACTGGATATCGAAATCGCTTCCCAGCCCCTTCCAGGTCCGATGCGACCGTAGGAATTCCGCCCCTGGCGAGATACTGTTGCCGATCATGGCCACATCCCCCTTTGCGCGCCGGGCGAGTGCTCGCGCAGCCGACGGTCCGCCGGTCGCAGAAACAGCGTCGTCGGCGGTAACGCGGGGTGCAGAAGTCCGCATGGGACGCGAGTGCGAGACATACCGTCCTGTCCGCAGGTCGAACTCGGGCGGTGCGGATTCGTCTTCCGACATCTCATCCTCGTCGTTGTCCGCGTTGGCGTCGGTGGACGAGGCATTGGGATCCTCAGCGGGTTTGTCCAGCACGCTTTGGAAGTCACTCTGCCAGGCTCCAGTCCAGACCCGCTCGGCATCCCCCTGGAGCGTCATCTCCAACTCAAACGGCGTGATCACCGGTTTCCAGAACTCTTTGCTGTCAACTAGCGAACTCTCCCAGCATCCGATCACCACCCAACCCCCGATCTCGCTGAAATTAGCCACCTTGGCGGCGTTCAGCTTGCCCACCACAAACAGATAACTCTTCTTGCCGGCCGCTGCGATCCGCTCCCGCACGTGATCTACAATGTGCAGGTAGTTCTTCACGCTAAGCGTGTTGACCAAGATACCGAAGATCGGCACCGTGCTGAGAGAGGTCAGGATGGCGTAACGCCGTGATAGGGTGGTGGCCGTCGACGCGGGCAGGGGCTTGACATTCTCGTTGGCCAGATCGTTCGTGGGATAGATGTAGATGGAAGCGACGCGGGATGCCAGGGTCAAGAGGAGCGCGGTAGGAGGGTCGGAGATGTGGAAAAGCTGCCACTCCGACAAGGTCTCGGACGAGTCGCGAACGGAATCGGGCACGGTGCGATTGGGGATGGCGGATGACGGGTTGTGAAGCAACTCCGTGGCGAACAAGTTGGTGTAGCCCTCCTCTACCAGCCGGGAATACAGCGAAGGAACATGGTCGGTATAGGTGACGTCGGCTGCGAGGATGACCTTCGTGGTCGGATCGGGGTAGGTCTCCTTGAACGCCCGCACAACCGGCTCCAGTGGCAGAGGCTTATGCGTAAAGACATGAATCACCGGCAGTCTCGCGGTTGGAGACAGGCACGATCGTCCGTAGTGCACGACCACGTCGGCGTCGACATGCTCGGCTGCCACCTCGTCGACACAGCAGGTTCCGTAGGAAGTATCCGCCAAAATGTATAGTCGGGGCGACGGCTCCTTAGCCTCCACGCTGAGCTGAGACACCCCGTGGGATAGACCGTTCGCATCGCCGGTCTCCGTCCCATTGGTCTGAGCCTGGGTGCCATTGCCCTCGTTTGCAGCGGCGTTGTCGCGCGTGTCCAAACCCCGACTGAGCAGCTGGAAGACTCGCGGGGCATCGGGAAGCATGTCGTCGGGGAATTGGAGAGCGATGCGCTTATACCGAGCCTGGCGAATTTCCTTCAGCGTGCGATCAATATCATAAGTAATCGATAACTCATCGTCCGACAGCGATCGAGTCGTATCGTGCGACGTGACGGGGTCGGTGGCCTCCAGGATGCGATCATCCGGAGTCGACAAGACGGGCGCTGCCTCCATTTCGGTGCCCATTTCGACAAGACGGATAGGCTCTGTAGTTATGGAAGGGCGAGCGAGGGAACACGATTGCAATCGGCGGGGTTGTCAAACTGGCGAAGTGTAAGAAAGTGGCGGATATTTTTTTTCTTCGAGGCCCAAAGAAACCCCCCACTTCACCCCGCCATCCGCAGAGCCAATAATGCGTGTGCCAATTACGGATCCTTTTATGGCACCATAACTTCAACAGGTGGAATTGAGAGCGGTATTTCCTGAACTTATATACATGAACGGAAGCTATCATGAAATTCATCCCTCACAGGTCTGCTCGCGCCGGTTCGCCCGCCCAAACACGCCGGATCAACTCACGGATCGGACTGCGCTCAATCTCCCGCGGGTTCCAGTAAGGGTTGCCCACCGCGATATCGGCCGCCTTGTCAACATCTTCTTCCTTCATTCCAAAGTCCTTCAGACCCCTCTTGACCTTCAACTTCTCCAGAAGGACATTGAGACCGTGGATGGCATCCCCGTTGCTGTCGGGAAGGGCCTCGGCCAACTTCTTCATGGCCTCCGGGATCTTGGGCGCGTTGTAGGAGATCGCATGCGGGAGAACGGCCGTGTGTGTCTCGGCATGAGGCAGATTAAAGCTCCCTCCCAATGTATGGCAGAGTTTATGATGGATGGACATCCCCACGCTGCCGAGACAGGTTCCGCAGAGCCATGCGCCATAGAGAGCCAGGGACCGCGCAGATGGGGACTGAGGGTTCTCGACAATCTCCGGCAGAGCGGAGGCCAGTGACCGAGTGCCCTCGAGCGCCATCAGGTTGATGACGGGGTTCGTGTTACGGGCGTAGAGTGCCTCGACTATCTGTCGCGTCAGTACTCTAAGCTTGCGATAGGTACACACACCACAAGACACACTCACCAGCATGGGCAATGGCATTCACGCCGCTCGTCGCACTCATCGCCGTCGGCAACGTCATAGTCAAATCGACATCGTAGATCACCGTTCCAGGAAGGATCTTCGGATCCGAACGAGTCTTCTTCAGCCCGTCGGCCGTCTCGCCCAAGATCGGCGTCATCTCGCTTCCTGCATACGTAGTCGGGATGCAGATGTGCGGTAGACCAGTGCGGATACTGATGGCCTTCCCCAGTCCAATGGTGCTTCCTCCGCCGATGGAAATGACTACGTCCGCGCCCTGCGCTTGGGCGTACTCCAGCGCCTTGTCGGTGATGTGCGTCGGCGTGTGCATCGTCGCCTCGCTGAAGATGCCGGCGATCTGGCCCTTCAGGACGGCCTGGATGCTCTCGGCTTGGTTCACCTGCTGGGGCGTCGAGAGCACCAGCGGCGCTTTCACGTTCAATCGTGCGATCTCATCGGGTAGTTTCTGGAGAGTGCCGCTGCCGAAGATGACACGGCCGGGGTTGGCGTTGTATTCGAATGCGTCCATTTCTTGGTTGTTATTTAGGCAGTATAACTCGTGTGGATGTACGGTGCAGAGTTCCCAGTCAACGAAAATGACAAGATGGAGATCACGCGGTGATTACCACCTCTAGATATATGCAAGCCGTCGCATACTCCCAGTAGCCGACGCAGCTTGATCATCATGATTAATCCTCGTAGCTCCCCACACCCCACCGTCAAACGCTTCAAGTCATTGGGGGAATTCACTTCACCGTGGGTCTGCCTCCGCGGGACTCGGCAGTTGCGCTCTGGTCGACTCCGGATTTCTGATGATTCTATAGAACTTGGGAATATAGACTGGCTATCTCATTGGGAATCCTCTTGATTCGCTATCATTAAATATGTAGGCAGGCATGATGCATAACAATTGAACTTTTTTTTCTTGAATATACAGTTGCGTCCCCATGGGTATACCCACGCTATTGCTTCCTGTCACTTTTGTCGCAGTGATCTCTTTCCTGCCTGTAGACATTAAACTCGGCTTGTGACCGATAATTTAGTCCATATCGTGGAAGGCCATGATACCAGGAGCCCCTCTGCGATCGGCCTTGTTCTTCTTGCGCTGCTTCCGGCGCGACTGATCCGGGCGGCTCTGTTGCTCGCTATCATCGGAATCAACACCGTCGTCATCGTCGCTGTCATCGCTGTCGCCCATCATGTGTTTGCCGTGAAGAGCTCCGTTCACTGATCCCGCAGCCTCATGCCACACCTTGACGATCTGTCCACCGCCAGTGACCATGCGACCTTCGACATCGAAGTCTAGACCGACCACACCCTCCGTCTCGTCGTGCATCACCTCCGACACAACCTTATTGGGCCCGATCCTGACGAACTTGACCTTCCCGCTGCCCATACCGACAGCCACCATCTTGCCCTTGCCCAGCTCGTCGGGGATGACGGTGAGGGTCTCCAGCGCCTCGCCTCCGTCGCCGGCCCGCTGCACATAGATCCGCTCGTCCTGGTCGTCCCACGCGCCCTTTTCCCAGAGCGTCAGCACCCCGCTGGAGCCGCCGACGATCACCTTCTCGCCGCGGCTGGTCCCCGACGACGGCAGTCCGCCCATGTATGCCGAACTGGTCAATTCCTCGCCCTGGTCTTCGCTGCGCACCATGACGCCGCGGCGGAGATCCGTTACGGCCAGTGTCGTGCCGCCCGTCGACACCCATTGCTTGCTGAATCCTGACGTGCTGGTGTCCGATGCCGGGAGGGGTGTGAGCGAGGAGACATAGTCGTCGTGAGGGTGGTGGCTCTGCTGCGGCCGGGCGGACACTTTCGAGTACGGAATGCGGAGGTCGTAGAGGTGCAGGGCGCTCGAGTCGGTGGCTAGGAGGAGGGTCTGGTTGGAGAGAGCGTGGACGATCGTGGGGGCATCAACGGATCTAGTAGCACAGACAAACAAAAAGTCAGAGAAACATGAACTTGAACAGAAATCAAACCCAATTGGTTCAAGATCGGACAGCCATTGAAGCCGCAGAACAATGAACGTCCATTGACCACCATCGCAGCCACAGCCCTCAAACCTATCCAATGGCAAAGCTCAGCAAAGCACAGCAAAGTATCACTTACCCATCTTTCTCCATAGGAATTGCGATCTTATTTTCCACCACCCCGGTCTCCGCCTTTGCGGCTTTCACAAACCCGTCCGTGCCGGCCGAGTACAGCGTTTGTCCATCCACACCGAACGTCAAACACCGACAGCTGCCCTTGTGCCGTCTCGTCCGCCACATCGTATCAATATGTCCGCGGCCATTGCGCGACGAGGACGTCGAGGCTCCGTCGCTGTCGCTGTCACCTTCGTCCGACGGCAGCCGGAAGGTTTGCACATGGCCGGAAGAGAGACCCACAGAGACGACGGGCTCTTCGGGGTGCACAGCCTGGGAGAATAGGTCTGCCGACAGGGGCAGGGTACAGACCGTGTCGAACATGGCGAGTAGGGAGGTGAGGAGGTAGAGAATAATTCGAAGCTGTCGGAGTAAAAAGACGGACTTCACCTCGCATTCAAAAGCTCTTTTTTCATTGAAGCTGCCGGTTGGAAAGTGGGGCGTCTGGATGGTCGCCGTTTATACACGGCCGATACCAGTTTACGCTACATTACCAGTGGCTTTGGCGGGAGTTGGACATTATTACTGTTTCTTACTGTCATGGCGCTGAAAGCCAACACGTGCCTGATCCACCCTTTACCGGAAGGGCTTAGCGCAGGCTGATCGACCAGATTCTTTGGTTATACTAGATTCAATCAACTAGGCAAAATCATCACTTCAATTCAATCTAACTCAGTACAGAGAAAGAGACAAGAAAGAAACATAAACTAAGAACGAAAGGCGACTGACTGCCAGAGGAGTCAAAGAAAGGAAACAACCGGCAAGAAAAGAAAAGTCGAAAACTCATGATCAAAAGGGCAAGCTAGGAGCTAGCCTGGCCTGCCTTGTATCATGGTCTCTGTACCCCGTCTCCTCTTGCTTTTTAATTTATGTACATTGTCTTGATAGGGGAATCACTTTCACTTCTGCAAGACCTATGCAAACCTCGGAGTTTCTCAGAAAGTCCGTTCTTCTCCATCTAAGAAGAGGGAGCATCGAAGGTCGAGCCGATAGGACCGAACTTGATGTTGGAGAAGGTAACGGTGGCATCGGGGTGCGCGGACCGAACCTTGTCGGGGTCACCCTCGCCGGGCTCGCAGGTACCACGAGCCGAACCAAGGGCAGTGGAATCCTCGGGGTAGGTGCTGTCGAGCCACTTCATGCTGGCGTAGTGGTCGTCCCAGACACTCATGATGAGGACCATGGCGCCGAGAGCGTCTCCCATGCCCTTGAGGCCGTTGTGGTCCTGGAAGATGGTCTCGTCACCGAAGGCCGCCTTCTGGGCGTCGCAGAATTCCGAGGTGATGGAGTTGCCGCTCACGTCGGGAATTTCGGACTCGGAGTTGGGGATCACCTTGCCGCCCTGCACGTAGAATCGCTTGATCTCGGACAGGGAGCCGGAGGAGCCGCTGATGAACTGGGTCACGACGGTGATCTTCTCGTTGGTGTCGACAGTCTTGCCGGGGCCGTAGAAGCTCTCGTTGCCCATCCGGAAGGAGTTGAAGTCACATCCGTCGGGGTCGCAGGTACCGGCGTAACGTTCGCCGGAGTAGGTTCCACCGCAGCTATCACCCTCGCACATGGTCTGCTTGACGTCGTCGCAGGGGTGAGGAGTGTAAGCGCTCGAAATGCTGTTGGCCTCCCAGATGTCCATCTCGGGGCAGCAAGAGCCGTGTCCACCAACTCCAGCGTTGGCGTCGCTGTCCGAGCCTTCCCAACCTTCCACGTTGGCCTATTCCAGTATGAGCATTCTTCTTGACGCCATGGAGCTGCATAGAAACATACCTTTCCGTTGATGAACTTCAAATCCCGAGGGCACTGCGAGTCACAGTAACCAGTTCCGTACTTGGCACCGGCCTTGTTCTCGGGGTATCTCTCAACACCGCCGTCGGCATCCATGGAGGTGAAGTACAGAGCACCGTTCAGGCCGCAGGGAAGCTCGGAGACGTCCACGTCAAAGGTGAACTCGTTATCGATGAGGTCAAACGTCTGGTACTTCTCATCGCTGCTGTCCATGAGGTACAAACGAGAACCAACGTTTTCGCCAGTGACGAACTTCAGGGTGAGGGCGTCGCCACTAGTGGTCACACCGTAAGTGCCGCTGTAGTCTGCACCATCCAAGGCACAGTTCGTAGCACAGGCCTCGTTGTCTGGGCAGAGTTCTTCGTCCCACTATTGGAAAGCGTCCTGATCAGCCTCGTACTTTTTCTCCTTGTCTGCTCTGGGAATGATTAGGGTACTCACGGTGTTGCCGGTGTAGCAGTTTGTACTGCCATCGACGTCGTGGAGCCAGCGCCAGTTGGAGTCAATCACAACCGAGCCCTTCTGCTCCGTGCAGCTACCACCAGAGGTACATTTCTGCCAGGTCAAAGCCGGGTGACTTTCTTCTGTGAGCGTTCCGGCCTGTTGGGCGCTGACGGCCGACCAAAGAGCAGAGAAAAGAAGGGCACGTTGATGCATTGCGGAGTTTGATAGAGAGCGAAGTCAATTGATATTTGCTGTCTGTCTGTCCTGCAGAGATGATGTCCTATTCTCGAGAGGGCGATGCCTCTTTATATGTCTATTGAGGCCGTTGACAATAGATCGCTAGGGTGTGTCTGGATGCCTCCGAATTCATCACGGAGAATTCTGACCGTGTTGCCCTGTCCGGTGCTGCGGACCGCCATGCCGCCGAACTGGCTGTTTCATGGAGATAGACGAAGCGCCAGGACTCTGGGAGGCCAAAGGAAGCCCCATACGGAACTATGGCCGTCGAAAGTGTTTGAGATGGATCCCAATTTAGATTGCCAGGGTGTGATAAACGATCGAAAAATCGCCTGCATGCGATGATTGGTGTTTGAGATCCCAGCATCGGTAACGGAGGCGACTCCGGGTTATATCCGTCCAGGATGATATATTGAGGGTCTAATGAGCTATTATCGAAATGTGCACTTCCTTCTCCACAGTCCCTTTTCTTCAACGGAACGTCCTGCCAGGGAACAGAGCACGGAGTTACCTCCCTTGCTCGTTTCGGCAGATTCGCGCTGTGCAGGGTAGTATGCTGTATGGCCTGCTAGCTCTTCATTGAGACAAGGATATAGATCATGGCTGTGATTGGTAGGTCCAGTATGGATTCAGGAACCAGAGTATTAGTCACTTCCTGTTACCTTGCTTGACGCTCCTCGACTGGGGAGAAAAAGATGAGCAGACAGTACGCCGAATGGAATTATTCGTTCTGAATTGTCCCTATAGCCATTGGGACAGCCTTCTAAAATTTCCGGGCGTTTTGTCCTCAAGAGTCGACCTCAAATCGGATATAGGGTGGGAAACAGGCGAAGAATTCAATTGGGGAATAACCCCGGTCCGGTTGCGACAACACGACACAGTTGACAGGACGTCGAAACTAAGCGCTAGATGGCAGAATGTGGCGCTGATTGGGCGCAAGCTGGGATCAGAGGCGTCGACGCTTGAGATGAAGGACTGGGAAATATCCAGGATGTTCCGTTAGCCTTGTCGATCCACGGAGTGCGGGGAGAAGATCCATCAATGACTGTCTTTCCTGATCCTGCCGGCATTTTGTGGCCTGTTATTCTCCAGCTTTGGGGCTATTTTGGACTGCATAACTTTCGCCAAGGGCCGTTCATTCAGGCCTGATCGGACATATTGTCCGAATGACTGGTATTCTGATCGTTCATGCTCGATAGGCCAAGAGTCGAGTCGGCTTTGTCCGTTAATTAGATTGCAGCCTTGTGGCTCAGGTGATATCCTGGTTGAAGCCATCATATCGCTCCATGGATACGGCCCTGTAAACCGCACCCAGGCATGGCTTCAATCCTCGGCCTACATCCGTCAATACCCTCTCCACTTCAAACCCATGGCTGCTATCATCATCGTATGATAAACAGCGTCACCGCATCGTTGACCCTCTTTCCATTTCAGGTCAAATCCACACGTTCAAACGTGTGGCGCTGTACCTTGCAGATCGTTTCCGGATCCCATCGTGCCTGCACAGGTCGCAGCTTGATTTAGCCGAAATCAGGCCATGAATAAGCACACGGGCAGTCCTCCGCATCGTGCAAAAAGAGGATATACTGCCTTTGAATACGGCTCCACGGCGGATTTAATCTAGGAGATTACTTACAGTCTCTTGTCCCCTACCATACTCCGTAGTATATACAGTTATCCGGTCCGAAACTGGGCCGTCGGCGCATACGAAGACAAGGGGCCTGCAAAGTGCCATTCTGGGAAAGGAGAAAGCGTGGGATCTTGGCAGATTGCTTCATAGCGATCTCTTGCCTTACTTCTGGATAATAGACTCTTGTCTGAATTTGCATCTCACAGCTTATCCGTTGACCCGAGGCGTTTGTGCGGTTTGACCCGTACTGCTGCTTTTGCGGAGCCTTTCATCGACCCTTGACCTGTCTTCTCTCGCTTTCCGCTTATTCCTCTTATTCATTCTTCTGGTGTCGGGCTGTTTCGATTTCTTTTAAAGAATGTTGAAGATAGTTGATGAATTAAATTGGGTGCTGGAGCCGTTATCTTCGGAGTGAGATATGTCGATATTTTGCGCCAAATTGTCGAGTATATGTAATTGGCCTAGAACCGAACAGGTTTCAAAAACCTGAGTTCATAGAGGCATTAGTTCAAAATAGCAATATGAGCACCACACATGAAGCTGTATTGTGACACGCAGAGATCGCGGAGATGATCGGAGGAAACAAACAGAAGGAAAACAACGACTGAAGACAAGACGGAGAGGGGTCCCTGGGCGCCTGAGGCCAACCTCGGCAGCTCGGCAGGTGACTTTCCTCGCTCATCCGCCAAGCGTCGGTCGTTCGTCTTCTTCACTCTCCCCATCACTTTCACTCTTTACGTCGCTCTCTTTCGTGCTATCTTCACTGCATAGACTTTTATCGTTGTCCTATTCTTTATTTCTCTGCATTTGCGTTGTAGATTATAGACTTCTAAACCAATAGACCGCCAGAGGTGCCCAACAACCACTGCTATGGCCTGGTATACTCAAACCGTCGATCTTCTTTCTGACTCCTTAGCGAATCATCGCTCCCAGCTTCCCCTTCTTGCTGCAACAGGGGCATCACTAACGCTCGGCCTTGCGCTCCGCTCATTTTTGTCGGACGACCACCCCGGCAGCACCGTCCTGCCGTCGCCGCGCGCGTCGGTCTTAGCGTCGGAGTCGCCTGAAAGGAGCCGAGAGTTGCCCCTGCCTCCCGATGTGCTTCCGGGAGCTCGAGATGTGTCAACGCCTTATGGCTCTGTACGAGTATACGAGTGGGGTCCCGTTGATGGCCCGAAGGTCCTCTTTGTCCATGGAATTACCACGCCCTGTATCGCCCTTGGTGGGGTGGCTCATGCTTTAGTCGACCGAGGCTGCCGAGTGATGCTGTTTGATTTGTACGTGACATTGGTTTCCCTCGATAGAGTGATAACTGATTATTTTTGCTAGGTTTGGAAGAGGCTATTCGGATTGCCCGTCCGATATACCCCAGGATGATCGGCTTTTTGCGACTCAGATTTTCTTGGCTTTGAGCTCGTCTCCCATCTCCTGGACCGGAGCCGGCTCCGGCAAGTTTTGTCTCGCTGGCTACTCCTTGGGTGGAGGCATTGCGGCTGCTTTTGCCTCCTTCTTTCCTCAGCTTCTCTCGTCATTGGTGCTGCTTGCTCCGTCTGGCCTGCTTCGCGACTCTCAGATCAGCTTCCAATCACGTCTACTTTATTCCCGCGGTCTGGTCCCTGAGCGCGTCTTAGGATTCCTTGTCGATCGTCGTCTTCGTGCTGGACCATTGGTTACGCCAAAACCTAAGCAGGATAGAAAGCTCACTGCTGCTGATGCGCTCACGGAGGAGCTTCCGTCCCAAAGCGGAGAGGACGTTCAATTGTTGTCCAGGGCGTACCCTCACGTGAGCGTTCCTGCTGCCGTGCAGTGGCAAGTGAACCAACATTCCGGGTTTGTCCATGCATTCATGTCTAGCATGCGTTTCGGTCCCATCCTACAGCAACGCCAAATTGGATCGTGGCAACGCCTGGGTCAAGTTTTGGCTAGCCAGAGAGAGCCTACACCCCAAGATCAATCTCATAGCGGCCTTTCAGGCAGCAAAGTCCTGATAATGTGTGGTGAACATGATTCCATTATTGTGAAAGACGAGCTCGTACCAGATGCCACCGCGGCTCTACAGGGAAATGTGAGGTTCCAGTACTTCAACGCTGGCCACGAATTCCCGAGTACGAAGTATGAGGAAGTAGCACAGGGTATATGGGAGCTATTGCATTGAGACTGTGTTTGAAATCGGAGTACAAATAAAAAAATTGAATCAGATTTTTGGCCTGCCAAATCTGCTTCCTTTCATAGCCCTGCGTCTGATTCCCCCCGGACTTGCGCGCGCGGGACTGGCCCATAAGTCTTGCCTGACGACGCTTCCACTCTAATGCAATTGTACATAGATGTGCCCATTTGTTGATCCTGCGACGATTCTATCGTTCTGGGTATGTTTTGGAATAGACTGTTTTGTCTTCATTTTTGCATGATTTTATCCGTTGCGTCAAGCTGAGTCGAGAGCCGTGACATATGCTCAGACCGACTCGGCATGCGCGCTCGAGCAAAATAGGGCTCATCCGCAGCTGCTGCCCGGACGAATCGATCGACAGTGCCGTTCTTGCTCTCATCCGGCAGGTGGCTAAGATTTCCTGCATTGAGGCTGCTGCCCGTACCGTTGGAAGTTCTATCAGATGGTAAGTATTGTGCTCGTTGCTCGACTAACGAAGATATCCTTACTTCTGATTCTGTCGATTCTCAGAAGACATGATTGGTAAATTTCCCAATTGGGTATTATGACAGGAAGGAACTGAAACGCGGCGATGTCTCAAATGATTCGGACCCAGGTGCGAAGAGAGAACGAAGATGAAGGACGGCAATGGTTGTTGATCGCGAGTAGAACAGATACAGTTGACAGTTCCAGTCCGTGAGACTTGTGCTTGACAGCGTGAGAAGACGTTGACTGAAGGAGTTTGATGGTGATGTTGATGAGATGAGCCGGAAGACCACACCTCTTTATACCTGAGCAGTGAACTTCGCCTCCACAAACAGGTCAACTCGAACAAGGCGTGCGACAAGAATAGACGAGTGTCTATACTGCTCCCAAAATAAAGTCAATACCAAGGAGGAAGAAACCGAAAAGGAAGGCACCCGAGGGTGGAAATGAAAAGATGACGCAAAGAGGTGAGATCTTCAGCAGATGGGTCTCCGGGCACACTGCCTCTCAGCTGCTTGGTTGCACAATCTTGAAGACTGTTTTTGCCTGGCGTGAATTTCCATTTCAGGGCCAGTCACTCTGCCTTGTGATTCATTGGTATCTGCCAATACTTTCGGACTGGGGTCAAATAAGGATCTATCACGACCGAACTACGGAGTCTGTTACATTCAGCCGAGCTCCTGAGGAGATTGGCATTGATGATCACGCGAGACTAGTTTTACCTCAAGCTTGTGCTCTAGGTGCAAAAGCATCGGATACGGAATGGGCACTCTGGGGAATGCAAACGAGGGGTATGGTGTACGTCGGACGCATTACCCGAAGTTCCCTTGTTTTTTATTTTTATTTAATATGTGATCTAGGGTCTAGGACGGCCCTATGGGAGACGGATAAGGAGTATCCCCCGCTAGTCGTCATGCGATGTACGAACCGTTCATGAAGGGGTTAAGGCTGAAACCTCGATATCAGATTTCTACGCCCAAGACTGAAAGCTTCGTCACGAGTCTAGACCCTAGTTCCCCTTGGCACCATGGTGCGGCCAGACTTACGATGTCATAGTTCAGATTGAAGAGAGGGATCGAGGGTGAAAACCGTTTAGATGATCGGCTGAGACTGAACTCAGGTGGGCAAACGTGGTTGATCACATCGAAGTGGTTTACGCACAGCCTCAATCACCCATCTCCGTGCTCCTGCATCTCTCTGGAGTCTTGACATTTTATTTATTTTTGCCCCTTCATTTACCCTTTCGAGTGAGGATCTGCGGCAGTTACAGCTATGCTAACGTTCCGTTTTCCGAGTCCGGTTCGCAGTAATGCATGGATGACCCTCATACCTTGCAGGATAACAATGCGTTCTTCTGCAAGATGGAAGATGCAAGATATGACTATGATATCGTGAGAGGAACACATCATGCAGAACGTCCACCGGTCTTTTGCTTTTTTCTTTTTTTTTTCTTGCTTACACTTCTCCGATGAGAAAGAGTAAAGATGGAAAGCACTAATCGAGTGTTCGCGCAAACAAGCACTCTATAGTGGAAGAAAAAGAAAAAAGACCACGATCGTTTGCTCCGCTGTTTGGTCAAAACACTGATCGATCGTTACAATTTACTGCCTTCACAAAAATTTCTCATCACCACAGCCCCAAGGAATGTACGGAATATGTCCATTTGGGCACCTGGGGCTGAGCAATGTCCCTTTAATCTCACGATCAGCAGATTTATTGCTGAAAAAAAGGCATTCAAGCTAAGCCTCATCCCCCTGAAAAGTGCTTTTACTCTCGGAAAGGGAGAAAATTTTACCAGTCAAAAGGGAGTTAATTATGCGGCGCAACAATAACCTGCGATCAGCCCCGAAAAAGCAATTTGGGTTCCCCCAATTAATGGGCCCAGTCCTTCCGACCGGTGGAAATTAGGAGATGCGCAAACATGTATCTTTTGGGGCTTTTCGTCTGCGTTTTGTGCGAATTGCGACAAGATCAGCTACTAGTTTGCTCTGAAGATGGGTTACCACGGAGTCGGGTTGTAAGTGCCGGCTGCCATGGCGCATATCTAGTCGTGTTTTTGGGCGAGACGGTGCCAAATCCGACTCAAAAAGGGGTGTGCTGCAGCCCTCATCTTGGCACCTGAAATGGTCTTGTCGGTTCGTGATTGAAGGCTTGAAACAAACCCTATCCGGACAAGGTCTTCAAGTACATTCTCGGCAATAATGTCTTTTGTGGTGACTACTCCGCGAGGTCACAAGCACCTCTACAATAAACGAGCCGGCGATGTCTTAAGTCGGAGTTCCCGGATCAGTCACCATCTCGCTAGGTTTGATTGTTCTTTTGCTACATAGCGCTGTTGAGCTATTGACACGGGGTGCATGGGCTCCACTGTTAGACATGCAAGGCACGCCTGGCCCAAGCGGCGCCAATCCAGCAACCTTATCGGCTCACTCCGCCAGGGTTGTCTCTCTTTGAAAGGCTGCTCGCTTTTGGACGAGGGACTCCGATCTACATTCCTACGGAATACGGTAACCTGGACCAGTGCTTTCGATGGATCTTACCTCATTATCCCCCTTGGCCGGTCAGGTTTCGCATCTCATCACTTCATGATTGCCAAGCATACCGTCCCGCGTGGTCTTTGACTTCAGACTGCGACGTTTCGAACCGGCCCGAATTATGGCAGCTGCATGGACCTCGAGTTTAAAAGACGTTCCTGATTTGGTGAAAAGAGTCCGGTCCAGAAAGTACCAGAAACAGTGGGCGTTGCCATGGCTAGAATGTGACAATTGTCATGGCACACCAATGCGATGGGCGAGTGAGAAAATCCGCAAACACGATCACGGCCGTGTTCTGTAGGTACAGCCGCTGGGCATACATAGTACGCATCGGCAACTGAATTGCGCCGTGTCGATCTTGCTTGAAGGGGGGTTGATATGAATCAATTCGAAACAGGCTACTTGAATTCCGGGGAATAAACTGTCTTGTTTTTTTGCCGTTCCCGGCGTAACTCCTGTCTTAATCCGCGCCCCCTTTCTTAGCCTCCAAGATGGGCAGGACGAACGGTCGTCACCCCACGATATGGCCGCAGAGCAGATGTGAGGCAGCTCCTGGAATCCGCAATCTTACGTCAAGCGCGAGGAACGAGGTTACGCCAGCTGCTGATGAGTACACCTCAACGGTATTGCCTAACATTGAGACGGCAAGCATCTTCCGTGCTGAGCCCTTGCAAAGATGTGTGCGTACCCTTTTCCGCGTTTTTCCTTTTTCTTTTTCAGTCTGGAACGTAGCCCAACCCTCCGTGCTAACTACATCGCACAAGGATCATCTCTCAGTTCAGGTAACGGTGTGTTACACAAGGCTCATGCATCCTAGGCCAAGATGTTCGTTTTCCTCGTATTCTCCTCTGTGCCTCTCAAGGCCGAGAACCATGTGGGAGAAGCTATGACCAGGATCTATTTTAGGACACAGGCCAAACAGCGGAGCCACAAACTTGCTCATCGGCATCAATTCCCGGTCACTTTGATGGGAAACATTAGTAGGCTTGTGCTTCTGCATGGGCCAACCCGGTAGCATCCATGACTCGGTTTCAGATTATTGTTCCCTCGGAATGCAACGGCTTCTGCCCTACTGTGAGAGCTCGCCGCGCTTGTAAACACGACCGCCAAGGAGGCTGTTTACCCAAGTCCTTGAAATTTATGTGTCTCAGTGTTCGGCTTTTGGTTTCCTAATAACCCCCAGGGCAAGAAACAGAAAGTGTCCCTATCAGCCTATCAAATCACAATCGATGTCTCCGATGGGCCCGCCTTCGGAATGTCTTCTCACTTGGTTTCTAGGAGCAAATGACAGTACGAAGATCTATTTCCCAAATGAAATCAAAACACGGTCTGAGTTTATCGACCTAATTCTGGCCGAGGATAACGGGGAAAGGTCTTAGCAGCCTCCGGATATCTAATTTAAACTTGTGCAACCATGGCTGAGCCCAAACTGCAGTTAATGCAGCTTCGACGGAAGGCTCCGATTGGCTCTCCCGGGAGCAGGCCAGCTTTGCTTGCCCTAAAGTTGATCACGAAACAAATCAAATATTTTTGGGATTATTCCTTGACCCGTTGGCTTCCACGTATATGCACTGATTGGAATGGCCGTTTTGGGTCGAGGCTCGAACTGTAACCAGGAGATACAGATCACGGTTACTGAGAACAGTCATCGATTGGCTACCACGGCTTTTTGCCATTTTGTCCAAATTACAGGACCATGGGAAAGATTCCTACCAGTCAGCCAGATCCTCGCAGTGTCCTGCCGATGATCATGAGGTCGGTGTGAGTCTTTTTTCGTGAAACTTTTCCTTCAACCATTCTCGTGACAGGCATTGGAGACTCAAACAATCATCTGACATTGGATGATGTCCTTACACTTGTCTCTTACTCTTTCGCTATTTTTTGTTTCTCCGCTTTAGGTATTCAATCGACAGGCAGCCAAGGACCCTTCCTAAAATTTGCTGACAGTTGACTTCAAAAGTACGCTCGCCGGTGAACGTTGCTCTTCACGTCGTGATATGATTCTGTGTAACCTTATCTGTTCGATCTGATGACGAATGACTTCGCGTTGCAATCCCTTGTGGGTCGGGCATGTGGCCTTTTCGGGACATGCTTGACGGGCTTCCTATTGATAGAGGTCGAGATCTCATCGTTCACAGAAGCTCGTCGCAGCACGCCAATGCACAGTGTTCCAATGACAGCACCTCCATGCATGCTCCAGTACTCAACTCAGAGGCATATGTGAGCCACTAAAGCAAGGCGCAAGGACATGAGCATGTATTGGGGCGCGGGGGGGCGTTTTTGAGTGGAGCATCGGCCCATCTATACCCACACCTGACCAGGCAAACCTCAAGGCAACCAGGCTTCGTCCAGTGGCTATCATGGAATTGGGCAACCATGTACGTCTAGCGTTTGGGATTATCATGAATCAAACAGGCATGACGTCGGACAGTGGGTCTTGGTCAGTGTGGCTACTGACAGAATGATTAACGTCGTCTATGCCGGTGAAGAAGTCTACCGATGCGCCGGCTGTTCATTCCTGGCCTGAATGACGCAATGCTCATGCTAAAGCCATGACAGATGACCTTTCTAAGGCGAGCAGATGAATCAGCTGAAATGAAGATAGTGTGATCAATATTCACTTTTCCTGGACAGATTCCTTCTGGGTCTGACTTCTCTCTCATGTAGCCCTGCTATCTATTTATAGTGGAGCATACTGGGCCTTCGTCGACGGTGTGTAGGCAACACTCGTGAATGGATGACAGTAAGTAGAGAGAGTAATTCCAACTGCTGAAGACTAGAAATATGCATTTGGACGTATTATTCTGGTAACTCCATTATCTCCTACGGAAGTCAATCGATTCTTTCCTGTGGATGCCTACAATGGCGGCGATAAAAGCGGCGACCCGTTTATGCCTCAGGTATCAATACACCGGCTCACGTGGACGCTGTTCCATTTCAGGCAATCCCCATCAACATCCATTCGATGCATGTCTCCTGCATCTCTCCCCCTCCTTGTCTTTCCGGCCACGCGCACAGTCTTTTGGCCTCATACTTACACCCTGTAAACAGATTGAATATATGAGATTTCCTGTCCCGCCGAAACGCCCCATGAGCTTGTAGAGGAAGCGCCCTCTGATCATGCTGCCGAGGGGTAGCGCCGTTGTCTCCAACTCCCGCTTGCATTTGTAGTTCCACGACGATCATCGCTTTGAATTGCTTGAAAACACTGTCACTCATAGTATGCTATCATCCTGGAAATCTAGGCTCAGCGAGCCCGGCTAACAAGTCACAGTCGAGATCCCTCGGCGTCAATCACACACGTCATGGAGAACTCAGCCACTCTAAATGACATTCAAAAAGCCGTCTGGGACGGCAGGCTGCCGTTACAAATAACCCTGGCCCCAGACGAGAGTCGTACATATGACCAGACAGACCCATATCTCGTATCTCTTCTCAGTCCCCACTCTATTGTGCCAAGCTAGACGACTAACCTGATCATCAGATCTCTTATCCACGCATCTCATATTTGAATTTCTTACTGCCGAGATTGAAAGCCTTCTTTTCGAGCTCTTTGATAGAGTCCAACGTTGAACATCACGTAGGGTGGCTCTCGTTTGAAGGCGTCCCACTCAAGTGGCATCTCCCTGCCGGCTTGCTGTATGACCTGTACGCGGGAGCGGATCCGGCGTCTCGGGGGAGTAGATCCGATGACGTGGATTCGAACGACGAATATCTTCCTTGGAGGCTGGTGGTGCATTTCACTGCATGGCCGAGCGGGGAGCTCGTCAAATTAGATGGCAGCGGAGGTGTCATGCACGATGCGTTTATCAACAGCGTCAAGGAGGCGGATTTCCTGCGTAACGGGAACGCCAAGGGCATCATGAGTCTTTCGAAGGAGGATTCTTCGGGCTTGTGGGATTCTGTTCAGGACGGTATGTTCATTTCATCTCTTTTCCGTTTCATTCTCAGACGCAAATGTGAGAATGATGGTCAGAAGAAACTAACAAGATCGACAAGTGAACCTGTCCTCTTTCCAACGCATCTCCAGCATTCTTCTCCCCCCTCCCTCTCAACCTTTCCGCAACATCCCCATTCGACTCTTCCTCCCGCTTCCCCCGGACTCAAGCTCCCCCTCGTTGAAAGTCGTCCAGTCGCTCGTGCCTCCTACTCTCCCGGCCGGCAGCGTAGCGGCCAGCCAAGCGACTCTCTCCCGCGGTAGCCCGGCCCCACAGACCCAGACAGTAGGCACCGCGTTGAATTCTCTCCTTCCGCATCTTTTCCCCAGTCGCAGGACCCCTGTGCTCGCGAAACCGGTACTGCATGGCGCAGCGGTGCCTATGTCTACGCCCGTTGAGGAGTTAGTGAGGAGTTCGATGTACGCGGATGGATGGCTCTATATTGTGATTCGGATGATGGGATGATTGGCCTGGTATAGCTACTACGTAACTGTCTGTCTGCATGTAGCGGTTTCACTTTTACTCTTGGGGAGTTGCATCTTGAGAATGATTCTGGTTTATACGATTGGTAGCATGGTATATACAGGATATGTCAACGCTCCACTTCTGTGGATTGTTTATACCAGAATTATCAGAAATTCAATTAGACATTGGACATAATTTGCAAGTACATGGGTATCATGGCCGATTCGATCTTCCAATTGCGGCGACTTGAACGCTTCCTGATCTTTTAAAGGTACCAACAACTCGGCCAACTCAGACATAGGTTGACCTCTTTTAATAACACATAGAACAAACCGCCAATTCGGCCTGCACTGTCATCTTGATATTTGCGTAAAGCCCAAATTCCAAGTCCACTTCCTCAACTTTCTCTTTCTAACATTTGTCCACGGCGACTAGAAGCTGGTCACAATCACCTAAACTAGGGAAGTCGGCGACGACCTCGACCACATGCATGACAAAGGGGACTTGCGCACTGATCGCTTGGAGACTGCCATAGGACGTCGAGCAGGCAGCGAAGACAGCTAGTCACGTATTCATTGAGCAGGCAACAACCTTGGGGTATGGCCTACTTTGTTGGCGATTAATTCTCCCCAGTTCTGTTTCTTCCTGGGCTCAAATGTCCGGAATGTTTTGGCCTCACTTGTAGGAGGTACACTGTTCGAAAGGAAGACACTTGCGAGTAAGCGTGTCCACTTCACGCACGGCGTATTCATTCTCGGTCATGAAGGTAAACTATATCTCAATTGCTGATAATCGCCTCTAGGAAAGTCTGGAGACACATTATAGCCGTGCACTTTAGGTTTCTGCGGAACAACGCTCCAAATGGCAGAGTTGATGCCCTCCAACAGTTATTTAGGGTTCCCCGGTCCCTCCATGTTGACTGCCCCATATATAACAGGGAATTCCGAGCCCACACCCATGGGTCGGCTTACTTTGGGCCTCTAGATTTCGCCTATTTGAATTGAGTCCTGGGGTTTTGTAACAAGCCAAATTCAGAGAGATCGGTTTAGTTATTGCGCATGGTGGATGATTAGAAGCACAAATTATAAACCCGCTTGGTCCTCTAGTTCATCATTTACCATCTCTTGGGTATGATCAGGACATGAACTTTTGGGAACCAGTCGGCTGCGGTTTTCAAGGTTGGCAAAACTGGTGACTTGGCTGATTACCTATGGCTCTGTTCCATCACTAGTTCAGATTGACACGTTGGTGATGGCTGCATTCTGGATGATATCTTCATCCTGCTCATTATTGAATCGGTCTAGACTTATTCAAGCCTTTGTGCCAAATGTTGAAGTTGTCACTAGACCTTCTTTTACTCTTTCGTGAACTGTTTAACCTTTTGTTCGTATCGGTATTTTCATCACGAATGTCTTTCAATGGACAACACCATGCCGAGTTGGTTCATAAATCAATCTCATGAAGTTGGCTCATAGTCGTCATTTGGAAGTATCGGACGTTTTGCGCACATGTCCCCGCATGATTTAGTTGTAGCTAACGCCACACTCAGTGAAGATGACTGAGTAGCCTTCTTCTACATAATGGAGGTAGCTTCAGCAACACGTGCCATCTGCGCAGTGCTTACCAGTGCTGACAAGGTCAAGGGTATGATGGCCCATTTGGCCATGACCACGGGGCCAGTTTACTCATGCAAAGACATGATGATTGTGCAATCATGAGTTGGGCTACCTGTAGATCAGACAAGCAGATATTCCAAGCCTGGTAGACCCTGACCCCGAAGGTACATTATCGATATCCTACTATCTCTTGATATCATCGAGCTTCCTGGCAGTTATCCCATAACATGGTTAGCATGCCATGCTCGTATAAATAAGCAGAAAGATCAATATGACCGGAGAGACATATTGTTTGGTTGGACCGTTGTATGGAGAGCTCAGATCTGCTCGTATGTATTCTATTCATGATACTTCATAGAACAATAATCCAATCAGCCCAACGGTCGTTAAGCAAGACTTTCAAGTGGTGGATCGCCTTTTCTTTCGGCAGAGAATAAAAGCTTATTCAACCTGTAGCTAGCAGTTACTTGACGCCGTGGGTCGGAAATCCACTGAGAGCCGACTCTTTTTGCAGGCGGCCATCAAGCAGAAAGCCATCCGTACAAACGTTGATGTCGACGTGGTACAGGCTTGTTTGTCACCCACGTCTTCCGGCTGCGGTTCGGATAGAACCTGAGGTAGGTTTGATAGAGCTTGATACTGGGGGTATCTCTCTCAGTAGCGACACCCGGCGTGTTCAAGCTGTGCTTGGATGTCTTCGTTGCATATGCAACCCGCGACAGTCGCCCGGAAACCTTCAGCCAGCTCAGTTTGGCATAACGCACTTCCTCGCACTTTTTGATGTTTTTAGAGGCTTGTTCAATTCCGAACCTACTCGATAAACGTCTATGCCGTCGTCAACGGTACTAAACCCCGCTAGAAGCCGGATAGAGCTCGTTTGAGGTCGGTTTGGCGTAGAAATGTAGTAGATTGTGGGATCTCTCCAGCCTTGTTGATAGAGCGACCCTAGTGTACGCCCGCAGAGTTTTGAACACGACGACTGGATCTTTTCCCGGACGTTTTGAGTTTATTGCTTTTGAGGTCGTAGGTCATGCCTACCTCCGGGGGCGGAGGCACGGTAAGCTTTTTGTCCTGAGATTTAGTGTTCAATGATGAGACGATTGGGAATACAGCATTGGATAAAGATATCGATGATCTATAGTTATAGAGGATATGATTCTGATAAGTGAGCTTCTGTATTACTATATGATGCAGGAAGGTGTTGGGGAGAAAAGAGATGATGACGGAATGGGCTGGGGTCAGTTAAATATCCCGTGAGGGGAAGTGTGAATATCCACAAGACCTTCATTCATCCAGGACTACTTCACTATACAAGAACAAAAATGGAAAGAAAGCTGCAACCGATTAACTCTCGCTTTTTATCTTTCTATAATTTTGACATTTGTTGGATCAAATATTAGATACGCGTAGAAAGTAGTGAATTATCGTCCAAGGTTAAGTATGGCTATAACAAACATACAATCCTCTCGTCAAGGTAGATCGCTTGGCTCTCCTGTCCTTGGGAGTAGAAAGTGAAAGCAGAAAGGAAAAGATCAAAATAGAAAACTAATTTGCATAAAACAATATAAACAATACTCGAGGTCAATATAAACATGTAAGCATATAAACAAGCTAACAAAAACAGAAAGCCAACGTCACTTAATAAACAAACCATTGAAAAGCAACACAATAAGATAATAAATACCACTTCCGAGAGGTGCTCTGTTAGCGAGTGACTTGCCAATTGATGCCCTTCCATGTAGTAGTAATCCATGGGCGCGATGGATCTCATTGGAAGGACAAGCAAGCGAGAAAGGATAAAAAAAAGGAGAAACATAACCAAAAAAAAAAATAAAAATAAAAATAAAAAAATAAAAAAATAAAAAAATAACAAAGAAGGAGAGACTGGCCAAAGGCTAAAAGATAGCAGGAGAGCAGAAAATCAAGACAAAAAACACAAGCAGGTAAAAGACAAGAATTATCAGCCTAATTCTCCTAAACGCCCGTCCAATTGCGCCAAAAGTGATCACTCGTTAGACTGTGCATATCTGCATCATCACTGCGGCATGGTCAGTGACTGCTCCTCCAATGAGAAAAATCTCGCAAAAGTTGGGAAAGCAGCAGGTGACATACGGGTTCTGACGATCTCCCTTGTATTTCGTTGTTGGTTTGGAGAGAATCTAGATCAGCAGGTAATGCCATTCGTTGGCGTTCATAACATCCCTCCAATGGACGAGTTCCTTTTTGTTGGGCTCTTCCATTGTGCCCATATATGGCATGTGGTCGGGAGGCAGGGCCGTGCCCTGGTTTAAGCCGGGGGAAGGCAAGTACATGCCTGACTCGGGGAAAGTTTGCGGCATTGGACTGATGCTTGGTAGCTGAGGCTGGTTGAAGTCTGGAGAGGGCAAATACATGCTCGGTAGAGGGTATGCCGACTGATTTGCGCTGATAACCTCTGGCTGCATTTGATTGAAGTTAGGAGGAGGCAGATATGTGCCCGAGCTTGGAAAGGTCGCTGCGCTCGCGCTGGTTGCCTCTGGCTGGATCGGGATGAATCCCGGAGCAGGCAGATGTACGCCGGGATCGTGGAAGCCCGGCAATGTAATCGGCGCCTCTGATAGCCTCCAAACCTCTTGAACAATCCGATACATCCGACCAAAGCTTCCAGATGCACGGGCGGGGCCTAGAGCTATTGATCGCTGGGCTAGAATATCCCGGAAAGCGCAGTTGGGGGTTGAGTGCACACCCGTCATAAAGAGTGGCCAGGCAAGTGAGCGATCGAAGCCAAAAGGGCCCGTCGGGATAAATCGTAGAGTCTCAGCCACGATTGTCACCAGACTGGTGATTTCTGGCTGAGTGTGATCGAACCCAGGCTCCAGGCTGTAGAGATAGATTCGAGCTGCCACGCGGAACATGGTGGTAATATTCTTTGTTAAGATGTCCCAATCAATGACCCCAGTAGCGGAGCATGGGTTCCGCAGCGTTTTGTCCTCTGGCTCGGCATGGTCAATTTGCGCTCTCAGTGCGCCAATGTGATGGCGCATGTCCCAGCGTCTGAGGCTGTCCCGCTTTTTCAAGCCTTCCAAGCAGGCGATTTCCGAAATCAAGAACATGACGCGATCCTCGCATCCCATCAACTCCTGCAGGCCGATCGCCGTGCCGTTGATGTGTCTGTCGCGGAATTCATGAGCTAACTGGGGCGATTGGCCCAGCATCGTGCCGCCCAGAATGTCAATCCACGAGGCAAGCGTGATGCTGAGAGGAGGGAACGAGCGGGGGAGGTATTCCGTCAATTTCAGCTTCTGGACTAGGCTCGAAATTGACCTGAGATGCTCGAACCAGGGAATGTCTGGCAGGTAGTCGTCCGTCTCACCGACAGAGCAGTAGAGAATTATCATCCCCAAAATGGTATCCAGGACTTTGGCATGGCCATTATCCATGTGCATGAGCGTGGAAAGCTCGGCAACCGCTCGGTAACGGTGCTGCAGTATGTCTCTATCAACTGCGGCGGGGTCAACATTCAGGGTGGTCTTGACATGAAGAGCCGAAACACTAAGACAGGTGAAGAAGTAGGCCCGATTTGTTTCCAGCTTGTTTAGAAGCTCGGGTGCGCGACTAGGACCCTCTCGATGGACGTCAATGATCGGAAAAATTGTGGGCAGGACAAAATCGACAAAGTGATACAGGAGCGGCTGGTCCTGCGGATCCACATCCATCTTGTCCTCCAAGTAGCAAGACAATGGCTTGTTGTTGAGTACCAACTGCCCAACGTTCCCTTCTTTGTTGAAGCGGGGTTGGCCAAAGCTGCCTTGAAGTCCGTCGTCGACCGAAAGAGCCGGAGCGGGGACGTACAGTCTCGGCGGCTGCAGGGCGCTAATTGCTGGACCATGAGAGGACTCCGGCCAAGTAGGGGCAGGCGGGATGGGCGTCGTGAACTGCGGCGCTCCAGGAGCCAAGGTGGATGGCGACAGAGTCGAAGGGTAAGGAACGAAAGGGTTTGGGAACGGATTGTCGTAGGCCGGAGGTTGACTGAAATCAATCTGGGTGGTGACGGGAGGAGGTTGCCGTGGATGGGCCGCCCGTCTTATGCTCTCTGATGCGCTAGTGTTAGGGAGAAAAGGCGACAAAAAGTGATCGATCACCCCCGGGCTACCACCGAGACTACTAACCTTCAAGGTTTCGCCGCCTTTCTATCGATTTCGTCTCTCGAATCTTTTCCTTGACGCGGTCCATTTCAACGAGCCTTTGGGTCTGGTTTAACCACCAATCCGGGCGCCTCCACTCGCAGTCTAGATTGAGATTACTGCAAGCCCCACATTTGGGGTGAGTCTCATCACATTTCTTTCTTCGCAGGCGGCAAGTCCAGCACCCTACACAATTGGGTGCGTTAGAAACCAGGGGGTCCATGAGGTCATAGCGCAGTGGGCATGGGATGAGTGCAGAACCGTCAAGCGAAACTAACCGTTACGAGAACGCCGATATGCTTGAACATCTCCCTCTCGTTCATTAAGCAATCCATTGATGTTTGAAGTCAGTCGCGGAATAGGAACCCTCGGGTTAGGCATAGTGAATAGATTGCGCTTGGCTTTCAACGGAGAAGCGACGAAGAAGACAAGATGAAGTGCCCTTGAGGTAGATACCGACGGTATATGGACTAGTCAATGCAAAGGAAGATTGTCTGGCGATTATGTTGGCTTATCCTCAGACTCAAGCACATGCAGATGATGGGAAAAGACGAGACAGCTGAGGTTGCGATTGAACGACCTGGTGCCGACCATGATGGCTTAATATCTCTGGAGATGAAGTCTTTTAAATGCAATTCCGATCATCTATCAGAGTTGGATGCTTCTATTTTTTGCTCCCATGCATCTATGCACATCGAACCAACGTGCGAACCGCTGGCCGGGGAAGATCTGAGGCACACGGCGAATGACAGGCGACTAGGAACTAAATTTGGGAACATTGACCAGCGGGTGCCTGGGGCCGATCGCGTCAGGTTAAGAGCCGGGGTTCGTGCCAGGGTCCCCTGTCAGGGTCTGCACCTAGTCCTTTGGCGCGGCGGTTGTCGTCTTGCCGCCGGGCTATTTTATCCACGCTTCTGGGCGCAGGACCGAGACGGTCCTCTTTGAAAACTGGACCGCATCCGGGACAGCTCGAATCTCGACGTTCAGCAGTAGATCCTCCAATTTCTCCGGTCATTTTCCGACATCGGCATCCCACACGGTCTTCCATCGAAAGGCAGAAAGGCCTTCATTGCAAGCGCGGTGCCGACACTTAGAGCGGGCGCCAATGCACGGTACACCAGTTAATTGCCCAAAATAAATGAGGAGATCCATGTCCGGCTCCTAATGATTGGACGTCGATTGCTCTCAATTGCTTCGAGATGGGAGTCGGGCGACAGTTGAAACGACGTTTAAGAGCGGAGGATGTGAAAGCAAAGCGGGAGGTGCATGCCAAGCTTCTTCTCCCGGAGATCCATTGGCCTGCGATAAAAGCCATCGGCTTTAGTGGGGGCGCTAAAGGCTCACGGTCGCCCAACCAGAGACTGCCGTCGGGGTCGGCGCGTGCAGAATCAAGGAACTTGACGGGCTTTGCGAGAATCTGATTGATCCGGTTATCTCCCCCACATCCTTAATTAGCAACTCTTAACCGCCAATTCGATACAAATAGATGCTTAATTGCTGATTAGAGCGCTAACCTGCGCGTTAATTGAGGCCATAGGGCCATTTTGCTCGTTCATGTAGTTCTTGACGCCCTTAACTTAGTCCCGTCTTCCAGCGCTTTGCTAATAATAACGGGCGCTGGCTTTTCGAGCTAATTTCCTGCATAGGATGCGAGATACCCTTAAGGCCTGTCCGGATCACAGGAACCCTGCTGTCAGCTCCTACGCGCAGAGACGTAATTAGCAACGCTTTCTGCATGAAATGACCCTAAACCTATGGCAGGGTGATTAGTGAGAACATTTGGTTTTTTTAGCTCCGACAGTGAAGCCCATGTCAGATCATCTGAGAAGAGAGGGGTAGAGCCCCTACTGACTGCTATTTTCGATTTCCTGTTCAGCCGCTGCCACCCACAGACCAATCCGCACTTCTCGAATGTCCAACGGAAACCAAACTACCGGATCTCACCGTGCGAGATATTCCAATCCCTTGGGTACGCGCCAGCATTGATCCCTCCCAGCTGATTCCGGGTGGTGATTCTGCCCGCAAGAGCACTCACCTGCTCCCTAGCTTGGGCGATTAGCCGTGATATCTTGTACATACGCTCTATTAGAGCGCAGCCATCAGCTTGCCGCAGTTTTTAATATGTCCAGAAACAGACATCGCCGCACTCGTAGGCCGGTGTCAATGCGCCATCTACCCTGTGTTGTGGTGGTGTGAGGTGCCCGCTACGACTTGGGTTAGATTAGTAGATCAGTTGGTGATTCTATATCGACCCTATGCTTATTGGATGGCTGAGGCTCAGACGCTTTGAGAGAGGGCGCTCTCCAAATGATTCACGCTCTTAGAAAGCTCTAAGAAAGCGCTAGAACACCACGCGATGTTGATTGTTGGGTCATGTGGAGCGTGGATTCCATACCGCAGGGCACGGTCCAGATAGCGATATACTCACTTGCTCCACAGTGACACAATCACGGAGATATGTTCCCCCAAATCATCCTCTACATTACAGCCCTGCCATGCTTTCAGTCCGCTCCCCTTGGGATGGCGGCCCACGTGAACTCTCCATTTACCGCAAGATTACAAATTAGTTTGTTGCACAGTTAAAATGTAGGATTAAACCCTCTTGGGGTAGTCAAAAGAGAAAGATAAATTAGACAGAGCCCAAATGAAACTGATATACGCGATTTCAAATTGTATTAACAAGGTCTGCTTGGTTAGTGACAGAGTCCAGTGGGTCAAGGGAATCAAGCGAGAAGAGCAAGACGGCTGCCGAGGTAAAGAAGGGGCCACCTCCAGAATGCCGTACTTCTTTCCGCAGACACCACGAGAAATGGTGGGAAGAGTGTCTAGTAGAGGAATCAAAGCTACCAAACAAACTGACGAAGTATTCAAATGAGGAGGGGAAACAGCAACATATGAGTACACCGAAGGAATGGCAGATTGGCGAGATAAATCTGGGATCTGGGAGATTGAAATAACGGTCAGCGATGGCACCTGCATGGACGACTATCACTTCGGTGTTCTTTGCAGCTTTCACTGCATTTTACATGTGCGTGCAGGTTGCAGGAAGAATGCCGCGTGTTCGAATCAAGTCATACCGGAGAAAGTCCTAATTTCCCAACCAAACGTTGCTTGGTCTGGACACGCGGTTCATTGGTAACGAAAGAAAGTCGGTCATTAGAACATCAAGTGGTTGGACAGCAGGCGTCGAAACCCGTACAGACTAAGCACCCTGGTAGTTGGTAGATGCACTTGGCAGTAGTGTGATGTAGAGATAAGTAATGCTATGTGGGTATAGACCATGATCTGATAAGAGCCATGTGCCGAGGAGAGGATTGTAGGGAGCAATTGCTTAAATCTAGTAGAACAAAAGGGTATAGAAGATCAAAACATACAATTATCATATTGAATCAAGGGGAGGGGGCCCGGTGCGAGATATAATCACGGTGGGAGAGAAGTTCGACCTTAGCGACTAGCGAGTTGGGGGATGTGACGGTGAACGAGGGGACGGGATAGATGCGGTGATAGAGCCATGGTGCATACCAGCCATGAGGGGTAAACTCGTCACAGCAATGAGGTTACTATTTGCGGAACAATTAATCACTCACGAGAGGTAGCTAAAACAAGCTAATTCCCCTCTCCCAGTGGCTATTATTAACTTATCCCTCCAAGGGAGGTGATTAAGTCGAGGAAAGCTGCCTTAGCGCGAAGGGGACGGACCAACCGCCGGTGGCCATCGCCCTCCCCGAAGGGCCCAACCCGCCCGTCACAGCCAAAGCGGCACCGCGTTGGCCTCTCAGTGTGAGCCCCCGCCCTCCCCGACGTGCATCTGTTCGCCAGATAAATTTGGGACGCTGCAAACTGCACGGGATTGGCGCTGGGCACAGTTTCTCGGACCGCTGGACTACCCTTTTCACACTAGTCACCACCAAATCACCTCGCCGGACTCGATGCCCCCGACGCAACGACGACGGTCTATTCGCCGTTTCCCAGCGTCCCCCCCGCCTCATGCACCTGCAGCTTCAATCTGTCACATCCTTCCGAAACGACATCCATGACCATTTGGCGGTCGTCGAATGCTACCGGTCCTTTTGGCCGTGGCATGTTCTTTTTTTATACCTTCTCCCCCGTGCGGAGGTACTGTTGCCGCCGGACTGCTATATACTTATACGCGCCGCTCTTCCCCCCTCTCCTTCGTGTGCCGTTGCATTTAGATACCCAGTTAATTTCTCCCTACATTTCGGGTGTGAGGGTAATTTGTACCCGTCACTAATTCCTGTCTAACCCGACACCCTACATATCATTCCAGCCATTCCCAACCCTAAGCGCCCTCCCTCCAACACCTCGCCCTTGGGATTCCTAACTTTGGCTTCCTACTTCACCAAACCCCTCGAGTCCGGCCCAATCTAGAAGAAAAGTCCCAGACTCTTACATCAACTAACGCACCCTTCGAAGTCTGTTCTTGGCTGGCCCCAGAGAACTTTTGGCTTTCGAGCCTCGCAATCGATCCAACATGGTATGCACCAGTCCCCGGTTTCCTATAGGGCCAAGTGAGAAAACCAACACGCATACAGGCAGGCAGCAACGGTTATCAGACATCCTTCCATTCGCTTCAAGCTCGGGAGAAAATGACCTACCTTTCGACCCCCTCGTCCCACCTGGGGCCGCAATCCGTATCCGACACTACAGAGATCCTAGACACCGATTTCGACTCGGATTCCCTGGATGATTACTCCGACGAGTCCCATTCCAGAAGCATTCGCTCGGTTGGTGTCCTTCCCCGCGTTACGGTCATTCCGTTGTGTCAATAACTTTGCTAACACAAGTCTACAGTCCACAGACAGCGTAACTACAGCATCTACGCCGGACGACATCAAGACGCCAGACTCCACCGGTCTCACGGCATTCCACTTCCACATTGACGAGAGCCCTGTCAAAGGCCCAGTGGGCCCGCACCTTTTCAGAATGTCCGGAGACTCTCTGGAGACCCAAGAGGCCCTGGGAATTGACCTAATGGTCCCCGATACGCCCATTGGCGCTCCGACCCCAATTTACTCTTCCGCTTCCGATTTGGAGCCCGAGAGACTAGATACCCCCGTTCCCGACAATGTCTCGACGCAAAAGCAGCGGCCAGCATCTAGCTCACGGTCAGCTACTAAGCCGCTCTCGAATCCTGTGGAGAGTGATGTTGCCAACTGGTCTCCTCGAGACGTTGTCGTGTGGATGCAAAAGCAAGGGCTCGATGAGTCCGTCGTTGAAAAGTTCTTCATCAACGATATCACGGGAGCCATCCTTCTCGAGCTCCAAGCCGAGGACCTCAAAGAGCTTGACATTGCTTCATTTGGCAAGCGTCATCGCGTCATGGGATGCATACGGCAACTTCGGGAAGCCCGGGACAACGCCTCCCTTTCAGATTGCTGTGACGGTCAGCCTATCCTAGACCCCACGTCACGCGAGGACACGGCAACTCCCAAAACTACCGCCGCCGACGTAGGTGTTGACTGCACAAGCCCCATTACAGACGAGGAAAAATCCAAGACCAAGTCTGGGCACCGCCGTCACCGCCGTCGCCACAAGCGTCGCAATGGTACTGACATTGTCCCCGAAGATTCGGTGTCTATTGTCGCCATTGAGCAACTGCTGCCTCGGCTTCACACATGCTCAAAGGGCGAGAGCTGCCGCAAATGGCAGAAACAGCAAGTCAAGCTAACTCGTCTGGCGAAGGACCTGCCGATTGAAGGTCTCGGTGGCTCTGTCATCGTTACTGGCGACCCCGGCAACGCTGCCACTGCACAGACTATTGCAAAGACGCCCAAGTCGGACGTGACGCCGTCCGTCATTGCATCGTCTGATGCCCTGGGAATCAATCAAGTTCAGATTTCCGATATTCCGCTATCTCAGGACAAGCTTGAGGGTGTCCAGCCTCGTGATCCGCAGGAGAACGTTCGCAACTTTCTCAACTTCCAGCGTCTTAGTAAACTTCAGCCGATAACCGATCCCGCTACACCTCCCAAGGAGCATTTCTCCTCTCCGAGTTCGGACTCTCCAGGGTCAGCCAAAGCGAATGCCACGCTATCGGAAAACCTCCGTACTCTTCCCAAGCTCCGGATCCCCAGCACTCACGGCTCGGATGCTGAATCCCTTCTATCTCCGGACTATAGTGCTCAGCGCACGATTACGCCGTCCATCTTGCGGAGACGACAGCCCTTCTCTCAGCCTTCCAAGTCCCCCAACCCCTATAGTGCCGTTCTATCACCCTCAGACTTTTACAGGGATGATCCTCACTACGGACAGAGCACGCCGTTATCTGAGATGGACGTTCCTCTCACAGCCATCCAGGTGGGACCCGTTGCCCGCATGTTCTCCCAATCGGTTCCACCGGACATGCGGTTCGGAGGAAGCCACAGCCATCAAATGGATGAGCCCATTTCCCGGCCTGCTTCCACCAAGGCTGAGAACTATCGCCACAACTCATCCATCATCACTGGACACAGAGTCCAGCGACTCGGACGGTTGGATGAGCGTACCCCACTGCCACCGATTGAGACCCCCGAGGACATGGACAGAACTCCTCGGGCTGCCCATTGCAAAAACAACCCCTTCAGCCCCGGGGGATCCCGTCTCAATGACGTGATTCACAGTGGCTGGATGAAAAAGCGGAAGAACAACCGCTTCCTGCGCCATGACTGGGAAGACCATCATTTTGCGCTTCGGGGCACCCAGCTCGCTATGTACACCGATGAAGAGGCATCCCAGTGCGACTCAAAAGCACTGGAGTACATCGATGTGGACGACTATGCGGTCGCCTGCTCCTCGCTTCCTTCCAACTCGAAGCTTACTGCTGCGTTCAAGAAGACGGTCTTGAAGCGTAACGGTAACAGCGAAGCGGAGGCGGCCTTTGCCTTCTCCCTCATCCCATCCCCTACCAACGGGAGCTTTGACCGGAAGAGCATCTTCTCCAACGGACCTAAGGCACATCACTTTGCCGTTAAGACCCGCGACGAGCGCATTGATTGGATGCGGGAGCTGATGCTCGCCAAAGCCTTGCGCCGGGGTCGGGAAAGCGGAGCATCCCTCAACATCAACGGAGCGGCCTTCTAAAGGGACCATGAGCTCTTTTACCGACTCCCCTCACTTTTCTCCATTTGTTGTTATACCCCCTTATGTTTTGTTCCTCATTTCCATCGTTTATGTGTCATATGTACACCGATGCATCATTCTTTGTTTATTTTGATCTGATTAAGATTTACGACATCACGAATCTTCTTGATACTTATGCATGGGGGACGTTGTGTTTTCGCTTTGTTCTTGTCTTTTTTTTTTTTTTCTTGAACGCCCCTATTCTTTATTTCCTTTGTTTTGAATGGGTTCTGCCCATTAGATATGATACATGTTCGGCGGGCTAGAGGCTCACGCCTCGCTCGCTGTTGACCATACATAATGTTTGTGATCTTCATGAGCTGGCTCTCATGGAAGTCTGTGAGCTCTACCGGAAAAGAGGGGAGATTGGGGCTGTGTACACCGGAGTATGTATGTATATGCATAGTTAGCTTGAACGACTCGTGTCCTTGAGGCGCGCTTATTGATGATTGTGGAATTCTCGTAAATTGTGTTGATAACTTTCTGGAAATGAAACCAAAGAGATAAGGAAAAGACAGAAAATTACTGTCACCAAACTAAGTGACCTTTCTAAATTAATCTCTTACTTTTTAGTCTGAAAAATGAAAAGCAAAGAATAGAGAGAGAGAAAATGCAACCAGTCCGAAACAGAAACCAACAACAGATGTGATGAGAATGGGCGCCACGCCGGCGACCCGACGAGAACCCCTAGGGACAGAGAGCGAAAGTCCGACCCCCGTAGGGAGTCCGTCCGCAAATGCAGGTCGACGTTTCATTTCACAGCGTATCCACCGGGGCATATGCCAATTGCAGATCTCATCACTTCACGCGACGGCGCAATTGGCCGGTGGCGGCGTGAGGGGGGCAGCCCCGGCGCTTAACTCGTGGCGACGAGTGGCCTGGCAGATGGCGTGGGACGATGGAACGATGATCGCTCCTACGCCGCATCGCAGTAGCCAGACAGTTCCCCGCTTCCTCATTTATCGTTTCCTTGTTGGTTGGTCGCTGGTTGGGTCATGCGGTGGCCCAGGTTGTGATATCCCCTTGTATCATCAATTTCTTTTTAGGCGGGTTTTTTTGGTCAAGCAATTGGTGAAGGGTCATTCTGACCACCCAGGGGAGCAGGATGGAAGGAAATGAATGTTGGAAAAGTCTGCATGAATTGTTATAACACGACTAGACAGTCGTGCGAAATTGTTCCCTGATATGTGTCAAAGCAACAAGTTGGGGGAATCGCCCGGAGTGGAGATCATTAGGTGATAAGAGGTACATCCCTACATCCATTAGCCCCGACCTGCCCGTAGTGCCTGCATCCTCTCTTCCCTCTCTCCCTCCCTCTATCTGCTTTCCTTAGCGAGTAGCCGCCCCGCTGCGTGTGATCGAAAGGTCTCTTCGGCGGTTGGGAGGAACGCCAGGCTCGAGTCCCTCCAATTCCGGTGGTCTGCGCTAATCGCACTGATTAGTCCCTCCTTGACTTCGGATCGTCGCCGTTGTCAAGGTGCCTTGATCCTGATTCTTTTTTTAATGGTATTTGGGGATCCGGTCATCTCATTCTCTACTCCAAACTCCCACTTCATTTCTCTCTCCCTGGTCTCCTCCCGCTGGCTCGTTCTCCAGGACAACACGCGCTGTCTTCGTTCTTTAGTCTTTGTGTCTACCACGTCGCGGGGATTGATGTTTATCATCAACGCCCCTCTCTCCAAAAGTGGCACGCGATAAACACTCACATCTACTAGTAGACACGCAAGAGCGAGCGCTTTCAACCCGAATCAACGGAGCACCAGATCCAACAAACAAAGATGGTAGACGCCCAAGCCATCCGTGGTCGCCTTGGCCAGGTCACCCAATCATCCCGCACCGTCATGCGCTGTCTCAACAGTGGCCGTGACTCTCAGGAATCATCTCAGCGGGCCATTGCACTCCTGACAGATATTCTGGATATCCACTATCGCCTCAGGGACCAGATTAGCTGGGGAGATGAGAAGTGGCACGTCGACCCGGCTCGGCTGGAAAGTCTACAGGAGTTGCTCGCGTGGTTCGAGTCGACCATGAAATCAATCGAGTTGTATTTCCAACCGGGCGGGGTGGGGGTGTGCTTTTTTCGTCGGAATCTACTGGACAGGACGTATATTCCGCGGCTGGAGCAGTTCAAGGTCCTGTTTCTCCTTTCCATGCAGGCCGATTCCAGGTTCGTGTTTGCCCTCCTCCCCCCCTTTTTTTACCCGCCTCTTCTTTGCCTTTTCTCCATACAGTAGAGTAGCAAGCTAATGGTAATTGTATCATGTAGGGAGAGATCCTTTCTCGACGAGGAGATCCGGGAAGGTCTTAAGGCCTGTCGAGAAGTAGACTCTGGTATGTTCTGGCTGAAACACATTGGGGGTAATGCTAATTTGACTAGCTTGGACAGAGCCCGAGGTCGACCTGAAATTTGAAGAGAAAGTACTGGGCCTCACCAGTCAACTATGCTCGGAACAGTTCATCGCCCTTGCAGACTTCTGTAACAGACGCCTTCAGGGGACCTGCCAGTGGATCTTCGACGACGGGCAATACAGACGATGGCTGCTCGGTTCATTCAAAACTCTCTATTTCGCTGGTCCTCGTAAGTAATTACCTATCTCTTCTCTTTCTCGAGCACGATATTGATGTACATGTTCTTATGCAGCTGGAGCGGGTAAGACCTTTCTTGCGTAAGTTCCCTACTATACGACCAAAAATGGACATCTAAGACACACCGTGCTAACAAGGACCTCAGATCCACGGTGATCGACCGTTTGCAAAGAACATTCACGACCCCTGATGTTGCAACCGTGTATATCTTTTGTCAAGATGAAAAGCAAAAGGAGCAGACATCTACAGACATTCTTCGGAACATCCTAGCCCAGCTTGTGTACCGCAAGCGAAGTGTCTCCTACACCACTTCTGCTCTATACCATTCGGAGGCCACATCAAAGGGGAGGGCGTCGCCCAAATCCTACCAGAATGCGATCAGAGCGGAAGTCAATCGGTTCTCGAAGGTTTACCTAATCATTGATGGGCTTGATATGTTCTCTGACAAAGAGCGCATCATCAGTCGTCTTCAGAAGCTTCCGGAGCAAGCACAGCTTCTCGTGACATTGCGTGAAGTCACTCAAGTTGGGAATGCTTCCTATGTGAACGTTCTGGCCGCGCCGGAGGATTTGCATCTGTATACATTTGCCCGCATCCAACTTGATCCAGAGATGAAGGAGCTCTTGAGCAATGGATCGGGTCCTTTGCTTCAGAAGGAGGTAATCCGCACAGTAATGGAGAAGAGCTACGGCGTGTAAGTGCCCTCGCTTTCCGGTGAAATATTCGGCAAGAAAAGAGATGCTGATTCATCCTACAGATTCCTTCTAGCCAAGATACACATGGATTTGCTCGCCCGATATACGGACAGAAACCTTCTGGAAAGAGCCCTCGTCCATCTTCCAGTAAGCTTGAGTGAAGCATATGGCGAGGCAATGAAACAGGTAGTCAGTGCGAGCCCGCTGGCCGCTCGCTACGTCTATTGGACTCTATACGCCTTTCGGCCTCTGTCGGTCGCGGAGCTGAAGCATGCGACCAAGGGCTCTGCCAGCGAGAGTGACAGTCAGGTCCAGACTTTTGAACAGTCTTTACAAACACAGACTGCCGGAATTCTGACTGTCGATGCGGGGACTGGAACCGTTCGCTTCGTCCACAAGACCGCCAAAGAATATCTGAATGGGACGGCAGCGAGGGTCTTCTTTCCGACCGCTCAGAAAGATATCGCCGAGGTCTGCCTGACCGCTATAACTCCCGATGAAGTTGTTGACGAATGCTATCAAAACAGTGGAACGACCCCTAGAATCACAAGCGGTGGTTTCCTTAACTACGCGGCTACGTATTGGGGCTACCATGCGAAGGCAGTCTCGGAAGACGAGCAAACAATTCAGGTTTTGATCAAGACGTTCTTGAACAAGCTTCTATGGAGACGACCTCCTCTCCAGGTGTCGATTGACACACAGACAATCCCCACAGAGCTAGGCTTAGGGAAGTACCCTCCAAGCTGGAGTGCGATTCACTTTCTCGCTTTCTTTGGGATTGTCAGCAAATCGAAGCGTCTGCTTGTTCAGGGCGCAGACATCAACGCACACGATAATACGCTGAAGATCACCCCATTACACTGTGCAGCCTATCGTGGCAACGATGATATGGCAGAGTTTTTGCTGGACAGTGGTGCCGATGGCAATGCGGTTGCGAGAAATGGCAATACAGCCTTGCACCTGGCCACGCAGTACGGCCAACGAAAAGTCATGAAGCTGTTGCTCGCTCGACGAGTGAATACGCAAATTGCCAACCAGGATGGGTCAACCGGTCTCCAGCTTGCTGTGGGCACAGAATCCGATGAGGCAACTATCCCGTTGCTGGTGAAGAACAAGGTAGATGTCAACGTCCGAAACATCAAAACCGGAAATACGGCGCTGCATATGGCTGTTGAGGCGCGACGGCCGCGCATCATTCTGTTCCTCCTGGATAGAGGCGCCACCATTGACATGACCAATGAAGACGGCCTAACGCCTCTTCAGATGGCAGCAAAAACCAACAATTGCGAGGCCATTTCTCTGCTGCTTCAACGGTGCGCAAAGGTCGAGGCTCGATCCCTGTCTGGTTTCACGGCTTTGCAACTTGCAGTGCATGAGAATCACTGGATAGCCTTCGACTTGTTGCTCATCGGCGGTGCAAATATCAATGCATGGAGTAAGAACGGAGAGACTCTACTCCACGAGCAAGCAAAGAAAGCCTGCGGTATTGCAGTTGCCTCGAAGCTCCTCGAACAAGGTGCCAATATTGAGGCTCGCAACTCGCGAGGATATACCCCCTTGCAGGTCGCCGCCTTGGAAGGGAACAGAGAAATGGTCATGTTTCTTTTCGGTCGCGGGGCGAAACTTGACGTCGAAACCGCAAAGGGAGAATCTCTGCTTCATATTACACCCCCTGTCGACGAGGACTACCTTGAGATTCTCAGTTTGTGCTTGCACTATGAGCTAGACGTGACTGCCGTCTCCAGTCAAGGATGGATGCCTCTCCATCAGGTCGTTTACGTGGGCACGGGTGCTCTCGACCTGTCATATGACAAGACTGAGGACTATGTCCGCTTTCTTGTAGGACAAGGCGCGGACATCAACGCACGCGCCGTTTCAGCCACTGCCGAGACACCACTACATCTAGCTGCCATGGCCGTGGTTCCTAGGGCGTCCTTGATCACGCTGCTTGTGAGCCTAGGCGCCGAAATCAATGCCTTGACTACGGACGGGAAATCGGCCCTTCATTTGGCTGCCGAGCGAGGTCGGGAGTCTATCTTCCGGGCCCTACTTGAAGCTGGCGCCGATATTTCCCTGGAGGCTCCGGATAGTGCAAAACCCGACAATGGCAGTGGACCTGGTGTTGGCAGCACCGCATTGGATCTTGCCCGCAAGAACCCTCTTGGGAGTCTATGGTTTGATGAGGATGGCGAGCTACGTCCAGCCTCGAGCAGATCGCGACGAGACAGTGTAGGAAGTGTAGACAGCATTGGAACTGATATTGAGGATTTGCATCATGACGGGTCCGACAATGACACCGGGGGGTCAACACTGGTTGGAAGTGAGCAGCCGTATGTTATTGTATAAGACTTGGGGTTGTTATTGTTTTTGTTTTTCTTTGCCTGTTCTCTCTCTCTTCTCTTTCCTTTTCCTTTCCCCATTTGTTTTTCGAGCGATTTTCATTTCCTACAGGCTTTGAGGTGCTGGCTCGCCCATGATTTTTACGATACCCGCCAAATAAATATAGCAAGCATCTTTGGTACCCTGGAAGAAGCCATGAAGGATGATGGAAATGTGGCATTTATCTGGAGTTTTCATATCTGGAGTTCAAGTGATGATTTCACCTTGTAGCAATCTTCTTGCTTTGTAGCAAAGTTGAATGGGTCTCGGTCTTGACGGAAAAGATTAAAGTGGACATACCCCATGTTCTGCCGGGCGCCCCCGCTCTCAGGGGAAGCTTTAGCGGTGCTCCGGGCTCTCCTCCCTATTTCGTCACTACCCTCTCGATGATGCTTGGGTTCGTTCCAGACTCGTTCAGCTGGAAGCAACTCCTTACTTGAGCCCTTCTGAATCTGAACAACTAACTAGACACGGTTTAATACAAGAAATGTTCTTCGTCCTACAAGGACCGCTAACAATATCAGCAGTGCCCTCGAAATCACGTCCTCGAACGACCGTCTGCTCCACCGAACCCAATCGACCTCGACGAGCGACCAAGCTACGCGATCGCTTTCCATCACGCAAGCCATGATCTGTTCCTCAAAGGGGATTTAACTCTCGCAAGGCTTACGGATTGTGTCAGAGAGCTTATACCTATTGTCACAATCCGCTCTTCGTCCCCCTCGCTCGCTATCAAGCAGCATCGGCAACGCGACATTCAAGGCACAATGGATAAACGAACCGGGGCATACAGACCTACGTCTAGTCCTCGATACTAGCTGCCGCAATATCCGTCCATCAATCTCCTTCGAATCGTCGAAATCCCGACCTCTAGCCTACATGGCTCGGTGGAAAGAATACGGCCTTCGGACAAGAACCTCAAGATGTTGTAGCTGTCCGGGCGTCTCCATCGGGCGATCAACTCGGATATATACTTCTCCAGGCATTCTCCGCCAACTTCGCTAGTTTGTATGAGGCTTACTAGCGAGATGGGGCCATTAAGCCGACTCGAATCAAGTCCCCGTGATGCTTGAGATTCATTTGTGAAGAGGTTTATCCGGTTTCCTCGAGCGTGTTGCTCTCAAGCAGGCCAACACAGTTTGATTAAAGGTCTATAGCATTCGGCGTGTGTCTCCCGATCTTATACGATCGCGGGTTCGGTGATAGATATAGGTGCTTTGTGTCATGGCATCTGGTTCCCGGAATCTACTGAGAATGGGCAGTGTACCTCAACTGATGGACCTAAGATTCTGAGCCGGGCAGCAAGCCGACCCCAAGCGCAATACTGCTCAGGAATAGCTATCCAGCATATCTATCACGGTACTGAACTTTCTCGAGAAGCAACAGACCCGCAATTTGCAACTGCTTCAATGGAAACCGAAGGATCTATTGAATTCCGGCTATATTTGATCTTTGACGGCGCCGAGGCTATTATTCGAGGTCATAGAGCACATATACGCTAGCTGTCAAAACTACGCCAACATTACTGGGCAGCTCGGACCTGCCAATGCCTGACATCTACTGCTTTCACCGACTGAGTCTTCTATAGGTCCCCGGCCGGAAACTATGGGATTGACTGATTGATCTTTCCTTGGGCAATACTGTCTGGCCCCTAAAGCTGTCGCAGGCAATTTCCTTAACTCGTTCCTCAACGATGACATAAATAGTAGACAGTCCAATGAGCTAGGGTACTTACTTTAATTTAGCTACCTCAAACTTGCTGAAGCTTAGATGATAAATTATTGATTGGGAACGCATACACTTAATTGGAAATTCGTATATACAGTTTGGTTCTGTCCGATCTTTAAATCTCATCTCAAACGCCACATCTTTCGTGTCTTGATCATCAGGCTCTTCCTGTCTATTCTAAAATCGTATACATAAACACAGCCAATTCCACCTGGAAAGTTACCTGTGACTTCCTTTGCGAATTCTTTATTCGGGTAGAAAGTAGATAATAGTACGAACGTACAGAAACACAAAACCCTCGACAACTCGTGTCTGGTCTCAAGCTTTTGCTGCTGATCGTGGCAGTCACTCTCTTCCTGCAGACACTGAGGAAGTGTCTGGTTGTGCCTTCCGCATGAACAAACCACATTGTTGTTTCGGATGTATTCAAGACTATCGAGTTCACGGAGAACGGGGTAGAGATTGTTTTGATCCGCTCCAGCAGGAATTCCCAGAAAATTAGGGACAGAGAGACTTTGGTTACAATGAGAATGGCGTTTGCTACAGTCTGATGAGCGCAAGACAAAATCACAACTCTGTACTCCGCAATCTCGGAGTCGATATATGAAGGTAGCAGAATTGTCGAACGACGCGATTCTTCGGCTACTAGACCTTTGAAGGACAGGGTTTGGGATGTGAATTTGCAAATGTCTTCCTGGGTAAGATTTGGGATCAAGTTGACCGGGCTGTAAACACTGAGCGTGATCGACGATACTTGAACGAGCGGCTCACGTCAATATATCGCCGTGAGAGCCTTTTCGCCTAGTTGGATGAGTTGATCGCGTAGAGAAGCGAAAATTCGGTATATTGTGCGTGCATGGAGGGGGTAAATTGTTCATAGATGAGATACCACTCCTTCCCTTTGGGCTGTATGAAAAGCCGCGGACATTCTAGACAAAGCATATCACTAGCAGCACACAGAGACTGAGTCGAGATGCCATACATGCCCAGTCCTTGGATGCCAATAACGCCATGTAGTTTCTTGTCCAATACTAGTCATGTGCCTTTCTAAGGACTCCAGTGTCTGCGATTTTGTTCTTCCTCATTGAATGGGGGCCCGGACCGTGAATGACAATGTCCTCGAAGGACTTAAGTCTTGGTCTCGTTGCTTCGATGGTCCCTATCGGAGCTGGAGCTCTCACAAGTTCTTCCTTTATCCGAGAATTTCGCTCTGAAAATTATCTTCTTTATGTCTTGGGGTGGATGGCACCCCGTTATGGAACAAGGCATTTTTCCATAGGGGACGAGGGCTGCATACTTAATCCAGACACCATCCGCGTTGTAGTCCGTAGGCCACGTACCTGGAATGATGGTTTGACAATCGACACGTTTCCAATGTATGGGGTTTCTAGACCAAATATATGATGGGGAATAGTGACGTCTCTCGAGATGATGAACAGTATCATAGGATGTGGTCAGATAGAACAGTTGATATGTACCCCCGATCAAAGTCGTTATCACATAAGAATATCCTTTGTTGATGAAGAGCCATCTGAAGTCCGAAGGTGACGTCGATGCCATTAACATGGAGAGAAAGTCGCAGAAGAACGTTTCTCTCGGTGCATCTTCAGTTGGATTTACATAAACCGATTCGACTCACAGCTGTGACATTGATATTAGAATCGAATCCGCTGCAACATCATCGTCCTGCCGTTACCGGTGCGGATATTTCGATTTCTGTGGTTGAATGTTATGGCATGCGGGGCGTGGAGTCTGTCAGGCTTTGACAATCATCGAAGTAATGGCCATTTGAATGACAACCTTTGGTTTCGCCTGAGGCCCTTGGGCTGGACTGCCATTGGTGACCTAATTTTCACTCATTGCCAACAAAAGCACCTCCGACAGTCATTACGTATTTAACGTTGCCACAGGTCGTAATCGAAACAGAACCTATAGGCTCGCTGTCTCGTTTTCCTACCTTTTTTGCCCTTCCGGATATTTAGCAGCTTGTGAAACAACTCCACATTACTGTTTGGCACGGTTTCCATTCTGCCATGTCTATATCATGAAGCCGGTCTAGAGCCGAGGAAGTTTATGCAGGCCTTTGCATCATAAGTTCCCCCTGTATACAGTTTGTACTGACGGGGTGACTAGGCGCTTCGTGGAGGAAATTAATCAGTTTTTCTAAATGGCATCGTAGCTCGAGAATGGTGGGACCATCCTAGTCCTGCAGCGAGAGGCCCTCCAAATGCGAGAAAGTTTGGAGGATGAGGAAGAGTTTGGGCCCAATGAGAAGCGGCGCGTGCAGAAAATGCTTCTGACTGGTAATGTCACATCGAGGGGATCTAAAAATATGATCAATCTTTCCGTTCGGTGATGTGGGTAGTGCTTTTGACACTGCGAGACTCACGCCGCAATCTCTTTAGCGGCAGGTAATCAAACGCCGTTGTTTGTCGATGTCGAATTTCTCCAACGCAGCGCAGCTAACTTGTTTCAAACGTCTTGTTGTAGGCGCTTCGAACGCAAGCTCATGATGAATCCAGATCGACTTCTTCAGTATCTCCATAGGCGATTCTTCAGGATAGTCTCCTAGTATCTTCTTCAGGATAGTCTCCTAGTATCCATATGACTAGGATAGAGCGTCTAAGCACATGCCAAACATTGCAAGTCCGGGAGGCAAAGTAGTTTGTCCCAGATACATTGGTCTCTACACATTCATTGGCCCGGACTCGAGTTCTTGTTTCTCTTGGCAGGGGGTGCATTGCCGAAAGCAAACAACAACAATGCTCTGCAGCTTGCATCTGTTTGAGGTAAGCTCGAAGCTAAAAATAATGGAGTAAAACTCGCAGAGAAAGAGCCATTGAAGGGTCAGCACCTAACGCCCGGGGCACGGTAGGGGTCCATCTCAAGCGTTTTACTCGTAGCAATCCAGGCGTATGCTCCCGGTAGCGTCATGCAGCATAGACGCTGAGGTTGGTAGATATAGAAACAAAAGGGGCACAACTACCAGGAGGAAGTACAATTGGCCTAGCAACAGGGTCTGCGCCTGGCTTGGCAATCAGCTCGGTGTTAGACATTGAGTCGAGTGGGAGAGCAAGGGGAAGTTCAAAGCTGCAGGAATGCAGATAGCAAGCGACAGGAGAAGACTGAAGAAAAGCAATCGACGAGCTCTCATTGGATCGGAGTGCTGCACCGTTGTAGATCCGGCGTCTCTCCAGACTTATACAGCCTAGCCCGCCTCTCAGTGTAACACGGAGTCATCGTGATGGGCGGCTATGCTCAAGTTCTTGCAGAGCTTGAACCAGGTCTCTGCCCCTTGGGCGAGACAAGGTGGCAGGAGGCGTTCCGCTAGGATTGAGGTGAGCCGCGCGCCATGGCAGCGACGAACACGGTGCCTTCTCGAGCCGCGGTGCTCTTGACAACATTCGTGGCAGCTGCGACGCCACGATTAAGGGGGTCCAGCAACGGAAGGGGATTCGTCCAAAGCAAATGAGCATCTGCTTCAGATGGCGTGCGATAATGCGGGATAGTCGGTAGATTCGCAGTGATTCTGACGAGGTGCCGGGAGGAAATGGCATATAAGACGAGGCTGTCATCAGCAACAATGAGCATCCTCATCATCGTCACCATCATCCTTCGTCACATTCTATCCTTCTTCTCTCTTTCTTCTTTTCCTTGTCAGGCACAAGGTCAATCAGTTTGGGTTTGATCCCACTCAGTTCACACCTTCGTTCAAATCTTTCCCACTATCGTTGAAAGCCGCCCAGGCACTTCATCCGAAGCGAATCATCGACCTGAGCGCTAGACGCCAGGCCCAAGGATAGAAACGAAAGACGGTCAAGGACCAGTAGAGGTGGATCGAGAGATTATCGGACAAGCCGAGAGATCTTTTTCTTTTCGGATCTAAAGCAGTGGGTGATGTAAGTTGGGTGGTTGTTGCGGTCATCTTTTGTTTGTTGCTATTTTGGACTCGGGACTCGGGAGGCGCTAACCACGTTGGGCTTGGCACAGAATCTCGATTCCGATACCGTCAGATACCAACACGTATCGTTACCGTTTGATACGTCCGTACGGGTATCGTACCGATCGTTTGCGACAAACAACAAACCAACAACTTCGATTTTTTTTTCTTCTCTTCTTCTTCACCTTCTTCTTCTTGTTGCATTTCTTTTTATAGAATCAGATATTCCTTGGACTTGCAGCTTTTGGGTATCCACTCTACCGGTTTAGAGGTGTTTATTACTCTCTGCTTTTCCTTCCCTCGTCTGCCTTCTACAATCCTTCCATCTTGACACCTTCACTGGCTATACATCTTGGCTCGCTGTCCCACTTAGCCTGACTGAAGGATCTTCTACATTGACCTTGGGGATATATCTTCTTTTGTCTTGACTTCATCATCCCTCTCTTTCTTCTTCAAGTCATATCACTCCAATTGACCCCATCCAAAATGGCTCCAAGGCCGAACCTCTATCCCCTCAAGACCTCGAAGAACATGGTCTTCCCTTCGGAGCTTCATGAAAACCCCCTCGCAAAAAAGAATGATGAGGACAACGAGGAAGAGCGCACTGGTCCTTCCGTCCCGCCTCCTCTTGCCTACACAGAATTCCTGCGAGCTCTCAGCCCGGTCTTTGCAAGCCCCGACGGCAACTTCAGCAGCTGTCCTCGATGGACCTACAGCAGAGCACCCCCCTCCCCGGTGTCCTTGCCCTCGGCCACATCAAACAGAGCTACCTTCGCCGCTGGGGAGGCTGTCAGGAACAGCCCTGCCTCTTCAATTCCTCCCTCGCCCCTCAGTGCCCCGCGATCCGCCAGCAGTGCAGGTGGCCCTGTACGACGTGTGCGCACAGCTCCGTCATTCATGTACTCGCCGGCTGGAGAGTCCCCGCAGAGTCCGTACGCTTATCGACGACCCTATTCTCCCAATGAGTGGCGACTCCGGTATGCTGACCCTCCACACGCGGCACAGGGGCGTACCATCAGCATCCAACATATCGTGACCCATACGGTGACGCTGAAACACGCGCCTCCTCCGCTGGCCCCTCCCCCGAAGGGTAAGCGGAGACGCACCAATAACGATTCTCACGGCCGCTGAGTTACGTCTATCATGGGCGTTTCACTCCCTCTTCCTTGTCCGTTTCATCGTGGTTGTGCTGTTCTTGTAGCCATCGTGGCGCCATCCATTTGTTGGTTTTTTTGCGCTGCAGGGAGCTGGCTTTTCTTACTTGTTATTGGTTCGTGTCGTTCTTAACCGGGTGCTTTGTTCGGATTCTATGTTTGCTATTTGTTCTGTTTGGTCTTTTTCCTTCTTGTGGTTTATCAACATGACGGGTCTACGAATGTTTTAGAGAAATCAGCATCTGTATCCTGGCGATCCATGATGCAGGTAATTGGGAAGCAAGGTCAAGGAGTTGGATTATGATTTGGTCATGTTCATTTGCTTCATAATGGAAGATCACGCCAAGCGGTCCTTCCTCCATTGCATGGGGGCTGCTAGGAATGACTATGAAGTTGCGCTTTATTTGTGTACCGTGGTGCTTGGGTGGTCTTCGTGGCGTTGGATGTTTTCGAGTCATACTGCTAGCTAGCTGCCAATTGAATTTCTGCTTTTACTTTTTTACCTACTCTCCAACCTTGCTCTGCTCCATGAGAGGACACCGTAGCACCCCCTCAGCTTCCAAACAGTCCCATCATCTACGGAGTCCGTGCGGACACGGCGGTAGGAGTAGGAGTGTCCATGTCGTCCCGCAGCGACACATCCTCCACTTAGAGCACTACTTCCCCATCTCAAACGCGTTGGTAATGTCCTACTATCCGCCATCTGATGGATCATTTCCGCCCATCGGTCAACGAAGGTCCGTGATTGGGGCGCCAGCGCTTGAAGGATTCCCGTGGCGCAACCAACCGTGATCCTTTCTTCCCACGTGTCAGCCGCATTGACCAGTCGGCCTGTCTATTCAACAAGTTCTTTCTTATTAGAAGATAGATCTAGCTACGGGGCAGAGAGCCCTTTGCGAGACTCCGCTCTAGAACAGCCGAGTTTAACAGGGATAGGGAACCTTTGATCCTTTCGGAATTACTAGGTTAGGGCTACGGTGCGATTGAGCCTCAGTTTTTCACCGCGAATTACTGTCTCTAAGCGCAAGGAATGCTTGAGCGGCTATAGGATGGGGTGGCTGGGGGCTTTGTCTTTGACATGATTTCGATCGTTTGGCTTGGAAGAGTGTTCTTTTTAGTAGGTAACAGTAAGTAATAGTAGTTACGTTCAGGAACCTTGAAAGTATGGAGGTCTACAGGGCGTATGTAATATTACCCGATATATTACGTTGGTGTATTTATATGTCAGTAATACGAACCGAATACAACTATCACCATACAAGCCTTCATGTTGTATAGAGACATGCTATTCTAAACACTTTGCAGCACACTAACGGGGTATTGCACGACCATCTTAGAGCATTGACGCAGGTTGACAGGTGAATCAAAAGTCCCTATTGGCCGAAGTAAATAGATCATCCCTCTCTGCCGTGTTGCCGTGCCCGTCATCTACAATCTCAGGCTTGTATGCCCAATAATAACATGCTCAGAACCGGCATCTCCTCCGCGAACGGGAAAGAGTGGGAAAATAGGCCATCGTTCAGCGAATGAGGATCGCGAGACTACAAACCTGCACTCGCGTGGATCAGTAGATAGTCTGATGCTAAAATAAGGATACAATTGCCTTTCGTGGTCGTAGGAGGTTGCCCAAGTTGTCCGAATCAAGTATAGTGTCATCCAAGTCCTCGAAAGACCTAAGAGGATCGAGAAGCTAGGGCAGAAATGAGCAAGGGTCTACACATGGGTTGGAAGTTTAAGCTCCAGAATTTCTTCACCCTGGACCCTGTGGGGCAGGGTAGTCGGTCCTATGCCTGGCACTGATTTGTCGGGATGTTTGGATCAGGACGACGTCAAGTGGGATGAGGTTGGTGATGGGGGCATCAAGAACCGCTATTGGGCTGTCTGAACGGAGTATATCCTGTCGAAGCGCCCAATTAAGGACCGATTTGTCTAGTCTTAGAGCGATGGGATAAAAAAAGAACATGGAAATGGCCTCTTTCCTGCTCCACCGCTTAGCTTTCATCTATTCTTTGCGCATTATTGGGGACTGGAAATATCAGAGATGAATGAGCCATGGCCCGAGCATGTGCTATGCCGGACTACTGCCGTGGGCAAGTGATAGGGGAGAATGGTGCTAATTAGCAGCATTGAACCCTGTCCGCGACTAAATTACCATCACATCTGGTTGGAATCATTGCCAATCAGAGGTCATGTCCAACATCCTACTGCAATTAGGCGCAGGTAATTATCCCCGTTCAAGTTAAGCGCCTGCGGTGACACCCCGCTGCGCTCCGTTATTGGCGGCATGGGCCATGGCATATGCGGGGGATCACAGCAGCCAACATCTATTTTTAGTTCTATTTCTGGCTTACCCGCCGGGTGATTTCCCCCCCTCTCTCTCTCTTGGGTTTTCCTTCCTCTCTCTCCCTGTGCGCGCCTTCCTCTTGACTTCATTCCAGCAAATCAGACTACCAGTTCCAGATATGTTCTATTTCTGGCTACATCCTGTAGCCGCCGGTCTCCACCCATGCGATTCCCAGTGGCCGCTACATCCATCATCCATACAATTGTCTGTGAATATCTGTAACATAGGTCGTGCATTAACGCCTGTACCCACAGGGCAACTCTGAAGATTCCATAATTAGAACCCGCTTTTGATGACCTCCGAGTAGGGCTTTTTTCAAATCTCCCTATCACAGTCTAGTTATTGCTCCCTGTCCTTTAACAGCGTCTATTCCATCGCAATCTACGCAGTGTCAGCCAATCCCCTCCTGGTTTGATGATCAACAAGTCGCCCTCCCAGTAACAACCTGGTGCTCGCATTCCGGCTCACTGTTCTCCTCCCCTTGTACATCCCGACCTCCCAGCCAACCAGGCCGAGTGGTTAATTTTATCTTCCATCTCGATCCAGTAGACTTCAACCTTCCAACCGCCGCCGTGGATCTTAGTCGTACGCTCTGCTCCCTTGAGTCATTTCCATCTTCAAAGGTAGGAGTATCATTGGGCTTAATGGAAGCGCCCATCCCCCTCCCTTTCTTCTTTTAATGCAGATCTGGCTCCGTGATGCCCGATTCCATGCCCTCTATGGTCCCTGAGTCCGACTAAAGTCGGTTTGCCGGTCCCCACACTTGCACGATCTCATGCAGTCCTGGGTCCCAGGGGGGATCGGCGGGTTTTGGGTTGACAGGGGAGATATTTTTGGAAGCAATCTCAATCTCAACCTCACTTCATCGAGTTGATCGGCTACTTTGACGAGATTGCTGTTTCAAGGGTGTGGGGAGGAGTTAGGTTGTTCACTGGTACTTGTAGTGTTTCTAGGTACTCATGTCTTACTAGTTATTAGGAAAATTGTGTTGAGAAGACGTATGGTGGAGCGAGAGTGAATCGCGAATTGGTGGCAACTATGAAGTATAGCTTATTGCATCATAAAATTATTTTCGACTCCTAGGCACTCGGAGACTATCAAAGGACGAACTAAACATGGTCGAAAATGCAGCGCTTAAAATAGCAGAACCCATGCACGACTACTGGTTCCAAGACAGTCCTTCCCGCGGCAATTCTCCCTCCAAAGGAAAATCCGATGTCGACAATATCATTGACTCCGAATAATGTAATTTCATTTGATTTTCTCCATTTCCTGGCGGCGCTTCGGCGTGCCAATCGTAAGACGAATCGTTCAATCTACAGAATCAATAACTATGGCTCTGGTTTCTATTCTTATCCATGCATCAACCCACCCGAACCATCGGTTGACCGTTGGATTGATGCCACCCATGCTCTCGACAATCGCCTTTTCTAACTTACCCCGGCAAGTCGACCTTCCAACCTCCTACAACCCCCAGTCTCCTATTGATTCAATTCCCTCTCTCCCTCTCTCTGAGGTTGATAATTTTAGAACCCTTCTCCATCGATCATCCACTCTAGGTATAATCCCTGACGCCTTTTCCCTTTCCCATCCCTCCCCACCCACTGGACTCCTCCCCGGTTCCCCTGCCTTGCACCCATCATGCCCATCATCCACCCATGCATGCATCTCTATTTCTATTTCCATCTCCATCGGTTTTTATATTCCCTTCCTCATCCAATCATCATCTTGATTTCCATCTTTCCATACCATAGGTATAGTACCGTATCATACGTTTCTTACCTTCCTTCCGGGGGTCCATGGTTTCCTGCGTCGTTAGTGCATACCTTCTTTATTTTTTCTTGTCGAGATTGCAGTTCCATTGCATCATTTCTGTCTTGAATCTGTTTCTAAATTAAGATGTTGATGGCTTTGGAGACGGTGTTGTTTTTGGATCGTGGGCGCTTCGGAGTGTACGATAGGTAGGTACCTAGGTTGGTCTGGTCTGGTCTGATCGGTAGGTAGTAACGTTGTTGAAGAAACATACCCAGCTACCTACATTCCTACCTACTCATCTACCTACCGGTTTGAGACCCTGGCTTGTCTAAGTGCTCACAATTCCCTAGATGCCCAACAACTGCTACTACTACCTAGGTTATGTACCTACCTTCAGTTAGGTACTAACTTCCTACCCGATCAACTTTTTATCCATGTACGTATGTATGTACATACTCGTTCATGCCTTGGGCGTGAGCTGGAAGGCTCGTGTCTAAGGTATGTATCTACTTGCGTACATACATACATGCACGCGTTCCTTGTTTTTGTTTCTTACTCAACATCACCAACAAAGGCAATTTACTTACTGGCTCACCTCCTCTGGCTTTCACTTCGATGGTCTTCCCTGCGAATGCCAACAACTAGCTGTTGCACTGGCAAACAGGATATGGAGGTAATGGTCTGCACGGTATCTTCGGCTTGCCTTGGTCGTGTCAGAGGATGATATAGATGTGTGATTATGTATGGTTTATAGCTCCCTAGGTACTTACTTCCCAGTAAGTGGGTATGGGTTCTCGAGATTTGGGTTTCCTTATCCAGGGGAAGTCCGTTGGTGGAGAGAAAGGGAAGGGAAGAGAGAGGCGCGCACATACACATACACACACTCTCTCTCTCTTTGGAACTTGATGTACATGCGTAACAAGTAAATTATTTCATGTCGTTCAGATCAAGGATAGTATTTATTGATGCCATATCGGACAGATACTCTGCCACGCAGTCCGGATGTGATTTAAGAATAGTAGAACGGCCTGAATGTCTACACGGTCATCTAGTTTGGTGAACAGTTCGTTCTGTTGAAATCATCAGAGTAGCCCTTCCTATACATTGAGCAAATCAAGAATAATATAATAGAGGAGATATGCAAGATGTGGTAGATAGATGGATATATATATATCGAGAATTAAAGGAAAGGACTAGAGACCTTCGTGACTATATCCACCTCCATACAACAAGCCGAAAAACAAGAAATCAGACATAAGTCATACATACAAATCCAACCAACCTAAACCTTTAACCCACAACCCAAGAGATTAATAGAAACGACCCTGATATATACACGTCCCATGGAATATCTGGGGTAAAGAGACAAAAATGTGAAGGAAAAAAGGAAGATAAAAAACCAAACCCGTGGTATCATGCTGCACAGTCATGGTGAAACAAAGTGGTATCATCGAAACAGAAAAGAAAAGGCCTAGCCACTGAACCGGTGACACGATGGAAGAAATGAATCAAAATGGAAGAGAAGAGAAGATAATAACGAATGGAAACAGAGAATAGAAGGAGAAAGGTCATGAGTGCGTCTATTCTTCAGTCAATGCATCATCACCCGTCTCACGCCATTCTTTGGACCGCTCGGTGAGCCGACGGACGCCGGCCACTCGCTGTGCCCAGTGAGCTTCGGACGGGGAGCGGAAGGTGTATGCTCGCTGCGAGGAAATGACTCCAATGCCCTGCAACACGGCCTTGCGGGAGTCTCGCGAGAATACGGCGGGGTGGTTGATCCATTCCAGGGCAGATGCCAGGTCCGCATCCAGTGCCGTGATGGTTTGGGAGTCGACGGCAGCTCCGGGAGAAATGGTCGGCGTCTCCGAAGGCGCGGAGGAGTGGCTGTCACCGAAGTTCGAGGACTTCGGCGAGCTCGAGGTGGGGGTTTCTCCCCGGCTACCAGCCTCGCTACTGCCAGAGGGTTTCGCAGCACCGGGCGGCAGTGGGGGAAGGCTTCCCTTGCCTAAGCCCTTGAGAATACTGCGGGTCTCCATCAAGAGATGCTGGGCCCGGTCACTTTGTCCGCGTGAGACCAGAGTCAGCGCCCGAGTCAGCATATCCGACGTGAGAAGCTCCATGCGTCGCTGGACGATCGAGGGATGAGGGGGGATGGGAGGCGTCGACGGTCGGCCGGAGCTCTTGGACCGCGGGTTTGGTGGCAGCATAGTAATCGCCAGAAGCGATGGTCGAGGGGAATGGGTCAAATGGCCATCACGCAGGAGGTCGCCGTAGGTCAGATCGGCCTGGATGAGCGGAACTTCCTCCACGCTGAGTACACGTTGCTCATCCCCGTCCGACCCTCCACCAAGAGCTTCCAATCCCGACACCAGACTCTCCCAGGGATCCTGGGGCATGTTTTCCTGCGTGGAATTGTCGGGCTGGATAACAAGCTGGACTAGAACATCGCGCTTATCTCCGAATCGCAGGTCTCCCAGAGCTGCCTCGGCATCGCGCCCGGTGGCCCGTTTTGTGGTATGAAGGGCCCCGCTGATCTTGACAAACTTGGCCGGGGAACCTTCGGGCAGACGAAGCTTCAGCTTGACATTCTGGTGAGCCGTGGTCTGCAGAGACCCCAAGCAGCCGGCAACACATTCCCGAAGCATCATCCAATCCTTCACGTAGAGGTAGGATCCCTTGGTTCGTGTCGACAGCTCGATCATGGTATCCGGCTTGTGCGTCAATCCGAGTCCGAAAGAATGAATGCTAACTCTGCAGAAGATGGTCAGTTATGGAACAGCTTACAGGGAGTTTAAGAAAACGGGAAAACGAACTTGGCAGCTTCAGCCCTGGATACCACGAAATCCACACTTTCCGGGTCCGACGTGGAGGAGTCGCTGATCAGGAGGATGGTAGAAAGGGGGTTGGAGGATTTGCGCTGCATCAACAGATCCATCGCAACATTGGCACCTTCCACCACATCCGCGCGGAGACTCTTCTGTCCGACCGGACGAATGGAGTTCAAAATCTTGTTCCATCCACCCCAGGACTTCGTGGTCATGCCCACCAGAGGGACTCCACCGCCGCTCGAGCCAAAAGTTACCAGTCCCATGCGATCGCGCGGGCCGAGACTCTGCACGAGGAACTTGAGAGCATCGCGCAGGAGGGTGATCTTCAACCCTTGCATAGACGACGATACCGGGATCACCACCACGATGTCAAGCGGAATATGCAAGGGAGCTGATGGCCCCTCTCCACCCGCGTTCGTATAGTCGGTGATGGCGGTATTGTTGGACCGTGCAGCTCCGTACGAGGAGTTTAGCGACGCTTGCCGTTTGATCTGACTCGCCCGGTACTCATCGTCCTCTGCTCCGGAGTTATCGAGATCGTAGTCGGCGTTTCGGGGAGGGTGTTCGATTTGATGAAGGTCAAGGAGTGCACGGCGCCAAAGCTCCAGTTGATTCCGGTTCTGGAATTGGAGGTAGAAGCAGGGCAGTTCGCTGACAGACAAATTCAAGGTGAGAATGGGCTCTTCCGCAGAAGCATCCATGTTCTTGAGATGCTTCTTGATGAGAATAGATCCCTTGAGCGTACACCGGGTGCGCGGCTTGGAGTTCTGTTCGTCATATTGTTGATGACGGCTACTGATCTTCTTTTCCTTGATGCAGATAAGCATCTCCGCAAACAAGTAGCATTCCAATTCCTGCCACGATTCCCGGTCTTTACCGACCCGCATTTGGCCATGCATACGTAGCTTTCCAAACCTAGCCACACGTGTTAGCGAGTTCTCCTTCCATGGACAGAGTGAAATGAGGGGCCTTACCTTTGAAACTCGAGGCCATGCCAGTTATCGACTCGGTTCCGCAACTGCTCGGCAATCTCGTCCAAATTCTCCTGGGGTTCATAGGGGATTGGCTGGGCTTCGGGGGCGGTGGGAAAGCGCATGGCGCCGTAGGGTTCATCCTGGGGTTGCGAAGGGGCGGTCGAGTGGCGCAAATCCTCCGAGTTGGGATGCCAGCCCTCGGGAACTTCGACGGTGATCAAACAGGTCAACGACTGCTGCTGACGAGACCGGTTGAGGGTAGGGAATTCGCTACGGATGGTCACCGTCGGAGCAGGGATCGGGTTTTTCATAGCCCCGGCACGCGGGCTCAAATCCGATTCCATGGCCTGGAGGTCGTAGTCATGTCGTCGCCCGTTCACAGCATTCTGGTGATCGTTGTACTCGCCCGACGATCCCGCGGCGCTTCCGTTCCGCGAATGTTGCTGACGGGAACCGGTGGTGAGGCGCTCGATCCGTTCCCGTTCTCGGTGGCTGCCGTTGTCCCGGCTGTCGCGACGAACGTACATGTCTCGACTATCACGATTAAATGATTGACTTCCGACAAACGACTGGCTCCCGGCGTGACTCCCGGCGTTGCTGGGCTGGCGCATCGGGTGGGGGCTCGGCTCCCACGGCGTGGGGGTAGTGATACCGCTGCGCTGGGTGGCTGCATCACTCGTGACAGAGCGGACAATGTTGCTAAGTTTTTCTGTTGCATAGAGGTTAGTATTTCATATCGGCCGGTTGTCAGGGTTTGGGGAGGGGGTTTATCCAAGGGAACCCTACCGATATCTAGAATGTTTCCGCCGCGGCTCGTGTCGAGCCCTAACGGCGCATCGCATGTCGGACAATATTGACCCTCAAACTCCCGGATAAACTCATAGAAGCAAGCCTCGTGGGACACGTGAGCGCAAGAAAACTGCAGCACGCGCTCTCCACGCAGTGTATGTTCCAACGGCTCCTCACAGACGGCGCATTCGCTGCCGACAAAAGTCCGGTCTCTGCGGGACCGCGAGCGATCCACGTCCATCAAACCCGCCATTGGTCTACCAGACCGTGAATTAAAGGAGGCTCGGGACGAGGTGGAAAGAGAATGCGAAGTAGACTGCCAAGCAGACCCTGGACGGTCGGGATAGGTGGTAGTGGTGACGTTGGACGGAGCACGAGACAGCGAGTTATGGGTGTGGCCAGAAAGGCGGCTCTCCGGACGGTCTGAACGAGAGAATGAACGTAAAGGTCGAAATGGCGAACGAGCGGGGGATTCCGGACGGGCTGAGTCTGCAGGTCGCGACGTAATCGTCCAAGTCAGTGATGGAGGGGACAGACGGCCGGAATACAAAGAGACACCAATGAGAGGGACGGCACGAGGGCGATGGTGTGGTGGTATTGCATAACAAGAGTGCAGGGATGCTCGTGTTTCCTTTCTCTCAGTCCCCGTGGCGCATACAGTAGTCGGGGAATAGGCACCGGAGGAGCAGGGATATAAGGACGAGGGGACGGAATGAAAGACGGGAGAAGTAGGGAAAGGAGGAAAGTCAAAACAAGATCAAAGAACGCACGCAGGCTTGTGATCAGAGAGTAGAAGGACTAGAAGGACTGAAAGAAAAAAGAAAGTTCCGACGAAACAAAGAAAACAATGATAAGAATGGGGGAGGGAAGAAGACGAAGAAACTCAGAAGGGAATAGGCTGCAGAAACGGAGAGAAAAAGGTTGGAGAACCAACTCCAAAAGGGAATGGAATGGATTCCAAATCAAATGGAATCAATCCAAGAAATTGGAATAAAAATTTAAAAAAACAAATTCCAAAATAGAAATGAAAATCCAGCGGCGTTACCAGAGAAGGGGGGCCCTGGGAGGAGGGGGGGGAATAGTGAAAGCAAAAGAAGTAGAAAGCAACGACTAGTTCACGACGCTATACTTACGGAGCGGAGACTTCTTTTTAGAGCGACCAAAGAAACCACGCTCGGACAGAGGCAAACGACCGGAACCTGAATCGATGCTCCCAGACGTGGATTCCGATCTGGAAGACGGGCGATGTTTCCACATGGGCCACGAAATAGGACGTTCCTGGCGGGACAAGGAGTCACAGATATTCGGAAGAGAAAGGGGAAGAAGGAAGGAAAAAAAAATAAAAAAGGATTGGAATATTATTGTTTTAGGGGGGAGGATTTAAAGTGGGGGAGAAGGCGAAGTTTAGTTTTGGGGACTTTTTAGTGCGGGTGGAGATGGGAGGGAAAAAGTCCCGAGAATAAAGGAATTAAACTGACCGGGGGGTGTCAGAGAAATTTGGGAATGAAGGTTTGGGAGAGGGAGGAAGGAAGAAAGAGGAAGGTGAAAGGGTTGTGAAAGAGAAGAGGGAGGTGGAAAGGAAAGGAGAGATGGTGATGGTGGGAATAATTTTACGACGGCGTCATGGCCGGTGTTCAGGAGCCGTTGATAGTCACTGGGGCGGGCGAGCGATCATTGGATCAGGGGATAAGCATCGGCCAGCGGTCCATGGTCCTGCACTCTCGTTCTGAGTATATGTACCTTTTGACAAAGTCGAATGCAGTCGGCTGGCATGCTATTATTACAACGTAGATATACAATATCTGTAGTATGTACATGTACCTATGTATAGCGAGATGGCAGTATGCAATTCGGTAGATGAATCCTCCGCAGAATGCAAATAATGTAAATTCCCGCCGATACAGCATTACCATACGGGCGGGGCGGTATTGGCTGCAGCCATGGTTTGGGCGGCGCAAAGTGGGGGCAGATCCAGGGACTGAAACTTTGAATTTGCAAACCGAAGCCTTCTGATCGGGTGGGATCCGGCAACGAGTGAGTATTTCTCAATCCCCCTTTCCATACCTCCCTAAGTAGTCGGTACATGTAAGTACCTGCCTACTTCGACTTCAGATACTCCGTAACGAGGTACATACTACTCGTATATTAATGATTAAACTTCCTCTAGCTCGACGCAGTGTCTGCAATTATAACGAGACAGATCCAGCTGCTCGGTTTCTACTTGCCCTTACGCCCGGGACTGATCTATCTATTCCATCTATCATCTGGTGCCCCCCCGGAGATTTGACCCCAAAGTGATCCCTTCGTATCCAGTTGTCTTCATCTTGACTTACCTCAGATTCCACGGAATGGAATACAGTACATCGACGGGTAGTCTTATGGCCGGAGCGCCACCGGGCAGAATGGCATCTGCAGGTCATCGTCATGCGCATGGGGCCGCCGAACAAGTCGACAGGGAACAGGGGTTCTGCTTCTGATGTAATCCAGTAAGCCAGCAATCCGGTCACTCTCCTCCAATGCCACCGGGGACAAAGCAAAGACGGTCCAGGGTCGATTCAAATCAAGAATGAATCTCACCGAAAGAAAGACAAAAATAGCATGCACATCCAGTGAACATCCAAATCATCCAACAAAGAACAGAGAGCCAATGAGTATGGGCCAACGGTCCCCCTTCTGCAGAATTCGAGTCATTGACTCATTTCAGCGTCGCGGCGATGACAGCGCAAATGAAGACCGACGGGGACTATTGATGGATAAGCGGCCCTACTTGCAAGCTGGGGACCTCCTTTGCACAATCCAGCAGGGATTGACCGGTTGTCCATGGTAGCCGGTGTCGATCCCCGAGCGTTTTCTGTCATTGGGTTGGCGTGGTCTTCGTTATTGGGTCATGGGCTGATGGGCAGAGACCATCCAAATGCCACCGACTGGGGACTGGAAAGTGGAAAGTGGAAAGCCCCAGAATTGGGACTCGGATAGGACTTCCCGCGAGTATCTGGCAATCTGCCTGTCTGCCTGTCTGTTAAGGCTCCCGCTATGTCCGGAGTACGTAAGCGGGCCAGCATTAGCGCTGCATATCAACGGGCGAGACCTCGGCATCTCCACCGGATGGCTTTTAGGCGGTCGGAAGAACGGAGAGCATTTACTATTTAGCCTCGACTCTACGGGTGCAACTTGCGGGCAGACATCATGGTTCTGGAGATCAATCACGTTTTCAACCGGAGGCGCAATCCCAGCGTTGCTTTGACCACGGTTCCCGTCCTTCCAGAATCAGTGCAGAGCTGGTAAGCCCGATTAATGCGCCTTCAGGAGGATGTGTCCATGGATGCTGAAACGAAGGAAAGTCGTACTTCGTTCGCCCAGCCGGCGACTAGAAACAAGGTACAGCTTTAGGGTTCCCGCCGCAGAGACCCGGTTGGACCAGACAGAGGTTGGTTTCAGGAAACAAGATCCTTCGGGATAACTGCGTCGGTCGCATCCCCAACTCCAGCTTCCCCCTTCCCATGGATTCGAACAGGATGATCGACTCCGGCCGTGGGGATCTTCCCAGTTTCCCGTGTACTCGCATCCGCAGAGTCTAACATGTTACTCTGCATCCGTTATGCTCTGCACCCTGCGGCTTAAGATCTGACCCGTAATTCCTGAGTTTCGGACTGTGCGCTCGGAGGTTCTGCCTTTTGCGTCCTGCATTAATATACCGAAATTATAATAATATCTCTATATTGTATTATATTAGCCTAGTGGTTTTGACATTCTATCTCGGCTATACGGGCCACTACTTGTTACTTTTTAAGTCTGTTAGCCTGCTAGCCTCGAGGTACTTCGTAGTTCAGGCCGTTCATTTGCCGAGTTGGTGGCTAAAGTCCGGTGGAAATTAAAACGCATCCAGCTGTCCAATCTCATACATACAAAACTACCTAGTTACTGCCTGTTCGACACAGTCGACTCGAAGAAATTACCCTTCCGCCCGGCAGACATCCTACTATACCGTTGAAAGAAGCTCTGCGACCGGGAGGCGCACAGCGATGCATCCGAAAGAGCCGTTGTCCGCCCTCGCAAATCCAAATCCGTGGAACAAAGCCGGTGGCGAGTCTGTTGACAAAGAACGATGCGATCACGGGAGATTGGGGAGTGGGAAAAACGGACAAGGAGATGGAGTGCAGGACAACGGCTCGAGACATTTCATTCGCATGGTGCAATTGTCAGTGCCAGTGCAACAGGCGTCACAATTTTGGGTTGAGGGATTACAATTCTTGCTACTTACTAGCTCCCCGGATTCTTTCACCCTGTCGGACTCGGATTCCACTCCACCCTATTCATTCTATAGGTACCGTTCATTAGTGACTAGTATTCACTTCTTAGAGTTTACATCCACTGTAGACTAAGGTACGTTGGATGTACAGCTAACGGTCCTAGAGTTACCTACCTAATTCAAATTGTTACGCCCTATTGTCGTGACTTCCTCGAATTAGCTAGGTACATACCTAAAGTCCTGCCTAGTTCCTGTCGCAACTTGCACCTGGATTCGCTAATTCATGCACGCCGTCCAGACAGGCAAGACCTGTCATCCTGAATGCACGGGACGTCCACTGGCCCCGGCGCTCGCTCGGCTTTTCTCTGTTGGTTGGTTAGGGGCGGGTAAGTTATTGCAAGGTCAGTGATTTTTCAAGTTACTGGTCAACAGGTGAATTTGTCAAAAAGTGCCGAGTCCCCGGAGTCAAAAACACTGCACATACGGAGTATATTTCTCATCTACTACTAGAGGCAGTCGCTCCACCACGGGGTCAATCATTCACCCGGGAAGGTAAAACGACGGGCCTCGATTAAGATTACGACGGGGAGGGCCGCGGCACGTCAGTCTACTATCTTGATCTAGTCCTCCGTTCTTCTGGACTGTCGCTGTCACTGCCAGGCGATTCAAAAATAATAACCCTGAAGGCTAGCAAATTAGTATGCTTGCTAGTATCCCTGACGGATGAAACAATCGTGAGACTCATCGTGGGGAGCCTAAGTCCCAAGTCAATGCGCGCCGGTCGAGCCAACAACGGGATAGGAGGGGCCAGGTCGGCAGGGGTGGTTTGGGAATCGTCAGCCCTCAGCCCTGAGGCCCTTTTGCAATACGACAAATCACTCGGCAGGACTGTCGAAGCGTCTGAGTTTGAGTCTGAGTCCGAATGCTCCTGAGACGGAGACTGAGACTGAGGCGAAAATGTCGCGGGATTTGGTCGAGTCTGGCCCCTTTCCCACCCCGGTCAGGCCACACAAGGGGATCAAATGACTGGATTCGATGCGCAGTCTGGACTCGATTGATTCGCAAATCAATGCTCTCGAGGTAACAATAGCTGACGAAAGGTTTCGGACTCGTCAGATGAAAAGCACCTAAACCGTATGATCGAGTTTTGTGACCTGTCGTAGTGAAGGCCAAGGACAACGGCTTCCCGGTTTTTCATTCAATCGACGATGGAGACGGGGTGCAGCGCCGTCATGCACGGTATTTTTATGAGCCAGTAGTTCGCATCATTGCAGCTTGGGAAACTATGGCCTGTGCTGTTGGCGTTGCGCCCTGGATCAGTAAGTGATCCATATCGGACCGATATATATCTGTAGGGTCGATGCAGGACACGTCGATCATCTGTCAATAACTCGACATCGGGGTTTGATTCGACGTGCTGCTTGGTGTGCAGAGTACGTACGGAGTAAAAGCACTGGGAATATTGTACAATTGGATCTGTATCAGGAGGACAATCGAGCATGATCGCCGAATCTTATCGTGACATCGGACGCTATGTAGTAGTAGTCTGTCTATGCTTCAAAACCTGATATTAGCCCCTCCGGTTCAATAGTCCCTCGATCCCTGAACAGCGAGCACTCGATAGATCGAGACTTGACTGGTGGCAAGGCTGCCCTGGAATGCTCCAGACTCCTTGCAGAAACAATTGATCAGTTGGACGGTGTGGCCTAGAGAAAAAAAAGAAACGAGACGTGAACCCTGCTAGTTGATTGTTGGTAATTAGTTGAGGCAGGTAAGAAAGAAGGCGCATTGCCAGTCTGCCTGTCATCATGATATAGTTTAGTTACCCAACCAGGAACACAAAAACAAACACAGTTCATATGCATGAACATAATACCATTACAGCATACAGACCGGACCGTAATCGAGAATCGCAAAAAATCAACATCCGTCCGTCTCTGCAAAACGCTTCACAAAGTTTATCACCAACCAGTTCCACAGTCCACCCAGACAACCCAATCCAAGTCGGAGGTTTTCACCAATACGAGGCGAATCAGCGCGCCCCGTCGCCCTGGAAAGAAGTTCTGGAAAATTCCTAATTTTGGATCCCCCGGCGGGTAATCTACGGAGGACGGGCTGTCTCTGGCACTCTGCCTTCTCTGGAAGTCAGGGAATGACGAAGGCTGATGTCAATCCCATACGATCATGGTCAGACGAGGATCACGCTGGGCTGACTGACGATGGGGCCGGCCATGCAGTCATGTCGATCAGTTGGAGGGTTTTGCGATGGCCATTGGAGGGGGGCCGATTGGGGGAGGAAGTTTCTGCAAGGGGCCGGTACTGCAGGCTTACTCTTCTTGATCATGTTCACACTGATCATCCTTCGTCATTGACGATTGAGGAATATGCTGTGGCCGTGAAGGAATTATTGGTGGCCGGGCTGACCGATCTGGATAGGTAGGTAGCCACTGCCTGAAGGGATTGTGGCTAGTGATTGATGGATAGACATCCAGACATACACGGAGTACATACATGAATACTCCGTACACACAAGAGAAATAAGTTACTCTGAGTCTGACACTCAGTTTGCAAAATTCGTAATACCGACTGCCTTCGATGCGAGATTTAGCAGAATGGGGCCAATCTAAAACATATTAACTCAGACCCTCATCCAGCCCTCAGCTTATCCACTTGCATGCCACGTTGACCTGGCTTTTCCCTCGGCTGAACGATGGGGAACGCTGCCTTCGACGTCTGCTCTCTAGCATATGTATTAGTCTATTAGACTGGAACTGTGACGATTGGAGTTTTCAGTTTGCTAGCGCCGTGCAACATCACCATGAAGGTTCCTAGGTTGTCCGTCTTTCCGTGTCCTCGGTGCTTTTGTTATCCCCGACGGGTCTGGACTGCGAACCATCTGGCAGGGCGAGAGACGAGACAGTGCGAACTACGAGACACTATTGATTTGTGAACCAGGAATGCGGCGCCCTGAATGGGGAAGACGTTCGCCATCCGGCCAAGAAATCCTGGGTTGCATCCTTCCACGAGGTCGACCGCGGTCGCTCCGTGGGATGACGATGTAACTGTATTATCAATATCCGGAGAGATGAACCAAAGGGGTTTGGCTTTTTTTTGGTTTACGATTTATTTTGGATGGTTTATTTTTGAACATGAAACAGGGCAGGAAGCCCAAATACGTAGTTTTAGTTTCAGCTGCCACGGTTGAAAGGTGTCTTGAATCCTCTCGGGTTGAGAACTGTGTGCAAAGGACAGAAAGGTATCTTATCCACAGTCGATCCGATCTGCGATCTCCCCGGGCCCCCTTGGGACTTTGGGGGTGGAAGTTTTAGAATGATTTTCGCGTGATTTTCGGTCGCTTGTCGCACTGGATTCGGGTCGGTTTTTGGTTGTTCCTGGTTCGACCCACTTGGATGTCCGAGTAGAAACTTGGATGCTAGAACGGCTCTAACTAGAAGGACTAGGATTCTGTAACAGTTGGTGTTTCGATGGCATCATTGCACTCATGCTGAAGCTCGTGTTGGTTTGCAACAGAATTTTAATCAACCATGTTGGCTGACTTCTAAAGCAGGTGTAGCAAAGCCACATGTTGGCAGGGGGGTTCAAAACCTGGCCAATATATACCTTGAATTCCCCTCGTGGCTCGATGGTCTGGGTCTTTTGATTCAGATTGTCAATAAGGGTTTTCGTGCGACCCTGGGACGTCTAGGTGTCCGAGATCTGGGTGCATGCCAACGGTCCCCTACGCTGTCCCCCAACATCGTGTAACATGCCCGGCCTCCGGAGTGTCACCTCGAATCCTCCACCACGGCTCCCCGTGAGGGTTTGCCTGCGAAATGGAGACCGGAGGCACCATGTGAAAACTACGCGTCATACAAACTTTTTCGAGAATTTCTTTGGGGAGGTTAAACGGTGAATCGAGACATCCCGAGACATTGCCCAGGTCTATCTGGCCAACCGGTGACACAGTGCGACGTAAGCGGGAGATCTGGCAGCGACTTAGTTGCTTCATCTGTACGGAGTAGGACGATCGGGAAGCCAGATTCCGTGGTACGGGCAGTGATCGGAGAATTTGGAACATCTTGAGGTGTTTCGAAACTGGTCCTCATGTCAGAGAAATCCCCGCAATGATACTATATATCTATGCCGGAGATCGACAGTTGAGGGCAATGCATCATTGTCGGCACGTCGGCTCGCCATCGATATCTGTTCTAGGCAAGAAATGATGTGTGCTGTCAATTACAGGCAGCAGGACTAGAGTGTCTTTCAATATAGTCTAAACGCCTATCTGCTATTTGATTCTCAAACACTGGACCTTATCGAAAGACAGCACTAAAAGCGTACTAACAAGGCTTTATTGACTCCTTTCCGTCTACCTAGCGTGTCGACCCGGAGACTCATACTACGGAGTATACTAATATTGTCAATATCTCCATTCGCTGTTAGTATCTTTGGGCTGAACTATTCAAGCCAGTCACTGCCAAAGGTTACGAGGTCGAGACAATGTCTAGGCCCACGGCTGGATGTGCGTCTGACGCCGCGTTCGTGTGGTCTGAAAAGGGGACATCGCTCTGTTGATAGCGCATACTGGGTGCTTTGGACAGGCAAAATGGGATCTCCAGACATTTGGGAAGACCGTGGCTCCTGGCAGAGGGTACAATGATAGGCCCTGGCCGGCAGGACGTTGGACTAAGGGGTTTCCGTTCGCTCATGGAGTGTACAGAGTATATGACGCTTAACGAGTCTGTGGTGCTCGATAGAATATCATGAGTTGCAACCCAGCAGAACTCAGAACTGAGTGTACAGAGTAAAGAGAGAATGATGCGAATGTGTCGAGAGTGACGAATTGAGGAATGACCCGATGTTTGCACCATTTGCACCGTCTACACCGGCTCTCCCCGAAGAGGAAGGGCGGCTGAGGTAAGCCCCCTGCCCGAAGTGGCTTAGTCGCAGGGGAAAGTTTGTTCCCAACATCTCCGTCGTTGAAGATAACAGAATCTCCTCGTTTCCCTCCGGCTTCTCTTCATCGTCAATTGGACCTATTCCCCCAAGTCCATCATGTTGTTCCGAGCTGCGTGGACCCGTCAGGCTGCGCCTTTGAGGCGTCAGGCTTTTGCTCCCTTTGCCCGTCGTTCCGTCACCACCGACGCCGCTTCGTCGCATGCTGAAAATATTCCGCAGGTTTGTTGAGAGCTCCCGGGAAACACCGAAAAACTGTTATACCACCGGAAAAGAACATCTAAATGCTGATGCAAATGCGATTTGTCTCTAGGAGGATGACAAGCCTTTCACTGTCCGTCTCTCCGACGAGAGCTTCGAGACCTACGAAATCGACCCTCCCCCGTACACCCTCGAGGTCACCAAGAAGCAGCTGAAGCAGATGTACTATGATATGGTCTCGACGCGGTATGTATACCCATCCGGAATCCCACGCCTTGGCGCTTAGTATCATTTGCCATCTAACTGACCTCTTTTCACATTCCATAGGCGCATGGAGATGGCTGCCGACCGTCTCTACAAGGAGAAGAAGATCAGAGGTTTCTGCCACTTGTCGACCGGCCAGGAGGCTGTCGCCACCGGTATCGAGCATGCCATCACTCGCGACGATAAGATCATCACTGCTTACCGTTGCCACGGTTTCGCCTACATGCGTGGCGCTACCGTTCGCTCCATCATCGGAGAGCTGCTGGGTCGCCGTGAGGGTATCGCCTACGGAAAGGGTGGTTCCATGCACATGTTCGCCCCCAACTTCTACGGCGGTAACGGTATCGTCGGTGCTCAGGTCCCCGTCGGTGCCGGTCTGGCTTTCGCCCAGCAGTACAACGAGGAGCCCACCACCAGCATTGTCCTCTACGGTGACGGTGCTTCCAACCAGGGTCAGGTCTTCGAGGCCTTCAACATGGCCAAGCTCTGGAACCTCCCCGTTCTGTTCGGCTGTGAGAGTAAGTACTCAACTTTCCGACTTCCTTTCAAGACATGGAAGCAAGGGATGATGGACTGACTGGTTTGTTCTTCTAGACAACAAGTACGGTATGGGTACCTCCGCTGCCCGTTCCTCCGCCTTGACCGAGTACTACAAGCGTGGTCAGTACATCCCCGGTATCAAGGTCAACGGTATGGATGTCCTTGCCACCAAGGCCGCCGTTCAGTACGCCAAGGACTACGCCGTCGCCGGCAACGGTCCCCTGGTGTTCGAGTACGTCACCTACCGTTACGGAGGTCACTCCATGTCCGACCCCGGTACCACCTACCGTAGCCGTGAGGAGATCCAGCGCATGCGCAGCACCAACGACCCCATCGCCGGTCTCAAGCAGAAGATCCTCGACTGGGGTGTCACGAGCGAGGAGGACCTCAAGAACCTCGACAAGGCCGCTCGTGCTCACGTCGACGAGGAGGTCGCCATCGCCGAGGCTATGCCCGTCCCCGAGAACAACTCTCGTATCCTGTACGAGGACATCTACGTCCGTGGCAGTGAGCCCCGATGGATGCGTGGCCGTACCGTCGACGAGACCTTTTACTACTAGAGGGTTTCTCTAACGGGTACGATTCAGCTGGAGCAAGAAAATTGTTTTTTTAAAGAAACACGGGGTGTTATTATACAGATCTAGAAAACAACGAAAGGCAACAGCAGAGCAGGCTTGGCGGGCTCCTATGCAGCAATACCATGCATGTTAACTTATTGTAATTTAGCCGGGAATTTTATGGTTTTGCATTTTTCTTCCTTTCTCCCCTCTCTTATAGCATTAGGAATAGATACTATTGGAGATTGTTTGTATACTTGCTTTTCCATCCAGCTATCAGGCAGGATAATCGTAAGTAGTCACATTATGTCTAGTGGCACATGAACATGGCAATGTTATTGGGTATCATATCAGCAAACTATGAGCAATAGAAGCAACGAAAAACAAATGACTTCAAAAGAGAGAAGAAAAAGCTAAACCGGTTCCTGTCTCAACATCTCCAGAATCATGTCCTGCGTCCTCTGCACCGAATCCAATCGGTCCTCGAACGCCGCCCGGTCCTTCTCCAATTCATTCCGGATCTCCTGCCTCATTTCCTGCCGCAACTCCTCTTTAAATTTGCTAATGGCCGCGGCAGAGAGGCCTGTCGGCTCGGAGTCTTCGCCGTCGGAGTCCTGCTGAGAGTCTCGTCGGGGGTTTTGATCTCGTTGATTCGACCCGGCGAGAGATGAGGCCAGCGGCGAGGCATTCTGCTGGTCCGTGTTGACCGTGTCGAGGTGTTTGTTCAGCTTGCCGAGTGTCTCTAACATGGCCGACATCATGTTATTGTCTGGCATGGACGTATTCCCCATGGTTGACGATGGGCCCGCCGCCTTCGTTGCAGGGCTTGTTCCGCCAACTACCGGCGAGTTGAACATGTTATCAAAGCCTGGGGGCAAGCGGACCTGCGGCGACTGCGTAGCCGACGGCGGCAGGAACGAGGAGGACTGGTTCACGAGGGGACTCGACGTCGCTCTCCAGCCCCCGTCAGATGAGTTCGTTGGCCCCTCCTCCCATCCTCCCGACGACTCCCATGAGCGATCCTTCCTCTTCCGAGGCCGTCGCGAATCCCGCTTCTCGATGCGGCGAGCCTCCGCATCCTCCCACCGCTGCCACGTCGGGATCCACGCATCCACGGACGCGCGCCATCGCGGATTCGACATGTCGTCGGCCTCGCTGCCGCCCTTTTCGCGCTGATCCTCCAGGAACTTCATGCGTTGCTTCGTCACAATCTCGACCTTCCGCCGCACGGAGTGCCACGAGTACGGGTGTCCTTGCTCGCTCGTGAACTCCGCCGTCACGGTCCGCCACCAGTTGCAGAGGTTGCTGCGTTGACCAAACTCCTCCGCGTGCCGGTTGCAGATGTCGAACAGCGAGACCTCTTCCTTCGTCGTCAGCCGCTTGCCGTGCTTGCGCGAATTGTCATTCGCTCCGTCTGCGTCTGCGCCTGCACCGTCGCCGCCGGCATTCCCCACCTCGTCCCCCATCGAGTGGTCAATGATGACCGGGTTCATGGCGGACCTCCCATCGGCCCCATGGTGGTTACTCCCGTGTCCGTCGTCTGCTCGTCCACGCCCTCCTGCCCGACGAGACGGCGTGTTCTCGCCTGGCGATGGCATGTATTCCACTTCCTCGGACCCATCGGGCCCGCTGCCTCCGCGCCCTTCTCGATGTCCTCCATCCGACTGCTCGCTGTCCGAGCTCTCCATCGACTCAGCCTGTTGCGGATGCTGTGGGTGTTGTTGATGCTGACGATGCTGCGGTTGCGTCTGTTGACCCCGTCGCCCTTCCACCACCACCGAACCCCCGGTATGGCGGCCCTGCGAATGTGGCGGCGGCTGCGAGTGCGAGTGCGAGTGCGAGTGCTGATGCGAATGAGAGTGCGGGTGCGTGTGCGCATGTGTATTGGCGTGGGCATGAGCATGCGGATGGATTTGCGCCTGCGGATGATGAACGGGACTTTGCTGCGGCAGATGCTGCTGCGGCGTAGTGTTAGGGGTCCCCATTCGCAAACCGGACGAGAGGGTCGGTAACGTCGTGTGTCCCGCATGTCCCGCATGGCTGCCTTGCCCAAGACCCGTATGCGGCGCCGTCGCCGCAGACGAGCGTGAGAGCATAGACGGCAACCAGCGGAGGTGAGGCATTTGGAATGACGACGAGGATGCTGACCCTGGGGACTCGATTCGTGGGTTTCCTCCCGTCCCTCCTGGTCCCCCTGGGCCTGGGCCTGCACCTGGACCTGCTGTTCCTGCGGCCGGTGCGGATGCTCCTGCGCCGCCTCCTAATCCGACTCCTGTTGTCGGGCCTGGCGGACCGGTCGTCCCTGCGCCTCCTGCGGGCCCGGTTGCTGAGGCGCTGGCGGCATGGTTGGAATGACCGGGCCAGGAATACATGGATTTGATCGTTGTGTTCGTTTGTTGTTGATCCGAGGATAAACGACGACGAGGTCGTCGATGGACCGAGAACGAGCCGAGTAACGGAGGGACGGTGGGAATCAGGATAGGTGTATTGATAGAGCGTCGCGAAAAGTGGAGGACTCGGTGAGTAAGTGATATAAAATCGTCTTGGGGTCAGGTGTCGCGATGATGTCTGGATGATGATGATGGAGGATGAATCGCAAAGCGAGGAATGAAAAATCCCGCGCTGATTTGCAATTTTCGGGTTGCACGCGGGTCAAGGCGGTCGCGGACTGGGTATTTTTCACCCGGTGGGTGTATCGCCATTTCCGATCTTCGTTTTTTTAGACTCGCTTTGTTGTATACATTCCTTGTATATCTTATAATTTATATTTCATATAGTTAAGATTGGAGGAGAGAGATGTACATTTACATTCCAGTTCATTCCATAGAGCTTTCTTGATTATACAGATCCGTCCTTCCAAATCATCCTTCACCGTCGTCACATTCCATCGCCGTCCACTCTTTTTTCTTCCCTCTAGAGAAAAACATTCCATAAAATGTATGTGATAGAAGGAGTCAGGTAGATAGGGGGGTAAAGAGATAGAAAACAAAAAGAGGAGTACATAGTAAATACATTGCTAAGCACCAAACAGATGCAAGAATCAAACAGAAAAGAAAACTAAAAAACAGCCCAGAGACCCAGTAATACAATGACTGTGGAGCATTACCCAGTCAATAAGAAATAGAGACAAAAGATGAGGAGAAATATCAAGCGTTGCAACCTAAGGCTAGGTTCCTGCGCCGTTTACCGTCGTCGCAAGTACCAGGTAAAGGCCAAGGTGCTAACGGACTCGCCGAACGGCGAAGGCACTTCCGAGAAGCCAGGTCGGGCCACGGGGTGTCGGAGGTAGACGGCGGCGCAGATGTTGTGGTTGACTTCCAGGTAGCGGGGGATGTAGGCGAAGGCGCTCATGTACTCGCGAGGGCGCCAGGGAGTGGCGTAGGGCTTGCTGCTGTCGATGGGGTTGTCGCGCATTTGCACGAGAGCCCGCTTGAGCACGTTGAATTCTTCCTCGCTGAGCTCCGACGTATCGACCTCGCCCTCAGGGTTCTCGGCGGCCTGGCGGAAGGCCTCGGTCAGGGCCTCGCCGGGCTTGGCCTCGCTGGCCGTGGCTTCGTCGGAGGCAGCCTCGGAGGCAGCCGCAGTCTTGTCGCTCGACTGCTCCTGCTTGGGTGCCTTGGAGTCCTTGGAGTCCTTGGCCTCAGCCTTCTTGGCCTTCAAGAGCAGGGTCAGCTGGGAGAACTGCGCCTCCAGGTTGTCCGCCAGGATGGTGCTGGAGTCGGAGCGAGAGAGGACTCGCTTGACGGCCTTCTGGAATCCACGCAGTTCCTGCTTGCGCTTGGCGGGGAGCACCTCCTTGTTGCTGCCCATGATGACCTTGGCCTGAGCCAGCAGAGCCTTCAGCGTTTCGCGCGGGTCTTCCTCTTCAGCTTTCTTGTTCTCGACTTCCGTCTCCGCCTCCTTGTTCTCGGTGGATTCCTCGGCGGCGCCCTCCTCGCCCTCCGCCGGCTTCTCCGCGGCCTTTTTGCGGGCGACACGGCTCTCTCGACGCTCGTTCTTGTCCTTGGGCGCACCGGTGGCGTACATGACACGTTCGGGATCGACCTGGAAAAGGTCACCGGGGTTGAGGAGGTAACTAGGGTATCTCATCTAGATAGTGGCGGTTGCCATCGGTTAGCATTGTCTGATACTATTGTCTCATCCGTTCCTCTTGAACCTCAATCTTGCAACGTACCTTCTGTCCGTTGACAGTGACCGCACCGTGGACCACAAACTGCCGAGCCTGTCGGGTACTGCTAGCAAACATAGCCCGGTGGATGGCCACGTCCAACCGACGCTCCAACGGCGCAAAGGTCATCTGCGAGAAAGGAATTGGCCGAGGCTTGAAGGACTTCTCGTTTGAGAGACCTGATCCACGACCAGCCGACATGGCAGAACCGTCATCGGCGGCCAGTTTGTAGGGGTCCATAGGCACGACGCTGCGAATCCGGGGGTTGAACATGCGCTGCCAGTGCTTCTCGGGCAGTTGTTCGCCGTGGTATGCTCGGGCCAGGGATTTGGCGGTCCATTTCTGCTGGAAGAACGACCGGTAGAAGGTGTTGGGTGTTTGCATCCGATTGAGGTTAAACAGGTTGTATTTGCTCCATGATTGCCGGACTTTCTGGAAATAGGTTATGGCCATGTTAGCATTCGGGGAGAGCGAAGTCGCGGTCGACCAGGAGCTGTCAACTCGGTGAACTGGAGGGGCATCATACCGGCTTTTGCACCGGCTTCAACGGTGTAGTGGCCCTGTTTCTCATGATGGGCGAATGGATGGAGGAAAAGGGAGGGGGGCTGCAACGAAGTTCTTCTCCTGCTCCGGTTCGTCCGCCGTGCAATTCATTCTGCGGCCGCCAAAACTTCGCAGGGGTCACGTGGTAGAGTACACGTGACGGCAGCTTGGTCCAGAAGTCTCTGCCTGGGTTTTCAGGCACTGAGGAAGGGGCCACCAATCTGCCGAACGTGATTGGTTGAGAATGGCTCGCTTACTCTAGCGCCCCTTCCCCCGCCCCACCCGTGACTATTTAACCCCGCCGGAGCCCCCGATCTTTTGGACTTTTTCTTCTTTCTTTTCTTCATACTTACCTTGTTTGGGTGGCTGCGATCAAGAAGGCGGTCCACCACGGATTGGTCCCTGCATTGCACAGCGCGGCGGAACAGTCCGTTCAACGGCCTTCGGGTCATTGACAGGCGTATTCTTTGGCACTTTCCACTTGATGGATCTTTTCTTTTCATCATTTCTTCGCTATACGCGGGGGTATGGAGAAGAGTATATTAAACAGTAGTTGCATAAACAAAGTGTACGTGTCCAAATCATCGTGCAAGTTTGTACGTTGTGTATTATGATCGTCTCCGTAGTTCGTCACTATCGTACATCGTTCATGTCCTAATTACCCTTCCTTACCCAACCCACTCAATTGCTTATCATTCCTCCCGCTTCGCAGTCGAAAACACTTCCTGTAAGGCTTCAGCTTCCTGCGGATTGACTGCGTCGTCCAGGATCTCGTGAGCCATCTCGACCGTCTCGTCGTCGATCCTCGCCTCTAACATGATCCCTTCACTAAAAGCGAGGCGCGTCATGACAACGAGAAACTTCTGTTTCCCGCCTGCCACCCTGTCCAGCTTATTCTGTAGATCGACCTCAGGATGGCGCTTCATCACCCCGTAGACTAGCGCCATCAATCCGTTCACCAAGGTCGCGTGCTGCTCCGCCTCCGGGGGTGAGGAGTACAAGGCATCTAGCTCGTCATGCATTGCTCGAATCAACCGTGCCAGAGCAGTCGGATGAGACGCCAGCACCGAGCTGCCATGGGTGCTCTGAGGAGCTGAGATGTTGAATGCAATGCACGTCAGCAGGGACAGCGCCTCTAGGCGCATCCCGCAGATGTCGATCGGCGTATAAGGGGGCAGACCTTCGTCGACATGCGGCTTTTCGCTCAAGAGGTTTGCCACGCGGTCCACAATGTAGTTTTCATTAGCAATCTGATCCTGCTCGGTGTCCTGGATCGAGCCGAACGACTGCGCGCGCACGCTGGTAGTGAGAAGGTTCAAGGTCAAGGTGATGTCGACGATAAGCTGCGAGCAATTCAGCATCATCAGCACGAAGTCATAGCGCATGTACCGCCAAAACCTCTCGAGTTCCCGGTCGACGTGCAAAGACCGACTGGCAATCTGATACAGCAGCGCCAGTGCCTCGGTCGAGTCTACCAGAGGTTCTAGCTCCGATTGAGGCGTTTGCCGCACTTGTCCGAAGTTCTGTCGCGACACGGGCGAGTGCTTGAATCGAGGGATCGCATTGACATCCCCAGCTTCTTGCAACACGGGAACAAGATGTTCCACGAGCTGAGACCCGATTGACGGCGCCTCCAGGGCGAAGATATACTGCACGATAGCCAGGAACATAGGGACAGGTGGAAAGAATTTCTCTTTCAGTGCCCGGGACCACAGGGAGATAATCGCTCGCGCATACTCGACTACATTGTTCCCCATGCGAAGAGCTTCCGTTTCCTGCAGTAGGATGGTGGCCAGCGTCCGTTGCGGCTCTGATGGGAACTTCAACCGCGACATGACTTCAATGTCAGGCTCCTCATTAGGATACGTTCGGTGATTCAAGACGCGCTTCATTGACTGCGACTGTCTCTCCTCATTCTGGATCGCCGGGGCCGCCGCCTGCAACGTATCGCCCGTCGTCGCATCGTCAGAGAAGTCCCCGGGGTCGGGGTCAATAGCCATAGGCTCCACCCGCGGACTCAATTGAAGCGGGATTGGGCTGTCCTGACTCTCTCTTCTCTTCCTTTTCCCCGGGACTACCGGCGTCACGCGCTTCGATCGCGCTGACTTGCTCGGCGACACGGCGAGAATCTCTTCGTCATCGAACCCGTCGCGAAAAGGAAGGACTTTGGTCTTCTTGGGCGTCACGGGCGGTACTTTCTCATTTGCTCGGCCCTTCGCCTTCATGTTGCTTATCCGTAGAGACTCCTCGGCCAAGTCTTGTTTGAGAAATGCGTTCTCCGTAGCCAACATCTTTCCTTCCGCGCGTGCGGCTTCTACCTCCTGCTTGTGTCTGGCCGCCTCCTCAGCTATAGCCTTTCGCAAAGATGCCAATTGCCGCTCATAGTTTTCGGTAAGTTTGGCCTGATTCGCCCGTATAATTGAAATCTCCCCCGTTTTGGTTTCCGCCATGGATTTGGCGGCGTTGAGCTCTTCCATAATTTGATTGTACCGTTCATTTTCGCGCTCCAACTGTTCCTCCGCAGAAGAGGAGTTAGCCCTGTAGTTATCAAGCGAGGACCTTTTAGGACTCACCTGTTCAGCGGCAATATGGAAATTTTCTTGGGGGACATTGATATGTGGCTGACCCGCCTCAACCTCCATGAGGTCGGGCAGGGTATCATCGAACTCGTGACTGTCGTCCGCTGGCGCCAGGACATTTTGCGGGCGATTGGGCTGCGCTTCGTAAACGACAGAGTGGTCGAATGCGATAGTCGTGTCGTTGCCATCGTCCAATACCTCTGCATCCATTTCCCCCACATCCAAATCGCCGTAATCGTTGGTCAATCCAGTGTGTAAGCGCGGCGGGGGTTGTAGCGTTGCATGGGCAGGCGCTGGCTGTCTGGTTTGAGCGGCGGGCGCTTTTTGAGGGATTCGGTTCTGAAAATCCCCAGTAGGTCTGTGTAATTCGATTGCAGGCTGTGAGGGAGCTAGCTTCTGAGCTTGGGTCGCCTGGAACGCGCTCTGCTCCAATTGGAACAATGTACCGGGGGGCAGGTCGTCGAAGCCATCGTCGGAAAAGAAGTCATCATCGTTGTCTTCCATGCCCCTGAATGCACGATCGCCATGAAGGAGAGAGGGCGGAGGCAAAAGAAAGAAATTCTGGTTGCTGGGGTGGAGCGAGGGACAGGAAAGCGCGGAGAAAACTGACGTCGAGTCACCTGCGCCGCACGGGATTCAGCCTCTCGCCGTCTCGCTCGCTCTCCTCTTCTTCTCTCCTCCTCCTTCCTCTCGCTCTTTCGACCCCCTCCTCCATCTCATTCCAACACGTCCAATGTGATATCGACAGGAAATTGATTCATCTCGACCTGCTTCTACCCCGTACCTTCGCCTGGTTTTGCGTGCCGGCCTTTTTCACCCCCTTTCTCGTCCGACCGTAACCGGTCGCCATTTCACATGAAATTTTAGTAAACGGCGATCACTACTCCCACTCGATCCTCTCCTCTTCTCTTTTCCCTCTCCTCTTTCTCCCCCCTGGTCGTATCCTTTTGGCTGGGCCCTTCCCGAACCCCAGTTTTTTTTCCTAATAATTTTTTGACGCCTTCCCCTCCTTCCCCGCGTCTGCAACGCATCTCGCGGTCCTCTCCCTCTCTCACGCCCTCGGCCTATTGAAACCACCATGTCCAAATCTCGCCGGAACGTTAGGTTTCAACATCGGGCGTCCAACGAATCCGATACTCGACGTTTAAGTATCTCGGATGCTAGCGATGTTGCCTCCGAACCCGGTAGCCCGTCCAAGAACGGCGGCGTGTCTAAACAGGCGACGATTCCCGAAGAGGTGAGCAGCCTGATTGTTCGGCTTGGGGAAATTGTTGGGAAAGGCTGACTGACAGCTTGAGCAGAAGTCCGAGAAGCCGCAGCTGTCCGACTACGAGAAAAAGAAGCAGACCTTCATCACCCGCACAATATGGACCTTCGTGATGATTGCCGGTTTCTTCATTTCCATGTTTTCCGGTCACATCTACATCATTGGTCTCATATCCGCCGTGCAAATCGTCTCGTTCAAGGAGGTGATTGCCATTGCTAATGTTCCGAGTCGGGAGAAGAACCTTCGATTCACCAAGTCGCTCAACTGGTATTTCCTGGCCACGACGATGTATTTCCTTTACGGAGAAAGTGTCATCTACTACTTCAAGCATATTCTCCTGGTTGACAAGGTGTTGCTGCCCCTGGCGACTCACCACCGATTCATCAGCTTCACGCTCTACGTCATGGGTGAGTCTACCATCAAGACAGCTGTGCTCGCAAGCGGTGCTTTTCTAACACCTTAATTTTATTAGGATTCGTCTTCTTCGTTGCTTCTTTGCAAAAGGGCCACTACCGGTTCCAGTTCACTCAATTCGCCTGGACCCATATGGCTTTGTACCTCATCGTTGTGCAAGCACACTTTGTCATGAACAACGTCCTGGAGGGTATGATCTGGTTCTTCCTGCCGGCCTCCCTCGTCATCACGAATGATATTTTCGCCTACGTCTGTGGAATTACTTTCGGTCGGACCCAGCTTATCCAGTTGTCGCCCAAGAAGACGGTCGAGGGATTCCTTGGTGCCTGGATCTGCACCATCATCTTCGGCTATTTCATGACCAATGTCCTGATGCGCTACAAGTACTTCATTTGCCCGGTGAACGACCTCGGATCGAACGTTCTGACCGGACTGGAATGCACTCTCAACCCGGCCTTCGTGCCCCAGCCGTACTCGTTCCCCTTCCCCGAATTTACCGGCCTGGACAAGACCTTCTACGTTGAGCCCATGCAATTCCACATCCTGGTTTTCGCAAGTTTCGCCTCCCTCATTGCGCCTTTCGGCGGTTTCTTCGCCTCCGGGCTCAAGCGGACGTTCAAGATCAAGGACTTTGGCGAGTCGATTCCCGGCCACGGCGGTATCACTGATCGCATGGACTGCCAGTTCATTATGGGATTCTTTGCGTACATGTACTACCACAGCTTCATTGCCGTGTACAAGGCCAGCGTCGGAGACATTATCGAGACCGCTATCAATGGATTGACCGTTGAGGAACAACTCGAGGTGGTCCGTGGCCTCGGCAAGTACCTGTACAACCAAGGAACAGTCTCCGAGACGGTGAGTATACGTATGCACTCTTTGTATGTTTGCGCAGTCACTGATGGTGTTTAGATCCTGGATTGCTTGACTACCGAGCTCAAACGACGATAAATAATTCCCGATAATGACCCGCCCCTCTCCATTCTACTCAGATGATGAACTCCAACATTCCCTCCTTGGAAACAAAACTTGCAATAGCCACTTCCTTTTAATTGACCGTTTTCTCGCCGAACAAGAATTCAGGAGTTCCTTTGTTCCAGAACTCCGAAACGACACCTTTTCTCCTTTCCTATTTGCTCCCCTTTTTTGTTTTCGCTCCCAAAAGTATCCTGTACAAGGTCATGCTGGGATAAACGTGCGCCACGCAACCAGCTCATTCAGGGTATACCTTTCTATAACTCGTCATTGCATTGGGTCATTGGTATAAACAATACCAAGGAAGGACGATGGATGAATGGACATCGGGCCAGGGTCCCCAGTCCAGACTTGAAGACTTCGGTCTAGGTCAAAAAAGTGAAATGGGTTCGGTTGTTCTTCCTTACCTAGCTTTTGCTTTCTATGTCTAGCTAGCTTGTTTCGATTTGAGATGGAATGGAGGGCCTTACGTCCAGGACGATAGTGTAAAATCAACCATATATAACCAACAAGCGTTTGAAGGCCACTTTTCGCGGCCTGCTTATATTATCAATCAAATGCTCATGCTATGAAGTAAAATTGTCTACTGTCTGGGCATTCTAGAGACCCTCAACAAAAGGCTGGCTGGTCTCGATGATAGCGGCTTCTAGAATTGCCACAATCTTTTCCAGCTCCCAATCCTCGACCGTATAGGGCGGACAGACTAAGATATGATCCACCTGATATTGACCAGTATGGCCCAGATTCCCAAGGATATTTAACCCCATCTTCATGCTGTTCTTTACAACTTGCGAACAAAAGTTCGCTTCGATGGGAAACGGCGTCTTGAGGTCTTTGTTCAGAACGAACTCCACCGCCCAGAATAACCCTCGGCCTCGGATGTCTCCTACTAACGGAAGGGGGCTGATCTCTGTGCGCAACAGGGTTTCGAGTCTCTGGCCCTTGAGATTCACTCTGTCGATGAGGTTGTCGCGGGCAATTATCTTCTGGGCTGCAACGGCGGCTGCACAGGCAAGGGGATGAGCCTATATATTTCAGATCGCATGAGTAAATATTCAGTTAAGGGTCAAAGGACTTGGTTTTGAATTGACAAGATGGAAAAGTCGTACTTGAAAGGTGTGGCCATGTGCTAACCCTTCTGATCCAGCCGACAGAGCATCGAAGATCTTCTCGTGGAGCAATACGCCGGATAAAGGGACAAAGCCTGCTCCGAGAGCCTTGCCGATGGTCTGGATGTCGGGGCCGCGGATACCTTCCTGCTCCCAGGCATGCATGGTGCCGGTTTTACCCATTCCGCAAATGATCTAGAACTCGGTGTTTCAGCAATCTCATAGTATCTCCGTATATAGTATTGGACATGCGGATAGATGGACGTGAAGAGCTGGGAGTCTTACCTCATCCAGAATCAGCAGTATCTCGTACCGATCACAGATCTCTTGAATTGCTCTGAAATACCCAGGGACAGCCGGCACACAGCCCAGCGTAGTACCACTGACCGTCTCCGCAATGAAGCCCGCAACCCGATCAGGTCCAGCGCGAAGAATCTCGTCTTCAAATTGCCGAGCCAGACGATCCACAAACGACTCATCAGACTCGTGATCATGCTTCATGCGATAGACATAGCACGGGTCCACGAACGAGACATTCGACGACATGAAATCCTGATAGAACGCCCGTCGAGACTCATGGCCAGACACGCATAGCGCCCCGATGGTGTTACCATGATAGCTTTGTTTCCGGGCGATGAAGTGCGTCCGCTGGGGCTGTCCTCTCTCGTGCCAGTACTGCACGGCGAGCTTGAGTGCTGCGTCGGTGGCTTCGCTGCCTGAGTTGACGAAGATTGCTTTCGAGAGACCTCCTGGTTTGTGAGCTAGAAGCATAGCCGCTAACTCTTCTGTGGCGGCATTCGTATATGGAGAACCTGAGTAGACATATGCGATGTCGTTTTGCAGGTGAGAGGTAATTGCCTCTGTGATCTCTGGCTGCGTGTGGCCCAGGCATGACACGGAGGGGCCACAGCTTGCATCGATCACCCTGGAGCCATCCTCGAGGATCAGGTTGATGCCGTCCCCAGCGACGATCTTGGCTGGGCTGTCGGAGAAGGATCGGTGGAGGATGTGAGAGCGAGAAACGAAGTCGTCGACGGTCATGCTGACGGAGATGGGAGGAATTGAAGGAATGGTTCTACGGAACTTGGATACCTTGCCATAGTATTGCTATGGTGTGGAATGGCTTTATATTACCAGAAGGCAAATGCAGAAGCATAAAATGCCGCCGTTGACGCCGGAGTGGAGAAGGCTGTGGGGAGCGTGCGATTTCTCCCCACTTGATCTTACTTTTATCAAATACCTCATTAGACGACATCATTGAAGGGAAAGAAGAAGAGGCGGAAGGGTTCCACCCTCAACATGGGCCCAGATATGAGACAATATTGGAGTGGATTGGGTTCGCCGCCATTGACGCCCGAGAATGAATAGAATGAACCTCCCATCGTGGAAATTGGCATATAAAAGGTACCCAAGCAACGCGACTTCTCTGATGCCATCTGAAGCCACCTGAGGCCCATATCAACACTTTCCCATTGAATTGACCACTCACTCTAAGAAGCTCTCCTCTTTCCACGGTATGATACCTAGCCTTGAACTGGACATTCCGCCACTACTTAGATAGCTGACTCGACGACTAGGAACCAAACCATCTCTACACTATGGCCAACGGCACCACAGATAATAAGGGCGACTACTCCGTCCAGCCATACCGCGGCCCCAAACTCCCCAACGTCCCAGAGGATCTCGTCGTCACCGACGTGATGAACCTCGAGTGCGACGAGCGTCTATGGGTCCCCCAGGCCAAAGACGTCTGGTTCCGACCATTATGCTTCAACGTGTCCCACGGCTACTTTGTCAACATTCTCCGAGTCCGGAAGAGCGGCATTCTTTCGCGACATCGTCATACAGGCCCTGTCCACGCCACGGTCCTGCGCGGCCGCTGGCACTACCTTGAGCATCCCTGGTGGGCTGAGGAAGGTGGATACGCGTTCGAGCCTCCCGGTGATATTCATACCTTGGAGGTTCCGGATGGGGTGACGGAAATGTATACTTTGTTTCATGTTACGGGCGCGTATATCTATGTGGATGTGGATGGGGTGCCGATGGGGGTGGAGGATGTTTTTCGCAAGTTGGAGGCAGCGAGGAAGCATTATGAACAGGTTGGGTTGGGAGCGGACTTTGCAGATCAGTTTGTTAGGTGAATTTTGTATGAAGTAAGACTATATCTCCAATGATGTGAATGGAGCACCTATCGCTGCCCTTGGCCAACCTGAACCAACACCATACTCCTCTATGACCATGTAATCCAACGCAACTCACGATAACGAAAGATTAATCCCCTCCCGCCGAATGATGTCCAACCAATCGACTCTCACCGAAGTTGTTGATTTCCTCGCCATCCTGAGCCGCCATAACTTCTCTAGCACTGATAGCGCCACCTCAACGTTCCTGAAGCTCCGGGAATCGATCATATCGAGCATTCTAGTTCGAATCGTCTTGATATGACTTTCTTCTGTAGCTTCCCCGCCCGCGAGGAACAACGGGAAGAGCAGTGTACACTCTGCAAGGCTCCGAATGGGCATCCGCTCGATACTGTCCACGGTTGAGGCCACCTGGGCAGCAGCTTTTGATGACAACTCGTCTTCGTTACCTAGATTCCCACGTCGCATGACGCGGTATAGAAATATCAGAGCAGAAGAGCGATATGATTCCGCTAACAACCTCAACGCCATGTCTTCGGACGGAGGGCAAGTCCACTGCTTCAATCGCATTTCCAATGCCACCAATTTCACTGCAATATCCGATAGCGAGAGTAGGCTATCGCCGTTGTTACTTTCAATGATCGAGTCAGTTTCCAGTCCGGGCTGGATCATGTTGATCATAGTCTTTAACTTATCATTCAACACGGCCGTATGGGAGACGATTTCCAATATCTCCGAGGCCAGACCAAAATATACATCCGGTCGGAGAGGGTCGTCAAGAGTTAAGAAATGATGCGAGCTCAGAAGTGGCGCCTGGTCCCTCGCAACGGCCATCACAACATCCCGGTATGCAAAATTGCGCAAAAGCCACCGTGCCGCATGGTCATCCTCGAATGACTGTAGAACCCTGCTTGGGTACTCATCGTCACCAATGGACATGATATCTATACTGTATGAGATGACCCCCGATGCGCCCACGAGATGTAAATACCATGCGTCACCGTTGTCTGCCATGATGCTCTCTAGCGAGCACAGGATCAACGACATGGCCAGGTTTGTCTCCACATTGGCTGGATTGGTTTCGAGTGCGTTCCGCAGATCGCTGAGAGCCGCACATCGATTCTGCATGGCTACATGCTCGAAAGATTTGTCCAGTAAGGAAAGATGCGCGGATGACCAAGCAATCAACATGTTTAGCACCGGTGGGCTATGCATGGCCATTGGGAGCAAGACTAGTCTATGATCAGAAACTGCAGGATATGTAGGGTTGCATGTGGGAGTGTCTCACCTGATAGGAACGAATTGTTCTCCATATTCGTAGTCATGAGATGGGTAAAGGTTTGGGTGTAATATCGGAGGAAGTGCCGACGACTCATAGGAGAAGTGCCATCGGAATGTTCATTGACCCAGAAGACAACTGGGTCGGGTGCACTCGACAATCTTAGAGGTCCACCGAGGCACAGAGAGTCCATGCCGGAGTCATCATGGACAAGGGGTCTCGGGGCCTCCCATTTGCACATATAATTCAAGCGCACGCATTCCTTGCAGACTGGGTATCCCAGATCACAGCGTTTCTTCCTGGAAGTTATGAGCGGCGTTTGTACTTGAGCAGGGGCGTGGTGGGCTTGGGTTGCCCTTTTCTACCTACCGTCGACGACAGGTCAGACACCCCGTTCGCTCGCGAGTGGTCCCTCGCTTCTTGACGATTCGTCGGGGCAGACACTGCTGCATGGACGAGAGTTCTGCGGGCGGCATCTCGGAGCTGGCGGCTGAGGAGGAGATCATCTAGAGTTGACAGACCAAAGGGCAGGCTGGCGCTAATGGCGGGCAATTACGGAGTAACGGATTGTAGTATCTAGCATTCTATTTCTGGGTAGGTAGATGTGCGCTACCTTAAATGGGCAGCCCGGTACCCACAACAAAAAAGAAGATTAGTAACATACGTTCAAGTCCTCTTATTGTAAGTAGTATGGTAGATAGTAGATACTTTCAAAGACTAATATGGAGTTTTGTACAGATGCTAGGATACATTATGGTGTCTGCTTAATACATAATCCTTTCATATTATTACCATGATATTCTGAGATTCTTTGTTCAAGCGAGAATAGGTTCCGGTCGAAATCAACCTCCACCTGCTTCCCTTTCTATTAAAAGTTTAGCTATGTTAAACTATATATATCACGTCACTCGGCCGCCTCACTGGGGATCAATATCTGTTATCCCAGAGAAGCTTGCGCGCCATATAGTCATTAGGTCCTCTCTTGAAGGGAGGTGCTCCTCCCGTCTTCTCGTTTCTTGTCTTTGATGGATGGTGCTCTTCCTTCTGGGAGGGAATCAGAAGTAGAGCGTAGATAGAAGGGCGGACTAAGATGTGATGTATCTGTTCAAGAATCTGAACAGTGCATACACCGGTAGTTGGGGGTCGAGTTCCGAGTATGGACATGGTGTGAGAAGAAACGCGACATGCAGGTGCGAGACGGCTAGCCGGCTTCGGGCGCAGTGCGCGTACAAATGAGTAGCAGTAGACCAACTCAAATGCTATCTAGTCCGATTCCCTTCGAGATTGTCACGCGAGACAAGCCACGATGAGAGGAAGCGGTGGATATGATCGTATTCGACGTGCGTTTTATAGATTGCAAACAGATCGAGTTCATTCATTCTTCAACTTCGTACTCCTCCATCTCGACCTTGAAGAACTGCGCCACGTGCGATTTCTCGTTATTCGCGCACTCGGGGTCGATCATGAACCGCACCGCACCGTCGCGGCCTCTCTCGCCTGCCTTGGGTCGTTCTCCGTTGGCGGCGACAGGGATGAGTGGATGGATCCGCGAGTCGCCGTTCTCGGTGGCACCGGGGGGCTTGTTGCTGTTGCTGCCGGTGATCTTAAAGCCGTTCGGGGCCTTGGGGGCACGGTCGTTGGTCCAGTTGGTGAATCGAGGGAGGCCTTGGGCTTCTGCTTCTTGGTTGAGGGGAATCCTGACCTTCAGGAACGTGTCCGAGGGGAATTGGGGCCCAACGCATGTGGAGCCCCGGTTATGCGTGTATAGTTCGAGAAGGTCAAAAAGAGTTTCTACCAGGGTCAGCACGTGTGTCCGAGTGAACGACTTGGGGGTCGACAAAAAAGGAGGCAAGGGAAAACATACCCATTACTTCTTCCCGACTCGTTCTCCAGGCCTTATAATCCAGTCCTCGTTCAACAGCCTCAATGCGCTGGTCCAATAGACGACCGGCGAGTTCCAAAGATGCAAACGCCATGGTGGAGGTAGTCTGCTTGATCGGCGCGAACGTGCGGTAAAGATCCTGGGCAATGCGATAGGCGACCTTGGAAACCTCCGAATGTTGGCCCAGCCCGTACTTGCGGGCCAGTTTGATCAGGGTCTTTTGCGGGTGGCGTGTGCGAAAGTCAAAGCCCGACGCCTCGAGCATGAGTCTCTCCAGCCCGATAATGCCGCGCGCATGGGCCTCAAAGACCGGGTTGTCGGATGAGACGTGCTCCGACGGCGCGAGTTTTAAATTGTACGCGGCGCACACGATCTCGCGCGACTTCTTGAGCGTGTCCTCGATCTTGCAGGCCGTGAACAACGCGGCGGCTGCGGCATCCTGGAGTGATCGGTCAGGACCTCAACTTTTGTTGTTACGAGACAAAATGACAAGAAAGAAGGGTCATAGCTACCATGTGGTTGTACTCGATGTCTGGATGAACAAGTCGGAATCGATGATAATACACGACGGCCGTGTTGAAGGTCCGTATGGGTCTGGTCTTGGTTAGTTATCAAGCACCGATAATGACATGGACTGATTTTTCCCTTTCAAGGGACGGCACATGAAACAAAGGCTCAGGAATAAAAGCACATACAGACAGAGCACACGGCGGACATTGTCGATCCACGTCACGCCCTGCAGGCGCAGCGATTCTTCGCGCAGGGTGTTGACTCCCATCGTCGCGATACATCTCTGGATGGTCTGTTCGAAGATGTACGGTTTGGCGACCTGGATGAAAGACGGATGGATGGGAGGCGGGTCGGGCAGGGCGACCTCAGACCCCGACTGGCTGGCAACATCCTTTCTGTCCGAAGACATTTTGCTGGTCTGAGGCAAGCAGACTGATCGATGGACTGGACTTTTCGACGAGCCAACTTCATTCATCGTCGATTCGCGCGGCCACTTTGGGACACGGTCACGTGGGGCTTGGCACTCTCCCGGTATTGTCGTATTATTACCGTATGGGCATACACCGTCTTAGTATTGCATTGCATTCGGTTGGATAGAATTGAATAGACATGGATCAATAAACAAAGTCCTCATCATTAACTGAGCTGGGCTAGTCATCTGCACTGATAAATATTCACTCATTATCCTCCACAACACCACGTCAACGAACTAAAGGGAAAAAATCATGGAACACCCCGTCCACTCCGAGTCGCCTTGGCCAATTCACTCTGCGCAACATTATCGGCATATCGCTTATAGATAGGCCGATACTGCTGCGTATCACTCGTCGTCTCCCGGAAGCTCCTCCGCTCCTCGACAGCCTTCACCCATTTCCTCCACCGCTGCCAAACCGCCTCATCCTCGCCTCCCTGGCCTTCAGCCGGAACCCCCAACCCACCGGCCTTGAGCTCATCAAACACCCACAGCCGGATAGCCCAAGGCCCGAGCACCAGATCTGGAAGACTGATCTGGTCCCCGAGGAAGAACGGCCCCTCGGGATGTAACTCCCGCGCCCACTGCTTCAGTAGACCCAGAAACTCCTGTCGGTGGCTGTCCAGTGCGGCCACGGCGTCCTCGTCCGCCGACGAGGGCTGGTACTGCAGGAAGCGATGGAAGGACGATATGACCCGCGACGTGACGAAGTCGACCCAGATACGTGCGCGAGCTCGCTCGTACGGGTCTGTCGGGAGCAGACGCGGCGAGTGGTCCGGGTACGCTTCCTCGAGGTATTCGAGCACCACGTTGGATTCGTACAGTGGCCGGTCGCCTGAAGAGGTTGGGACGGACAGCGTTGGCACGAGCCCGCGCGGGTTCAGCGAGAGTAGTGACTGTGGTTTGTTGTACGGGTTCACTTCGATGTATTGGTATGGGATCTGCTTTTCTTCGAGGGCGAGCCATACGCGTTGCACTGGTTTAGGATAGTTAGCAAGTGGTTCTTGAGCTGCTGGTCAACTACGAAGTGGCTGCTGGTAGAGCATACCGAATCTAGATGATTTGTTAGCAAAGATGCCGTCGTGAAGGGGATACTAGTTAGACTGACGGACAAAACCACCCCGCATACAGCTTCAACGGTTGCTCTGCCTGATGCTGGTCGACCAGGGCTTTGGCCAGGCCCGTTGCTTCGGGATAGACGGCTGCATCTGGATGAGAGGGCATTTTGGGTATATCGAGGGGATGGGAAGATGGAAAGGAAGGAAGATGTTGGCAGTTTAAACAGGTCAAGTGGGTGGAAGCAGAACTCCGCACGTCGATGGCGTCATCGTCCTCACTCGCTGGAAAAGAATCCGCAGTGATTCATTAAGTATTATTAACTCCATCGATGAAAGTCTACCGTCAGGAACACCCGGCCTCCATCCTAGTGGCAAATGCATGTGTCTGTATTTGTATCACATCATTCATCCTTGGAGAGCTCGCGAGGTCATTTGGGTATCTACCTTGAACTCCGAGAATCATGGCAAAACGTAATTCAGCAGAAATAGGGGAAATTAAGCCAAAGAAATGTAAAAGAGAAAACAGGACAACAACGGAGAATAAACATAACGATCTAGAAAAAAGAGCCTAGCCAAATCCTATGCACCTTCGCCATACTCTCCTAACGTCCATACTTCTTGATCAGCTTTTGCATGATCGACACTGCCCCCGACCGATATCCGGCCCCAAAGATGGCATGGTGGTTCAGATGGTGATACCTGGCGGGTGTCAGTCCGATGCTTTTGGGCATCCGAGAAAACCCCCAAAAAGAAAACACTTACAGCTGGTACAACAGCACGCGATCGTCGTATTCCTCCACCGGTTCTGTCTTGGGGACAATACGATGATAGGCACTGAAGAACGACGATCCGAACCCGCCAAACATCTTCATGATCCCCAGATCAAACTCGCTGTGCGCGTAGCATGCGGACGGATCATAGACAACGTCCCCAATCTCTTCGTCTTCCTTGCGCCCGCTGGCGACGATGCGTCCGCGATCTGCATTTCCGCTCCAGAGATCACCATGCACCACGACGGGTGTGATTCCATCGCCATTTCCATCCCTGTCATAGCCCAGATGCCCGTCACCCAGCAGAGCGGGGACGACCGTGTTGGCCGTCCGTTCCACCAGGTCGCGCAGGTTGGCATCACGACCGTTGCGCGTCTCCGACGTTTCTAGAATCACCAACAGCCGCTCATTGGCGTAGAACTCAGCCCACGAGTCGTGATACCGGTTGGGCTGCTTCGTGTCGCCGCAGTACGTAGGAACCGGGAACCCAAACCGGCGTTTCCCCGTCTCAGGATCGGGCGGCGCCGGCGTCGAGTGCAGCTTGCCCAGTCGCTGAGCCAGGGGAGGCCCCGTTCGGCCCCCAACGCCCAGTTCCAAGAATTCGGTGGCCAGGAAAAAGCTCTTCCCGTTGCTCTCCTCGAGGAATCCCCAGGCCAGCGCGCGGGGGCAAAAGCCCGGCACCGAATTTGCGATGGCGTTCAAAGACTCGTACTCTCCCCTAAACATCTCCTCGGCCGCTTGACCGTCAGCTGAGGTCTTGACAAAATACTGGCGCTCTTCTTCCCCATCCTGGGTCGCGGGCGAGGGCACTGTTGCTCGAATAGCGCCCGTGCTGGTGAACCCCGAGCCCAAGCCAGACGTCGAGAGACTGGCCCTGGAGGAGTCGGGGATGGACAGAGCTCGCAAGAGAGACGTAGGGACAGGGGCCATTGTTGCCAGATAATGTGAGAGTGATGGGGAAGTATAAAAGCAAGATGGAAAAGGACAAACCGGATGGGAACCTTTTTGAACCTGCCGAGTGACGTCACCGTGTCCCTGGCTTATCGATAAGATAACGGTAGAACCTCCCCCTGAGGAAGAAGAGATAAAAAATAACTTCAGTTCTACGAAGTGCAGAAACTTCCACCAAAAGTCACGTTTCTATCGGATTCATTTATCATGTGCATCTTCTCGGTTCTCTTTGTACATCCAACAGCCTGTTAACGCCTCCTATTTGGCAAGAAAGAAAGGGGGAAGGAAAGAAGCCCTCGAGGATCCATCCACAATGGGCTTGAGGGCAAGGCAGGTAGTTCTTAACGCGTCAAAGCATTAACCAAATGTTGTGCAGTTTTAGTGCGTTCTCGGACATCAAGATCCGGATCGTCCTCGAGGCTGGCCAGTCGATCCACCACTCCGATCGAACGTAGCTTAAAGGCCCGCTCTCGACACCCGTCGTGATCGCTGGAATCATCCTCGTATGTGAGATTGATCACAACCCAAACACAGTTGGTCCGCACATCCCGATTAACATGATTGAAATAGCACATGAGGTGGCGGAGAAGATCCCGATGCGAGACCAGAAGCTGACGGTGCCAAGGGAGGCCGGCAGCGAGGTGGATAATGACAAACGTCACCGAGACCAGAATTTCCGTCGGCACTTGAATGGCCCGGTGCGCAGATGACTCTCGCCGATGCGGGAGTTGGATGCTGCGAGGACGCAATTTGTCCGATAGGGCGTCCAGAATCAGGTCCTGCCCGATTTCTGTAAACAGGTGGTCAATCATCTCCGAAGCTCCCAATCCGCAGACGAGGTTGCGCAGCAAATCAAATGTCTGTTCCTGCACCGCGATGTCATCCTGTCGAGCTTGCGTGGTTTGGTCTAGATCCCCGTGCAAGGCAAGCTTGCGCCGCCGGGTCACATCGGGCAAGAACATCTCGAGGCTCATTTTGGATGGCGGCAACGTGTCTGCCATCTTCATATCCTCATCACGCTGCTGGGAATTGTCCATGGGATTGAGCAAATCGACCTGTTCTCCCGCCGAGTTGGCTCGGCTCATTCCTGTCGAATTGCTGCCGTCCAACTCCTCGTCCAGTCCCCGTTTCGCTAAAGCGGTGGTGGGATCCTGCGTAATCACCTGCTTGATCCACCCGGGACCTAAGCCCGTGATGATCTTGACCTTCACGTCGTTTGTGGAGTTGTAGGCAACGTGCTTCAAGGCCCAGAGCGATTCGATGCGTAGTTTCGTGTTGACCGAATGAGCGTGCTCACATAGGATTGGCAGAATTTCCGCAGAAATTATGGCCTACATTTGTTGAGGGCGTCTTTAGTAGGAGCCGGATAGGAGCGAACTCAGGGACAAGGCTTACCTCTTTCATCGGACTGAAGTCGAGTGCCAGATTACAGATGACAGACGTGGCGGCAATCTGTACCTCAATGTCGGGGTGGCGGATCAAGACGAATAGGGGAGTCGCGACGCCAGCATCGATCAGGCTGGTTCTCAAGACACTGACGGAACGGGTGAGCATCCGCGCAGCACCGCAAGCAGCCAGCAATGTCGGGGTTGGATTGCCATCGGCGGCGGTATTTTTGGGATTCGAGGTGTCCGACTGAGGTTCGCTCGAGCATGGCTTGAGCGAGTCAATGATATACGGCACGACCCCGTTCTCGCAGACAGCTTTTCGGTATTCGTCCTTGAAGGGAACCAGGGCTGCCAGGGCCTTCAGAATGTTCTCGCGGTAACGCATCACATGACAGTGGGTGGGCGCATATCCGGGATGGCCGAGCCTGCACTCTGCCGGCTGCGTGTCGGACCCCCCCGTAGCATTATCGTCTGCGTCTGCATGCCACATGGGCTTCGTGTTCTGACGGATTGGGTTATACGTTTCCTTTAGCAGTTGGGAGAGCCGCTGGATAGCCCCGCCCTCGGCCGCATGTCTCTGCAGCTCCTGGTCATCCATGACGAGAGTGGCCAGCACTGCAGGAGCCTCTTCTCGAAGACGGTCGGGCGAAGGAACCAACCCCCCGTACTGCACGCCATCGTCGCACGACATTTCATGTTCCTTGTCCAGCATTCGGATCAGAATTGGGATCAGCAAGTAACACAGCATGGAGACCCGATGTTTCTTGGTGAGACCACGCCGAAACAACACGGTGACAAGGCGAGCTGCCATCAGCCGCGTCATGCCGGTTTCCGCACGGATGACATAAAGGAGCCAGGGAACGATGGCATTTTCATCATCCTCAGTGCTGGGGGCGTCAAAGACGGGAAGCGATGGAGGGTATGACTGGCTGTGCCGGCGGCGAGGCCCCTGCTGCCCCAAAGGCGGGAAGTTGGGAGTGCTCGCGGATGCTTTGTTATGCGCCAACGGGACGGATGGCAGGAGATGTTCTAGAGGGCTTGCGCCAGCGTGGCGAGGTACTGCAGACCCGGACAAGTACGTCGAACCCCACGGGGCCTTTTTGACGTCGGACGGAGCAAACTCGGGCAACTGCTTGGGAAACACTGTGACGATCCCCGGGGACGAGAGGAAATGCTCCGCCCGCCACTTGGAGTGCTCAATGATTACGGTTACAGCGCGCAAGATCGGTGCCAGCTTGGCGGTGGAGGGCGCAGGCAGAGGGAGCGAGCCTAGAGCGCCGGGTTCTTGCACATGCGCCTCTGCGCCCGGAAGCACGAAGCCTTGCGCAGCCACGAAAGATGCCACTTTCACGGCCAGGGCATCTAGAACCCCACACTCCGCCAGCACTGCCTTATGGGCTTCCTCGGAACATAATTTACCGACGAGACCGGCGGCGAGCTCGATGGCTGTTTGCTTCTCGTGAGAGCTGTACTCCTGGGTTATGATACGGGAAAGACAGCCGATATGCTCGGTGGAGAAGAGAAGGTCGGCTAGGCGAGGATCCTTGGGACCCTCCGGCTGATTTTGTAAGGGTAGTCGATCGGCGATGCTATTCAAGGTGCGAAGGATGGGAAGGACGAAGAAGGAAGGGCATTCTGGCGAAGAGAGGATAGACAGGAGTATGGATGGTAGGTCGCTGGCGAGAATCGGTGATAGGAACGATGCACCACCTGAACGCGAGAATATCAGCACACATGCGTCTTGATCGAGATAACACCGGGGCCGACACCGCCACCGCATATACCCCGGGAGTTCGAAAATTAAATACCTTGTACCAAACTACCTACGACGATGATCGCTTGCAGACAAGCCTCGTCCCCTTCCGACCTCGGACGGGAGTGGTCACGGTCTGAGGCCGTCTCATCGATGTCCGATGTGGCCGGTGTCTTATCGCCGGGCAGTCGGCAGGTGAGTATCTTGGCAAGGGTTGGGACGATGCCCCATCGAATCCAGGCCTCTTTGCGTTGATCATGGCCAATTGTCTCGTTTTTCAGCGTCCGAAGGGCGGCCGCTTGCGAGGAGGGGGAATCCGCAGTTTGCAGTTGTAAAAGAACCGGGGGTGTCGATGCGCGCGTCATGGTCCGAAAATCACCGCCTCCCGCGGGAGGATACTATGGCCGAGCAGGTCGGCCGGGAAAAAGAAGGAAAAGGCGAGAGAGGAAGGGGGAGAGAGATCGAAGCGAGAAGAGTCAAGGGAATCGAGGTAGATTATTCTCAAGAGTGTTGGGATCGAATGTCCAAGGCGTTGATGGATCAGGAGAGGGGCTTGGTTGCGTACAGCTAGCTAGCTTCGCCGGCAATCGACGAGTCCGTCTCTTTTCCTCTCGTCCTCTGGCGTTTAGCGGTGGATGGTCAGGAAGATGGGGAAGCGAAAGAATAAGAATAACTATATAAGAAAGCGACTAATAAACAGGTATGCGCAATGAGAAAACGCAGCATACGACGCAGGCTGCCGAAGGAGACTCGAATCATGAAGCGGTCCTTCTATGACGGATGGAGGTCGGCCAGACGCCTTGCCGTTTCCGGGCATCGCATCATGTGATGTCATGTGCCTTGTGTAGGCGGTGTGTCCGCAGTGTCACGTGCAGCGGTGGCTCTCGGGACTCCAAGTGTCAAAGTTGGAGTAAGTTGGAGTCGGCCACCTCCTGGCCTCCTTGGCCCCCTGGCGTATCACCCAAGGATTCCCTCGTTCAGACCTCTTCACCCGACTAACTATCCTCGTTGTCTTTCAAATCGGACGTTGTACAATTTCTGCAATCAGCCATATTGGTTTTTGGACGAGTCCGAGCATTACGGCGTGGGGTTGGCATCCATTCTTTTTGCAATCTTTCTAAGGCGGGGAAAATGTGACATTGACCTGAAGAAACCCATTATTGATTGCCCTCTTAGGTACGGAGCACTCCACTCTACTTCATACGGTATACCTACACTAGGTACACTAGGTACACTAGGTACACTAGGTACACTAGGTCTACAGAGTGAGAACTCCATTGAGTTTACTTCGTATACTCCGTACAGAAGGGGTTACTAGCAGGCGTGGCGGCGCCATCACCTGACTGCACTGAGCACACTACTACGTACCTTGCCGGGATTCCCTCGACGATACGGAGGAAACCTTCTTCGAGGCTGAAAGTTCGGTGCGACGTGCTCGATTGCGTGTCAACCGGGGGGATAGCCTTACATACAATATCAGCTAACTTATGTATACTCTGTTCCTGGGGAATAAATCAAGATATACTATGTAGATTACTAGGAGTGGAAAAAGACGGTTCCGCGTGCCGAGAAGAAGGCGTATGGTAACGCATGGGTAATAGGGCTCCGGCGGGTTTCAAAGGGATCGCGGTAATTTCAAATCCTGATTGGGCAATGTCGGGGGAAACGAGATCCGACCACGGAGATTCCCTGTTTTTTTAGTCTCAGCCTTACCCAATACGCCTGCCGTGGCGGGACTTGGCAAACCCGAGTTTTTTTCCCTTGGGTCTTTCAGTACGAGGCAAAATCTCCAGTTTTCTTCCCCTCTTCTTTACTTTCCTTGTTCTCGCTTTCTTTCTCCCCTTTTCATCTTCATCTCTTATCTCTCTCTCTCCCTCTTCCCATCACCTCATTCTACGCTTTTCAGCTTCTTTTCTTTCTTGAAAGAGCTGAGACGCGCAGATCATGATGCGCCTGGGCACGCCATATCCCTTAGTAGCAGCAGCACAAGGTTTCGCAGCGTCTGCCAGCTCCGTTGCACGTCGTTCAATCGTGCGCCCACGTGGTGGTCTCGTTGGGCGGAGATGCTAGTTTCCTCGCCCTCGCCCTCCGCCCTTCGCCCTTCCTCCTCTCCTTCCTCGCGCCCCCCTCGTTCTTCTTCTCTCTCCTCTCCCTCCGTTCCCCGTCTCCCGGTCGCTTCTGCCTCGTCCGCCGCCGCCGCCGCCGTTCCGACGACTGCCACGCCGGCATACCATCACCATCACCTCCAGCATCGGCATCAGCACTATGAGCCTGCCACCCACCCCGCTGCTGCTTCGTCTGGTCCTCCTCTTTCTCGGCGCTCTTCCCGCGTCGCCATCGAAGAGCTCCGATCGGCTCTAACCCGCCATTCCGTTGCTTCTTCCTCGTCTTCTCCAACATCCTCAGGGCCCTCAGGGGACCTCCCGGCCGGCCAATCCGCTGGGCTGACCACCCTTGGGGGCGGAAATAGCGCCTCGTCGAACGCTGCGGGTGACACCGTTGTTCCCCCTTCTCGACCTCCCGGTTCGTCCGACCATCCGGCCAATAACGGCGTTGCTGCCCATCCCTCCGCTTCTGTCTCCGCCCCTCCTCCATCTACTTCTTCTCATCCCCCAATGACCGCGCCCGTTCGCAGCAGCGCAGGGAATGGCGCAGGGTCCAACAAGCGTAACAGCCCCAATGACCCTGTCGCCAATGGCGCGCACGAGGTTGGCCTGGCTAGCTCCGACCTGGAAGGCTCGCAATCCAAGCGCTTGCGACCGAGCAAGCCCTCGGTGAAGGTGCTCCCCGTCCACTACGAGCAGGCGGATCCGCGGGATATAGTGGTCTTGATCTCCAGCATGCTCATGGAGCTGATTCGGTTCAATGACAAGATCCCTCTGCACCAGGGCCGTCTAACTCGGTTCCATTCCCGGTCGCCCCCGCGGATTTCCGTGCAGGATTATTTGCAGCGTCTTACCACCCATGCCACACTTTCGCCGCCCATTCTGTTAAGCATGGTATATTATATCGACCGACTCTGCGCGCTTTACCCTTCCTTCACCGTCTCCAGTTTAACCATCCATCGATTCCTCATCGCCAGCGCCACCGTTGCCAGCAAAGGGTTAAGCGACAGCTTCTGGACGAACAAAACGTATTCTCGAGTTGGAGGAATCAGTATGACGGAATTGGCACTCCTTGAACTGGAGTTTCTGTTCCGCGTAGAGTGGCGCATCGTCCCGCAACCCGAGGTGCTGGTGGACTATTACCAGAGCTTGGTAGAGAGGTGCGACGGATATGAAATTCAGCACGACGCCTAAAAAAAGAATCCTTCTTGTTTTCTTTTCTTTATCTTTTTTGTCTTCTTACGAAGGGGCTCGGTTCTTCTCAACATTTCAATCTATGGATTGGTGCTTCTGGACGATGAAACCGAAGATTTGCTTATCTCGGAAAATCTTTCGAATAATGCTCCCCTTTGTGACAGTACATATCGTGCATAAGACAGGACACGGAGTTGATGCTGTGTATACATACAACACAAGAGATGCTGCTCGGTGCTCTTGTTTGGGTTTATCATAGACCTTTCATTTCGTCTGTTCGACTCTCATCTCCATTGCTTTATCTTTTCATGACTCCCCACGGTCGGTGCATCCAAAGATGACCGGCTTCCCCCAGGCGTGTACATAATATTTCAATCCAATTTTCAAGCTCAGGCCTTCATCGCTGTAGAATCCCGGATGGGCAGGAGAGTAGGGCTTAGGTCATAGGGTACCGCGGTTAGGGTATTTTTGGGGCCCGTCGAGACCGCCAACCTTTCTTGACTTCACCTTTTCCCTCAAGTCGGAATTTCAATCCCACGTGGAAGATGCTGCTAGCTTTGTTCTTACTGTCTTGCAAGAATTCCTCCTTACTTTAAAAAGCAATTGCGTTCTAATCACCATAATCACCCATCCATACTTACCCCGCCCGCCGCTTCGCAAAATAGTACCCGACAATGGACGTCCAGCAGATCCTCCAGGGCGTACGGCCGCTCGTGGGCCAAGTCGTTCCCATCAGAACTGTGCAGGAGGCACGACCGCGTATAGATTTTGGTGCGTACAGGAAGGGAGGCTGAAAGGAACGAGCCCACGAAGGGGAACTCGAGATTGGACGACTTTGCTGATACCAGAATAGGCGATGCCTATGTAGTGGAAGTCAATGTGAAGGTTGCTTCCAAAGTAATCAAGTGAGTTATCTACCTCTGGTTTATTCTTCTCTACATCTATTTATGTCGATATGTCTATCTCAGAGCCCTGGACTCGAAATTCCCCCGCGACTCGTCGCAATCAACGGGCCACCTCCGACGATTCGCCAAACATACCCAATTGCCAGAGACGTTGCGATCCCACCTCATCAAAGGCGAGCCCTCCCCACAGACGATCTTCGCCTTGATTATGCCCCCTTTACCCGACGTCGACGAGCTCCGGAAAGTCCTTGCGCCGTTTGTTCCTGTCCCTCCCGCTCCAGACGCCGAGAACCCCTCGTCCTCCGGGCCGTCCGTCGCACCCGAAGACATCACCCTCCACACGATCCAAGTCCCGCTTCTGCCGCCTCTGAACATCCCGCAGGCTGACAACTGGTCCGCCACCTACTGGCCGGTCGTCTTCAACCCCGCCGCTCCCAAGGCCAACATTGCCCCGCCGCCGCAGATCCTGAGTCGCACTCGCGAATCCATCCAGCCCAAAGCCGGACACTACCTGGCCCTGGCGTCCCGCGTAGCGGATGAAGCGGAACAATCGGGGCGCGGGCGCCGCGTCGGCGCCGTGGTCGTGGATTCAGAGCTGGAATCTCAAATCGAGGCCACCGGCGACGAGGCGGATTCAACCCGCTGGGCAGATGCGGTTGTAGCAGTCGCCGGTGACGCGCGGTATTCTCGCCGAGAAGCCGGCGCGATGTCGCAGTCGGAACTACATCCAGGAGGAGGCCCCAACCCTGCCGGGGAGACGTACAACGCGGACCTAGAGGGCGGGCCGGAATTGCACGCGCTGATGCGCGCGGTCGATTTGATTGCCAGCGTGCGCCGCCAGGCGGACCCAGAGGAGAAGAAACCGCATCTCAACCCGCTAGAGGCATATTTCCTCTCCCAGTCAGAGGGCTTCTCCGAAGAAGTCTCGGATGACTCGCGCGAACATTCCCCTGTCGCAGAGAAGTACCAGAAGACCGAGACGGACGCCATCCCCAAGCCCTCGTCATCGAGTCACAGCAAGCCTGCTCCCCGTATCCGCACGCGCGAACACGGCGGCTACCTTTGTACGGACCTGGATGTGTACCTGACCCACGAGCCGTGTCTCTGCTGCTCCATGGGCCTGCTTCTTTCGCGCTTCCGATCCGTGACGTACCCTCGCCCCGGGCGCATGATGACCGGAGGACTGGCCTCGGAGCCTGTTATTGCTCCAACGGCGGACACGGTAGAGACAGAGCAGCCTTCTTCAACGGACGACGTGCCCACTGAAGCATCAGATGCCGCTGCGACGTCACCACCGACCCGAGAATACTACGGCCTGCACTGGCGCAAGGAACTGAACTGGCGGGCATTAGGATTCGAGTTCCTCGAAGACGGGGCCACAGAGTCCGAGCAACGAGTCGAAAAGGTCGATTTCCATGCATAAATAGAAGAGAAAGAAAAAAAAGTTAATTCACATACCCCTGGATCTTATAACCTATATAATAGACCGATACAATTCCGGAATTTCACAGAACTACTGGTCCATGGCTCGACTGTTTTCTTTCCGTTCATGTCCATAATCATACAGCAACCACACACTGCTGCTACAAGACAACGGATACCAAAAGCCCGCGACGATGCGGTGGTTCCTACCAAACCAACTAATGCCAACAGCATTGGTCAAGGGCCGAGGGCTGCCTACACGCACGCCGGCCACCATTCATTCCATCTCGATGAGAAGGACCAGGTCGAGGAGTGGATAGTGAGGTCGAGATGAGAAAGACTTGTTTCTCGGTATGCATTTTAGGAATATTCGGGCGATGAAGATAAACAGACGGAAGAAGGATCTCAAGAACGACGAAAGATGTTCATCGATTAGGGCACGGTTATGTCTCTCGTATGTAAGGTAACCCCCGCTGCTTTCATGGCCAAACCAACACAAGAGTCAACAAAAACATGGGGAAGAGACCCCCCGGCTATGTGTTATGCAATAGTTAATGAGGACATACATGCATCGCTTTCATTTGCTTCCTCCTTATTCCGGCACAGCGGATTCCCAAAGGTAGGATAAAGATGAGAAAGGAAAAGCAAAAAAGGAAAATGCCCAAGGATAATCATGCGTATCAAACTTTTATGATTTTATTCCCATTATTTCCATTATGCATAATGATCATGAGACCAAGAGATTAGAAGCGAGATAAAAGAAAAAACTAGCTAGTCGTCATTACCGAATCACAAAAGAGACTCGTCGACTACTCCAATTGTCTATCCTTGAAGCGCACGGGCACGGCGCGAAAGGGGAGGTATTTTCCGAAGAATGGGATCGTGCGGTGCGTTCTGCGCAATCGACATGTACAAATTGTCGAGGCGCTGCAACAGAACCGACATGATTCTGGGCGCGACTTCAAGGATGTCCCGATCCTGTTCACAAACCAGTGTTAGTAAGGGCAGATAGACACTTTGTCATCTGGATACACATACCAAGGGATTCACAGTTTGCAGAACCACCTCCAACCAAGCGAGACGCTCAGGCACGTTCGTTTGGAGAGAAGACGTCACAGCAACACCAACGGACAGAGCCACAATGGGCGAAAGGTTGGTCAGGTACGAAGGACTCAGTCGAATGAACAGGTTGTCAAACAGGTCGGCCTGTTGGTCGGATTGCAGCCACTGCACACTAGTTAGTCAAGGTGGATCGAGGGGCTAATGACGACAGAGGTGACAAACCTTCACAGAGCCCTCTTCATACCGTCCCTCGCTGATCAACCGAGTAATTTCTGCCAGCTCTAGATCTTCCGCCGTCATGGCGCTAGACGGTCCGGCAGACGAAGCAGCCGCGGGAGACTGACGCGAGGCGCGTCGCTGCTCTTCCTGCTGAGAAGCCGCAACATGGTTCAGCTTCAGAATTTCATTCTGGAAGTTGGTCTGTGCCGCGGCCATTGAAGCAACCGTATCGGACAGGCCACGAACCAGGGTCGTGAGCTGATCAATCTTGGCGGCGTCGTTCTGGCGCTGGACTTCAAACTGCTGGAACTGCGCCTGCATCTGACGCTCCAGATCGGCGCCAACCTTCTCGGTGACTCTGGCGGTCAGGTTCTTGAAAGCCGGCGTGACGGCGTTGTTGACGGTCTTCGAAATCTCGCCGTCGAGGTAAGGCGTAAGTTTCTGACTCACGGCCTCCGACAGAACCTTGACCACCTCGGGCTGTTGCACGGCACGGCTCACAGATTCGGGCAGAGCCTGGCGCAGTTCGCGGGGAACAACGCCGCCAATCTGCTGGGCGACAACGCTGCTCAGCTGCTTTCCAACGGCAGTGGAGGTCAGGTCCGACAGAGCGGGAACCACCTCGGAACGGATGCTGTCCGACACAATGCGTGCGAGATTCTTCTCCACGTTCTCGGAAAGGGTGCTCGACACCAGGCGCAGAACCTGGTCCTGCTTGGCTGCGGACGCGGCATCCCAGCTGCGCCGTTCGTCGTCCAAGCGGCGGTACAGGCCTTCAATCTCGCGGCCGAGACTCTTGTTGAATTGGGTGGACACTCCGTTCTGCAGCGCTTCCATGTGTCGGTCCAAGTTGTCGCTGACTCCGACATTGAGGGTGGGTGGCAGCGGCGCGGTCTCGGCGGGGACTGGAGCGGCGGCCTTGGAACCGTCACTGCCGTTAGGCTGTTCGCCGCTGAGCGGAGGTTGAGCTGCAGGGACGGGTGCTTCGCTGGAGACCGCACTGGGGATCGCATCCTTGGCCTTTGTGGCGGGCACATCGACAGCGGACTTCTTTTTGTTCTTTTTCTTGTCCTGTTTTTCGGAAGTGGCCGCCGTGGCAACCGGTTCGGCGGCCGGCTGCTCGTCACCGACCTTCTTCCTGGGCTGCTTGGTGGGGGACTGGGTGCGAAGAGCAGAGGCAGAAGCGGCGCTGACCGATTCGGCCGTCGGTTCAGGCACCTTCTTGGCGACCTCCTTGGGGCCGGTCTTGGAGGGAGTTGAAGCGGTGTCCCCGTTGATGGAAGGCTCGTCTGTCACGTACGTGGGGAAGGTCTGGAGCTCGGAGATCTCGATCAACCCTTCCTCCAGGGCGTTGACCTGGCGGAGGATCTTGTTCTCCGTGCTCCAGCCCAGGTCTTCCTTTTTGATGTTCAAGCACGTAACACCCCGCGAGTGCATCACGTAAAGCTCGAACAGGCTGCTGTCATCGCCCGCCCCCTTGGTAATAGGCAGCAGATCCAGGCTCCGAAGCTGGCCCTTGGAGTTGAAAGAAATTTCACGGATACCACTCAGACAGGCCGTCGACTCAGGCTTGGGCAGGCTGCTGTCTTTCTCGGCGGAACGTTTGACGAATGAGGCCTGCGACATGGGCTGCAAGTTGTAGCGAGGCGCTGAAAGATGGACGAAGTAGATCGAGTTGCGCGTGGGATGGCCGACGACAATGATGCCAGATCCGGGGTGGTAGGCGACGCTGCAAATGGCATCCGACTCGTTCTCGTGGGGGAACTTGAGCTCCTGCACAGCCTTGCCCAGCCCAATATCCCAGAGCTGCAAGGTGTGGTTTTGCTTCAATCCGACCAGAACGTACCGGAGTGCCATCGACTTCACGTAAGGCCGCAGCTTGTCGATGAAGAGGACCGAGGTGGGCCATGACTTCTCTGCAGGAGAGCCGGTCACGAAGGTGTTCAGCGGAACGCGAACCTCAGTCGGGCTGGGTCCGCTCGTGAAGAAAGTTGAGTTGGTAGACACCTCGCGAATGTCCCAGAATCGAAGGCGACCGGTCTTGTCGAGGGAGGCGATGACGGTGTCATCATCGCTGAACATGAAGTCCTTGCCGGCCTTGCCAGTGGAAATCTTCAGGGCGCGCTCCTTGAAAAACTTTTCGGTGTTGACGGTGCGCTGATTACCCGAGACGCCATAAGCCGGATTGGCCGCAGCCTGGGGAGAGATCACGTAAATGTTCTTGCCACGGCCGATGGCGAACAGACCGGGGTGACGAGAGCTCCGTTTGGCCCGCGTTTTCAGCTGGCCACCGGAGGTGTTCTCGTCCGAGGCCGGGAAAGGAGGGAAGATGAGACTCTCGCTCTCAAGGGCGTCCAGTTCAAAGAGGTCCTTGTCGGCCTTGGAGATCAGTGCCCAGTACACCGTACCGCTGACACCGATGCCCAGCACGGCCTGCTCTTCGGACACACCGCTCGTGGTCTGAGATGTGCACACTGCGACGTTGAACACACGGTCGCGGGTGGCCCTAAACACCTGTTTATCGCTGCCGTCATCCTGGCGGATGATGCGGATGCCTCCGTTCTTAGCCAGGGCGTAGACAATGTAGTCCGAAGTGGCCGACGTCAGAGAGCGGTCTAACTGGTCAAAATCCTTCTTCAGGCGCGCAATATCCATGATGCCGTCATCCCGCAAGACCGACAGCTTTCCGGGATAGACCTTCACGGCGATCGAGATGAACGGCTTCAGGGGGAAGTTGTGGACAGCAACCACGCGCTGCTCTTCCTTCTCGGCGCTGTCTTCTGCGCTTTCCCAGCTGTCGGCAAGCGCCTCGCCGTTGCTCTGGTTAGAGATCTCCTTGGCCGCAGCTGCAGTCTCCTTGACAGCCTCTTGAAAATCCTCGTCTTTAAGGATTTCCTTGGCCTCTGCAGCAGTCTCACGCAGGTGGTCTGCAACCGATGAAAGCACCTCCTGGGTGCTGTCGTCGCGAGCCGCCGACACCGCGGGGTTCAGCTGTTCCTCGGCTCCCGCCTGCTCGTCCACGTCGCGGCAGAGCTGGTCCACCAGCTTGTCGACGACCTGGTTCACCGCGTTCTTTTGGTCTTCAGCCAGAGGTGGTGACTTGGCGCGCTTTCCCTTGGTGTAAACGGGAGTCGGTTCTACTTCAGTGGTCACGTTGATTTCTTCAGTCTCGGTGACCTCAATGGCCGAGCTCTCGCTGCTCCCGGAATTGGCCTGTGGAGGAGTCTCTTTGTGGGGAGACGCGGCAGCCAATTGGTCAAAGGGATTGACGTAGGTGAAGATAGAGTCCTTGGACACGGGGGAGGGCCTAGAAGGAGGAGCAAACGCGTCCGGTTTCCCGGGAACGACGTCGTCGGGGCGGGAACCCATGGCCAGCGATTCCTCGACGGCCTGGACAGACGGCATCGGGAGGCTGCCGGATTCCACCTCAGGATAAGGAGATTTCTGGGGGGAAATCGAAGCCGGCGACTGAGACATCGACTTCACCGGACCCTCTGGCACGTCATGACCAGGTTTGGGACGGTTCAGCAAGCGCAGAAGCATGTCCTGGGTGTTTTCTGCGGTCGGGGCAGTAGAAGAGCCTTCTCCAACCCCGGCAGATCCAGGATGATACTGCGAGCCGGCAGGTCTCACGGGAGGAGCCGCACCGCCCTGTCGACCGAAGAGAGAAGCGACCAAGTCCGAGGCAGAGATGTTTCTCGCGTGAGCAGACTTGTTGCTGTCCTCCGGGGTGAGCTCATGGGCATGCGATGGTCTCTCCTGGTCGGCCCCAGCAACAGGCACCTGTTGCTGGGCAGCGACGGCAGGGCCAGCTCCGGATTGGTTGAACTTGAGCAGATTCAACAGATTGGCGGCCCGGTCGGGGTTCTGAGGCAACGGCTGGTGCTGATGCAGCGGTGGCTGAGGGTGGTGATGATGCTGAGGATGCAGTTGCTGCTGAGGGAACATCTCACCGCGAGGCGTCGGCACGTTGGGGCTCAGAATATCCGATCCGTGGTGGGGAGGAGTGTTCAGAGGCGAGGGACTGTGAATAGTCGACGAGACCGACGGGTGACGGTAGCCGTGCTGCTGCAGCTGCGGATGAGGGTGAGGGAAGCTCTGGCCATCGTAGGGCGGCTGTTGATGCTGCTGGCGGTATCCCGGATGGTACTGCTGAGGATAAGGAGGCATGGGAGCATCCTGACCCGGCGTGTTCGAAGGAGATGGGCGTGGCCGGATGCTGGCCAGGAGAGCCTGAAGATCATTTGGGGTGGACATTTCTGTCGCTCGCCGTGACAATTAGGCGACCACCAAACGACTGAATTCAGAGCTCTGAAGCTGAGGGCAAGAAGGGACTCTTGAGAGAGCTCTCTTTCGAGAGTTCCGAACGAGAGAAGCCGCCCGAACCAGGCGAAGAAATGAATGTGAATAAAAGAAAGCGTCAAATGACAGACTATGGTACAAGATGAATTATTAAGAGGGTCGGACCAAAGGGATTGGAAGGGGTGAAGGGAGAGAGAGGTAGGTGAGGGAAGAAGGAAGAGGAAGAGGAAGAGAGAGAGAGAGAGAGAGAGAAAAGAGGAAGAAAAGAAGACCGACGGTGGCTTTTGGCTTGTGGCTGGTGCGAGCTGTCAAGCGGTGTTTTCTGCCGTACGCCCACACCGCCACAGAAAAAATGCCTGAGACCTCAGGCAGCCCTGCGCCCGGGATGATCGCCTTCTTCGATGGCTTTCGAAGTGCTGGCACTGCATTCATCCATGATTCACTCATCCACTCACTCATGGCCCAACACCTGTCTGACTGGCCACCTCTCATTCACACCTCCTTCACCTGCACACAACAACCCTGAGCACTTGCATCATTAGCATTTGCCACTAACCGGTTCTCCACCGCATTTTCTCTTTCCTCTCCGCCGACTCCTCGAGCCAAGTACGGAGCAATACTATTGCCACTACTATCATTGCCCAGAACAAGTACATATCAAAAAAAAAAAAAAAACCTAATAATCAAGAATCTCTCATCACAATGTTCTGCTTACGGAGGTGAGTCCAAACCTTTCTCGCAGCTACATATATATCTACATGTATATACTTGCAACAATACACTGTCCAAAATGCTAATCCCGCAATCCCTCCATTCTTCATGAATTAGCTGGTTACCTCTGCTCTTCATTCCAACCAACGCCTCCCCACTCTTCATCATCTCCTTCGTCACCCTCACCTACGTCCTCCATCGTCCGTGTATCTACTGTTCCGCCCTCCTCCTGATCCTCTTCCTTTCCTCCTGTCACTGGTCCGACCGATGCTTCTTCGACCTCCGCGGTGACTGGTTCTCGCCTCGCTTCACCACCTCCACCACCGCTGCCATTCCCGACGGCGTGGGGTCTTTACATCCCTCCTCCGCTTTCTACTCCCCCGCGAATGCCTCGATGCTGGCCCCCTCCGAAACCCTGGCCGAGTATGTCTGGGAGACCGTCAACACTACTACCAAGGCTCTCGCCGCTGCCGTCGTCGACGAGGCTCAACGTCGTCTCGCACTGAATGGCACCTCCGACGCGGCCGCCGGTATATCGGATCTGCGCCAGGACGAATGGACTGGGATCGGACTGGAGTGGTTGCGCAGCTTGCTTGGACGACGTGAATGGACGCTGCCGTGTGTGGATGTCAAGGTTCGGTTATAGATGGTGAGAGAGATCGGGACGGGGGGAGATCCAACTTCTCATAAAAAAAATATATACTTCGGAAAAATCATACTCGGCCGGTCTTTCTGCGATGGTATCTATATGCCGCTCGTTGGCACGTTTTTATATTCCCTGCGACTCACATCTTCGACTTCGAATGCTGGAGTACGCTTACTTCCGACTCTTGGCGAAAAGGATCCAGATACGTTGTATCCTTGTTGTTTCAGTTCAACACGCCACACTGGAAAAGTTTCAGTGGGAAGGTGGAAAGGAAAAGCTCTTTTTGTCGAAAGCATTTCCAGGATTCGAAAATGAGGATTTACACATATAGAATGAGAGAGAGTGAGAGAGCGTGGTTTTCTATTTTCTTCATTATTCCGACTGCGAGCGTCTTCTATCTACCTTCATTCGTGCGCTTTTCTGTCCTTGCAGCGTGCCTCTTCTCTTGTTGCTCCCTTCCACAGGTGAAGGGAGGTTCGACCTTCTCTTCCGTTATACCTATTGTACATACATACTTTTAGCCTAAGCTCTGTAATTGTTTATGACCGAGAGGATTCATCCCCGCGAAGAGAACTCCTTTTTTGAATCAAAACACCGTGACAGATTCCATGTTGCCTTACGCGCATTCACATTAACATTCACATCACAAATGATAATAGGTAGGGATTGATTATTAAACATAAAACATACACACTAATTACAAGCAAATAGGTATCTAACACGGGTGATAGAGGGAGAGAAAAAGAAAAAGAAGAAAGATATAGTAAAACGAGTTATGCCAACAGTGACCATAACGATGCCTTGCAGGGAGAGAGATCAACCAGACAGGGGGGGAAAGCAAATGCATGGTAAACGATCATGATCAAGGCGTAAACCATCCCTCGAGGGCCACATCAAGAAAAGTATCGTGAAAACATCAGGTATAGAACAGGTAAGAACATGGTATCAAAACATTCCGGACTCGTTAGATTCCGTGGAAAACATATCATAGACAGTAAAACATCGCAGGTGTAGGTTGAGGGAGGGTATGAGACCAAAAGTCAGGTAGGTCGGCGTGTGTTCTGGAAGAAAAGACCCCCGGGATCGCGCACCTACTCCAAAGGCAAGCGTCGAGTCGAGATTCTAAGGAGAGTGAGGAAAACAATTATGGCAAACGATCTGCGGGCATATATGAGTGTGTTTGGAGGCACATCTGGCCAATTAGTTGTTGTATGTTCCGGGGAGCGCAGGCACGGGCCAGTCATCCTCCGTGATGCTGCTCCAGAAGACCCAAACCATGACCACCGACAAGAGGGTGAAGAGGGTCTCAAACAGAGCGCCGTTGATCTTTCCACTTGTCGCCTGGCAGAGGTGGGTGCTGATCACGTAGTTGAAAATTTGCCCGATGGCGAATAGGAGGCCGGCACCGATCAGATAAACTAGAGCGACAGTCAATTTACAGTCCAAACCCAACAACCTTGGAGGAAAGAACACAAAGGGGAACATACACATTGGTCGGAATTCACCGAGAACACGGATCACAAGGACGGTCTCCAGAACAAAGAACAGCACCAAACAGACGAGGGGAAACAGCTGATACAGAACGTAGAGCGCGATATTGCGGTAGCCGGTAGACTCGTTCGGCGCGAATTCCCCGGTCCAGTTAAAACCTGTATCCAAGGCGATATACCCCGTACCGATGAAAAACACTATGGCGGACGAGATGAAGAGACCGAGGGAAGCTGGGGTGCCGTCATCGAGGAACTGGAATCCCACGAAAGCGTTTAACAAGAGAATCCAACATGTTGCGGTAATCGCAGCGATATGCGCAGCCGAGAAACCCTAGCAAAGAAAAAGACGGCTGATGAGTTTCATCGATTCAATTGAGGGCGAGCAGTCAATATCATACCTTGCGAACCGCGCTATCGAGGGGAAAACCGCCCACGCTAAAGATTTCGCAAATCTCAATGACAATAAAACCCAGCAAGAATAGTTGTATTTCCCTGTCAGTCCGCCAGTCAGCAACCCCAATCCGTTTCGCCGCCATTTAATTCCGACGTACCTTCTCCCAACGGCCGCTTGTTTCCGGTCTGACCGCCACAGCAGGAAAAGCGAAGTCAAGATAGCGATGAAGGCCAGCAAAATCGAGCCTGCGAAGAAGTCAGCGCTGCCGCCTTGGCGCACGCAGAACCGTGAATCCTTGGAATGCCATACCCAAATTGCTGAGGTTTCGATCACCGCTGAGGCCGATGCCGAGGAGCGCACACCCGCTGAACGCTTTATTAGGGGGCTGATTGTTGTCGACAAAAAGCTGAGGGGGCGCAAGAAGACCGGGGATTAGCGAGACGTGGCGGACCAATGGAATAATCACCGCAGGCAAGCAATTTGATATATCATAAACCATATATCCATCAGGAGGGGAGGGGACGCCGGAATCCATTCACGTACATTGCAGACCGGTAGAGTCGAATCCCGGCAGAAGTCCTACACGTGCCGACGATCAGCGGTCAGCTCTGAGAATGTTCTTGTTTTCTCAATCCCCTCGACTCGGCCTTTTCAGGTCCCGGTTGGAGGGAGGTCGGCGACTCACGTGGAATTTGCCAAACTGTGTCGAGCCCATGGTTATCGATCGTGGGCACGATAGACCATGCGAAGGGTGTTTTGGCAGGGAGAACGAAGAGCAGAACGGGCGAGGCGCGGCGTGGTTGAAATGGACGATTTCCTCGGACCCACGCTCAGGGCCGGATTATGAGCGTTACCCGGCGCAGATCTCCGGTGCAAGAAATTCGGGCGGGATTTTTGGGTCTTGGACTCTTGGTATTATTGTCTATCGTTGAGCGGGATTGAAGTGACCGGAGACGATCGTGTGGAAGGAAGATTGCCAGACGAGGGGAGGAGCCAGCGAAATTAATGTAGATTCTTATTTGTTGTTATCGCAATGAGCCCGAAGCGACGGGGCCAGAGGAGAAAGAGAGGATTGACACGTTGGGTTTGACCGTCAGACCTGCAGGAGTGACGAGACGGGTCGAAAGCGGATTAGATTAAATTAAGTCGAACGAGAGAACTGCAAGGTCGAGCGAGCAGAAGCAGAAGCAGAGGCAGAAGCGAGAGAGAAGGAGAGAGGGTCGAGAGCGTGGGGCAGGATATCTGCAGGAGGGAGAATAAGATTGACGGTGGATGTGAGGAGAAGATCCGACGCGATGGGCGAAGTCGAGAGGACTTCAGGTCTTATGGAGCGGAGACAATAATTGGATTTCGGGTGGAAATGAGAAATGAGGGCGTCGAGCGACGATGGCGACTAACAGACACAGACTAAGAGACTAACAGACTAACAGACTGGCTAGTGTGGAATGGGTCGAGACTAGCAAACACTAACGGGGTGGCCGTTGCAAAGAACAAGATGCGTCCCTTGAGGGAATGGAGAGAGGCTGGATGCATGGATGGGTTCCTGGCTCGTGGCCTCGAATCCGAGACCCTTGATTCGTGCAGCCTTCAATTTCACCAGGTACCTTAAGGTAGTTCTACAGTCAACCATCAACACATTACAGTGCCTGTCGCTCATCCATGGATCGCTGGTCGGCTCCCTAATTATAGATTAGAGCAACATTCCAGTGGAAGTCTCTTCCCTCGGTCTATCTATATAGTATAGCTAGTCTCTACGGTGTCTGTCCTGTCTCTCCGATCGATCCACACAGACTCAAGATTCAATTAGAACTATCTCGTTGAATATCCATAGCAACTGAGGCTGGTCCGGTTACGACGGTAATCGATTGCCGCTCGGTCCTTGCGTCGGCCGATCGACTGCTTCTTTTGCTTAATTTCTATCAACTACGAGAAGTAATTAAATGTCCAGGATGTACATCCAGCTGTACATATTCTATTCCTTCGTATTTCCCCAATGCAATGTTCACCATGTCGGCGGAGAACACCTTACGTGAGGGTTGCTGGAGTTGCCAATAGCGCCAGAAATAGCAATCTCCGAAGACTGGTACGTGCCAACTAAAAATTAGAAACTAATGGAGCCTGAACCACTCTTGCCTGAGCTTATGACGCAGCCTTCAATTTCCGTATTGTGTAGATGACATCGGAGACGGTGGTCGCCCTCAACGACCCAAAGCAAGGTAGCAGGGCCATATCTCGTTGCCTAGTCAGTAGTCACACCTCGTAGCAGGATCGACCCGACAGTGCCCACCTGGCGATCGGCGTCAATATGTATCAAGCAGATCTAGCAGACATCCTCGATCTCCAATTCCTTCCCGTCATGCTCGCCCAGATCCAGCTTTAAGGTTCGTCCGAACAACTCAAGCAGCATCTCAAAGCAGACCTTGCTGATGGCGGGGTCGTAGCGTCCCTTGCTGAGCTCATCGCGGATAAACGCATCTAGATCCCCAGAATCAGTAAACGGAAAAATAACATGAAGAAAAATGAAAAAGAAAGGGAAAGAGAAGGAAATAAAGCATCCCTTCGGATGCTACTCCCTGGCAACGTACGCTGCGCCCAAGCCACCTCGTAAAAGCCAAACAAGACCCCTCGATCATGAAGAGTCTTCCGGATCAAATCCCTTCCCTCAGGTGGGACATGGTTGTCATTCTTCCCGAAGATCTGCCACCTCCTATTAGCATGTAGTACAAAATCATAATGAAGGGAAGGGCCCTTGAAGCGTCGGCAACAAATAGGATCACGCCAACCGCCAACGGCTGGTTCGATTCCTGTCTTACAAATCGTAAGACAAGGATCGAAAACAAGGACTCACCATGAGAAGTTCCCCCTTGATATCGCCGGCTCGCGCCAAGCTATCGTCGTTCTTGCCCTCGGCCAGAGTCTTGCTATGGATGTCTGTGGCGAAGTAACACACCGCTGCCTTCACTCGGCTGTCCAACGCACAGCGATACGCAAGATGTCCGCCCAGGCACATACCCGTTGCACCGACACGGCCATTGCACGTGGGGAGCGACAAGAGATAGTCCACGCACAACGAGGCGTCCTCATCGTAAGCAGCCAGTTTCTAGGAAAGAACAAGGTCAGAAAAACCTGCTTCTACTCACATTCGGACTGGCTCGGTGCGTCTCTGCCAAGTAAGATAAGATACGCACCTTGGTGATTTTCCACTTGTTGCCGTTGTCCGTATCCTCGGCATTGTATTCCAATGGCTCCGGACCAGTGAATTCATGATAGGTGGATGGCGCCGCGCAAATATATCCTTGACCGGCGATTTGTCTGGCGAAGCGCGCAACGGGACCCGTGACTATGCGGGGAGAGAGTCCGAGTCAGTTTCTGATGACCTGTCTTTGCAAGACGCGGAGAATTGGAAACGGCGGTGGCGGGCTTGCCTTGGTAGATTTCACTAAAGACTACTACGCCGGGGAATCGGGCCTTGGGGTAGCCGGGAACAGTAGGGTGGAAGACATAGATGCCTTGGGTGGCGCGGGTCAGCAGTCGTACTTGAGGGCGTTTCTAAACTTCTTATACATACGCATGCTTCCCTGGCCGTCCGCCTTGGTCGGCACATCGTGGAAGGATTCTTGGATCAACATTGTGCGCTAATTAAGTCTGACGGACTGAGCTGTCTGTCTCTCGAAGCAATCAAGAAGAGCAGAAAAACACCGCGGGGTCTATCGATAAGATCGCATCGAGGGGTCCTGGTCATGTGATTCCGAGGGGGGTTTTCTCCTCTACAGTCAATTCGCAACGCAATCAATCCCAATCACAGCGCATCAACGTTTTCATATATTAGACATCAAAGCACAAGGGGCCCAAATCATAGCAGGGTAATAATGTACATGGAATGATAAAGGCGTGTATAAAACAATACAGGCAAATTTTCGAAATTAAAGCCAGGCAAATGCCAAAGAATTCAAAACAAGGCAAAAGCAGCACGCTCTGGCTACAGTTATAATGCGGGACGGGCATGCATGTCCCTGCCAGAATTGGCAGATAATGATTAAAAAGGCGGTGCACAAGACCCTATAGAAGTCGAAAGATTCGGATAATGAATTGAAAATGCAGCGCCGGTCGCGACCATGGCCGTAAATATCGCGACAAAAGCTGTCTGAGGGTATCGGGTCGTTCTTCTTAGATCACATACTGCTCAACCGGTTAGTCGTCGATCGCAGGTGGTATACACGAGTTAAAAACTTACGGGAATGAACAAGTAGGGCACTTGTCTCTCGTACTCCCTCCAGGCTTCGCCGTACTTGTTCCGGCACCGCTGGATATCACGCATGGCTCGGTGGCTAATCATGCACGCAAAGAAAAGAGGGTAGAACCAGGGGAAGGGGCTGTTGAAGCCGGTAATGAGGCCCCAGTTCAAGGCGAAGAAAAGATCGCAGGTGTAATGGATCTTGCGAGCCTTGCCATCTGTCAAAGAGTAAGCAACGGTGTTTGACATGAAAATATCGGGATCACTTACACCAGCCGTCGACCAAGATCTTCGAGCCGTCCGCGGAAGTGATCGTCTTGGGGTTCTCCACGGTCTGCCACGGCAACTGAGGGAAGGTTTTCCGGAAGACCAGGGTACCCCGTTCCTGCTGGCGGAAGCGGTTCTTCTGGCTGTTAGTCGTGTCCCAGATCCAGTAGACGAAGAGATACGCGGCGTAGAGAACCACCAGGAAGTAGCGGTTCCAGTGGTAGGTGGCCGGGTCGTGGTTGGCCAGATAGATCGTGCAGTGGCAGTAACTAAGGGGCACGCCGGCAAGGTTCCAGAAGATCAGCATGAAGCCCCATTTTTCATAGTACATATCCCTAATTCCTCGCGTTAGCACGATCCGTTCGAACGGGACATTCTAGTCCAGGATCAGAGCCTTACCAAGTCGACACGATGCACTCTTCGCCCTTGGAACAGGCGTTCGCGTAAAGGAAATGAGCCATCAACAGGAACCCGACTTCTCCAGACACGTATCCGTAGACCTCGTACTGCCTGGCGGCGGCACCCATGGTGACGAAAAGAAGAATGTACCAGGGGAGGCGGACCTCAAAAAACATCTTGAAATCCAGGATGCCGAACATGCGGGGGTTGAGTTCGGCGCCCATAAAGAAGTCATAGATGTGATGGCCAGTCATGCGGTGCTCGGCGCCACGGTACAGTGCCGAAAAGTAGGCGACGAAAGAAACCAGAAATCCGGACAGAATGGCGACGCTCAGAAGAGGGCCGAACTCATCGATGATGGTGTAGAGCTTGAAAACACCGGTGACATGCAGCAACAAGGCTAGCACAATGCTCGTGTAGAAGGACCAGACGGCAGAGCAGTAGTAGGGCAGCTGCTTGCCTCCGAGCTGTGGCAGAGGACGACCCATGACGGTGATTCCGGGGAGGAGCAAGTAGCAAGCGCCCTCGAAGATGAAGAACACCCAGTAGATGGTCCACGCCTTCAAAGAGGGGAAAGCGCCCTCGTACACCAGATGACCCAAATGCGCGACGAATTCCGAGGCACTCTGGCCGTCAGACGGACGAGGGAATTTGCCATCGTAGTAGGTGGCGCCAATCCACATGTAGTACATCAACAATGGGAACCCAATCATCATGGACAGCACGCCGTAGGAGCCTCCAAACTCAAAGTGGCCGCTGTAGTCGATCTTGGGGTCCTTGCCCTCCTCCCAGCCGTCGACCACCCGGGGCTTCTTTTGGATCGTCGCACTTTCCTTGGGTTCCTCCTCGGAGGCGTCCTCGGAGGTATCCTCGGGTTTCGACTTTGCGGAAGTGCGCCTGCGAGTCGCAGACTTGGGGTTTTCTCGAATATCAATAGCAGAGTCGGAAGCATCATCCGTGTTGGTGTCAGATGCCAATGCGCTGTTGCGGGTGACCCGACGGCCGGGGGTTTCGATGAAGCCAGGGCGCTCCATTTTCCTGGCGAAGAAGGCACAGAGGTCAGTTTCAAGCCATTGGAAAAGTCAATTGCACAGATACCAGGCCCTAGAGCGACCTAGGAGAAAAAAAGAGAGAGACCAAGGCCAAATGGTTTGGGGCGACTACCACAAGGTGGCCTCTTCCATTCGACTTGAACCCCCTTCTTTTTTATTTTGCCGCAGCGGACATTCCCTGGCAGGTAAACAAATTACTTACCTAGGGGTTTTCCCCGTCTGAGAGCGTGTGACAGTCATTATGACCTGACCATGCGACGAGCGCAATGTAGAAGAGAAAAATAAGGTGGTCAAAAAAAGACGAAAAGTCCAGAAGCGGCGGGATTGACGCGAGGAGGAAATGAGGGAAATGAGGGAGAGAAGAAGGGAAAACAGAGAATGTTGATTTCCTCGGGGCCGCGTATTGTCAGTACGGTATTATTCGGTATAATGCCCACATTCAGGGGGGTAATAATCAGGTTGGGGGTTTTCCCGATGTATGGTCCGTAATCAATAAGTTACCGCCATCGGTGGTTATAACTTATAAGATAACTATAGACTATGGACTATGGACTATGGACTATGGACTATGGAGTAAAGATCTGATAACCTGGAAGAAGGAACGGTTCAAACTCTTTTCATTCCAGTTCCACGGTATTGTTAAGGTCGCTTCTAACCACTCCTATGATGTATGTATGCGCTTATATACTTGGGTTCTAGACCCTGCGCTGAATATTGGGCCTTCGATGCACACAGAAGATGTACTCCTTACTTAGAATATATATATATTGGGAAGGAAATCTATTGTTTTCCCAAACCACCAGACAAAAACTCGCTAATGTATGAATCTAACACGAAACACCATTCATCCAGCCACCTTCATGCGGACGTACATATTACGCCTGGTCCGAGCCCGAACCCATCGTCTGGTCTAAGATATCGTATGAGTTTGATTTCCTTCAGGCCTTGATGGAGAAGGGACCGAGAGCGTCGTAGAGACTCGGCATCTACAGGATGGTCAGAAACGGATCCCGGATGAATATAATAATCATTCACGGGTAGCACAACTTACCTGAGGGGCATTGGTCAAGGTAGTATCCAACCGCAGGTACCAGACGGAGTCGTCCTTGACGGCAGTGACGTTCTTGGGGATGGTGATGGTGACGGCGCCGTCCGACTCACGGATGCCGGTCTTCAGCCGGAGCTCCTCGTCGAAGTGGATAGTGTCGAGGTGGCGCACGGGGTTGTTGTACAGCCAGACGCTGTAGCTGCCCGCCTCGTACTTGTTCAGGGGGTCAGCGCAGTGAGTTGTCGGGGCACGGTTGAAGCGGAGGTCAATCTTGTCGCCGGGAGCCACGGTCGAGTTGTCGGGGATGCCCTGGTAGATGTTGACGCAGGAGTAGTCACGCTTTCCCCAGGCTATTCCACGACGTTAGCGACGCTGGACAGGAGATGATACGAACGAGCAAGGCTTACGCTGGTACTTGTCGAAAGCGGAGGCACTGGCGGCCAGGAGAGAGGCGACGGCAACGGAAATCTTCATTTTGTAGGCGAAAAAAAGAGTGATGGTCAAAATGGGACAATCGGGATGAATATGATAGAATAGATGGAACTGGAGGGAGGACAACTGCGATATTTATGTGCAGGAAGGCGATCTAAAAATATGTACCTAATCCTGTCGGCCGCGGTCCCGCGGTCCTGAATCGAGAAAAAATCCGGTTCAATAGGAAACAATTCATACAATATCGAGGGGATCGACAGTGTCCTCCGTGGTGGAGCAGCTCGATGACATGGAAGACTTGCCACCGCCCCGATAATTGGTTCTGTCGATTTGTATGTCTCACTTGCTGGCACCGGCGTACCCGTCTCTTCCTGCGCAGGGGACGATCAGGGACGGTTTGGGGAGCACCCTGTCTCAGAGAGAACGGTCGGTCGTTGACTTATCTCGTTGGGTCGAGACCCTCGAGACATATCTATCGAACAATTAATTATTCCCCTCTCCCTCGCATTGGCCAATTACCCCTAATGAATCGGAGTATTGTGCTAGGGTTGCATGAGCTGAGGTATATATTTGGAACGGAGGACCTGTAGGAAAAAATAGGGGGAGGGGGGCAAAAAGAGAGAAAAGAATCTATTCATTTGATCATGTTTTCACGTTAATATGTGTATGTATATAGTTTCAACAAAATGCAATCAGAGCGAGCTCCATCTAACTCCTTGTTCATGCGTCTCCCAGAAAATACATCTTACCCACACTCCAAAACAAACAATAATTACACTCAATGGTTCAAACGTGAAGCGTCAATGAAACAAGAAGGGAAGAGAAAGCTAGGCACCTCTCTGGATGTTTGTTGACATCAGCGTAATCTTCTTTCCCTTCTTCTTCTTTCCGCCCGTAGTCGACGAGGGCGGAGGATCGCTGCTTCCAGCTTCGATAGCTGTCTGCGCTATGAGCTCTCGCTCCTGCTGGGCAAACAATTCCTCCTCCCATCCTTCAAGCCACCCGTCGCGAGGTGCGACTCCAGGTTGCAAATCAGTCGGTTGGGAGTGTGCGACCGCGGCCGTCCCCCATACGGTGCGAGCCCCTGGAGGACTGGTCGAGGGTGACGCTAACGCCCCAAAATTCGATGAGGGCTGGGGAGGCGATGCGGAAGATGAGCCAATGTCATATGCCCCGCTCGCCAACGGCTGGAAATCTCGATCGGAAAATGGCGGATCACTGATGCCCATGCCCATGCTGGATCTCTTCCGATGAGATGCAACCCACCGTTTGTCATCCTCCTTTTCTGCACGAACCCGGTCCTTCTCCTCGCGCAACTCTTTCTCCTTGTTTCGCTTCCGTCGCCGCCCGGTTTCAGCGCCGAATTGCTCTAAGATTTCGGGCACAACCACATCTCTCCAATCGCACTCGAGGAAATTCACTTCGCAGCCTTGGGGGAGATGGCCGAGATATTTCACTCGCTTGCGAAGCTCATCGTCGACAATATGCCCGGTGGAAATATGCTCGACCCGAGGAAGAATAGTGGCGGGGAACACGGAGTAATCACCAAAAGCAGCCTTAAGAATGCGAATGTCTAGAGGGGAGAGGTAGAACTGAGGTAGTGCCTGGTAGAAATAAAATGGATGGTCGGGAGCTTGGGAGCCGTTAGTTTGTCGCATTCGGCCAACTCCTGGGTCTCTCTGCTTAGACTTTGCATCGGGCGCCGAGCCGAGGTCGACCTGGCCCATGGCTTGCGTGATGAGTTCTGCCTCGCTTGAAGTAGTTGGTGGTGATGTTGGCTCTGCCGAGGAACTCTTCCCCGACTTAGTCGCATGCTGGGATGTATACATCATGGCAACTTCATCGGGCGGAGACTGTATAGAAACGGGGTCTCTTGCCTGTCTCGTGACAGGAGTTTGGTGCGAAATGTCGGGTGGGTTGCCAATCCCCTGGAGCTTCGCTTTGGCATCATTGATGGCGGCAACGGCCTTTCGGGTCCATGTGGTCTCGTCACCAAATAGAAGCTCATCCTCTAGCTCCTGCCGACGGAGCTCTTCGACCTCGAGATCGTACTGGGCGTTCATGTAGTCCTCGCCCCCTTTCATCATACGGGCATAGTCGGCGACTTCGGCAGCGTGGTACCACGGAATATCCTCTTCAGGTCCAAGGCCCTCGGCACCGTCTCGAGGGAGGGCCAACGTGCTACCCGCTTCTCGCTTGACCAGCCTTAACACCACATCTCCACCTTCGACGGGTAAGTCGCCCTCCTGACCGCGGAACCATCGCACAGGGCGAGTCTCCGAGATATAGATCGAGTCCCAGCAGATGGGGCATTTTTTCCAGCGCGCTTTCTTCTCAGGAGCGCGACTCTCATCGTCGGTCGAGTGCATGTAGCGAATCAGACATGGGAGACAGAATATATGACCGCACCGAGCCATTCGAGGGGCTACTGGCGTCGATAAGCAAATGGGGCAGCTGGCGGATTGGGTTTCAGCCGACACCAGCACCTGAAGCACGGAATCCCAGTCCAAGTGAACATCCGCATTAGCCGCCTGGGCCTTATAGCTTCTATTGGGCGTTACGATGAATCGATAATTTGCATGAACATATCGAGCCTTGTCCATGGCGTGGTATCCGGACCCCAGACCCCATGACGCATACCGGCGGGTGTTGCGCGGTGGGGGTTGATACTGCGGGCGTGGGGGAAGGGAAAAGTTCATGAGATGAGTAATGGACGTCTGTCCCTTACGGCTGGTAGTTGATCTCATGATGGCCTATTCAATGCATTCCACACTTGATCAGAATGGATTGACACACTCCGGCCGAGAGGAGGCCGGGAAAGAGAGGGGGCACCTACGGATTCGCTATAATCGTCATCATCCAGCAATCTAGGACGCGCTTGTTTGTGTCTATTCCTCCGAGACTGATTGTTTCTCGGAGAACTCGAATTTCTTGATGCTAATCCGGCTCCAAAACTGCCCGAGCCTCCCGCACGTCGTTGCGAACCGCTATCAACCGAAGGGGCCGAGTGAAATGTTGCGGATGCGGATTGACTCGAGATATTCAGCGGTTTGGAAGGGCCTGGTGTCTGGCCAGCATTGGATGACATTGCCCACTTGGTCAAGGTGACTGCGGATCGCTGCGTCGTTGCCGGAGAAAGAGGAGAGGCGAAGGGAATGACTCCGAGGGTTATCTTGCGCCAGAGACTGCGCCGATCAATTTGGTCCAGGGAAAAGGAAGGAATTATGGGTAAGACAAAGTGAGATCATCCCATAGTAACTCTAAGGATAGGAAAGGGGAGGAGAAGCAGCAGAGGATGCCGATGCTTGCTTCTCCCGGACGTGAGGGTGGAGGGAGAGAGACGAGGTAAAACGAAGACGAAGAGGGAGAGAGAGAGACGGCGAGAGGGGCGAGTATGTCATGTCTTGGCACGACGGACGCCTCAGGCACGTGCGCACCCAAAAAAACATCATCTCATCTCAGCTCAGCAACTCCTCCCTCTTGCTCTGCTTTCCGCCTTGTCTGTCGCCGCTGGTTCCTCGCGCCCTCCCCCAACTCGAGGTATAGTCAATTTTCTTTCTTCTCCTTTAAGTGTCCTGTATCAGGTATGTTCTTCATCTCTCTATAATTTTGTTATTTTTTTTTTCTTTTCTCCTTCTTCGCTCCCTCGCTCCTTTCCCTACCCCGATCGCGTACCATTCTAACAAATCCCTTAGCCTTGAACAGGACCACCAGCGCCAAGCTTCTTTCTCCATCGATCCCGCCAATTCATCTTTAACGGTCTTTAGTTTTCCGATCACGAAGCTAAGAATGGCTGCTTAGACGGGTGCTCATAGCTTTCTCTCTCTCCCTTTCCGTCTCGACATCGCCTCCCTCTTCCCGTCTTCTCCCCGATTCGCATGGCTCCCATTGAGGCAACGCGTGGCTGAATCGTCGAGACGACCCTCCGACGTCTAGACATGATGAACCATCACCTGCCCGCTATGCCCCATGGGCAGCCACCCTTGCCCGCTTCTCGAAGACAGCAAGACATGTACACGACAGGGCCTCCCAATATGCGCTCGCCTCCCGCATACATGGGATATCCTCCTCATATGAACGGCCAATTCCCTCCCGCCTACTCGCCGCAGCAATATCCTCATTGGTATCATCCGACTGCAGCGCCGCCGTATCCTCAGATGCAGCCACCTCCTCGTCCATTCCAGCCTCCGTACGCCCCGATGTTCGTTTCGTCATACCCTCCTGCGCAGCCGGTGATGGCTCCCGCCCACATGCCCCCTCCGTCACTTCCCATGCAGCCCAGGACCTCCACTCCCATCCAGCCCGCCATGTCGCCTACTGTTGGCCCGGCGCCTGCTCCGTTCGGTATGCAAGCGCAGTCTCCGGCAATTATCCCCGTCCATCCGGTACCTAGCCCTGCCATACCCTCGCCGTCTGTCCCACCGGCGGAAAAGATCGCTCCGGCCCCGGCCCCGGCCCCAGAACCCAAAGAGCCATTTCACCCGCCCGTAAGTCCCCAGCCCAACCGACAGTTTCTTAAGTCTGACGCAAACACAGCTTCCTTGGCTCTCTGTACCTGAACTTCCATTTCCTGCCAGAGTCCCCCGCCGCCGGCGGAAAGACCGCTTGTTGCAGTCTTCGTCAGCTTCGGTTGAGCTCCCCTCGAAAGATGTTTCTCAGCGGCCCCTCGTTGAGAACAATGGCGACCAGAAACCCGCCGATTCGCTTGCACAGACACCATCGGAACCTCAGTCTCCAACCCTGTCCGTCGCCCCGTCGGCTACTGCGAATTCTACTCAACCGACCACGCCATCGTCGGCCGTTCATCCTGCTGCACGTCCCCAGTCGCAGTCTAAAGGGTCCAAATCTGGAGCCCCCGTGGTGCCTGTCGTTCCTGTAGTATCAGGTGTTGCTTCGCGCCAAGGTACCAAGGAGGAAGCCAACCGTTCCACTGAAGCCGTAGCAAAGTCATCCGAAGGTGTTACCACCGATGAGGCCAGTGTGACTGCACCTGGGAGTGCATCCGCTCACGGTAGCTCTGAGGAGGCATCCAAGCCAGCTTCGCCTCCTGCAGCACCCAAGTCATGGGCCGATCTTGTTCGCTCCAAGGCACTGGCCAAGGGCGCCGCCGCTTCGGGAGCCCCATCTGCCGTGTCAAACGGCGTGGTCAAGCCTAAGAACGAGTCGCTTGCAGATGTCTTGACGAGCCTTGGAGATGATGTCTCTCAATACAGCGATAAAGTTGCTTTCCTTGAACCCAGAGGACTTGTAAATACTGGGAACATGTGTTATATGAATTCTGTATGCTCACCCTCGTCCCCGCCTCTTTTTTCCATCTAACAAAGGTGCTTAGGTCCTTCAAATTCTGGTTTCGTGCGTTCCGTTCTATCAATTTTTGGATCATATCGGCAGACGAGCGTCGCATAGCTTCCACAGCGATTTTCCATTGGTTGATGCAATGTAAGCTGGCGTTTATCTCTTGATATCTAGACAGACACTGATTACCCTGCTTCTAGGATTATGTTTATGAAAGAATTCCGCATTATCGACGCTGCTCACTCAGAAGAACAATTGAAACTACGATTGAAACCCAACGAGCTGGAAGAGTACGGCGAAGCTTTCATTCCGGAATTTGTTTATCAAGTTATTAGACAGCTTCCCCGCTTCCGCGATATGCGAGTAAGTTGCAACCCAGTTATTGTGCAAATATTGTTCGTTCTAACCCTCTTTCTAGCGTGGCCACCAACAGGATGCCCAGGAATTTTTGGGTTTTTTGTTGGAAGAGATGCATGAAGAATGTGCTCGTGCTGCTAAAGATGCCTCTTCCGCGCCTGGCGGATCGGCAGCTCCTTCGAATGACGAATCCTCTACCACGGACGGAGAGTCCGGGGACGGGTGGATGGAAGTTGGTCACAGACAGAAGCCGGCCGTCACGCGATCTTCCGGCCACATCGCCCAAGAATCTCCCATTACCAAGATCTTTGGCGGCAAGATTCGATCCGAGTTCAGGGTTCCTGGCAACAAGACCTCTGTGACCCTGGAGCCTTACCAACCTCTTCAGCTGGACATCGGCTCACCCGAGATTAGCAACATTGTTGACGCTCTCAAGGGCTTGACAAAGCCCGAGAGTATCCAAGGCGACTTCAACTCGTCGCGGGGCTCCAATGTCACCGCTACGAAGCAGGTCTTCATCGAGGACCTGCCGCCTGTGCTGATCCTCCACCTCAAGCGCTTCCAGTACGACAGCGTGACCCATGGCACACAGAAAATATGGAAGAAAATTGGATATCCCTTGGACTTGGAAATTCCGCGCGAGGTCTTCCCTCCTAACCGACGCAATATCATGATGAGCCAGGGCGGTCTTCCCAAGTACCGCCTGATTGGAGTTATCTATCACCACGGCAAGAATGCCAGCGGCGGTCATTATACTGTGGATGTGCGCCGCCAGAACGGTCGCGAGTGGATTCGCCTGGACGACACTGTCATTCGGCGCGTTCGAGCCGAAGATGTTGCCGAGGCCGGAGGCGAAGAAGACCCTAAGGTGCTTGCGGCGGCACTCGAGCAGCACAAGCGCGACAAGGATCCCAACGCAAATATTTACGATCATATTGATGATCTGGAACAGTCCGACAACGAGAGAGGCTGGAGCCAGGTCAACGGAGCCGGTTCCAGTGGCCACTCCAGCAAGAAGTCCACCTCGGCGGTTGTGAACGGGAATTCGTCCCGTTCATCTCTTGACCGATATGGCATTCGAGACAATAAGGTGGCATATCTGCTATTCTACGAGCGGATTGCCTGATTGTTTTAATTTCCTCCTTTCTCCAACTGCACATACATACAACTACTACACGAAGGCAGTGATTTCCTCCTTTTCATCTGAAGAAAGACATCTACCTAACATATAAAACAAAAAAGAAAAAAAAAAGACTCTTCTTTGGGAGGCTGGGTGAACCTTGCTCCATCCTAGGGAAGTCATGGAAGTGACTTTTCCTGGTCACAACATTTATCGAACTCTACATCGATTGCGGAGACAAGTCAAATCTACCCAAAGAGTTGTGGGGGCGCTTCTCTTTGGGACGACTAGAATCATCTCCTTCAACATTCCCAATCATCCGCTTCGATTTCTTTTGCCTTCTCATTTTCTTCGATTTCAATTACAGTTTCTTTTTTTTTTTTAATATTTTGCCTACTCCCTTCTTACTTCCTGCATATTGCTTTTTGCATTCGTGATGAATGGGACAAAAAAAATCCGTTCTCAGTGATGGATAGATTCATCACCTCTTTGATCGATTCCAACTGTTTGCGATGCTCCATCTTGCGGACTGTCGCTCTGATATATACCCCAGTTTATTTTCCTCGCATATCACTCGATTTGCTTTGGCGGAAGCAGATTTGATTTGATGTGTGGACGTGTGGATGGGACTCTTAACGACTGAATGAATGTTTCCTATTTTTCCATAGACGTGTGGATGAGGACGCTAGTTATGATGTGGTCCGTTCTGCCTTTCTCTTGCTCATCCGTCTGAAACGGAGGCTCGGACGATGTCGAGAAGACGCAGAACGAGGAATCAGGACCCGCAAACGGACAATATTCTTATTATCCTTTCTCGAAAAACGGAGGGGGAAATGGGCGAAATCCCCCTCCAATGGCGACTGATTCCTTGTGTTTTCAACGGTGACGGGAGGATGCTGTCTGGAACAATGTTCATCTATTGCATGTTTCAATCAGTCCTCCTGTATTTTCCCCCCTTTGCTTCTCTCTTTATTTCTCTCTCCTCAGTTCTCATGCTCTTCCATGGGGGATTTTTTTATCCCCCCTCTCATGGCGGCGGGAGGTAATGGATGATTCACATACACCATCTATCAGCGACGATGCTATTGGAAGAACGAGAGAACGAAAGAGCGAGAGAGATACCGAGGAAGCGATGCTAAAGGACCGAAAAGGAAAGGCGATGATGTATGTGACGATGAAGTGCGGCGTATGTCGGTGGAATGGGTATTTGGGTGCAGCGAGACACTACTTAAAAGCTTTGTCCTAGAAAAATTCGAAAAATCTTTTTAATTTTCTATTGAACTGGGTTGATACAGTGGCTTTGTGTAACAGGTGTGCTAAGTAAGGTCTTTCGGTGTGTCCTTGTTTAGGAGTTTTAGTCTCTTCTTAATCTGGGTATGTTAAGGTCTTATGTAGACATTACGTAGTAGGCTAACAGAATAGAAGGTTATAAGGGACCGCGAAGACCTCGATAATGCATGCAATGGCACGCTTTTCGTCACTGCTAGCTAGGTCTGTGGGTAGTTCCTGGCCGGTCCAGGTTTATAGGACCCTTTATAACAGGACATAGTGAATTGAATCTATAAAAGATAAAATGTCAAGAATATCAACCAACAGATCCCTAGCCCGTTGCACCGTCCATGGAAAGCACATTTTATGATGATCCGGATAGAACGGGACACATTCAAGGCCGCATCGCTGAGACCGACAGATCACAATTTACCATGATTGACAGATGATTACCTGTTCGCTGCATCCGGGGGGGTTGTACCAGTGACCACGAGCTTCACCGGTCGTTCGGGCTCTTCGGCATGGCCAGTACCTAGCTGTAGCTGGTCCGTCGAACGAGGCCTGATGATAGATCGGCCAACGCGAAGAACGGTTGACAGCGGTGCCTGCGACGAAGGGCGCTTGCGTCCTCGATTGCTGGCAGCTTCAGGGTCGCGAGTCGCAGTACTGTGGGTATGCTGCACAATCGCAATTGAGACAGGCTCGGCCTCGATAGTTGTAGTACTACTTAATGCATTGGAAATGGTCCGGGGAATGTGATACCCTGCTTTCACCAAGGGAATTGACAGACCATGGACAACCTGCAGGGCCTGAATGAGAAAGGATACGAGTTCAGCATAAGGGAATGAACTTACGATACTGCAGATGACCAGAAACCAAACAACTACATCGACCGCCTCCGAGACTCGGTGGGCGTCCTCACGCACCTGTCCGTTAGAGGCGGTAATCTGATGCAGAAACTCGCGACTGATCGATAGGTAGAAGACAGCCCCCACTCCAATCGGCCCAAAGAAACCGACAAAAGCGGCCTGAAATAGATTCTCGATCTGGTTGATGTATTTGTGCATTGCCAAAATGATGGGTATCCGGCGGACGAGTAAGATCGAGATTCCCAAGAAGACTAGACGGTATATGGGAATGATCTCGTTATTGACAAACGAGGACCACGGACAGACGGCGCCAAACCACATGAAGACTGCCAGGTTCAGCAACATATCAATCGTGGGTTGCAACGAATCATCCATCGTCTCCAGACGGAACCAATCACTTCGGGTTACAAGTCAGCATCGATCCCTAAAGGTGCTCTAGATGATAAGATGCTTACTCTTGAGTGAAAACATTGCCAGCCACAAAGCACGCAAGCAAGTCATCGGTCCCGATCATGCCGCAAGTTCCCAAGATGAACAGCTATCGCGACATCAGTAATCAAGAGCCACGGTCCACGAGTTTGGGGCACATACCGAAAGGGCGATGGCAAAGACAAGGAAGCTCTCACGGTCAACGTACCGCTTCTCCTCCGCCCAATGAAGCAATTCGCGGGAAATCCAACCTACAGTGATTCCGTAGACAACGCTCAAGATGACGGTGTATGCCCAAGTCTCGTAAAACCACAGACCCATGGCTTTCCCGGCACCTCCACTGTACCCCTCGCCACCCATACCCACGTATTTGAGAAGATATAGGCCAAAGAAAAGAAAAGGATATCCAAGGCCATCGTTGGCACCAGACTCGGCGACAATGATCCGCTGTAAGGCACGGGGAACATTCCTGTCGGCAAACTTCCCCTTCACAATCGAGTTCGAAAGGACCGGATCCGTGGGAGTCACGCAGGCCCCAACTATAAGAGCATGGAGGAACTCGAAGTCCGGGATCAGCGCCCAAATCACCAAGCTACTGCATATCCACATGGCGGCCATTCCAGGCCCCAGGAGGAGCGACAGACTCCGCCATTCTATTTGAAGATAGCGTTTAGGGAGCTGAACTCCGGCAAGAACCAATTGCACCCCAAGCACGAGTCGCGTGAAATACAGAGTGATCTCCTCGAGGTTTTGTTCGGAGCCTTGCGCATATTCGTGAGGTCGTATGAAATTGGCAGCATGCGGGGAGAAGATGACCCCCGCTAAGAGAGATATTACTGGGTCTGTATTAGCTTTTGGTAATGAATCACTGGAAATAGTGAACGAACATGCTTCGGACAGATAGAATCGCTCTTTGAATAAGTAAGACACGAGTCCGAACACCGAGATAAAGCCGCCTAAGGTGGCGCAAACGATGTTGAAATTGATCAACGAAAGAGTGGGCATGTTGCACCGCCCTTTACTTTGCCAGGTGATGATTTAGACAATAAGATCTATTACAATGCCAAATATGTCGATGGCGTCAAGGGATTTTTAAGAGATATGTACGCAGATGAGGGGACAAGCGTGTGTTATTCAACCATGATCCAGATGTTGCCGGTCGAGAATTGTCTTGTCATGGATATAGGAAAATATAGAATTGAACCAATTCCTTGAGCAATGCGCAATGCAAGCAAATATCACTTATGGATTCCAATGAGACAGGGGGTGATGTGCAACTTCAAGACCAAGAGGGACAGAGAGAAGAAGATGATGAAGAAAACCTCAGGCCAAACCGGGTGGATGACTGAGATCACATGCCGCCATGCCCGATGGGGTAAGAGGCAACCGATTGAAGCAACCCATAACTGAAGCCTTTCCTGCTCGACTACTTCGTGTCACGAATGATGCTACTGTTGAGCTTGGTGGTGTGTAGCTTATTGCTTATTCAATTCTCACGCTGGCACTTCACAAACATACAATGCGGACGACCTAGCCTGTCCGCAGGGTTCAAAATAAACGCAAATAAATCATTATCGTTCGTCAGGGAACACCATAGCAGGGAATAAGAATGGACAGGAGAAAATTCTTGATTCAAAGATCATCATCGAATTCCTCGTCCGGAATATCCTTCATAGCCTCCATCGCGGCCGCCTTTTCTGACACGCCTCGTTTGGCGCCGCTGACGGCGAGGCGGTCGGCGGCCTCATTGCCAGGATCGGAATTATGGCCTTTGATCCATTCGAACAAGGTCTTGACCTTGAGTTCCTCGCGCTCTTCGATCTTCACGAGTATGGATTCGACCAAGTCTTTGTTCTCGACCGGCTTATTGCCGGCGGTCATCCAGTTGTTCTTCCGCCATTTGATGAACCAGGAAGTGACGCAGTCGATCGCGTACCGGCTGTCTGTAAATATAGTCACGTCTCGATGTCGCGGTGCAATGTCCAAAGCTCGCAAGATTGCCGTCAATTCAGCCCGCTGATTCGTTTGACGGCTACCTTTGAGAGGCTCGGAAACATTTCTACTAGGCAGAGTTGAGCATCAGTAAAGAGAAACAAGGTTTGTGTGTGCTTTGGGGAGGGAGGGAGAGAGAGAGAGAAGTTGACTTTGAACTTGAGAGAGGCAAACCTTTTATCCCCAGGCCCGAAATACACGCCAACGCCCGCCGATGCAAGGGCGCGACCATTCTTGAGAGAGCTACCATCCGTGTAGATTCGCAGCATGCCGGGAGGGCCTGTCGGCATGGTTTTCGTAGCATCTTTTTGCTCTTTCGATTTATAGACTACCTTGCCGGTTTTGGGATCGAGAAGGATGTTGGGATCGAACCCGTCCTCAGCGCCAGGGGGTAGAAAGCTATCGCCCGCCTCAAACAATTCGCCCTGCTCGTCTCGCGGGGTCTCGTCCGTCATTCCTGGAGCCCCGGGCAGGCGCTGCAGAGTGGGCGCGGTCGTAGCAAACGGAGCGCCGCTGCTCCCTTGACCCTGCTTCACGAACGCCTCCGCCTCTGCCCGTGTAGGGAATTTCTTGTACCGAGGTCGAGTGAATCCTTTGATTTGGTCCTGAGCCTTTGCCCAGTTCGTGTATACGCCGGGAACTCGTCCACGCTGAACGCCGTAAAATCGGGTAGGTTCTGAATCCAGGGGCGTGGCGCCTCGGGCGTTGGGGGGCCGGGTGCCCGTCAAAAAAGCGCTCGCGTCTTCATACGTAGAAAATGCCTGGACTGAACAGCTTATGTTAGCCCTTATCGAGCTCAATTGCATGTATACGGGTTCATTTGCCCGAAGACCTACACACTGCGCCTTTGTACCCCGTCACCTGAGTCAAGCATTCGTTCCACAAGTTATACACTCCTGGCTGATAGCCCACCTTGACGGCGTAATATTTGCCAGCCGGTGATCGCTTGCGCTTGGTTCCGGCCGTTGACGTGGGCGGGGATTTCGAGCTAGGAGAGGGCTTCGTCGCTGGGCCGGGAGTCGGAGAGGGAGTGGTGTCATTCATCGCGTCGAGTTCGGGGTTGGAATGGGTCGGAAAAAAGGTAATACGGCGTTGAAAAAGGCGTAAAATGCTATGAAGAGCAGAAAGGCGACCAAGGAGACCGGTATTCGAGATTCTAGGTGGCGTCGTCAAGCTTCGTGAACCGCAGGAGCCGAATCGCGCGGGGAATATCCACGGCCTGTAGCTCGAAATGGACCTCTTCGGTCCTTGATTCGAGGCTACAGAGCGGATCCAACGAGCAGTCGTGATTTGAGAAGGAAAACAGCAGAATTAGCTAGCTTGTGTACCAGAAGGAAAGAAGCGGAAGTTGAAGGTTGACGCTGAAGAAAAGGTAGTCGTAGTTGTCGGGAAGAAAAGAAAAAGAGGGGGGGTCAGTAGGGGTCGATGCCTCCCCACCACTTTTGTCTTGTTTGTTGTCAACCACGACACTTGGATAAACAAATGAATAAGCAAAGTGTGCATTTAGTGCATTTTTCTTGCTATAGATCATCTCAGGTGCTCAGAGATAGGCTGAATATGTTGTCTTTTTTTCCAACGTCACTTCTGGTTACTACGTATCTATACTAGATAGTCACTTATCCACTATTGCCATGGGCTGTCTCCGTCAACTGAACCAGTTTAGACCTGAAACTTCCCAGCAACGCCTTACAATAGCTGGACCGGTCTTCTTGCTGACCATGAATTTACCGGTGACTGCCAGTAAGTGTGAATGTGGAAGAAAGAGCAAGCGTGCGAGAATATCCCAGGAGGTTCAACGCAGCCCTAGGTGACGCGTTATGCTCTGCAGTGAATGCGTGCTGTGCAGAGGAAAACCAGTCCTTCAGCAGTGTTCTTTTGCTGCCTGTCGCTCTCATTTTGGTCCTAAACTGTCCCGTACTGGCCCTGGTGACAAGTGAATACACACCTCACTCAATATTTCTATCCCATCCATTCTGTTGGCAAGGCTTTGGCTCCTTTCAGTCGATCAAGCAGTCCCCTCTGCTTCTGCCAGATTCACGGTCAGAACAGTTAAGCTCATCAGTCCATAGCCAATTGTTCAATCTTTTGGCCATCATCGCGACTTTTGGTCAGTTGGATGTTCCCGGGCTCTTGGAACCGAATAATCTGCAGCCAATGTCTCTGAACAAGTAAGTATATCATTACCTGGACCTGATCTGATATGGGCATTTGTCACAGCAAATGAACCATACTATATTTGACCATAGATCCCAGTGCAGGCTAATCAATTCAAAGTGCTCCTAGGGAGTTGGTCGTCACCATGAGCAACCCAATCCAGGCCCAGATCGCCAGACGTCACATGAACCGCTTTTTCCATTTCCAAAGTGACATGGTGCCTCCTACTGGCCCCTTCCAGAACCTAACGCTTGAATTACACGTCGCTTGTCTGCGGAACGATGCCGACAGAGTCACTCAGCTGATGAGCATGGGTGCCAAGCGAGATGCCCTGAGCGAGAGCGGAGCGAGTGCCCTGGAAGTGGCAGAGCAGCTTAATCGCACGAACATAGTCAAATGTCTCATGGCAAACGTTGACGTCGAAAAAGAGGGTGTGCTGGAGCTACTGTACGCCATCCGTCGCGGCCAGTCTACCGTGGTACGCGCGTTGATGGAGATGGGAGTCAAGCAGCAGCTGCAGGATGAGGTTGTGTTCCGCGGTGTGTTCCTGATGGCATGCGCCATTAGCAACCCCTTGGTAGTGAACGCACTCCTTCGATACGGCCCCGGTCTCAACGTGGCGGTCTTCGAGGAAATCTTCGTCCGCATTGCGCGCACCACGAGCAACCTGGCAACCGCCGAATTTATCCATGAGATCTGCGACGAGCAACGTCGTCGAGGATCGAGGGCCGACATGGTGAGCCACCACCAGCTAGAGGGTTACATATGGCAAGATTGCACTGACTTGTGGATTAGGCCACTAGCCAGTTGCCTACCAACAACAGCCTCGACAGAATGTTTAACGAGATCATCGAGATGCCGCAGTCCTCGAGTGTCAACGTAGTGGAAGAGGAGAAAGATAAAGATGGGTATTGGTGAACTTTGGAGAGTGTTGGGAGATGGACGGCAGGACAGAAGATTGGAAGTTCAACGGTTGATTGATGATCAACGACGAATAATGAATACGTCAATGTTGCATAAATCATGATCAGTAATCTAATGCAAGTGAACTAATCCCAAAAGGGTCCGGCCAGTTCTCGGCCGGCAACGGTGCTGAGGTCAGCGGCGACCATTCCCAACCGGGCAACTGTAGAGATCGGCCCCAGGCCCCCCAACTGCCCCGAGCGGACTAGCGCATCCTGCGTCATACTCGACTCGGCATCAATCGGCATTTCCACTCTTTTCCACCTTTTCCATCGCCTCCTGTTTGTTCTCTGACGGCCCACCGGGCTGAGCTTCATTTTCCCGCCAGGATCGAAATCATGGTGAAACTTACTTCTCCCTCCGAGTGGATCGGGTCAACAACACCTGCCATGCGGTGAACCCATCCCTCTTCCTGATGTCTTATTCCTATTAGATCCCTGTCTGTCGTTCATTTAGTCCCAATTAGCCCACTCATCCGCTGCACGACTAAATAATAAACCGATTTGCTCGCTTCTTTTTGTCGCTCGTTCCCCCCTCCTCATCCATCATCGCGAGGGCGAGTTAATGCTTAGCTTCAGGATTCCCTTTTCCGGAAAGGCCCCTGAGCGATCCTATTATTATTAATCGCCCTTATGCGGTTCGTCATCGAGAAGTTAGGATCGACTCGACACAATTTGCTCTGAGCCCGTGCTAGGCGACCGATTTTCTCATAGTACTTGTTACGCCTGAAAGCCGTCCGTCATGGCGGTGTTAGTAGATCAGACCGGTACCTTGGTGAAGGCCTTGATTGCCATAGTATGTTATTTTACTTTCTTGCTTGTCCCAGTCGTTGATTTGGTTTTATCTAAATGGATTCCTATTGTTTCCACTAGTTAATTGAATCCAGGTTGTTCTTCACGTCCTCGGAAAGGCAATTTACAATGTCTTCTTCCATCCGTTGCGGACCTTTCCCGGCCCCGTCTCTCATGCCATGTCTCCCATCCCATACTGCTATCGGTTGCTACGGGGCCGGCTTCCCTTCGATATGTTAGCCCTGCATGAAAAGTATGGAGACGTGGTCCGAATTGCACCGGGTGAACTGGCATTCGCGCATGTAGACGCTTGGAAAGACATTCACGGCCATCAGCCCAATGGTGGCGACGAGTGCGGGAAGTGGATGAGCTTTTATAAGTATGCAGACGGCACGCCCACCAGCATTGCCAATGCCGAGCGTGAGGAGCACGGCATCCTGCGACGTCAATTATCCCATGGTTTCTCCGAACGGTCCATGCGGGCACAAGAGCCCCTCATCACTCAGTATGTCGACTTGCTCATCCAGCGTTTGCACGAGAAGTGTGGCGACGGTACCAAGTCCGTAGATATGGTGTCGTGGTACAATTTCACTACCTTTGACATTATCGGTGATCTAGCCTTCGGGAAACCGTTCGGGTCCTTGGAAAACTCCGTATACCATCCGTTCATCCCGCTGCTTCTCAAATCGGCCAAGACGGGGACCTTGATGTTGAGTTTGAGCTTCTATCCTCTGTTGAAGAAATTCTTTCTGGCGATGGTGCCAAAATCAGTCGTCAAAGCGTTCCAGGATCATCGGGATGTCTCTGTTGCCAAACTTCGCGAGCGTATGCAGGCAGGAAATGAGCGCGACGACTTGATTGAAGGGCTCCTGAGGAAACAGGATGAGCTGGTTGGTATTCCTGGTCAATGAATTGTTGAGGACCCTGCTGATACCGATTCTAGGATCTTAATATGGATCGTCTCGAGGCGAACGGCACTATACTTCTTATTGGAGGCTCTGAAACCACGGCGACTCTGCTCTCCGGGATCACCTACTTACTCTTGCAGAACCCGGAAGTACTGGCGCGTTTGACTGAAGAAGTTCGTTCCTCTTTCCATTCTGAAAAGGACATTACGATGGATTCGGTGAACGGTCTATCGTACATGTTGGCCTGCCTCAACGAAGCCCTGCGCTCCTACCCACCGATTCCCATCGGACTGCCGCGAGTGGTGCCGAAGACCGGCCGACAAATCATGGGGCAATACGTTGCACCAGATGTAAGATTCTCTTCAATCATTCTACGGTAGCACCGTAACTAAGTTTAGTTATAGACCATTGTCGCCATTCATCACTGGGCGACATACCACAACGAAAAATACTTCACCGACCCATTTGGCTTCCACCCGGAACGGTTCCTCGGGGATGAGCGATTTGCTAACGACAACTTTGATATCTTACAGCCTTTTAATTTCGGTCCTCGGAACTGCCTTGGACGGAAGTGAGTACCCCCTTAGCATCTGGTCTATTCATACTGACGAGTATTGATAAAGTTTGGCATATGCGGAGATGCGCATGATCCTGGCGCGTCTGATTTATAATTTCGACCTGAAGCTCGCCAGCGACAGTGTCGGGTGGATGGAACGGCAGAATATTTTCTTCCTTTGGGACAAACCGCCGCTGCACATCTTTCTAACGCCAGTGAAACGATCATGATACCATGACAAAGTATAGAATCAGATACATTGTATCAGCTGAATTGCATTTTTTATGGCCATGTTCTGGTTACTAGCGGGGTTCTTCTCATCTCTTTTCGCGTCTTCTCTTTTCATTTCTTTTTCTACAGATGAAGTCACATACACTTTAAAAAGAAAGTATATATCATTCGTCCCCTTCTCCCATGAATCTCTCCGAAAAGACTGCATGTAAGTGAATAACAACCCATCAATTAAAGAACTGAGTGGAGCAGAGGCTGCCTTGGGGCCGATATACTTCAATAGAAGAGACTAATGATCCTGCTATCGGAATTGAGGTATACAAGTCATGCCTTGGCTGATTCCACTCTCTTTCTGCACCGTTCACTGATTCCCTTGTTGAGCCATTGGCCCTAATTCTAGTACCTCGTGGATACAGTGCACCTACGTCACTAAGCGATCATTCCAGTACGAAAAAGGGTTCGATATGTCTCAAGGCAATTTTGAGTCTATTGCTAATTCTAGCGTTGGTAGAGAACATGGATAGTCACTAATCACATGCACGACAACCCCATACACCTCGGAACAAGCAGGAAAAACCAAGCGTCTAGAGCTCATCATGGTTCCAAGGCTTTTTAAATCTTTCTTTCTCCTCTTTGTCTAATCCGACACACGTGATATCTGCCAGGCGTTTGAACACCCCGATACATCTGGCCCAGGTTTCCACGCCGCTCCCCGCGGCGTGTTTGTTGACTTCGGCCGTGAACGCGGCTTGCCACTCCATGCCACCTTGCGGGGTGGGGAACTAATGGAAGTCAAAGCTGTGGACATATCTTGCTCCATCGGCACAGGCGTGGGCAGAAGGCAGGATGGTTTCCTGACCAAAGTCCCAACTGGCGAAGCCCGAGCCTTGCAGCCAGAACCGCCAGCCCCCTTCTACGTCTTCAGACGCGCAATAGCCTGAGCGCTTCTTTGGGACTTTCTTGATGCGCTTGATGTGACCCATCCCCATCTTCAGCTGGTAGATGGTGGACCCGCGGACCCAGCGCCCTCCAAACTTGAAGTTCAAAGGGTTCTCGGGGTCGAGGCCGTCGCAGCTGTGAATAATGCGGTCGAAAGAATCGTGACATTCGTCACTGTTGAAAGCCGCGGAGTTCGAGTAGACCTCGAAGTGCATCTCGTCGGGGGTATCGCGGTAGTACGTTTTCGAGTGCTTCTTCCGGCCGGCGCCAGCATCCGTCCACGCCATCGGGAGCTCACCGCGGCAGAAGAGCTTCTTGGCCTCGACGGCTGAGTCGACATCCGCGTAGTAATTCGACGGCTCGTCGGGCTTTTTGGTGCATTCGAACTTGTTGAAATTATCACACCGCGGATTGTAGACCCCGAGCTCCTCGGCCCGCGCGTTGATGAGCTCTTGCATTACGAAAGATGCGATTGTCGAGTGGCCAAGCTCGTTCGGATGGAAGAGTTTGCCAATGTCATCTGGTAGACCGAAGCCCCAGCTCTCGATCGCATCTTTCAACCATTCTTCCAGAAGATTTTCATCCGCCTTTTCTCGGCCACCAGGGCAATGGGGAGGAAGGGGCGCGCGCGGGTCGAGGCGGCGCTCTGCCTGAGCCGCCGGGTTAATCGACTTGTAGATGCGCGAGCTGTACCAGAGCCTATCCTCGGCCAGCTCGACCGCCACATCTCGCTTGCCCTCTCCAGTATACGGGGGAGTGTCTTGGATCTGGGCAGTATTCGTTTTGAAGAATTGCAGGTCAGGTTGGCCGGGATCTGGGTAGATCCCTTTTGTCCCTGGGGTACAGAACTGGCCCCGGACGCCCTGCTTGGGGAACTCGTTCCAGTTGACGGTTCGAATACGGTATCTTAAATTGTCTTGCTTAACGACATCGTCGATGGCCTTCTGTATCACTTCGTTGGTCCGAACCACCAGGTCGTTGAACTTCCGACGTCTGTCCTTCGTCAAGGGCAATGCCTCTCCAAGCCTGCCCAGGGTCCAGTCTTGGTTCAGGCCGCACGAGTTGCTATCGGCATAGAAGAATTCTGCGTACAGAACGTAGAGGACGGGACCGCCTGGACGCACATAGCCATCGAGCCTACTGAGCACGCTTCGGATATTACCAGCCAGCAGATGTTCCAGGTTCAAGTCCGCTTTCTCGAGGGTTTCGTGGCATTTCTTCTCGCTTTGGAAAGGCAACAACACGCAGCGCTTGATAATATCTGACTGTTCCTGGTTAGTCCACGAGTATGGAAATTCTTACGAGGGATCCCTTACCAAACAAAGGTCGTTTCCCCCGCCAGTCAGAACGACGAGGTCCAGCTCGGTGTCTTTACCAAGTTTCAGATCCCAGGTCTGTGCATGGATCTGCTCGGTACGATCTCCAGAGCATGCAAGGTATTGGAAGTCCGCATCCGCACTGAAAGCCATTTTCAATCTAGAAGGATAGGATCGGTCGTAACGAGAGCATCTCCTGTCTTCCGGGGTGGAATTGTACAGATTGCCTGCCCCAATACCTGCGGTGAAACTGTCCCCAAGTGCAGCCCACCTTCTGATCCAGCCGAAATCATTCGGGTTGTTATCGTCCCTTTTTTCAAGATTCGGGGCGTCAGAGGTCAGGGTATCATTCAGGTGAAGTGGAGCATCGGTAGGAGGAATGTTAGACGATAGATCAAGGACTACGTCTGACACATCAGAGGGAGAATACAAGGAAGTAGCGGAAATGGTATGACCAAGCAGCACAAGAAGCAGCACGACCCATGCCAAGGGAGCCATAATAGGCGAAAGGAAGAGGATGAGAGTACAATGGGTGAAGGGATCACGGTTTGAGGGCACAAGAGGGTAAATGAAAGAGAGGAAGAAGAATGAGAAAGGAAAAGTGGATTAGGGGAGAAGAGAGAAGGGATTTGGTGCTCATTATATGCTAACCATCGTACATGAATATTCCGCTCATGGAGCCAGACTGTGGCAAGATCCTTTAATTCCTGCACTGGATAGCCTGGTATCCGCGGAGACCTCGGGCCAGCTCATCTTTCACTGTCAGCATAGGCGGCGCATATTCCCCTCATTCCGATGTGGTTGTGAACTGCTGTTTGTTGTTCATTGTATGATGTGATCGTTCTTGCATCCATGGGAAGCAGCCTGCTTATACAATTGAGTTATGGGGTGAGGGTCCAGTGGACTTGGAAGGATGAAGCTATTCCATGTATGCACTTGCTCAGCAAGTTGAACTGCGCTTCCCTGATATACCTGGTTAAGTGCACATGCGATCTACAAGGGTATCTAGGGACTTTAGGCGGTCAGTGGTCTTCAAGACCTTTCATCAATCCAAGTATTCTACACCTTGGAACCTCTGCCAACTTATCGACAATGATGGCTTTGACATAAGAAAGCAGAAGGAAATTTGAGAAAATAATAGATTCCAATATGATGTGACTTGATTTTTGAGAGAAACGACAAAATCTACTATTTGTATCAACAAAGTATTTCCAGACAAGTCTATTCTCAATGATAGTCGCGCAGGCCATCGTCTCAGAGAATCTCCTGAATGAAAAACGGATTTGACTCTTTGAAATGCTTGGTCCTGTTCTTGCCCATGGTTTCTCCAAGTGCCTCAATCAATGTGCCATCGTCCAAGTCCACCGCCCACACCATCGTTCCTCCTAGACAACGCTTGTTGGCAAAGTCATATTTCAGCTTCAGCGTTTCCTTGTCGTCCCAGCTGACCCACTGGTCCTTGTCCCAGGTTACCATCTTCACGGCCGCTTCCTTGTCAAATGTGACTTTGGCGCCATCCTTGATAATCTGGTTGATCTCCCTGCCGGACAAAATTCCCTCGGTATCGGTGCACCTGCCTTTGCGGCCGCCATCGCTGAAGGGGCATCCGGTCGTGAGGCAATTGGGATCCTTCATCGTGAAACTACGGCCGTAGAAACCTAGACCCAGGACGACCCGTGCCGGGTTGATGTTATTGCGCCACAGGAGCTCAAGGCCCGAGTTGATCTCGGTCATGTTCGTGTGGGCAAAGGCATATGAACCGACTCCTCCGGTTGAATTTCTATCCCAAAGACCGTCTGTCGGCAGGGTGAGGGGGATTAGCATTTGATTGGCTGAAGCCGAATGGATCTAGGAATAAGTACTCACGGATGTCATAAGTCATGATGTTGAACCAGTCCAGGTGGGGCTCCAGATTGGCGATATCGAATCCGCGAAGATACCAGTAGGATGCAGGCTGGACGGGATGTTAGTTTCTAACCCGAGAAGACGACGGAAGAATAGACTGACCAGGGTGATTGAAATCCCGAAACGCCTTCAAGATGCATTCAAACGTTCTCGCAGACCCTTCAAAAAGGTCACGTAGTTCGCGTAGTCCTCGCGCTTCCCTCCACGTTGGTCATCCACGGGATATTCCCAGTCAAGGTCGACCCCATCGAAGTTGTTGACCACCATAAAGTTGATCAACGATTCAGCGAACGTATTCTGGTGTGCCTCGGAGGCAGCAAGATCTGAGAACGTTGTCGCCGTATTGCCCGGATCATTGAAGGCCCAGCCCCCAATGGCAATCCACACTTCGAGGCCAGGCTGACGGGCCTTGAGAGCTGTCACTTGACGATAGCGCGAGGCAGTGGCCGTATCCATAGGGGCAACGCGGAAGGTCGAGGGATCGATGTAGGCAAATGCAAAGTTAATGTGCGTGTAGTACCCCAGGGGGATATCCTTCGCAGGCATATCTGTTTGTCAGTTGATTAGAGTTAGGGCTTCGAGAGTAGAATGAATCTCCTTACGGTCACACTTCTTCTCTTCGTTCCAGCCTTCCCAGTATCCGATGGTTTTGGCTTTGGCCGAATCGCCGGTGCATTCGGGGGAAATCACCTTCTTGCCTTGACAGAAGTCCTCGGTTGTTCCTATGAGAATGAGATGAAGGTCAAGAATCACATGTAAAGGGAGGGCAGGCGGACGAACCACAGAAACCATACTTGCTACAGCACACATTCAAGGGACACGTAGACGCATTGGACCATTGCATACCCCAGCCGGCGTCACATTCGCTTTTGCGATCACACTGCGAGGTACAATCCTTTCCACAAAAGTCGGGTCCAAAGCCGCAAACGCCCTTGCCGGTCTCTTTGTCTCTATGGGTAGCTGTTAGAAACAGGAACAAAATGTAACCTATATGAGGACACTTAAAGTGGTCCGCAGCAGCCGATTTTGCAGGCGCTATCCTTCGTACAGGACGGATCATCCTTGTCAGCTGCCACCTGGAGGTTAACGGTAAGGGGATTGGATTCCGGGATGATAGTGGCATAGACGCCGACAACTAGATAGCACAGATATAAAGGAAACAGAAAAAGGGACAAGAAAGCATTCGTCATGGTGAACGGATGGACTAGAAGTGCAACAAATTCAGATAGGTTCACTAGAATTCACAGGACTAAGAAAGGGGATAGAGGTAGAGTGCAGGCTGAAGAGCATTCTAGCTCTGGGATGCTCTTAAGTAACCCCCTACTGCACTTCTTTGCGGAACATCCCTTTCATTATCAGATTATCCCGGATTGATGAAGATCTCCGGTCAGCCCAGCACGCAGTGACACCAATATGCCCCCCTCTGGCCCGGGATATTCCAAATATGCCCATCAAGCTAACGGCCAGGCCTTCTGGAGACCTGCCCTACTCTCTGAAACCAAAGGAGCGGAGCTTTCCTGTTCACCTCTGCTCGTGTCCATATTAAAGCCGTCGATCTTTGCCCTCCAGGATCTCTCTGCTTCTCAACTCTTTCATTTCTCAACCCATTCTTTCCCCTCTCATTCTCTATCCCACCCTTCTTTGTAAACAATGTATCTTCTTCATTTCCTGTTCTTGCTGCTGCTGGCTGCAGTGACTCTGGGTCAGGCTCCGGCGGATTCCTCCCCGGCTGGCCCGACTCTGCCTGGCACGGCGTCTGACTGCAACAGATGGTACAAGATCAAGAAAGGCGACGGCTGCGACTCCGTTCAGAAGGAGTTCGGGATCACCGCAAAGGACTTTTTTGCCTGGAACCCCGATGTCTCGTCTGACTGCTTGAAGAACTTCTGGGTTGACAACGCGTACTGCGTCGGGGTTGGGCCTGTCCCCAGCGGCAGCCCTAGCCCTAGCCCAATCACGTCTTCCTCGGACAAGTCTTCACTTTCTGCTTCCTCTCTTTCTTCCTCTCCCCCGTCCCCCCTTTCTTCCTCCCAGTCAGCTCCTGTTTCATCTTCTCCATCTTCCAACGACTCGACCGGTCCGGCCAGCTACACATTCAATCACCCTATCACTTCGTTAACTAAGCTGCCTCCGCCCCCAACCGAAACTGCTTGGAAGACGCAGGCGGGTCAGCCAAAGTCGTGCTACAGGTGGCATAAGGTGCAGTATGGGGAGACCTGTAGAAAGATCGCGAACCTGTACAGTCTGATCACCCTGGATGAGTTGTAAGTTCTAACCTCCCCGGTCCGCGTCTCGTCCGACTAACGCTCCGTCAAGCATTGAATGGAATCCCGAAGCTGCCGTCGACTGTGACAATATCTTCGCTGGCTGGCAGGTATGTGTCGGCGTGGTGAAACTGTTCACCTTCAACAAACCCACTTCGGGTCCCGTGTCAGTGCCGGAGCCGACGCCGTACACTCCAAGCGGCCCCCGTACCTGGACCTTCACGACCCCCCTCCCATTCTCAATTCCTGCGAATTTCACCCTCGGTCCTTACACGGCCACGTCCATGCCTACTTACAACGTCCAAGTCAACACTACCAAAGAATGTCGGGCCTGGTACCAGGTTGACTATACTCAGGGTTGCGAGAATGTGGTCAATCTATTCGGCACATTTTCCATGGAGGATTTCATTGCCTGGAATCCTACCCTTGGAAGAGACTGCAAGGGAATCCAAGTAAGAGAGCCCCGTCTTTACCTCTCCGTCTTTTTTGCTTCTTACGCTCTATAGAATGGCTTCTGGTACTGCGTGGCTGTTCCTGGTACCCCTGCCAGCCGGACGGCACCTGAACGTCCCCCAGTTTTTCCAACGAGCCTTCGTCAACCGGGAGTGGCATCCAACTGTAATCGCTGGTGGAGGGTCCTCCGGTTCGACACCTGCGACAAAATTATCTATCGGAATGACCTCGAGTTTGAAGACTTTTATAAATGGAACCCTGCTATTTCCTGGCCCAGCTGTAAAGGTCTGATCCGTGATAGTGAGGTCTGTGTGGGGGTGGCCAACAACAAGACTATAACGTCGAGTTCGTGGCCTCCCAACTCCACGTCTCCTCCTCCTCCTCCCCTTTATCCCACCGGTTGGAACCTCACCAGTCACGTCCCGATGACATCCTCATCGCGACTCCCACCCTCTCTTCCACCCGTCCGTTCGTCGGGCACGACTTGGATTCGGTTGTCGGGTTTTACTACGAGCTACGGGACTCCTCCGTCAACGTCCTGGCCTCCGGTGTCGACTGTGACTTCTTGCAACGACACGTCGAGCACTTCGTGGAAAGATTGGACCAGCACCGGCGTCCAATCGACCAGGTCCCAGTCTTCTTCTAAGCCGACGGCGATCGCCCCTGTGGCTAGCCCGACCCTGATCATGACTACTCCGTGCAATAGCTCCGGCATCTCGCCGCCCTCGGCGCCTTCCTGGACGGACACAGATGACGATTGGACTAGCACCGACATCGACCCGAGTACGCCCTGGTATTCTGCCCCAACTGTCGCTGCCCCCAGCATCTCTGTCCCCGTGGTTAATCCGACCATGATTACGAGCACTCCTTGCGTGAGCGCGAGTATGCCGCCATCTCCCACGTCGCCTTCCTTGACCGATACTATCATTGGCACCCACTCCGGGTCTGCTCCAGTGTCTTCATCCGGCCCGTTGCCCTCGGTGACCACCGTTTGTCCTCATGACAAGGGCAATGGTACCCCTGGTTGCGTGCGGCCTTCCATGACTGCCTTCTCCTCGCAAGATGAAGTCCTGACTGTCACCGTGAGGACGACCACCACCATCATCTGCGATACTGTCCTGGGCCATTGAGGGGGCCGCCGCATGATATTTGTCCATGGCGGGAGGATTCCTTCACCCATTATTTGATATGCATCGTGTATGTAGACAGTTCTGCCATAGCATGAAGTGAGCCAAATGAATAGAAGCCAGCGGGCACCGTTTTTAGTTTAGCGTGATTTTCATAGTTTAAGTGACTTCTCGTACTTCCCCTCCTCTTCTTCTTTTCCTCCGCTCTCTCTTTCCGTCTCTTTCTCTCGAACATCGACAGAATCATGGAGGACAATCTTCAGGATCTTCCCGATATCCTGCGTCGGCTTTCGTATGACTGCTCGCATCTCGAGCGACTCAGCGGCGGCACCGCCAACTTTGTCTTCCGCGGCACCCTAGATGGCGACTCGGTCATAGTCAAGCATACCAAGGATTATATCGCTTCGAACCGGGATTTCAAACTGCCGGCGGAGAGATGTGTATGTTAATTCTTCTGTGTAATTTATATCCTGCGGCCTATCAAAGGCCGCTAGACATTATGCTCTCTATCTACAACCCGCTCGTTGAGCAACATGATCGACAATATCGCCAAATGATCTATATCCATGAACCTCTACTAATTACCACTCTCTCACCTGAGAGAAACGCCAGAGACCAGCTCATCGAAGAATCCATCCTCAAATCTCTCGGTGATTTCCCACCCACAACAACCACCACCACGACCGACTCCACCATCACCGTCAAAACGCCCCGTCTCCTGGCCTTCGACCGCCCCTCCTACACCCAGGTCATGGAGGACCTGCCCAAGGCCGTCGACCTCAAGACCCTCCTCACCAACCCGCAGATCTCTTCCCGCATCGACCGCCCCTGGGCGACCTCCCTCGGCGCGGCGCTGGGCCAGTGGCTCGGTTCGTTCCACGCGTGGATAGCGGAGTCGGCACAGACGGAGCTCGTTCGGACAATGGAGGGGAACGAGCTGATGCGCGATCTCAAGTTTAGTATTAACTACGAGAATTTGGTCGGGCTAGTGGATAAATATCCGGATCTATTGGGGGGTAGTCGGAGCGTGTTCGAAGAGGTTCGCGATCTGGCGCGCAGTGAATTGGGGAGGAAGGATGGGGAGGGGGCCGCGTTTGGGGTCATTCATGGAGACTTTTGGTCGGGGAAGTATGTTTCTCTTTCTCTCTCTCTCTTTCTGTTTGTTTTCGTGTCCAGGTCCGGCTGGACGATACCCGAACCAAGCTAACAAAGACAATTACCGTTCCCCGATATAGCGTACTTATCCCTAAAAACATCCTCGACCAACAGGAACAAAACCCCAACACCAACATACCTTTATTCGTAATCGACTGGGAGCTCGCCCAATGCGGTGCCCGCGCGCTCGACCTCGGCCAAATGATCGCCGAGCTCTACTTCGTCAAGCACTTCCGGGACGTGGACGCGGGGCCGTGGATTATCGAGGGGTTTGCACGCTCGTACCCCCATCTCACGGAAGCGATGGCCTACCGGGCGGCGATTCACGTCGGGGTCCATTTCATCTGCTGGGGCACGATGCTCACGGATTGGGGCTCCGAGGAGCAGGTGCGCGAGGTGGTGGCGTTGGGCCGCGATCTGATCGTTAAGGGGTGGCGGAGGGAGAGGGAGTGGTTTGAGGGTGGGTTCTGGGGGTGTTTGTTGGGGGAGTAGGAGATGAGCTTCTCTTTTTGTTTGATTGTGTGATGTGATGGATGTATATATGTGGGGAGCATATCCATGATACACGATCCTCGCAGGGAAAGACCGAAAAGGGGATGGTATGAACAATCTATCTTATTCATGAATTGCTTCTTATTCTTAGGACAGATGGACTCTTGACGTGAAGTCTAAACTAGCAATGCAATCAAAGATCTTGGTATATAGAAATACAAACGACGCTTCTTTTCTTCTCCTATGCCTTCTATAGCTTCGCTCGGAATTGATTCCGCAGGGACTCGAGTCCCGACGGTCCGTCGTAGATCTGTTGCTCAACAAGGCGGGTGTTGATCTGCGCCAACGTTAGTATCAATTTTCAATGATATAATTGTTCAGTGCACTTACATGTTGAGGCCCTAAGTCCTGCACTCGCTCAACCCCCAGCAATCGCATGCAGGTCTTGGTCTCGTCGGCCAGAACTAAAGACAAGGTTAGTATAACAAAGTTCTACTTAATAAAGAGAGAGAGAGAGAGAGGAGAACATACTCTGCAAGGTTCGCTTCACGCCCTCCACGCCACCGGCAGATAATCCCCACAGCGAGGGACGTCCGATTCCCACGCCCCTGGCGCCCAGACACAGCGCCTTCACGACGTCGGTGCCTCGCCGGATGCCGCCGTCCACCCATACCTCCAGCTTGTCAAACACCTCCGGGCAGTACTTGCGGATCTCCAGCAGCGTGTGCACGGCGGGAGGTGCCGTGTCGAGCGCGCGGCCGCCGTGGTTCGAGAGGATGATGCCTTTGACCTGCGGCGTGTGCAGCGAGGCGATGTAGGCGTCCTCGTGCGTCTGCAGACCCTTGAGGACGATGGGCAGGTCCGTGTGCTTGGCCAGCCAGGGCAGCGTCTCCTTCCAAGTCAGAGATGGGTCGGTACCGGCGAACAGCGTGCGGCCGACGCCGCCCGGTGCCTCGCTGATATCGGGAGCGTCGCTGGAGATCTTCACGGCGCTGGGGGCCGGCGCCGCCGCGCCCACCTGGTTGCCGCGCTCGTCGTCCTCCCGCTTGCCCGGGACGGGCGCGTCCAGGGTCAGTACGATGAACTTGATCGCCTTCAGCTTGTTGATGCGGGCAAGCATGGCCTCGCTCTTCGACCGGTCAATCTGCGCGTACAGCTGCCAGCCGAACGTCTGGTCGGGCGCCGCGTCCTTGACGATCTGCTCGGGGGTCATGGAGGCGTTGTTGGAGATGATCTGCATGGCGCCGAAGCTGCGACAGGCCTCAGCGATGCCGGCCTCGCCTGCCGGGTGACCCAGACGGGCCATGGCCGCGGGCGAGACGTAGATGGGCATGCCCAGCTTGTGACCCAGCACCGAGGTGTCGAGCTCACAGACGGTGCAGTCGACGAACACACGCGGTCGCAGCAGAATGGAGCGGTAGACCTCGTTGTTGAAATGCTTGGTGATCTTGTCGTCCGAGGCTGAGTAGTAGTAGGCCCAGGCCTTCTTGCTCACGTTCTTGGTGGCTACCTGCTCGAAGTCGTCCATGTTGAGGAGGGACTCCATGGGAGGGGGTCCTTCCTTGACTTCCTCCACAGCCGACTCCTGCTCCGGTTTGGGGAGGGTGTTGAGATCGACTGTCCCCAGGAAGGCCTCGGGCTTGAGGTTTTCCTCGAGAATGCCCGGAGGATGAATGGGATCGTATTCCTCGGTGGCATCCTTACCGGCCAACTTCAGAATGATTTTGGAACCGCCGGGGTGCTCCGAGAGGAAGTCGGTGACCTGGAAACCGGAGATTTCGAGTCAATCAAGAGAATGATTACCGGCGTGGGGGTGAACCGCGTACATCGTATACTTTGTTATATAGGATCACCCAGCAACTCTGCGGAGTATTGTGTTTGGCAACTAGATGCGCCCAATTTCTTGTCAGTCGTCAATTCAGCAGAGATCAATGCTCCGAGGTGTATTTTCGGGCGAGACATACTCTCGGCCGCGTCGAAGACTTTGGCCATTTTGGTGTAAAACAGTAAAAGCGGGAGCGTGGGGGTTCGTTATTGGGGGAATGCGGAGAAAGATGGCGGAGTATGGCGGCAGATTGAAGGGGGTGAACGGGGGTGAGAGAGGGAGAAAGAGAGAGGAAGAGAGAAGAGGGGAGAGAGAAGCTGTACGAGGGAGGAAGAAAGAGGAGGAGAAGAGGATGAAGATGAAGAAAAGAAGAAAGGAAAGAGCAGGAAAGAAAAGAAAAGGCATCGGGCTTCCCTCCGCATCTCCAAGAAATCAAGAATGGGGTCGACGTGATCCAAATCGGGAAATATCAAAAGCCGACGAGACGGGATTAGAGAAGCGGCGGCGGTCATTGGTGGACAATTGGTCGTGGTTCTATCGCGTGGGGCGGTGGCATTACGAGAGTCTACGGTGTAGTTCCTGCGGTGAGTCCCTCCCTGTGCTGTCCGTACATACAAGACTCGTCAGTCGGACTCGTCACCCGCTCTCTCTCTCCCCCCCGGGTCAGCTGCGACCGACCGAAGTATTTCTTCGCTCTCCCTCCTCCTCGCCCTTCTGTTTGTTTGCATCGCTCGTGGCCGCCTCCGTGTCACCTCGCTGCAAAGGGCTGCACTCTCTCCCCCCTCTTTCTTTACCGTGACACGTCGCCATGTTCGAGGTGCGTCCGTGAGATTTATTTCACTCCATGTTCGTCTAGTCTAACCCGGTCGCGTCATGTCCAGCGTCGTGCCGCCGATCGCTATCGTCTGCGCATGCACCGCGCCCGCACCGTCAATCTGACCTCCGACGAGATAGTCGAAGTGCGAGCCGCCCAGCGCACCTTCGAGGGCGCCTACGTCCGCACCGCCCTGTCCCAGTTCTCCTTCGCCCTCGTCGTTCTCAAGATCTTCACCAACGAGTTCTACAGCACCGGTGCCTTGTTTGCCATCTACGGCACCGGCGTCCTCATCATCGGCCTTTTCCGCCGTCAGCAGGGCAACCGCCAGTTCTTCTCCGAGGTGGGAGAGGACGGCGTGCATCGTCACAAATTCCGCACCAGTGGCAACGCCGTCGTCGTCCTGACCGCTCTGAGTATCGCCGCCTACGCCACGCTCATCGCCCTCACCGTGCGTTTAGACCGTTAGGCAAGATCGGAGTCGGCCTGCCGACGTCCAAGGGATGTACATCGTACGCTAAGCCTATATCTAATTCCCTCCCCCCCCCCCTGCGTAACCACCAACCGCCAAGTCTCCCGCAGTATGTGACCCTCTGAGGGCCCCGATCCCTTCGTGCTTTACGGAGTAAAGTAGACTTGAGGCGGGACGGGCCAGGCGACGAAAGAGGAGCGGAAATCATCATGAGGCCCTCCCTCTGACCGCGCCAGATGGAGCGTGCGACTTTGCCAAGCGCAGTCAGGATCCTGACGACGAGGTGACGAGATTGGGGCGTAGTGGTTTTTCTTTTTTCTTTTTTTTTTTTCCTTCTTCTTCCTTCTTCTTCCTTCTTTTCCTTTTTATTTTACCCCATACATCTCGGAGCACCAGCAGAAGAAGCAAAAATGGGTAGGACAGAGAGGATGCTTGGTTACACCACAGCTCGTTGGGTTCCCCAGTGCCAAGAGGCTCACCTAGATCCTCGATCCATCTAAAAGTACATACATACCTAGATACCGGAATCCAGGCAGCCGCAAGGCAGGGCTGGGATGAGAGAGATTGACAGAAATCCGTAAGATCTCCCCGGACGGACTGCAAGGGGAGGACGAAATGAAGTCAACTGCAAATCCAAGTTTCAAGGACGATAGAACTACTCCGTATTAGTGTCTCTCAACCTGCTGCCAAGCATTCTGGATCGTTGGTGCTTCCCTGCATTGAACAAAGCCAAGGCTGACGGTCTTTGTCTGTTGGGAAAGGGAGGGCAGGTCTCTCGTTGGTTCGTTGGTTACTTATAACCCCCGGAACCATCGGCGTGGATGCGCTTTACATCATTCGGCGCGGCGTCAAAAGATCCACCGTGACTTCATCGGCCTCCAGACCGGGTTATATGAACGCACTTCGACCTTGATTGGGCTGGATTGAATCGGATGGGCGATATCCTTTCTTATCGACCGGGCATTTCCAATCACTGACCCCCCGTGAACGAGTCATTGGCAGAGAAAGCTAAACTGGTGAGCAAGAGAGACACGGAGAATCATCTTCATTCTGCAAAAGCATAAACGCGAGAGCGACCGAGTTCGAGAGTACGGAGTAGAAGAGGAAGAGAAGGAAAATAAAGAGGTGGGAAGTGACGTTGTTGACTCATCCGCTTTTCCTCCCCCCCCATTTTTCTTTTTTTGCCCTCGCCTTTTTGTGCCCCTCTTCCATCTCGCACTTCGTCGCTGTCTTTGCTCTTCTTTTCTTGAGACGACCGACGCATCGCATCGCTACCTTCTTCTATTCTTTATCTTCCATCTTCAATCTTTTCCCCCCTCCACCCCACCTTTAATAGAACTCGGCTGCAATCCCTGCGCCGCCGGCGGGGATGGCCCAGCATACCGACATCGCACGTTCAGCAATCATGACCTCCGCCTCCAACCCCGAGCGGAATGGGGCTTCGTCTTCCAACGGGAGTGTCAGACCCGGCGCCGGGAAGGACGCGACTCTTATGCCTCCCGCGAAGACTTTGGTCGGACGAGCGCTAGGTAACGAGCTGCATGCCGATGCCCACAGGGGATCGCACGCCTCCAAAGACGGTGTCGGCTGTGCCCTAAGTGACACTCCGATTTCTACCGCTCCTTCGTCTCCACAGTTGTAGGTGCCGCCTTTCTTTTTCTCTCGTCGTTCGTTGGATGGTTGGATCGGGAATTGGGGTTGTGTTGTCTATTGTCTCGGGTTATCATCACCCCGGACAAATATCAAATGAACGGTGGATGACGATCCCCGCGAGCTTACTTTTCTTGGGTCATATTTCTTTTTGATCCTTGTTTCATTTTCTTACCTTCTGGATTTTGTTTTTATCTAAGAAGTCTTGGCTCGACCACTAATGTGCCTCCTCCCCACTCCTTTAGTCACGCCGAAAGCACCCCGTCCTCGACCCCCGGCCGCGTTCGCGCAACCACCCTTGATATCCCGGGTCTCACCAAATCCAAAGTCTCTCCCGACGGTCGCATTGCCCAGCGAGATGTCGGCGCCAAGCTGGTCATTGTCATGGTCGGCCTCCCCGCGCGAGGCAAGAGCTACGTGACCAAGAAGCTGGCGCGGTACCTGAATTGGCTTCAGCACGATACCGAGATTTTCAACGTGGGTGAACGTCGGCGTGTGGCCGCCGGTAAATCGCCCTCTCCGATCGGGCGACACAGGGATCACCGCACCAGCTCCATTCACAAGGATCTGGTCGATTCGGTACGACGTCTCAGCGTCAGTGTTGGAGCGATGAACTCGCCGTCCCATAAGGAACGGGCGCCGTCCGTTGCGGTGGTCACTTCGCCCCCGGAGGAGCTTGAAAACCCCTTGCCTCCCCCGGCCGTTCCGTCGAAAATCCTCATCAACGGCAAAGAGGAGGAGACGCCCACCTACTCCAACGGGAGCTCCGTCATTCCGGCCGAACTCGCCGATCCGCAAGACCAGCTAGCAATGAAGGAGGCGTCGCCGGAGCCTCTGGACCAGTCCGCGAGCTTTTTCGACCCCCAGAACCAACAAGCCGTGAAGCTGAGAGAGCAAGTAGCTCTGGACACCCTGGACGAGCTGTTGAACTATATCCTGGATGATGGCGGCAGCGTTGGAATCCTTGATGCCACAAACAGCACCATGGAGCGCCGCAAAGCCATCGTTGACCACATTCGGCAACGTGCCGGACCCGAGCTTGGCATCCTGTTCCTGGAAAGTAGCTGCGTTGACCAAGAGTTGCTCGAAGCCAACATGCGCCTGAAGCTGTCGGGCCCCGACTACAAGGAGCAGAACCCCGTCAAGGCGCTGGAGGACTTCAAAAAGCGAGTCGCCCTGTACGAACGGTCGTACGTCCCCCTGGGCGATTACGAGGAAAAGCACGGGATGGCCTACATCCAGATGATCGATGTCGGCCGCAAGGTGGTGTCCCACCAGACTCACGGCTTCCTCTCCTCGCAGGTGGTTTACTACCTCCTCAATTTCAATCTTTCCCCTCGCCAGATCTGGATCACGAGACACGGCGAAAGCAAGGATAACCAGGCCGGGCGCATCGGGGGCGACTCGGAACTGAGTGAGAACGGCCACCGATACGGCAAGGCGCTGGCCAAGTTCATCGATCACCAGCGCAAGCAGTGGGAAACCGTGCAGAGGCAGAAGGAGATCATGGGACAATTCCCACCGCGGGCCGGGGACAGCACACCTCCGAACCCGTCGTACATCCCCAGGGATCGGCCTCGCAACTACTGCGTGTGGTCCTCCATGATGCAGCGGTCGGTGCAGACCGTCGACTATTTCAACGAAGACGACTACGACGTCAAGCAGATGAAGATGCTGGACGAGCTGTACGCCGGCATGATGGAAGGCATGACGTACGACGAGATTCGGGAGAAGTTCCCCCAGGAGTACGCCGCGCGCCGCAAGGAGAAGCTTTACTATCGGTACCCCGGGCCTGGCGGAGAAGGGTATCTCGACGTGATCAACCGACTCCGCGCGGTGATCATTGAGGTGGAGCGAATGACCGACCACGTCTGCCTGGTGACCCATCGGTCGGTGGCTCGCGTTCTGCTGGCCTACTTCATGGGCCTGAAGCGCGACGAAGTAGCCGGGCTGGACGTGCCGTTGGGCATGCTGTACATGTTGGAACCTAAGCCGTACGGCGTTGACTTCAAGGCCTACCGATACAACCCGGATACCGATTGGTTTGACCACATTCCCGATTTCGCGTTGTGTCAAGCGACGGCACATTGAAGCGTTAACCATCCCCTGCAACTGTCCGGGAAATGAGGCTCATCTTGGGTGGAATATCTCCTGGATTTGTTCTTCGATCTTTGCTGAATTGGCTTCTATCCCATTCTATCTTCCGACCTACGTTCCTTCCTCTCAACTCTGGAACCCCCGGGTTTATTACCTTTTTTTTTTTTTTCTTTATGACTTTGTTAACGAATGATTCTGGCTACGACATTATTATAACAGCTCTCGCGAGGGGGATGTGTTAGACATGTGTCATCCTATGTCCTCGGGGTGTTATGGTTGTTTACACGGCGTTGATCTATTATGCATTTTATTTTCTTTGTACGGTTTTTTCGTATCCAGGACTGTATGCATTCCAGCAAGACGCTCGGTTTTCTCCTTTACGGCCTCTCTCCTTACTACCAGTGTCATGATTTATGGCGCTGGACGAGTGGCAAGTCTTCCTTTCAATTCGCCTTCGTGTCTTTTTCTTTTTATATTCGCGTCATTCTTCTTTTTCCATTATACCTGCATAGCATCCGAGGGCGTTTGGGTGAAGATTTCGCTCGGCCGGGAGTCTATCCCTACACGCATCTGCTCATGCAAGGCCTTTCCTATTTTTGCGACTTAATTCAAGGAGACTGCCGGGGGAGGTTGATTAGAAGGCAACGGGCATGATATTGATGTTCTTGTGTACCTATTGTGGTTATGTCCATTTGAGCACATAGTTCATTTCTCTATATGTATAGTCGGACGTGCATCCTCCAGCTCCAGCAATCGAATACATAGACTCAAAGGTTTCTCAACCTTCCCATTATAGAAAATACACGGCTAGGCATTCGCCTTGACGCGATCAAAGGCCTCGAGGAAGGCGTCGGGCTCGTTGGCGCCCTCGATGGCGTACTCCCCTTGGATGGTGAAATACGGCACGCCCGTCACCAGCCGTCTCTGCGCCCGATACGCCTCCACGTCGACCTCTTGACCACCCTCATCCGTTGCCAGGAACCTTTCCACCTCGGCGCGATCCAGGCCCGCCGTCTGCGCCGCCTCCAGCAGAACCTGCCAATCCGTAATGTTCTTCTCCTCTTCGAAATACGCCCGGAACAGGCGCTCCACGACCCGCGTCTGCAATCCGCCCACTACGTCCGACGGCGCCGGAGCCGCCCCCTCCCTCTCTTTCTTCTCCAGCTGTCCGGCATACCACAGCAGCCGGTGCGAGTCTCGCGTGTTCCCGGTGCGTCCGCCGTAGCGGAACGAGATCCCCTCGGCGTCGCCGACGGCCGACAAGCGCTGGAAGATGGCGGCGGTGCGGTCGGTACCGAACTTGCTCTGATAGAACTCCGTCTTGTCGACGCCCGGGTAGATGGTGCTGTTGGGGTTCAGGTAGAAGGCGTGCCAGGTCAGCGTGAAGGTGTCGGCCGGGTGGGCGGTTTTATGGGTTGCGATGGCGCGCGAGAGGCGGCGGAATCCGACGTAGCACCACTGGATATTCAATTAGCTAGGTGAGCTTGGAAGAGAGAGGAGGGACATACTGGGCAGATGGTGTCGGAGATGATTTGAATGTTGATGTTCGTCATGATGGGTAGATTTATTGGGTGGAATTGAATGGCGAGGGATGTATATAGATCGGACTGGCGTGGGTTCTCATAGATTTATATTTTCACATGGAGATATGGTTGATTTGTCAGCGGCGATCGATGGGGTTCTTTGGCTTCATTATGGCGACTTGACGGATAGATCGGAGTGTAGAGAGACTTGAACTCATTGGCCATTCTTTACTGAGCAGTAATGACTACATGAGTCCGGACTGACCGAGGACTGCGACGAGAGGAAGCTGCAGTCGCACGGGGTCTGGTGTGCAGGCGCGATGACATCATTCGGGGATCTGCAAATCCGGGGAAGAAGAGAGAGAAAAAAAAAAAAGAAGGAAAAGAAGGAAAAAACAAAAAGCAAAGGAGGCTCGATCAGCTGACTTCCATCACGGGGTTCTTCTTTTCTTTTTAAAAAGACCTTCCAATCTTCATGACTCCCCAGTCCCCTCTCTCGCTGTCGCTTCTACGTCTCCCTCTTCGCCAGAGCCCCAGGAGCCAGTCCAGTCCATACCTCCTCCATGACCCCTCGCTTTCTTGATCGCTGTCATGATTCCCTCTGGTGTTCCCTCCATGGCATCATCCTCAACATCCCGCCTACTCGCCTGCCCCTCTTTCCAGCTCTAGCGGGCTCGGTCTGGTTCCTGACTCTGGCTTCGCTGCTGCTCACCTGGATTGCCCGGGGAATGCCGCAGTATCCCGGGCAGAGTAACCCCCATGTTGCGTACGTATCTCCCCCGTCGGTGCACGACAACCAAGACAGAGCCGTGCTGACACTCCCCGGAATTACAGCTTCATATCCGACATCGCCTCGTTTGAGCTCAAGCCGTTATTCCTAGTTGGCGCCTCTATCACCGCCGTAGGATTCGCCTTTACCGTCGCGATAGTGCACGTCGTCCGTTATGAACCCGGCTTCGCCCTGGTCCGATGTCCCGCGGAACATTCTTCCACTGTTACTACCGGCCATGAAGAACCCCCGCTCGCGCCAGGCAGCAGCGATGATGATGCAAACCCCAACTCCCACGCTCATCCCCATTTGAATGAACACGATGGCGACGAGGACGAGGAGGAGGACCACGAAACCACCAAGACTCTCAAGGTCGTCTCGCTGCTGGCAATCTTCGCCGCCAGCGTCGCCAGTACCGCCCTCATCCTGCTGGGAGTCATGGACACCTTCCGCTACAAGCGCCTGCATCATCTTTTCCTCCGTATCTGCTTCTCCGGGCTGGCGGTGCAGTCGGCATGCACTGCTATCGTCTATTCCAACGAGGTCCTCGGCTTCGTCTCCTACGTCTACCACCTGGGTATTTGGCAGCATGGTTGGGGGAAAAGAAGTCAGCGCGTGAGAGTTTTGTACGTTCCTTCCTCCCCATTCCCCGCCGGCCTCTTCCCTTCCAACCCCTCTCATTTTTTCGAGTTCTCAACTGCGAGTCCGCATGCGAGTGACGTTTCACCACTTGCTAACTGGTAACTGACCTCAACACGGACAGTGCCTCGCTCTCGACGGCCCTGATTCTCGTCGAAGTCTTCCTCGCCGTCGCGTTCATATCCCTCACCGTCTCCGAAGAGAATCCCATCTCCACCTACCGCACGGCCGGCATCCTGGAATGGATCATTGCGTTCCTGGGCACCGTCTACTTATGGCTATTCTGTGGCTTTTTAGACCGGTATGTTATGCCCAAAGCGTGGCTCTTTTCGTTACGTTCTCACGTTCTCACATTCTCGCTGTCGTTCTATCTATTATACGTCTTCAATACGAACTAACCAATGCAGAACGAATTTCGAAACTTGCGTCCCCAGCATCCTCTATCAATCTCCGTCGCGCAGGAAACCTTCCGGGCAAGTACTCGACCCGTCTGCGAGTGCTTTCCCTCTACCACCCGAATCGGACCCCGATCCGGAACATGCCCCGTTACTGGCCCATGCTCAAGGAGCGAAATATACGTAGAAACGACCTAATGAATTGTTTTGTATACGCATCACGATCGCCCCTCCCCCACTACCTACCCTCTTCTCGGTGTGTATATATATGCATGGAAAGAAGAAGACACATTTTGACAGAAGGATTGCATCCTGCAGTTAAGCCCTCCTTCCGCTCATGTAGTCATTGTGTAAGGGCATCCAGATCGGATCTAGAACAGAACTCCCGGACGCAGGGTAAGTTACAATTTTAGTCTGGTGAGCGACGGATGCATGCGTCAATTTCAAGGAAAGAAAACCCGGAAGAAAAATATCCAAAGCAAACACGGTTGTCGTACATAAGAATACACACGCTGATCATTCTTTTCAAAGGGACGTTCGTTGATATAAATTGTACAAATTCATCATCCATGCAAGGGCGGTTTTCGATACTCTGGATCTCTCACAGCGTCTGGCCTCCTTGGTTGACTAGGGGCAAGGTACCCGGGGTCTGCACCGGAGCCATGTCAAGGGGAGACTGTTGACTCCTGATCTTCTCAAGAGTTGAGGAATACTGCGGTGGTTTGCCGTTAGCACCGTCCGAAAAGTGAGATCCCGACGCATCGTGTCCGGGGGTTGCGGTTACACATACCTTAAAGGCAAAGTTCAGCACCAGAGCCACAGCCAATCCGATACACACCACGATCGGGCCGAACGTATTGTCGAGATCGCGTCCGCTTCGCTGCCGGATCAGCCGGGCCCGCTTCTCATACATATACCAGCCCCAGGCGGCGGAGAAGATGGCGAAGCCAGTGTAGACGATGGATAGGGCGCGGGCGATATCGTTGTGCTTTCCCGCCGCGTTGTACAACCCTAGAGATAACGAGGAGAGCAGGATACTGATATGGAGCCACTTGATGAACGTGCGCTGATTAGCGAGCCACACCTTGCTTTCCACGCGCACAGGACCCGAGTCTTTGATCCACGTCCCTGGCTCCCGGACGCCGGGCGGCAGGGGCGCGGATATGTCCTGTGGACGACGAGAACGGGGGAATCCAGGGAACAGCGAGGCCAGGCGAGACAAATTCATGGGCTTTGAATCCGGCTGCTCAGCTGCGGGCTCCTGGGGTTGCGGCTGCTCGCGCTCTGCCGGGCCCGGCGCCGCTGTTTGCGAGATCTGTCGCGGTCGTGACGAAGGCTCCTGCTCCGAGATCCGAGTCACGGGAGATCCGACCATAGGCTTAACCGTAGGACTCGCCTTGTTCCCCAGAAAGCTGCCCACTGCCATCTCTTCCTCGGCACGTTTCGCCAGTCGCTCTTGTTCCTCGTGCCACGCGGTTTCGGGATCCCGCCGGATGTCGTTCTCCATCTCCCCAAGCCAGAAGGGGAAGCTGTTAACATAATCTTCAAAGAGCTGAGCAACGCCATGAACAAATTTGGAGAAACGAGGGGCCTCCTTTACGAGGTGAGAGACCATGAGATCGTTCACCCACTCCGCCTTGTGTGCCGTAGACCCTCTCAATTTGATCTCCAGCAGACCGTAGGGAAAGCGAACGATCTCTCCGGTTCGAATGGTACCGAAGGGATATTCCATGCCGGCATCATCGATATCCGTGCGATGCCATTCATTGCTATCCCGACAGGGACGTTCGGCGTCGAGGCTGTCCTCCCGAATCAGGGCCAGATTTGTATCGAGGGAGATACGAATTCGGTCGTCGCCCGGAATCTGGAAAGCCGTTCGGGTATAGTTGGCCCGGAGCATCGGCTGCAGATTGTTCTCCTTGACGAACGACTGCAGCTCACTGACATCCCTCTTGAACGACTCTGCTTCCCCTGTTTCACCATTGGCGCTGTCTTCCATGCGGTGAACCTTTTTGTCAAACCGATACTCCCCCTCCAAGAATTCCTTCACGTGCTTTTGTTTCAACTGCACTCGGACCTCCCGGCTGCGATCATCGTCCGTGACGACCTTCTTCTCTAGAAAGATGGCAGGCTTGTCCTTCAGATTTCCGGTCCATCGGAGTCTCAAAGAACCAGCTTCAGGCGCTCGGGCAACCTTCTGCGTGTAGAGATCGAACTGCGGGTCGTCAAAGTAGAGGGACGTGATCGTAGGGTCGTCAGGGAGGGTCTCAGGCTCCTTCGACGTTCCCGGGTTATAGATGAGGACCGGCAATCGTCGCAGAATGTACGTTTTCACCTCCAGAACGTTATCAGGATGCACCCAGAACTTGAATGACGAGTATGACTCCTGGCCGAAACGAGGCGCCTCGGGGTCTTTATTTTCGACCTCGCTTTGGCTAAGAATCTCGCGAACAAAAGAGTACATCACCGACAGCCGACGGACCAGGGGAGAGTAGTCCTCCGAGTTAAACGGCAGTTGTGACAGACGCACTTGCAGTAGAGGTCGAACACGGTATCGAGCCCCCCGCTTGCGATCATGTTTTTTGGCCGCCTTGAGGAATCCTGTAAAGTTGATGCGACTGTATTTCTCCAGCTCGCTGACTTCTCTCGTAATCCCATCGAGTTTTTGAAGGACTTCGGATGCTAGAGAGCGCCTCTTGGCCTCGTCCGCGACGGCCGGCGTCTCCTGGTCGGTGTCCGGTGCCAACGGCCGCAACTTCGATTCGCACTCGGAGGTTCGCTCCCTCAATTGCTGAGAGGTCTCCACCTGAAAAGCATTGACCTTGTCCAGCTGAACGTTGATCAGTTCCTGCACGAAGGCCTCCTCATCTTGTTCGGTCCATTGGCTGCTGTCCGAGTCACTTCCGTCTCCGGTGACATCATGTTCCTTCAAGAGGACTTTCAGACGGTGGTAATCAATGTATTTGCCACTCCACGGGGCGTACGTGGATTTTTTCAATGTTTTGCCAAAACGCATGACCACGGGCGATGAATTCTGACAGGTTATGGTATCTCACAAAACTGGGAAAGAGGAGGGTGAAGGAAGATGAGGGGAATGAAATGAAGGAAGGGGGGAAGAGAAGTGGGAAAACGGAACCAGCAGCAAAGAAAACGAAACGATGAAGTTAAGATGGGGTTTCGCACGAGGGCGAGGCCGACGGGACAAGGATGTAAAGAGCAACTAAGCGTTAGGCACAGGAGGTTAGTGAGTTAGTATACTTCCAGCTGCTTCATGGGGTCTAGTCACAATTCCAGCGAGTGAATGCCGTCGCCGCATCGCCGCACGTGCTGAGCTGCCTTCCACATCGGGTAAGTTGCTCGCCCACCGAGTCGGTCCAATCAAAGGTGGCACATGACATCAAAGGGTCCACTCTGCCCCGTTGGTCCCGTGACTGCCCGTCTGGGGTTGGCGTCGTCGGGCGGTATCGATAAGACAGTCCAGACCCAGTCAGCGTCGGTCGTCTGCTTTGCGCTTCTCGATCCAGGTGAGTTATGAGCTTGAATCGCTTCAATATGTTCCCCAAGTCGTCCCATCTCCATTTCTAACAAGTCCCCTTCTCTGACAGTGTCTTCCGCATCTCCCTCGGCGCCCCGACCTCAAATGGCATCAGTGAATCCCGAACTGCCCGCGGAGTCGGCTTCATTGTCCGCCTCTCTCTATGACGTGTTGACAGACCTGCACCAAAACCAATATCCCCATGTTCCTAACCCGCCGTCATGCAAAAAGCGTGCGTCGGTGGCCCTCGTCCTTCGAATTCGACCTACGTACCATCACTGGCCCACCTCGGAGGGCGCTTCTTTGTCTCTTCCAGACCACACCGCTCCAGTCCCTGAACGATTGTCGTCCTTCTTCTCTCAAGACTGGGTTCGGAATGGAGATTCGGAGGTTCTTTTCATCAAACGGGCGTCTCGCGCCGGGGACCGCTGGACTGGTCACGTTGCTCTCCCGGGAGGCAAACGGGATCCGGAAGATGTCGACGACAAGGCGGCTGCCGTTCGAGAGGCCTCGGAGGAAGTAGGGCTGGACCTGACAACGGCGGACTGTATACACGTGGGGAATCTGCCGGAACGGGTGGTCACCACCAGCTGGGGCTCGGTACCGTTCGTCTCTTTCATCTTCCCTGTCGGACAGCGCCTCAATATACTGACCCGATCGCTCTAGGTTGATGGTTCTCTGCCCTTTTATCTTTCTGATGACTCGCAGCGACTCTCCCCCTCTACGCTTGCAGCCGACTGAGGTGGCCTCTACCCATTGGGTCCCCTTGCGGGCCCTTTTGTCGCCCTCCCTGCGGACGGTGGAAAACGTGGATATGTCTCAGCGGCTCTCGAACATGGGTGGGATTATACTGCGGTTTGTCTATCGCTGTACATTGGGTATGATGCAATTTTCGGCCGTGCGTCTACGCCCAACGGAAAGCTTGCAGTCCAACACGACCCCGGGACTAATTCCCGACGACTACCTGGAGCCTCCAGTCTCGTCGTTGCGGCGATGGATGACATGGTCCTCCGGCCGTCAATCCGATCCTGCTAAGCAGGAGCGGCCTTTGCTCCTCTGGGGGCTGACTCTTGGGATTTTAGCCGACTTCTTGGATATGCTTCCGCCTCATACCGCGGTGCAATTGTGGAAATATCCGACGTTCACCACGCCGGATCTGTGGTTAATCGTGACCGTGCTGACTTACCGCCTGCGAAAACGCAACCAACTTCAGGTTCAGTCGGGCGCGCGCCCTAGCAATACGGCTGTGGACGGTCAAACGGCGGCGCTGCCAGTAACACAGACGACCGACGACAACAACGAAGTGGGCATTGGGGGCCTCGGCGTTGGCCGATACTATGGACTATCTGACAAGGTTCCGGATGGAAGTAAATATGCCGTGGGTATGTTGCTCAAAGGCTACTATTCCCGATTACGCGTTGCTGTCTCTATCTTCCTGGCCTGGCGGGCAGTCCTCGGATCTCTGGCGGCGGTATATACTTGGCGATTCTTTCGACGGCGGCAATGAGGCTCTAGACAAAGGTGGGATGTGGCATATTGGTCAATATATGGTAGAAGATCTTGTAACAATAGCATGATTTACCGTCTGGTATAAAGACAGATTAGAGAATAAATGATGACATTAAATTGTATTGTCAGTACCTTGATCAACGGGCGTGGTGATTAACGGGTTACATAATCCAGCTTATCGGGATTGTTGTTTGTCGCCTCGACTCTCCTTCTCTCCCCGAACTTCCATGTTCTTCCCATTGCCCTCTCCGCTGCCATGGCTGCCACTCAGAAGCTCTACCCTCGAGGGACCGTGAAACGCATCGTTAAAGCCCACGCCAATCGAAATGTCAGCAAGAATGCCGATATACTGGTGAGCATTTCGAATCCAAGAACGGCGCGCAAGCGTATCGATTCCCGACTCCAGCTAACGATGCAGATATTCCTGGACTATATGCTTTTCATGCAGGAGTGAGCCACCCCTGAACGTGTCGGAATCTGAGTCGCAGAGAAATTGTTTCTCTGGCTTGGTTCAGAATGAGCTCAGCCCATGGGAGACCAGCTCGAAACCGAAACCTGATACTAAAGCGTGTTTGTTTTTCTAGGCTGATGCGAGAATCGTCCATTCGATCGCGGAAAGCGGGTGAAAAGATCGTCTCCCCGAATTCGGTTCGCAAAGTGACTGAGGTGGGTGGAGCAGACTCATTTAATCTTACTCCATTGCTATTCGATTGTTCAACTAACTTGTCTCTCTTTCTAGAGAACGCTACGAAAGTTCAAGGGTTAATCGCGCCGAAAGCTTAGAGGACGATGGATGGTATATTCGGAAAGGAAATCGCAGTCAGAAGTATTACGGACTGCAGAGGATCGAGGATGGGATCGAGATCAGTACTTTCGGTTGTCGTTATTTGTATTGCTTGTTTGTTTCTCTGTTAGCCCTGGGAGGAAGTGCATACATCTAAGGAAGATGAAGATGAAGATGATAGAGATGGCGTTCATGGAGTCTTATGATACCCCCCAAACAATCAAATACCTCAATTTCGGAGACAATTTCTCAGTTTGCCAACCAGAGAGGAGCGCATGAGCTAGACCAAGGAGTGAATCCAAGCCACGCAGCTGTTCGAGCGTTGGTTGGGTGTGCTGGTCCTGCAGCACGCGACAAGGCGGCCTGAGGTTCGGAAGAGTTCCACCCGCATCTCTCGCTCCGCTCAGCTTCTCTTCGCTTTGCCTTCATCCTCCTTTCTCCTCTCTCTCTTTCTCTCTCTCGCGTCCCCACTCTCTTGCCGTCATAACCCCCATCTAATACCTTCATCCCGTTTCGTATCTTTTCTTATATTCGCTAGCATCATTGCATCTTTTGTATTCTTCTCTTTTTTTGGTTGAGAGATCAGCTCAATTCCCCCACCACCCACAAACACACAGTCGTTCTGTCCAGCATCATGGCTGCCGCTCCCGTCAACAGCAACACTCAGGCACAAGAGTCTTCGTCAGCGAAGCTCAAGCAGAAGCACGCCCCTAGCGCTTCCATCGTTTCCAAATCCGATGAAGCTCTAGTGACCCCCAACGGACTCGACAACGTCGACAGCCCGTACCTCAAAGAGCTCCAAAAGTAAGCCGGCGCTTAAGCCACGCAATGGAACCGGGCACACTGCCTGGCCCTTCGAGAGGACCTAATGTACTGGAATGCGATTTGACTGACGGGGTTAATTTAAATAGGAGCCTGCGCAATGCAAACAAGAAGCTGGTTAGTCACCAACCTTGACGACTGTCTCGCGTTCACCGCTCACCGTTTTACCTCCCATAGAATGCCACCGCCAAGGTCGATGCCATCATCGCCGAAAACCCTGGAAAGTCACTGGAAGAACTGGTCGCGACGAAGAAGATCAATACCGATCAGAAGGCGCAGGCCGAGAAGAAACCCGCTTTGCAGGCCAGCGTCGCTCAGATCGAGGAGCAAATCGCCCATCTCAAGGAGTTTGCTGCTCACTATGAGCAGCGCCTCGTCAGTCAGAAGGCTGACCTGGAAAAGCTTCACCAGGACGAATTGAAGGCTGTTCAGGAGAAGGCTACTGCCGAGGCTAACGAAGCAAGCAAGAAGGATCTGAGAGTGCGGCTTCTCAGCCTGAGCAAGTTCCTTTACACTGCGGCTACCATGAGGCGGTCTGGGGATGAGACCTCCAATGTAACCCGTGCGTTCGAGGGCGTGCTCTACCAGATCTACGCCGGGTCACACGACGCCGTTACCTCGATGCTCAAGGTCGTTGATGGCGTGGACGAACCCGTCGTCAGCGTCGAGGGCGAGACCCTGGAAGTCACCTGTAGGTCTCCCCGCTCAAGGTCTTTGAGTCAAAAGATTTTTCAGTGCTAATCGTGTCCGATTCATTAGATGGCAAGGTCAAACAGTCTGCTGAGGAACAGGCGCCTGCGACCGAGGAAGTAGCTCCGGATGCCGCGCCCGCGTCCGACCCTACGCTGGCGAACGCCGGTTACACCGAGTTACAGGATCCTTCCTATACCGCCAGTGCTCCAGCTGCGGACGAGACCGCTCCCGCCCCTGAGAACTCCGAGCAGAATGCTCCCCCGGCTCAAACGCAGGTCTCTGATGCTGCAAACCCCGTGGCGGAGGCTACCTGGGATCCCAACACCGGTGGCTCTCTCACTTCTTCCGCGACGGCGGATGGCTGGGTTGAAGTGCCTCGCGATCCGGCTGAGACCGATACTGGCCTCCAGGCCACCCCGGCCGCTGTCGAGGTCGACGCTCAGAATGCGGCTGCTGCGGAGGCTGTGAGTGCCGATGCGGAGGAAGCCTCTGCTCCGAAGGCCCAGAAGGGAGAAACGCCGGAGGGAGCTGCGCACCAGAGACAGCACAGCTTCCGTGGTCGCGGCAGAGGTGGGCGTGGACGAGGTGACGGATCGCGAGGACGCAGCCGGGGCGAATTTAGGGGTCGTGGACGCGGTCGTGGAGGCCGTGGACGCGGTGGCCCCAACGGCGCACCAGCTGCCACTCCCGCGGCAGCCCAGCAAGCTTAAATCGCACCGTCACTTGGGGGGTGGGGAGGGAGTTGTTGAAGAAGAAATGACTCCCGGTGCCGATGCTTTCCCGCCTAACGTTACACCGGACATCTTGTTCCTTTCTTGCAATCCCGGAATTTTCCCAGCTACCCTTCCATCTTCTCTATCTTGCGGTCTTCTTGGCCTCCGACATCTTCGGCATGTCCCTTGTATCTTTCCTATCTAATACGTTCATGGGTAATGGTGGTGTTATGGTTCACGAAAGCGACGAATCTCTTGAAATGTTTACAACGAGGACTTCTTGGGTAAGAGTGGCGGTATGTCGCTCTGCTTTTCTCTTTTTTTCTTTACCCCCGGGCCTTTTTCCTTTTTGGATGGCTGGCATCCTAAAAGTGGCTGGTTGTACATGTCTTGCAGTTATTGAGCGTGCATAGTATTCCTGCTCTTCAATCTTTTCCTTCTCCCCTTGGCGTGGCCTGTACGCTTCGGTGTATGGTGCCCATTCTGACGGCGCCGACACCCTTCTGTATTTTACTTCCTAATGCTGTTGGTATGCATGGGGACGATGTGAAGGCTGGATCGTTATGGGATGGCATGATTGGAATGGGACGAATTCGGAGGGCACTATTTTGTTATGTTTTATGCTAGATGATGGTGGACGAGGTGGCTAAGCAATGGATATCGCGGCATGAACCCACCCGATATGCTCCTGGCTCTACGGAGTAAGTGTAGAAGTAGAAAGTGCTCTATAGATACGATTTCGTTGTTAGGGCTCGGGGCGGGGCTTAGCTAAGCGGGGAACTGAGCTGTTCTCTTTTCTCTCCCGCTGGATTTGTTTATCTTCTCTCACATTCAACCACTACTCGCAGTCTGCTTGTGCTTCCCTGCTGCTGCTACATCCATAATTTCCTCATGTTGGACTGATTGATTCATCCATTCCTTTCCTTCTTTTCTTTCCTTGTCTTGTTATCTCCCGGTTTTCCTGGGTTCTCGCTCTTTTCCTCTCCCATTCCTACAATTGACCACCATGGCGCTAGCCGCAGATCAGCGGAAGAAGATCCTCAAGGTCTTGATGACCTCGTTGCTGTTGGATTTGGTAAGAATTTGCCAATTCATGCAATCTTATCCGGCGCAACCGTCCTAACCAGCTTCGCAGATATCCTTTACTTTCATTCTCCCGCTCTTCCCGTCCCTGCTCACCTTCTACCGCAACCAAGACCCCTCCCCGGACTCACTCTTGAATCGCGTCTTCCACTACCTCAACGCCTACAAGAACTCGTTTGCCAAACCCATTGACTCGCGTTATGACATTGTCCTTCTTGGAGGTGCCCTCGGATCACTGTTCTCGTTGCTTCAGGCCATCGCCGCCCCCTTTATCGGCCGCCTCTCCGACAAACATGGCCGCAGGACTGCTCTGCTCTACTCGATGCTGGGCAACACTCTTAGCGTTGCCCTCTGGGTCGCTGCGACCGATTTCCGCACCTTCCTGGCCAGTCGCGTCGTCGGTGGCCTGAGCGAGGGCAATGTACAGCTCGCCCACGCCATCGCCACGGACATCAGCGATCCGAGTCAACGCGGCTCCACCATGGCTCTGGTGGGTGCCTGCTTCAGCATTGCGTTTACCTTTGGTCCGGCCCTGGGAGCGGCCCTTTCGAACATCACAACGGTGGCCGCAAACCCGTTCGCAACGGCGGCGGGCGTGTCTCTCCTCTTGATCGTCGTCGAGACTACCTACCTGTACCTGTGTCTTCCCGAGACACATCCTCGTCTCACCAAACTCAGCCACGCGACCTCTTCCCCAGCCGGAGCCACCGCCACGCCGTCAGACAGTGCGACCCAATCATCCTCCCCGCGCAAGCATACAAACAAGCCGGCCATTCTGAACGCCATCCATTTCCTCTTCCTTCTCCCCTTCTCGGGCATGGAGTTCTCCCTGCCGTTCCTGACCGCCACCTTCTACGCCGCAGGCTCCGGCAGCCCGTCTGCCCTGAACGGTCGCCTCCTGTCCATGATGGGGCTCATCGCCTCGCTGCTCCAAGGCACCGTCGTGCGGCGACTGCCCCCGCTGGCAATCGTGCGTACCGGCGTGGTCGCCTGCACTATCTCGTTCTTCCTCCTTGCACATGTCTCGACTCTGGCAGGATTGTACGGGGCCGGTAGCTTGCTGGCCGTCACCAGTGCCACGGTGGTCACCGGTCTGAACAGCCTGGGCAGTCTGGAGGCCCAGGAGGGAGAGCGCGGAGCCGTGCTGGGCCGGCTGAGAAGCTGGGGACAGGTCGGTCGCGCTGCGGGCCCGGTGCTCTTCTGCTCGCTGTTCTGGTGGGTTGGGCGGGAGATCGTCTACACCGCCGGAGGATTCGTCATGGCGGTTGTCTGCGTGGCGGTGTTCACTACGCTTAAATCGCCGCCCGTCGGACCGGTCGCCCCTGCTCAGAAGAAGAAGGCTTAAAGTTGTGGTGGATTCGTGGTGTATCGGCGATCATGTTGTGTCGCGTCTTATATATACAGAGAAACTACTTCTACCTATATCGAGTCCTGACTGGACTCTGCTCTTGGCATCCTCTCGACTGTAGCACAGCGACGTCGAGTGCTGCTTCCTTAAAATGCCGCTGCTGGGTCAGTGGCTGTGAATATTAATGTGAAATCCATACTCCGCGCTTCCACACCTTAGCATCATTTCCTCATGGTACAATCGACTGAACCTCTGTATTGCTGGGTATAGTATACATGTAAAATAAATCATAAAAATACAGGATGAGATGAGATGAGATGATCAGTACGCGCGAGAACCGGCCCAAAGAAAGAACCCCCCAGAAAGGTGATTTCGAATCATCGTTTCCCGGTACATGCGCCCCCATAGTAGCATAGTAGACTGTGCCCAGTAAGAACCGATAAGCCACAAGAGAGAGGCGAAAAGAAATCAAGAGACATCGATATGTCACGTCCAAATCAAATAGATCGGTCCTTATAATGCTGCAGATGGTAGGAAAAGTGGAAAGAAGAGAAAGCAAGTCAGAGAGCGAGCACATATTACCTGATCATCACCGACGAGAGGATCGAGAACTGTCCCTCGCGTCAGAACTCTCGAACTGCTGGCAACCCTGGATAGCCAGGCCCGGCTCAGCAGGGGGATCCAACGACCCTCTCGCCTTTCCGATCAACCAATCCGTCAAAGTGACGAACTTAGCGGTGCGCTCCCAACCGGTGGCGTTATCGGCATGCTCGATCGTATGCGACAGCACGCGGCCCTCCTCGTCGAACGAGAATATGAACAGGCCCGTGAACTGCTCTTCCTTGGCGAGCTTGAAGATCGGCGCATCGCCGCCCAACAGCACGCTCAGACCTTTGTTGATGCCGTTCTTCGACGCCGATGCGTGGCTGGGCCCGGGCTGTTCGCCGCCACTTCGAGTCGTTCCCACAAAGCTCGGGAGCTGTGGGTGGTCGTCGCGCCGGGGCTCGGTGCGCCATCGCACGACGAGCCGCTCGTCGCCACCGTCACTATGTCCGCATCGCTCGGGGTCCAGCACCGTTCCGGCGCGGACCATGCGCTCGCTGAGGATCTGGAGCTTGACGTTGCCGACTAAGGGCAGGCTGCTCCATGCTACAGGGACGGTCCATAGCGCTGCGCGGTACAGCGTTCGCCCCTTGACTGTGGGTAAGTGTGGGTGTGTCGAGGGGAAGAGGTGGAGGGTGACGCTGGGCGAGAGGATGGACGATGGCAACGGGTTCACGAGGAGGGTTGGTAAGAGCGGGGAGAGAATGCGGAGGGCTAGAGTCGTGAAACTTGGTCAGCGAGAAGGTCTTGAAGTAAGGACGGGGCCATGTACTTTTCCCGAGCTTGAGAACCCGCTCATCCGGGGGCTTTTGATCACCGCCGTTGGAGTCTTTGCCTTGTTCATTAGGCAGGGATTGATTGAGTCCCGTTTGAGAGAACAGCGTCGGCGAGCTCGTGGGACTTTGCTGCCAGGGTTCGGGGGGAAATAGACCCTGTTGCCGGGTTTGCGCTAACGGCCGGAAAAGCGACGAGAAGTGTTTGCGGGAATTGACTGGACGGGGAGGATGAAGACATGTGCGAATGGGGCGTGTAGACACCGCCGAAGGGACCAGTTTTGGCATCACGGGCAGTAAGCTTCTTGATACATGGGCTGATGGTGATAAGCGAGAGTCAGGCCGTGCGCGACGACAGCAGGGAACGGGGAGGCAGCCATGTGTTGGAGGAGGAAGGATGAAGCCATTGAGAATCCATGGAATTTCGACTTGATGACGTTGGACCCACTCGCTTGCCCGATTGGGCCCGCCCCGGCAAACCAGACAAACCCGGCCGTTTCGGGAATCGGCAAATCAACATAGATGGATTATTATTGATGTCGCATTCTAGAATCTCTGGTATCATACTCTTTTACGTCGTCATGCTAATTCATCATCATCACCTTCTCCCATATACCGTCGCTCCGCCAGATCGCGGATCTTGTCCTCCAACACTCCGCGCCCGTACCGTTGCGCAACCTTGACGGCCGCCTCGACCATCTTGCCATTGCGGTCCTTCATGAGCTGGACTAGTTCCAATGCCTTCATTCCCCGTTCTTCTCCTTCGCGACATTCAACCGCCAGCAGTTGCAGGAGGATTTTGTCCAATTCAAGCTCCTTCCGTGCCAGCTCGGCCCGCTGGCTGGCGGTCGCATTCGTCGACGTCAAGACATCCTGGAAGAGCGAGAGCATAACATTACCACGGACAAAGGCTTCCTCGTGCTTCGCTCCTTCGTCAGCGGCAGCATCCGCATCTGGCGCGCTCTTCCCAGGCGTGTCGGAGATGGGGATGCGGAAGTCGAATTCACTCAGCAATGGTCGCGGGAAGTATGGATACCGGTCTCCACCCTTGAGGATGATGCAGTGGAATTTATCCTGTGCAACAGCAACGGGCCAGTACGTCTCCTCCTTGCGTCCCGTCGCCAGACGCTCGAGCTGTTTGGTGTCAAGGAGGGGCACCCATCGTGCTTGCCCTGGGCTGCGCCAGTGCTGTAAAACGAGAAGTACACCCTCCGAATCGTAGATGCAAGGGTCCTGCCAAATTAGCATAGTCTCGATAATCAGTTCGACTTGGTGGACAACTCACACCTGAATCGGAGAAGAAAACGCTCTGTAGGTCCGATCCCTCCGGAATGGCGACCACGTCTTCATTCTGACAAACCTCATCCCGTTTGACATTTTCGACCGTGTACCGCAGGCTGGCAGTGCGACCATCGCTTCCCAATGGCCCGTTTCCAATGGTCATGATGTAGTCTCGCCAAGCCGCACAGGTCACGGCCGGGCTCTTCTGCCGATAGACCTTGAATGGTGTGCCAAATAGCGTGTATACACGGACGTAATCTTTCGTCGTCACGGCGACAACGTATGAATCACTCAGCGCCAGCGCTGTCCGAATTAGTCGCGTGAGCCTTAAACTGGTGAGCTGACATATTCTTACCTCGAATAAGCTCCCCCTGGGGCAGCTGGGTTCGCCAGTCGGCTCTCGTCGTCCACGTCTCATGTGGTCGGTAGAATATCGAGGCCGGGCTGCCATCCGTTGGATTGTTGGAGAAGAGTGTACCGTGCTCGTCTTAGATCTATAGTCAGTATAATTCAGTGCGTCGAAGTGTTTAGTTCTGACTCACTTAGACACGCGCGGTCATAAAGATACGGATCGGTGAAATGGAAATCACGGTGCATCTCCCGGTCGTAGAATTCCACAGTCACGGTATTGTGTGTCTCCTGGTCAACAGTCCACACAGCGCCGGTCAGGTTCAGACCTAGTTTCAGTCAGCCTACGGGAAACAACAATCAGATGACAGGTTCGACACATACAGAGATACCGTCGGTTCCCGCGCCAAGGAGTGCTGCCAGGTTGAAGAGGTTGATGGATTTTGGGCTTGGAGAACGAGGTCAATAGCCGCTTGTCAGCGTGTCCCTCGATATCGTCCAGATGTCCATTTGATCGTTTCCCGAGCCCATTCATGCCCTCTGCATATCCAGCCCCGTCGTCATCGTCGACGAAGTCTTCCATGCCCTGGTCGGAACCAAGGATATCATCAAGGGAGTCCGGCGACCCTGCGCGATCTTTTCGATCGGCCTCCTTAGGCCTGCTCACCATCGGCCGCCTTACATTATCGGAGATGTCGGCTAGCGGACCAGGGAAGATCGGGGCAGCCTGGAGCGGCTTCTGGAGGAGCGGCTGGTATTCCCGCGGTACGATCCCGTCGTATATGAAAAGTTCTCCGTCCGAGGTTGTAAAGGAGAGGGAGTTACTCGTAGGATGCCAGGCTAGATTGATCACGTTCGAAAAATCATAGCTCTTCACGACTTTCTGGGTCTTCGTCTCCCAGAGCAGCACCTGCCCGTCGGCACCAGCGGTTGCGAGAAGTGCTCCATTGGGGGACCAACTGATCGCGGTAACGGTTCCGTTGTGGCCGCCCGAGAAGACCTTCTCTTTCTTCCACTCGCCTGTCGAGAAGATCGAAATATCCCGCGTAGCCTCCGCAGTTGCGAACGCGGTTCCGTCCGGATGCCAAACCACTCGCGATGTTGTTTCGTCCTCCGCCTCAAGTCGCTGGATTACCCCGTCAAGTTTTCGGACAAGCTCTGGCTCCTCAGAGAGGAGGGAGTAGATGTAAACGATGCCGTCCGTGCAAGAAACCGAAACGTAGCGCCCGCTAGGATCAAAGGTAACGTGTTTCGTTCCCTTGGCTTGCTCGCGAAGATATTTCACTTTCGTCATATCGTCAAGGTTGACGATTTTCACCGTAAGCTCACTGCGTCGTAAGTTAGCTATACTGAGTTCACAGCATGTCATCATGCCCAAGTAGTCACTAACTCGCTGGCCACAGCCACCCATTCCCCGTCCTTAGAAACCGCTATATCTCTGACCGGGAGCGCGCAACGAACAAGTAGCTTGTCCATTCTGCCGGATCCGACCTCGTATTGCCAGACCGTGCCGTCTTCCGCGCCCATGATAAAGGAGTCATTCTATCCATATTCTTTTAGCTTCGTGCTTCTTCTCCCAAACGATATAGATTGGGTGCGAGGCATACTGTGGCGCCAATTCCGAGATGACCGTCCACCCCTTCGTCCACCGTCTTGGGCTCTCCATCTTGTCCGACAGTGTAGATTCGAATCGCAGAGTTTGATCCACCGGTGACAACGTGGCGGCCGTTCGGAGTATACGTTAAGACAGTAGTCCCGGGCGTGTCTATAAATCATGGATGAATGGCACGGGTTAGCCGCAGTAACAGCGGGAGGGACTATCAATGGGTGGATTCTACTTACGGGCGGGCCTGCCTCTGGGACGAATGGCTTCCGAGGCCATTGTAGAGGTCAGATTGATAAGAGAGTAGGAGAGGGTGAGGAATGGGTCTGGGGATATGAAGCCAAACGGCCACTGGTCGCTGGTAGGATCGCAACTCCGCCAAGTCGTCTTCGTTGCAGCCGCGGAGTCTCACGTTTCACGCGCCGAGACGCGTCGCGACTCCGCTGATGTTTAACCTAATCAGGTAGTATAAAGGGCTTAGGGCTTGGGGTCAGGGCTTCTTCAGCCCATTTGATTCTTGTCCTTCTTGCTCGTTCTTCTCAACCGCTTTTTGTTGTTATTATTATTACTTTTTTTTTTTTCAACAGGTGGTATTCCTTTAGTCCTACCCTTATTATAAACTATAGATCAAAGACCCTACTCATTGGCCGCAAGAAAATCAAAGTCTGCCCCGTGTTGCGCTTGGTTGACGCTGCGTTCGTACAGGCCAAGGTAGCCTCTTTTTCTTCCTTGCCGTCCGCCAGTGGTTTTGCTCTCCAAGGCTCGCCATTTTCGCTCGACAAGACGCGCCGTCAACTCCTCGTCTGATATTTCCACTCGCAGAATGCGCTGCTCAACGTCGCAGGTGATTAGGTCACCGGTCCGCACCACCCCGAACGGCGATTCGGGCAGTGCGGATTCCGGAGAAATGTGAAGAATAATTGTGCCTCCAGCTGTCCCAGACATTCGACCGTCCGAAAGACGCAGCATGTCTTTCACGCCTGCCGAAGCAAGCTTGCGTGGTATTGGGATCAGGCCTGCTTCGGGCATACCGGGGTTACCAATGGGGCCTATCCCTTGGAGAACAAGAACTGAGTCCGCGGTAACGGGAAGTTCTGGATCGTCGATCCTTCTCGCTAAGTCGGCTGAGTTTTCAAAAACGACCGCTGGCCCCGTATGAGACAGTAGCCTGCGATCCTTGGATGCCGAAGCCTTCATGATGGCGCCATCCGGGGCAAGGTTCCCGTGAAGGACAACAAGGGAAGAGTTTGGGTAGAGAGGATCCGAAAGGGGTCTAATGATTTGTGTCGAGAGTGGAAAGGTGCGGAAGGTAGAAGCATCCAAGACCTCACCCAAGGTCTGGCCACTGATGGTCATGGCTGAAAGCTCAAGCAGCGGACGCAGGGTATGCAACAAAGCCAGCATGCCACCGGCATTGTGGAAGTCATTCATGTAATTGTCCCCACTCGGCTTGAGGTCAATCAGTAAGGGCGTTTCCCGGCCAATCTCCTCGAAGGTCTGGAGCGTTATTACGCCACTCACTTGGGGATGCCGGTTCGCAATGGCGAGTAAGTGTACTACGGCGTTTGTTGACCCACCAATGGCCTGTAGCACTGTGATCGCGTTTATGAAGGATTCTTTAGAGAGTATGTCTTGGGGCTTTCGGCGCCCGACTGCTACAGAAACAGCATTTGCTCCAGTTTCCTCTGCTACTCTGATCCGTGCGGATGACACTGCAGGAGCCGAAGCCCCTCGAAGTGGCATCATCCCCAGACCGGCAGTAATGCAAGCCATTGTGCTGGCAGTACCCATCACGCCACACGTTCCGACCTGACGGCAAGCGCTTGATTAGCGTTAAGAATCACAAGGGCCAATGGACCTTCGATAATCCGGGTGGTGGACGAACCGTTGGAGCAAGTTCTTCATTAATAGCAGAAATCTCCTCGATGTCTATGTCCCCCGCACGAAATGCGGCCCAGTTATTCCGACAGTCAGTACATGCTCCTATCCTTTGACCTCGATGGTTGCCTGGCAGCATTGGTCCCGTCACAAGCGGCAAGATAGGCTTGTTTGCAGATATGCCACCCATCAACTGAGCAGGCACTGTTTTATCACATCCTGTACTAGATCAGCTATACTTCTTGGCTGGGGATTAGGGCAAAGAGTTAGGGCGGACCTCCGATCATAATGCAAGCATCCAGCGGTTGAGCACGGAGCATTTCCTCCGTATCCATGCTCATCAAGTTCCGGAGAAACATGCTGGTAGGATACGAAAAGGATTCATGGACACTGATTGTAGGAAATTCAACGGCCAACCCGCCATGGAGATGAACTCCTCGCTTCGCAGCCTCTATCAGTTGCGGTACATTCGCATGGCAGGGGTTGAATCCGGAATACGTGTCGATGATTCCAATGATAGGGCGCGAGAGAGCATCGTCGGAGTATCCCAGTGCCTTTATAAAGACTTTCCTAAGGAATAATGAGAAATGCGCGTCCCCATACGCAGTCAACCCTTGGCGAAGACCTGAAGAGGATGTCACTGGTGTCGACAGATCATAATCTTGACTGGTAGGCTGGTGTTGATCTCCCATCGCTGCAATCCAGGGTCGTCCGAACTTGCTCTATCCAAAAGATGGGTCGTCGATTCGAGTAAGTTCCCAGCGATGAGGTGATCGGACGCTCAAGTATCGTTTGATTCATCGGCGAAACTCCGCAATCCGGATATTTTTCCGCATTGTCAACAGGTTGGCAATGCCATTAACCTCGGGCTTATTGGTTCCTGATAAATCTTTCTCCTCATAATGACTTGGCTCTCGCATACATTAACCTTAAAAGCCATTGGGAACGCCGCCAAGGGCTGGCATGTCATCATAGGGGAAATGACCACCAATCTTTGAGCTTGAATCCAACTTGATCCCGAGTAATGCATAGTAGAAATACAATTATCCAATTCGACTTTTTCCCAAGAAGATACAGCTTAACCCTTAGAAAATCAAGACTCCGGCTCGAAGAAATAGAACCCAAACAGTCATCAAAAATTATAGACCAAGACCACTATTTATACGCTTTATGCCGGGGGAAAAACCAGAAATAAACAAGAACCCCTCTGGATTCGTTCTCGATCAAACACGCGCGGAAACCCGCACCCTGATGTCTTTCTTAGGCAAGTAGACGCCGGTGGACAATCTATGAGCCGGCAGACTAAGGTCTTCTCCATTTACCGATTCAATGTCCCACAAAGAGATAACTGCAGAAGTCATAGACAAGACTTCTCTCTCTGCAAAGGCTCTTCCCTTGCAGTCAGACGGCCCAAGACCGAAAGGGTTGATGGTATGCAATCTTGCCTGCTTCGCTCCGGTTTGGGGGTCTGCCAGAATGAATCTGAGTGGGTCGAACTGGGATGGATTCGAGAAATACCGCGGATCGGTATGAATGGCACCGTGAGAGATGGCAACGCTTGCTCCCTTCTTGACCTGGTAGGACCGAGGTTGCTCTGAGCCAGCGATTTTGGCGTCCGCCTCAGATTCGGAAATTGTCACATCGGAAGTGAATTCTCGAAATGAGAGATTGGCCGTGTCCAGGCGCAAAGTCTCATAGTAGCTAGCTTTTAGTAAATGACAGGACTTGAACAAGCCATCAGCATCGATGGAAATCCTAGCGGCTTCCTGGAAGGGGAACCCAGTCTCTTCCGGTGTGGGCCTCGAGGCCTTCACGTAAGAGGCAATCTCCTTCCTAACATCCGCCAGAAGGGTTGGGTCCGCGAAAAGGCGAAGAATATGCCAGAAGACAATGTTAGGCGCATTGCCATTCATGGCCCAGAGTAAAGACAAATGACCCGGGGCGCTAGATTGCGGCGAAAGTCCTGCGCTTTTGGACAGCCGGATTCTTTGCTTAATCGGTTCACATACATCGTCAAGATCTCGGAATTTGATGCCGGGGTCTACGCCGTCATCCCAATGGTTAAAGGCTTGCTGAAACTCTGCAAGGGCCCCAAGAAGACGGTCACGCGCTGCATACGCGGCAGGAAGTCCCGGGATCACTATCCAGCGGGGCAGCCCCAGCGCCATGATGGGAAACCAATCATCCAGTTTCCAGACATCGTCTAACAAGGTAGGGAATTCTTCCAAGATAGCTTGTCCCATAAGAGTAGTCGTAGTGGCATGTCCCACAAAGTTCCTCAGCAGAGCAAAAAGGCTCACCTCGCAAGCCTGCTTGCCCTTGGAATCCACGACTTCCAGATCACTGTTGCGCTCCCAGAGTTCCTGATCCACCACGCTGTGGCAGAAGGTCACCAGCTTGGGAGAATCGCGTTCTATCGCACGTACAAGCGACGCGGACGCCTCCGACAAGAATGGTTCCCGCTTGAAAGTATTGGGAATGGCATGGTGATAATTTTCAGCGTTGGCCGGGTCCAGGTTGCGCAGGGGTCCTCGGTCACCAAAGACGGCTTTTAGCGCGTGGTGGACCAAGGCAGTCGAGCCTGCACTTCGCGAGGACATTACAGACCTGGCCAAAGATGGCGATGTTACAGTGACGTGCTTTTTCCCGCCCATATAGATGCCCATCACGGGCTCAGCCATTCGATCCCTGAATCAGACAGTCAGCTAGCTGTCGTGCTTCTATTCAAGACACAACACTCACCTGGCTCCACCCACAAGGCTAACATGGTTCCAAATAAAGGAAAAGCCGTGGCCTATCCAAGGAAACCAGTACGGCACCAGCCGGACTCTGCGTGGTTGCTCATTCTCAGCCTTTCCACTTTGCAGGCCAGTGATGATGCGAGTGGAAATGCACACGAAGAGAAGAACCGCGAAGAACCCCGGCCAGCCCAATTCGACCACGCTTTCTTGGATGTTGCGGACCAGGCCGTCCGGTGATCGAACCTGGTTACCCATGGTGAATTGTTTATTGATTTAATTATTTTGTCCTGTTTTCAAGGGCAACGAGATTCAAACAGGCGGTGGGGAAGCCATTAAATGAAATCAAAGAAAGGGAAAAGGGGAAGGGGGAAGACAAAGGAATGATGTGGAAGAGTTCACAACCTCCAACATCCGAAACATAAACACAGATGAAGAACAAATTGATATGATCTCAACAGAATCCAAGGGAAGGGGATTTGGACCGCAGCCGCAAGTGGAGGAAAGCCGAAGGAACCTTGGAAGTTCTAAGAATAGCGTGGCGTATTTATGACCCGTAACATTACGGCTTATCTCAGCGTGCATAATTCACTCATAATCATCTCCACATAAATAAATACCTGAGAAGGGTTTGATCATTCATGACTATGTACTGAAAACTAATGAATTTAAGAATACTGAGCAACTGACATCCATCATGTACTCGTTTGTTCATTCATGGTCTCATCATTGGCTCTGCAAGATCTTCTTCAAAACCGCACTGTCCGTCTCATACTTGCTGATCTTGTCTTGAGAACTGTACACTTTCTGCAGAAGCCATTGGATTCTCGGCGTGAGCTCTCGCGGCTGCTTTGGCAACGACCCCAATAGCTGCAATTCCTGCTCATACTTGGCGATGCTCTTGTTTTCCGCGCGGATGAGTTCCGAGAAGATGTCCAGGTCCAGGCGGCTGCTCAGCGTTGTGTTCTGGGTCAACCTTTTGAACACGGTGCGGTAGACTGGTTTGCCGGGTTTGATCGTCTCAGGGGAGCCGCTGACCGAGGCGATGTTGATGAGCTCCGCCTGCTCTAGTGCTCGTAGGGCGGTCTCGCCATCATCCTTGAACAGATCTGAGAGGAGCACTCGGCTATAGGAGAGTTCTCCATCCTCCGCCTGTGCCAGCATCTTGATCAGAGTCCACACCTGTTCCTGGCTCCATTGTCGACTCCCAGTCTCCACTCCCAAGATGAACATCTTGAGGATTTCGGAGATGGACTGCTCCACAATACGATTGACGGCAGCTAGACTGTTGTCAGCCGGTTATTGGCCGTGAATGATCGCGGGTTGAGCAACTTACCTCGGGGGGTTTCTCCTGCTTCGATGCGATGTGCCATGAATTCAAGGTCCGTGACACGGCCTCCTAGCATCTCAATGCAGCTGTCAAGATCTTCGGGGCCCGTCTTGCTTCCAAGCTGCTGGTTCTCAATCCTTGCTCCATCGCCCAGATGGTTCAGCACAAACCTCCTCCCGACTTCCAGGGAGCAATCTCCCAAAGAAATCATGCGAAATACCGAGTTCGGCATGGCTTTGCTGAGAGGTTTGGCAAAGGAGACATCCGTTGTCAAGAAGATGACATGAGCGATATTGCCGGCTGTCAGTCCAGCGGCCCACTCGGTGATTTTCTCGTACACCACGCTATTCTCCGAGGCGTTGTGTAGGAAATTGTCGATAACCACCACGGGTCGCTGTTCGGGATGGGCCTCGAGGTACTCCTCGTCGGACAGATGGAAGTCCTTGTCGGTCTTTCGCCTATGTTGCAGCGTGACCCTCTTCAAAGCCGTGGCGGTGTTCTGCCAAATCTTGCTGAGCTGCGCATCCAGAGTCTCCGAAAATCCAGCTTTGGTTCCAATCATGCCCTGCGCTGCGAGATCAATGAAGCTACTAATGCTGTTCATCCACGAAAATACCGGTCGATAGCCCACTTGGCTGGCCGCTCGCGCAATTTTGGCCGTGTCACCTCTGGCGTCCTGGATCTGTTTGCAGTCGATGACTATCTTGTACTTGTAATTTTCGAGGGCACGTTCCAGAACCAGTTCCCGCTTGCCCGAGCCCCGAGGGCCATGAACGACAATAAAAGTCTCAACGTTTTCCGTCAACCAGGAGCGCAACTGTGAGATGTCCGCCTGGCGGTCCTCCCAGATGGCCGTGAGCCCCCGCGGGTCGGCACCACGATCACCGAAATAGATCATATTGGCCTTGCTGACTTGCTTGCGGATCCATCGCAGAACATCGTTCTCTTCGGCGTGGAGGGTTGCTTTGATCTTCATTTCAATGAAAAACGTGCGGATGGGGTCAAAGACAGCCACCGTGATGGCGGCAACCAGCGCGGCAACGGCAGGAATCACAAGCCTTGGATGGTTCACAATCCAGTCTTTGAACATAGTCCACTTGATCTTTCGCTCGTACATGATCCTGATCCTCGTGCCCGATTTGCCGCCGCCAGCCTCCTCCGGGACAACAAATCCGTGCATGCAATTCTTGGCCATGACCGCATACATCGGGCGCGAGAATTCGACTTGTGCATACCTGGGCGATACCTTCGAGTCCGACGGCTGTTTCTCGATATCCTTCAATTTCCCATAGCTGCGAAAGGCCGAATAGAGGGTTTCGGTCGTCAAATCCACCGCGGATCCGTCGGCGGATCCCGGCAAGAACTCGACTCTCAGTCGCTTACTCGGGATGCGATACAGGTCTTCGATCCACGGGCGACCCAGAACGCGAGCAACCCGGACCTTCTGAAATGGATTGAACCATGGTCTAATGGGATGCTCTTCCAAGTTCGCCTTGATGGCCGCTTCGATGTCGACGTCTTTCAGTCCTGCCTTACGAGCGTACTTGACAAAAGAGCCGCCTTCTCTGAAGCGTGGGACGACTTCTTGGATTTCCAGATCCAGACCTTCTGGGAAAACGCGGCGAATGATATGTAGTGGGTCAGATGCCGCCAGTTGCGGTCTATTGATGCGTTTCAAGGCCTCTTCGTATGACCTTGTGGTGCGGAGTGGCCCCTGTAACACCCACTGTAACCTTGATGGGAAGATATCTGGTTTTAGAGACGATCAGTTATTGAAGACCACAAGTCGACAGCTCTGCTACCGTAAAAGTCAAGTAGTCCTTACTGTTCACGAATATTAGACCCTCGTTCTCGCCCACCTCGATATGCCCGGTCTCCAGATATGAGGCATGAGAGGTAGTAGTAGTACTAGAACTCCGCCGTCGAATCACCTCGCGCCGAGCGGAGAAGGCAGAAGCAGACCTCGTCCAGTGTTGGGACAGTGAGGCGACAAGAGGCCTCCTTTCTCGAACATACAATGCACGCATGATCGAAGACTCCCCTCGAATGGCATTGAGAGTTGGTTGTTCTTGAGATGGAATGACGAGCGGGCGCAGTGACGTCGACAGCCCGGCGGATACGAGACATAACCGGTTTTATTACCGCCGTCGGTGGAGTTCCTCCGCAAATTACCGTCACGGGCGGGTATTGGGTAAGATTACATTCTGTCCGATGGAATTCGCGATTCTTCCGCTCTCAAAAGTATCCCAGACGCTCTCGACCCTCACCCTCCTTCTGCATATCTAATTCACAATGGGCTGGTTGTGGAATTCCTCGCCTCCCAAGGAGACCTCTCCGCTCCCTCCAACACCTTCCCCTCCGCAACAACAGCCTCCGTCAGACCCTCAAACGCCCGCTTCCCCGCCGCCGCCGCCGTTGACTCGCGAAGAACAAGCCGATGCGGAGTTCAAGAAACTGCTCGCCAGCCTAGAAGGCGACATCAACAGCGGCTCTCGAAAAGACTCGCAACAGACATCATCCACAACAGAATCGGGCCCCGAATCCACGACGCCGTCGTCCTCGATTGCCCCCGAGTCCCTCTACCCGGACACCATGTCCTGCCGCTCCGCGTTTGACTATGCGTTCTTCTGCCAATCGTTCGGCGGCCAGTTCGTCAACGTCTACCGATACGGCGAGCTCCGGTCGTGTAGTGAACACTGGGATAACTTCTGGCTCTGCATGAAGACCCGGACGTGGTCTGAGGCGTCGCGCAAGAAGGCCATCCGCGACCACAACCGCATGAAGGCGATCATATTCAAGACAGGGCCCAGCAGTGAGGATGTCTGGGATTTGCGGACGGAGCCGGTGCAAAAGGCCTTTGGGGGCGATTTTGTCGCGCTGGAGAGGCAAATGAAGGCTGAGGAAGAGGCCCGTCAAAAAGCGGCGGCTGTTTAGTTTGGGGCTGGAGAGGACAATGCGCGGTTTGGGGAGGCTTGTCTCTCTTGCCACAATGGTTGCCTGTTCCCTGTTGGGAGGGAGGGGGCTTTGTATAATATAATCTCATTCATGTCATGTCATCTTGAAGAAAGCGTCTGTGCTATTTCTCGTCTTTGTTTGATTCTCTGAACTGCACTTTTATCCCACACGCCCTTTGCGATCGAAGGACAAACCCGGGTGCGCGGCAGTCGTAATGTCCTTGTTTCTGAAACGATGAGTTCCTGGATCGACAAAGGCCTCTTTATTTTGTCCTTTGTCTGTTGGTCTTCATACTATAGACGTTAAGGGAGTTACCCTCCGGAAATTGCACATATATAACCTCGAATAAACCCGGAAGGAAAGGAAAAAGAGAAGGTGCAGCGAGAGACCGACAGACAGAACAAGAGGACCTGTCATATAGAAGCTATTCCATCCTAGGATCTACCCAGCAGGAAGTCTCTCGATGCATAGACTCGCATCTAAATTCCAGGAGTTTAAGCAGCTCCGACGCTCTCAACCCCGGAGACGTAGGTCAACCTCACCACCCCCGGAGTCACCATTTTATGTGCATTCACAATATGATAATAGGCCTCCGTCTTGCTCCTCCGCCCCCCGTGTGCCTCAGAAAACCGTTCAATGGGGCTCAGTGGCGGAAATACCTCCGTTGCCCTGGGGAAGATACTACCCCCTAAGAGGCCGTGCCTCAAGCCGACGTCCTGGCAAATCGATTCTGAAGCCACCCACCAGACTCGACCAGGAGATGTTCTGGCATAATATGTGGCGCATGGTTGGCATGGCCGACGAGCGGCTGGAGTTTACCTACCAGTGCATAGGGGACATGCGCAGCATGGGAGACGAGGCGCTCGACCTCATAATGCAGTGGGAAGAGCAATCTGTCCGCAATGAGCTGACGCGAAAAGTTCTTGAATCGGCCTATCAGTTGGATAACCTGTCCTTGGAGTCGATTCCTGGCCCTAGCAGTGAGCCTAGAATGCTCAGGCGTCGTCGAACAACCGAATTTGATTGATCTGTGTCGGGTCAAGGTTGTGGGAGCCCAATAAGAATTGATTTGCAGGCCCAAACAATTTAACCATAAAATAGATTGCGAGGAGATATATGTACGGTGAAAATAAACTGTGAGAAGAATGAGAGAACAAAACCAAACGCTCGGGCGCCTCTGTATTCCAGTTTCGAGAGAATTCGCTATAACCAAAAGCAAGTCCACCCATCACCGAAAAATAAAGAAACAGAAAGGATAGAGATAGAAGATAAACGAATTGGAAAGGCTGGCAACCTGTGGAAAAGAAAGAATATCAATACAACCGTGCCCATTTCCAAATCACCCAGGAACTAAGAATGATTTCCACGTAACATAAGCCATGAGCTGCCATAGATATAAACCCCCTCCAGCATTTTCGGAACGATTCAATATGAAGCAGAATTCTTAAACATAAAATTGGTATTCATTGGTCGCTGTCATCTTCGTTTGTCGTAAAACATACACAAAACTCGGCGTCGCCGGAAGCAGTCCTGCTGCACAGACGCCTTGGGCTTGAGCGATTCTTTCATGCGGAAACAGTCTGAGCAACACCCTGAGGAATTGCATCGATCGCTGGTCGACGAACAATGCCACCGGTGACGGGAAGCTGAGAGCTGGTGTTCATCAGGTAGGTGTCGACTTCGCGAGCGCACATGCGACCCTCGTTGATGCCCCAAACAATGAGGGACTGACCGCGACGGCAATCACCGGCGGCGAATACGCCGGGGACGTTTGAGTTGTACTGGCCAGGAGGTGTCTTGACATTCTTGCGAGCGTCGCGTTCAATTTCATCGCCCAGGAGGCGGTCCTCGGGACCGAGGAAACCCATGGAGAGAAGAACAAGATCGGCAGGGAAGAATTGCTCGCTCCCTTCGACAGTCTTCATATCCCATCCGCCAGAGGCGCTCTTGGTCCATTCGACACGGACGGTGTTGATACCCTTGACGCGACCACTGCCGTCGTCAACGAACTCCTTGGACATGACACAATACTCGCGAGGATCCTTGCCCATGTGAGTTTTCACTTCAGAGTGACCGTAATCCACGCGATAGATCCGGGGCCACTGGGGCCACGGGTTATCACGGGCACGCTCAGGGGGAGGCTGAGGCAATAGTTCGAAGTTGGTGACGGATTTCGCACCGTGACGAACAGAAGTGCCAATACAGTCATTGCCAGTGTCGCCACCGCCAATAACCACGACGTGCTTATCTTTGGCAGAGATATACGCCCCATCGGCCAGGTTAGAATCGAGGAGACTCTTGGTGTTTTGGTGGAGGAACTGCATGGCAAAGTGCACACCATCAAGCTCGCGGCCGGTGACCTTGAGGTCGCGTGCTACTGTGGCACCGGTAGCAATGATAACAGCATCGTTACTCTTGCGCAGGGACTCCAAAGAAACCTCGTGCTCGGGACCGACGGGAGTGCTGGTAACAAACTTAACGCCCTCAGCGGCCATCAAATCAACACGCCGCTGCACGACCTTCTTGTCAAGCTTCATGTTAGGAATTCCATACATGAGCAGGCCGCCAATGCGATCAGCACGCTCGTAAACAGTCACGCTGTGGCCAGCTCGATTAAGTTGGTCAGCCGCTGCAAGACCAGCAGGGCCAGATCCAATAACGGCGATGGTCTTGCCGGTGCGGTTTGGAGGAGGACGAGGAACCATCCAGCCCATCTCAAACCCTCGGTCAATGATGGCACATTCGATGGATTTGATACCGACAGGGTCTTCGTTAATTCCTAGGACGCAAGCACCTTCGCAAGGGGCAGGGCAGACACGGCCAGTGAACTCGGGGAAGTTGTTGGTCATGAGTAGACGGTTCAAGGCATCTTGCCATTGATTTTGAAACACTAGTTCGTTCCATTTAGGGATGATGTTGGAAATCGGACAACCGGTGTCCGACTGGCAGAAGGGCACACCACAATCCATGCAACGAGCAGACTGGTATTTGAGCTCGTCCTCGCTGAGGCGATTGGAGAGCTCCGCCCAGTCACGAGTACGGGTGGCAGGGTTGCGGTACTTCTCGCTACGCCGGTTGTACTTCATAAAGCCCCTGGTTTTGTCCAGGATGAGAGCCGACCGCTTCTTCTCGGTCTTCGAGTCGCTGATACTGTCCTCGATGTCCAGCATCTCGGCCTTCTTCGAGTCGGCTTCGGCCTTGGGCTTCTCCGCGTTCGCTGGGGTGCTGGGAAGTCGAGGGAGCGTAAACTCGGCCTTCTTGGCCGCCTCGGCCTTAGCAGCTTCCTCCTCCAACGTCCGCTTATAATCGGTAGGCAGCACTTTAACAAAATGAGGAAGGGCCCGAGTGAAGTCCAAAAGTACACGAGCTGCCAACTCCGAGCCAGTATAGTGGTGGTGGTCTTCGATGAGGCCACGAACGAAGGCAATCTCAGCAGGGTCTTCGAGGCCAGATACTTCCACCATTTCCATGTTCACCTTCGAATGGAAGTCTTGGTTCTTGTCTAGGATGTATGCAATACCACCGGACATACCGGCAGCAAAGTTACGGCCAGTTGATCCGAGAATAAGCACGCGGCCACCCGTCATGTACTCGCAACCGTGGTCGCCAACACCTTCCACAACGGCGGTGGCACCCGAGTTACGGACGGCAAAACGCTCAGCAGCCATACCGCGGAAGTAGCAAGTACCACGAGTCGCCCCGTAAAGACAAGTATTACCGACGATCACGTTCTCTTCTGCCTTGAAAGCGGCGCCGCGAGGGGGGTAGATTATGAGACGGCCCCCGGACAGGCCCTTGCCGATGTAGTCATTGGCATCGCCCTCAAGCTCCAGAGTTATACCGGGTGCAAGGTAGGCACCGAAGGATTGACCAGCGGAGCCTTTAATGTTTGCGTGGATTGTGTCTTGGGGAAGGCCCTCACCACCGAATCGGCGACTGACCTGGTATGATAGGGTAGCACCCAAGGCGCGATCGGTGTTGACGATGTCACACTCGATCCTGCAAGGGAGGCCCTTCTCGAGTGCGAGCTCGGATTCGGCGATGAGCTTATTGTCGAGGCGAGTGTGCAGACGGTGATCTTGCTTGCGGACATTGTACGTAGCGACTCCAGGGCGAAGCGAATGAGCCGGGGTAAGAATGAGAGACAGGTCAATCTTCTCCTGCTTAGGAGTCCGGATGTCGTCTCTGACCTTGAGCAACTCGGCACGTCCAACCATTTCGTTGACAGTACGCACGCCCAATTTTGCCATGATCGCACGCATTTCATTGGCAACGTAATAAAAGAAATTGATGACATGTTCAGGAGTTCCAGAGAATTTGGCCCGGAGCTCTGGGTCCTGGGTAGCAATACCCACGGGACAAGTATTGAGGTGGCATTTTCTAGTTAATAAGTCAGCACAATAAGTTCAAACAGGCGGCGAAGCCTTGACAGTGAACGAACCTCATCATGATACAACCCATAGCAATGAGAGGAGTAGTGGCGAAACCATATTCTTCAGCACCCAGGAGACAAGCAACAGCAAGATCACGACCGGTGCGAATCTGACCGTCAGTCTGGACAACAACACGACCACGCAGGTCGTTCAGGACAAGGGTTTGATGGGTTTCGGCGAGGCCTAACTCCCACGGAAGGCCGGCATATTTGATACCAGTCCAACGAGAGGCACCAGTACCGCCATCGTGACCCGAAATCAAGATGTGGTCAGCCTTAGCCTTGGCGACACCAGAGGCAACAATTCCCACACCGACCTCTGAGACGAGCTTGACAGAAACACGTGCGCGGGGGTTCGAGCATTTGAGATCATAAATAAGCTGCTTCAGATCCTCGATGGAGTAAATGTCATGGTGCGGCGGCGGCGAGATCAGGCCAACGCCGGGAGTCGAGTAACGTGTGTGGGCAATAGGGCCAACGACCTTATGACCTGGGAGCTCACCACCTTCGCCAGGCTTAGCGCCCTGTGCCATTTTGATCTGCAGCTCATCGGCATCTGCCAGATAATGCGATGTCACGCCGAATCGGCCAGAAGCAATCTGTTTGATAGCCGAACGCATGGTATCCCCGTTCTCCATGCGCTTGCTTCGCTCAGCGTCTTCACCACCTTCTCCGGTGTTAGACTTGCCACCAAGACGGTTCATGGCAATTGCCAACGTGGAGTGAGATTCCATGGAGATAGATCCATAAGACATAGCTCCGGTGACGAATCGGCGAACAATCTCAGTCCAGGGCTCAACCTGGTCAATTGGTATAGGCGTACGCTGCTCAAAATCAAAATCGAGCATACCACGGAGCGTACAGTTTTTGATTTGCTCATGTTCAGCCTTGGCGTAGGCCTCATAAGATTTGTCGTTCTTCGTACGCACGGCATCCTGCATGTTCGCAATGCTAACGGGATCATTAACATGCTCCTCGCCTCCGTCACGCCAATGGTATTCACCGGACTCCGGAAGGCCAGGGATTTCAGTGACCGAGCGAGAGGGGTAACCACGTTCGTGGAAGGCAAACGCATCTTGGGCGATGAGTTCAAAGTTCAAGCCACGGATACGGCTTGCAGTTCCTGCGAAACACCGGTCAATGACACTATCATCGATACCGAGCGCTTCAAAGATCTGAGCGCCCTTGTAGGATTGCAGAGTAGAAATGCCCATTTTGCTCATGACCTTGAGAATACCGCCGTCACAAGAAGCCCTATAGTTTTCGATGACCTTCTCATCCGAGAGCTGCTTGCGGATCAGGTTTTCACGGTTCATCTTGATGATACATTCCATAGCCAGGTATGGGTTAACAGCGTCGGCACCGTATCCGACCAAAACACACATGTGATGCACCTCACGCGCCTCTGCAGTTTCTACAACCAGCGCGGCAAGGGATCTCCATTTGTTACGGACGAGATGATGGTGAACCAAACCAGTCGCCAAGAGAGCAGAAACAGGAACGCGGTCGACGGAAGTTGCACGGTCAGAAAGCACAATAACCTTGTCTCCATTCTGAACCGCATCGTTCGTGGCATCACAGATGGCATCAAGCGCCTCGATGTATCCCGGGACGCCCTTTGCCTTCTCAAAAGTGATGTCGATTGTCTTCACGGTCCAGTCCTTGTGAGCCTGGTTGATATTCTTCAGGGCATTAAACTCAGGAATGCTCAAAATGGGTGAAGGGAGCAGTAGGCGACGGCACTGAGAGGGATCCATTTCTAAGAGGTTACCCTGAGGGCCAACGTAGCAGTCCAGCGACATAACCACGGCCTCTCGAATCGGGTCAATCGGAGGATTGGTCACCTGAGCAAAGAGTTGGCGGAAGTATTCGTAGAGAAGACGAGGTTGCTCGGCAATGCAGGCCAATGGAGCGTCGTTGCCCATCGAGCCAAGAGCCTCCTTGGAATCAGCAGCCATCGGTCCAAGAAGCAGACTGACCTGCTCGAAGGAATATCCGAATGCCTTGAGACGAGGGTCATTTTGCACAGTGGTCTCGTCAATAGAATAACGAAGGTCAATGTTTTGTTCGACTAGCTTCTCCTTGACGGCGGGCAGCTTCAGAAGTTCCTTATCCAGCCACGTGGTGAAGTCCTGGCGGTGGGCAACCGTGTATTTAAGCTCGGAATCATCGATAATGCGGCCAGCCACGGTGTCGACTAGAAGCATCTTGCCAGGCTGCAGGCGGCCCTTCTGGACCACACGCTCGGGGTCGACGTCCACAGCACCAACCTCAGACGCGCAGACGATACGGTCGTCGTCTGTCACATAAAAACGGCAAGGACGCAATCCGTTCCGGTCCAGATTAGCACCACAATACCGCCCGTCAGAGAAAGTGAAAAGAGCAGGTCCGTCCCATGGCTCCATCTGGCACGCAGCCCACTCATAGAATGCGGCCTTGGCCGGGTCCATGGCCGGGTTGTCTTGCCACGCTTCGGGGATCATGAGCATCACGGCCTCCGGTAGAGACAACACGCCATTGATCATCAGCAACTCCAAAACGTTATCGAAGGCCGCGGAGTCAGAGCCGCCATCCTCAACGATTGGGTAGAGGCTGTCGAGTTCATCGCCGAAAATGTCGGACTTGAGCACGCCTTCTCTTGCCCGCATCCAGTTCTTGTTGCCTCGTAGGGTGTTGATCTCACCGTTGTGAGCGGCCCAGCGCAAGGGCTGTGCGCGATCCCACGAGGGAAATGTGTTGGTAGAGAAACGAGAATGCACGAGGGCGAAGTGGCCTTCGTAATCCACATTGACTAGATCATGGTAATACTGATATACTTGAACGGGGGCCAGCTGACCCTTATACACGATGTTTCGGTTGCTGAGCGAGCACAGATAGAACCAGTTTGCCAGCCCAATGACATGGGTGGCACGTTTCCGAAGCACATAAAGCTGACGTTCGAAGTTTCTCTCGTCGAACGACTCTGAATCGGTAATTTCCGGCTTGTTTCCATCGCCATAAGCGGACTTCAGCACCACGAACGGCTGCAGAATGATAGGCTCCCGCGATAACGCAGCAGGACCCAAGATGGTTGAGTCACGAGGGACCTCACGCCAGCCCAGCACTCGCAAGCCGAGAGAGACCGCAATTTCTTCGAACGATGCAGTTGACTCCTTCAAAGACTCCTCGTCGGGCTTGAAGAACAGGTTGCCAACCGCATACTGTCCGAGCGGCGGAAGCTCGACCCCAACGTCGCGAGCGAAATTCTTGATGAAGAATTTGTGGGGGATACTGGTCATCACACCGGCGCCGTCGCCATCTCTGGCATCTGAGCCCACGGCACCTCGGTGCGTCATGTTACAAAGCAGGTTGCGAGCTACAACGAAGTTCAGTTAGTCAGGATCCCATGTACTAATTCATGCGAGGATCGCGCGAGCAAAGACACCTACCATCGCTGACAATTTTGTGGCTAGGCTTGCCCTTGATATGACTGAAGACCGAGAGAAACGTGGGTTAGCGATTACTGCGTTGGGATACTGAAGATTGTGGCTGGCGACAAGACGGTTTGGATGCGCCTGGGCACTTACGCAGCGAAGCCTACACCGCAAGCATCCTTCTCATATTCGGGATTGTACAATCCCTGCCGCTCCGGCAGAGCATTTGCCCAGCCATATCCTTGCTTTGGTTTGTACTCCGAGTATTCGTTTGGTTGCTGCTCTTCTTCTAGAATTTGGCCATAGAGTTCCTCCAGGTTCAGACCCATTCTTCCGCCGGCAACCGACAGAAATTGGAATGACGAAACTAGGGGGGGTTGTTGGCTTCAGTGAGTGACTGCGACCGCCGCGAAACTCAGGGCGGGATGTCGTTACGAATAGATAAGAGATATGCAGGACAGTCAAATGTCGTCACTGATAAGTATGTTCACGGTCAACAACGCGGGCGAGGACAGTAGAGAAGTAATGTATGACCCAGCGTCTTGCTCCGAAAGAGATGAAAGAAGGGAAGAAGAGGGGAAAGATAGAAAGAAGAAAGAAAAGGGAGGGAAGACGGCGGGATGGAGGGGGGGAAAGGGAAAGGTGGTAGCAGGAGCGGGAGGGCGGGAGGCAGAGGTCCGGGGAATTCACTGGCTCACCTCCGAGGTGTACATGGATGAACATGTATTTGTTATTGGCGCTGGACGAATGGACGTAGGAAGGAGAACCCACCGTACGATGTAGAGTAGAACTCGGAGCTAGGCAGGTAAGCTACTTGGTGCCTTCCGATCAAACAATAGTAGCCAAGGACCAAATTACAATTGTGGGGAGTCCGTGGCAAATTGCAGCTCGTTTCGTTTCCTTTCCTTCTGTCTTTCTGAGCAAGGACGTCGCCGTAGAGCCTGTAGGGTGGAAAGAGGGAGGGGCGCAAAAGGGCTGACTCTAGACATCCATCCGAAGCTGCATTTGGGCATAATATTACTACCGTGCGTAGTAGACTCCGTTGGCGCTATAGAGCGTTTTCGGCGCTCTCCGTCCTTGGTTGGAGTAGGATGGTTGACGCAAATGGGGGGGGTGTGCCCCCCATCCTTCCTCTTTTTCTTAATACTTTTAAATTTATTTTTCTAATTTCAATTGAAGACGATTGATATATGAATAGACGATTGACTCGTGAAATCCAGGAGGACTTGCCAGTAAACCAGTAAAGAATCATGCAGTCCATCGACCGGGGATTTACTCTAAAGTCAAGATAAGACACGGGCGGCCAATCAGCGAGGAGGATTAGCAACCTTTTGGCCAAAAGATTAGGTTTCCACTACGTCAAGATCCAACCCGGTGGGGCCCGGGCTTTAAATTCCAATTTAAAAGGGAAAAACCGTCGAGGGCAACTGGCGCTAACGCAGCTCGGTATCGTCGCGTATCTGGTAATTTTCCCGCTCGTTTCCTCCCAGAGGCCAACCTGGTGACCGATGCCGGCTTGGAGTCAATATTCTTGATTGATTTCACACCGTTCCTCCGTATGCGCTGGATTAAAATGGAAGCCACCGAAGATCAAGGTATACATCTAGCGGGAGAATAGAACCACAAGTTCACTACCCAGGTAGGATCATTCTGCTAATTGTTGAGGTCCTGATTCGAGAGACAGGTGAAAGTTCTGTAGGCCCGAACCGACTTCGGGGAAGGTGTCCATGTCATTGCACCTCGGATAATAATCGCAATGGCCCTTTGGTAATCATCTTCAATGTCCGAATAGCATGCATGCATGCACTATGTAGGGTACTTTCATTCAGATTTCATTTCACCCTTGGCAAGTCCGAAACCCGACTGGATGGATGTTGCAAGGTGGGTCCGGCGCAAGGGTGCAGTGCTTATCCTACATCTTACCGGAAACGGTTGGTTCAAGCAGGCTAGAGTGCGCATGGAAGTGTCCCCAAAAAAGAGATATGAAGGAGGGGGTGATCCGGCAGGCAAGAAAAAGAAAAGAAAGCAGACGATGATTCGAATGGCCCAAGATCCTTGGCAGGCACTATGGCCTACCACAAATCAGTAAGGGACGCCAAACGCCAAGGCAATAGTAGACAATTATGCCGGAGACGACGGCATCATTACACCGTGCAGTGACTGACCTAGGGGATCACATGCCGAGAGGAACGAAATCGGGGGAGTTCGTCAAATCTGAGGCTAGAATTGGAGGTAGAATATCTGGCGGTACGGACGACACGATAGGTAGCTGCATGCCATCCGCATCCGAATGGTCAGATCAGGGAGGTATCTACATCGTAAGATAACAAATTATTTTCCGAGCTCGAGAATTTGTAAATACCCTGGACTCGGCGTTATACTCCGTACGGTGTAGGTCAACAGTCATTTATCTGCGGTTCTGATTTTGGTGGCATGGTTTGAAGGCCTTGTCAGTCATGCACTCCGACAACGTGTAAGAATTTACGAATTCTATAATGCGTGATCTGGAAAAGACCAGAAAACTGGAAGGGTGCCCCAAGAAAAGCCCCAAACGAAGTACGGATGGAGGACACGCTGCCCTGGCCAAGGACCCTAATCCAAAAACCTGCATGACCCCACGCTCATGTGCAGCCGCCAGCCATGACAAGTCTCATGGATTACTGGCACGGAGCCCAGGATACCTGCCACGCCCGGCGGTCCGCCCAGAGCAATCATCACCTGCCGACAACGGCCAAGGACGCTTTTCCTCTTCCATCCCGCAAGGCCCCTATCGCTCCTCCCCTCTCCCCTGTAGTCCCTGTACACTCTCCCTAAGTCCGACCCCTCCAATGCAGGTGCACCTCCCGATTTCGGGGCTCCTGAGCCGCATCTCCCAACCGAGGAAAGCCCAGCCGTGCACCCATTGGCCCCTGGACGTTTCACCGTCTCATCGTTTGTGGTCATCAAACATCTTATCGCGCCCCTATCAGACTACCGTACCTCCCCTCTATCAGAGTGTACAAAATGGCCAACGACAATTCTTCAACTTCTCACTCGGTCCCCCGGACATCCCTCTCTGGACCCATCTGCCCGAGTAAACAAAACTCCTTAACCTCTTAAGGCCTTTCCCGGGGAAATCCACTCCGTGACCCGTGGCTACCTGTGCCTTTGCCCGGTCCCGGCCAATCATCATGCCATAATTACCCAGCCCCCGGGGATACGAGGCCGTTACTGTTCGTACTTCATGTGAATCCATGTCGATCAGACCATATCCGGAAAGAATAGCAATTCCTGGCTAAATCAATAACAATAATGATAATTCAATAAAAACCGACGTTCATCACTCCTTAACTCCCAAGATCATCCATTACTGCTCTTTTGCTGGCTAGTTGATACCATGGGATTTCGCCACTTCATACGGTGTAAGTATGACGTTGGGTCTTGCAGGCACCTCAAGACCAATTGGACATCATTGAGTGATTCAGGTGCTCACGATAGGATGGGCAGATAATCGGGACAGTTTGACCATGCCTGAAGCCCTGAACACGTCCCGACACCAAACAGATGGGTGACTGATCACCCGAGAGGGAGTTTCTTTCGGCCGATGCAAGATGGGAACCTTCATCCGGGAGAGTATTGTGAATTGTCCCTAACTTTCCCAAACTCCAGCAGAAAAAAAAAATACGCCGACTGCGTCTCCGACGGGCCAAACTAACTTCTCCAACTCGGAAGGACCGACTACTGAGATACATATTGACCTACCTAGTTGCACACTAACCGAGTGACTCAGGGCCAAACGAGGAGGATCGCGAACTAAACCTGCATTGCAGGCTTCTTGGTGGCTCTCTGTACTCCGGGCTCCAGAGCACCCGCGCAGACACGCAGGCAGAAGGGAAAGGACGAAAAGCAGAATGCCTGGGCTCCTGCGGTGTGACAATTCATCCCTCTCCGCACCGCAGCAACAGCAGCAGCAGCACCACCCCGCCCTACAGTCTCCAAGAGGACGTCACATGATTGGGCGGAGATGCAAGCGTTTCCGACGTCCGATTTCTCCCGACCTGTCCGCATCGGGATCAATCTTGTCCGCTTTGGGTTCACCGGGCATGATCAGATTGATGGAGCGGGAAACTACAATTCCTCGGGAGTTTACGGAATCCATGGTCGAATCGCCCGGAAAACCGGCCATGTCGAACACTTGAAGTGTGATGAGCAGATGAGGATGACGACGAGGAACTAGCGGTCGGCCTTGTGCCTGTTGATCTCCGAGCACCCATGCACTATGATGATGGTGACTATGCATGGTACTACGGAGTACCCCCGTAAGTTACGGGAAATGACACTTTACTATTTCGCCGTGGAAGGAGTAGGTGATGCGCGCACGCTGCCTATTAATGCGACGTATTCGGCCCCTGGAGCGACGTCGAAGCGTCCTATGTCCTGCATCGGTTACAGTTTTCAATCTGCTTTGCTCGTTGGAGCCCAATGACGGCATGATGCCTGTGGTCTGACATGTTCATGTCCTTCGGCTTGGGCTGATTGAATCGAGATCATTGTGGCCTAACGATGCTCTGCCGCATCCGACTCGGGGAAATTCCATGCCACTGGTGTTGATCTCGCAGAATTCCTCTCGGAAAATGCGACGAAGGCCATGCCTCGCTCATAGTATTGAGCTAGTGATCTCCGAAGGGCTGATCGCTTGAGCTCAGCAGCAACGACTAATGAGGCCTTGTATGGTCACCGACCCCCCGGGTGTCTCAAGAGAAAGCGATCGCTGAAAGGGAATTTCCAAGCGTTCCTGCACTCGAGGCGCTCAGCAAAATCAGCCATTGCAACAGACACGGTTATCAGGCAATCGGTCTCGTGAACCCAGAATACATCCAGGTTCTGCAGCTGATCATCTTCCATGGAACCGAGCCCAAATGCCCAAGATAACTCAGACCACTTTTTCAATGCTAATTCCCAGCATGCTGCATAGCCACATACAGGGACATGCTGTCGGAAGTAAACTTTCAGGCTGACTCTTGATTTTAATTCCAGTTGATGTTTTTGACTCGATTCGGCCGGGCAAAGACACGATCAAAGGGACGAGAAATCTACCCTATCTCGATTAATAGAGAGCCGGCCTTCCGATGCCCCAAATAATTGTCAGGTCAAGATCACGCACTTCCATCTATCAGGTTCGAGAGAAGAAAAAGGGAAGTTTTCGAGGTAGTCCCAGCTGCTCACCTCGAAACTTCTTGGGGATTTACAGTCTATCCCGGTACCGTTATCGGGTAAGATAGCATCCTATCCCAGAAGCTGGGCTTAATCTATGGCTGGTATCGTTTATTATAATTTAGGACATGCTAGTAGATCATTTTTGTTATATTCAGACCGGAGGCAACGAATAGTATATACCTATTCGGATATTAAAATTCTCCCGGTCATTATGAGAATACCCATTATTTCGAAGGAAAGCACAATATAGGCAGTGAGATCCCTCAACCATGGTATAAAGCAAGGCATTTTATCTTTCTAGAATTAATCCCAACTGTTGGTGACTAGTGACTGATCTGTAGGTTGAGAACTATATTTTTCTTAGGGTTTAGAATGCACGTGCTATGTGCTTAGGATTGTTAAGAATCACATGATTTTTCCAGCTTTCCCCGCTTTCTATTAATTGTTCCATTTATTAGCTCATTTCTACTTCATCAAAATGCCTACTAGTCCATAGGTCCTGGCGTAGGCTTCAAACATGGATTGATATACAATGAATGGAAGCACTTCATTCAAGGCCCAATTAGAACCCGCATCGGCCCCTCCGCCTTCCACTCTTGTGGAGCGGAGCTTCCTCTGATTGTTTCTGCCGTCCGCGGAGCTTCTTCGATCTCTCCCCCCTCAGCAACGCATGGCTTCAGTACACTCAGTTATGCGCATAAGCAACCTATGAACTGCTTCGTAATCCAGAGAGATCCCATCCTAGGCAACGCAGGGCGACAATACAGCGCCATCTACATCTCGAGGTCCCCCGGAAGGACCCTTGAAAACAACAACAACAAACCGCTTGGCATTCATGAACCTCTAGGAAGACACTCCGATCGAACGAACTGAACGAACTCTTTACGACTGATACCTTTAAACTACACACCCTAATCCACCGAACCTACCATCTGACCGAAAATGCTTTCACTCCCTCTTATCACACCGCGCGATGTAAGTGCTCGTCAGTCCTTTGGTTCGCATTTAATCCTGCATCAGTCGAACCCTTTAGTGACTTATCCTTCCTTGAACAGTCCCACGAACTCTGGTTCGGCTCCTCCCAACCTTACCGAGCTTCCTCGGAGCACCAGCAATCGGCAGGCGACGCGCAACAAGGACAACTGCGTCGCAATGGCGGCCACTCCTCCTACGGGCGCCCACATATGTCCTCCACCGGGGCCGGAAATAGTTTGTCGTCGTTAATATTGGAGGAACGCGCCCTTCGTGCTAGAAAGAACAACATCGCCTCATTCGGATACTCATGGATCAAGCCCGCAGGATGCGCCAAAACCATGCTAGGGATGAAGGAAGAAGAGGCGGAGCGGGAAGAGGCTCTTGCTGCTGCTGCGGCGGCGGAGATGGCTGCTGCCGCTGCCGCCGTCGATCCGGGGATGGATGGTATGGATGGGCTGGGCGGGAGCCCGAATGGCCAGGCGGATGGCGAGGGGCAAGACGATACGGGGATGGAAAGGGATCTCGACGACGACATTCCGGATGCAGATGGGGAGGGGCTGGTGGAGGAAGGGGAGGAGGGTCTCGAAGAGGACGACGAGGTGGATGAGGAAGGGTATATGGAACGTGATCTCGATGACGATATCCCCGAGGCGTTTCCGGAGGACGATGACGACGAAGGACTCGAGGAAGAGAATGAATACGACTTCGACAATCAACCAGACTTGGACGATGAAATTCCGAGCGGTGCCTATGAGCCAGGGAGTGATGAGATGAGCGAAGATATGGGTCACGATCTAGACGACGATATTCCCGAAGCAGATGAGGAACGCTTCGAGCAAGAAGAGGAATGGCAACATACCGATACAGATGCCGAGTTTGACGACGAGGAAGATGAAGTCAGTTTTGCGCAGGATCCCCTCAATCAAAGCTTCCGAGTGAGCACTACTAGCAGCCGTGGACTTCCTCCGGCGCCAGCTCAGCAAGAGACAGAAGCCCAGCGACGCTTCCTCCAACGGTGGAGTGGCGGTGGCGATGCCTTCAATTCGAGCAACATGGTAGTCGATGACGATGACCTTCGAGCTTCTATAACCAGCCAAGCAAGCCGACGGAGTGTATTCGGCAGATATCCAAGGAGGCGAACAGGCGGCCCTAGAGATAGCTTCGGCTGAGCACCATAGCCGGTCAAATCGGAGAATCTAAGGAGCTTTACACGCAAAGGCGTATTTATCATATGCTTGGTCCATATGCCGGGCTTGAAAGGCAGTTCAACCCGTTCGCTATGAGTTTGATGTATTTTACAGGTACAAGCAGCAGGGAGTTTGGCGAAATTCGGCAATGAGTCCGGAGCTTGGAGTTCTGATAATCTTAGCTTTTCTACTAGAATTACAAATTTTTATGATCATGCACTGGCATTGATAATGAATAGAACCGTAGCTCTATATCATAGTTACGAAGACAGAATGATTCATGTAGAAGACATCTTACGATGGGTATCAAAAGTCCTTGTCAACTGAGTCAATCATGGCTAAAGGCCATCAACTCCAAGTATGCGTTATGATGAAATGCCCTGATCCGGCAAGGAAAACGAGACCATTAATTACATCCATGTTTTGTATACATTGATTGTCGAGAACGAAGCGCCAAGGAAAGAAAGGAGAGCAAAAGAAATCTAGATGGACGATGCAAACCCTATCTCAAGATAGGACATTGATAAAATCATAACGCCAGGAAAAGAACGCCATGGTCCAGTAATCATGCTAAGCTGCCAAGCCTCGAAGATATATAAACAAAAACAGTTGTACAAGGAGCATATTGTGAGCGGTTGGAGATCGCTTTGACGGGTATGAGTAGACAGTACTGCGAAGAGCACACAATGGGGGCACGAAGCAAAATCTGTAGAACAGGTCTTCACGCTCCGATTCTAGGTCAGCCAGACATATCCAAATAGCAGGAAGACGGCCAAGAAGAAACCCAGCCACACACGCCAGCCAACGCCCGTCCGCTCGGCCATCCGCAGCATGCGATTCATATTCCCTCGGATCCGCAGGCGTGTGTTGTCGAATGAATCGTTTAGCTCTGTAATCGTCGAAGTGTCCCGGATTTCATCACCGATGGCAAGTGTGATCTAGTCGCGAAATTAGCGGATGGTTGAGATTCCATCGAGACTGGGTCTTACGTCTTTGAGCATTTTCACTTTCGCACTGATCCCTTCCACCTCCACGTCATTCTGGGACTCGAGATGGGAGAGGACGGCGTCAGAGTAGTGACCCCTGCGATTTTTGTGAGCCCTCCGCGTCGCGGATTCAACTAGCATGACCACTCACTTCACATTTGGCGTCGCGCTTCGATAGCCTCCACTCGTGGCGCCGCCGTTCGAAGACCCATCGCCTCCAGGGCCGGGGTATCCTCCATATCCATATCCACCCACCTGACCGGGTGACCGACTGGCGGGTCGAGAATTACCCCCGTACGAGTCGAAAAGGGACGAAGCAGCACGGGGGTCGCGCTGATGCAGATTAGAGCGTGGGAAACTATGTGTCGCGAGAAGCAGTATACATTAGTTCAATGCTAGGATAATTTCATGATCAACCAACATACCGTGAAGCCATAACAGATCGTCAATAGTCGTAGGGAAGAGATTAGAGTGGGATTGATATTAGTTCTTTCTTGCTGACTTGCTAGTCAACACACATGGTGGAGGTATTCAAGAATGGAGGTTTATCATCTGAATATTTGTCTGAACTGCTTGCGGCGATAACGGTCGAGAACAAGTGGCTACTACAAAGGTGCCTGTGGCGTACCGTACCGCGACCCTCAGCAACAGCCGCACGTGAGAGCAGTCAAGGATGATTCGTGAGGTCTTCTACATGTATTTCTTATGGGTTATTATCTCGGGGAAGTCTTGATTTATTAACGGTTACGATTAGGAGTATATGTATACGGAGGACACTTGTTGCTTGCGAAGGTACACCGTGCCGACGGACCAGAGGTGTACATACTTTACTACTAATAATACTATTTTTACAGGTTTCCGGAGGATATATATGATACCGAAGTAGGTCAATCTGGTCCAGGGTCCGCAATCTCGTAGACTTTCGTATGCAATTAGATTTCAAGCTGAAGAAAATACGAATCGTTGGAGTAAAGACAGAGAAAGCCCCCGATTAACCTGCGCCGGCCACGATGTTTCCCAGTTGCGCTACTTGTTCCCAAGAGTTTGTTGACTTGTGAATTTTTCATTTCTCATCGAATTTTGGTATCTCTCCAATCGCCGCGGGCGATTGCATTTACTGACGCATCTTGTCGTCCTCGTCGTCCTGGGGCGCGAAGTCCTCGTCGTCGTCATCGTCATCCATTTCGTCGTTCTTGAGCTTCTCGGCAGCCTCCTGGAAGTCAATGGTCTTTCCACGAGTGCGCCGACCTCCGCTGATGATGTTGTCGGAGGAGATGGGCTCAAGGGTGTCCTCATCGTCGTCGTCATCTGTGGTAGGAGCGAAGAAGGTCAGTTGAGTTGTCTTTAGGAGCCGACAGGGGCAGAGCAAAAGATGGCAAGGGGCGAGCCAGGAAATCCATACCTTCGTTGATCTATCAATCGCAAGAAACAAGTCAGTCAACTCTGCGCTTTGAAATTTCGAAACGATGGCCAGTCAAACTCACCATGTCCTCGCCTTCGCTCTCGCTTTCATCCTCTTCGTCCATGCTCATTTCCATGGCGGTAGGGTCCTCGGTAGCCTTGCCCTTGCCCTTGCTGAAAGCATCGGGGGCGTCGTTGCCCAGGGTCGTAGCCTGATTGTTGTCACCCATTGTGAAGAAGTCGGGAGAAGGAGGGAGTAGAATCGGCTAGAGGAATTTGAGTGTGGGGGAGACAGGACGGAGACGAGCAAATTAAGGTGAGAGGAGAGAGGGATAGTGGTTAAGTAGGTGAAGGGATTGAGTTGTAGAGCAGAGAAGGCAGTCGCAAGGGGAGATTCACTTCGAGGGTGCTTGGGGCGCTCATTGGCTGTCGCTGAGGTTGGCGATCGGCGGCGCTGCTCCCGTGACGGGGTGAGCCCTGGCCGGGGGGAAGAATCATAATAAACATTCTACTACTTTGGTGCTTGAGGATATTATCTGATGATCAATCCGGTGTTTCATTCTTTGCTTTCGTTTTGTATTCCGTCTCTCGGGTGGGAGTTCTTGTAAGGACTAAGGAGTTACTTTCTCAATCAGACCAAGCACTAGCAGGGAAGAAAAGATCTGTAATGGAGAGGGAGACGAGATGGTAATAGAGAGGGCAGTAAACCAAGGAAAAGATCAAAGACACGACAGAATCTAGAATCTAGGTATTATTGTATCAAGTGTCTTCCTGCATAACAGCAAAGGAAGTACACGTAAGGCACACCACGTTGAGTGCCTAAGTGCCTGAGTGCCTGAGGCTGGATGAATCCTGAGGCCACCAACTCCTGACTCACAGACCAAGAAGAATGACTTCATCGACAGCTAGTACAGGTAGAAGATATTATCAGAAGGTCTATTATTATCATTAGCATGATTTTCTAAGTTCTTCTCTACCAGTAGTAACTAGTAAATAGACCCGACCGGCCAACTTGTTTCCCGGGTGAGAATGACGAAGTGAATCGGATTCCAGCACTTTCTGGTAGCGAAGAACCATCGAATTTTTCACGGGACCATTACATCATCCATTCACCCCGCCAACGCCGTCAGTTTAGCTGCCCCTCCAGCATCCGGGCTGCCCCCTTCTTTTTTTTTTTTTTTGTCCGCCATGAGGGTGGAATTTAATTCTTTAAAACCAAATAGAGCACGATAGTAGTCATACAGAAGGTACTAGCTAGAAAAGAACATCATACAATCTTAGGGAAAGCAGAAGGCCCATCGCGAAAAAGCAGGAAAGGCCCAGAACGTAAGGCGACGGTTCCAGAAAAGCGGCAAAAAGGCCATCGAACCCGATGGATGCCCGTCGAATCCGTCGCTTGCTAGAAGCTTCGCTGGAGCAGCAACTCACCGCCCTCCACTATATCAGCGCTGCGTCTCGCACAATTCTCCTGCTTCTTCCAGTCAAAAATTTTCCTTCTTCCTTACACTTCACTTGAGTCTTATCCTGCTAGACAGAGAGACCTTTCTTCTTTGTATTATACCCCCCACATCTGTCTCTTCTCTCCACGTTCACGAATCTCTTTCTTATTCTCCTCTTAACGAACCCCTCCATCTTCTTTCACAATGGCCCCTGCTGTCGGTATCGATTTGGGAACCACCTACTCCTGTGTGGGTGTCTTCCGTGATGACCGCATTGAAATCATCGCCAACGACCAGGGTAACCGTACCACCCCTTCGTTCGTTGCCTTCACCGACACCGAGCGTCTCATCGGTGATGCCGCCAAGAACCAGGTCGCCATGAACCCTCACAACACCGTCTTCGACGCTAAGCGTCTGATCGGTCGTCGTTATGGCGATGCCGAGGTCCAGGCCGATATGAAGCACTTCCCCTTCAAGATCGCCGAGAAGGCCGGCAAGCCCGTCGTCGAGGTTGAGTTCAAGGGCGAGCAGAAGCAGTTCACCCCCGAGGAAATCTCCTCCATGATCCTCACCAAGATGCGTGAGACCGCTGAGGCCTACCTCGGTGGCACCGTCAACAACGCCGTCATCACTGTCCCCGCCTACTTCAACGACTCTCAGCGTCAGGCCACCAAGGACTCCGGTCTGATCGCCGGTCTGAACGTCCTCCGTATCATCAACGAGCCTACTGCCGCTGCCATTGCCTATGGTCTGGACAAGAAGGATGAGGGCGAGCGTAACGTCCTGATCTTCGATCTGGGTGGTGGTACCTTCGATGTTTCTCTCCTGACCATTGAGGAGGGTATCTTCGAGGTCAAGGCCACCGCTGGTGACACTCACCTGGGTGGTGAGGACTTTGACAACCGTCTCGTCAACCACTTCGTCAACGAGTTCAAGCGCAAGCACAAGAAGGACCTGACCACCAACGCCCGTGCTCTGCGTCGTCTCCGTACCGCTTGCGAGCGTGCTAAGCGTACCCTCTCCTCCGCTGCCCAGACCTCCATCGAGATCGACTCTCTCTTCGAGGGTATCGACTTCTACACCTCCATCACCCGTGCCCGTTTCGAGGAGCTCTGCCAGGACCTCTTCCGCTCCACCATGGAGCCCGTCGAGCGTGTCCTCCGTGACGCCAAGATCGACAAGTCCTCCGTCCACGAGATCGTCCTGGTCGGTGGTTCCACCCGTATCCCCAAGATCCAGCGTCTCGTCTCCGACTTCTTCAACAAGGACCCCAACAAGTCCATCAACCCCGATGAGGCCGTTGCCTACGGTGCTGCCGTCCAGGCTGCTATCCTGTCCGGTGACACTTCCTCCAAGTCCACCAACGAGATCCTGCTGCTCGATGTCTCCCCTCTGTCCCTGGGTATCGAGACTGCCGGTGGTGTCATGACTGCCCTGATCAAGCGTAACACCACCATCCCCACCAAGAAGTCCGAGACCTTCTCCACCTACTCCGACAACCAGCCTGGTGTGCTGATCCAGGTCTACGAGGGTGAGCGTGCCCGTACCAAGGACAACAACCTGCTCGGCAAGTTCGAGCTCACCGGCATTCCTCCCGCTCCTCGTGGTGTCCCCCAGATTGAGGTCACCTTCGATCTTGATGCCAACGGTATCATGAACGTCTCCGCCGTCGAGAAGGGCACCGGTAAGACCAACAAGATCACCATCACCAACGACAAGGGCCGTCTCTCCAAGGAGGACATCGAGCGCATGCTTGCCGAGGCTGAGAAGTTCAAGGAGGAGGACGAGGCTGAGGCTTCCCGTATCCAGGCCAAGAACGGCCTCGAGTCTTACGCCTACTCCCTCAAGAACACCCTCGGCGAGGGCAAGCTCACCATCAGCGACGCCGACAAGGAGAAGGTCCAGAGCAAGATCGACGAGATCATTGGCTGGCTCGACAGCAACCAGACCGCCACCAAGGACGAGTACGAGTCCCAGCAGAAGGAGCTCGAGAGCGTTGCCAACCCCATCATCTCCGCTGCCTACGGTGGTGCCGGTGGCCCCGCTCCCGGTGCTGCCCCCGGTGGCTCCACTCGCACTGCTGACGAGGTCGAGGAGCGCCCTGAGGAGCTTGACTAAACGTCTCGCTTGCTCATCTTCTAATTTGTTTTCCTTTTCTTAATGTTCCTACTGGGTTCTTTGCGCATAGGCGATTGGCAGTAATGGCTTTTTCAAATGTTCTCCTGTTCTAATTTCATGTCTTTTAACGAAATTATGGGATCCTTTCTTCTTTTGTTCACAACTGCATAGATTCGAGTCGAGTTTCGATGCATGATAATCTGGGAGGGAAAAGTTCCTTTATGACCAATAAAATCATTAAAAATATGATATGTGCTGCCTATATCTGTAGTATTCAGTGTAACTTGTAGTTGTAAAGATAATATCCCCGATTGGACATGTCCGCCCTGCAAGATGGTGCAGTGCAACATGGTAATCATCACCTGGAGCAGTCTGCCAAGCATTTATAGACCTCTCCTTCACAAACCCTCTTGTTAGTCAATTCAAAACAGACTTGATTGCATTGATTCATTTGTTTATCTCTACATTATCCCTACTCGCGTTTATCGTCTATGTCCCCTGTATGGCGTTGGAACAATTCTTAATCTAATAAATAGATTGATTGCATACAGGTACAGCCGCTCCGTAGCACCGGAAATTGATTGATAGCTTCGCTAATCAAAATGAGACAGGAGAAGAACCCCAATGATTCTTTTGCATCAATTCATACAGGCCAGGGTATGAAACATCAACCTCGTTCATCCAAGGGAACCGCCATTCCACCCACAAACCTGATGCAGGAACTGGCCCACCTTATCGACCAACGGCTCTGTCCAGCTCAGATGCGGCGAGTGGCCCGACGGGGCATGGTAGACTGTGAAGACATTCCCTCGCTGGCTTTGCAGCGCAATCATATTCTCTTGATACATCTGTGGCAAGCATGCGTCCTCGTCGAGCACCACATACGCACAAGGAACGGCGGAGTATCCGTCGTTGCTTAACACGCCGGTGTTGAGTGGCGACGCCGTCAGCGTGGCGGCCCATTTCTCGGCCTCGTTGGTCTCGATGCCGTTGAACATGTACGTGGGGGCGTCGACCGTTGTCATAAGGCCGGATTCATGCATCTTTGAACAGATTGTTAGCTCTCATTCTCTTCCTCTCTGTGTGATGCTATTCTCAGCAGCGTGGGAAGATCGACTTACACGCACAAACGGCGGGATAATCTGAGTCCCATCTTTCGGCTGAAAGAAGCTATGGACCGACTCGCCCATGGGAACAAGGAACCCACCCACGTAAAAGAGGCCAATCACACCTCCTCGATGACCCTGAGCCTGGCGGGTCTTGTACAGGAGTTGGGGGATGGCAGCTTGCGTTGCAATGACACCGCCCGACGAATGGCCTAGGAGGATGACGGGCTTTCCTTCGCGGACGACGAGCCGTTCCAGCAGCTGGTGAACAACCGCCACGTCGTCGAGATCGGTTGGGTAGCCTTCGGGGGGCGGACCACGATCGAAGTCCGGATGGTCGATGTCCCCTACATTCAGCTTGTTGAGATCGCATGTCGGCCGCTGGGGACAGTAGGTCTCGAAGAGTCCGGACGAGGCCAGGGCCTTCATGAAGGGCTCGTATGGAGCAGGTGTGTGGTAAGAGCCGGTGCAGATAACCACCGCCACTCTTTCTGAGCTTGAATTGGAAGCCATGGCTTTAGCGGAATTGGGTTATAGGGAGTGAGAAGGAAGTAAGAGTCCGAATAGGGATGTATGGGTGTAATTTATAGTTCTATAGAGCATGAGGATGGAACATCCGACATCCGGGCTAAACGATCGGGTCAATCAGAGCGAGACCAACAAGCCCCATGGCCTAAAGGCTGTGCTTAGTGCATACTGCTCCACTAGTTATGACCGGAGTAGACTATAAGTTATCTTGCAATTCACCAACTCAGGACTAGAAGACAAAGAAATCCCTATTGGGGACTAGAACTCTACCATTCCTGTTGGCCGGGAGTAGAACGGGTTATGTATCGTCACGTCTGCTGATAGTAACCACCTCCTAAACTTGGCGATTTGCATACCAGGCTTGATAAGAATAAATTATTATAATTCTCAAAAACGACTTTGCAAAAATCCCGAATAAGCTGGGCGGGCCGTGTAGTTCATTGCTGGGATTGTATACATTTGTCTCATTTGCTTAGCCCCAGGTTGTATATAAGCGTTGGCTCAATCTCACAGGGATAGGGCGCTACTGCTGTATTGGGAGAAATAGAGACTCCGATTACAGTATTCCCTGCATCTTGTGAAAAACTAATGTTCAATATGATTAATGCGCTTCTCGTCGCATGCTGGCTGGTTAAATAGAAAAGTTTGACGCGTGGGAAATCGATGACGTGACCAGATCACCCGGGATGACCGGGTTGCCGGGAATTATGTTAACTGCTATATTGGCACAGTTATTCAGCTAGACTCGAAACATCAGAAAAGTTTGAGCGAGATGGTACGAGCGTCCTAGTCAAGTGGGCTCTCCGGACGAGTGGGTTCTCCGGACGAGTGGGTTCTCCGAACGAGTGGGTTCTCCGGACGAGTGGGCTCTCCGAGCAAAGCTCGGCCTCAACCTCTACTAACGTAAATCACAAGCGAGCTGCGAATCTGAGCGAGCCGCGAATTTGTATTCCCATACAAAATGGCACTTTTCAACTTGGAATATCTCAGCCATTTCTATGTCGCATAAAATATTATTTAAAATTAGGATTATATGAAACTATTTAATGATAATATACTAGATTTTAATCTATTCTTTAGACTAATTGTCCAGGTATTATAAATTACACTGTATTATAACACTCCTTATGTATTTAAGACTCCCATAGGTTTCTTTGTTACATAAAAAAAATATTATACAGTTTACCTATATAATACTTCAGGTCTTCAATATATTTTATTAGAATAGAGGTATGGCTGAGATATTCCAAGTTGAAAAGTGCCATTTTGTATGGGAATACAAATTCGCGGCTCGCTCAGATTCGCAGCTCGCTTGTGATTTACGTTATAGCACATCTGACTTAGCTAAGCCGAGAAGAGAAACGCAGTGGCGAACAGACGTCACGCAGCTCTTGGAGGCTCTGTGCATTGTCGTATAGTCAAACTATCCCAGAAGATGGACGAGAACCGATTCAAATGCCGCTTTCCACGCTGCACGGCCAGTTATCGGCGAAAGGAGCATTGTCGCCGCCACGAAGCGCAGCATTACCGGAACCAAGCGTTGAAATGTACAACCTGTGACCAGGAGTTCGGTCGACGGTGCGCAAGATAGTTCCGGCGAAACAGAAGTGTGTATCTTTTCATGCTAACCTTGGAAATGCAGTGACACGCTTCGACGCCATATGCAGAAAATGCACGGAGTAACACAATCCGCCCCTGTCAAAGTTGCATGTACTGGGTGTCGAAATCAGAAGGCGCGATGCGAAGGAGGGCCACCCTGTAGCAACTGTGTTCGACGCGGTGGAGAATGTTCTCTGCAAGAGGACGTTCAAAGACAACCATGGCGTCATAACAGCCCTGTGATAAGGTCCCATGGTGAATCTACACAGCGAAGAGGAAGCCGCTCAGGAAAAAGTAGTCGCTTCATTGATTTGTATTTCAAGCGGTTCCATCCCTACTGGCCGTTCGTTCACCAAGGATCATTTCGCGAACCCCTGGAGGCACCGCTACTTATCCAGTCGATGACTGTCATTGGATTATGGCTGAGTGACGAGGAAAATGCACAGCCAAGAGCAGTAGCTTTACATAATGTTTTGAGCTCTGCGATCCACGAACAAAAGGTACGTCGCCAGACGTTCTAGCAGGCTAGTTCTCTAACCACGAAGGCAGGAGCTATGGGACGCTTCGGAGGTAGACGACGCAGGTAGCTCCTGTTCCTGGCCTATTTCAACATACCAGGCGATCCTACTGCATCTAATATTCGCGTTGATTTGTAATGGTGAGGGGCTTCTCGGGTTGGATATAAAACCGCGTTTGTCGCCAGGCAATGCCAATCTTCTCGACAAGCTAGCCAGGAGTTGCAAAAAGCTGGGCATGTTTTACTATCCGAACATGCTAGCGCGGTATCGCGAGAGTGATCTTCCAGGGTTTATTTGGGTAGGTATTGAGGAAGTAAAACGGTTTAATACAGCATTGTATAAAGTCTGCAGGGCGTGCAGCCAGCAGCGAAGTGGCCCGACCGACTTGGAGATAGCAGAAGCAGCGAGCAGAGGGGTTCTGGCGCACGACTTACAGTTCCCATTGCCACGAGATACGCCATTGTGGAACGCGATAAGTAGGGAAGAATGGGAGTCTGCGGCTGCAGAGGATGTCTATCCTCTCAGACTGAACGACACTTTGGAAAGTGAATGGATATCAAATTTTGCACTTTTCTTGGAGCTAAATGAAGAGTGAAGCGGCTGTTGTTAGTCCTAATGTTTGGTTTAAATTCATCAATCATACTACGATTAGTGATTAGGGCCGGTGACCGAAAGTAGACATCACCATATAATAAATCATCCAGGGAGTAGTAGCAGGTTTGCAAGCCCCAGGCGTTGGGATGTGGCTGTCAAACAGTTCCTTCGCTTTCGGAAGTGTTTGAGTATCTGAGGTAATTGGTCCTAGTATCCAAAGACGTAGTTCTTATCCTCCTTCAACAGGTTCGTCACAAAATCCCGCGGTTTAGTAGGCGCTCTTCCCAAGACCTCACGCATTAGCGGATGCGTTCTTTGCAGGCCACCCCTAACGATCTCGTCCCAGGATGTTGCAATCATCTCAAAATGTTCCTTTGGCTTGCCACGCGGGTCATTTGTCCATGAGCGAATATACTCCCCCCGCGAAACCAAATCAAGCTTGATCTCTCGACCAGTAGTCTTATTGATGAGATCGACTAGCTCTGCAGCAGTGATGGTTTCTTCTGCTGTGAACAGGATAGTTTGATTTTCATACCCACCCTGAATCATGATCCGCGCGGTTGCTTCGCCAAGTTCTGCACGCGAAGTGAAAGCCACCTCTCCATCGGCGGGGAGTACAATGGAGCCAGTCCGCTCAGGATACCAGTCGAGAAATACAGTAAAGCATTCGACATATACACCTTCCCGGATAGAGGTATATGTAAGGCCGGATCTGGCCGGGTCGTTTAGAATATGATAGATAACCACTATAAGTAGAGGATGCGCAACATACCCGTGCAACAATTGTTCAGTATCAAGATGGTCTTGCATCACTGGAGCCTTCGAGTCATTCTGTAAGCCTCCAAAGGCCAGTGACGTATACCAGACCTAGATAGATGATGGTGAGTGGATTTGTCACTTCTGGCCATGATTAGACGTACATGCTTCACCCCAGAATTTTTAGCGGCGCCTATAAGTCTGGCATGCTGCTCCTGACAGTGCATGCCACTCGTGCTAACAAAAAAGAGGTTTTCAACGTCGCGCAGGCCAGTGTCAAGAGATTGCGGATCATCGTAGTTGACGTGGCGAAAGGCGATCCGCAAAGATCGACTCATTAGAAGCATTGGACGATGCAGCAGCGAATTCAGAAGACGGAACATTGGCGGCGAAATAATTGAGCACCTGCTTTCCCAGGCCCCCCGTTGCACCGGTGATCAGATATTTGAGGGTCATTTTGCTCTTGACGGTCGATGTCAGGGGCGTTTTGCAGCAAATGGTCTTTCGCAGCATTTGCTATGTTTTCCATTATCCTTTGCCATTGAGGGAAAGCTTTATATCAATGACGTTGCTTTTGGTTCGGGGATTGATAATCAAGATATCACTAATGTACGAGTTGATTGTTGAAGGTCTCGGAATCACCCACTCGGATCATTCAGAGTAAATTGAGCAGTGCATGTTTTGACCTCGGCGGTAACGCTGTCGACATTGCCATGCCCCACTCTCTGAGAGAATAAGAAGAGATCAGAAGGAAACAGAAGGAGGCTATCATTAATCAACCATCGTATGGATGGGATGACCGCGCGCGAGACTCCCATGGGTGTCTTCGGAGCCTCCCACCGGTTGTTCGATATATAGAGCCCCGGAAGGTGCCTTGTAAGACACTGTTCATTGCACTCATCAGCTCCATCGCACGCGACGAACTCTGCAAACCATGGCTCCAACTTTTCTCCTCGTCGGTGCAACTGGCAACACAGGCCAAGCTGTGACACGAACCCTCCCGGCTCTTCTCAAAGCAAGCGAGGCCTTCTCCAAGCACCGAGTCCTTGCTCTGACGAGGTCCGTCTCCAGCCCCACGGCCCAAGCTCTTGCACAAATACCCGGCGTTGAAGTCATTGAATATAACTGGACCGACATTACCGCCGACTGGCTCCGTGAGCAGGAAGTTGTGCGTGCCTTCATTGCTTCTCACAACTCACCCAACCAATTCGCTGAGGAATCGGCCTTCCATGTCGCCGCCCTGGAAGCAGGAGTCGAATATGTTGTGCGCATCTCCACCACGGCGCCTAATGTACGCCCAGATTTCGCCGCCTACTATCCCCGCCAGCATTGGGCTATCGAGGCTATGCTTGGATCGCCCGAGTTCAGTGCCCTCAAATGGACCTCGCTTCAACCAAACGTCTTCATGAACTTTTATCTTGCCATCATTACCGATTATATCAAGCAGTACAGACAGACGGGTGAGCAAGGCCAGCTCCGCTTAATGGCGGCCAAAGATGCGCCTGTTGCTCCAGTGCACCCGGATGAAGTTGGCGTTCTTGCTGCCCATCTTTTGGCCACGGGTGATTTGAGCGCGCACGACAGGGCTAAATATATCATCAATGGGCCGGAGGATATCACTGGTGAACAGCTGGTGGGCTTGGTCGAGCAATATATTGGGACACGAGTGAAAGATGTGAGCTATCAGGACTTGAGCTTGATTGATGCAATTCTGGCCAGTGGCTTCGGAGGTCCGGGACAATCGAAGACTGTCATGGGGTCGATCAGATATGCACCTACCACTATGTGGGAAGGGAAATGCAGTGCTTCGACGACTAGCGAGGAGGTTTTGAAGATTGCTGCGCCGCAGCGGACACCTGTCGAGGTCCTCAAGAGCTTGCTGGAGGAGTAGAGGTTACATAGACTTCGTCCAAGGTTGTTATACTGGTTCTGGCTTACAGTTCCCCTACCCAGATTACCATGATGTATTTCTCAGATTGAAAATACCACAAGCTCTTGATGTGCGATGTTTGCTGAGCTCGAAGTAGCTTTCTGTTCTTATCTCCTTCCTTCCTATGAAGTAATCCCAGTCGGGCGTAATGTTCATCGAACACTAGTTTCATAACACCAGCGGCTAGAGCAACAACATAAAACAATTGCAAGTGCAGAATTGTTGCCGCTCTACAGTCGAGAGTCCATGTGTCGCGCTTGAGGTGATGGCAGAAAAGTTAGGTGGAGTATACTATCTATATAAGATAAATAGAGAGAAGTATATTAAAACTTACATAATAACTTATTAAATATTGGTTGAGTACTGAATAAATATTTATTTAATACTTATGAGACGGTGAGCCGTGATATGAATTATCTACTAAATAAGTCCCTAAGCGCCCTTGGTAAAGTCGCGATGTTTACAACAAGAAATTGACGATAATGTAGAAAAACAGGTACGTATAGGCATATATATACAAAACCCAAGACGCCCTCATACTCCACGCCGAGAGAACAATGGATTGAATCCCTCAACAAATGCAAAACCCTCCTGGCAGCAGCACCATCCATCCATCTAATCCACCCTATTGATTATAGCCCCTGGAAATCACCCGCCCACCACCGTTGAAGTCGTCTGCCGCCCGTCTGTAGGATATGCCCGTAGCCGATGTCGGCTGCTCGCTCGGGATGTTTTTCGCGCTGGTCACGACGCACCCGCGACAGGGCGGCGGCGATGCCAATTGTGACGGCGAACACCGGGTCGGCGGCTCTGGATCATCGTGGACTTTGTTAGTTAATGTTCTCGGTTTCTCGGCTCTTCTTTCTCCGCTAGAGTAAGGGCGCGAGATGTCAAGGAAGGAAGGCCGGGGACGGTGGAGACGCACTTGGATATCAGATAGACGGGCATTGTAGGGGAGTGTAGCCAGCGCCGAAAAGTGACTGACTGCGCTGTATGAATGGGATGGTCGGGGTTGCGAACAAGATCCCGGAGCGCAAGATTGCTTCTTGATGTCTGGACAACACGACAAAGCGGAGAGTCACGTGAGTTCCTCCGCATGTCTCACTGCTGAAGTACGTGGTAGCGGTTCTTATAATTTACATGCCAATCATTGAAGTTTTATTAAGAGGAGTTTCATGATTTCCTTATATCCTAACCCGTAAGAAAAAAAAAAGCTGTCTATCATAATACAATGGCTCAACACAATGCTCTATCACGGCACCGAAAAGCTGGAGAATTAAGAAAAAAGTGGGGAGGCATTAAACAAAATGTGAAAGGGCGGGGAAAAGGAACCAAAGGAAAAGGTAACCGGGATTTCTTCCAGTGTAGATAGCCTTATCCTTCCTTGACTGAAGTCGCTGGTTGTTTGGATCTTCTCGTTTTTTAGCGTTGTCTTTAAACCACCTGACCGAAGGCAGGAATCAACGTCTGAGCCAGCCAGAAGCTGAAAACAAGCTTGGGTCCGGTCATCAGCAGCTTGGGTGTCAGTCCCTTGAAGAAGCTGGTAGGGCCCTCGTCCTTGAGCATCTTGGACACAATACGGAAGCCGGATTCGGGGTTCTCGAAGTTACGGTTCTGGATACGGGTCTTGATCACATCAAGAGGAGCCGATACGACCAGGGAAGCACTGGCACCGCAGATCGAGGCGACAAAGTTCTGTCCCCAGGTGGCCGAGTTGTAGTCCTTCAGGCTGTAGATGTATTCCTTAGCGAAAGCCGAGCCACCGAAAAGCTGCAAGTTCACGTATTAGCCATCACTGCTTATCGTAGCGTCAAATGATGCCTGGGATGCGTACCGCAAAAGAACCGGGGGCGTTACGGGCGGCAGTCCAGCCGGCACCACGGTAAAGACCCATGCCCTCATCGGAGATGATCTTGAACAAACCACGGCCGCGGAAAGCCTCGGGGTTTGTCTGACGCTTGATCTTCAGCACATCGAGAGGAAGAAGAACGATTTCTCCAATACCGATCAAACTACGAACAATGGTCAGTCAGTGCCTAGATATGACCGAGTGAGGCCCAGGCAACGTGAAACAAACCTTCCGGCAGTGGCGTGCATGATGGCCTTGCCAGTTCCCTTTCCGAAAGCATTGTCAAAGTCGGCGCCATGGTGCTTAGCCAAGTAGTCACGGGCGAAAGGCTGACCGCCATACTTGTAGATACGTTGGAGAACCTTGAGGTCTTTGTCAGCCAATCACCTTCGGCATCGGTGTTTTCCGAGCATTGGAGACACACCTTGTAACCGGCAGCGTATCCCAGACCGGGGAAGAGGGAGGTGAATTTGCGACCGACGGAAGCCGTCGCATATTCCTTGAAAACAACCTTGTTGAAGCCGGCGGCGTTCGTGATCTAGCGCAAATCATCGAGTCAGTTTCCGGAAAAAGCACATTCGGGGACGGTTGTCGATGCCTTACCCGGGTCTGGTTGCTCATCAAACGCTTGGCGGTGGTGTCGACCTTCGAACGGTGTCAGTAGAGATCATAGATCGAAGCGGAGAATTGTGTCATCGCTCGCGAGAATCGATTGGGGAGGCAAGATTGTACCGGATGGAAGACCAAAAGCTCCGCAATACCAGCGGATCCTGGAATGTCCCCGTTAGTACTTGATAAATGGTCCCACGACGTTTGGATTGTGAATACACACCAGAACCCAACAGACGAGCAGTTGCGGATTCCTTCTTGACATCCTTGGAGGCGGAGCCAGCACCGGCTTGAGCAATGGCGGGAGACATTTTGAATATGGTTCCTGGGTGGACGGAGAGTTTTTTTTTTCTTTTCTAGATTTTTTTTTTCGTGGAAATGCCTGTATATAAGAGAGAGGAAAGAAAAAAGAAAGAAAGAAAAAACCTGGGGGCTGATCCGAAACAGAGGTAACCTAGGAATGGCACAACCGACACAGAGCAGTCCAGGAAGAAGAATAAGAAGAAGCGAGAGGGAGAAGGAAAAGAAGATGCGGCGAGCGACAGACCATCACCGACAGACTGACTCTGCGCCGGCTCGGAGCTTTCCTCCTGCCTTCCGATTCGGAGCCGATTACCTAATCCCCGCCCATTTCTTAACTAACTTATCGCTGCCCTTCTTATCCTCCGCTGGAGCAGCGGCATATATACATAGTAGTTATATCTACGTATCATATAAATAAACGTCGACTAGTGAGCAAGGGAGATGATCCACTGACGCAAGGCATATATGTCTTCCGGACCTGAAATTATCTTCTCTCTCTCAATCGCTTCCTTTGGCGAACTACAGACAAGTTCTCCGGGGACAGTCTCCCTATTCCCCTCTTGATGCTTTCTCTATACACAGCGATATTCGACTAGTCTCTACATCGCTTGCGGTGTTGAAGTGCCTAGGACCCCTAGGTGGAATGTGCGGTTGCAACCAAATCATCGGAAGACAGAACCACCATCTACGGACCTTTCAGCTGGAATCTTTGGCAGGATAACATTAAATTTAAATCAGAAGGCCAGCAAAACGTCTGCTAGGCACGTTCATAAATCGATTAAAACTCCGGATAAACGCCAGCACATAAGAGGAATGAATCTCGCCGCAAAGCCTAGCTCGGATTAGTCGACCATATCCCTCACCCGCTCATCCGGCGCCGCCGCAAAAATGAAATCTTGACTAGATGGAGAGTTACATCGGTTCCAGAGGCGGCCATGTAAAGCTCAACATTCACCGAAGGTGTTCTCCCCGGAATAGCTAGATGCCTCAGCGTCAGCAGATATGTCATAGGTGTGGAAGGGTGGACTTGGAGTCGAGTGGACATACGTTATGTAAAGGAACCCATCTTCGTCCTTGTGTTCTTCGTAGATGCTACTCATGAGCGCAGCTGTGGGTGGCAGGACTTCGTCCACGAAGATGAAAATGGCCTTCTCAGGAGAAAGCTTGATGCGCTTGCGGATGACGTAAACGAACTGCCCGACGGTGAGGTCGGCTGGTACGAGATATTTCTTCTTGTCGATGGTCGCGATATCCGATTTCTCGACTTTCTCGCAAATCACCTATGCACGCGAGGCGAGGTTAGCAGATCGAACAGGCGGTGAATAATAGACATGAGGAAAGACCGTGGTCTTTCCTCGTCCACGCAGCTGAAACGTGCAAGGGAAACGGGGTGCACATACCGGAATACGATCTGCGTATTTCTGGCGGATGCGCTCGGCCTCTGCCTTGCGCTTCTCGAAGGGGTGCTCGTCCTTAAACTTGGAACGCATACTGATGGATAGTGGAGCTGGAGTTGGACGGGTAGTAGATAAAGATCAGACCGATAGGCAGATAGAAAGAATAAGAGATCAGCGAAAGTTGATGAGCCAAGGTCCAAGAGGTGAAGTGGGATGAAGAGTCGAGAAGGAAGTGATGTGATAGTGATGGAGAGATGAGAGAGAATGATGACAAAAGGGAGACGGAAGGCGACAGCCCCGCGTCATGCCTGCTCTTGATAAGGACCAGCTGGGAGGAGCGGATCACGGGGTAGAGGCGGTGAACGGCCCCACACGTGAGTCAGTTGGGTCATCCATACTGGAAGATACCACCCAATCTATGGACTATTCACTGATGCCTCCGAGTAAATCCAGTTCTCCTCGACACCTCCCTTCACGTGGGTGCATCTCTAGTCATTTGCCCGGAAATTGTCCTGGTGACAAGTTGACACAACAAATCTGCAATCCGGAAGCTGCCTCCACTTGATCAGCGGCTAACCGGTGAAGCACTTGATAGGTGCCGTGCCTGGAACCGCGGTCCCTTGGACTCTTGTCATCAGCCATAATATTGTGGCTCAGATAGCAGGGATGCGTCCGATCCTTCTTTCTGACTCCTTCCCTCCAAATCTGGTCTGACTCAACTGTGCTGTCCTCCTTTCCCCCCTTCTGTTATCGCAGATGTAACGGAGTAGCTTGTTGACCTCTGCCTGCAAACAAGGCAAACATGCTGCTTATCTCAGCGGGACAATGCGGGACCAAGCAAACCTGTCAACAGTGACAAACACTGCAAACACCATTGGCCAGGTCGGATGTCCTGACTTGCAGGTGGCCCCATACGTTTCGGAATCACCAAGATCGCCTTTCCCTTCCCTTGTCCTCATTTGGAAGAGCCTGGCCGCCGAAACTCGATATTTGTGGGCGCTGGACTGTAGCCCACCAATCGCCTCCCGGCACCACCTGATTCCCCCGTCCGATCAGCCAACTCCCAAAGTCTTCTGGCACGATGTCTTTGCCTCGACCATATATACCTCTGCGAAGGTCTCTAGGCCATCTCTCGTCGCGAACATGCCGAACACCTCGCAATCTCCAAGGGTCATTCCGCAAATACTCCTCCGAGCAGAAGCCTAAGGGCTCGAAGCAATTCACCGTGTGGAGGCCATACCTGCGTCTTGCCATCGGCGTACCATTCATCGGAGCTCTGATATATTCCATGGTAATCCTGAGAACCACTCCCCGGTGTGTATATGGTGGTCTAACGCTGGTGAAAACAGATGACGGGTGACGTAACCGAACTCGACTCTCCCTCGATTGTGGAGCTTGACGAGGCTTTGAAGAAGCAGTCGACAATCAGCGAAACTTCTCCCATGCGGTTACGCATGGAAAAATTGATCAAGGAGCATCAGCAGAAGATAGTCGAGGAACTCAGCAAGATTGATGGCAAGGAATTCAAGGCGGATACCTGGACTCGGCCCAATGGTGGAGGCGGTATTTCATGCGTTCTTCAAGATGGCAATGTTTTCGAGAAAGCCGGTGTAAACGTGTCCATCGTCTACGGAGAATTGCCTCGACCAGCCATTGAAAAGATGCGCGCCGACCACAAGTCCTTTGTGGGGGCTGACGTGGATTCGTTGAGTTTCTTCGCTGCCGGCCTCTCTCTCGTTCTGCACCCCCATAACCCCATGGCCCCTACCGTGCATCTCAACTATCGTTACTTTGAGACTTCGGACCCCAAGGATCCCATCAACGGCGACAAGAATTGGTGGTTTGGTGGCGGCACAGACTTGACTCCAACCTACCTATTCCCCGAAGATGCCAAACATTTCCATCAGACCATCAAGGACGCCTGCGATAGGCATGACGCAACTTATTATCCGAAGTTCAAGGCCTGGTGTGACAAGTACTTCTACTTGCCCCATCGCCGGGAGGCGCGTGGCGTCGGAGGTATCTTCTTCGATGATCTTGACGCCAATTTCTTAGAATCCTCCTCAAGCTCCTCTCAGAACCCCCAGGAGACGCTCTTTTCCTTCGTTTCAGATGGACTCGCATCTTTCCTCCCCTCCTATGTCCCCATCATTGAGCGCCGAAAGGACATGCCCTTCACCCCCGAGCAAAAGGAATGGCAGCAACTCCGACGGGGTCGCTACGTGGAGTTCAACCTGGTTTATGACCGCGGTACCAGCTTTGGTCTGCGTACACCAAATGCCCGTGTTGAGAGTATCCTCATGAGCCTTCCGCGCACGGCATCCTGGGCCTACATGGACCCGGTATCGGGAACCCGGACGGAGGCATCAGGCGAGGATGAGGAACAACTGGGCGAGGAAAAGTACAAAGAGAAGGAGATCATGGATGTTTTGAGACATCCCAGACAGTGGGTATGATGGGATTCTGTGGTCACAGGATCTTATAGCTAATCCAAATGTATCTACCACCATGTATCATATTCAAAAATTGGATAATCTGTAAAATTGGACTAGTTGTGATTCTCCCATTCTAGGGTCTTTCGTGTGATAAAATACACCGTATATTACCAGACACGCCCTCTGATAGCGGGCGAAGTCCGTAATTACGAGTCAAGCCTTGGGAGAAGATATAGGGAAATGATAAACTAACCTCTTGGCAATTATATGTTCTGAATGCAAAAAATATGTGTGGAAAGAAATATATATGTACAAAACTCGACATAGCGTGACAATACAATCTAGGGTGGGGATAAACAGACAAGGATCAGGCCAGGAAGATATAAACAGAGTGAAAAGAAATCATAGAGGCAAAGCGTGACCTCTCATAGAAGAAAGAGAGAAAAAAGAAGATGAGAACTTCCCAATTTCAACCGACTGAATATTCACCTTATCGACCCGCTACCACACTTCGTTGTCTTGCCAGCCAGCCTTTCTGTGCGTCGGCCAGACTAGAACCATGTCGATATCTGGAGATAGTACCATTGCTCTGTAGTCGGCTTTGGATCTCGTACCAGGAAGAGCTCATCAGAGTGAGCTCCCGAGCTTGTGCGTCGATGATCTTCTGGAGTTCGAGCTGCATGAGATAGAGTCCATCAGCACTAACGAACATAGAAAGGGGGGGGGGAGGGGGGAGATAAAGGGTGATAGTATTGGTAGCTCCGTCATGATCACGGACACACTAGTTACTTACCTCGCGCTCTCTGCTAATTCCATTATCGCTGTCTTCCTCGAAATGTTTGAGCCGTTCTTGAAGGAATTTAATGTGTTCGTTTTGATTGTGGATATACTGCAAATGAATCTTGACGTTAGTATCATGACCCACAGAAAATGACTGGCTTCAACGGCCGAGCCCATTTGGTACCCAGACCAAAGCAACCACTGGAATCGCTTGCAACCACCGATGAGGTACCACCAGGTGGTATGGTTTGAAGACACAGGCGGGACTTGGGGTGAAAAGGGAACCGGTACTAACCTCTGCGCGCTTGGCTAGCCTTTCCAGGTTCTTCTCAATCAACTCTACTACCTGCTTCGTGAGCTCCACGCCCGACTTTTGAGAGGCCTCTGAGGCATCGCCGCTATCTTGCCCTGCGATTTCTGCCAACAGCGCTTTCATTTCTTCCATGGTCTCATGGTCTTCCACGCGACTCTCAGCGATCATGGCTTGCCGGTCGTCGAGCACTGCTCGTAATTCATCGCGTTCGGTGCAAGTTTGGTTCACCAATGTCAGACTCGAATCAATCTCCGCCTGGAGGGAGTGAACCTTCTGGCTTGTTTCGTCCCAGTCATTTCGCATTTGGGCCAACTCCGCTGAGTCTTTCTCTCGTAGGCTATTTATCATATCTTCCTTCTCTTGGCCGGTAAATTCAGCTGAAAGATAATAAGCGAGTGCTCCCGGGCGTTGACTTCGTAAGATAAGTACTCACCCGTAGCTTGCGCATCATTAAGTGCCCGTCTGGAGGCATCGAGAGCATCCTGGGACGCCGCCAGCTTTTTGAGGGTTGAAGTGAACTGATCGTAGAGTTTCCAATATTCATCCCTGAGATCCGTATTAGCTTTAGCACACGAAGTTTGTGACTGTCATACCCTTGAGTGGAGTTTTCACGAGCACGTTGAAGCGTCTCGTTGAAAGCCTCGGAGAAGCCCTCAGCCTGGGAACCGATCTGTGTCATAGTCAGTCTTGCATCAAGCGTCTTTATTTTTCTGGGAGTTCATACAGGAGCTGACGATCCCCGCAGCGTCTCGACCTCTTTCTTCAGTTCCTCGTTCTCGGATTTTCTGGCATAACAGATTAGTTTATACCGGCCGGCGTTGATAAGTGGTAAACCTACAATTGAGACTCCTTAACACCGATATCATCGAAATCTTTCTGCAAGGTCCCCTGCAGTTTTGGCGTCTCAATGCCTGGTGTGAGAGATGGGCTCCCAGGGGGACCTTCGAGCTCTCGGATTCGTTCTCGCAACTCGCTAATCAGTGAATCGTCTCTCTCGCGTTGTTCTTCGGCACTATCAAGACGTTCTTTGAGGGCATGGTTGTTGAACTCGAGTTGTTTTTTCATGCTCTGCACGTCGCCGCACTCCTGTTCGATGCGCGGCAGAACTCTGCGATACTCTTCAAGCTCAACTTCGCGCTCCGAAGTCCACCTTTGCTGCGCATCGGAGTCCTTTAATTGCTGCTGTAGGTCCTTAATTTGAACCTTCAGGGCCTGATTTTCCTTCTCAAAATCCTGGCTGGCCTGCAGTTTTGAACGATATTTCTCAGCCGCATTGGCTTTCCGAGCCAGTTGGTCCCGCTCCGTTTTGAGCACATCATAATCGTCTTGCAGCCTCTGGAACCGTTCATTCTTGACGCGCAAAGACTCCACGGTCATCCGAAGACTGTCGTTCTCGTCCTGGGCGGCCGACAGCCGGGTCTCTTGCGAAGCGATAATGTCCTCCTGTTGGCGAGCTCTGCTTTCGAGAGCTTTCGCGTTGAACCCTAAATCACCCTTGCCCGATTTCAGGTTCCCAAGCCGGTCCTCGGTGGATGCGAGGCGAGTTTGAAGGGTGTCATTGTTCTCCTGAAGCCGAGCTAGACGGTTGTGCAGGTCTTCTAACGCTTTCTCCAGTTCCTTCTTCTCATGGGTCAGGCGATCATTCTCTGCCAGCACCTTTCCCACTCGTTCTTCGAACTGTAGCTCCAAATCGACGGGATGCTCGCGCTTGGTGGATTCCTCCTTTGTTTCGTCCGCAGTGTCATCGGGTTCATGTTGTCCGTTCTCCGCCTCTTCAAAGATATTCTTCAGGGTCTCTTGGGCAGGGGTACTCAAACTTTGAAGAGTCTCCACGTAGGTCGTCGCATTGGGCGAGCGAATGGCCGCGATGAGGATGAGTTTCAGGAGCTTGTTGGTGTCCTTCAGGGAGCTTTTTTCGGCGACCACTTCCAGGTTGGGCGCGAGATCGAGACCGGAGGGGCAGCCGTCCGGCTGCTGGCGAATGTAGTTAACCACGAGCTTGTGGACATGCTTCAAGTTCTGTAATTTGGACAGCCAGTGATCGGGCGGGTTGCGCTCAGGGAGTTCATCAAGGAAGTACTGAGGGTCGATGTCCTGCAAGACTTCCCAGATAATGGAACCGTCAGTCAATTCATCCGTAGTCCTAATGGTTTTTCCCAAGGCGAAACTATTGATCCATTCCAAGAGGGCCTGCGTGACCGTATGCTCAGAGGCCATAGTGGGAGGTGTCGGAGGTACGGGGGAATCGGTCGGTCTCAGGAATGTTGACGATGAAAGGAGGGACGGAGTGCGAGATTAATGTCGGAAAGGGGAACCGAATCGCATTTCCCCGGACGCGTGGTCTATCGAGGATTCAACCGACTAGATCTTGTTAGCAATGGTTGTTGGCTTGTTGGCGACCTTCGGAGAGGGGAGTTCCCAAGCGAGATCCACGTTTAACGCGCGCATATAAATAGAGCTAGTTTTAAAAGTACGGAGAAGGCCCGGCTCTAAGCTAATTCAAATCCACTCTTCGCCTCTTTTTTGGTCCGACCACCACCACGCCGAGCTTCCTAAACAATAGATTCACATGCAATTGTCTACCTCTTTGTTATCGTGTTCTATGCTCTTCAAATGTCCGAGGGAAGACATCCTGGGTGTTAAGCCACTAGCCAACACAACACACCCGCCATAGGAAGGGAAACTAGAGGGGACAAACAGAATCAAATTCATTGACAAGACAATACTCATTAATATAACAGTCATTAATATCATGCATGTGGATGCTCCCCCGTCATTCCCAGCGCGTTCCCAGAAGTATCCCGCACATAGCTTCCATCCATTCCGACGCATGATGATAAATTCCGAGGCCAGCCCGATAAACATGTCATGATAACGCAGGAAATGGGCTCCGGCCGGTGGGTTCCTTCTCCGCTCACTGAGTCGACACGATCGTGTCATCCTCGATGGTCGGGTGATACTCCGAGGATTTAGTTGAAAGCTGCTGGATCGCCTCGTCTGGGGCGGTGGCGGCGAACCCCCTATCGAGATTTCAAGGTTAGAATGAGTTGCCAAGGGATGAATCCAATACCGAGGAAGCGTGAAGAACACCGGTAAGGCAGGGGTGTATACGTACTTGATCAATTCTAAGACAGGTTAGCCATACATTCGTCTATCCGCAGAGTTGGGGAGGGAAGGAAAGTACTTACGGTAATCATGGGTAATTTTACCATGCTAGAAACGAGTTATCAGATGAATGATTCCGCTGGAGCCAGGGAGATGACACAACGCACCGCGTCAATGATGGCCTGCCTCGCATCCTTCACCACCGAGTCTGGGGTATCCTTGGGGAAGGTGACGACAATAGATTTGGCCAGGGCGACGGGCAGACAGCCCAGCATGATGGTAGACAGCAACTTCATGGTGATGGGAAGTAGATGCTAGTGAGATGAATCGATATGATAACACGGAAACCGGGGGAGTGTACGTAGTGAAGGACTCTCAGTCTCGCCATCTCCCTTCTGTAGGTCTCCTCCCTTCCCTTTGCGGAATGTAACGTCACGCCGGCCGGGTGCTGAGTCAGCGCCGGTCACGCCTTCCCCGTTTCTTTTCTCTGGCGACCTTCTTTCCTTTCAGATCGACCTTGACTGCTCTTCACCACCTGCGACCGACCGACCTCCCAACCCTTTTCCTCCTCTCTTTGGTGACACCTCTTTTTCTCTCATCATCTCTTCTCCCTCATTCCCGTGGCTCCCCTCCGCCCCCTCTGCACGTGCTTCCCCCCGAAAGTTCCCTACGGCCTACCGTTAAGGGGTACCTTTTGTTTTCATTTTGGCTGGTTGTTATCTACTGGAAGGGTCAATCGGCGCGGATTATATCTTAGGAGGAAGTAGATCTTATCACATACAGGGCCGTTGGTGAAGACTGTCGCGGTGGCAATTGTTGGGTCTTAGGAGGGCTGGCGTCTGACTGGGTGTTGTTGTCTCAGAAAGTCTGACGAAAGATAGCTAGCAAGCATTTTACAAGTTCCGACTCTTCTTTCCATCTCTTGCTTTTTCAGGAGACCAGTGTTCTTGGAATCCACCAGGAGGGGAGAATAAGATATCTCCGATACAGTTTACAGAAGCAGGAACAGGGGAAAAAGAAAAGCGCAGACGGACGGGCCAGAAGAAAGCAAGACTAAACAAAGAAATTGGGAAAAGAAAGAACAGAAAAAAAAAGAGAGAGAGACTGGGAGAGAACAAGGAAAAAGCAGAAGCAAAAAACAAGGAGAAATAAGGAAGAAGAAAAGAGAAACGGATTTAAAATATCCTCGAAAAGGGCCGACAATCCCATCCTTAGCACCCTCTTGCGTTGTTTATCACACCTCTTGCCTCCCCTGCTCCTTTTCCCCTATTCAACCGGTATACCTGACCAACATGTCGTCAGGATTGGCCTCGGATGAGGTCGCCGAGGATTACAAGAATTCCTTGGAAGATCTAATAACCAACGACAAGTTCCAGATCGGCAATTTGACCGTCATCGCCAAAGAAAACACGGAACACGCCATGGCCATATCGCGCGTGTTGGAGAACCATATTCGAACAGTAGGTCCACCAATATCTGCTTTGTTGTACTCTTGCGAGACGCATGACCGTCTGTAACCCCTTTCTGGACGATCAACTTCTAATCTGCGCTTTGTAGACACCGCCGGCCCAAAAGTTGCCTGCCTTGTATGTAGTCGACTCAATAGCGAAGAATGTAGGGACACCCTACACTCTTTTCCTAGGTCGCAATATGTATCAGACCTTCATGAATGCCTACACTTTGGTCGACTCCCAAACTCGCCGGAAACTGGACGAGATGCTCAAGACTTGGAAAGAGCCGGTGCCGGGGTCCTTGGACACAAGGCCTGTCTTTCCTCCGGAGACCACTCGAGGCATCGAAAGTGCCCTGATCAAGGCTAGAACTGCTGCTCTTCAGCAGCAGCAGGCTCGGAGCCAGCAAGACATACTCGGCCGCGGTCGAGTCGGGACTCCTCCAGGCTGGACCAACAGCCCGACGCCCTCGCAGAATATGGCACGATATCCGTCTTCTGCCAATTCAACTCCGCCCATGCCATACCAGAGAAATGGCACTGGCCACGGACATCAACCGGTAGGTGCACAAGAAAACTCTCATGTTGCTGGGAGCAGGTCGATATCTAACACCACCAACAGGCGGACCCGCGCTCAACGCCGACTCCTCAGTCTCAACAACATCAAACTGTCGACCTCTCGGCCTTAAATCAGGATATCGAAACGCTGATCACGGCAGCCCGGAGCGACTTTGCCAACAATCCTCTAGAAACGTCCGTGCAGCAACGGCTAAAGGCGCTGTTGGACCTCCAGGGAATATTGCAACGCCAAGAGCTGACCCAAGATCAGCTAAGGCTTGTCCGCCATCAGGTCTCAACGCTTGCACCGAAACCTGCTATACCAACGCCTCAGAATCTCCCCCCGAGTATCCCAGCCGTCTCAACCCCTACCATGGCGACTCCGCCGACCCAAACGTTGTCCCAGCCTTTGCAACAACTTCTTAATCCGGGGACCCTTGCCGAGTTGATCAAGTCTACTGCCGCGCGCCAGCAACCAACTCCGCCACCTGCAGCTGCCAGTATCTTGTCACAGATGCCCCAAAATAGCAGCACGCCTCAACCCGCTGTCACGTCGGCCCCCGATAATCCACTAATCGCCGCTCTTAGGGCTCGAGGCCTGCTGCCCCCTGCTGCTGGTTCACCGGCTCCTACAGCTCCTCCTTCGGGCGGTGCCCCAGCCTTTCCGCTTATTGTACCTGGTCAGATGCGATACACTCCTCCAGTCACCAACCCCTCGTCGATGAATGTCTCGGAGATTCAGGTGAATGTTCAAATGAACACTGCGTCCATCAAGATGTAAGTGACACCGCACCGTCCTTGTTTGGCAGAAGTACAGAGTTCAGTCTAACCTTGGTCAACAGACCCCGCACCCCCTTAATCGCCAGCCTTTATGAATCAAGGTCAAATCGATGCGGAACGTGTGGTCGCCGGTTTCTCGCTACGGAAGAAGGAAAAGAAAAGAAGGCGCGTCATTTAGACTGGCATTTTCGAACTAACCAACGCATGGCCGATGCCGCCAAGCGGGCCCAGAACCGCAGTTGGTACGTCGACGAAAGGGTAAGTTAGACACATGCAATTCATTCTCCTCGGAGTACATAAGCTTGTAGAACTGACGCCAAACAGGACTGGATAAAATCCCGCGAGGCGGGAGATGACCAAGGCCTTGTCGACCCCGAGGCCGCCGGTGAAGGCGCAACTGCAGCGGACGGCGCTGCTGCTAAAAAGGGCCCTCCAAAGCCATGGATTCGAGCCCCCAACGATGCCACTCTGCGAAACACTCCTTGTCCCATATGTCAAGAGAAATTTGAGTCGACGTGGTCCGAAGACGTCCAAGACTGGATATGGCAGGATGCGGTCAAGGTCGGTAACCGTGTCTATCATGCTAGCTGCTATGCCGAAGTCACTAAAGACGGACCGGCGCCCATGCGCCGAGGCACGCCGTCAGGACGCACGGGAACGCCAGACTCCGTCCTGGGCAAGCGCAAAGTTGAGGTGAGTACGCCCCATTCGCAGTTAATACGGACGTAATCCGCTAACGTCGCTCGCTGCAGGAGTCGGACTCTCCAGGTCACAACGTTCGTGTCAAGACGGAGCCGATGTCATGAGGACTCACTGGGAAGGACGAGACACAACCTTTATCAGAGAAAGAAGGGGGGATCTCCAGTATATTTCCGATTGTTGTTATATTTTTCGTATCTTGCAAGCCGGGGTGTGTGCTAGGGAGGGATGGGAAAGAGGAGGACACTCTCGCATTCTAAATAGCCAGTGATTGTTCTGCATAGGGACTGCATATCCTGTTCCGGAGGCGTTAGGGCATTTGTATTTGGGCGGATGGATGTATATAACGAAGAAGGGCCAAAGATGACGTCGGCGGAAGTGGGAGCGGAAACCCCACCTCGGCGAGTCTCCGGGGTACAAACAAACCAGTGCGACTGTAACATCGCTTCGTCTCCGACTTAATAAATATTAAATTGTCTTCCCCGCCTTCCGTCTCCATCTTCTTTACTTATTTCTAGTTCCCTCTTTATCCGGATATCACTTTGTACATACCTCGTTCACGTCCAGTTCCCTGTCTAAAAACACACCTCTACCATGGCTCCGCACAATGTTCGATGGGGCATCATGGGTGAGACGACACTCCCAAATACTCCATGAAATCGGGCCTGTCAAGCTAACCATTTATTCTTTGCTGGTATTGCATAGCCACGGGCGGAATCGCCAATAGTACGTCAATATGATATACATCCCCTCACGCATTCGTTCCAGCCAGTCCCGCTAACCCATCCCGCAAAATCAGCCTTTGTGAAAGACCTCTTGAAGGACCCCAACGTCCGCGGCGCCTCCGATGTTTCGCACACCGTGGTCGCCGTGGCATCCTCCTCCTCTCAGTCTCGCGCCGAGCAGTTCATCTCTGATCTGGGCATCCCGGCTCCCTGTGCGGCCTATGGATCCTACGAGGAACTCGTAGCCGACAGCAACGTGGACGTGGTCTACGTCGCAACGCCGCATTCCCACCATTTCCAGAACGTCATGCAGGTGTTGGAGGCCGGCAAGCATGTTTTGTGCGAGAAGGCCTTTACCGTCAACGCGGCCCAGGCCAAGATCCTGTGCGAGACGGCCCAGAAGAAGAAGCTGTTCCTGATGGAGGCCGTCTGGACTCGGTACTTCCCGCTGAGCATCCAGGTGCGCGAGTTGATCCAGAAGGGCGCCATTGGAGAGGTGCTGCGTGTCATTGCCGATAATAGCTTCGGTGACGATGTCGAGGAGAAGTGGGGGACGAAGCATCGTATGGTCAACAAGGACCTGGCCGGAGGATGTTTGCTGGACCGTATGTTCTTTGCTCCCTCTCCGTATTACTCTCTATGAGCGCATTGGCTGTGCGAAGATGTACTAACCCAAGGCGTCTACAGTGGGCATCTACTCCTTGACCTGGGTCTTCCAAACGCTCTACCACACCCTTCCTCGTGACCAGCGGAAACCCCCGTCTGCTATCTCAGCACACATGACCCCATACCACCTCACCGGGGCCGACGAAGCCACCACCATGCTCCTCAGCTTCCCGACCACCACGCCGTCCAACCTTCCGCACCCAGGCCAATCGCAGGCCGTGGCCATGACGCACCTCCGACTCTCCACCGACCCCGACGAGCAGAACTCCGCCCGTCCCGCCATCCGCATCCAGGGAACCAAGGGCGAGATCCAGGTCGACGGACCTGCGTTCCGGCCCACGCGGTACCGTCTCATCCCCAAGAAGGGTGAAGGCGAGATCCAGGAGGTCGAGTTCCCGTTCCCCGGGGATGGCCATGGCATGTTCTGGGAAGCCGACGAGGTGGCGCGGTGTCTGCGGGATGGTAAGCTGGAGAGTGAGACTCTGCCCTTGGAGGAAAGCATTGTCATTATGGAAGTCATGGATGAGATCCGACGCCAGGGTGGATTGGTTTATCCGGAAAAGATCGAGTCTACGGTCTACCCTACGCAGTTGTAGAGACGAGTAGAATAGCACCGCCAAATCGTCTACTGCTAATGCATTTTTGAAATTTTGGAACAATTACCTACTATACATAGCGCCGAGGTTGCCGCCATATGATGCCTATGGGTGGACATCCGCAAAACAAATTTAGTTCATCAAGAAAAAGAAATGAAAAGATCTCTTGTACTGTAAATCCAGCAAGCCGACAGTCCATGCTGTCAGCTTCACCTCCCAAAAAGATAAGTGCTGGCTCTGCTTGTATTATCGCTTCCCTCTTGCCAAGGGCCCAGAAAATAAGGACGTACAGCTATAATACACCACACTCATTGTTGCACCCGTTTCACAAGGACCTGATTTACTTCTGGTGGAAGACACCCAGGAGGCTCTTCCAGACCTGGCCGGGCTCTTGGCTGGCGTCGATACCCCGCCAGATACCGGTCTTCTTGTAGTAGTCGACAACGGGGGTCGTCTGGGAGTGGTACGTGCCGAGACGCTTCTTCAGCGTGTCGGCGTTGTCATCGGAACGCTGGATGAGGGGTTCGCCGGTGACATCGTCCTTCATCTCATCCTTGGGGGGGTTGAAGATCTTGTGGTACGATCGGCCGGAAGCAGGGTGGACCAGACGACCGGTGATACGGGCAACCAGCAGAGCATCGTCAATCTGCAGCTCCACGGCGTGCTGGAGCTTCTGCTGGCGGATGGCCAGCATGTCATCCAGGCGCTCGGCCTGAGCAACGGTACGAGGGAAACCGTCGAGAATGAAACTGTACAGACATTGTTGTTAGCTTTCCAGACCAGTATTGCTAACACATGGACAACGATCGGCGATAAGAAGAGAACAGATAACGAGGGGAGTAAGACGAACCCATTCTTGCACTCGGTGTTGTTGTCCAGCTCGCTCTTGATCATGTTAACCATGATCTCGTCGCTGACCAGACCACCCTGATCCATGATCTTCTTGGCCTCCTTGCCCAGCTCAGTCTTCTTGGCGACCTGGGACCGCAGCATATCTCCGGTAGCCTGTCCGCATTGAGCACGATTGTTAGTCCTCCATACATATCATGACATAGAATCTCAGAAGGGGAATGGGTTTCAATGCGTGAACGAAGACCGACGCAAGAGAAAAGGACAAAAAAAGTTTTCACGTACCAAGTGACACACGCAGTACTTCTCCTTGAGGCGAGGAGCCTGGGTACCCTTGCCTAAATTCAAGAGTCGGTCAGCAAAACCATGCTCGGGGGACCAGAAAGCTAGCCGTCGGGATGGGAGGTCACGGCGATCGGCATTCCATCTTTCTTTCCCTCTTTCTATCTTATTTCGCGAGGTTCGTACCTGCACCAGGAGGTCCCATCAGGATGATGCGCATCTGCTCGGCGACAGACTTGGGCTTGTTGCCATTGGTGAGGCGGCCTTCCAAGTCTTCAATCCGGGCCTCAAGCTTGCCGATAGTGTCCTTCAGGCCGGAGACGACCTCTTCCGTAATAGGAGCCATTGCGATAGATCGATGAGGAAGGAGAAAAGAAGGACAACAGTCCGATGCAGATCAGGAGCGGGATGGGGAGGAGAGGGGGGAAGGGAGGAAGATATCAGGATGGGCGCAACGACGGGGAAATGGAAGAAGGGACGGAATCTGCATGTTGGGGTGAAAAGAAGGTCGACCGGAGCGGAGTATTGCACCCGCGTCTCCGAGGTTCGCAGCCCGCGACGATCCGTTCCCAAAGCCGGGATATCTGTATCTGGATTCGGGGTCTTTACTCGTTTGGCGGTAGAGGGTGGAGAGAGAGGGGGGAGCAATCTATTGCCGGAGCAAGATGCTGTTTCTCACTCATGGCGCAGGTGCACATTCTCTGGTGAAGAGTAGAGCATCCTGTTTGCTTTTTAGAAGTATAGATTGATCTAACAAAGAGAGCCTTCCCAGAGATAATGTACTGTACCTGTATCATACATACTGTAGCGCCCACTTTTCAATACCAGATCATGTGATGTAATGTAATGTTGTACGGCCAGTTCGAGGACACGTGTTCTGTATTTATGCCTCAGGCAGTAACACAATCGTGGCTAGAGATCTCCAGCCACAACTGGGTGCTGTGGCGCAAGCATCGAGAGCTCCCCCAAGCACCGGCAGCGAGCGTCTCGCGACCTCCATCGTCATCATCACTATTCTAATCATCCATCATCGTTGCTCGTTGATTGGCCTTGTCTCCTCCACGTATTGGCTTTGCCCTTCCTCTTTTCTTTCATCTCCTTCCTACCTTCGTTATTCCTGTTTGCCATCCAGTTCACACCTTCTCGTCCGTTCCCCATCTTACCGTTCCCGCCATGCCTGCCACCACGGCGGACACACTCTCCCTCGTCCAGCGGACCGTCACCGTTGCCCCCCTGGTTCTTCTTTCCGTTGCAGATCACTACGGACGCTCGGCCAAGGGAACCCGAAAGCGTGTGGTGGGTGTGCTGCTGGGAGAGAACACAGGCCAGAATGTTCGGGTATCAAACAGCTTCGCCGGTTCGTCTTCTCCACGGCTCTGGATGTTCTTGCATCGCCTATCTATCGTGGTCGAAGTGCTGACGCATCCGTGATCTAGTTCCCTTCGAGGAAGATGAGAAGGACCCCTCGGTGTGGTTCTTGGACCACAACTTTGTCGAGTCGATGAGAGACATGTTCAAGAAAATCAACGCTCGGGAGAAGCTCATCGGGTGGTATCATTCGGGTCCCAAGCTACGCGCCTCCGACCTTGAAATCAACGAGCTTTTTAAGCGGTACACCCCGAACCCGTTACTGGTGATTGTCGATGTCCAACCCAAGGAAGTCGGCGTGCCTACCGATGCCTATTTCGCCGTAGATGAGATTAAGGATGTACGTTCTTCCCCTCCCCTTCTTTGGCGATAGTTCGCCCCTTCCTCACCGGTGCAAATACGCGGATCTTTGAACTTACGCGATTGTCTATGTAGGACGGTACCACCACCTCCAAGACCTTTGTCCACACTCCGTCCATAATCGAAGCCGAAGAAGCGGAGGAGATCGGTGTCGAGCATTTGCTCCGGGATATCAGAGATGTTGCCGTCGGTACTCTTTCGACACGTATTACGTCACAGCTGCAATCGTTGCAGGGTCTGCATCTACGCCTCCGGGATATTGGCCAGTATCTGCAGAAGGTGTTGGACCACGAGCTACCAGTCAACCACGCCATTCTAGGCAATCTCCAGGATGTTTTCAACCTACTGCCCAACCTGTCCACCCCGCCAGCAACTCAGCGCCTCAGCGGGTCGGAGCAGCCGACGGACAACAGTGAACTGGCCCGCGCGATGAGCATCAAGACCAACGATCAATTGATGGCCATCTATCTGAGCAGCTTGATCCGCGCCATCACCGCTTTCCACGATTTGATCGACAACAAAATCCAGAACCGACAACAACAGGAGGAGAATGAACTGAAGAGGGAGCAGGAGGCCAACGCGGTCAAGACTGAGAAGGAGGCTGCTAAGAAGGCTAGTGGCGCGGTGAATGGGGAGCAGAAGGAGGACCAGGATGGGTCCAAGGACAAGTCGAAGAAGAAGAGCCCGAGGGCCGACTAGGTGGTCCTTTTGGAGGGAGCAATGTGATATGATCCTTTAGAACAATTCAGTCTCCGCATTGAGATGTACACTATAGTAATCTTGTTTCTCGAATAAGTTGCGAGTCTGCAATTTTATATCCTCCCTTGATCCTTCAAGGCAGTAGTAGTAGCTGTTCTTAGCCCCGTTGGATTGATTTAGGCCTTGCCCGACAGGTATTGTCATGTTGGTGGCCTTACATGTTCTGACTTCGCGAGGAAATTTGAACGACGCGTAATTATGATCTCCCAAGGGAAGGAAATGCCCAAACATTCATTCACCCTATAACCTCGTCGAGGAAGATGCGTCACATGTATAGTGAGCGAATGCTTCAAGCTCAATCTGCACATGAAGCCAATTAGACACTGATTTCTTTCGGGCGTAACAAGGCGACAGCCTTGCGTTTGCGGTCCAATGTTCACCGATCACATCCAGGAATTCTCGCCCCAGACTCGCCTGTTCTGTGTCTGAATCAGGACATTGGTATCAAATCATCCGCTCCAGCCGGCGCACCAGCCTGCCAACTCCTCCGCAGGAACAAGGGTTGGATCGACCTCTTGGGCCGTGGTCTCGTATGCGCCAGGGCAACGTGCCATCAACAGACAAGCAAGAAGATGCTTACAGATGGGAGGCGACGTCCGGATCGCGTCGCCAGCCAGCCATCCGCCATATGGGTAGCTGCAGGTCCGGCCTTGGACGCCAGGCACGTCGTCGTCCCTGAGGCCTTCCGCATGCCCGGCAGGCTCCATCTCGGGGCCGAGATCGCGAAATGCGGCCAGCGTGAATGCCGGACAAGTGCAGTTCCAGGCCTGCAGCCGAACCTCGTAGCCCATTTGCCCTCCTGTGCGCGTTGGCAGGGGCTTTTTGGCCGAGATCGACGGCGCTGCGGAGGCGGAGATGACGAAAAAGACGACCCTGGACGGATCTGTCGTCGGATTTGATGACTCTGGGTTCGCATCCTGCTGGGCAAGCCGTCTCACCAGTCCGCGGTCTAGTATGTCTAGAGCCAGGAGCAGTTCGTTGGGGAATAGACAATGAAGAGTCAACATCAGTGGCTTTACATCTGACGGAAGAACAGGTGGGAGAGCACCGGCCGAGTCCGTTGCGCGTTGACTTGGGAGAAGCTGCTGGCCCAGTCGGGAGATCAACCGATCAACGAATTGAACGGGAAGTACAGCTGATCCATGGTTGTTTGAATCCTGCATGGGATTCTTTTGCCCCGAGTAAGATGGTATGGTCGATGTAAAAGGAGGTCGACCCATAAAAGGGAGCCAAGGTGGTAGGTAGCAGTTAGTGGGGACGCAGGGCGAGTCTAAGCAACGGAACCGTCAACGAACAGTAGCAGATGTTCATAATTTGTTTGTACACATAGTGCTCTATTTCATTCTATTGATTATTGACTCGTTATGTTTCGCTAAAATACAAGAGAAATGTAAAAACCAACTCGACATAAGAAAATCCCCAAATTGCTTAAAATCTCGCCTAGCGGGTTTTCTTAGCTTTCTTGCTTGGCTTCTTGGTAGCCTTAGTAGTAGTCTTAGTCTTGATGTTCGACTTTCCGGCGCTGCCTGCTTTAGTCCCCTTCTTGACACCCTCAGGCTTGGCTTGCTTGCCGGATGCCGTCGCCTTTTTCTTCTTCTGGCCTGCCGTTTTGGCTGTCTTCTTTGCCTTGGTGTTCATAGTTTTGGGAGTCTTGGCCGGTTTCTGTGTCTGGGCGTTCGACGCCGCGGGCTTCAGCGAGATGGTGACTTCTCCTTCCAGAACCTCCTCCCCTGAAGTGAGGGTGAGCCGGATGTTAGCACGCTGGACTTTGGCTCGGGGTTTCAGCTTAATCAGGGGGCCGGCGTCGGAGGGCATGGGCAGTTGCTGCTGAATCGTCCATTCAACTTCCCGGCCGTCGAGAGTGATGGTTCCATCCATCGTCACTCCAGGTCGTACTGGCGAGCTCGGACGCGACGTTCGGGAGCCGACGGGGCTGGGAGACTTGGGAGAACTGGGAGCGATCTCTGAATCAGGAACCAGCACGGCCGGATCGACGGCCGGATCGGTGGGCGACGGCTCCTCGAGCGGAATGGCTTGCGTTTGATCTGAGACTTCCTCGGAAGGTCCGGATGTGTCGTCGCCTTGCACTTGCTCTTGCTTTGAGTTGTCCCCGACAGCCGCAGCCTGGTCCTCAGCAGGCGCAGACTCACCCCCAAGGGGCAGGCGTCGATAAGCTAACAGGTAAGCTGTGGCGGTGTGCTTCTCGTCGCCACTGCCCATGTTCATCAGTGTCTCCAGGGACTGCATAGGTTGCGCTTCGGCGTCGTCGTCCATCAACATCCACTGCCCGTTGGGCGCTCGAACTGCGGCCGTATAATGGCCGCTTTTGATGGAGGGGCCGTCGTGGAATATAATTGTGTACAGTTCGTAGTCGATATCATCCTTACCAGCGAGGCCTCGGCGCCAGGACTCAGGGAGAGCCATCTGGTCACGGAGGCCTACGTTCCAGAATGATTTGCTCTCGCCAATGCCCTTTCTGTTCAGACAAATGAGCAAAATCTCGGGAACGTCGGTGACAGCATCAGACAGATCATGCTTGGTCTTGCACTTGCACTGCTCACAATCAAGATTAACGGCTGGAGTCTCTGAGTAGCAACTCCTGAGATAATCCCCGATTTCAATGGGCGCTGCCTCTTTCGAATCTGTAACCGGTGGGGTCGAACAAAACCATGCCAGATCCGGCTGCGACCTTACCTCGCCACATGCCTTGCACTTGAAACTCCGAGTGACCGTTATCTTGAGAAGCTCGATCAGATCAAATAGCCTTATGTCATTTTCAAGAAGAGCAACAAAGTTAGCCGCCGCTTTGCTTAGTGAGTGGTGACAAGCAGGGAACGTCAGATCACTCACTCCATTCCGTCAACATCGCGGTTCATCTGAACGAATATCCATTCAAGAAAATCCCGTACATCCTGCTGTTCTACTCGCTTTCTCTCTTCAAACCATTGACGTTTCTCTATCTGGGTCCAGAGTCGCTTCAGGACGGCGTCCTTATCCTCGCCCTCGCTGTCTCCTTTCCAGAACGACACCACGAGACGGTACAATAGGCATACAATACATTGCTTCCCTTTCCTGCAATTCTGTTCCCAGTAGTGTGGTGCCATCCAATTGATCAAAACAGGCGAGTGTAGGACAAGACACAGGGCAGAGTTCCGGTAGCATAAGACTCCGGGGTTTGCGAACCCTTTCAAAAGAGTAAGTCCATGATAGTCCGCAGTCCAAGTGGGAGGTACTTGCTAGAGAGAAGAACAAAAGAACGTCAACAGGTGGAAGACCGAGCTGAATATTCAAAACATGGGGCACTTACCCTGCTGGTTCTGTTCCCCTGGCCCTCTTGGTTATTTGAAGAGTCCATAGGTATTATCTTTCCGTTTAGTTCTCAAATAGCCCTTATAAACTTGGCAGGTCTGCAGAACAGAGATTGGTTGATATTGACGATTGACAAAAGTAGTCAGACTGTTGATGACTTCAAAGTGCATCTTGCTCATCGGAAATAGCCAGCTATTTATGTTTGAGACCATTGTAATGTTTGTACAGGCCGGGATATCTTTTGATGCTTTTGCATGTTCCTTTTAGTTGATCTCTTTCTTTCTATCTGGTGCCTTTGTTACTGGGTCCGTCATTCTTTTCGACAAACAATCCCTTGACTGTGAATTGGAAACAGGAAGCGTTCGTGAACAAAGGTCACTCCGATGGACAAAGACAATTGTACACTTGCATTTTGATGAAGAGAGCATGTAGACTGGTGCTCTTTATTGAAGTGGTGGGGAGCTTTATGGTGAGCTTTGATAGACTCCTATGCGAGTGTTTGTCATCGAGCACAATGGAATAGATCATTGTTCAAAGTGTTCATATGGATGGACTTCCATTAGAGCTCCAGATCTGATATGTGAAAGAGGTAGGAGCCATGGCGAAGACTTTCTGGGAATTGTGTTCCGTGCTCGCACAGCTTTTAGGGCAGCACGCTGGGAGGAAGGCAAGAGAAGCAGCCTTAGCCAGCAGGTTGCATAGATACAAAAGCCATATCACTTTAGATACACATATGCGTCCAGCTTGTGCCTTCAAGGGCACTGATGGGAGAGCAAGGGACACTACGAGCCACACGGGTCTATGATCTTTGTTTTCTTTCTCTCTCTCTGAGCTACCTGGTCTTTCACCTTCTTCGCCTCTTCTGTCATGGGGCACCTGGGATAGATTGGCCCCAAGCCCTTCTGCCCTCTCCCAAATGAATGACCGAACTACGGAGTACTTAATCAGGTAATTGCTGAGGACGCACGCCTTACCCCGTAGGTTGTCCTGAACACGGGAAGTTTTGAGCTAATGATTGGAGGGCCCCATTTAGCGTGTCAGGGACTAAGTTATCAACTTATTATGCGTGCCGGGTTCTTTGATTGTCATCGATCTATCCGGCATGGAGGGGCGGATTGGGGGTTTTCTAGAGTCTAGACCCGCAAGGCACCCTCCCCGCGCGCGCACACTATTTACTGTGTACAGTAGTCACTCGTACTGAATCGCGCCTTTCTAATTTCTCTCGGAGATTTGATTTGCTTTTGATTTTGCCTTGGATGGGACGCCAGGGAACATCGGCCGGCAATAATAATGGTTCGCATGGGCGTCCGCGGCGATTATCCCAATAAATCCAAGTTCTACTGATAGATGACGATAGCCCAATCATCTCGGACGTTTCCCCACAGCTCGAGTTCTTGTTTCATCTTGTCAGATTGTGGGGACCTTTCGCTCCCCGTCCGCCCCCTCAGTAATCTTACCAGGGCCAGTTGGGTGGACTGTTTGAACGTTCCAGCCATCGCCAGTTCGAATGGTCTGATCTCGCCCAGTCGAGAACCTGCGGATGAGGGTCCGGTCCGGTCTGCATTGACCGGCGGTCGTCATGATCAGTGATCACCGCGAGCAGTTGGCGGCGGTGTAGAAGCTAGAAACTAGAAAGGTCAGAAAGGAAGACCCCCCCCTAGTCAGTCCCGTGCAGTTGGCCCAGGACACACCTCCTCTCATGCAATGCATTCAAATCACCTCAGCCCATATGCAGTCGAGATGGAAATGGGTTGTTCATCAAGAGGAACGATGATTGCAGGTTGATACCCGATCTCGGTACCATGACTCGAGACTGACGAACGATCGGTGTCGTATCTCTCGTGACCGACACAGATAATAAATAAATAAATAAATAAGAAATTAGATTTAAAGGCATGAGATTACCTTTTCTTCATGCCATTACGACTAATCGGGTCGATTTTAGGGCGATCGCGAGCGATCCAGCCTCTCATCCTGGGAAACTTCTGCCGAACAAAGAAGAGCAGACTAACAGCCTAGGCGGTAACTACGGAATACAGACTAAAGAGCACTAAAGGCCGGTTTCACGGTTGAAAGGAAAGACCGGGGCAAATGATCATCAAGTTCTCGAGAAGTGCTGTCACATTATTGCAAAGTACGAGATGATAGACGAGTTCATTGACTCGGTAGAGCATCTACGGAGTAAAATGGCGATGGCGATCTGTCTGTTCTCCTCTGTACATACAGTAGAGGACAACAATCCAACAACTGCAGGGATAGAATATTGTCCGGCGACTCTTCGACACAATCGTCCGAAAGCTTCTAGACCCCTAATTAACCCGATGACCCACCCGAAGTTGGGCAGCCTCGAATGTTGATTGTTGACCGTTTTCGCAATAGCCACAGGGCCACTTTTCAGCTTTGCCACGCAAAGACAATCCCAGCTGTTTCAAATTTCCCAGGGACATCATCGGCGGGTTTCTTTTCCTCTTCTTTGTTTTGTTTTTTCTTCTTATTTTTTGGCCTTTTCCTTTCTCTTATCTATCTGGGAAGATATTGCAACGGTGCATCCGATTTACCTTTGTTGACATCATGTTTGATTGGGAGCTCCTCCGTGGACCGTGACATTTTCTGCTCCAAGATGGCATCGGCAATGGACCTAGCAGCAGATAGGACGATAGGTACGGTGTACGGAGTATATCATTGTACAAAGTCGTAGACCAATCACATGACGTCGAGCTGGTCCCTCCGACGAAGTTATCGCACCCGTCAACTTCGGTGGTACGAAGTAGGTTAGGTTTGAAGTACCTACAGTGTAGGACTGTAGGTCCTGCACATACTCAGTACATACTGTAGTGGACACCGCTCGAGAATGTCCCTCGCCTGCACAACCGAGAGGGGAAGAGGGGGGTTCAGTCAATAGACCATCCGCAATTGCCAGACGGTCAGAAAGTCAGAGTTAGACGGGGCAAAAACAAAAAAAAAAAAAAAAAAAGTAAATTAAATAAAGAACCCAATTTCCAGGGTGTGGGTGGGGGGGGGGAAGGACAAGGGCTCTCTAACTCTCTGACTCTCAGACTCTGAGCCTCTGAGGTTGTCGGACATTTTCTGCGACGATCATTGCGCGCCAGGAATAGAAAGAGCGCCGGAATCCCTGTCTGGACCCACCGGCCCCAGTCCAATGGCGTCTTGTCGATTCCACCCCAAGACCGTTTGAAACTCCGACGAGTCAATAAGAAACAAATAATAAAAATAGTGGCTCGACACTCTTAGCGAGAAGTGACAGCGACACAACTTGAGAATAATGTATGCTACTTGGGAGGTCTTGGGCAACGCATTGGGTGGGGGGCTTTTGCTCTGGTCTCTTCTCTCCAGCCCAAGATGCCTAACAACGCATCAACCACCTTCTTAGTTCTTACTGACTGATTGACTGACTTGTACCTTAGGTTCATGGTTTAGATTCCAAACACTATTGACTCTTTAATCCCGTGCGTGATTCACGATTTACTCCGTACGGCGTACACCGTAGACTCGTCGAGGTGGTGCCAAGGGAACTCCCCCTCTCTGCCCACTCCATCTACGCAATACGATGCGAGTGGTAACTAATAAGTAATAACAATTGATTGCCTTGGTTGGTAGATTATGGGTCGCCCGAGTCACGACTTGCGACACCAATGTCGATGCACCCGAAGCCAAAGTGCCAAACCTTGTATTTCCGCATAAACTCTACGCTCCATACCCAGGCACTACCTTAGGTACTGGAAGTCCACTTGTTGGAGTAATGCTGACCCTTAATACATGGGAGGTTCGTTGCGCATTGAACACGAGGGGAAGTAAGGAGGGCACGACGGACGGTAAGCATCGAAATGGGAAGACCTGCTCCATGTGACAGGTCATTTTGTTTCTCGTCTGCCTTCCTCCACAATCTGCAAGTCAACTACATGTTTTGCACCGAGTCCTGGGAAATGGAAGGAAGAAGCAAAATAAAAAAGAAAGAAAGAACGGAATGGAAAATAAGATTAAATTAAAACACCAGTTTCCTTGGCCCGGAGAGTAATGTAGGATGACTATGATAATGGGGTTGTTGTGAATCGGGCCTTGGATTGCCGTACTGTAAGCCAGCAAGCAACTCAGCAGCTGGAATTCGATTTCCTAAATCTTGAGTCTTGAATCCTGGAACTGCTGAGGGTTGACAAGCTGACACTTGAGACTTGACAGAGATCAAGGCCAAACCCACCGCGGGAGCGGATGTTCTAGGCCCGCGGCAGGGCAATGTCCACCGCCATTTACATCTGACTTGTATGAGCCAGGGCTTCGTTTGTCCCCGTCAACCCGCGCAATTAAAGAATCATCTTCCAGGATCGATTCGTAATGAAGAGGGGAATAGATAGATTAGCAGAATCGGGGAAAGTAAGAGACTGGAAGGGCAACGGAAGCTGGGTATGAGCGCATACTACTCCGTACTCCGTATTTCATACGATTTGATGACTTGCTCCATATATTAATTATTATTGACCCATTGATGAAGTCAATCCAGTCCGGTCATTGAGCGGTGACTTACTACGGGCAGTGGTACGGAGTACTCCGACATGTACATTGTATATGGTGTCTAGTTTATACCACTCCGTAGAAACTACTACATAGAGACATATATATTGATCGTCTGCGTCACACCCAACGCCGCCGACGATGGTAAGACTCAAGAAGAAATGGGTTTAATATAAAATAAATAAATACCGAACGAAGATAGCGTCGAGAGGACGCTGGCCCCCGAAAATGATGATAATGATAATAATAATAATAAAAAGCGGGCAACGACTTGGCACCTTAATTCAAGCCTCGTTTGCGCTCTGTTTCTCGTCTCTTGCCTGCGCCTCTCTCCGCCTCTCTCGGACGGGCTGCGCGTTTTGCCAGGTCACTTCGAATAAACCATCAGGGAAATTGGGGCCCACCCGCTGGGCGGCGGTCATTGGGGCGTTGGCAGGGGAAAAAGGCCGACCGGGTCCACCGCCTTTCGGTCGGAACAATTCTGGCAAGCCACCGTTTTAGCCCCACCAGTCCCTAGGTAATCTTGCATCGGGTTGGCGGGAAACCCCTTGTTGCCGCGGCCCCGTCGTTCGAAAGGGCTTCCCTCTTAGTCTGGGACATTATTCGACAAGGCCCAGCATACTCCGCAAGCCTAGAAAGCCTAGAGTCTACCGCCTAGTGCCTACGGGGCCTAGCGGTCTTTTATCTTCCGATCCCTAGTCCCAGAACAGAAAGGAATCGGTGCCTTGTTTCCATAGTGTCGGCCGAAGTACGGGTCAGCTTAACCTCTTTTCTTCTTGGACTCTCTTCTCTTCTCTGCCTCCGTACAGTGTACACGTACACGACACTTCCGCCTCCCCGCCCTCCTCCCTTCTATGGAAGAACAATAATAATGATGACGATGGCAATGACGATGACGATGATATCGATCCTAACCACGGGAGAGAAGGACGTCAAAAGATAATATGTCATTCACAAGTAGCCCCTCTTCCTTGGTTATTCGTCCCTGAAACGATGTACACAGTACGTAGTATCTTGTTCACCCCTTCTTCATGAACGTAGGAAAATAAAATAAAACAACATAATCAAAGACAAGCGCAAAGCACGCGAAAGACGCGTCTTTGAGCGGCAAATCGCCGTCGGCAGTAGCCTAAGGCCGGATTCGGATTCCCAGGGCCCAAGGCTGGCGAACGGGTTTCCAACCTTCCCTCTCTCCACCTTCCTCCGTGGTTCTAGTAATCAATTCACATTTCACGAGGAAACTCATTTCACGATAATTACGGAATACGGAGCAAGGTACCCAGCAAATTTCCTCTTTGTGTTCCAGACCGACAGATCAACGGAGGTTAATTTGTTGAGAGATGGAGACCCGGAGATCGCGACCCGTTGAACCAGTTTTGGGTGCGGCTGTAGGCCAGTAGGGTACGCGGTAGTGCAACAAATCGTGGATTGATTAATCGCTCTTCATCATTAATTAAATGGCTTTCCCCATAATTAATAACTACCGTCGTCAAATTAAATTGGGAAGGAGACGAAGGCGAACTGCTGGGAAGTGGGAACGAAGAAGGAAGGAACCAAACTCATTGCTGCGCGGAAACCGGGAACCGGTGACTTGTGCCCTACATACGGAGTCGTAGTGTACGTCGAAATTCGGAAGTCAAAAATTAGATTAAAAATGGAAACAGAAAATAAAAGCAAAATCACACCAGACCGAGCTGAAAGAAACAGGGTTCGTGCAAGGAAGATCGATGTTGATATCCCTCCAGGCATCATGGTCTATCTCGGACTGAGTACGGAGTAGGGTGTGACAGCATCGTCAGTAGGAAGTCGGATGGATAACTCGGTGGATCCTGTATAATGACGCATGCAAAGAATACGACGGGCTCTTGCTGACTCGACACGGGATCCAAGAAAGATCTCTAAAGCTCGCATGTCATTCTGATGAGGGACAATATTTTGATATCAGGTACGGGAGGATTCTGAGTTTCTGACGACGGAGTATCCTTCTTCACTCTCCTTCCAGGAGAATTGAAGCCCACGCATCGATTTCAAGGTCTCGGCCTCGGTAGGTCGGTAAGTTGATCCACATCCCATCGCAATCCACGGTTGAGGACCGCCCGGCGCCTTACCGAGACCTGATTGACAGCACCCAAAGTACGGCACACTGCATGGAGCATGAAAGACTGGAACTGTCATTCTACTTTTTTTTTTTTTTTAAAAAAAAAAAAAAAAAAAAAAAAAAAAAAAAAAAAAAAAAAACTATTCATTTTCATTCCCGTTACTTAACTTGTTGTCCAAACTGAAAGGAGAAAAAAGGAAAGAAAAAAAAGGCGAGGGAAGGAATATACATGTGCTATACCTTGGTATATCCTGTGAAATGCTGAATACATTAGGTTCGTCCTCTCTCTGTAGTTTTTGCAAAGATCTGCTCGATAAGTCTAGGCAGAATTTGAATTATTAGGTACATACATTACTCTGTACATATCATGTTCTGTCTCGATCAAGTTATCTGTAGAAAATGAAAGGGTGGACGACGCGAACGAACGGTCCCTGAGAAAATCAGAATACGATCCAAAATCCAAAATGAACCCCCCTCCTTCCCTTGGGACCCAGGTGGTGTCTGAGTTATGCTCCACGGAGTAGGCAATAGAGGCTACTATTGGGTGGCATATCAATCTTGGCTAGGACGATACTTGCCGTCCGTGGATTGGGGTTCGTCCACCGTTGACCGATCCATCGCGGTAGTTTGGGACTAATTGGACGGACGCGCCCCCGGCCGTTGGGATTCCCAATTCTGCAATTGGACTCTGAAGGTCAGAGGGCATCTTGGGGGGAGCGGGAAGTCGCAACAAGACGGATCGTGCTAATCTTAGGGATAATCAAAATAAAGACCAGGCTCCCCCTGCTAAGGTGACAAGGATAGAAGAACCTGAAATCTGGCACATGGGGAGGGGGGAGTTCAACCTCGTCTGTCTTGGCCAATGAGAAGATCATTCCCGTTGGCAATTTTAATATAATTTAGCGTTGGCTGATGGAGGGGAATGAAATTTAAGGCCCTTTCTAGACATCGCTAAGACTTGACGCCGTCGTCGTTACGCATCCTCCCCATTATTCCCCGTTTTAACGCTCTGGTTGGAACATGGAGTTTTCAAGACCATTTCATATCCCGGTTCAGGATGATGCGGTTCCCCACAGGGGAGAACCATGACTTATACCACTTGGTGATTTATTTCTTTCATTTGATTTTTGATTTTTATTTTTTAAAATTTTTTTATTCGGAAAATGAAAATGAAAATGAAAATGAAAATGGAAACTAATTCAAAACTGTTTTCCTTGCAATGCTGATTGTTCTGCTAAACACCCTAACTTTCGGGACCTATACCGGGGTGGCCGGCACCGATGAGTAGTGCCCCTCCTGTTATATGCAACTCCCCCCTCGCTTTATCGTCAGCAGTCAGCACCATGTAAGATGGACGAACGAATCGAGAGGTTCTACCCAGCTAAATTCTACAATGGATCATTTTAATCTCCCTGTCATGCCCAGCGTCACCATGCGGCTGAGATTATGATTACCTGTCAAGCTAAACCAGCTATACTGGATGCTGTACAGAGTACACACTTATACCCACATCCACGCACACACACACCATCCACAACTACTCCGTTCTCCGGCCCTGGGGCGGCCGAGTCGATCCCTATCGTAGATAGAATAGGCCCAACGGGTAGAGCGTTGACGCTTCGGCGACGAGAGAATTCCTGGTTTGCCAACGAACCCCTCGAGAAGTTGGGCTCGAACGTTCGAAGAGGTTTGACCGCCAGTACTCCGTTATTCTTCTAGCATTAAAGTACTCCGTAGAGCACCCGGGAAGTGGAACCCTTCATGATAATCATCGCGGTATTGTGGTTATTAATACTAATGGAATAATATTATAATTATTATAATTCTTTATTATTATTATTTTTATTCTGTTTCCCGTTAAACTGGTAGGAAGTACTTCCTTCTGTAGGTTAGCTTCTGGTGGGTAAGAGTCAACCGTTGGTTCTGACTCCCCGTCCGTAAGGACAGACAAAGCTCTCTCTCTCTCTCTGCCTCTCGATTTATATGAGGATTGCCATCCATATTCCACTTCGAGAGAATCTAATGGGGATCGAAAATGGTCTATACGGAAGTTGAAGAGAGAATTGAATTCAAAATCAAAATAAACGAAAGTAGTAAAATGAGGATTCATTTGACATGGAGCTCTTTCTCTTTCTCAGGATCATAGGGTAGGAGGAATGAAATAATCATGAAGGAAAATAATTAAATAACTGGTTAATAATAACAAGTAAAATGGAAATAATAATAAAATAACCCATCCCAATATCAACGGCTTCTCGAACCCACTGGGTCCCGAGCTCGCCTCCTGGTTAGCCTCCTCTTCGCCCTCCCCATACCTCCTACGGAGAAGGTGCGAGCATTATTACTGCTGAGCTTCTAATTTGCTGTCCAACACTGCTAGATCAGCTGTCATTGCCGATGATCTCTTCTCATGCATCTCAGGTTGTTTCATCTGTTTCGGCTTTCCTCCTTTCTCTCTTTTCCTACTTTATTCTCTTCTCTCTCTCTCTTCTCTCTCGCCCTCTCCCTCCCTCCCTCTCTCTTTCGATCTTTTATCCTCCCAATTTCTTCACGATTTTCATTTGATTAGTTCTGATCTTTCGTCTACCTGGTTACTAGAATTTCGTCTAGATTTTGCATCGAGATTTTATCCAACTTGATATACCTCTATTCTTATCACGAGAGATATCTGCAGTTATCTATTCTTGCCTCCCACACTGGAGATCCATTAGTCGGCGCTTTCGACCTTCTCTGGCCGCCAGTCTTTTTGTTTGTTCTTCTTATTCTTATCCTTGCTTTCCCGCCCCTCGTCGACCCCAACGAGTGAGCCGTTGCTTAATATCTACCCATTGATATTACTCCCGCCTATCCCCACTCCCACCCTCTATACATCTCGGTGGGATTGCGAGTTTCGTCATTGACTTTCACTGTTGGTCAATACTCTCCTTTAACTCACGGATTCGAAGATCGATACAAAAGATTTTTTTGAGTTGACTCTTACCACTGCTACTGTTGTCGCTTTTATTATCATCATTATCATTATACCTATTCAAAGACGATCGTTGAATCTAGCATTGTTTACGCGCGTTCATCCATCCTGCACGCTGGCATTTCGGATTTCTAGCCAGAGCCTGGCAGTTGTATCAGTTTTGGGAGTTCAATCCGGATACACAACCACGACATAAAAAAAAGAAGAGGTCCTGACTGCGAATCGCGCATATGATTGCGTTACAAAACCAAGCTATTCTGCCTTCCGCCAAAGTGGATATCTCACTGCTGCTGAAGCCCCAAGATGAGGAGGCCGCCACCCCCGTGACCTCTGCATCCAACTTCCCTCCCAATCCGATCCCGCAGCCTCCAATGATTCCGGCACTCCCCATCACGACCCCGACGTCCGTTCCTTCTGTGACGCCTCTTACAGCCAAAGCCCCAGTATCCATCCCGGCGAAGCGCCTACAACCAGCTCATACGGCAGAATCCCCAGCCAAAAAACAGTCAAAATGGTCGCCCGAAGAGGATGCACTGATTATCGAATTACGGGGAAGTGGTATGAAATGGGAGGATATCAGCAAACGACTTCCCGGTCGAAGTGCGATCAGTTGCCGTCTTCACTATCAGAATTATCTGGAGCGCAGGAGTGAGTGGGACGAGGATAAGAAGAACAAACTTGCGCGATTATATGAGAGGTAGGTCTCCCAGGAAAGGCTGCTTTCCATCCACTGAGGTAGAGAGAGACCAGATGAACAGGGTTTCCAGAGTGATTTGATTTTTTTTTTGCTGACACACCCGGGCATTTGTAGATTCAAGGCGGAAATGTGGTCCAAAGTGGCAGAAGAAATGGCGATTCCATGGCGAGCCGCAGAAGCTATGCATTGGCAACTGGGGGAACAAGAAATGGCGCGCCGAGCCGGAGTAGTCCCCTTTTCGTTGTCGAGTACAGCGATTGATCCCCCCGCCCCGAGGCCTCGCAGAGCCAGCACGTCTCTATCTCGGCCACGAAAGGGATCAGCATCGCGTCCACTTGCTCCTCCACAGCTCCCATCCGTCGAGGAGCTAACCGCCGGCGTTCCGGCATATGCACCACCGCCGCCTTTTCCTGCTCCGCGAGAACCTTATCGGATTGGACATCCTTTAGACTTGAGCGGCAGTCACTTGGGATCACATCTTGGTCTCCCCCCTCGAACTCTTCCTTAGCGGGCCATAAGATGATGTCTATGCCTCTTGCTTTCCCTGCTTTTACCTTTTTGCATTGTTACGATTTTGCATAGCGCTGGTTGGAGGTATGCCTTCATTCTGGGAGAGGATTTCTCCTTATTGTTTTTGTTGGATTTTCCTTTCTTTTGTTCTTGCGTGGGATTCCCAAAGACAAATGGGAAGCCTTCTTCCCACGGCTCTCCTGTTTCCATGAGCGGAAGTGGATGTCAGCATGAGGCCCCAGAGGACAGGATCCCGGGCCCCCCGTCATGACGCTTCCGGGTCTTATCGAGCCGCGATTGCCCACCAATTATCCCTGTCATAACCTGACTCGAGGACAAAACCACCCGCCGCTTTGATATCACGCTCTAGCTCCGTTTCCTCGAAGAGATGGTAGTACCGATGGTATACTTGCGGCTGCGCACCTGAATCACCTTCGGAGGGCTTTTGCTTGAAAACCCACGGAACCATCACATCCTGTTGGTCGCCTTTATCCCAACCCCTTCGACTGGTCTTCTGCTCTAGTGCCCAGACATAGAGAAGAGCCTTTCCGCCAGGTGCATTAGGTTTGGAAGGCCTTAACGTGCGCAGAATCTCGCGTATAGCTTGAATCCTCCGATCAGGAGTGGACAAATGGTGGATCACGGCAATTGATAGGGCAAAGTCGAAAAACGAATCTGGATGTGGCAGATTCAGAATGTCCGCGACGATTGTTGAATGCGGTTGGTGTTTTACAGCGATTCGGGCGAGATTTTCCGACCTGGCCACAATGGTCAACGGCGAAACATTGATGAAACGAATTTTTTTCCAAGAGTCATGTCGATCACACTAAAACGAGAATATATTGGTAGAAATAAAATAAACACATTTATGACGATTTAGTTTTTAGGGGGGGAGAGAGAGAAAGAGATGATGATGGGAATAGCGGGGTGGAGAGAGGGGCTCGCTCTTTTTTTTCCCCCCCCAAGGGCCGCAGCAAGAAAAGAGATCAAGAAGCACATGCGCCGATAGGGAAATGCTTGGGAATTCCGGAGAAATGTAGACATCACACGTACCGATCGGAAGCCACGATAAAAACATCCTGATTCACAGACAGGTATTTACCATTGCCGCATCCCACGTCCAAACCAATCGCACCTGGAGCTAATCCCTTGAGAAACTGTTCCACAATTGGCCATGGCTGCCAGTATTGGTGAGTAAGAACCAGGCAAAGGATACCTCGATCGTCTAGGCAGGGAGAGTGTACTCACCTTGTAACGAGTCGCGGAGAAATGATTCGCGATCTGCTGATACACCTCGTGGACATTCTTTTCTTCGTATTCATCATTGGGCTGGTTGATTGCAGCTTCTGCGGACTGCATTGTTGCCGTTAATCTGGATGATGTCCCTATTTATCCAAGCATTATATATCTGAGCTGTTCGTCCCTGGTTTGTGGGTAATCCTTCAGTTAGTGTCCAGGTTATGCGAAGAATGAAGGGAAGAAGAAACGAGGTGACAAGAGGTGAGAGGAGGGATCGGATGTGTTAAGACACCCCACGTGGAACCTCTTCCGAGGATGGCTACATACATTACCTACCTGGACGCCTACGGAGTCGTTATATCTATCGGCATCCTTCTCGGGCATCTGATCGAAGAGACCGATGGAAATAAGGTTCTAACAATAATAGCCTATGCGCATACCGATGCATCTCGGAGATTTTCCTGGCCCATTCCGAGTGGTCGGTCTCGATGGAATCCTTACATTAGCTAGGTAGATACCTATAGTTATCGAGAGGAAACGTGTCAATCGATACCAACGGAGAAAGAATGCCACCAGACCCTCATTTCCAATGACTTGGATATCACCCCTACCCTCCCTACAGTAAACAATGCACACCCATTCCGTACACAGAACTGTACAGACCTCGGTACGACGTAATGAGTTAAGTAAAATCAGCGCTGACTAATGGCACTACCTGTTCAACTACGGGTGTAGATCACGAGTTGTAAACTACGACGCCTCTTCTCTACTCTTCGCTTCTTATCAAGTCTCCATCATATACTCGGCTTCAAAAAGTGTAGCTAGCTATTTCCAGTGAGTACGTACATCTTCTCATCTGGCTACCTAATTGGTTCATCTTCCCAAAACCACCCCTTGTCCGTGACTTTTTGGGAAAGAAATGGCCTACAAAGTTCTATCATCCTATTTTTCTGTTCGAGACCAGCGACTTTCTCTCGTTTCCACCCCTTTGTGTGACCCCATTCTGGCCCATTCATAACCGGTCTAACTCTTGGACAGACACAAACTTCTCATACTAATATTCCGCCACGCCAACCACAACCCGTATAGCTTCAAGATCAGAAGCAGAAATGGCATTCCAGCCTACTCCGGCAGATGTCGCTGTTATCATCACTTCGCCATCTGCTGGCCCCAATGCAGGCTCTCAATTCCAGAATGAGCGCCGCATCACTCCAACATGGACTGTCACGCAGTTGAAGTCTAAATTGGAAACCATGACTGGCATCCCACCCGGTAGTCAACGTTTGCATCTAAAATCGCCCGGTCTGCCCGGTCGATGGATCGATGGCGATGACACCGTCATCGGCGATTGGGGCTTGGTAAAGGGATGTGAAATTGAGGTATGGTATCTATTTCCTATGTCGTCTAGGCTTTTGCTCTCCAGTTTTTCCCCCTGGGGACTGTTCCCTCACCAATTCTTTCTTCCTTCCCCCGCTTCTATTCTCCAACTCGGTGTATCTAGTTGCCTTGCCGCACAAAAGATACACGAAAGGTATACAGGTCTGCGGCAGTACCCAACCACTCCACTCGGAGTGATCCCCGCCGTGCATTCTCATTGTCGATTTCGTAGGAGAGGATTCAACCGGCGGTAAACATTCTTCTTGCTTCCCACCAAACAAACCCTATATACGTTTAAGCCTAGCATAAAAAAGGAAACAGAGAGGGAAAGAGGAAGGGAGAGAGAGAGAGAGAGAGAGAGAGAGCAACAGACGTGTATAATTTGTTGGAATCGTTGGAACACAAAACTAATCAACGGATCAGGTCCATGATTCGAGACCCCAGTCCGCAAGACCCAATTTCAACGATCTCTCATCCGTGGAAAAATACGTCCTCCCTACAGAAACTTACGAGTCCCTGCCAAATTCGGTCCTGGCCTGGAAAAGAAACCAGAAACTAGGCCGCTTTGACCCAAATGCTTCAACGCCCGAGGAATCAATGCGGAGACAGGCAGAACAGGACGCCGAGGAAGTTGCACAAAGGGGTATGGATCTAGGCAGTTTCAAAAGTATGTGTCCGTGATGCTGACTACCCCGGCTTTTACTCTTAGGAATCGCTGTTTCTAAGCGTGCCATCATTCTGCCTTCATCGCCGCCGCATATTCGTAGGGGCACTATCCGTTTTGTTGGCCCTGTGCCCACTATTCCCTATCCCGGAGTGAATGTCAGGCCTGGGTCCTCCGGGGGAGAGTCTGATGATTCTCTTCCCCTGTGGATAGGGATTGAACTTGATGAACCTACGGGAAAGAATGATGGTAGTGTTGGCGGGCAACGCTTCTTCACCTGCCCTAGCAAGTCTGGTCTGTTTGTGAAACCCGACAAAATTGAGGTAGGGGACTTCCCCCCTTTAGACCTGGACGACGACCTTGGCGACCTGGAGGAACTATAGGCCGCACCACTCTCGCGCTAGGATCAAGGATTGGCACAAGGCGAAGGGGGAAAAAAGCCTTGTCATCAAACTGTCGATACAGAAGAGAACGTCTTTCAAAGTGCATGGGTGTGAGCAGGTCCCATGCCCTTTGGAGTCGTTTAAGATACATTTCAGAATGGATGAGGATGGAGGAAGCAATGGAAATTTGAAAACACCAATGACCCAAAGACCACGTAACATAATCGCTAGAATTGAGAAAACCCCATAATGGACATCAATGTGGGTTCGCATGAAGATTCGGCAAAATGAGTGCAGGTAATAATCACGATATCAACTAACCGCTGTTATTGCAAATAGAGAGGAGCCTTTGAGATGGACTCATTAAAGCAGACTTTGAACTATTTTTTGCCTTTCTGCTTGCCCTTTGGCCTGCCTTTTCCAGGACCACTGGGCCGGGTGATCGGGGTAGCAGCATCCCCCTCCATGGTCTCTAACTTGGACGCGGATTCAGGGGCGGAGTCGTCCTTATCCATTGGGACGCAGCCCTGCGTGAAAAATAATCGGGCATCCTTGCCGTGTGTGTTTGCGAAGCTGTAGTAGTTTCCTATGTTGCAAGTGAGAACAGGGATCAGCGATTTCTGTTTCCAAGACTAATAAACAAGCGACAGGAGGAAAGTTACCTCGTGGAACTTGGAAGACGCAGCCTTTTCCCGCACTAAACTGTACACCAGATATGTCTATCTGCACTCGGCCATTGCAGACGTAAAACACCATGTGCATTTTCTTTGAATTCTTGGGCTTTTTGACTCCCCCTGGAGGTAGTTCGACAATTCCGGATCCCAAGAAAGGGGAACTCAGAAGTTTTGCAAATCGAAACTTGGAGCCTTTCACGTCTCGAGTCTCGATCCCAGAAGGGGCATAGGCGATATCTATTCGTACTCAATCAGTACGCATGTTCGGTCAAGTTGTGACGGAGGAGAAGGGGGGAACCATACCGACAACTTCCTCGTCTTCCGTGCCAGTTTGGACCTCGGGATCCCATTTCCTCACATATCCGTGCAAAACACCTTCGTTCTTCTCCCAAGTATCGACGTATTCTTCACTGTCCGACTCGTCCTCATGATTCTTCTTCTTCGATTTCGACTTTCCAGATGGTCGCCGGTTGTTCGCTTTCCGCTTTTCCAATGCAGGCTCTTCTGTCCGAATGACTTCTTTGATAGTTGAAAGAGGATATCGCTGGCCCTCCGCGGCTTCGCCGTTGCCGTATACACATCGCTCATTTCTCCAGTATGCAAGAGGCCTGACCGATACACGTCCTGATCGTGTGTGAGTAGTGCTGTTATCTGTTGGCGCCTCCCGTTTGAGGATGTACAAGCTTCGCCCCTTCAAAGGTCCTGTACGATTGACGTAGTTCTCAACGACCTTGTCCAATTGGGGGTGTCCAGATGGTTTGGGCTCGTCAACCGTATTCTTTGGTGCTTTAGTCTTTTTTGATGGTCTTTCCTCTTCGCTACCATCCTTAGGATTGGGTTGAGCTTGGCTCTTTGGGGGCCTTCCAGGGCGCTTCCTCTTCTTCGAAAAGTCTTGATTCTCAGCTGAATTGGGTTGCGCAATTCCCTCGGCTCGGATCTCTTCGTTCCTCCCGGTCCTTCTGTTCCTGGTAGAAGTTTTCGTCTGTCTCTGAGGGTGTGGTTCAGGTGTAGCTGACTTTGGGTCCAGGTTCAAAGCATCCTGCCTCACATCCTCCCTTTGATCTTCTAGAAGGTTGTCACTGGTTTCGAAGCCGTCGGCAAAGTCATTTTGAATTTGCTCAAATACATCGGCGTTTTCGTCTCCATTGTACTGGCTGTTCGCATCACTGTCCGAAAAGGCCGCCGCCAAAGCCGGTTCCGATGCTTTGTTCGCTTTGTTTCGCATGCTGGCTGCATGGTGGAAGGAGGGTGTATTGACGGAGCGATTAGTGAGTGGAGAAATGTCTTGTCGTGGTTCTCCCGCGGCGCTTCCAAGCCCTTTACCATCGGAGGGGCTAGAGGAAAGAATGTCACGCTGCGGGCTTGGAGAGGATCGCAAGCCGGGGGTTCTCCGCGGCGACCCGGTAAGACCGGACTTGATGGGAGAGCGTGCGACGGGGGGGAGATGGTAAGGCCCACGGGCGCTTTTGACACTGGTTAGGAAATCGGCTGGGTCGGGGGCATTCTCTGCGGTTGAATGATTGAGCATGGGCAACATTGCGACAGTGGGAAGGATAATACGTACCCTCGTCCATTGACATCCCGTCCGAGCCAATCGAGGCATCGTTCCTTTCGTCGGCGCCATTATCTCGCAAGGGTGAGTTTTCCGGGGATGACCACATCCCTTCAATGTCTTCCATTCCATGCTCGTCGCGCTTGCCTTCTTTCAAAGTGATCCCGGTACGCCTGCAACCAGGGCCATCCACCATCAGCCTCCGAGGCAAGGGATAACAAGCGCTTGGGAGAAGAAACGACGGGGCAGACTGACCTTCCGGCTTTGCCAACATTTGAATAGTCATAGTCGCGGGTTTTCGCGGGCCCACGGGGAGCCATCGTTGCGCAAGATCGAGGGGGCTAGATGCGGGATGACGAATTGATCGGAGTTTGGGTCAAGGAAAGCCCAGAAAATGGGCGTGGTGTATGGGGATCCTGGGATCTCGGGAACGAAGGGTGAGATGGAGAAAGAAACCAAGCTGGGATGAATTGGCCCGGGGAAAAATGTACAGGAGGAAGGCAGGCGACAAGGCGGAAAGTTGGTGGCCGCGGCCGCTACGGAGGGGAATGAGAAGGGGAATTCATGACGGGGCGGCCGACCAACAACGCGCCGAAGCGCCGCTAGTCTGGAACGGTTTGCGACGCGTCCCGCAGAGGAGATTCTTTCTCCTGCTCTCTCCCCTTCACCCTTCACGCTTCTCACACCATTGACTCAAGGACCAAAAAAAAAAAATAACAATAATAATCCTCTCATTTCAATTTCATACCGGGGAACTATGGGGGAACCGACTGAACCGCACTCCCTGGAGGCCTTCGCTCCCGCCGGTCTCTTCGTCCCTCCGAGTATAGATCGCGCCCGAGTGTTCGCCGGAGAATCCTACGCCTACTACTCACCGTGCCCTCCAGAAACGGATCTTCAAGTTGAAAGCTCCAATCCGACGGAACCGCCTTCTCGCAAACATTATGTCTTGGGCGTCGATGAAGCTGGACGAGGCCCCGTTCTAGGGCCAATGGTATACAGTGCATTTTATGTACCACATGATCTCCACAACCCCCTTCTGGCTCAACAGTATAGTTTCGATGACAGCAAAGTCCTTACACCCGCTGTACGTGCCAATTTAATGCAGACGCTCTGCACCCCGGGCACGCCGTTATTCGAATCATGCGGCTGGGCGACCAAATTGCTTTCCGCACGGGACATCTCCTCTGGCATGATGCGCCTTGGGGCAGGGGCTTACAACCTAAACGCACAAGCGATGGATGCTACTATTGAGCTTATTCGACACATTGTTGAAGTCAAAAAGGTGGATATAACAGAGGTTTACATTGATACAATCGGCAACCCCGCAGTCTACCAGCAGAAGCTGGAGCGCATCTTCCCTTCTCTAAGGATTACTGTTGCTAAAAAGGCTGATTCCTTATATCCATGCGTTAGCGCCGCGAGTGTCGCCGCGAAAGTAACTAGAGACGTTGCACTAGAGTTATGTCATCATAACGTATCGATGGCCCAGGAGCCCGAGAAAACTACACACGAAAATGCTACAGATAGCTGGGGTAGTGGCTACCCATCCGACTCAAAGTGTGTTCGCTGGCTTCGAGGAAACATGGACCCCATATTTGGATGGGGCAATGAATGCCGCTTCAGTTGGGGTACTGCGAAGGAATTGTTAGAACTTAAGGGAGGGTCTAAGGTTGATTGGCCGGTGGATGGGAATAATTCGCATTTGAAGGAATTCATGTTGTCGTCGTCCTCTGGTGGTAATGGGGGAGCAAATTCCCATGAACTTGAGCAATGGTTTGGAAGCAAACCTACAGAGGTTCTCTGAGAGAGAACGGAGAGATCTAATAACTAGGATGAATGATCACGATACCCCTCATTGATAACCTTTGGCATATACACAACTAGTTTTCTCCCTTTTACTCTAACCTTACCTTAATATTTTTCCGTGTCTTTTGCGTTCTGTTTCTTCCTTTGTCTCCTACGTTGACAGTAAACAGAAAGTGGGCAGCGGTTCAAAATTGGGTATCTAAAGTAGCTTGTGACGTAGGTTTACAACGGTAAGCGGGCAAATCCATCGAGCGTAAACCTCGTGGGTCGAAAACGAGAGAATCGCAAGCCTGCTATAGCGTCGCAGTCGAGAAATAGTAATTATCCCACAGATATTCGTAGTCTTCAACAACGCTTCCAACCAGATCAAGTATAGGTTTTCCCTTCATTTTCCCGGTTAAACCTCTCAGCCAGGATCTATTCGGCGTTAGCATCATGTCTTATTCTCTCAGTGGGGCGAATGAAGTTGTCATACTTGGTTATGTTCTCGTAGAACGCTCCACGGAAGAACCACCAGCCCATAGCCCATCCCCGTTTCCTTAGTTCCTCGCGCTCAAGGCCTGTTAGTCCGCGAAGACCACCAGCGACCCTTTCTTTGAAATCAGATTTGGCAAGCTGTCGGCAGCCGTACTCCATGCCGAAGCCAATCAGCCATGGCCTCCAACTCTTCTTGTCTCCTCTCCACCGTTGCATCGCTAAAGCATACAAGACCGGTCGAAGAATATAGAGCACTTCCGCTAAATGACCATGACCGGTAACGCGATGCAAGAGTGCCTTGGGCGGTTTGATGTCATCGGCCGTGAGAACCTTAGAAATGAGATAATTGGACACGTCATTCACATCTGGAAGAGAAGGGAGCGATAAGCCTGTTCGCGGCATAGTCCAGCCCAGGTCGGAAAGCCGCTCGTTCTCTGGCGTCTGCATTCCGTTCCAGTCATTTTCTTCCTCCCCATCCAACGATCTTGGGTCGACCTCACGTTCGGGTAAAGGAGGACTGACTAGAGGCCGGGAGTTCGTTAGACGAAGTAAGAATAGACGGCAAATTGCTTTTATGACTTCGATAATCGCGACCACTCTCCAACGGATCTTTTCACCGCGGCGTCGCGCAACCATCTCCCATAGTAATTCTGTATATTGTATCATTTGAAGAGTCAAGGCGACCCTGTGATAGAGGGCTGAACTGGATGTCCAATATTTCGTATACCGGGAATGGGGAGTTGGTGTGGGCCGGGGTATTGTGGACGGTAGCCTCGAGATAACTCGAGCAACGAGAGAGTCATGATACAATGATAGAATCTGTACGCCAGAGTGCACTGCATAATCATGAAATTAGAGCGAATCACCGTGTACTCAGGACCGACCCTTCGACGTACCACATTCTGACGGTATTTCCGAATCTCGGTATCGTCCTGCGTCGGAGAGCAATGAGTGAGCCTTCCTTTCCTTGTGTGAATAGTCCATGAGCAAGTTTTGGAACTAACCTGGTATGATATAGGTCAAAGACCTCAGCGCCGACTCTACTTGGCCAACAGAGCTAGCGTTCTTGGTCACAAAGTCCTCATAAAGAGGGAGCCATTTGGACGGCTGTAAAAGCGCCGTTTGTATTGCGTTACCATTTTTCCAGGTGGAATCCATGCCCAAACGACTGAACGACCTGCGATACTGGTGCTGGCTACAACTAGTCGACCAGATGTGGCTATGAATGCAACAGATAGCGGAGGGAGTGATTGAGCGGGTAGATACCCCTTGAGCACGTGCACTACATATGCCAAGAAAAACAAGCCGAGGTTATATAGTAGGTATGTACTGCTTGTGGACATGACCATGCAGAATGTCTCATTAAGATAAGCTAGCTCTGAAGCGTAGGTCTATGAGCATTTACGTCTATTGAAAACACATACTGGGCGTTCTAGTATGTGGCATACCCAGCACGAGTTCATTCGTCCGCAAATTTCCACAAGCCCCCAGGTCGCATAGCTTGCCTATATCGCTCCTTAACTTTCTCTCTTTCCATTTTGAGGGCTTCTTCCCGGTCATACTCCACTTCCTGCGTGTCAGGCATATCTGCACGCCAGAAACCAGGGGGTGTGGAGGGCCGCTGATGATGATGCCTGTGTCGCCCGTACTGATTGGCCATGAGCCGTGCTTTCGCCTCGTGAAGGATATCCTGGTATTCCGTAGTTGTCATCCGGTCAATTATGCCCTTCTCTTCCCCGAGAAAGTCTTCCATAATTTCTCTGTCTTCGCTTGGGCACTTCTCTTGGTGAGTTGGCAGCCCACCAAGACGTGCCATAGCAAGGAATTTCTGGCCGCAGCAGTTCGGGCGTGTGCAGCCCTGAATAGAATCACGCTCGTGTCTCTTACGAACAACATCGTCATATGCAAAGTCCAGTCCTTGATTGTAATTGGGGTTGATCTTAAAGTGGCTTAGATCGAGCCGTCGCAACGGTCGAGCTCGATAAGGCTCATCCCCAGGGTGCATCTCACTGGCTTCACAGTCATTTGCTCGGAACGAGGGGTCACTTGGAAGCTCGCATCGCGCGCGTGGCACTTGGGTTTCCTCGCCTTGGGCTGGCGTGGGTCGTATGCTAGAAGATACGTCAATATCAACCGACTTTGTAAGGCCTAGCTCCTTATGTTGATGACTATGTTCTCCGTCAACCTCAATCTGAATGCTTTTGCGCTGTTGTAACGAGGGTCTAGGAGGCAGAGGTGATTCGAGTAGATTATGCAACCGTCTCTCAGTGATAGCGGCATCCTCGCTGAAATGAAACTGAGTGCACTTAGCCCCAGATGAGGCATCTCGTGGCGAATTTCCCATGCGTCGCTTACGGACGACTTCATCACCGTCCTCGGCTAACGATGATAATGCATGTTTCAAAGATCTGCCCATTACTTTCTCATGCCTCCTCCCCGACCCTGCGCTACCGTCGTAATCGCTTCTCGGGTTGATATGCAGCGGATCATATGTTGGGTGACTGGAAGATCCTGGATTTGCGACGGATACACGGAAATTATTGTCTGCTCCACCCAGCGACGACGGCAGGACGGTTGGCGACGTATCTTCGTGATGTAGACCCGTGTTATATTGCCTCTCCTGTGGGGAATTGGGCTTGTTGTTTTTGTTACTGAGCTCCGCAATTTGATGGGATTCAGCTTGGTGCGACGGCCCTCTTGTAGGGTGAGGCGACATCTGTTCACTTCTGAGATTTGAGACTTTTCTTTTACTGTCCACCACGCTATCTTCGGATGGTGGGACTCCAGAAGACGATTTGCACAGTTCCAAACACCTATTCTTGGATATGCTCGGCTCTCGCATGTTGTCTGCTTTGGAGCAAGCGTTCTGGTTGTTCAATTCATTGCCAGCCGCAGACAGTGTCGAAATCGAGTTGCAGGCCTCGACGGGCTCACACGGTAAAAGACTTTGGTTTGGCTGTTTATCCTGAGGATTCGGAGATGCCATGCCATAATGACCACCTGGCTGGGGGCTGGATTGTTTTGAACGAGGTTTCGAGCCAGCCTTCTTGGATCCCTCAGCAGCACAGGACGACAGTTTGGTTTCATGGCATCTCTTTGGCCTCTGGAGCTGGCTTTCACCCACAGTCGATTGCTTCCGTTCAAACTTGACGGGAATCCCATCAAGCACAAGAGTAAACTTCTCTCGATCGAGGCACTCTCGCCAATACGTCAACTTCCTCTTTTGGCGTTTTATTTGAAGTCTAAGACCATCGGTGGCTTTAATCAGAGTCATGAACTCATTGTACAATGCGGCATATTTATCCTTGACGATCTCGTTCGGCTTCGAATCGGAGCCGGTGTCTAAACCAGCATGGGTATCGCCAAAGATCAGAATATGTTGAGGTGAGAATGTTTCTTTCAATTTAAAAATCTGGTCAGCAGAGACCTGCGTGTCCTCTGCATTGACATCGTTCCGCGCCAGTTCTCCTTGTAGGATGGCAATTTCACGTTTTAGTTCCCGTGCTTCTGCGGCGGATTCAACCCAGGCTTCCTCTGCGCATTTGGCCTTCTTTTCGGCCTCTTCCACTTTGCAGTCGCGAGATTTGATTTCGGCATATAGATCTCTATATGCATCATCGAATGTTTTCTCAAATGTTTGAGCAACAGATGCATGAAGGCTTTTTAGAACGTCCATGGGTGATATGGTGATTGCTCGCCAGAGTTCTAATTCTACTCCGTAGGAACGCGACTGATAAGTGTGTATGTACAGTACAGTACTAGCTCGGTACGGTAAGTAAGTATATTACGCAGACTTACACAGAGACGAAGGCGGTCTATAAAAAGATCCGGCAGACACCTTCTTATACCTAGAAACTTTGTGTTAGTATGAACTCAGAATTAGTATCTCTATTGACCCTGTTTGATCAGAGTGATTAAAGAAGAATATCTACTTATTACCGGATAGCGAGATAACCTGGAAAGGCAGTCGGCTTGACCCACTCCGCCTTACTCCGTAATTATCCAGTACCTTAGCCACCTTAACCTCTCGAACCACACCAACCACCTTGGCGACTTACTGAAGTAGCTACGGAGTATGCGGGACTATCTTCCTTCACCTTGATCGATCAAAATGGACATTGTCGCAGAATGTTGAAAAGATGTAACCATGACGATGATAACCACCATCCTGCGCGAAAGCGCATACGTGTGGCACGGGTTGAAAAAGCAGACTGGATCTCAGCTTTAAGCGACGAACTCTTACTTCAAATACTGTCCTTCTTGCCCACAACAACTCTACTCCTATGCCAGCGGTATGTCCAAATGATATTCTCTTTTTGCAAGCTGCAAGCCACCTGATGCATCTTCATTCTTTAGACTGTCCCGTCGGTTTCACTCCTTGGCCGGAGACTCGGAGTTGTGGAAAAGACAATATTACTCACGATGGGTATGGCCTCGAACGCGGCGCACAGCAAACAAAAGGTGTGCGGACTTATTTTCATCTAAATTCAACTACACCCCGAAAGTGTCAACGTGGCTCGATCATGGACACCTAGCGAGAGGCGGTACGGTTACAAACTGGAAGAAGCAGTATCGCCTCCAGCACAACTGGTCAAGAGGAATCTGCCGAGTCGTTGAACTCGAGTTCCCCGAACCGCTGCGGCCCCCATTGCTGGTGAAATTCTGTGCCGGCTTTGTCTTTGTGGCAGACTCGGACTATACGCTCAGGATCTGGGAGGCTGGGAATCCACAATCCTGCTTAGCGTCGATCCCTGCCACGAATTCCCTGGACGCTTCAACGGCGTTGGCGGTTGGTCGCCGCCATCAACAGAATGTTATTGAAGTCACTGTTGGTTTCGAAAGTGGCCGCTTCAGCTTGTGGACGATGGATCTCAAGTCACTGCGACTAAGCCTGCGTTTTACACACTCTGGAACTGCCGATGGGGCTATAACGGGCATTGCCTTATCATTGCCTTATATTCTAATGATCTCTCAGCATAAGGTCTTATCACTGTATAAAGCCCCGCTCGAAAGAGACAAGTCGGGGCAGGTTCCCACGGAGAATTGTTTGCTTGCGTCGCTCAAGGCGGATAACATCTTATCGCCCATATCATTATCAGTTCGAATCGTGGGATCGCAGGTCATAGCATCCATCGTGTACAGCTTTTTCCATATAGGCTGTGGGTGGTCATTAGGCATACAAGAGTTGCACTTTAATAAAACCGGTCAGCAAAAGACTTCCCGGCTTGCAACGACAGTGGAATCGCAACATGAAACGATGCCCCTTTATTCCCTTCGTGGGGAAACCTTGTCTTCTTTAGGTCGCGAAACCACGCGTGGTCAGCAATATGCGCGACCCTCCGAGCCGACCATACTGCATCGAGACCCGCCGACCTCGGTGTCCTACTCCCACCCTTATCTTTTAACATCTCACGCAGACAATACCCTGACAATGTACCTTGTTGTATCCACCGCTGCAGGTCTGTCTGTCAAAAATGGTCGGAGGCTGTGGGGTCATACATCATCAGTTTCGGCGGTACAAGTCAGTAATCACGGCAAGGCAGTTTCCATTAGCTCACGTGGAGGTGAGGTGAGAATATGGGAACTTGAGGCTCTAATATCGTCTCCCGACACGCATCGGAGCATGCGGCAAGAAATCAGCATCCCAGCTAGCCCCGAAAACAAAAATATCCAGGAACATAGTGGCGGCGAGTCGCGGTCTCATAGCCACATTTTCCAGGCCAGTGCGTCTATGGTCTCACCTGCCGGGCGCCCACTGTCTGAGCTCACTCAAATTCGCAGCTGTATTGGCTTCGACGAAGAGCGGGTGCTTTTACTTCGCGAGATGGGCCTAGGGGGGCAATTACTCGAGGCTTATGACTTCACGTAACCCGCCCCTTTGAAATTTGGTATCAAAGAAGGGAAATGAAGGGTGGGAGGGAAGGCCTGATTGGGAAGGCAACTACCATCTATATTAGGAACCCAGGTTGATGTCTTCCCGCCCGAGAATGTCCTCTGGAAACTCCATAAAGTCACGCTCCTTGTAACAGTACCTTACCTACAAAAATGCTCTCCTCCGTAATGATGCTTCGGCAGTCCTTTTCTAAAAAGCCAAAAAGCCTATGTTGCAGCGATCATAGATGTAGATTGTGCTGGCACGTTGCACGAGGCCAGCGGATGGTCAAATGAAGACGGAGGAGAAAATTCAAAGAGAGGGAGGGATAAAAGAAAGGGTGCAAAGTGAGAGCAGAACATGGATCGAAAAGAAGAGATAGAAGAATAAGAAAGGAAGCAAAGAGTTTTACCAGTAGAGAGACCTTGTCTAATTTTTTCTTTTTTTTTTCTTTTCCTCTTTTTCCCCCCTTCCCTCTCTCATTTAGTCTAAACTATTTTGATTTTTTGACAAAGCCCTGCAGGAACCGCGGGAAGCGTTCCCCCCCGCACCGATTGGAAAATCGGTTTTTTTATTCTCTGCAATAATATTAACCACCATTGAAATCTCTGATCCCTCCCAACTTTGATCAAACCGCATTAATTTTTTTTAGTTTCCTTCCTCCTTTAGTCTTTCTTGTTCATCTACTTTTCTTTTTTTAAGATCATCTATTCCATTCATTCCGCCAATATGAGTTTCCAAGCTGGAGGTCGTGGGTGCTTTAACTGTGAGTCCCTCGCTCTATGGCCAAAGGCGGTTTGCCTTACGCCGTCTACTCTTGGTGCCCTCACAGTGTGCATCACAGATTATGCCACTGAAGCTACGCTTTGTGGTCATGATACTGCCAACATCCCTTGAATTAGAGCGGCAATGATCTACTCTTCCTACTCTATTTCTCACACAGGGACGAAAACCAGCTGCACAGCATTCATACTAATTTAAATCTCTCACAGGTGGTGAAGCTTCGCATCAGGTAAATTACTTCTTCTACTCGCAAGCATGAGGACATGTCTTTTGTCCTCTATCTTCACTTCGCAATGAATTCATGGAAATGCGGGCCAATGGCAGTTTCTTACACTATGATTATTAGGCCCGTGACTGTCCCAAGAAGGGTACTCCGACTTGGTAGGTGTCATCTTATGATCATTTCAGTTGTCCGATACTAATAAATCTCTGCAGCTACAACTGCGGTGGTATGTCATAACTTCTGCTTCCGAGCCGCATGCCACTATTGGTGGCGTCGATATATTGGTTTTGGAACTGACGAAAGAACTTCCCTAAAACAGGACAGGGCCATGTCAGTAAGTTTACATCGGACTGGACTCTACTTTTCACCCTTTACACAGCTGACATATGATGAATTGCAGGCCGTGAATGCACAGTAGCTCCCAAGGAGAAGTCGTGTTATCGCTGCGGTACTACCGGACACATCTCTCGCGAATGCCCCCAGGCAGCTCCGACTGAGGGCTTCAGCGGCGCCACTGGCGGCCAGGAGTGCTACAAGTGTGGACGGGTTGGTCACATTGCTCGTAACTGCCCTCAAGGCGGTTATGCAGGCGGGTATGGCGGTGGATTCGGCGGGCGCCAGCAGACCTGCTACTCCTGCGGCGGATTCGGTCACATGGCTCGCGACTGTACCCATGGCCAGAAGTGCTACAACTGTAAGCGTTCTCTGTTGCATGTCACCATACTAGGCTTGCTTTACTAACCATTGCTGATTAGGTGGAGAGGTTGGACACGTCTCTCGCGACTGCCCCACTGAGGCTAAAGGCGAGAGAGTTTGCTACAACTGCAAACAGCCCGGACACGTCCAGGCTGCCTGCCCCAACTAAGTCGAATCACTGAGAAATCCTTCGTCTCCTCCCTCGCACTGAGGTCTCCGGGACCAGCTCCCAGAGACGTCTTCGATCGAAGCCGTACACTCTGTACCGGGTTTGAAAGTTTCAAAATATGTCTTATTTCATTGCAGCCAAGTCACTTCTGGCTTTACGATCCTAGCCTCGAACGACTTTCCCGATTACGGTATCATGAAAAGATCTGCTAAACCTTGAATTCCGTTCTCCACCCAACTTCCAGTCCGATATTGGACCAGGAAGTATAAAACAAAGGGAAGGATGGAAGTCTCGAACTTGGTTGATAGGTGGTCTGGGCTGTTGGGGAGGGTCTTGGGTTGATAAAACTTTCCCTTTTGTGTAATGCGGAAGACTAAGTACCAAAAAAAAGTTTTCTGTGAATAAAATTTACTGTGTCTCAAAGCAATATTGACCAGCCTTGCTTCTATCAAAAAAGAAAGACAAGAGAATGTCCACGATCAAGAGCTGCAACTACACATCATAGCTCTTTGGAATCGGGGTACATCTCCACAGAATCGCTCTTCCAACTTCTTGTTTAAGCCCCAAGTGTCTTCGAACGGGTTAAGAGCCATGCGCATCACTTGCTCCAGGATCTCGCGGTCTCCACGGCGCTCGACGCGCTCAATGACCTCGTCTAGAATCCATCCGCGAGGCAAGAACTGCCAAAAGCGGCAGTTAGCGAGGAATGCGCAGTCAGTCGACAAGGCCTCTACTTACCTTCGGGTTCACCGCTTTCATTGCTTCCTGTCTCTGCTGGTCTTCATCCGGCCCCCAGTCCTCTAGAATCCGAGCCCTCCAGCTATCAAGCCAGTTGCCGATCCGCTCTTTGGCGGTCTCGTCGGTGTAGCCAATCCCACCGAATCCTTCCTCGTGGAAAAATACTGGCGCTATATCTTTCCTTTGGTCCTCGCTTTCGATGGCGGTAAGTGGTATATGCGACAGTCGTCGGAAGAAATGATTGAAGTCCAGTTCCAAGGCTTCCAGCGTGTCCAAAAGCTCCGAGAACAAGTGCTGGAAATCGGATTCCTTTCGGCTTTTCAGTCCCAGCCGTTTGCTCATCAGGTGTTTGTACTCGTTCAAAAACACAGTCCTGAACTCGTCGCTCGTTCGCTCGATGATGGCCTCTGCGCGCTCAACAACAGCTGGCATAGATCCCTCCGCCAACCCTTCTTTGACAAAGGATGGGTCATCAACTTTGTCTCCCGCCCCCATGAGTTCACCTAAAGACTCCCCAAGCCTAACCAGGTTCCACCAGATTATGGTTGGTTGGTTTTTGTAGGAATATCTCAAAAGATGATCATCATGATTTGGGGTGTATTGGGGATCAAAATTATCCATAAAGGCAAATGGGCCATAGTCAAGAGACAGACCATATATCGAAGTGTTGTCAGTATTCAAGACACCGTTCATGAAACCGTAGGCTTGCCAAGCCGCCACAGTCTTCGCATTCCGCCGCGCAATCTCTCGATATAGTCTTGCGAACCTATTTTCTTCTACGCCCTGGTGGTGTTGTATTTGATCCCAGGGAACGTCTCTCGCTGGGTTTTCCACAGCATCTGGGGGGTGATCTTTACCCAACGACACTATCGCCGGCAAAGCCTCCCAGCCATGAAACACTTCTTCTGCGACAAAAGTAGCCAGCTTTCGAACCGTGTCCCTATCGCCACGCGCATGTGGAAGGTCGAATGTTCCAATTCTCAACCAAGACTCGGCGAACCGGGCAACTATGGCTCCAGGCTCGATGCGCTCCCGTAGAACCTTAGATTGAGGTAGGAGGGTGATGGACAAAGCCCTAGTAGTTGGCACGCCAAGTGCCGAAAGTGCTGTGCAGGCGAAAGTCAGCTTCACGGTGTCCTAGACCTTTACAGGCACATACCTTCTGACACGACATATTCCCGGATGCTGGATCGAACAACGGCTTTCCCGTCAGCGAAACGAGAATAAGGGGTGCGCCCAGCCCCTTTCAGCTGCAATTCATAGCGAATGTGCGTGTCTGGGTTGGTGCACTCGAACAAGCTGATTGCGCGCTGCTACAAGTTAGCCCATGTCGGTCACGGTAGCTACGAGCGAATCTTACCCCGTCGCCCAGCTGGCCTGCCCATGAACCACTGGAACATTGTCAGCCTAGTGACATGAGGAAAAGGGTAACCCCAGGCAACATACAACTGCCAACCTTGCATTTGTTAACAAAGACCAATGGACTTTTAATGGGCGTGTCTCACCTCCATAGCACTGCGCCCAAGGATAGATCCCGCCGCTCTCCTCGGTCCAATTGATACTATTGCCCGAGACCAGGGCTTTGAATTCGGGGGTGTGTTCTTCGCCAGGCTTCAATCCGAGGTCCCTCATCGCTTTCGGGCTGACGCCCAAGAGCTCCGTCGCCTTCGTCGGCTCGGGGCGAACGAAAGTGTAGAGCGCGCCCTTCACCAAACGGGGGCCAAGTGTCTCCCTCGGCGCCTGGTGGGAAGATTCAGGGGTTTCGAAGGCAGGGTCCGGCGGTAATTTTGCGGTGAAAACACCGGACTTTTGGAGTTCGGCCAGCGAAGACCCCATGGTTGAGCTAGAGAATCGTTGCGAAGCCAACTGACCCAGGCGGAGGAGAGTCCGCGACCGATGCAAATGATTTCGAAGATACATACAAATGCTGCAAAGCTGCAACGATCAATAGAGTATAGCTGATCAGGAGAGGAGGGGGGAAGGGGAAGAGAAAGAGAAGGCAAGCATCGACTCGAGTTCTCCGTGTTTTTTCAAGAGGAAATCAGAGCACATGACATCATCGGACCGGGGGGTGGACTAATATTTAAGTTATCTATGAAGACTGTACGGAGTATGAAGTAGGGATAACTCGTGAGGATCGAGGGATTGCTTGCTTCTTGCTTTGATTCACTTTCTCTGCCATTCTTTTCCTTTCCCTCGGATGTTCCGCTCCAGGAACGAGCAGAAGTTGCTCGTAGTTTGTGCTACTCGGTATATGTCAGAGTCAGTCAGTCTCTTTTAGACCTAGAAAAGGCAGTCCTGCCAAGCCTCTCCACTTGGGCCTTGCACCGGTTCCTTTCTCTCTCGCTCTTTCGCTCTCTCTCTCTCGCTCTTTCTTTCTTTTCCCTCCTTTCTCCCCTTCCATCCACCCTGCGCTTCTTTGTACTCCTTTCCTCCAACGCCCTCGCCCAATCACGACCAAGGGCCACTCCCTCCACATGGCCCACGGCGCCTATCTTTAGGGTCTTGTATCCGTGGGCCGCGTCCTCGCAGTGCAATCCGTTGTATATCCCCTCACCCGATATCTGTTGTTGATTCCCCCATCCTGCTTGTTGACTCTTTCTCGACCTGATAACCCGTCGCATAAAAGAAAGTGTGGGGACAGCTCCGGCTCCGGCTGCCTCGGGCTCCGGCTTTCATGCAGGATATGCCTGGCAGTTCATGTGCAATTGCTTGTATTGTCTAGTCGCGAAAATCGTGCCCGAAACCTCGACCGTAACACAAGGCGTACAACCAGCGACTCTGCACAGTCCCAAACTACTATCGCAACCGCCCCAGGTCAGAAGCGCCAATCTGGTTCATCCGACGCCTTTCTTTGTGATGCTGCGACGCGCTCTACCCCCATCGTCTGGATCAAACAAACACCAATGTCCTGTTGACAAAGCGACTTTTGAAACAAACAAGGGAATCAGTAGCAACCGTCTCCATAGATCGGGGTTTTGTGCTTCTGTTCGTTCGCTCCCGGTGTAGCAGCTCCTCAGAACCCACGAACACATTGCAATGTCGGTGAACCGTCCTCGTCCCGCGCACGATCAGACGAAGTTCCCCAGACCGAACTCATCAAACGAAAGTCTACCTGCGTCAGGGCAGGATTCGATCGATCGTCGGTTAAAACGCCTTAGAGAAGACGTCCTTCCTTTTTATCCCTTTCAACTCACCGTGCCTACCGATGTGCCGTTTCGTCTCGGAGGGCGTTTTGTCAACAATTGGGCAGTGAGTAATGAGGGGCCGTTTACTCCAGAGGAACAACAACTCCAGTACATGACATTCTTGACACACCACGAGGGAGACTCTTTATTGGTGGCCGTTGGGGACTGGTCTGACGGTAAGGGCACCGTCATGTCTGATCGCCCTGATCCCCAAAGTGCGGCAAGCACGCCGTCCAGCGGGTCTATCAAAAAGAAAATTAGCCTAAGTGATTACAAGAATAAGAGAAAGCCCGGGGGGTCGACTTCCCCAATCAACCGAGATCCTAGCCACCACAGCGCTGGAACAACCGTTGGCTTCGATGACAGCCAACGCGCCCCAAGGGTTGCTTCCATTGAGGACAACTTTCACCGAAAACTTAATCCCGCGTCCTCACAACCTCCTGGCCGGTCCGATTTCGAGCCTACTGAGCGCAAACGACACCCGGATTCCGGGAATGGCCGTTCAGGGTCACGCGAAAGTAGAGAATTAATCGTGACACACACGAAAAGACCAAAACTGTCGCCCGATGGCGGATTGGAACCAAATAAACCGGAGCGGTCTAAGGCAAGCGAACTCCCAGTTCTTCTGTCACCAACTCTACCACCAACTACGGATAGTCCTAGGCTACCTCGACTTTTGTCGCCCACCCTCCCGCCAGACATCGAGAAGGAACTCGCCAAGTTAGAAGAGGATCCTTGTTTCCTTAATCCCTCCCAGATAAAACATGCCACCAATCCCGATTTAGTGAAGGTCCATTTCAACAAAGACAAGAGCTTTGATGACCGCGACAAGCATTTGGATTCAACCCTCGCCTCTGGTCGACGGGGAACGAACAGTAGAAGCTCATTGTCGATTCTGATCTCTGACACAAGCGATATCCCAAAGGCGAGCCCAAGCTCCCAGGCAAATGGCAAATCAAATTCTCTCGATGTGTCCGTGAACCCACATTTAATTGTGAAACTAAGATACGGCAGATCGAATAGAAAGCGCGTCGAAGCTCTTCTCAGGTTCTCTGGTAAAAGAAAACATGCTTCAATGAATTCCCCTACGAAAGGAACCGGCGACTCCGATCTTCCCCAAGCCACGAAATTTGAACAAACTGCCGCAAAAATACCCGCATTGGAACGCGGAGAAGGTAAAACAAAACCTGTCGCGAGTATGCAAGGGAATATCCTCTCAGGAGACACGCCCGGGGAAACAAAACTGCACCTTCCAGGAAAATCCCAAGGCGCTACTTTGCCCGCCTCAAACCCACACCAGCAGGAAAGGACCAAAAAGGCTTCACGAACCCCCGGGAAAGAAGTCAAAGAGGCAAGTGTTCGGTCAGATATGACCGGCGTCGAGGATATAACCCAAGCCGACCCCGTTACGGCAGCGAAACTGTCACCTCGAAATGGTGACCGTCGAGCCTGGAGGGATGAGTACCAGAAATATGGCAATCTAGGACGGGAGCTCAAGCACGCGGCAGAGCGACATACAGCGAAAGACAACGCGACCGCGGTCGATGAGAAGCTGGCGGTAGCAACTGCAATAGAAGCAATTCTCTGCTTCATCCTGGCGTTCGTGGCAGATGATCAATCCAAAATCCTACCTGGTCAGGTCGGAGATTCGTCGTCCTGGCTATCAATCCTCGCATACTGGCGTGTCGTCAGGAAGAACAGTACGTCGTACAGACGTCTTTACAGCCTTTGTTCAATTCTTGGCGCTGTTTCTTACGATGCTATTCATTCTCTTGATTTGGAACGTCTTGCCGTCACTCCACTGCCAGGAGAGTATGCGATTGCGCCGACTCCGAGTACTGATGAGAACAATGCTATCAAGAGCGAGAATAAGAGGAATCGAAGGGAATTCCAAGAGTTGAAAAACAGATTGCCTGAATGCTACAAAGAATCCCAACGGCTTTGGCTAGAGGGCTCGCGCGGCCTTTCCGAAGAGGTATTGACACGCGAATTTCCAAACACCTGGTCCCAGCGGTCAAAAAACTTCTCGGAGCAAGGCAGACAACGTCTCAAGGTTGGTGACTATTCTGGCGAGTACTTTCTGCCCCTTGGAAGAACGAATTCTCCCGTGGAGATTGTCCGATTCGGTTACGCGGTTCTGAAGGAGTGGTGTACAAACGAAGGTGTTGGATGGAATGGCCGCCTTGCCCTGTAATACGGCCATCAACTCTTTCCATTACTTTCCACTTAGATGTACATTTCCGTTGCTAGAATGTCTTGATCATGCGTCGTGCCCTGAGGTGGATCACCAAGGCACATACGTGTACTGGGATCATTCTGTCTTTGACTGGTTACATGTGATACCACGAGTTATGCGTATATGATTGTGTATAATCTTTCGGATAATTCAAGCTAAATCAAATTGCAATCCCAGCATATAAATGGGCATGTTATTTGTCCGTATCCTTCAACAAGAAAATAAATCATCTATTCATCAAATAATCGTCAAATCTCAAACACTGGCTAAAGAAGGATGAAACCGGCGCGCCACGTAGAAACCTACTGCACCATGTCGCTCGAGGGCTGAAAATTTTCATACCGGGGGAACACAGAAAACAAAGTCAATGCCCCCATCGCGCCTTCCGTTGTCATTGACACTCGAATCATGATACCATAGCACCTTAGGCTTCTACAAAGTCACGCACATGTGTGGTGCGAGGGATCGGCTCGTCGCCAAAGAGCCAGCCAGCTTCTCGGCAATACCTAGCTTCTCTGCCGTGGATTCCAACCTCACTGCCCCAGCAAATGATGGAGGCATCCACTATGTCAGCTATTATGCCTTCGACCGTGCCTAACACGCTCCAGCCGATCGTTCCTGCGATTAGGCCAACCACGTAAGCATACACGCTTCCCTTGCCTATACTACTGACAGCAGGTACGCCCAAGTTCCTGGCGGCGGATACCCAGCCCCCGAACCCAAGCGCTAAAGACATCATGAGACGAGCAGCATGTAGGATTAGCTTTGAAAGTCGGTATGGGAGAAGAGGGGCAAGCCCATCACGGGAACAGGATGACGGATGCAGTGACGGTGTGGTAATCGGTGAGGAGAGAATTTGCATTCGACTTAGACCACGAGCAGAGGCGTCAAGGGACTGAGAATGAATTGCCCCATAAGTAAGCGATAGAGGGTCTGTGAGAGCTGCTATGGGAGTAGGCACAAGGGAATAAGCGAGCAAGCTCAGAAATGAGGTGATACGGCTTGGCAAGACAATGAGAGGTAGTCGCACTAAGAGGGCAATCAGTCTAGAGAAGCAGATCGTGCCGAATAGTGTTGTGAAAGAATGAACAATGGCCGCCTGGACAACCTGCCTGGAGGTCGGAGCAGGACTTGCGAGGCGGTGGAAGTACCACTGGCTCACTGTTGCAGCCGTGACCGCACGCTGTATGCCGCCAATCACGCCCAGTGACCATATATAGACAATTATGAAATAAATTGCCAGCCACCAACTGCTAAGATTGATGATGAAAAATTTTGACTCCGAGACATGCCCACCCAAGAATACCCGGGTGAACATGAGCATCCACACCCAGGTCCAGGAAACAATGAAGGTGAGGATGCCGAGACCAAAAGCTAGCAATTCTGCGTTTGCAGCGAGTATCCGACATGCGAATTCCAGGACCCCTATTGCCTTGCCTATAGCATGGCGGCCTCGTATCACATTGTACGTCCACAGACTTCCTAGGAAGAATGGAATGAAAGACCCGAATCTCATCACCTTGTCCTGTACGCTAGTGCCATGCCAAGCACCTTTGAAGCTTGAGATAAACGGGTAGATAGAGAACGAGTACAGGATCACTGGGACGGCGAACATAATCGCGTATACTAGTTGACGAACGTAGGAACGGAGCAAAGCGAGCCAAAGCAGTGAGACAAATATCGAGACAACGGTGTAGGCCCCAAGGAGAGAAAAGGAGCCATGAACAGTTAGATAAACCGTGTCACCCCACTTTGACTTGTCCCCCGATGGGACGGAAGTGTGGAGATAAATCAGGAACGCAGTTGCGAGAAGGCAGGCCAGCGTTATCAAGAAGAGCTGGCCCCAGAAAACATCATGAGCTGGCAATCCTGCGACTTCTCTGGGAATTGACACCTGGTTGTGGTCTGAGAGGCTTTCTGGCCGTGAAGTTTCCATCCTAGACTGCTTCCTTATGCCGGCTGGTAAAAACGACGAGTCTATCCCAAAATTGCCGCCGGGGAGTTCGGACTGCTCCCTGAATCGTTGGACAGATGGTGGGTCGTCATCACCTATGTCAGAATTGGGCTTGTCGGTATCAATATCGGATCTTAAGGTGTCCTCGAGACGAACATCGAACAAGTCCTCTCTGCACTCATGGCTGGAGCCGATTTGGTTCTGTAAAGCATCTTCAGTGGAGTTTTGAAACCCGTTCCGTGCGTCATAAGTTGATGTGCCATCTCGCCATGAGCTCCTGATGCCTTTGCTCTTTCTGGGAACATTGTATCGGTGTTCATCGGAAAGGCCCATGTTATCCTCTCCTTCATCCTCTTCATCTTCATCATATTCCATCTCCGAAGAATCCTTCAGGCGACTACCACCGAACTGTCGCCTAGACCTTTGTAGAGCATAGAAGTCAGCGATCTCTCGATCACGCTCGGTCTCGTCATCTTCTTCACGGAATTCATCGGTAGCACTATAGAAAAGAGGCGCAGGTGGAGCCAGACTTCGAGATGCAAAAGGAAGGTTGGATCTCTGGGAGGAGGTTGGTTGATACGGGTCGATAGCCGTTCTTTGCAGGACCGGACGGGAAACTGGAAAGCGAGAGTTCCCCTGTTGTTGTCTGGGACGGTGGCCCTTCCGCACCTCATCAGGACGAGGCCCTATTCGCGACTGTGACTGAGCAAGAAACCGCGAGGCGTCTGCAGGAGAGTGAGCAACGTCCGCCATGGCGGTAGAAACATGAAAGCAGTCAACATGTTACTACGTAAGACACCTACATTCTGAAAACATGTTTGTCGAAAATTTCCTGGGGCTTTAGGGCCCGGTTATGGGCGAAGGGCGATGCTTCCTGGGGACTGGAGGCAGCGAGTGAAGCGGTGAGCACCTCCGAGGGCTTCAAATCAGCATCAGATAGCTAATGAATGGCCGGAGGCGGAAGTATACATGGAGGTAAGATGATTGGAATTTGCCTTTTGGGTACCGGGCAGCAGCCACAATCTGTATCCAAATATTGGTATATTTTCCCCTTTTTGCTCGCCTTCTCGAGACGTGAGGTTTGTGAGGAGGGAAGGAGACGCAAGGTGCGAGGTGCCAGGTGCAAGGTGCAAGGTGCGTCATACGGCAAGGTCATAAAGATGGATGACTCAGCTGTCTGCGGTTGTCCACCGTAGCTACCCTACGTCGACTTAACACCTCCTCATCCTCGTCCACATGGTTGTTTATCTAGCGATTTAGTTAAAGTCAGTCTATTCATCGACCTTGTCTCCACGGACAATTCCAGAATATGAGTCCACGGGCATCAATAAGCTGAAGTCAGACCTAATACCTCAGAGACTCTGTATCCATGTCACAGCCATGGGATTACATCGCTAAGCTTGTCTGCATCGGTGATTCTGGGACTGGCAAGTCTAGTGTGGGTAGCCCCAGCGATTGAGATACGTTCGTCGACTCCAGACGCTGATCCTCGCAAATCCTCTCAGTTGACGATTCGGCTATGTGAAGGGCGGTTCTCTTCATCTCACGATGTGACCATTGGAGTGGAATTCGGCTCACGCATCGTCCCGGTTGGGCCGCCTGCCTCCAGATACCTCGAGAAAGAGCGAGGCGACTGCGTTTCCAATCAAACTACTTCGTCGCCTGAGTTGGTGGCACAGGGGGGCAACCAGGAGCCCATGGTTTCTGGTCTCCCCAGCCCTCCTCGGAAGACCCAGGCAGATCAAAAACGAATGAAGCTTTCCTTGTGGGATACAGCTGGACAGGAAACATACAAATCAATCACGCGCTCTTATTTCCGCGGTGCCTCCGGTGCGCTTCTCGTCTTTGATATTACCCGACCGTCATCATTTATCTCGTGTACTCAGTGGCTCCAAGATTTACGGCAAATCGCCGAGGAAGAGATCGTTGTCATCTTAGTTGGGAACAAGAGCGATCTTTCAGGAGATGGCTCGATCCAAAACCAGCGACGTGTCACTCGACAGGAGGCGGAAGAATGGTGTCGTCAGAATAATGTTGTACGCTACGTGGAGACAAGCGCGAAATCTGGGGAAGGGGTCGAGCATGCATTCCTCGAGGTCGCTGAGCGAATACATCAAAACATCGAGGGGGGCAAGTATGACTTGAATGATCGTCGAAGCGGTGTTAAAGGCTTTGGTGCCACAGGCGGGACAAGTAATGGACCACCAAAAACCGTCACTCTAGGTCTGAATGACGCAATGCGCAGAGGCGGGAATGGTTGGACTGGAAGCTGCTGCTCTTAGGGGCAGGATATTGATGGATGCGCAGGATTGGAGGGCGTGGCTCTTTACACAGTAATAAATTTCAACACGATATCTGACGCTTGGACAATGTCATCTAACAGATCATCAGAAGTGGGCCAGTTAATTTCTATTTCAACGACATCCAATCCATCTGGAGCATATCACCACACACGGTTAGACTACAAATGAGATTGTGGGCTCGCATGTTCAATCGCAGAACAACAGGTACCAGTGGCGTTACCTGTTTGTCAGATGGGCAAGATAATATCGGACAAATATAGAGGTAAAATGGTAAGGTTGGGGCGACAACAAAACCACATTCTGAGGCTCATGAAACCTTGAATAACAAAGAGGCCTTAGTTTGCGATGCGCCATCCACTAAGCCAGTTCAGATGACCCCAATCCTGACTGGGCCCTTCGATGCCAAACACAATCACCCTGAAGTAGACAAACATCGCAACAATTATGGCGTACAAGCAGGCATATATCATCCCAGAGATTTTGCTGTCCATCTTTTGGGTGAGCCAGTCGACACAGAACCCAAAAGTAAGAATGGCGTAGTACAGAGCTGGGTAATAGTGGTGGACATAGGTGACTCGGGCCATGATAACAAAAGGCAAATAGTGGAGAACCCATCCAATGACCGGATAGAGACCGGAGTAGTGGATATGGTTGATATCCGCCTGGGTGAGTTCATTATAACCTCGTTGCCAACGCACCAGGTACCAAATGATCAAGAGCCCGAAGACCCCAAGACTGAGGGTACTGCCCCAGTAGATGAACGGATTACCAAGAAGATAGTACTTGATGGTATTGTCGTCCCAAGAACACATGCGGAGGCCGACATTGAGTATGGGCCACTGCCAAAACTTGGAGGCAAGATCATCCTGTTTATCCGGATCAGGAACCAAGGCATTGTTTGAGGTCATCATGGCGACGTTTAAATGAATAAAATCCTTCAGGAAGGGGGATTTGTAGGAGCCTGGGTCACCAGGGGGCACTGTGTAAAGTCGCGTTAAAATACGGTAAAGGTTGGAACTGGGATCGAAGTCAAACTTACGCCGCTCGTTGAAGTGAGATTCAACATTCCAGTGAGTGTAAACATCACTAGGCTTGTTTTCCTTAACACATGTTGTTTCAATCTGCTTGAAGCCCCATTGCGGTAGATTCACATTGCCGGCACGCAAATAGCAACCTAGGACAGGGTGTCGCAAGCGGAACGCGGTTGTAAGTGTCCGAATCCTGCTTCTGTCCTTTGAGGCTACATCGTCAACAACCTCGACTGCCCAATGATCCTTGTCATCGCCTATAGTTATATTGCCATAGCAAGAGACTTCATGTTGGGACTTGGTTATCGGGGCAGGAATAGCGTGGGAGTGTAGGTTTCGGCCAGTCTGTCCATGGATGAGTCGGATATGGTCGCCGTCGCCAATGAATCGTAGGGCGGAGTTAGGGTCATAATCCGCTTCATGACGGTTGGGATAGATGAACCAATCATTATTGGCATCCTTGTGGTGATAGCAGGTAACTTGCTGTTGGGCTGAACCCTCCGGATATGTCTGAACATGTGAATGGAGGAGTCCACCGCCATAGCCCATGTTCTTAAGCGTGACTCTTGAGCCAAGGGCGATCTCAAGTGGGCTGTCCTTACCAACCTCGGTGCCCTTGAGGTTCGCTTGGAACAAGGAACTCATTTGGGCGTCACCGGGCCCGCTGTTTTCCAGAATCAAGAAATGCACATAAAAGGAAAATACGTACACCAGAGCCGGGATGACGATCAGTCCAATGATGCGAGCCACAAGGTGCTTTGCAAGCACAGTCTGCCAGGGAATTAGTAGCTGACCTTGAATACAGAATGCAACCTATACTGACCTCGGGCATTCTAAGATCACCAAACTTGTTCCACAGATCCTCGATCGTGTAGAGACCCACAATCGAAGTGCAGAAAAGACCAACCCATTTCACGCTGCAGACACAGCCAATGCTTACCCCGGTCAAAGCAAGCCAGATGAACCACTCAATCGAAAAGCTGGCATGCTGTAACTTGTGGAATTTTGCCCAGCACATTGTGGTAGTAAACGTGAAGCAGAGAAGCATAGAGTCCAACAGTATAAACCTAGAGATGGTCGCATATGAATTCTCGAATAGCACCATCAAGCTGATTAGCCAAACGGTGGCCCGGCGAAATCCTAGCTCTCGAGCAGTGTAGTATGCAAGTGGCACACATACTACGCCAAAAGCAGCATTGAAAACACGCATGAATGTATAGTTAACATCTTCTGGGTATTTTTCGCCAGATTTGAACTCGAAAGATCCGTTGTAGCCGGCGAGAAGTCCTGATAGACCGACTAGCATTTTCCCCAGTGGAGGGTGGACGTCGAAATAGAACTCGCGCTTGAGATAGTGCGAGCCGAACTTGCCGAAGCTGGAGGCAGTTGTTAGAATCTGGCAAAAAGTATAGCCAAAAAGTTGTACTGGTCTTACTGCGCTTCATCCCAGGTAACAATATTCGACCGACCAATGCGATACATGCGGGTGAAGATTGACAAAGCAGTCAAGAAGAGGGGTACGATCAAAGGCTCCCAGCGATCCAACACAGAGTAGAAAGAGTCACCCTAAGGTGTAGATCCGTATATATTAGTACAGCAGGAAGTCAAGGGGCAAGGGCACACCCAAAAGGCCGTCATACATGTGATTTTGTCTCCTTATCGTCTGTTCTGGTGACATCCGACACTGGGCTCGGTCTCTCTGTGCGTGGAACATTTCGGCGCCGCAGATCAGCGGAGATTTGAGCACCAGAACTGGACGCGATCTCCGGTTCTGTCATGTTTAAAGAACGTGGTGGATATCAAACTGGCTAGGGCGGTTCCTCCGAGGACACGGGTGAGGAAATGGGAAGTAGAGATGAATTGAAGCTTTAAAAAAATACAGGGAGGAAAAGGGGAGGGGTAAAAAAAAGAAACAGAAAAAAAGGGTTGGCTTTCGAGTTAAGCTGTAGTCATATCTGGGAGTAGAACGTAGAGGTCCGTAGATAGCGAGTGTGTCCCGGTGCGGTGACAATCGGGAGATGAGTGCCTGGTTGTGACAAACAAATAACAGAGGTTTTAGAGTGTGGGGAGATAAAAGGAGAGGTAGATAGGGAAACTATATCGACCAGAAACCCCCAAGAAGAAAGAAAAAACAAATAAATGAGAATAACAATGAGGGAGAGGGGGAGAGAGAGAGTGAGAGGAAGAGAGGGGAGGGAAGAAAAATGCGATAGACGGGTTGTCGGAATGAAATGGAGAGTTGGCCTGTACCGTCAGTCGAAGGTCTCGTCCTTCTAATGCTTCTACTAGCTGCTGTAGGTAGTAGGTGCTAACAATAGTACCGTAGGCTAGTCCTAGTAGGGTACCAGAGAGTCGTGACCCGGAAACACCGGGCGCATTGTCGAAGGTTCCACTTTATCGCCGGGGCCAGATGTGGTTGGTTGGGGTCCAAATGTACTCTCCTAAGGTACCGGTGACACCAACATACACCTTACCTTACCTACCTATCCACCTAGTGCGGAGTATGTATTTCTACTTCGATCAAGAAAGAAGAGCTTTGTATCAACTGGAGATAGGGCTGCATCCGTTAGGAACAGGTGTGTGGTGTCACTTTCTTCCGCTTCAGACACCCAGGTTGACTCCATGGTCGGACAAAATTCTCAGTATACTAGGGATCAAGTCTCCCAGCCAAAAAAGCGCCAACATCATTGGATAAGCGGTACAGCCGTGCACGAGGTACTTAGCGCTCGACGGAAAGTTGTGGAAGCGTGGTAGCAATAGCCATTCCCATCTCTAAGCTCAAGCTAGCCAAAACAAAGAAGGGAAAGGAAACAACAGAATCCAATACGGCCCGGAAGCTGGGGTCAAGAAGAAGAAGAAGAAGAAGAAGAAGATATATAGAGAATGAATAAATAAGGAAATGGGAAAAAAAAACATACACGGGTCCAAAGTGAAAAGCCAGGTGACAGATTGTGTGGAAACAGGGTGGAACGAGTAGATCGAAGAAGAAAATCGCGGTGTATAATCATTGGTGAACGGGAAGATGCCATGGGTGAAGAAATTCCAGACTGCATGTCAGGGCTGGTCTTATTCATTCTAATCTTCCTCTTGCCCAAGCCTCCTATACTGGCGGTCTTGTTGCCCCGGATGCCCTGATCGCCTGTGACGCGAAACCATGTTGGAAATCCAACCAGCTATACCTTCTGATGGGCTGTGATCGCCCTCCTGAGAGCCAGGTCTGATCGACTTATTGTTATCGTCGCTGTTCATATTCGGAGGGTCAATATCCAGCCCAGGGATGGCGCTTTCTGCTCCAAGTTGACCATACTGTCGCCGGATGTCAAGAGAGGAAACAGGAGAACCTGCACCCATTAGGGACCCTCTTTCTCCTTGCGTAGCTGGTGTGGGTACTGCGGTCGTTGCGTCCCCAAAAAGTAAATTCATATCTTCCAAGCGGACGCCACTAGTTTCAGGGTATAGAAAGTAGACTATAGGAGTTAGTGAATGTACGTAGTGGACAGGCGGACGCTCTCACCGAGGACAAAACTGCAGGCACAAAAAAAGGCATGGACAAGATAGAGGCGCCACTTGATAGCATCTTGAAGAACAGGTGTAACCTCTCCAACTAGCCAGTTGAAGGCCCAATTAGAGGCCGTGCTGAGACTAGCACCCTTAGCTCGAATGCTCAGCGGTAGTATTTCCGGGGGGTATAGCCATGGTATTGGTCCCCACGAGGCACCAAAAGCGGCATTGTAAATCATGACAAATATGACTGTCAGGGTAGGGGTTGCTGCCACGTCAATATAGATGAAATATGAGATCAAAGAGAGAGAAATGATCATTGCAACTGCTCCAGAGAGTAGGATCGGTCGTCTTCCCCAGCGGTCCACAAGATACCATGGAGGAACTGTGGATGCAAGGTAAGAGATTGCATTAATCCCTGTCATCAGAATGGCGTCGCGGCCTGCCCACCCTGCCGATTCAAACACAAGCGGCGCGTAATATGAAATGACATTGATGCCGTTCAGCTGGGCCAAGGCCTGGGCTGACATTGCTATCAATACTCGCTTGCGGTACCTTCTGAACATATCAGTGTAGGATCTTTCACCCTCCTGCCGCTGAAGAAGCACGTTCATTTTGATCTCTCTATACTCTTGTCTAGCCTTGTCATTATGCAGGTCTCCTTTTCCATAGAGGTTAGCTATAACCATCATGCCTTCCTCATCGTAGTCGTTGTCCAGTAGCCATCTGGATCAGAAGTAAGCCACGTGCCATGATCACCCAATTTTCAAAGGTCGCACTGGAGGGATAATTGTTGCATACCTCGGCGATTCACATATTATTAGGCTTCCTACACCAAGTAGGGCGCCCATGATGCACTGGCATAGTAGTGGAAGACGCCATGAGTAGTCGCTGTCGATAAAACTACAAAAGTAGTCAACCCAGACACTGGCGGCGTAACCGGAAATATTGCCGGTGAACTCAATACACGCCAGCTTCCCTCGATTATGGGGCGGCTGTTGTACTATGATTAGCCTGGAACGCTTCTCAGAAACCAAAACTAAACTCCGAAAGTGAAAATACCGAGATCTCAGATTGATAGACTGGAACTATTGTGGACAATGCTCCGACTCCCAGACCGGCAATGATACGGCCGACCATCATCATGGACAAGTCCGTCGCGAAAGCCTGCAGTGCCCCACCTATAAAAAAGACTATAGAACCATAGAGAATGGTCCTACGACGACCTATCAAATCGCCAATTCGTCCGACTAGTAGAGAGGAAATGAAGGCCCCAACTTCCAATATGGCGACCACAGTGCCGATTGCAGCTTTCGAGGGTTGATCGAAGTAGTCATTGAAATAAGCACCCCTGTCTCAACATCAGTATAGGGTCTACCAAACACCCATGGTAATCGTGGAAAGAACCGACGTTATAATCCCGGACATAACTCCCTGGTCGTAACCGAAGAGGAAAACTCCCAACGATACGAAGACACTTGTGAAATATCTGTCAATTGTAAGCGAATGTTACGGTCAATGAGGACAAGGCGCAGATGGTCTTACAGCAACGGCTTTCCGACCAAGCCATGCACTTGGGCCGTCTGCCGACTGTTTGGGGACATGATGACAGCTAGTATGCGCTCGACCCTGGAGATGCGCCGGGGTGGCGGGCGAGGGATTTCGATCGATGTTTTTGCGAATTCGGCACCGTTTGTGGTGGTCTGGTGCAGGTGGTGTGCACGTTTTCGCTGATTCACTCGCACACTTGAGCCCGCTCTCTCGGGTGCCTCGCGATCCAGAGACCTTCTACGATGGGCCTGAAGGGGGTGGTCTTCGGCATCAGCAAGCTGTTCAGCCAGGTCCCCGGTTTCGGTCCAGTTAGAGAACTCGGATTTTATGGAGGGAGAAAGCGAGGAGCGTCGGCTGCCTTTCTCACTGGCAGATTCCAATACCCTGGCGGAGTTTCCGGAAGATGGCGAGGGTTGGGGTTGTAAAGACTGCAACGGGATATTTGACGAAGAGCGAGGTGAGGGCGTTGGTAGAGGAATGTTGGCGGTTGTGGTGGGCCAGAAAGCAGCCCTTCTTCCCCTTCCTGTTGTCTTTGGGATCCAATACCTACCTCCGGCGGTCAGAAGGCGATTCAGCCCAGGTTATAGCCAATCGGTGCAGGATCCTCGCGGGCCCCCTTGGAAAAAGTCAACTAATATCAAGACCGGGGAAACGATATGATCAGAAGGGTGACTTTGGACCAAGGCCGAATGGTAGGTCAAAGCAGAAATCGAAGATGTCAAGGACCAATCTAGGAAGCTACCAGAGTAGAAAGCGGTGATGGCAATGGCGTTTGGAAACCCGCTCACAAGACAGGTGGTTGATCCACTACGCCAGATGACAGAACCGAAGGGAGGAAGGGCGGTCAGGTGGGAGGTCGCCCTAGTCAGAAGGCGGGTTAGGCGGCTGCGCAAAGCATTGGCAGATGACCGAGGGAGATGTGTCTCCCGCTCCTTGGGTGATGACTGATGAATATACGTACTCCGTGCCTTGGCTAGAGTAGTAGTCCAATGTACTAGTAGTCTAGTACAGTAGTAGCTCCATAGTCCATACTACCTACTTGTACTCCGTATGACGGGAGTCCCCGCAGTCCACTTTGGTTGTGGGGTAGAGACGACTTACAGATACCGGCTACGTAGTTGTTTATGTATGTAGGTACACTACACGGAGTAGATAGTTTGTACACAAGGTAAACAATCCGGCAATGTATCCTACCTGGCAACTCTGTGTACGAACTACAGGTAATGTGGGTAATATGGACTTATCAAAGTCTCCAATCGGCATTAATTCTAAACCAAAGGCGGAGGACAACAACACCTATGACAACAGAAGATCGTACCCGTCCTTGCGAATGTATACAGCTTCTGCCATATTAGCATATTTACGGCGAACCAGTTCAAATATCACCAGACCGGCACTGGTACTGGGAACTTGGCGGAGGGCATTTTTCGCGAAGTCGCGGAATAGCCAACGCCGCCAGCTTCCCGATCGCGCGGCCTTCCTTTGGCATCGTTTGTACGTCTCCCGGTAAGCGAAGTAGTAGAGACGCAACATCTGCCTTTTCGAAGGATATAGACTCGCCTGGCGATCAAGGTACTCCAGCCGCGCGACGTGTATGTTTTGTATGAGGCTAAGTGGATGCTGTATTGCTTGCTGGGCAATGGAGGCTGCAACCCCTGCAAGCATCAGAAAGCATGGCTCTAAGGTGTAATGAGGTTTGATAAGTGGCACACCACGGTCGCTGGTTTTTGCAGTATTCTTGTCATCGGCGTGACGAATATGATAATGTCCATAATATCCGGTGGCAAATGAATAATATGCCTGAGATTTGATGTACTCAAAAGATGAGAAAAAGACGCCATATCCAAAGGCATCGCGCAGGAACGACAAGGTTAAACCCGCAAAGATACCACGGACACCAATTTGTTTCAATTTGTGCCAGCCATAGTGCCACATACTCCGGTACTGGCCCCCGAGTATATCATGTGCTCGAAGACGAACTTGAAGGGCGTCCAAAGGTGCGGCAACTATGGATTGGGCTGCCCCTGCTACGAAACCAGCCGTGAATGTATAAAGGGGATGGGCAGGGGGGTATGTTCGTTTGACTCCCTGTGCCACAGGTTCATATAGGGCCCCAAGAACCTGAAGGTACGAGGTATATAGCACGGCCCCAATTCTACCTCAGATGATGTCAGACGATACGTTCTGCGACCTCGAACAAGGGAAAGGCAGCTTGCTCACTCACCCGGCATTTGCTAATAGAGGGGGCATGATCTGATTTGGGATGAATCGCCAACCATAGGTCCGAACAGCATGGACAATTAACCCAGGAGAGGTATTATGCAGTGACCATCGCTTCTCGGACACATGAGGATTGACAGCCCTAGCAAATGCCTGTAGTAAGAAAGGTAAATAGATGTAGAGAGCATTAGTGAATGGCAACAATGGCTAGAACAAACCCGTTGTCCAATTGAGAGAGATTTATGAAGAGGAATTCGGGCCAAGTACCATGTAGCTGAAGGGACGAACATCAGCTTCTTAACTTCAGGTCCATAAGGGGAGTGGGGAAGGTACATACTCAACTCTAGTACGGAAGAAAGCTTTCACAGGGGTGCGAAAATAAAAGGCAACAAATTGTGCGCTGAGAGCACGAACTCCAGCAGCAGATGCCCCAGTAGCAGCGTTGCTTCGAGGATTCCTCTGGGAGTTCGCAGCAGAATCGAAAGTCTGATCTATTGTACCCGCATCATCTGAACGGAAATTCTCTATAGAGACCATGTTGCCAAAAACGCGTCCACCATCAGGAAGTTTCGAAACAAGATGTTGCCATATGGATAAGCTGGGGGCGATGTCCAAGTAGAATGTATTGGCCTTGATACTAAGGTATATCAGTTGGGCCGGTGGGGGAGGGGTGTGGTTCAGGGTTAAAGAACAGAAAAACTGAATGTTTTCAGACCGAAGTAGCTGGCGGTCGACCTTGGATTGTTCGATAAGATAAGAGTTTAAGTACGGTGTAGGTACCTTAGTGCGGAAATTTAGGTACCTGTACCTTAGGTGGGGTACTGTAGATACAGTGTGTGTAAAGTATTGTACATACATACATGGACCTATGTTACCTAGTATGTATGGTGCATAATGACGCCTGCATCTAAGGTACATACCTAGGTAGTTGACCGGTATTTAACACGCGTAACATACATATAGTACTGTACCTTACCTGGTCACTGTAACTAACTAGGTGCACCGTATTTAACTAGTTATACACTAGTGGATGACAAAATTATGCACAATAATGCTAGCTACTAGTGAACCTTGGGTTGAGCAAACAGCCCAAACTTTGCCGATGCGCCGAGAAGACCCTGACCAGAACGCGTAGCGCGTTTGTCCAAGATTGTCCCAGGGATGACTAGACTTTGAGTGTATCTTGCCTCTGATGTCTCCATGAACCAAACGCCATAAACCGTCCAGAACCACTTTGGAAGGTCACACTATCATAGTTGTCTTATCTTATCCTTGCTTTGTTACCAACCTCGAGAAACCTAGTCCGCCTTGAAGTCCTAGCTTGCAAGCATTACCAAGGGCTGATTTCATAGCCAGCTTCACAATGGCGGATGAAATTGTTATTGACAAGTCCACCTTCTTTAGCCGGCTATCAAGTTTCTATACAGCATGGAAGGCAGACAGGCGCTCGGGGAATACTATATTCGGTGGTGCGGGTTCAATCATCATCTTGATGGGGAAAACGGATGAGGCCAACAGCTTTCAAAAAAACAATGCCATGCACGTGCGTATCTTGAGTTTGATGGACGCCTCCGTTGTGATCATTTCTAACACGCGTGCTCAGTTTTGGCTACTCGGCTATGAATTCCCCGCGACGCTTTTGGTGTTCACAACTGAAGTCATGTACGTTGTGACCACTGCAAAAAAAGGTAAACCACAGCTCTCAAACACAGGCGTGTGATTCGCCATGCTAACGTTTCCGATATAGCAAAGCATCTTGAGCCTTTGAAGGGCGGCAAAATCCCGGTCGAGATCCTACTTACTTCCAAAGATTTAGAAGAGAAAACAAAATCTTTTGAGAAGTGTCTTGAAGCCATCAAGTCCTCTGGTGTGAGTGTCATGAATTTTCAATCATCGCCTTGATGTACACTTTTACATGTGTGTCGACTAAACTATGACAATGAAAACAGAAAAAGGTTGGCGTGCTGCCCAAAGACACAACCACTGGCCCGTTCGCAGAAGATTGGAAGCGTGCTTTCGCAAATATAACACAAGATGTCGAAGAGGTTGACATCTCGCCTGCACTCTCCGCGGCGGCCTTCTCCGTGAAGGACACAGATGAACTTGTGAGTTTTTTTTTTTTTTTTTTTTTTTTTCATAATACCTCTAAACAGCGCAATCTAATGCTTTCGGAGGTGTCGATCAGGAATGCGTCCAGAGCGTGCAGTGGCATAATGTCAGATTACTTCGTCGATGAGATGTCCCGCCTACTTGATGAAGAAAAGCAAATGACGCATAAGGCCCTATCGGCGCGTCTTGATGCAAAAATTGACGACAGCAAATTCTTCAATAAGCTTGCGAAGCTACCAGCCGAATTTGATTCCCAGCAGATTGATTGGGCTTACGGACCTGTCGTTCAGAGTGGTGGGAAATACGACCTCAGGCTAACAGCTTTGCCTGATAACTACAACCTTCGACCAGGGATCATCATTGCAGGCTTTGGGATTCGCTACAAAATATACAGCTCAATTATTGCACGTACCTATCTAGTCGACCCGACCAAATCCCAGGAAGCCAATTATGCCCTGTTATTGAATATTCACGAAACGATCTTGAAGGATGTTCGTGACGGAATAGTGGCCAAGGATCTGTTCAACAAAGCACTTGGTCTAATACGCACGAAGAAGCCCGATCTTGAATCCCACTTCGTTAAGAGTGTTGGCGCCGGCATAGGCATTGAACTTCGGGATGCAAACATGGTACTGAATGGGAAGAACAGCCGGGTGTTGAAAAGTGGCATGACTCTTTCTATCTCGGTTGGACTTACTGATGTAAAAGAACCTGACGCGAAGGATGAGTCTAACTCCTTGTACTCGATGGTTATCACCGAGACTGTGCGTGTGGGGGAAAACGGACCACACGTGTTCACCAAAGACGCTGGTATCGACATGGACTCGGTTTCATTCTACTTTGGGGATGAAGAGGATAACCAAAAGCCAGTCAAGGAGAAAAAGGAAGTCAAATCCAGCTCAATTGCCAGCAGGAACGTCACGCGTACAAAGCTTCGTGCAGAACGGCCCACCCAAGTCAACGAGGGCGCAGAAGCTCGCCGTCGCGAACATCAGAAAGAGCTGGCCTCCAAAAAAACCAAGGAAGGCCTTGATAGGTTTACTGGTACCACAGGAGATGACAACGGAGTGACCCAAAAGAAGTTCAAACGTTTTGAATCCTACAAGAGGGACAATCAACTTCCCGCTAAGATCAAAGATTTGATTGTTTACGTTGACCAAAAAGCGTCCACAGTGATCGTTCCAATAATGGGTCGTCCGGTACCGTTCCACATCAACACCATAAAGAACGCCAGCAAAAGTGATGAGGGTGAATATGCGTATCTCAGGATCAACTTTCTTTCTCCTGGTCAGGGTGTTGGTAGGAAGGACGACCAGCCATTCGAGGATCTCTCGGCCCATTTCCTACGAAACTTGACACTTCGGTCCAAGGATAATAATCGGCTGGCCCAAATTGCCCAAGATATTACTGAGTTGAGAAAGAACGCTCTGAGACGTGAGCAAGAGAAGAAGGAGATGGAAGATGTGGTAGAGCAAGATAAGCTCATCGAGATACGAAGTACGTCCAGTTGCTTACCTGCGCCGTTTACCAACGCTAATCTTCTTGAATAGATCGCCGGCCAGTGAAGCTGCCCGATGTCTACCTTCGACCCCCACTCGATGGAAAGCGAGTTCCCGGTGAAGTCGAGATTCACCAGAACGGTCTTCGTTACATGTCCCCTTTCCGCAATGAACATGTGGATGTGCTTTTCAGCAACGTGAAACATTTGTTTTTTCAACCTTGCGCCCATGAATTGATCGTGCTAATCCATGTTCACCTGAAAACGCCCATCATGATCGGCAAGAGAAAGACCAGGGACGTTCAATTCTATCGGGAGGCAACTGAAATGCAATTTGACGAAACTGGCAACCGCAGGCGCAAGCACCGTTATGGGGACGAAGAAGAGTTTGAGGCCGAACAAGAAGAGCGACGACGAAGGGCGGCTCTGGATCGCGAATTCAAGGCTTTCGCTGAAAAGGTGGCTGATGCCGGAAAGGACGAAGGCGTCGACGTCGATATTCCTTTCAGGGAAATTGGATTCACCGGAGTTCCGAATCGTTCAAACGTATTGATTCAGCCAACTACAGACGCTCTCGTCCAGCTGACAGAACCCCCATTCCTTGTGATCACGTTGAATGAAATTGAAATCGCCCATTTGGAAAGAGTTCAGGTACCGTTTGATTCCAACGGATGTGAAATCTGCATTATGCTGACCTATGTCTAGTTCGGGCTTAAAAACTTCGACTTGGTTTTCGTGCTAAAGGATTTCCAGAGGCCCCCTGTGCACATTAACACCATTCCCGTAGAATCTTTGGAAGGCGTCAAAGACTGGTTGGACTCGGTCGATATTGCCTTTACGGAGGGACCGTTGAACCTCAATTGGACGACAATCATGAAAACGGTCGTGAGCGATCCGTATGGCTTCTTTGCCGACGGTGGATGGTCATTCCTGGCGGCGGAATCTGATTCTGAAGGCGGCTCGGAGGAAGAGGAAGAATCGGCATTTGAACTGTCCGAGTCGGAACTGGCTGCTGCGGATGAAAGCTCTGAAGAAGAAAGCGAATTTGACGATGATGCCAGTGCGGATGCAAGTGATGATTTCAGTGCAGACGAAGAGAGTGGGGAGGACTGGGATGAATTGGAGGTCAAGGCAAAGAAGAAAGACAAGGAAAGTGGATTGGATGATGAGGAACGGAGCAAAAAGCGGAAGCGGTAATCAATTTGGTCACTCAGCGTGGGACTCGTATCTTGAACAAGAACGAAAAGAGGGAAAAAGGGAGAATCTTTTTGTTGACTGCGGTTAATGTGTTCCAACTCTGTATGAAGCTTTAGGTCTAGCAATCACTTTTTAGCTAGAAATCGAGAAGTAGTCATGCCATGTTCCAACCTAAATACATCGATATATCAAGGCCAGGTCTCGACAGTAAAACACGGATCCTGGCTTGTAAGTCTCGATTGTGATCAAAGCAAAGTGGTAGATTTGCTTCTTAGCGTGCAAGGTGGTTGTCATTGGGGATGCATGCAGATTTGGGCTCTCAATAGCCTCGTTTGTTATTTTCGAGGCAGACTCTGGAGGCACAGTGTCCATCTACCTATAATGGTTGCAACCAGCATTAACTAAGACAACAGGTAGCATTTCATCAATATCAACGGCTATTAGCCCTAAGTACGGTACAACATAAAGAATTTCAGGAACCGAACCGCAGCGAGAATCAACGTGGACTCCCGACTCTCTATCTCACTTTCCTTGCCTCAGCGAAAACCACATGTTTCTCATCCTGGTTACTTGGTTTGGAGTGAAAGATTCGTAGCATTCATCGGACGAATAATCCATAAAGTTATGTATCGGATCGACTCCTGGCCGGTCGGGACAAGAATCTTTGTAAGAGGGACACCCATCCGTAGGCCTAGACTCTTGAGGCGTGTCTTTAATATAGTCTCCATCATCGTCGGGGGAGCACGATTCGCCTTCGAATGTATGCAAGAGGCCGTTCCAATGACCTACTTCATGGATTGCAGTCCCGCCTCGATTGTAATCGGCCAGAAGACCACCCGGCATAGTTTGAGCAAGTATATTGCAACCATCCTTGATGTAGCTGGTGCGAGGGCTGCTGCCGTTGATACTGGGATCAGGTAGGGTGCAAAAGCCAAGAACATTGGAAGACATTTCACCTGAGCTGAGCATTTGGCGGCCATTGACCCCCGGCTCATGTCGAGTCGCCGCGATTGGTGAATCCTGAAGATCGCCGTGGAAGTAAATGTTGAGGGTGCTATAGGTTCCTTCACGAAGTGCATTCTTCATCCCAATTTCATCGCCGTTGCGCGACCATGTTGCATTGACTTGGCGCGTGATACCCTCCAGTCGATAGGTGATCGATGCATTTTGGTAGGCGTTCTGTAGATAAGATAACTGCGGAACAATCAGTTGAATTCCAGAGGCTGAAATAGTTACATATGATCAAAAACGGCCCTGAACCGCTGGGTTGGGGACAGACATACCTGAGTAAGAATCATCTCATCCGACACCATTTCAGCATCATCTTCACTACTCAGCAAGATATGGAACCAAGTAGCTATTTCAATTGGCCTAACGACCTCACGGCTCTCATAATTAACCGCAAGGTCACCCTGGGATTCCAGTGTATTTAACCTTTCATGTTCAGCCCTCAACGGCTCCTCGGGGGGGCCAGTGCCACAGAAACCGCGCGCTTGAGAACCGAGAGCTCTGCATTGGATTGGAAGACCGGTTATGCCAAGTATAACGAAGAGTAGATATCTAGAAATCTGGAGCATTGTGGTAATGATCCTAAAGATAGAGCCTTGAATCCAAGGCTGGCCAGATAGAGAAAGAAGGATTTCATAGCGACTTCTGGGCAAAATTTAAGAGAGACATGGCTAGTTGCATGGCAACAAGAAATTGAAACCTAAGAATGTTGGGATACGGCAGGATTGCTGCAGCAAGGGATGCATGTAGCAGGGAAACTGGTTCAAGGGGGTGTTCGGTTCAAAACAAGAAAAAGAGGAAGGAACACCAGCAAACATGCCCCAGTGTTTCATCATGGCGATTGGCGTTATTCAAATCAGACACCAAGGAAGCCTGCCAAGGGACGTGAAATCATATCCGCATTCCCAAGTCTCTTGGAGTGGTCATGGGTATGGCAAGCGACTAGTACGGAGTATTGGACCGGACTTGAAATGTTGGACTCACAGCATTCTGGTTCATAAATTGTCCTGGAAAGTAATACTTGTGATACGACGGTCTTTTATTCAAGTAGCATGCGCCCCAAACCTACTATCCCTTCCAGTTGCGACTGCCGCGCTACCCTCTTGCTCACCATTCCATGTCAGATACGTGTGATCTCCCAGTTTCCTAGTAGAGAGGTTAGATGACACATATTCAGTAAATGTGCTAGAACGTCCGAAGGCTACTAACCGAGGTCTTATCAAATGTGCAACAGTGAAAAGAGCACCTAACAAGACACAGACGCCGCCGACGACGACATACGCAATCCCCATAAACGGATTTTGTCCACCCATCACAGTCCTTGTAGAGATGAGGATTGACTTTGTGCCTCCATATTCAGTGACTGGAAAACCTGCATAAAGTCAGTCAATGTCTAGAGAAAAAAAAACCCTTACTTTTGAGGGCATACGGTGCGCAATGTCCAATTGATATGTGCCCTTTGTCATTGACGTAGTGTCGTTTCTTCGGGCCAACTTGCTGAATGTTGGAAGGGCCGCAGTCCTCATCCAGACCATGAATTCCTCGTCCTCGTGAAGGTCGGGGATTCCATTCTCGTAATTATCTGGATATCGGTCATGCCAGTTCGGAGGGGGAACGACTTGTCCTGGTTTATACTGCGTCTTCTTGATGAGTTCTTTGTCACTGTCCCATGCTATTCCTTTGTTTGTCATAACGTATGTTTCAGCCTTCACGCCGGAACTTAGAAGTTTTGGGCTGTTTATAGTGTCGTTGAATTGTGAGTTTGCTATGAGTCCACATGGATAATATGCTTTACCAGATGGATCAAGCTTTAGAGGGTCGCATGACCCACCATCCAGGGTCTTGTTGTCAACAGCTTTACCCTTCAATTGGTCGACATCCAATGATTTGACATATCTCCGATGGTTCTGATAAAAGTTTGTGAGTCGGTAATACATGAAAACAGGCGGTTTCATCGTATCGGGGATGTCGAAAATGAGCCGGCAGATAGTGGCATTGCCTTCGTCAAGGCGTTGCCACGTCGGAGCAGACTGGCCAGATGATTTGAATGATAAGCTGACTTTATTTGGAATCTCTTGGGAGTGGTTCCTCGGTGCTTTTTCCGCGCATTCAGAGTAATCTATGGTTATCTCTTGTACCTATGATGATGGTAAGCAACAGAAGGGTCCGCGTCGACAAGGCAACAACTTACTTGAGAACTCGCCCATAATAGAAGACCACCTATGGGGGCAAATATGATACCGACAACGAAAAAAAGGGGCAATACACTCTTCGGTGTTAAGATTGGTCTGTTTGTGGTAAGCAAGTGCAAAGGCAATGATGGGAATTAAGCTCACTGCCAGGCTTTCAGACGTTGTTGCCGGAAAGCGGTATCTAGAACTTTACATGAGTATAGCCCAAAATGGTGAGAAGAATACACTGACTCGCTGGTCGTTTATTCCTGGGTTTCTTGTCGCTATCACCATCGCCCCTACGCTCCTCCAGAGACTCTGTTTGATCCACCTCGGTATGGGACATGCTTAGCCAGGTACCAGCGCAGTCGGCCTAGAGTAGGCGGATAGCAACGTATGGTGAGATAGGAAGGAGATTCCAATAGTATGCAGGTGAAATGCTTGTAATGTCGCGGCCAACAGCAGAGAAACCTATTCCACGGCAACAGTCGGCATGATAGTGGCGAATTCGACGAAAGTACGTACCCTGTCAGCAGCTTACGAGCGCCCCGGCAGAGTGGATTCCCTTTGTGCCACCGCCTTCTGCGGCTCCGTCTAGTTGAATACAACGGAGCCGTGCTAAAATCCAGGCGTTACTTTAAATGCTTAGGTACCCAGGAGGTATGTACAGTACCTTACTGCAAGGTAGGTATGGTAAGATAGATAAGGTAACTAACCCAAGATATGTACGTACCTTACAGTATCTATGTAATATGGTACTGTATTGTACCGACGATAGTCTGTCACTTACACATACCTAGGTAGGTAACTAGTTATGCATACATACAGTAATACACACATATTACGGAGTAGATAGCATTTAATTCCTGCTTCCAAATAAGGCTGCCTAAGTGTGCCTGGGAGATCTAACCTAGGTCTGCTGTCCTTTCGACCAACAGAACAGACATAGTGCACAGAAAACCCACCTAGTGCCTGTCGCGACACCATTGACTACCTACTTCTTCGGGCTTATCCTTGCGCGTTGAGCACACCAGCTGCCCGTGCATGAGTGAAGAGGTGGAATATATCATCTTTAATAGGGGACGCAATATTTCCCAGCCTCTCTACCGGCTTCGTAACATGAGAATACCAGGATGAAGTCTATTTCTATTATGTAGCACGACTGAACCGAGCGGATTTCCGGATGACCTGTCATTCAATACGTCTGGAGCAAAATCCTGTGGCAAGCCAAATCTCAATCTAAAAAAAAAAAAAAAAAAATGAATCCATAACAATGCAGAAGCAGCCATTGAGCGAAAACAAAATATAGTTGGGGAAACAACATCATCCAAGGGTGGCACCACCTGGGTAGTGAACATGATAAAGGGCCAGGCGAATAATCGAAGGGGCTGTCGTAACGTGAACACAGACCAGCTATGTCCAGTGACATTCAATAAAACATGACATCATGAGGTTCAACGCCAGCGTAGGAACGCCGTGCGAGCGGAGGGATAAAAGCCAATCAATGGCTTAATACTGATGCACAAGATTGCTAAGTCGAATTCTCGCATTATCTTGTAGATTGCACCATCAAGGCAGTTTGGTAGGCGATGTAGAGCTTCACCGCATGTACTGTTGAAAGTGTTCAGGTCTAAACCAACCCACACGGTCATATGCAGTCCAGAGTTTGCTTGCTTTGTTAACGTCAATTTTGCAGGCTTGCTGAGCATCTGTCTTGCGAAATTCCTTGCCCACATTCAGAGCCCTAACACGAGCTTCAAATATCCGCCGCTTGCTGCATAGATACGTGGCGCATGAAAGCCTGAGAGTGGCCGCAAGATTGAATTCAGCGGGACTCAGCAATTGTCGATCTGGGTCATGAGTGAGATCTAGCATTTGCCCTTTCCAGTCGGCCTTCAAAGCCTTCGCATTGCTGCCGAGGGTTTCTAATGGGGGGGAATAATCATCGATCGCACCATAATCTGTGTCATCCCGGTTTGTGCCTATCGCACGGGGTGGTCTGTTATTCGAGGGGGACGTGTCAAACGAATCAAGAACCTTCTGTTTGGGTGTGGATTTTGGTGTACGCTTGACCCTAGGAGTCCTTTGCACGCGATGTTGGGATGTGACTGCCTTCTTAACAGGAGCAGGCGCGATTTTCTTTAACCTTGCCTCCAACCTCTGAGGGGAACATCGATTCATCATGATCAATTGACGCTCTAGGGTTTCCCGCTCCTCCTTAGCCCATGCTACCGGGTTGCGGTTAAATTGAGCCGAAACAATCGGAACACACGAGAGAGCTAGGAGATACTCATCGCGCGTCGGTTTGTTCAGCTTATTCTCAAACCTTGCCATGTGAGAATTGATATGTTGCTCGACGAGCGCCTCTGCCGCGGGCGGGAATACAGGCCCGAACAATGGCTCATCGGAGGCAACGTCAGCAATGGACTCTTGTCGAGGGAACAGGACAGGGTCTCGAGCGATCCCAGTAGCAGCATCTTGCTCGATAATTTCCGATGTGCTTGATTTTCTCTTCTTGTTCCCAGTGTAGGGCGTAACAGGTGGCGATGGAAGATCCATTTCTGACTGTGTTCGTTTGCGGTCAACGAATATAGGAGGAAGCTTCATGTCATGACCGAATTGTGGATCCTGTGATAATGCATGAGGCGAGAATGGAGGGTTAAAGCTATCCAGAGGCTTCGACTCCGGAGGGGACATTAGACTGGAGACAGAAGGCAACCGATTCATTTTGGTCCCTTTACTGTGATCAGGTAGTGAGGCAGCGGTAAGTGAGGTCATGCCCGGTGGGGAAACGACAGCTGGGAGATCAGATGAGACGAGGGCACAGAGAGAATAGGATAGTGATATGAAAAGGTTAAGGCAAGCAAGTTCCGCCGTTACTTCTCTGATGGGGGATTAATAGTGACCAGCAATAAAGTGACGAACACTGGGTACGTTTATGGAAGTCAATGGAAGAGGGAACATGACAAAAACACACGTGAAGATGATTGAAAGTGATTTGTCAGGGCCGCCTCTTTGTCTATGGTGGCAATAGGCAAGGTTTGAATTGACAAGCGGTACTATGACCCTCAACAATCAGATGAGTGCCGGGAGGGAGGTCAGTATTAGAGCAAAGCAATCACCCTGTTTTGTTCCGACGCTGGCTGGCATTAAGCGCTTGTGGAAGAGTGTCATATGTTAGGTATGGGACACAGGTTGGATGCTTGTTCTAAAGAGGTTAAAATAGTCAATGCCGCAGCGCCCCCCCTGGGAAACTACAAATGAGGGCTGCTGATCAAACGATGAGTCAATGCGCCACCAATGACTGGCCAGGGATGATGTAGATTGATGTTCACAAGACTGCGGGGTGGCGCGTGGCAGTAGAGGGGTGGTAAGTACCAGTGGGAGATCGATGGCAGTGTGCGACTAGGTACAGGTCATTAGGAACGCCTGCCATGGGACCAATTGCGGGAAGGCCTTATCACCGAGGTATTTGGAGACGAATCCTAACAATCACTGCAATTTCCGGGAGGTCAGATGGGGTAACTACCTGGTGTAGCTACAGACTAAACGGTAGTGTACCTACGGGTACCAACCACATGACTGCCACCAAGAGCGGGGTCGTGACTCGGAGAGTTTGGTATCTGGTGGGCAACCAACCCACAGCCCAGGCACTGCCTTCCTGGCCACCAGGCTACCACCGATCCTGGGTAAAGGGACACGTTAGGCTGAAAGATACCTATCAGGGGGGTACGTCAGTATCTGCCTTACTCGACCAAAGTCGGGCGGTAGGGTAGATGACAGAACGCCACGTTCATTACATCACCGATGGTGGATGAATCATTCTTCAGCCCCGCCCCATTGTCTGGACTCTCCTCGCCCTAAAAATGGCAACATGATTAACTGTCCACGTGATGCGCAATATGCTTGGACCCTTGCTCCGTCGCCCCACATACTCAGTAGGTAAACTCCGTACCCAGAGATAACTGTATCCTCCAAGGAATGTCTTTACAGGAGAAAGGCATTGAACCTCCGTGGTATATAACCCAAGTCGGTTGATGTCAGGTAGTTTAACAAAGAAAGATACCTTTCTTTCCTAAGAAGAATAAAGTGAGAGCCCATCTTGGAACAACAGCTGCAGGATTCGACCGCGCACTTGAATATATGATAAGGGTTTCTTACAGTAGTGGAAGGACATGTAGAAACAAAGAGAGTGATGTATGCAGGCGTGTGCCTTATCCACTTGCCCAAACTGTCAGACTGATTACCTCCTAGTTTCTTTGTTCGTTACTATAAGTCTATAACCATAACGTAAACCACAAGCGAGCCGCGAATCTGAGCGAGCCGCGAATTTGTATTCCCATACAAAATGGCACTTTTTCAGCTTGGAATATCTCAGCCATTTTTATATCGCATAAAATATTATTAAAAACTAGGATTATATGAAACTACTTAATGATAATATACTATATTTTAATCTATTCTGTAGACTAATTATCCAGGTATTATAAATTACACTGTATTATAAATCTGCCTATGTATTTGAGACTCCCATAGGTTTATCTGTTATATAAAAAAAGTATTATACTACTTACCTATATAATACTTCAGGTCTTCAATATATTTTATTAAGATAGAGGTATGGCTGAGATATTCCAAGTTGAAAAAGTGCCATTTTGTATGGGAATACAAATTCGCGGCTCGCTCAGATTCGCGGCTCGCTTGTGGTTTACGTTACCATAAACATTTCTCTTCCCTAAGTTAGACTTTGTTACTCAAATAACTTTACAGTTTACACAATATATTGCCAGTACTGGCCTGGCTTTGTATAAGGACAAGGCCTCTGCACCGCGCCTTCGGCGCGGTGGGTACAGGTACTTTTCTTAAACAAATACATCAACTATTTGAGGCCTCTATAAGGAGATTATTCAAGTACGTCTTGCCAATTGTTAAAGCTAAGACTTCATCAGCTTCATGGTCCGTATCAGCGTAATGGTAAGATAGATAGTAGATAGTCTACTCTTGGACATAGGTTAATTAGAGCAATAGGTATGGAATCCTTACCTGATTCTACTATCCAATCTATCATATATAGTGCCATACAAACCTAGGGTGAGCTCACCCGCTACGAATCCAACAGCGTCCAATAACAGCGTACTATAAAGTTGCCTAATATAGTAGTAGGAAAACTGCAATAAAGGTCCCTACTGTGACGAACGACCACGAAGAACCCACTATATAGAGCGATGCGTGTACCAAGTCTGTTGGCTTGGTATTCTAGTCTTTTGATGACACAGTGAATAACTATTCTAGCTTTGTTAAAGCGGAAGATAGTAGAAGCGCATTTGCTATTAATTATTATATAATATTAAGTTAATCAATCGTGCATTCAATTTCCGATATAATTAACTAAATTGAAATTTTAATCTTTATTAATTCTACAATTTTTATTTAATTATATAATTAAACTTAAAAACTTATCAAAAGAATTTTAGGACCTTTATGAAATTAAATATTTTAGTTAAATAGTTTGACGATCTATTTATAAAAAAGATGTTATATTGATTATAACGTAATCCACAAGCGAGCTGCGAATCTAAGCGAGCTGCGAATTTTCAATCAAAACTCCACTTTCTTTATTCAACGCGTCATATTTTCAACACCAAATACAACATGCCTCCTTCTAAAGAATCACGTATTCAAATGGCTGTTTCAGCTTATCGAAAGGGCCAAATTAAATCGGTATTACGCATTGTGCAGGTTTTTGCGATCTTTGAAAGTATCCTACGCAATCGATTCAACGATGTAACATCACGATCAAAAACACGCGTCAATAATTATAAACTTATTCAATTTGAAGAAGAAACGATTCTTAAGCAATTATTAGATGCAGATATGCGAGGATTTTCAATGTGATTCGAATTCTTACGCGAAATAGTAAGAATTCTACTTCGCGCGCGTTTTCGAAATTTTACAGCAAATGTTGGTTTTAACTGACCATATAATTTCATCAAACGTCATTCTCAACTACATACACGATATAATAGACGAATTACATATCAACGTGCAAAACAAGAGAATCCAAAGGTTATAATACCATGATTTTAACTGGTCCACAAGACTATTCAAGAACACAACATACACGAGAACGATATCTGGAATTTTGATGAAACTGGCTTTGCAATGAGACTCTGCTCAACTGTTAAAGTAATTATTGCAATGAAGCGTAGTGAGCGATCATGCAGGATTATTCAGAGTAATCGTAAATGGATTACAATCATCGAAACAGTCAGCTCAAACGATGTACATATATTACTCATTCTTATACTGAAAGGGACCCAACAACAAGCTGCTTGGTTCTAAGAACCTAAGCTTGCTGAAGATTGGTGAATTGCAACAAGTCAAAATGATTGGACTATCAATGAAATAGGTCTTCTTTGGTTAAAAAATGTCTTTGAATTCTCTTCCAGGCGTTATATGACTGATGCAAAACGCTTATTTATTCTGAATGGTCATAATAATCATTTGACTGCTAAATTCGACGATTTTTGCAAACAAAATGCAATAATATGTCTTTGCATGTCTGTCCAAGTTTCACATCTTCAACCGCTTGATGTGGGTGTTTTTGGCTCGTTTAAACGCGCATATGGAAAGCTGCTTGAGGAACGTATGGTTGTGAGTAATAACTATATTGATAAAAAAGATTTTTTATCACTTTATTCAGACGCCCGGGCTCAAGTCTTTACTCCTACAAATATCTGCAGTGGCTTTGCAAAAACAAGATTTAAATCATTTGATCAAGAACAAGTTCTTTTGAAACTTATCTTTCAACTACATACACCTATATCTACATCGTCATTAGTTGAAGAATTAATTTTTTCTGCTTTTCAGACTCCACAGAATACTCGCCAGCTAGATCAAGAGATATGCAGCTTACAAAACAGTTTTAATGCTAAATGAAAGCTTTTTAATAGCCCAATTGCTCATATTCAACATCTTGAAAAGACTGTTCAAATGGTGATGCAAACCAACCTTCTTTTACAGCAAGAAATCAAGTCTTTATGAGTCGAAAATGAGCGAAAATACAAAAAGAAAGCAAGAAGACGTGCTTTACTAGAAAAAAATACTCTTTTATCTGTACAAAAAGGCCAAAATCGCGTTCAGCAGCTGAATATGCAGTTTAATAAGCAGTCTGAAGAATCTACTTCGGTGCCTCGTCGACGAGCTCCTGCCCGCTGTAGTGGCTGTGGAATAGTAGGACATACTATACGAAATTGTCCTAGTAAATAGCTACTTTTTTATATATTTAGTTAGTCAAATCTAATGGAGTTAGTGGTTAAATAGCTTCAAGTAGTGGTTGCATTGATTGAAAATTCGTAGCTCGCTTAGATTCGCAGCTCACTTGTGGATTACGTTAAAAAATATTCTTTACTTAATTAAATTATTAAATAATTAGTAAATATATATTTTTGATTAATAATAAATGCGATTTTCAAATAAATTCATAATAATATCAGTTATTAAGATTATTTTGTTAATATAATAAAAATAATTAATTTTATTATATATCAAGTGTTGATTAGTTTACTATCTCCTGCTATTATCTGTTTCAAATGACTTGTAAGACCCTCGCGATATGTATTTAGCTACAAGACCATTCGCGGATGATTTAACTGCGGATTAAGTCATTATATACATAAAATTTATTTTTGTGAAAG